ACGATACGACTATCAGCGTGCACTGAATGAAGATCCAAAATCGCTCTAAGAGTGGTTTACGACCGTACAACGTATTATTGACGAGAACGGTATACAAGCAGAGGATATCTACAACTTTGATGAGACTGGGTTTGCAATGGGTCTTATATCTGCACAGAAAGTAGTTATACGAGCTGAATACTACGGTTGGCGATCGATACTACAGCCAGGAAATCGTGAATGGGTTACTGCTATTGAAGCAATCTGTGCAGATGGCTATTTGCTACCGCTATGTGTGATTTTCAAAGGCAAAGTAGCTATTGCTGGTTGGTTTGATAACCTACCAAAAGACTGGCGGATTGAGGTCTCGAATAATGGCTGGACTACCGATGAGATAGGTCTTCGCTGGCTACAAAAACACTTTATCCCACACACAAATTCGCGTGTACGAGGCCGGTTTCAGTTGTTGATTCTTGACGGCTATGGGAGCCATCTTACACCCTAATTCGACAAAATCTGCGCAGAAAACAACATTATTCCTCTTTGTATGCCTTCGCACTCATCGCATCTACTACAACCGCTTGATGTTGGATGCTTTGCAGTTATTAAGCGTGCGTACAGTCGCTTTATAAGCGATCTTGCGCGTTGCGGATATAACCATATCGACAAGTTTGATTTCTTGGATGATTACCAACGTGCGCGGCTAGAGGCCTTCCAACAGCCCGCTATTATTTAGAATAGCTTTACAGCCAGTGGGCTAGTACCAGTCGATGCAGAAAGAGTGCTTTCAAAGCTTAATATCTCTCTACGAACACCTACACCACTATACAGCTGGCCGAGCAGCAGATCTAGCTAATTTACACCAAAAACACCTAGAACCGTTACTCAGCTATTCAAACAAGCTTCTATGTTAAAGGATCTACTAAGGCAGCGATTAAATAGTCCTCCAAGCCCATTAAAAGCTATCTTGGATCGACTTATCAAGGGTCACTATCTATTACTACACAATACTGCATTACTTGCGCAGGATAATGCGAATTTACGCGCAGCGAATGAGAAGGCCGTCAAGAAGCGCAATCGGTCGCATAAACAGGTGCCCTGCGAAGAGGGTTTGACCGTTGAAGAGGGCCTACAGCTAGTTACGCAGCTAGATTTGCTGGCAGAAGTACCCAGTATAGATTCCCATACACAGGGCGACTTGCCTACTCAGGCAAATCAACCAGTAAAGAGAGCTCCGCCTAGGTGTAGTGGGTGTAGGGAGATTGGCCACAAGATCAATTCATGTAAAAATCGCTATATTTAGTTAAATTGATAGGCGTTGGTTGGGATAATCGATTTTGAAATTTCTAATGGTGATGGGTGTCTCGGTCGGCCGGGTGTCTCGCTCGGGCGGGAATTACGTTAGTTAACGTAGTTCCCAAGCGAGCCGGCCACCCAAGCGAGCCGGCCACCCCAAAACACATAGTAAATGCGATAAAATACCACAACATATCTCAACAAAAACATCGATTTAGAATACCATATTTGGACATGATGGTCTAGATAGCGTCACCAGCCCACTGGCGTGGTTTTGACATATAAAATCTAATTAGAAGAGAGACATACATATATTTATGTATAGAATACAAAAATTACAGTGTATTTTATTGTAACGTTGCAAGGCGATCATTTTAAAATATTTAAAACTAGGATATATTAATCCCTATGCTAAGTAAAGCCTACCTGCCAATATTCAAGTAAAGTTAGTCGATGGTTGTTGAGATATGGAGTGCTAATTTATCGCATTTAAGATGTGTTTTTGGGGTGGCCGGCTCGCTTGGGTGGCCGGCTCGCTTGGGAACTACGTTAGTTAACTAAGCCGCTGATTACTCAGCCAACATTGAGATCACAGATAGAATCATTTCTTCACGAGCGTTGCACCTCCCCATAGCGAGCCGACATTCAATCGAGTGGGATGCAATTCCATCATTTGGGAGTATAATTCCTCGGCGGTGGATGTTTGTGCATCCAGTCGCGCGAAGTCATTTAAATAATCCTTGGTCGTTTTGATGGCATCGGGGGTGAAATCCTTGGATGGATCACTATGACCGCCAACGACAATTCTCGGTTTAAGGGTCGCAAGCTTATCGAGCGCTGCTACCCAGCGTGATCTGGCCTCTTGAGATTTCGATTCTCCAAGGAATGGGTGGGTGTTGTTGTAGACTGCGTCGCCCGCAACAACCAAGCCAATTGCAGGCACCCACAGAGCCGTTGTATCATCTGTGTCTGTATGGCCCAATCTAACCACTTCCAATCGCTCGTTTTCCAACATGAAGTGGTCTTGCTCGAGTGGGGTGGCCATCACAAGCTTTTCCGGGATCTGACCAGGGAAAAGATTTCTCCAAAAGGCGTCCATGCCTTCAGGAGATATGGCTTCAGCCATCCGAGAGACAGTCTCTGGCGTAGCCACGATCTTTGCCTCTGGGAATTTCTCGAGGAGGGCACCGTTACCATAGAAATGATCGCCGTGGGCATGGGAGACATAAATCGTCGTGAGGTTTTTCCCAGTGGCTACTACCCAGTCAACCAACTCTGTGACAGCAGGCATGGTTAACTGGGTATCGACCAGCACCGCATCTTTTTCTCCGAAAATCAAGGTCGAAGTGGTCGGCACCCACTTGAGATGATCGTTTCCAGCAGGTGTGGACCGATTCACGCCAGGACGTCTGCTGGTGAATACTTTGTAGTCGAGACCCATATTGTCGAGAATTGGAGTTAAATCAACTTTGATGTATGAAGGGAGATTTGGCACACATAAACTAAAAATTGTTCTTAGGTCTCCATATAAATGCCGGGTAAAGTGCAATGGAACTTTGACCCAAATATCGGTGAAGAGCTAAGGTGGCGAGGGATTACTGATCATTGACCTCGGGAACCCGGGTGTCCGTTTTTTGACCCACGGTAGTTTCTAATCTGTGTTGTCATCGGAAATTGAAAACTCGGCTTTGTACGGAGTAATGTCCCACGGATTACGAAGAGGTGAAAGACTTGCGCCTCGGCAATATTAGAATCAAGAAATTGCAGCACGGACCTCTTTGGCTCTCGGTGTAACTGACTATAAGATGCTTGCGAATATCAAGATATCAATCCAGATCAAACCAGAGAGCTCTCGTTCTATCCCGTATCTCCTTTCGTTCACTTTTTTTTTCCAATCATGCCTGAGTTGATAAGCTGTGTTTCCGCCCCTACTTGGGATGAGTCCGGACCAGAGACCCCAGCTCAAATATTTTTCAAACAATATGTTGATACAGTTGATTCCTATGGCTTCAACCACGGATCTGGCTTGCGATTCTATTCCAAAAACGTTATTTTCCACAACCAGAACAACGCCCAGTACAATGGTGGAGATGAGATGTGGGCGTGGATGAAGCGTCTTTTCGGACAATTTGAAAGACTGCGACACGACTTCCACAACCTCTGGGAAGTCAAAAATGATGACGGTACAACCACCATCATGACCCAGTGGACCCGCAATATCTGGCTTCCTGGAAACAAGACCGAAGAGCCGACTGTCAGCATCCCACTCAGCTGGATCTCTACCATCGGCCCTGCTGACCTCGCCGATGCTGTGGATGGATTGAATTTCAAGGAAGTCTGGCTTTACTGGGATACAGCTTTGCTCGCAAAGTATCTCCCCAAGGAGGCTGTTGTTTTCCAAACGCAGAATGTTCTACACAAGGCATAAACAATGATAGTGGGTAGATGCGGTGACTACGGCATCACAACTGGTCAGCTGATGCATTGCGAAGGCACAAAGTACCTTACTTCAACTGCGAGGTTTGGATTATAGGACCATCGGCCCTATTTAGGAGGATGAAAGAAGTAGTTCTCTTGTGAAGGATATGTGAGGAGGTAGAGTGAGAAGGAAGCTCAGTGATCTATGTGTGCAGCAGTAGCTGTCAAATGTTTTCTCAGGCTTTGAATATATAGGTTAGAAATAGGCAGGCAATAGCCATAGGTTAGCCCAAGACAGCAATTTAATGATCCATGTTCGGAAAGAATCATAAGCTCATTAAACTGGTGCGAAGGCCTTTACCTGACTAGTTCATTCTGTTCACTTTCGCATAAATCGGGGTTCATCCGCCATACAAGTTTGACGTGAATTTAAGACCGTGAAAATGACCGAGGTATTTAAACAAGAAAATTGTTTCTTTTAGCAATGGTTAAACAACCCAACGTTCTCTTGTTTGGCGTCGGCAGTATTGGCGCGGTCTACTTACACCAACTCCGCCATGCTGGTTGCATTATCACTGCCGTCTGTCGTTCGAATCAGTTTTCTATTCAAGAAAATGGATTTAGATTGATGAGTAAACGGTTCGGCAATGTGCAATATAGGCCAGAGAACCTGATACGCTCTGAAGCGGAAAGCCGTCCTGACTGCTTCTACGACTATATCCAGAGAAGTCTAGGAATCATCTACCATCCGGAAATGCTGAACCTTCTCTAGTTAGGCAACTTTTCCACAACTGCACCAGCATCTTATAAGACAACTGCTGTCAAATTCGCCGACCTAATGGTGAAGGGAGTGGAGAGGTTAGAGTTTATGATGATATCCAGGTGGTCCGTTGGTCGTAATTGATTCTAAATGGTTGCATTGGAGAAAGGAAGATACGAAGCGTTATTAAAAGAACCCCAAAGTGAGTAGTGCAGAGTAGCACAAAGGTATGTAATCTTGAGAATCAAGGTGCGTCTTGAATAGAGTGTTGTATACACGTTGGCAACTTCAACTAACACAAACCACAAATGACTACACTTGGCACAACTATGCTGCCATTGAGAGTAGTCCGTAAAAGTCACTCATCTCATGTTTGACCGAGTTTTATCGACTAGAATCGCGACTTTTGAACTTTTAAAAGCTGCAATTACGAGATGAAAAGCCCAAGCTGCATTCCGGGTACTAAGTTAGGCCCAACTGTTAGAGAATCAGAGAGCGCCAACGATGAATTCCGTGCTAGAGATCATGTCTTTTCTGTGTCGAAGTCCTATGAACTGATCGCAAAGTTAATGCCATCAATTACATCACCCAGAAAGGTCCCACTTGGCGTAGGGCACCCCAAAGCCCAGAAAACGTGAGGTAGCCCAAGATAGTGGTTAATCCTTGTTGGAACTCTATGATTACCTCGTGTGGTTAGCTCAGTAAACCAGTAGGGCCAAGAGGGGGCAGGACATACCCGGCCTTAATTAATTCGTCATAAATGATTAATCCGTCATCGCGAATGGGATCAACATTGCAAACGCTTAGATAAGTTGCAGGAAACTTGTCGAAATTGGTGCTGTTTACGATAAAAAACTCCGGGTCCTGCGGACTCGCTCCAACGGCATCTGTACAGCGGATTAAGTCAGATTTAATCATAATTAAACATGTTCGTAGAATGAGCACAAACCAAAGAACTCGATCATAGCATGGGCTGAATTCAAGGGCGCATTTGCGCAATCCTTGAATGATCGATACTTATCGACATACTCAGCGGGAATATGGTCAGGATGAGCAGCAATCGGCACCATAGCTGCTATACCACGGACCTCGCCCTGGCGATTCAAGTTCACAAGCTTGTTTGCCAAAGCAAGGGCTAGGTGGCCTCCAGCACTTTGCCCGATGACGAAGTATTTTTGGATATCTCCGTTCAGCTTTGAAGCCTTTCTGAGTGCCTGAAATCTATCAGCATGGTCGGAAAGCCTTGATGAAATTTGATTTACCCAGTTCCAGCCTTCAAGGGCATCCTCAAGCTGAGTTGGGCTTTTGTGCTCAGGTGCCAAACGGTACTCCACCGAGACAATGACACAAGGCAAGTTTTCAGCAAGGAGTTGGCAGAAAGGGTCTTCGGTGTCCAAGTCACCACAGCACCATCCACCGCCGTGGAAATAAACGCCAACGGGCAATGGCTGGCTTCCTTCCGACTTCACAGGACGGTACACCCTTGCTGTCACATGAGGCGAGATTTTTATATTCTCTGTATTGTTGTTCATTAGGACTGGGATTACCCAGAAAAATTGTTACACATGTCGTCAATTACCAATACTGAGATTTGCGGACTTCGTACAAGGACCGTTGATTTGGTCTGCAAATGTCTTGTATTGCAGTCTCATGGACAATGCATCTCCTGTGAATTGTGGCCTGTGACCAAGGCTTTCCTCAATCTGTGGGACAATCAGCATAGATCTGGTAGTATGTGGGAACTATAGAGAAATACTTGAAGCCATGTTAGTGAAAGAGCTGGTTCCATTGCTCATAGACTTTGAGATGTTTTCCCTCTGCAAAAATTCTTAGAGCTCTTGATCCAAATGAAAAGTTGAAGAAAAGCAATGTTTTAAAACACAAGGGGGTTGCCAAGCTGCTCATAAGTTCGAGCTGTGGCAAATACCCACTCTTTCATCCCGGGCCGAGGCTGGCAATCAAATTTATGATCAATAATCATCTCTTGATTAGAGCTTACTAAACACTCCAAATTTGGGTTGGATGAAACAAGAAAACATAACTAGGGAAATTTTGTAAGTCCACCAACAGAAAGACCTCGGGATAATAGTCTTGTCTGGAAGTAAAGTGAAAAAAAACCCATACTTTTATTCCAAGCCCGCATCTTCAAGTACTTAAGACCTTAAAGCTCGCAATTTCCAGTTTTCCAATTCAATTTTGACATTCTGAAAATCCAATCGCCAAACCCACGATGGGCGCCAATCTTCCTGAACTGCAGTTTACGCCGCTCGATGACATCCCCGAACGCGTGTCGATTACCCGCCAGGCTTTTCTGGACCATAAGACACGCGATGTCGAATTTCGTCTGATGCAGCTGCGCAAACTTTACTGGGCGTAAGTCCCTTGGACCTTGCTTTTGCTCTATATAGAACATTTGTGAATTATAGAACTTACATTCAGCAAAGCATCAAAGATCACGGGGAGCAAATCATCGATGCCTGTACTCAGGATCTGAACAAGCCCATCTTTGAAACAGAGACGGCAGAGATTGGATATCTCCTGAATGATATCGTATTCATGACGCGCAACTTGCATACTTGGGTGAAAGATGAAAAGGCTCCTGATATTGATTTCATGTTCAAATTCTTCAACCCGAAGATCAGGAAAGACCCTCTTGGCTGTGTGTTAGTTATTGGGTAAGTTCTGCAATTATATTCCGGACTTCTATCCGCAAGAAACAGGCTGTGAAGGAAAACTTACAACTATTTCAACTTACCTAGCGCCTTCAACTTCCCCTTCCAACTAACACTTGGTCCAGTCATCGGGGCTATCGCTGCGGGCAATACCGTGGTGATTAAACCAAGCGAAACCACTCCCCGCTGCGCAGCTGTCATGCAAAAGATTGTTGAGAGACTTGATCCTTCATGTTATCAAATCATTCAGGGGGCTATCCCCGAGACGCAGGCATTGCTAGCAGAGCGATGGGATAAAATATTCTTTACCGGTAGTGCTAATGTCGGCCGGATCGTCTCCAAGGCCGCGGCACCGCATTTAACTCCTGTTATCCTCGAGTTGGGCGGAATTAACCCTGCTATTGTGTCTAGAAAGGCGAACCCAAGGCTAGTAGCACGTCGTTTGCTTTGGGGAAAGGTATTCAACGCTGGTCAACTCTGTACATCGCAGAATTACATACTGGTTGAGAGACCACTATTGTCTTCGGTTGTCACTGAGTTCAAAAAGGCTTACAAGGAATTCTACCCTAATGGAGCGAGATTTTCAACGGATCTCTCACGTATCGTGAACAAAGATCACTTCCGGCGACTTCGGTTAATGCTCGAGAACACCCACGGCAAGGTTGTAATGGGCGGCATGATGGATGAGGAAGAACTCTTTATCGAACCGACAGTTGTCCTGGTCAATTCGATTGATGACTCGTTGTGCTCGCAGGAAAGCTTTGGTCCATTTATCCCAATTCTCCCAGTGGACAGTCTGGACGAGGCTATCGAGCTAGCTAATGGCCTCATGAGCACCCCTCTGAATCTCCATCCATTTGGAAATAAAGCAGATGTTGAGCACAGTTAGTTCCCTTCACTTGATGTTGATGTTGGGAGACATTTTTAATAATACATTCTAGTTCTACGATCTACTCGATCCGGCGGCGCCTCCTGTAACGACGGGGCCCTGCACATGCCGAATCTGCCTTTCGGTGGTGTCGGAGAGAGTGGTCATGGTGCTTATCGTGGCCGTGCCAGCTTCGACGTGTGGGTTCATCGCCGTCCTATCACTTCCAGTCCGAGCTGGCTCGAGCGTATCCTATCAGTCCGATATCCTCCATACGCGGGTAAGTTGAGCGGATACAAGGCTACTGCTCTCCTCAAACCCGATTTCGATCGAGGTGGGCGTAAGCTGAGATGTGGCTGGATACGCTTTATCCTCACTCTGGGCGGAGGAAGTGTCAAGGCCGGAGCTGTCCGTGGTATTGTTGCTGCCGGTGAGTAATTTAATTTCCTCTTTTTGTTCATTAGTTCATTATCTGTGCTCAGATCTAACTATTCAGCAGTTCTTTACTTCATTTTTGAGACTCTTGCACGCCGACGCTCGGGCTTGCGAATTTGATTTCAGGTTTGAGCCTTACCACTAGCACTAGCACTAGCTCGCTAGAGTTGGAGATGGATTATAGAGTGCCTATAGACCTTATAATTTAACTAGGTTCGTACTTATTTTGTTTTATCTTTAATAGTTTTAGTTATATCTGGGTTTCTCTATTGGTTATTTTGGGAGTATCTTTTCTTTGTCTGATATGTCGCACAACTGACTTTGTTCGGACATCTAGTCTACGTGCTGTTAGTTAACATCACAAAACATCACTCCAGGGGAGCGGATTGACACTCACACTGCAAGACTACCTTCAGAGCGGGGATCATAGGTTTGCCGAAGAGACTCAAACCTGTCCTTCATTTGGCGCTGATCTCATCTGAGAGGTAAGATTGGCGTTGAACGGGCTGAATCTTACTAGAAATGCTGCTGCCACCTACATAGACCCGACCACCGGAGCAAAAATTACATCTAAACACTCCCGATTGAGGAAAATGACTACTACTTCTGCAATTTTTGGCTACCTCAACGCTATCATTGGCAGTTTTTCAATCAAAGTGTGCAAAGGCGACAATTTGCACATATTTAAAGGTTCCTTGAAGTCGCGCACATTATTTACGATTTTTGCGCCTCGGGCTGCAGTTGTTTCTTCAGGATCGAGCCAACAAGAAATTGGTAATGAATGTCCACTTTGTTCTTAATTATACCAGCACTCGTATATCAAAACTCCCCAGAGTCTATGAATCATCACTTTTAGCAAGGTCTAAATAGGCAGATCACGATGACTAGTGGTACAAAGCCACTGTCACAGTTAAATAACTTGACCATCCACGTCGTGGAAGTCTTGCAACGAAGCTTGGTATCAATTTATATTGAACATGGAATCAATTACTTAGCGCTTTTCGCGTACAGAAGCGCCCGACATCGGTTTCCATGCCGCGAACATAGACGTACTCTTTCAAACCCTAATCACATGGTACAGATAAATCACATGTTCTGCACATACCAGTAAGAATACCAATTCCCTTCTTATAGATTGTATCACAGATACAAATGCCTAAAATTAGAAGCCTGGAATTTCTAGAGGATTCTAAACAAAGGTAACAAACACCGCAACAAAGCAACATCTGAACTGGAAAAGTGTCAACTTCTCCCTTCTGCATCTTGCTGTTGCTTTACTGCATTGCTTGATGCTTAAGCAAAGAAAAAGCGTCACCAGCGAGTTAGATCGGAAGGGACGTCCGTTACGGTCAAAAAGAACGAACGTTCGCAAGCAAATCTGGAAAAGCTTTATAATTCTATTAACATTAAATATGCCCCAGTGGAGAAGCAGCTACGTGAATGGAGCAAACTACTTCGTATAGGAAAGAAGCTCACGATCGAGGTTGCCTTCACTTATAGGGAAGATGATGATGGCCATTCCATGCCTCCGCCAGGAAAATTCGGAAAGAGAGGACGTGTGTCTGCAACCAGCAGAATGTTAGCTGAACGTGAGGCGCACATTGTGGCGGAGGAAGAGGTCACTGGACAACCTTCGACTAGGGAAGGCGTATACGAGCTCATGCGATGTAATGTCCGCTCGTGTCCACATAAGTCTGACTGGTGCTGGGAGGACCGGAAGGACAAAAAACATTACAGACTCTGGACACCGCATCTAGAGCTGCTTATCGACTATGTCGACTAGGTGGCACCCTAGAAGGTCATGGTGATATTCACGGTGATATTCGTCGAGACTTAATCCTGGAAAGCCAGGCAGGAAGAAAATCGAAAAGAAAGTTGATGTGTCAACAACGTGAGTACCATATCCTCCAACAATTGTCAATGTTCTACCAGCACTATATATATCGTGCGTACTTGTTGGGCGCAACACTTCCCGATAATGATTTTAGAGCCTCTCAAGGCCTATCGGGGCCTAATTGCCATTTATGCTATTTGCAAATTTCGCCTTCAGACTGACGTCACCTATTTTCAAAGATATTTATCGAATAGCTGCTTCAGCATTGCAGAAGATGATGCGAGCCAAAACCTGTGGGATGGCGGACAATACATCCTTCCACAATTCTCCCCAGATGGCACAATTATCATCAATCGAGGGAATAAGATCGATTTATCTGCCAACCTACTCTGTAGATTCAAAGCGTAGGGAAGAGCAACAATGTACAGTACATCAAACCCAAGCAGAAAATATGAAAGTGCTGCTCCTCCCCAGAGTGACCTGGGGTTCAGCCGTGTAGGATATATCTCCATAATGCGTGAATAGACAGACCTCTTCGAGGATGTTAGACTCCTCCGAATCTCTATTGAAATTCTCGAATTACGCCTTAGTGTCGTCGATGGCATCCGGGCCAAAGGAACTGTTCGGATCACTGTGCCCGCCGATCACTACCTTCGGGTTCAGAGCTGCGATCTTATCCAAAGCTGAATGACGGCCCACCACTAAAACTATATGGCGATCCTCGATATGTGGATTTCCGGAGCCTTATAGGGCTTATCAACCGGCTCATTCATGAACGGCCCTCGGCAAACTTTTCGGATTATTCAACAACGCCGTTAGTCTGACAGCCTCCGTGATTGACTTATTCACCCTGGGCTGATAAAATGTCCCCGTGTCATTCTCTCTTGCATATAACTTGACAACAAATCAACACCCACCTCCTGAGTTACTACTGTCTCCATGGTAGGTCATAGTAGTCGGCGTAACAAAGAAAACTTAACTGAAAAGGACGCTAGGCAGACGAAACTCGCACGCGCGGACGACCTCGTATCACTAACAGCGGAAGAACAGAGGTTAGTTGAGAGTGATATCTGCTATCAGGCATCTGCTGATAATGTTTAGCGACGTCGCAAGCAGTTACGAGAGGCGCAGCAAGCCTATAGGACTCGGAGGCAGAACACCATTGTAGTTCTGCAAAACCGTGTTAATGTGCTAGAAAGCGGTGTTGAACAACTCAGCCAGTTGTTTCTCTCCTTCAGTGACCTATTACTAGAGGCAGGCCTCCTTGGCAGGTATCCACACGTCGCCTCAGCCCTGCAAAAAGTTACCAAGCAGTGTGTCTCGCTCGCCAAGTCAGGGTGTGATAGCTACGCCGAAACAGTGGCTATAAATGGTAAAAGTGGCTCTTGCGATAATTCGACATCGCAAAACAACCTCAGTCCTGTTATTCAGGCGGGCCTTGCCCAACCAGACCTAATATTACCAACTACTAAGGACTCGACCGAGCTGTCACCTGTCTCAACCAGATGGATTAAAAGCCTACCTCCGCCCAGTCCGCCTCATCATGACCAAAATATGTTGCCGTTCGGAATGATTCACTTAACATCTTCTCCAATTTCCGAAGTACATCCGCTGGTATCTGCTTGGCCAACGCCATCGTTTCCCAGAAATCCTACAGGACCGCAGGGGAGTCTGCCACACCTGGAGAAAGAGATTCATATACAGGGGAATATGCCTACAATCGATATTCCCTCCGATCATTTATCTGAACCCTTAGTCATGTCCCAGTTTGAGGAGGCGATTTTCGTCCAGAGTGAGTTTCAGAAGGTGCACACCAGACTAGTGCTATTGCTAACTTCTATTAGCCCTTTCTAGGCTTTCTATTTGCCTTGGTAATGGGCCAGCGATCCGGCGACCGAATGTGGAGTATGCATTGCGCTTTGCAATTCAGGTTGCATTATCAATCCGTAGCGCAATTCGCAACAATAACAGAAGGGTATGTGAAGCATGGTTGGAAAATATACAGTACTCTTAGATAGCCGGGTGATGGAAGTGATGGAAGCACTTGCTTGAGTGGAAGGGTGATAATGCGATACCGGGAAGAAAAAAGAAACTCAAAAAAATATTGCTGGTTAGCACCTCCAGATTTGGTGGTTAAAGAGAACGATGACTTAGATTCGACCAGGACAATTGCCCCCTTCCTCATCGCTCCATCATCGTGCCTAACCGTGCTCGTCACCACTATCCATACAGTTTCCCATGTGTCCAATTTTGAGGTTTCATTACAGTGATATGGGATTAGCCCAAATGCATCCCACGTTTTTTCTTGTGTTTGCATGTAATATGCGGGTAACGATTGGGTTCCAGTATGGTAACTTGAATATTTTGTTACACAGCCAGGGGATAGCCCAACCTGCCTTTTTGTACATCCCTCGTAGGTTTTCCTTTCTCGATCAAATTGCATATTTCTGATGATTCCGGCAGTCCTCATTCGCCACCATGTTTACTAGTTCGTACGCTTTTAGCTGGCTCTGACACATTTCAATGTGGCGGGAACGTTATGCTGGCGGCTGAACAATGTAAACCTAATCTAGACAAAAGGCGCTCTTCCAAGTTCCCCAGTCTACTGGAAGCATCTCGACAGTTCTTGAGGATATCTAGGAGCCCTACTTTGCTCGTGGTTTCCGCCCACGGGCGTATTGTCATTTTGCTGACCGCGGACTTAGCACTCTATCAAAAATTGAACCCCTCGTGTAGCACCCCTCAGAGCTTCCCCTTCTCAGAGTGCCGATCTGGCTGGGATGCGCACAGGAGAGTAGGAGTCGGCACGAATACATATTCGCAATATTTCGAGCTATTCGCATACGCGTTCGTAGTCCACAGATCTCCACGAATATTCGTATTCGCAGGCCCAATTGTTGAGATATGTTGAGATATGTGATTGTCTGATTGAATCTTATTGATTGACTTAAGGAGTGATCTATTACAGGGGCCAGATGCCTCTTATATATCTGTTCCCAATCCCTGCCATAAGGTTCAGCCACCGTGATACTCAACAGAGCCCTACAGGAGAGAGAATCGGTAGTCCGAATAACATATCGAAAACCCGGCCCCTGCCGCCGCGAGGAGGCCGCCATCACCTACTGTATGAGTGAAGCCGACCTGCTGGATGCTATCTTATCGGAGACCCTATCGCGACCCACCACCGTTTATCGGGGCCTATCAGTTGGCCTGGTTGCGCCGAATAAGGACCCCTACTAGAGCCTACTCCGACGAGGTGCTGGTGAATCGCTCGGCATGCCATTGGGGCCGAAAAGGCTCTGGGCCACTTTCTCTCGATCCGCTGTTTACTCATCATGCATTGCGGCTATGGTTGAACTCTGCCTCGGTCCCTCAGGCAATCGCCACACCGAGAAAAAGAATAATCGCTCGGAATATCAAATCCATGGCTTGCGGCTGTTGAGTAAAGAATTGTTTTCGTCGTCAGAGTTGTCCAAATCATGGCACCAAAACTTCGTTTTCACTTTACCCAGCTTTCCCCATTTCGACCAAAGGATCATCGGAGTACCTATAGCTGGAACATATCTGCTCTCCGTAAACCTATTTCTTCCCACAGATTTTCGAACAGGCTCGCAAAGATCAATTTCTCTATTAACTTTTCCTTTGGACTCATCATGGCCTATCCCGACATCTTTTACTGAATAACTTCATCTGCCTCCTCTTCAAGGAAGCCATTCAGCTCTCCCGTTCATTTAGTTCGCCTCTTTTCTTTCCTTACTGACAAGTATCAAATATATGGTCCAGTACATTTGACAGGAGACCTCGAATCCATGAGCTAATATGTGCCATTTGACCTAGAGAAAGACGATCCATTCATCTAATCGTCATACGTGTGCAAGACTCTGTACATCCTCAGGTCATCACGAAGTAAGGAAATACCTAACAGTAAAAGCAGTTCATATCACTTTAGTATTTTGAGATTGACACAGTATATGTTATTTCTGACGCTTAGAATTACAGACACGAAAACGTCGAGAACGGTAGGGTGGTTGTTGATATATAGCGTTGCACAAAATGGCATTTAATATGAGGCTTTTGGCATGGTGACTCAAGTACGGAGTAGGTTGTTTTAATTAAGTTATAGCTAACCATTGAGTCGTATGTCCTATATATTGAAGAGGGAGATGCTCGATGACAGTCTGACAAGCAGGCAGGTCGAAATAGGAGAAGAATCGCACACTCTACAGTGCTCGGGACCAGGGACACGGCAGCATATATCAAAGAAGGTCATGGGGAATCAAAATAATACGTATTGGAAGAATCAAGCTGGCAGACATCTGTGTAGGAGATATGTGTCCAGTCTCTGCCATCTAAAACGTGATTTTGAAAATAATGAATGACGCAGGCCTCGGAAAACAGGCGCCAACACTAGTCTCATAGAGGAAACAGAGGCTGTTCAGTGAAAAGATGCTCAATGAGCCAATCTCACTCTGATCTTTCTCCACGCCTGATTTCTCAGGCCTCATGCGAGCGCTTCATTCCGTCGCTGGTTTTCTCCCTACAACATCTATGCGATAGTCCATCAATTGTTGCACAGTTAAATGGACAGTTTATGCTCCTAAGCAAGAGTTGATTGATTCTTGTAGATAGATGTAGATGTCTCCTCCAGTTGGAAAACAACCCTGGTTTCCACACGCCGGCCCTCGGCGGTCACAACACCGGAGCCGCAGCCCAGCACAAGAATGCGTACACCAAGCAAGGGATGTTATCCAAGGAGGATATGTCCCGACAGTAACCCTGCGCTAAGCCGCGAATCCCGCCGTATGGGATTCAGGGGTATTTTCCAACCTGACCTGGAAGGGAGATCATCTACATACATCAATCAATCAACTTTTGCTTTAGGAGCACGAACACTGTTCACTTGACCGTGTACTCGGTACCTAGCTGGTGATGCCAACATAACTAAATCCATTAACAATTAGCATTCAACAACTAACAATTATTGGGGAAATTTATTCTCGGGGCCATTGACAGAAAGACATTTAGATAGTTGTTGAAGGGCTTGAATGAAGGAAGCCGTTGAAGTATTTAGAGCAAGAGCGTTGGACGACTATTTAAAGCTACTATCGGAGCAATGAATTTCAAGACGTTGTGGCATCTAAACTGGAGGGGAGCAACGAAAGGGTTGTTGAAAATTTCATGCGGGGTTTGTTAGCTGAATTAGTTCAATAAAGTTGTTGAAATAAAAGAACCGCTGAACAATTGCATTTTAGGCGTTGATCAAGGCAATATTTGGATTAAATGAATCCAAAGTCGTTGAAAGTATCAACTAGTGGAAAACTTGAATTAAAAACCGAAGGGATCGTTGAAGCTCAGGCTTTCGTTGACGATAGTGGCAAAAGGAGGGTTTTCAGAGAATATCTAGTTAATGTCGTTGAAGCTAATCGTTGAAACACGTCATTCAAGTTAGACATCTCTCAACGATCCCTTCGATGACTTCGAATAGCCGACTCCAATGACTTCTTTCGGCGATTTCGTTTAGCAACTTACCAAAAATTATGTTCAGAGATTTCCAATAATCAAGTGATTCAATGCCTTTGTAATCAACACATTTAGATATCTCCTAAAGGATTGATTTTCCTCAACGGTTGGGTCAAATTGATTTCGCCCGACTCCTTTCAATGACGTTCTCGATTAATTATTGCGACAGATGTTTTGCAGAAAGACAGGGCGGTGAAACGGGAGGGTGGTGAAACACTGAAAAAGGAGTTGGCAAAGCGGAGTTGGAAGTGGCGAAATGCCGAACGCGATAAGCTTCCTGTTTTAACGGAATTGTCGGGCGAATATCACATACAATATTCTGGTTTTGTGATAACCTCATCTCATCATATGTGAATTCTAGCAATTTCAGTTCTTGGCTTCATTAGATTTTGACTACGCAGTAATATTGACCCTATAGCATAAAATATATGTTTGACGTTGGAATTATAAATTTAGGGCACGCTAACGTACTAGAAATCCTCCTTTAACTCACAATATGCGATAACATAGTCTAAAAGGATACCATTTTTGAGACATGAGGTTGTCTGGGTGTAGCAGGTGTGTCGTAACTACTCCGTAGATTTTTATGATTAGTGATCAGACAACCAAAAACAACCACGTGACATTGGGCGGACCAAGCAGAAAATACGCTCGATGAGAGTACTTCGTACTCTGGTAGAGTGGTGGAGGGATCCGGCACCACTACGGAGTAGCTTCTCAGGGCGATTAAAACTCCACTAATATTGATTGACCGAGCAAGTATTTTTAATACTACTTTAGTTACAGCGTAGCGGCTACTGAAACACGAAATTAAACCTGGTACTCACCTTCAATTTAGACCCGCCAAGACGCCAAGGAGGGTCCAATTTTTGATCTTGACCCTCTTAGGTAATATTTTGAGGCATAAACAGGCCTAAATAGGTAATTTCCTGCTCATAAATGGTGTTTTATACATCCATATGAAAAAAGGGCCCTCCGGCCAGGTCTACACGAAATGTTCCCAATACTGTAATTCTCCCACGCGTCCCAGCGTCATCTCTAGTTTCATGCACAGTGAAAGATCATATTCGGTTGTTGCACATTTCATTCCCCGCCTTGCAATGGAAGGAAACTCTCACATTATCTCTTAGTTGTATGTGCCGTTGTCATATTAAGCCAAGATCAATTCTACGCCCCATATCTCCGGAATTTCCTCTACTGTTGGGAGAGAAAATAGTTCCGGGAGTCTGCTCCCGGAAGAAATGCAGCATTGCCTACTGATGCAGTGTTACTTGGGCAGGTTGAAATTTCTACTGTGTCTTGATCAGTAGGAGGGGAAAATGTGTGCCGAGGCTCTACCAACATACCAGGGGATAAGCTCGAGTCGCCTGTTAGCCCGTGTCTCTATACATAAAACACGGCCCGCTCATTCCTTTCACTCCCACTACACTTGCTTTCTATCATTCTTCGTCCACTGTCACCGTGACGAGTAAGCTGCCCGCTCTTCGACAGACACAAATTGACAAAATGGCTCGATTTTCTACTCAACGAAGCCGGCCTCTCCACGCGACGCCGTTCATAAACCATTCTACCACTCCCTCGTAAGTGGTGCCCTCCAGACATGTAACTTTATGACCATGAGGTTCTTGCCTACTGTTCTACCTTTTCCCGTGGATCTGGCCACGGAACCATTGCACATTTGCGCTTGCGTGAACACCTGTATCGTCGGGGAGAGAAAAGGAGAAGGACAGCAATTCAAGCTGCAAATTCAGCATAAAAAAGAAAGCACGAAGGAAGACAAAGAAAGTGACTGACCATCTTACTTCTACAGATACGCCAACCATGACACTGCCAACCCCTCTTACATTCGCAAATACCTGCGCACATACGGCCTGACTCCTCCCCATTCCGAGAGCTACGAGACCCAAAAAACTCGATGCCTCGCCCAGCTGGGTCTGAAGAACACCGATATCGACAAGTTCCAATATCTCAGCACTCTGCGCAAGAACAATGTCCACCTCTTCTACCGTCTGGTCACTGACCACTTGAGGGTATGTCGATGATCTAGATCCCATGTGATTGGAGGGAGATTGGCCAACGCGAAGACAAGAACAAGGCTAACGATAAAAATTCCTGTAGGAGCTTATTCCCCTGATCTACACTCCAGTCGTGGGCGAGGCCTGCCAACGGTGGTCGGAGATCTACCAGCAGCCCGAGGGTGAGTCACGAACTTTTGTTTCCCAGTAGCGAAATAGAGCCGGAGCTAATAAACTATTTTTGTTTCAGGCATGTACCTTAGCTGGGAAGATCGGGGAAGTCTGGCGGCCGTGATTGCCAATTGGCCCCAGCCTAATGTGGAGATCACATGTATCACTGATGGCTCGCGCATCCTCGGACTGGGAGATCTGGGGATAAATGGTATGGGTATCCCCATTGGAAAGCTCACTCTCTACACGGCCTGTTCGGGAATTCGTCCCGAGGCCACCCTGCCTCTGACTCTGGATCTGGGCACCAGCAACAAGACTCTCCGGGATGACCCGTTGTACATGGGCAGCCGCCGTGACAAGGTCTCCCGCGAAGAGGAGCAAGAGTTTTTGGACGAGCTGATGGCTGCTCTCACCGAGCGCTGGCCTGGGTAAGTGGTACTCTTGAGCTTTTGCTTATGAGTATGCTTGTTAGGCCATTTTGGCTCCCCACCTGTTGCCCCTAGCGAAATCCCGGGTGGCCCAATCACCTTGATCTACTCCCCGATTTCTTCCTTCCCCTCACACTCACCTCACTCTTCCCTCTCCCCGGATGGTCTAGTCTATTCCGATAGGGCGCGTGGACTAACGGAGTTTATTCACTTAGTATTGTCATCCAATTCGAGGACTTTAAGAATCCCTTCCCCTCACTCGAGCGGTACCAGAACTCCTACTCCTGCTTTAATGATGACATCCAGGGTACCGGTGCGGTGATTCTTGGCGGTGTCATCAACGCTGTCAAGCGCTCCGGCCTGCCCTGCAAAGACCACCGCGCCGTGTTCCTCGGGGCCGGTTCGGCCGGTGTCGGTGTCGCTAAGCAGATCGTTGAGTTCTTCATTCGTGAGGGCATGTCCGAGGAGGACGCCCGGAACTGCTTCAACCTTGTCGACACCAAGGGTCTAGTCACCGCTGACCGTGGTGACAAGCTGGCCAGCCACAAGGTCTACTTTGCTCGCCAGGACAACAAGGGCCAGCAGTTTAAGTCTCTGGAGGAGGTCATCGACCATGTCCATCCCACCATCCTGATGGGTCTCTCCACTCTGGGTGGTGTCTTCACCCCGGAAATCCTCCGCAAGATGGCAGACTGGAACACCGCCCCCATCATCTTCCCCCTGTCCAACCCTTCCTCCAAATCCGAGTGTGACTACGAGAGCGCGGTCAAGAACACTGACGGTCGTTGCCTCTTCGCCTCAGGCTCCCCCTTCCCTCCCATGACCTTCACCAACTCCGATGGCGAGGCCCGCACCTACTGCCCTGGACAGGCTAACAACATGTACGTCTTCCCGAGCATTGGCCTGGGCAGCATCTTGTTCAAGACCGTCCGTGTAACCGACAGCATGATTTATACTTCTGGCGAGGCCCTCTCCGCCGCTCTGACTGCCGAGGAGATTGAGCGTGGCCTGCTCTACCCCGACATCACTCGCATCCGCGAGGTCAGCATTGTCGTGACGCGCATGGTGATGCGGGCTGCCCAGGCCGATGGCGTGGACCGTGAGACCGCTCTGCGCAAGATGAGCGATTCCGACCTGGACAACTACATCAAGGCCCGCATGTATGACCCTCACACCGAGGTGCGTTCGCTTGAGCGCGAGGTCGGTCAGCTGCTCTCCAGCCTGGGCAATCTCTCCCCCATCCTGAACGGCTCTCTACCCGAAAAGAAGCCCAATGGTTCGAAGCTTTAAGAGTTCCGTTCTGTTCTCTTTAATATGGCCGGTCATGTCATCTCCTTACCTTCTTTTGCATGCGCATGGCATTCGATTCCCCGATTCCCCTTCCCATGTCGCTCGGGTCCGACTTCAAAAATTCGCTGCTTCTAATCACAGCCTGCTGAGGATAACCGTCTGAATAGACCTCGCGTTTTCCTTGTTCGTTGCACGTTTGACTCCTTTATCTCCTCGTCATTTCGGGCGCGTTTCTTCTTGGCACCTTGGTCTGCTTTTCGGATTGGAGTTGGACATTTTCTTTGCACATTGGTTTTCTTTGCAATGACCTACTCATTGTTGTTTGGTCACATTCTTTTAAGTGGCTCTGTGCATTTGGGTTTCAGATTGCATTTTGCGCCTGATCTGAATGAAACAAAAATTGTTCTCTATGGAGTAAAGGGCCTGTAAAATCGTAAAGTTAACCACACGTAGAACCGCGGTATCTGTGACAAATACAGCCGTAAGTGTGAAGGGCTAAATCAAGACTTAGATTCAATCTAAGTAGGCCACGAACTGTGTACAGAAAGCTTGAAGAAGAGAAGGAGCGAAGCAAGCTATTCTGGTAGAAATAGGTGCAGGCAGGGTGGTGGCAGGACGGGAGTGTGCGGGGAAGGCTATGGCAAGTCCATAGTGAGAAGCGGGTCTAATTGATACATACAATAAATGTCCATCGACATCTGTCATGATCCCAGTCACCAGGGAACTGACAAATCTCCTGACAGTCGATCGCCAAAGGATTGTTCAGTCACCACTATTACAGACGTGGCCCTCCGGTGGCATGCAGTAGCCTACTTGAAGAGACCCAGAAATCCTAAACCACCAGTTACTTCCCCAAGATATCACGACATGCCCAGTCTCCTCAGATCCTACCGTAGAAACGTATGAGCTGTCATTTTTCTCGAGTATATTAACAGACTGAGTCTGACAACCATTGATGCCTACCCCTCCCTCACAACTTCGAAAACATCGTCTCCTTTTGCGCCCTAACGTCCAACTCCTGAGTCCACGCACTCCTCGGCTGCGTATACAGATACCAATAAATCCCCGCCAAATCCGTTGGCTGCATAAGAAACCTATCCGCCTCCTCCAACTTCTCCTTCTCTCCCTCCCGCTCCCACTTCCTCCTCGTGACACCACCAATCAACTTCCCATCCACCGGCCCATCAATAATCAGATGCGCACCATGGATCCCTTGACTCTGGTACTCCCGGGTGATGATTTGTGCTAAGGATCTGAGCCCGAACTTACCAGGTGAGAAGCTGGACAGACCGGGCATGCCGCGAAGTGAGCCGGTCGCCCCGGTGAAGATTATGGTGCCCTTTGAGGCGGATAGCATGTCAGGAAGCACGCATTTGGTAGACCAGAATGCGCCGAACAAGTTGATTTTCGTGAAGCCTTCAAATTCCTCCGTTGTAGTGTCTAGAATCGAGCGCCCGTTCACACGTCTCGCGCCCGCGTTATACACCAGGACTTCCACGGGGCCAAGTTCTTCTTTGATGGATTTGAAGCTGGAGATGACTTGGTCTTCAACGCGGAGATCGGTGATGTAGTAGCGGGCAGTGTGTTTCCCGAAATCGGCCTCGATGCCTGTGCTCATCGTTTGCAGCATGTCTTCGGTGCGGGCGAGCAGGGCCACGATGAGGCCTTCTTGCACGAAGCGCCGTGCCACTGCTTCGCCTATGCCTGGGCCGGCACCGACGACAGCAATGACGGGTTTCTTTTGTGGGTTGTGTGACATAGTTATGTGAAGTGTGAAGTATGAAGGATGGAATGAGAATGCGAGGTTGCACGTGAGCGAGGGGTTTTCTTTGGGAATTGGATTTTGGAGATTTGGAGGTTGATGGAGGAATGGTCGTACAGTATATGATTATCTTATGTAAAGGGGATGGAGCTGTGGTGCTTGAATTGGATTGGTCTGGATTTTGCGCCGATGATCGATGTGAAAAGCAGTAATCGCTTATGAGATTGCTAGCTTAGGGTGAATACTAATCACAGCTAAGACCTCGGCTTGAACGACTTCGGTACGGCATGAAAGGGTTGTCTCAAAGTACTCGGAATCGCAGATCCTGGATTTTAACCCCGCACCCGGATTTTTGACTTTGTAACTAGGCTTCGGCATGGTGCGATTCTGGTTCCATCACGTGGAGCCGCTCACTGCACCTCATATTTTCGCGCCTCCAAAACTTCAGAACCGCAATTCATTATTCTGTCAATGATTTCCTAGATAGATAAATTTATGATTCATTTGAATTTGAACAGTTGCTGAAAGCTGTTATGGTCATTACATTTACAGCCATTAACTACCTGTTTTAATACTGAGGGAATTGTATGAAATTTGCTCGTATATAAGAAAATTTGTATCGACAATTATAGTCCGGCTTATTCTTAATAGCTGTTGGATTTTTCGTGATGAGGTATTACCCAAAAGGTAGCTGTTGTGGTGTTTCATGGTGCATTGGACATTCCACCTGATCACTCAGTCATGAATATATGACAAACTGAAGAAGTAGTCAAATACCACTAGTTAGTTAGGACCCCTCGGGATAGGCTTATTCATCGTTCACCTGATTTCCTCTTAGTTTGGTGTCATAACACGCCATAGTTCGATTAGAGAAACCCCTGAGATCGCTCAACCGATCTCAACACCTACAATCAATCATCTGATTCTATTGGATATGTTCAGTACAGTACTAACCAATACACCAATTCCCCATCCTGACAATATAGAAAACGGTCACCGTAATCAGTGGTATTAAAAGGGAATTGTTAAGGACACCCCAACTTTTGTTAACTTGATCCACGGTCGCCCGAGCGACCCCATCAAAAATCCAGTTCAATAATAATCCATCTTTTTTATCCACAACAGCAATGCCCCCAACCTTCTTTCTTATACATAGTTCGCCACAACATTGTGGAGAGCCGAAAAGTGGGGATCAAATAACGTCTGGGTGTGCCTTCATCGATTACTTTACTGAACCGGTTGCCGAGGCGCAGATTCTATACACCTTCGCAATTGATTTGCAGATACGACAAAGCCGATAATTTGAGGAACAGAATTAAGATGCCTTGTCCGAAGATGATGACGTATGGAAGTAAAAACTACTGTGGGCCAACATTCCCGAACAGACTGCCTTTCGGATCCCGAGGTCGTCGAAAATGATCAGTAATCTGTCATCACCGCGGATCTCTCGGAATTGCGCCTCACAACCGGGGTTGTCTTTGATCAACATTTAGGTCATTATAGTCCATCGGGATGTACCTTCAAAAGGACTTGGCCAGTATAAAGCCTCTCAAGCAACGATATTTCAATTTATAAACACATTCATAAGAGATATCTGTGGGTTTCTCTATCTACTCTCCGCTATGCAATCAAAAAGGAGCAAGAAAGACGTTCCGTCCGACCAAAGAAGCTAAACGAGGCTGATGAAGTACGTCTTTTAGACGCTATTCAAGAGAACCCCGGTGTTGCCTACGAAGAGTCTCTTACTGAGGTATCTTACACAGTCAAAATAAACTCAATCCAACGGCTATTGAATACCGGAAACCTCCGGAAATGGCGATGTAGCTGGCGACCTTATTCAGCCAAAGAAAATGCCCTTAAACGATTTCAGTGGGCTTCTGGGTATCAACACTTTACAGCCGAAGATTGGGCCCGTGTCCTTTGGTCCAATGAATGTACGGTTGGGCATGAAATCCGTGTTCGTCAAGAATGGACTTTTACTAGGCCTAGGCTTTGACAAGTACCGCATTACCAAAGGAATTTTAATGCTCCTCAGCGCGACTTCAGTATCACCTTACGAGCAAAGCAATCCTGAAGGGGAAATTAGTGATATAAGGCTGGTGCAGATCAGGAACAAAGCCTTACCGTCGGTATCAATTCCCTAGGTGTCTATACGAAGAACCAAGTCGATTTGAGTTCGTGCTGTATATATAGAGCCTCACTTATTCCCTCTGAAATAACAATCAATCGTTTTCCTCTGAACTATAATACATACTTTGCATATCATATTCTTACCAACTCAGGATACTTATGACGGCCAAAAGACAACATATCAGGCAATGCTGTTTTGACTGTGACTCCTTAACTGTTAAGTTCCATTCTTCAGAAGCTGAGTAGGAACAAAACTTGTTCTCCGAGTCTAAAAGGGGTTGAGATCCATAATGTGATACATGTTCCAATTCGGGCATGAGTTTCATATTATTTAGCACATCATCTCCAGGACCCAGTTTAAGATCCAAAGTACAGGTTTGTGCAAAGAAGAAGCCCTCATGGATCCATTTTCAGAAGCGAGACATTCGAACATTGTGTATAATTAGCTGGATTTTCCATAGTTGAATGAACTAGACTTAAACACTCTCGTTGCTCCGCATTACTGGGAGGATGTCCAAGCCGGAGCTTTAAGACGTAGGGTAAGGGGGATGGTATGTCGACAGAGTGAGACTCCGTGACATGAAGGTTTGTGCGAAGTAGTTCAAGGTAAGAAGTTGTACTTGGGATAGGTAGGTATCCTCGTGCACGTGTAAGATCTAACTGTTTTTTTTTGCATGCTGTAGAACTACCAGTGAGAGACAAACTCGCCAGACTAACTACGAAATGCATTTTAAATACTGGTAATATTCCATGCAACATACCAGTGTATGTTTCAGTGTCTTGTTAAATTCACAACTTCGACGGCACCTTCCCTTCCTCCTCTTCCAACTTCACTTGCTCTACCAAGATCCGTCGCAGAACTTTCCCAGTAGTACTCTTCGGAATAGTCTCCACAAACCTCACGCCCCCCCTCAACCTCTTATGCGGAGCCACCCTACCCTCTAACCACGCCCTAATCTCCTTCTCCAGGTTCTCTCCCGCCTCGTACCCCTTACTGGGAACTACATACGCCCGCGGCAATTCCGTCGCCCTCTGTCTGTTATACACGCCAATAACAGCGACATCGTCCACCGCCGGGTGGCCTAGCAACAACCCCTCTAACTGTGCTGGCGCAACTTGAAACCCGTTGTATTTGATGAGTTCTTTGAAGCGGTCGGTGAGGAATAAGTTGCCAGAGGCGTCGACGTACCCGATGTCCCCGCTGCGGAACCAGCCATTGGTGAGCGCTTCCGCCGTTGCGGGGGGTTCTGATAGTAGCCTTTGAAGATGTTGGGGCCGCGGAGACAGATCTCGCCTTCTTGCCCGACGGGGACTTCGCTGCCGTTGGAGACGATCTTGAGGGACATAGACGGGACGAGTTTGCCGACTGAGCCGACAGGATTGTTCCAGTCTGCTGTTTTCTGAAAGCTAATTAGCGTTGATCGCTTAAACCTTGTCATTTGAGAAAGGATGTAGGGAAGGTTGGGCTCACCTGTGTTGATATTGCGGGTGCGGCTTCTGACATGCCGTAACTCTGTTTGATGGGTATTTTTAGTCGAGAGTATATCATTTCAATCAAGTCATGCGTGAGTGGTGCTGCTGCGGAATGCAGAATTCGCAGCGAACTCAAGTCGAACCTGTCGATGAGGGGGTGCTTTGCGAGGAGAAGCACTATTGGTGGGACGACATATGCGATAGTGACTTTGTAGGTTTGGATCGAGGACAAAAATTGTTCTAAGTCAAAGCGCTGCATTATATGCATCGTCACCCCTTTGTAAATCGGGATGAATATTAGAGCTGCGATACCTAGAGCACTCAATTTAGCAAGTTGCACAAGAAACAGTATGGTCTGAGGACTCACCATAGATATGAAACATAGGCAAAAACGAAATCATAGAATCGTCCCTCCAATTCATCGCATCCCTCTCAGCATCCGAGCCCTGTAGAATATTCGCCACGATATTCTCATGGCTGAGCATAACCCCTTCGGTAGGCCCGTGGTCCCAGACGAATAAACCAGAAACGCCAAATCCTCCTTGGGATCCACTCTCACTTTCCCCACAACCTCCCTCTCCTCCCTCAATTCCTCAAAATGCCTCGCCTTCCCCTTCACATCCGGCTCCCCAACAAGAATGATCCGATTCAACGGTAACCCTACAATGAGCGCCGCCTCGCGGGCTGCGTCGAGACAGCTCACGTGGGTGGTGAGAGCTTTGGCGCCGGAGGATCTGAGCAAGGACGAGAGCTCGCCGACGGTGTAAAGGTTATTGATGGGACAGACGACGCCGCCTGCCCAGAGAGTGGCGGTTACTATGGCGCCAATATCGGCGCTGTTGGGGGAGAAGATGGCCATTATGTCGCCTTTTTGCCAGCTCCATTTTGTGAGCAAGCCGCGGCCGGTTTCTATCGAGGTCTGGCGGAGGCTTTGGAAGGTGTGTCTCTTGCCATTGGATAGGTCCACGAATATTGCTGTGATGGGAGTCAGCGAATTGGCAGATTGGAAATGTTGGAACTAAGATCAGTTGATATGCTTCCTTACCGTGGTCTTCCGGGTATTCAAGAACCGTTCGTTCAAAAAGGAAGCTCCATAGATCTACATCTGGTACGGAAATTGGGGAAGAGGCGGAATGGATAGGCATGTTTGCAACAGGGGAATCTCAGTTCACTGACTTCAATTACTAGAAAAACTTGGGCGTAACCCAAACAAAAAAGAGGGAAAATACCAAGGTTTAATAACAGCTTACCCCAGTCAATCAGTCATCTTTTATAGGTGCCAAACCCGATGGGTAGATCTGTCTCTGCAGTCTACAGGGACTGATATCTGCAAGTGAGCCGCGGCAGGTTGTCATCTTTCATCAAAAGCAGCTCCATTTCTACGCGTACACGCGTAGTTCGGCATTTTCTGGGGATTGATGATCAGCAAACCCTACCATGTTTTGGAACTTTGAGACGAAAAGTGAGCTTTTGCCCCGCTAAATTCGATGCATGCCAAGCTGGAGGTATGAGGCAGTGATTAGTATTCAGGTTGGACCGAGGCCAACTCGGCTGACAGGCGGAAGAAGTCACCTTGCGTAGGCCTTAGCACAACCCGGGGCTAGGGCTAGGCCTCGTCAAGTGGGACCCATTCAGTCATGGTTTTCCCAAATAGCATTGATGAATTAGTATGATTCGCTAATAATTTGTGCGGGATCGCGCGTGTTACACATACTATAAAAAACGCTTGGCGTCCCATTGGGTCCCAGGATGGCAATTGGAAAATCCCCTCCCCGCCCCACCTTGACGTCATATTTCGTGCCTTGGGCATCAGAGAAACTCGCTGAGATGTTCGGTCAAGAGCCTCGGGACCGTGAGTAATCAAGAAACAAAGGCAAATCCAGCAGTGGTCGATGTCCTTACCATAATCCTGGACATAGCCGATGGCCCACTCGGGGCACAAATCAAATTGCTACTGTTGCTGATGCTGTAATTGTTCATTTCTCTCTCTCTGGACATAAACGAAAGGGTTTCAGTAGAAGTTTAAGAAGCATACTCATTTATCAACGGTAGTTTGAACTGGCTTTGAGGCCTAATGTAGCTAGGCTGTTTCTGGAAGCCAGCTCTATCCGAAGTCACCTAATACATGCCCCAGTCGCACACGAACAGACAAAGGGACTGATGACTAAGCCAGGAAAGCATGTCTATCGAGCGTATTTTAACCAATGCATCAAGAATGAGGTACATTAATTCACTAGCAGCTAGCACTAAGCTTAATTAATCAGACGATTATTCATAGATTAATGCTCGCACCGAGCCTCGGCAGCTATCGATTCCCCTTCCCCTACCTACAGCAGAGGTCCGTGGCTAACGTACCGTCAGCTTGGAACTTTTCAATCACCTTTTTGTTCTCTTGGTCCTGCCAAATATTTACCTAGTTGGATTTTCGCGTACTCATAATACCCTCATTGTTCCGATTCAGGACTCGAAGCACAAATTGTTGTTATTCAACCCTAATACTTTACAGTTCGAATCTAAGGAGATATACTGCACCATCGCCATGCCTTTTGACACAGCTTTGACGCGCAGGCTTGGGATCCAAGGTAACGAGGTATAAATGCCCTCAATATCACTTTTTTCGCTCACATATACGTCTGCAGTGCCCGTAGTGCAGGGCGGTATGCAATGGGTCGGGTATGCCGAGCTAGCCTCCGCCGTCAGCAACGCAGGTGGTCTGGGTATCGTATGTCTACCAAAGCCTCCAAAAGCTCCTCAGAGAAAATGCTTAAATGCCTTGATAAAGCTTACAGCTCTCACGCAACCTACCCCCGAAGACCTTCGCAAGGAAATCCGGAGATGTCGCACCATGACCAAGTATCCTTTCGGCGTAAACTTGACTCTTCTCCCTACCATGGTTCCCCCAGACTATGGAGCCTATGCCCAAGTCATCATTGATGAGGGTGTCAAAATTGTCGAAACCGCCGGCAACAACCCGGGCCCAATCATTGCGCAGTTGAAGAAGGCCGGTACAACTGTCCTGCACAAGTGCACAACCATCCGACACGCCAAGTCCGCCGTGAAGCTAGGTGTGGACTTCCTGTCCATTGATGGATTTGAATGTGCCGGTCATGTTGGCGAGCATGATATAACCAACTTCGTCCTCTTGAGTCGTGCGCGCCAGGAACTAGGCGTTCCGTTCATCGCCTCCGGTGGATTCGCCGACGGACATGGTCTGGCCGCAGCGCTGGCTCTTGGTGCGGAGGGAATCAACATGGGCACCCGGTTCATGAGCACCATGGAAGCTCCAATTCATCAGAAGGTGAAGGAGGCCATTGTCAATGCACAGGAGACCGACACCGCCCTAGTTCTCCGCCGGTGGGGTAATACCTCTCGTCTCTTCTCTAACAAGGCCCTTCAGGAGGCATTGAAAGTCGAGAAGAATAGCAAGTCCGGTGACTTCAGCGAAATTGCTCCGTACGTCAGCGGCAAGCGTGGGCGCCAGGTCTTCCTGAACGGCGACGTTGATTTTGGTGTAAGTTACCCCGATACCCCTGGAATCCAAGTGTGTTCTGGTCCTAAATTATGTAGGTGTGGTATGCTGGTCAAGTCATTGGAATGATCCATGATATTCCGACCTGTGCCGAGCTGCTTAGTCGTATCGAGGGGGAAGCACTCCAGGCCATGAAACGGACCCAGTCCCTGTCTACTGACGCCCTTGCTAGCAGGCTTTGATAAATCGTTCTCTTCTTTTGCTACTGTGGCATCTTGGTATCGTCCCAAATATTCGATATAGGGCCGTCGTGGGTGAATTTGATCCTCGTATGTTTCACCATCTAGCTCAAGACTTGCTTTTCTTCAGACCGGTCTTTTACAATATTTTGTGATCTGCGGAGTCTCACAAAATGAGCCATGGCTCCTTCAAGGCACCATGGGTGAAGCCACAGATTACTAGAATGAATCCACCATGCAATAAACCCTCACCTCATGCAGCGAGATGCGATGAATTGAATACACCGACTTGAGTGAGGTCGGTGCAGTTGATATGACATTTCAGTGGTTCCTACTGCTGATGTATTCCACCATGATAAAGAGCTGTACAAATAACTCCATTTGAGGTTCAGACTTAAATCATCTCTTTTACTGCCATCTATTACTTATGTCAGTTTTCTTTATCATTCATTGTATATACAAACAACTGCGACTATTTGATGTGGGTATGGTTTCTTGTTTTGTGAGCTGAAGTCTCTCCAATCTCTGGCCTTGTCAACCTTAATCTCTAGTTTACTTGGAATGCATCAAGCTCCGAATTAGGAGGATCATACGACCCGTTGGTTTCATGAAAGTACTGCCGGCATTAATCATGCCATACGCAGGAATACCCTCAGCAGATGTACTTCACCACTATGAATAGCTGTAAAGATATCTCCTTCTTGGGGGTAGACTTGAAGGTCTTTAGTACTTGAAAACTTGAGAGTGGACTTGCAAATGTTTAAGCTTTTTTTTTTCTTTCAGACAGGTCCTCTGTTCCGAGGTACTTTTGTTGATAACATTATATGATTACCATATCTTTTCCATATTTCATCCAACCAAAAATCGGAGGAATTGAATTCTTCTAATCAGGGATTGGTTATTAATCATGAATTTTAATTACAAGCCTCGGTCCGAGATGAAAGGGTGGATACTTGCTGAAAATATAACTTGTAAGCTAAGTAGACATTCACGGTTTGGCAACCGCTCTTTGCTAAAAGGCGTTCCTTTCTCGGTCTCGGATCTTAATATAAAGCATTAGAAGTCTTTGAATTCCAAGGAACAGTATCGCGAAGTCTATGTGCAATGGAACCATCTCTTTCGCTAAAATGGCTAGAAGTATGTCTTCATAGTTCCCTTTTGCTACCAGATCCACCTAATTGTGGCACAGATCGAGCGAGTCTCTGGTCAGAGGCCGCAGCTCAAAGGAGACGTACTGTCCATGAGACAGCAATATAAGGTATTCACAGACGAAGCCAACAGTTCTTGTACGAAGTCTTCAAATCTCAGTATTGGTAAATAAAGGCCTATGAGACAGTTTGCGGTGGTAATCTCAGTCCTAATAAAATGATAATACAGAGGATATAAAGATCACGCCTCATCTGACAGCTAGGGTGTACCGCCCAATTATGTCGGAAGGAAGTCAGCCACTGCCCGTTGGCGTTTATTTCCACGGCGGCGGTTGGTGCTGTGGTGACTTGGACGCGGAAGATCCTTTCTGCCAACTCGTTGCCGAGAATTTGCCTTGTGTCATTGTCTCGGTGGAGTATCGGTTGGCACCTGAATACAAAAATCCAACTCAGCTCGAGGATGTTCTTGAGGGCTGGAACTGGGTAACTAGGATCCTATGAAGTCTTGTTTCAGCCATGCTCATAGATCTCAGGCATTCAGGAACGCTTCGAAGCTGAAAGGGGATAGCCAGAGATACTTTGTCATTGGGCAAAGTGCTGGAGGTCACCTCGCTCTTGCTCTAGTAAACAAGCTCGTCTACTTGGATCGCCAGGGGGAGGTCCGTGGTATAGCAGCCTTAGTGCCGGTTGCTGCTCATCCGGAACATATCCCTGCTGAGTATATCGATAAGTATCGGTCATTCATAGATTGCGCAAACGCGCCAGTTATTACAGCCCCTGCTGTGATTGAATTCTTTGGTTTGTGCTCATTCTGCGAATGTTGTTAATCTCGATGGATACTGACGATTTGCTGTACAGATTCGGTGGGAGCCAGTCCACAGGACCCGGATTTCTTCGTCATAAACAGCGCCACTCTCGACAGGTTTCCTGCAACATACCTTGCCGTTTGTGATGTTGATCCCATTCGTGATGACGGGTTAATAATTCATGACGCTTTGAATAAGGCCGGGTAGGTCCCACACCCTCTTATCGCCACTAGTATAGTCAGCTAATCACTCGAGGCAATCATAGGGTTCCAACAAAGATCAAACACTATGTTGGACTACCCCACATTTACTGGGCTTTCGGATGCCCCGCTCCAAGTGGGACCTTTTTGGGTGATGTACTTGATGGCATTAACTTTGCGATCAGTTAATAGTGTCTAGACACGGAAATAGCATGGTCAGGGTAGCAAAGAGCTCATATCTGTCGCCCTCTGACTGCCTAACAGCTGAGCCTAACTGGGTTCCTTGAAGGTGCTGCTAGGGCACTTAGTCATATAATTGCACAATTTCAGAGATTCAAGTGCCGCGATTCCATTTGAAGGTAAATACAAAAGGCAAAATCCAGATTAGCTACTTTAAATACGAGCTAGTATCGATAAACAGCTGTTCCAAGCGCAGTCATTGACAGGAAAAATCTGCGTTTGATGAAGGCCAACATGTACAATTTATTCAAAAACCATGTTTATTATAGAAGGTTATATGCCTTTACACACTACAATTTGGGGTTTCTTCACTATGCTTCATATCCTTCTTTTGCCAGTGCATAGATAGACTCCAACCTCGGCATCTTGACTCCCCATTTTTGACCCAGACGTATGGCATTTCTGATGATGGCTTCGACCTCAAAGACCCTTCCCTCTCTTGCAGCATGCACATTTTTCGACCCGTCTCATTGCTAGCTCTTGGTTATCATCAGCTTCTCCTCGGCCGTTTTCTCATCCACCCCTGGTATCCCGATCGTGCGAGCCAGCTCCGCAATGTCCATCAGCCCCCAAATAAGGTCGGTAGCGAAAGGAGACGAAGAGAGTAGGAATTCGCCATCCGTACAAATACAGGTGAGATTTCAAAAAGTAATTAGGGTCGATTTCAACCAACGAGCCACCTGAATGTCATCCATATAAACTCAAACATCTCCACCGCCTTTCACTATTATGCCGGCAAACCTGACAGCAGCTTAAATCCCTAGCCGAAAACATTTAATTACCTTCGTATACTGCTTTAATATGCGCATTAATTCGCGATGACCCAGCACGGCGATTTCTTGGATGGACCAGGGTCAGGTTCGTCTAGATTTTGCTTATTAAAGGCTTCAATTCAAATCGCATGTTGGCAGAATTCCATCGTAGGTAATCATCGTACCAGCGAACTAGACCCCCCGTTTTTCCATATTCATGTCTCGATGCCGAATCAGGTGACAGAGCCTCTCTTAAGTTCCACCTATGTTTGACATTATCTTGCGGAGAGAGGCCGAATTCACCACAAGAGAGATAGTTATTGTTGTCATAATGCTGAAACACGAACTTGTCAAGCCGAGGACACGATTTTTCAAAAGCTGCCCAACTAGTTGAAGCGGTTGTTAGTTTATCAAAATATCGCATCTTATGCGAATCTTGAAGGGATTAGAAATCTTCGTAAGTGAGGGGCACAGATTCGACAATTACTGGATTACTGTCGAAACCATTCTCGCTTTGTCAGGCGTTAGACTGGATCTTGAAAAAGGCGGGTAATATCAAAATCTCGACATGCAGGATATTTGATAAACGTTGATGGAGTCGTAGATTCCGAAAGCCTCACACTATCTGGAATAGCCGGTAGATCGAAGTTGTGCACGGCATTCCAGAATTCAGGTGGGTCCATCTGGGTCGTGTCCGCGTCGTCATTTTCGCAGATAGGATCAGGTTCGTCTAGATTTTGCTCATTATAATAAGCCATGACAGCTATAATGGAAGTTAATAAGCATTGGCCATGTACCAGTAGCTTGAGGGGGTGAATACCTTTAAGTTGTCTTCGAACTATGTAGCAGCCAAGTCGTTAAACCTTTAAGGACCAAGGGATCAAATGTTACGAGAAAAATTGGTCGTTCCTTAGTCTTTATAACTTCTCTTCATGATCTTGAAAATTAATAACAAGGCCTCGAAAATTTGCTTCTAGGACATTACCAGTTTGACTTTGAATATCTAGGAGAGCCCATGTAATTTCCAAAATCCTTTATGTGGCCTCTTGGAGTACCTGGCTGCATCATAATGCTGGGGCGAAGGAGATACCTCCCAGGAGCGAAAGGACATCGGGATGATCCATCCAGAATTTATGTCTCCTGGGTGCCCACGCACGCTTTGTCCCCTTTCGAGATTTGCTGAGAGGACGCGAGGGCGGACAACAGCGCACAGTGCGGTCTTTGCGGCAGAATGTGCTCTCCCAGGAGCAATAGTCGAAGCTCCTAGGGCCGTTAACCACCGTTCCTAGGACCTTTCGCATTAGCTCCTGGGGACGAATAGGTCCTAGGAGCAATTTACAGCGCTCCTAGGACCGCAGCGAGGGCTCCTAGGAATGTTTCCACTAGCCCCTAGGAGCCAAAATGTATCTCCTAGGGCACTTTTGTACCCAGGAGACAAAAGTTTTGGTCCTAGGAAGTATAATACCTCTAGCGCGAGGCCATAAATTTCTGGATGAAGTGGTAGCGAGAACTGCAAAGCCTCTTCAGGTGCACTAGGTGTTGCCTGGATCTGGATGGGGAGCTCCGCTTACAGGCGCTACAACGCATATATAAGATCCGCCAAGGGACCTCGACGGACCTTCTGTGATACTGCTTATCTATATCTCTACCCTCATATGAAACTTGAATCAAGGCACCACCTGAATAGCTTCAGCATAGCCTACTCATAATGACAGACTCTCCTACCCGGAACATGATCCGGATCCGTCTCATCATTATGGCTTTCTCCATATTGGGCCTGGTGTTAGCTAGTCTAAACTCGGCTATTACCAGATTCGCTATCGTTCTGCGAGACCGAGCGAAATTGAGCATCACAGAACCCGACAGTGCCATTCTTGCCCACTCATTCCAACAACTCATGGAAATGATTCTCGGAGACGTACTCGTTGCCGCCCTCGCTTCGGTCCTCTCTGTCAGGCTTGTGCTTTTGGTTTACCCGAGACTGCTACGTGGCCTCGAGTTTGACTATCTGAAAACCATCAAGGAGATATCAAGAAATCAAGAAATCACGGCGTTCGTCGAAAAGGCTCAATCGTCGCTTGAGTCCCAAGGATATTTCGAGGATGTGGACTGCTATGAGAGATCTCTCCTTCATTACGCAGGCATGAGAAACTGTCTAAATCTCCTTCTATTCCTTCTACAAAGCAACCCAAATATTGATTCTCGTGACCATTGGGGACGCACACCTTTGTCCTGGGCCGCTGAGTACGGCTCGTTGCGGTTACGAAAGTCTTACAGAATCGAGGTGCAGATGTTAATGCAATGGATTATGAAGGAATAGCACCATTGAATTGGCTGGTCGAGGCAGGCGATCCTACAATTGAAACACTGCCCGCTACTGAAGCTTCCCTAAGAGATATGGGTGCAAAGATATCAGATTACGGGGCATCAAGGGAGCATGGGTCTGAGTTTTGACGTATTTCCACTTACTGAGATTTATTTGTCCGCGCATCTGAGACTCCTAATAATATGGAGCAAGCTGATATTTTACATGTACATACACACAATTCATTAACGCCCGGCGGTGAAGCCGAAAGGGCATTATCACTAATCTAGTAATACATTTCCTAAAATATGCCTTGTCTCCTGGAAGTCCAAAAATGTTTTCCTTCTATGTCATCTCAGCTGTCAATATCGATGGTGGTGAGTCCTCGTGGGTTAGTAAATCTACTGGTAGATTGGCTTAGAAGGCGCTTCTTCAAGTGTTCAACATCCTATTCTCGGTAGTTGAAGCGCGCGTCTACCGTTCCGGGCACGAAATAGATGGTGTGGGTTAGTTTCGGGGGAAGGGTTCGTTTGTGTTGGTCGACGTGGTCAAGTGGCATCCAGTCGGCTCGTGGCGATTGCAAACCGTATTGAGGCTCGCACCGCTTCCAGGTTCGGTGTCCAGTTCTGATCGTCAGAGGGCGATTTCCCGCCCAGGAAGAAGGATATGTTACCTCGGTGGGTGTGGGTGCTCTGCAGCATTTCCGTCCGGCGTGTCGTCCACTTCCGACATCAAAAGAGGAAGTGCTCCACAGTTTCTCTTGCCTGTTCACATGCACACTGATCTGACTCTGCGACGTTGATCCGATAGAGGTATCCGTATAGTCCAGCCAAGCTGGTCCGGAGTTGAGCCTGCGCGCTCGCTTCTTTCGACGATAATCGATCATACAAATGCCGAGTGTGTTTTCCTGGGAGTGCTGCGTCCAAGAGAGGGTGGTGAAAGAGAGAGTGGTGAAAAGAGAGGGTGGTGAAAAGAGAGGGTGGTGAAAAGAGAGGGCGGTGAAAAAAAGAGTGGTGAAAAGAAAAGGTGGTGAAAAAGAGAGGAGAGAGGGTGGATTTCTGAGGTCATCCACTGAGCGTTCAACCCCTTCACTCAGGCCACATGTTCACTTCTGTATCGCAAGTTCTTCAATTGAACTGGTATTCTGCGCGTTGGAGCAGAATAGTGATGCACCTCGGATTGGCGTTGAATTGATGAATAGAAGAAAAGCTGGCTGCAGACAGCGGTTCGAATATCTGATCAGTGATTGAAGATCTTATTCCTGATCACTATAGCTTGCTAGTAGATTGTCGCTTGGTTATCTTTGACGACACCTCGTTCAGAATGCATTTACGGCCGCAATAATTAGGACTGCGTAGTGGCGGATTACAATAGAGTGCATGCAGTATACCCACTTGTCTTTCGCCTCAATCGCTGAACACATGCCACTTCTTGAGTGAAAGATTGCAGCTTTTCCTGAGCCAGTTATTATTTGAGGGAATGAGGATGTCAGAGCGTCTAATTTCCACAGTTGGCAAATGACTTGCTATATGGACTGTGGGTTGGTTCAGAGATCAGTAAGACGATACAAAACAGACATCTGACAATACATTACACACAGCTTGTTATTTACATTGGTACTTGAAGCATGTGCGTGTGGCGGTGCAGTGTACCGTTTTGTAAGAATACTGTACAATCATGTAACGTGGGTCTGGCAATCACCTGTAAGCTCGTAGAATGAACTGATGGATTGGGCCGGAAAAAATAAGTGATTGACGACATATGAGGTAAAGAATTTTTTTATTTATTGCCAAGAACCGCATTGCCTTGTTATTATCATCGTTACTAGTCTTACTCAATTCGTTTCTCCATTGATAGACAGCAAAGTAATTCCGAGCAGTTTTAGGAGAAGTGGTATCTGTAGAGCGTGCCCAGAGCCATTACGTACTAGTAATGTTTTACCCTAACCAGTCAATTTAACCATGCATGGCGATGATTCCCCAATCTATCCTGAAAGTTCTTCATGAAATCTCTAACTTAGGTTTGATTCAAATAAACCTTTGCAAGAACAAAGCCTACGATTTGAATTCTGTCCTGAATCTCTCTATGCACTATTTCAAAAACCCTGCCTTCAGGCGTTGTGCTTCTGTAAAATAACGTACTGAGTGAACTTCTTCGGCGTGGTTTTTGAGTGCTACACGTCCACGAAAGGCCAGTCCACAAAAATGTTCTTTACTCTCTGCCATGCACAGGAGTAATATCTGTGCGGTTTGTTCAAATCCGTTATGGCACTTTTAGTGTCTTTCTGTCAATCATTTCTCTGCGGTTCCCTTTGTTCAAAGTGATATTTGAGAACTCTCACTACATCGTCGTCGCTCATTTGTATTATAGGGTTCTGATTTCATTCTGCTATATAAAATGTATCATGGCTCCTTCGGCAGCATCTCCCGTTCCTTCCAACCCTAACTGTCTCCTCAAAGAGGATTGACAAATTCTATCGCTGAGCAGTCTTATGTGTCAACTAGACTTTTCGTAAATAAATGGGTGGCTCTAGAGTGAAAAGCCTTCGGGCTCCAGCAGCTACATCACTGAAGGCCGGGAGTAACCTAGGATGGAAATACGAGATATACTTCCTAGGATTAGAGCCATTTCAACCGGAAGCCGTAAACCTAACTTACAGGCAATTCACAGGTCCGCCGTTTACAGATCACATAGCATGTCATAAGAAAGTGGAGGTTGAGGGTACCCAGCATCTGTGGTCCCAAGTCCCAACAGTCTGTCGACCTTCCACGAGTATCGTATTCATGGGTAAAATGTATCTATTTATCAAGGGTTGCCTGCGGCAAATCTGGGATAAATTTTGTCAGATCCCGGCCCTTCTTTGCCATAACAACAGCAATGAGTCTTCATGGGCTGGACGATTAAACGGTGCAAGCAGCGATTTGAATATCACATGAGACAACCGTCCTTAATGCTTGAGTGAAGGTCACTCATGCCAACTCGCACGCGGCGGTATTCAGTCTTGCTGGTGACACCACTCGGCTTCTTTGTCTGGTTATCCTTGATTTTGAGGCTTTCAACACTGGGTGATCCCGAGCGGGCACCACTCATGGACGGCGCAGCAGGCTTGGTCGCACATTCCGAGGTACGCTCAAGTGCAAAGACTTCAACCATCCACTCGTACCACACCTTGCGGTCGTCGGTCTGACGGTACATGGTGACAACGACCTCGCCATTGTCGGGGACGTTCAGGGGGGTCTATAATCAAGAAAAAGTCAGAATCGGTGGCATGCTGAGAAACTCCAAGCAAAGAGTATTAATAAGCTTGCAGCAAAATCTTACCTTCAATGGGAAATAAATAGGGAACCAACTGATCATACTGGCGCTCTTCTCCTCCATTGTGACAGGGTTGGTCGACAGCTCGACGTCCCCGTAGAGAACAGTTTCGAAGTATCCAGCCAGACCGTGGCAAGCACCTCGGTTCTGGACAGGAAAAGACAAGCGAGTCTGCCGCACGTTGTGCGAATTGGGGATCGTAGACCGGGATGGAGGCTGGGGTGGAATGTTACGATTCGGGTGCGAGAAAGACCAAGCCGGTTGCACAAAGGGCTTTGGAAACTCAGTAGCAGTGACAGGTGCGCTCGACGACGAACGGTTTGCTGTGTTCTGACTTCCGGCGTCACAGCTAATGGTAGTTTCAGTAGTTGAAAGGAAATCGATTGCATGTAGCATAACCACATAAGGAGTTTCCGGGGCCGCCAGGTTGGAGACAGTTTGGTTCATCACATCCGAGTGCAGTTTAGGAGCAGAAACCGGGGTCAAATGAGCTGAGTATGAAGCCGGAATGGAGATCCCATGCACGGGGTTGATGAGATCATTAATTCCATCCAAACACTCCGGGGAAAGCTCGTTGTCTGCGAATGAGCCGAGCAACTCAGACACCACTATGTCAACATGGGTGTACGAGGCTGGCGCGGCGGTGGGATTGGAAAATTTCGTTGCGCTGCCCGGGTCATTCTCGCCCTTCTTAGGCGTGTATAGCAGAGAGTCCTCGATTCCCAGAGACTCTCCTACAGGGTCCTGGTTAGCCTGTTGCCCCACACGTGGTCCCTTCCAGCTCCGCATGTCAGACTGGACCAGCGTTACTTTGCCTCCCCAAGTCGTGTCATTGTGTCGCTGCAGCAGAACAAACGCATTCTGGTTTTTCTCAACTGCCCAAAGGTCGATCTCTACCCCCGCCTCTTCACTGGCCTTAAGTGCCCTAGTCACCAGTGGCCCGCGACCAGCACCCACAACGGCAAGGATTACCTTCCCATCTGGGTGAGATGTAGGCTTTTTTTGGTCGGCCCAGTCCTTCAATGCCTTCGTAATTGCTCGCTCATACCATTCGTACTTGATCGGATCTTTCTCGAAAACTTCGTAAGTGATACTTTCAAGATTCACGGTCAGTGGCTGCAGAGGAGCCTGCAAGTAGTCCTGATAACCCACACCAAAACGCTCGATTGGAGTTCTGGCCGGCTGACGCTGTTGCAAGTTTCGTACATATGAGAGGTGCGGTGTGGGATCGTAATGCTTTTTGGCCGAGCCTGCACCTTGTGCCAAGCTGGGGTACTCAGATCCAGAAAGCTGCGACTTGTTGCCCTCGACATCATCTGCATCCTCGATTCCGGGGATCGGGCCGACGTCACATAGAAGAATCCACGGAACAGTTCGAAGGCGCATCATCTTTGCGATCAAGGATTGATGGGCTCTGGAGAGAACCGGGTAACCCTTTTGGTTCTTCAAAAAGCATGAAGCATCAATTGTCAGCAGATGCACGGGTTCCGAGTGCCATCGCGATTGCACAGTCAGGGAAGGCAATTGTTTTGGCATTGACAGAGCTTGTCATTGATGTTAGCCGACCACAGTCTCGAGGAAGTTACAAAGGATTCCGAGATACCACTTACCTACAAGCAGTCTGGTATGATACTTGGAAGTCTTGCGAATCAGGTCCCATGCATCCCAGGTACCGAACAAATCAGTCTTTGGTGTGAATCCCTCGTCTGGCTGCAGATATTCCTCTCGGGCGAGCGGCGCCAGATCTCCCATGGTATCAACTTCCAGGTCAGGGTTGTCGGTCATTCGGAGCCAGATGTGAAATTGAATGTAGGGTCCGAGGTTGAGGGCCTCTTGGATAGCTCGAGCGTAGTAGACTACACCCTCTGAGTGGAGACCCCCATGGTGCAATTTAGGGCCAGGCACCAGTAGATATCCGATGCCACAAAAAGCAGCATACGCGACCTCCAGTAGAAGGACTTGCCGGGACAGGTCAGCGATCAACGGATCTGGAGAGCACAGGTCAATCCAGCTACTGGTTACACCGACAATCTGGCTCGTAGCATCATTGGGAGTCAGATGCGAGTCCAGTTTAGACAATGGTGGCACAGTTAGAAAATGGCCGTTCTGCGAGGAGGCCATCGTCCCAACGTTGTCATATGAGGGCGAATGCAGATTGGATAGAAATGAAGACAGCAATCCCAAGACCCGAGAATGGAAATGAGGTGTCGTGATAGGCACCGTCAACATATCATACTAATATTTCTTTGTAAATGGTGGGGGCTTGACAGATACATCGGGGAGACCACTTACATTGGCCTCGTGGACCTTCATGATCATCTGCGGGGTCACCGCTGTGAATCGATTGTGTTCATGGTGGCCGATGCAAAAGGCTGGGCCTGGATCGTCGGACGCATAGCCTTCCATATTGACCGAAGCTACCTTAGCTATGATCAAGTGGGGGATTTGATGAGCACTGGTCGAGGCAGACGACGGTGGCAGAGTAAAGCAAAGGGGGCCAAGCCCGCCAAGGACAGATTTTCAAGGGCAAGCAGGGCACAGGACAGGTATTCGCGCGCAATGAGAGCCCGAAATGCGCCAGGTAGCCCCTGCGTGAATCAACCGCGTCCTTCGATCCCTTTGTGGGGACCGGCAGAATAATCCGGGCGGTGGCTGCGATACGGCGATCGCCGCGCGACTTGCCTATCCGAGTTTTTTATCAGGACCGAGTTTTGCACTCTTCACCTCTCGACTTCCAGAGCATCATCACGATGGTTGATCGCCACTCAGACCCGGAGAACGGCTCGCGAGCAAAGCGCCAGAAGATGGACGCCGGGGACCCCAAGGATAACCCGTACTTGGCTCACATGTACGAGGACGCCAACAGCAACAGCGCTGGCTCGAGCTCGAGCCTGGGCAAGCTCAAGCGCCATCAGACCACCGCGGCCCTGGCCAGACAGGTCGAGGATGGCGACGTGAATCCGTTCAGCGGCCAGCGCTTCTCCAGCAAATACTTCTCGATCCTGAAGGGTCGCCGCGATCTGCCCGTGCATGCGCAGCGGTAAGTTCCAGCGCCAATGCGATTCCTAAAAGAAGTTGCCCTGACCAAAGTTCGTTATTTTGTTTCAGTGATGAATTCCTCCGCCTCTACCAGCAATCGCAAATCCTGGTCTTTGTTGGTGAAACCGGTTCCGGAAAGACCACTCAGATCCCTCAGTTCGTCCTTTTCGATGACCTCCCCCAGACTCAGCGCAAGATGATTGCCTGTACCCAGCCTCGTCGTGTGGCCGCCATGTCCGTTGCTCAGCGTGTGGCCGAAGAAATGGACGTCAAACTCGGTGATGAGGTCGGGTACAGCATTCGTTTCGAAGACAAGACTAGCCCAAAGACCATCCTGAAGTACATGACCGACGGTATGCTCTTGCGAGAGGCCATGAACGACCACAACCTGTCGCGCTACAGCACAATCATGCTTGATGAGGCTCACGAAAGAACAATGGCTACCGATGTTCTGATGGGTCTTCTGAAGGAGGTTGTACAGCGCCGCCCTGATCTGAAGATCATCATCATGTCTGCCACTCTTGATGCGGAAAAGTTCCAGCGGTACTTCAACGATGCGCCACTTCTATCCGTTCCGGGACGAACTTACCCGGTCACGATTTACTACACCCCCGAGCCTGAACAGGACTACGTCGAAGCCGCCATTCGCACTGTTTTGCAAATCCATGCCACTGAAGACGAGGGAGACGTCTTGTTGTTCTTGACTGGTGAAGAGGAGATCGAGGATGCCGCCCGCAAGATCTCGATGGAGGCTGATGAGATGATCCGAGAGGCTGATGCCGGTCCCATCACGGTGTACCCGCTTTATGGTAGTCTTCCTCCTCACATGCAACAGCGCATTTTCGAACCTGCGCCTCCAGCTCGTCGCCCTGGCGGCCGCCCCGGAAGAAAGGTCATCATTTCTACCAACATCGCGGAAACATCGCTTACCATTGATGGAATCGTGTACGTGGTCGATCCCGGATTCTCCAAGCAGAAGATCTACAACCCCCGTATCCGTGTCGAATCTCTTCTGGTTTCTCCCATTTCCAAGGCCTCCGCGAAGCAGAGAGCCGGTCGTGCTGGTCGTACCCGCTCTGGAAAGTGCTTTCGGCTTTACACCGAAGAAGCCTACGAGAAGGAATTGATCGCGTCAACTTATCCCGAGATTCTCCGGTCCAACTTGTCGTCAACGGTGCTTGAGTTGAAGAAGCTTGGAGTTAATGACCTGGTTCACTTCGACCTGATGGACCCGCCTGCACCAGAGACCCTCATGAGAGCGCTGGAGGAACTCAACTACCTGGCTTGCCTGGACGATGATGGTGAGCTCACTGCGCTCGGCCGTCTTGCGTCCGACTTCCCTCTGGATCCGGCTCTTGCGGTCATGCTCATCAGCTCCCCTGAGTTCTACTGCTCCAACGAAATTCTCTCCATTACTGCTCTACTCTCCGTTCCCCAAGTGTTCGTTCGGCCCGCTGCTCAGCGAAAGCGCGCCGATGAGATGAAGGATCTCTTCGCTCACGAGCACGGCGACCATTTGACTCTATTGAACGTCTACCACGCCTTCAAGGGCCCCGAGGCTCAGCGAAACCCGAAGCAATGGTGCCACGACCACTTCCTTTCACTCCGTTCCCTCCAATCCGCCGACAATGTCCGCATGCAACTGCTGCGCATCATGGAGCGCGAAGAACTAGAGATGATCTCCACCCCTTTCGATGACAAGAAGTACTATGAGAACATTCGTCGTGCTCTGTGCGCTGGCTTCTTCATGCAAGTCGCCAAGAAGGATGCTAAGGGGAAGAGCGTCTACACTACTATCAAGGATAATCAAAGTGTGCTCCTGCACCCTTCCACGGTCCTGGCCCACGATGCGGAATGGGTCTTGTACAACGAATTTGTCCTGACTACCAAGAACTACATCCGCACAGTGGTTGCCATCAAACCCGAGTGGCTTTTGGTGAGTTCAAGTCCCCCTTTTTTGTGTTTACTACCGTCCACTTTCTAACGTTGCATTAGGACATCGCCCCTACGTACTATGACCTCAACTCATTCGCGAAGGGCGACATCCGCTCCTCCCTTATGCGTGCCGCCGAGCGACTCGCTCGCAAGGAGAAGATGCGCGCCGATAAGCACTACTAGATGGCTATCCTTTCAAATTGGTCAGGCGTTCATATATCGGTCATGTTCTAGATTCCCATCTTTTCCAATTTCGTGGTGCTAGCTATACATAGTCCTCGAATACAAGGTCCACTGTCAATTCGTTTTCTGTGGCGGATATTCTCATAGATTTAGACAAATCTTCCTTTCCGTCCGTCGCTGATTCCCAGCGAGTCTAATAGACCTACCCTCTAGAATGGATCTTTTGCAGGTTAGGGATCATGTGATATCTATCTATTGGTATTGTATTCTCTTCGCAACGAACGAAGGAGTAAAGTAGTGTAATATACAATTGTACCGGTAAAAACAAGATCCCCAATCAAAACGCCATAATGAGACCCGTCTAGGATCCAAGGTATACGTACATAATGTTCCAAAGTCAGACTTTCAACTCTGGTTAGCATCAATTCAGACAGGTTGATCTATCCTGTGCCAGAAGTGGCAGTCAGCGGGCCATGAGCAGATCGGGGCCCTGAGTTCCCAGCCGCAGTTTGTTTTGAATTCGATACAGACACTGTATGTTGGTCTTGCACTCGTGGGTTCGAAAGTGGCTGAATAGGAGGCTCATCTGTTTCCTCAACCGGAGTAGATTTCCGCTCAAACTTGATGCTCATGTGGGGGTCGTCGTAATCAATGGGTGAATATTCGTAAGCCTTCCACCTCCGCACGCTTGGCTTGTCCAGGGAGACCTCGTCATACAATCTTTCATCCTTGAAAGATGATTCGATGTGATGTTCACGGAGTTGGAAAACAAGCTGTCTGAGCTGGGCCATTTCGATCTTCATTGCGCTGAGCTCTTCCGCTTGTGTGTTGTGTAGTTGTGCTTCTTCCTGTGAGGGATCGCTCTCTGGGGGTGGACTCGGAGCTGACTTTGATGTTGCTCTCCCGGTTGTAGTTTGCGTTGATATGCCCGCGAGTGACGCGTTCATGGCATGATGGCTATACTGGGCAGAGAGGCGCTCATATTGGTGAGAACTAATGCCGCTGTCCGATTCTTCCAGCTTTTTCAAGTGTTCGCCAAATATGATTGCAAAGTCGTAGCACTTCTGCCATAGAGGGCGATTTATGTTCTCAATCGGTGTTGTTTCAGCAGCCCTTTTCCACCGTTCACCTGCCCTGTCGACGATGGGGAAGATGTCGTGTTGGTTCAAAGGAATCGATGGATCGAAGCCGCTGTGCACAGCAGCATCAATCAAAACTTGCGAAACATCTTGGCGGTTGCAGGAGTCGCATAGCTGGACCATCCTAGTGAGAATGCGGGGGACGTGGGTTTCAGCGGGGCTCGTTGAGGCGACAAGATATGTGATAGCTCTCCGAAGCACGGTGAGTCCCTTGTTCCAGTCCTGCCTGATACTGCAGAATCGAAGGTAGGCCGCTAAGGTAACAAAACTGTCGAAGAAACCAGCTTTACGTGCCGCTTGGAGAAACGCATCGGCCCGATCCGGTTGATCAAACCGCAAAGAAGCTACAATCAACTCGACATAAAGAATCGGATTGTTGCTGTCCAGAGGTGGGACAACCAATTCCAGTCCATTCATGGTCATGATCCGCCAAGTGCCAAGGTTTCCGATATTGATCGGCCAGCCTCGTCCGCTCAGCATGCGAAGGAACTGGTCAAAGTCCCTAAGATTCTTAGTCTTGCGGTAAAAGGCGAAGATAGTGATGATGAGTGATGTGCTGAAATAGAAAAAGTTGGGGATAATCGTTCGCAAGAGCAGTTCGTTCAGATCATTTTGACGAGTGCGAGCGAAGGCGCCGATCATGGCACGGAACGCGTCGGTGCGGTCTGGTTCTACCGATTCCATGATGTTTCCAGATATCCTCAGTAGCAGCTCTTGCAGGGACATCTGCTTTCTCTCGTACAACTGAATATCATCTTGAAGCTCAAGGTCAAGCTGGTCGCGTAATCTTGAGGCTTTCTTGTTGTACGAACCGCGTTTGCTCAACCCCTGGACCAGATCATCGAAATTCGCCTCTCTGTTGGTCCTCAAATGACTGATTCGGTTGCGAATGGCGTTTAGCTCGCCCAAAAGCCTGTCCACGTTGATCTTAGGGATTTCCAGGTCGGCCTCGTAATTCATTTTGACGCCAGAGTACCGATGAGCGATAGCCGGTCTCAAAAGAAGGCGGATTGCAAATTGCTTCAAAGCAAGCTTTTGAATGGCCTTCACACGAAGGGGCTCTTTGTCCATCCAAGAGGGGAATGCCTCAGATTGCTCCATGTCGAGATGTTCTTCTTCCAGGTTGTAGGTATTTTCTTCATCCAGCCATTTCTCTTCTATCTCCTCGTGCTCCTCTGTATTGACGGTATCGGCAGCGTTGGTCTTCGTGGTAGTAGCATTGGAAAGAGGGTGTGCGGTATGGAAGGACCTTGTTGGCGGGGAGAAGGTGACTCGTTGCTCCGAAGCGGGCACAAAATTGGAGGCAGCACCAAACCCTCTTGTCCGCAACAATCGATTGACTCCTCGCGTCTTCCTTCGTCTTTGTAAAGACTCAATCATGCGTTGCTCCTCGTCCACCAGCACGTCCACCTCGGCCTTGACAGCCGCGATCTTTTCCTCCCAATCATTCCGTCGTTGAGATTTCGCCCTCGCGTCAGCGAGAGCGGCGGCGGCGAAGATACTCGTGTACAGCGCGGTCACGGAATTACCTATGCGAAGACGTTTCTTGCTGGCAGCGCCTGCCGATCGCGAAGCGACTCCGTTCGCAGTCGTGCTCAAACACGAAACGCAACGGCAGGACGTCTGCGACAAAGCGGCGCGGGACCACAAACTTTGCATTATCAGAGCATCTCTGTCAGGGCTCTGAGGGCCAATGAAGGAAATGAAACAATTGGACTCCCCGTGGAGTCCGATATCGATATGGGGTGATGCTTGAATTTGCCAACTGCGGATCGAGAAATTCCGGCGGCCAAAACTAACATATGCAAACAGTGCAAACAAGCTGGGACCCTGCTGCATCTCCTGGGGTTCTTTGCGGTTGACGATCCTCTTGCTCTTGTTGTCATCTCCGAAATCTCCATTTCTTTCACACAATCATGGTCGCCCGCTTGGTTTGCTTTGTCGCTGGAGTGCTCGCCCTGAGCAGCGGTCTTGCCAGCGCCCATGGCTCCCATTCCAATGACCAGCCTCAATCTGATGACTGGGCCACGAGACACATGATGGGTAAGTCGGATTCTCCCACTCAATGGGTATGAAATAAACGCTTATGCCCAATTCAGAGGAACACCACATCGAGGGCTTCGATGCACCCTCATTTTTCACGCTTCACGATTACGACTCCTCGGGCGCATGGACGACAGACGAAGTGCGCAAGACATACGGTCTTGATGATGAATCCAATAAAGACGTGAGCGAGTCGCGCAAGGAAGCTGCTGTGCGCACAGTCTTCGACCTTTATGATCCGGGCAACACGGGCTCTATTACTCGCGATGCCTGGTTGCAGGCGTTCGCTGCAGGCAAGCGATTGCCCGACCTCGGCTTCGGACCTGGACACCACGGCGATATGGAGTATGAGTACGAGATTCACCACTTCGAAAAATACCACGGCGACGATACCAAGGAGGAGGACCTGAACCACCCCGAGGACATTGAGCACTTCCGGCGACACGATGAGGAGGAGCTTGCTCAGATTCGACTGGAGAAACTGGAGCGAATGGAAGTTGTCGAGGCCAACGTCCCCTCCAAGTTCCGTCGTAACTTCTAGATTTTTGCACTGGGGATTTTTTTTTAATCTATTCTATGTAAATAGGCACTTACATACATGGTTTGGGTGAGGTGTTATGTCTGATAGCCATACCCGTTGATTCTAATGACATGATCCGGCGAGCCTTTTCTGGCTATGACTAGATGAGAGACGATGTCTTTCAGATCCACGAACCTTTCGCACGGTAAGAATTGAATTCTTGTATTGAGAGGCCTAGTTTCTCATGTGCCTCTGGGGCCTTGGGGTATCTAGTTGTTTTCTTTCCACTGCTGGCCAAATATTTCATCAAGACAATGCCCAACTCATTGGCTTATGTGTGAGCGCCTTGGGGAGGTGACACTCGGATATCGAAAACGCAATGCATGACGCCAGGGGCATATGTCTTGACATGCTCAATGTGGCAACAGTCGACGAAAGGACTCCCCGGGATTCCACATTCGCTGTAGACTGACTTTCGTAGTTCTGTCATCTGATTTATGATTCCTTCTTTCATCTGTTCTGTCCTTCTCACATCCACGTTCTCATGGACATGGATCCAACCACCTCGCTGATAATCAAGAATTTTGCAGGCGTTATTCCAAGATGGTTGCGATGATGGCAGAAGACCAAGGTTGACATGACGAACAGGGTTCCATATCTTCTGTGCCTCCATGACTTGCTGAATCTGGGCAAGGATATCGGCTGCAAACCTGTTATCCCCGTGAAATATTACAACACGGTCCTGGGCTGAAAGACTATCCACGAGGTGTTCAATGGTTGTGTCCAGCTTGCCATCCTCGAGAACGCGAACAATTCGGCAACCCCATCGATTTGCTTCGCATCCTCGGCGTAGACCTTCAACAGACCAGCCATTCAGCTCCCAGCCCCACACACGCTTGACACCTCGTTTGAGATATGAGAAGACAAAATACCCGATTCCGGCATACATGTCTACCACGGCAATATCAGAGGACTTCCGGCCCTCGAGAGATTGCTCATCCAGGCCGACAAACGTGCCTTGGGATGGGCCCTCTCCTAGGATCCTTGCCTTCTCTTTAACATTTCCTCGCGAAAACATTGTATGCAGTGGGGCCCAGAACTGTTTAATGCCATGGTTTTGCACGGTTTGTACCCAAAATGCACGCTCCAGGTCTGCTTGGCTGGGTTGTCCATTCTCCTCCCCTGTGGGAGCGCATAAGCTACCAAAATCGCCATGCAGTGGAATCAGGCCAGTAGGACTCCGCATCCGATTCTCCTGGCCCTGCGTTGACAGGGCAATAGGCGCATTTACTGCGACATGAGTTACATCAAAGCGGTGGAAAGTTTTCGCTATCGAGTCATATAATGATGATTTTTGCTCCGGTGATAGGGCGGCACAGAATGACCCCCATTCTGGAGGCGCATTGAATGCATTTGCCGGAAGTAGAAGAAGCGGTTCATATACCGTGAATCGCTTCGGGAGAGATTTCGTGATCGTTTCCGTGGGAATTGCAAGTTCACGGAGGAGTGATTGTGACGATGGGATACTCAAGAAATCCCTAATTCCCACTTGCAGTGCGTGGGTATTATTTGCGGGTTTCCGAGGGCGTTTGGGTCGGTCATGGTCCGAATTTTGCTCGGAGCGACCATCATTGGAGCACTTTGGTTTGATTGTTGCCTTCGAATTCATTTCAAATATCATTAGGCACTCGTCGGGCTGTGTGTCGGGGGTGGGTTCGCTGGCGCATTGACTGATGTTTGAGTCGTCGTCGTTGGATGAAGCAATTGTGCAAATAGTCACCTTTCTCGTGCGCCACCTTCTGTTCAAATCTCGTGATTTATGATTAGTTCACTGGTCGTTCAACAGGTGTAGTCGTAAGCTCTATATGATTCTCTTAGTCGCGAACTGTCAATGCAAAGTTGATGTGAGATCCTGGTCGCGGGTGTCGGCACGTGACTGGACCGTATCCACACCCAAGCATTATCTCGATCAGAGAAAAGGAGACAAAATAGAAGCACGTAGGTCAATTATTCTTGTCTTGGATAATTCATTTCACTGTATCCATTTATGAAATTCCTGTATATCGAATGGTGCGGATTATGGATCTTCTGCTCCATAGTTAGTCCGAACATATATATTTGCATCGGATTTTGTGGATTGTCAATGCGTAGGAAAGACAAAAGAAAGATTTGCAAGCAAAATTTAGCAATTTCTGGAAAGCACAAGGACAACAATAGAAATTTTAATCCCTGGAGGGATCAGTAATTATTTCATCCTTCATATCGCAAGAAGGTGAGGTCAGCAAATTCGAAATTGGAGACACCACAAAGGATCCAGTTTCCTTGACTAATAGTTGGCCGGGATGGCGGGGATCGTCAATCCACGCTGCTGGATACGTAACGTAAAAAGATTGCGGGCCTGGCCTATTAATATTAATCATGCGAAATGGGATGGATGGGTATCGGCCAAGGCCATGGAGGTGGATGGTGGATGTCGGGTGTTCTCTCTAGAATCTGTTGTGGTCCAGATCCCGTGATTATCCCAGCAGCATGTTCGAGCATGACCATATCGCATGGGTCAATGCTAGCACTTTTTCGGTGTAAATCTCTTGATATCGGACTGATAACGATTACTGCTACTCTCATAATCCGTTCGTCATTGACCTCAGGCGTAATTCCATAAGTAGTTGGCGCCCAATTTGACATTGTTTCGCGCGATCGCCATGTGGCAGGGCACTGACATCGGCCATCATGTCCCCTCAGGGCTTATCTGATTGATTCGGCTGTGGTTATTTCGCCGAGCCCAAACCTTGGATGGATGAGTCAGCAGCGTCGACCAATGGCCGGGCGGCCCGTTACGTTTCACCGCAGCAGCCAAGGGGAGGTTTCATCGACGATTGCCTAATCGCGCAGCGAACCTGAAACTCAATCGACGCCATGGTCGTAGCTTATCTGCCCCAGACTGAAATCGAGGGCGATCATGCTCATCTCGAGCCTGCCATTCCTCCATTTGCGGGGTGTCTGGGTGGAAACCAGGACTTCATCGTCGACTGCAATGACCCCAAGAATGTCGAGGTCTTGGAAAAGGTGCCCGATGCTGCACCGTGCATGACGTTGGCCGAGATCTTTGACATGCGGGGATGTTCCAGTCCAGATCTATGGAAATTCGCCATGCTAGAATGTATCGGTATGTTCAGGCCCTACGCTTTTTCCCTCACCCATCCGAGAGGGTGATGCAGAAGAATCTGGCACACCCGAAACCACGTACTGCGACGAAGGTGGCTAAGCTCGATCTATACAGCCAGTTTGATGAATGTCTTCATCTCGGCCTGGGTGACTACACACCCGCTCTCCAGGACGACCTCCCCCAAGACCGAGGCGGGAATCTACCATACCATCACCTTCATCTCCCCACTATTCGGCGGCATCACCAATCTCCTCTTGACCCCTCTCCTGATCTACACCTTCTCCCCCTCGAGTGGAGGTCACGTTAGTCCGACCATAACACTGGCTACTTTTTCGCACGGATCATTTCCTTCCCACGGATGATCCTCTATCTGGCAGGCCAGACTCTCGGCGGTGCACTTGCTGGTTTTATGCTGCACAGTGCCTATGGCACTCGGAAGTTCACAGTGGGAGGATGCCATATTGATACCTCGATGGTGCCTGCCACGGATGGCCTGGTCATCGAGTTTGTTGCATGCCTGGTTCTGATTTTCCTGGCATTCGGAGTCGCTCTCGATCCCCGACAAGGCAAAGTCTTTGGTCCTGCGACAGGTCCCTGGTTTGTTGGCGTGGTCCTCGGCGTAGTCAGCTGGGGAACCGCCTTCACTCGCGAGGGATATATTGGCGCGAGTAGGTGGAACAACCAGGGGATGAATAAAGCAAAAACATGAATGAAAGGGCCGATGGGACATTAAATAACATTCTTATCTGCAGGCTTAAATCCCGCACGGTGCTTCGGAGTTTATGCGACGTCAGAATTTCCCACTTATCATTGCATCCACTGGGTGAGTGACTTCGCAGAGCCTCCGCGGTTCGTCCTTATCAAAGGCCCTGCTAACTTGACGCAGGTTGGACCATTGACGGCTTCTATCGGACACGGCCTGGTCTACTATATTGACCCACTTTGGACCGAGACGCGGAGTTCGCCGTAACGGGCTTATCGCCCAGAGATCGGCCCCTAATCCCTGATGACCGCCCGACACCGCATTCTTGTATAGCAATTACATAACACCCACGCCCTGGAGGTGAAGAACTTTGGACATATCTTGAGACAGTAGCATGATTATAGAGATGGACGTACATAATGCTTGGCTACATTCTACCGGAGTTGGTCTCAATTAAAGATAAGGTTCAGCCTTTGACTATATTGTTTTTATGGTCAATGGCATGTGCTCGGCGTGTCGGAAAAGCCAATTGACTGAATTAAAACTACTCATGAAAATCATTAATTAGCGGATGATCTGGCAGCCAACCAAAATTAAGTGAGCTGCCCGTTTAGTGTGAAGATGCTTTTTCGTAATGTGACAGAAGCTCCCTATCACGGACCTCCCGAGAGATCTCGCTGAATTTTTGCTTGCTAATCCATAGAAAACATGAAGGGATACCTGGTATGCAAAGGAAATGCACAAATAAGTGGATTTCACATGGAAAAATTTGGATTGGAGTGTATCATATATCAGCAGCAACTAAACGATGTGAATCCGCCAACAAAGCCAGCCATCCAAGGTCACACAGCATGGCCAATATCGAAAACAATCACGGCTAAAAAGAGAAAAATCAAGACGCTAGCGTTCGGAATGAGGGGAATAAAAAAATACCGGAAGAGAGCAGAGTGTGGGCCACCCATGGGGCCCATGGGGCAAGGAATAAACAAGATATGAAACGCCAAATTCAACAAGAAAAACGCCACCGGCGCACAAAAGCATCTCAATTAAAGCCTGGCTAGCTTTCCACGAGGCGTGACCACCAGTTATCGCATCCAACGTATATGGGGGCATGTGCAGTCGGAATAAATCAAACGAAAAGAGGACCGGAAGCTGTGACCACACTTTGTAAAATGAGCTAGCTCGGCTTTAAGAGTTGGCCACCATCAGTAATCTACTGCAGAGTGCCCTAACTTATCATTCGAATCGATCACACTGAAGGTCGAACTTGAAGTTAAAACAGATGTTCGTCGAGAATAACTTCGCTGTCAAGACTTACGAGTATTGTTTTGTGAGGGTTCCCTCCCCACCTCTTGACAAGTCGATGTTGAAGACGTAAAAGTTGCCGTCACTCGTCACCACCATAACTTGAGGGGTACTGTTGCTCATCGCAACCACACTTCTTAGAGGCCCGGTGTTGTTGCTTCCGGCAGCGCCTTGGTTCGGCCGTGGAATTTTGATCCACGCAAAGTCTCGCGCCGGCTCCCACATTTCACTGACTCCTTTAGGTAGGTAGCCTCCCATTCTCGCAGCTACAGCTCCACCGACATTTTGAGATGTCCGGCGGAGCATTCCCATCAGAGTCCCATTGTGCTTCCGCTGAGCCAGCTCCGAGCTAGTTTCGCCGCTAATCTCATCCTCATCATTTATACTTCCGAATGGACTGGTTCCGTACGACGAATCACGACCGATCGGAGAGTGGGATGGAGGCGAGTTATTCGACGATGGGCCTTGCTGGCTCAATTTGAAAAGGTGGATGGTTTCGGTAGATGAGGAGACGCAGAGGAGAGTGGAAGTCGTATTGAAGGACATGCTGAAGATGCGAGAGGGCATGGAACCACGTCGGAACTGGTAGAGTTTATGTCCATCGGGAACAGAGAAGACGCGAATGATGGTTCCTTTATCTGAGGCCGTCGCAAGTAGAGTTCCTTCACTGTTTAGGGTGATGCATGCCAACGGAGAGCGGTGGGCTTCAATGACGTTGATAGCCTCTAGCTTGGAGGCATCGAAGATCAAAACGTCGCCGGTCGTGGGCGACACGTGGGTTGTACCAGGTGGTGCATGTGCTGGTGGCTTCGATGCTGGAGGGGCCCTTTGAGGAAGGGGATATGCCATGTAGCAGTTGTCGGACGAAGGTGCTAGGGCGCAGATAGCTAGAAGTAACTTTGATATCAGTAACGGCTAGAGAGAATGTAAGAGTTGAACTGAGAGAGTAATACCATGCGGGTTAGGTGATGTATCGATTGTGAACAAGAGTTTCATGGTCTGAATGTCGTAGAGGTAGATCTGGTCTTCCAGCACGATGACTAGGCGCTTGCGATTTAGTTTCACGGCAAGGACCGTAGTCGGAAATGTCAACTCGCATATTGCACATTGGCGCTAGATGTTATTGTCGTCAGCATCGATACATCCACGCGTCTTCAACTCGTGGTTGCCTTGCAGCGCAAGTTTGGACGAACCTTGGTGTTTGTGATTTGCAACCGACGAGGAGAGAGAATAAGAGCTACGAGGGATGTCGAAAACAGCATCTCAATCACGGCAATATTCCCTTCTTTGGTCTCATAGCTCTTCGCGAACGGGTCGGTCGTGAAAATGCGGAATCCCTTGGAGGTGGCTGGCTGACGTCAGTCATCAAGCTCCCAGGTCCAAAAATCCACTTGAGACGAAGAAGCACTTACCTACAGCCAGATAGCTGTAGTCCTGGTTAAAGGTCACGAAATTCATCGCCATCTTGGCAACGCGCGCAAGCTAGTGAAACTGCGGATGTGGATAAAGAGCCGCGGCGCGCAAGGTATCCCGCTTGCAGAAGGGAAATATGGGGGCCGAGCTAGCAGAGAGTCGCCCGTCACCGGTCGGTCCCTATCATCGCCCACGATTCCCACGTTCGTGTTCAAGGCAAGGCGATAAGAGCGGGGGGAGGAGGTGATATGCGGAGAAGCTGGGAGGAACTTCGGTCGTCACAAGCGAGTCGCCGAGGCGCTCGGGCCACACTTTGTTACCCACCGCCTACGGATTCCTTATCGATACGATCGTGCGCAATCTGAAATTGAAGATCCAAAATTCCTTCTCTAAATTTTGGGGTTTGGTCCCTTCTAATCCCTACGCAAACATGGCTCCGAGTAAGCGATCGGCACGGAGCTCCGCTGCCCAGGCCGAAAAGGCCGAGAAGGTAGCGGATGAAGTCATGGGGGCATGTGATCTATGGCAGCGTGCGATCAATGTGGACGAAACTGACCGTGGGGCAGACAAACAACAGCAGCATTGCGTCCAAACGAAGCGTGGAAATGATTTACCACCAGAAGCCCCATTTCTTTCAACATTTCGTCCCGAAAACCCCGCGACGATCTCCCATTATCAATCGGGGATACTGGTTGCGCATGTATGCCATGGCAGAGACGGTCCGACAATTCATGGAGAAGGAACCGATAGACAAGCCCAAATATGTCTTGAATTTGGGGTGTGGATAGTGAGTTATGGGTTGCGCATCGTGTTCAGAACGCATACTGAAAGAGGGACGTAGTGATCCTCTGCCATTCATGCTGCTCAGCGACGAGAAGAAGTCAGGTCGTAGAGGGCAGACAGTATTTGTTGACATCGATTATGAGAAGCTGATGGTTCGGAAAAAGAACGCCATCCGTGCGGCTAAAGAGATATCTGCTGTACTGGAAGAGGTGCAGTTTGGTGAGGATCAGGATCCTATCCAGATTCGCAGTCCTCGGTATATTGCGGTGGGCTGTGATTTGAAGAACCTGAAGAAACTTGATGATGTGCTGCACTCAACTATCCTGCCTTCTACCGACTGCTCGGTCCTCTTTCTCGCAGAAGTGTCACTAACTTACATGGATGTCGAATCTGCCAATGATGTGGTGACTTGGGCTTCAAAGTTAACTAATGGTGAGTGAGCCTCAGATCCTGGCAACCCATAACCCAAATATCTTGTTAACTAACGATTGTGCGTGTCAATTGGATTAGATGCCCAGTTCTGTATCCTGGAGCAATTCTTCCCCGACGGTCCTGGTCACCCATTTGCTAAGACGATGATGTCTCACTTCAATAAATGGCGCGCTCCTTTATTCTCGATCCATAAATTCCCCTCCCTCGCCGAGCAAGAACAACGATTTCGAAATGCTGGATGGCCTCAGGCACGAGCGAGATGTCTTTGGGATCTATGGTCCGATGATGAATTCTTGCCTGCGTCCATTCGAACCGGGCTGGATTCATTCGAGGCCTTTGATGAGTGGGAAGAGTTTGCACTGTTCGCATCTCACTATTTCGTGCTAGTCGCATCAAACACTCCCCCTACACCAGAAGCCCATATTACCACGGGGACTGACAAGCATACCTCGGGAGATATCTCTTCCCAATTTGTGGTGACACCTAACTGCCCCCTTGCAAAGCATGGCCGGCGACGATACGGCGCCCTTGTGCCGGATAGCAGTTGCAATCACTTGGTTGGCTACCATGGTGGCCAGGGCGAGCAATCGCGTTTGTCGTCCTCAGACCTGTACACAAATACCGAGGCCGCTGCTGAGCCAGATTCGACACCCCTCTCAAACAACATTCCTGCACGTATGTGCCATACTATAACCCCAATGAGGGGGAATGACTGTCTTCTGGTTGGTGGCAGGACATCCCCTGCCAAACCCCTCGCCGACTGTTGGGTACGCCGCAATAATGTCTGGAGCCAGGCACAGCCCCTGCCTGAGTCACGATTCCGACACAGCGCCACCGACGTGCGCTGTGAGGATGAATCAAGCTCAATCCTTGTCTACGGCGGCAAAACTCAAGACAACAAGATCCTGGACAGCTGGTTGGTATGGAGCTACAAAGAAGAGGCAGGATGGCAACCGGTCAAGACCATCGGGTCATCACCTGAAGCTCGCTTTGGCGCAAGCATTGCAAGGATTGCTGATACCTCTGGAATTTTGTTTGGTGGAATCGGGGCCAACGGCACCATCCTGGAGGATATTTGGGCATGGGATCTTACTCGTTGTGACGATGGTTTTCTGCAGATAGAACTGATCGATGTGACTCGATGCATCCATAACGCTACACCCCAGCTTTTCCCATTTATGAATCGGTTCGGGGCGACTGTGAATGCCACATCATATGGACTGGTACTTGCGGGAGGCATTATCCCTCGGCAGATCGTTCCCGTTGATAAGGAGATCTTGTTGTTGGATCCTCGGCAATTGCTCAAAGCATCAGCAGAGAAGCAATGCGACCCATCTGTTGTCTCGGCCATTGGACTTGGTCAATCATTCAATGGACCAAGGCCGTTGCTTACCGGTCACGTCGCTTGCACGATCGGCACTGACCAGGTGCTTCTACTCGGCGGTGGAGCAGTATGCTACGCCTTTGGCAACTTCTGGACAGAGGGCACATGGCTTCTGCAGCCGCAGCCCTCGGCGACCGAAAATGAATGGGGAATGCTCTCCTAATAGAATCCATTCTTCATGGCCTTCTGTTAAAGCTGTTTTTAGCCACCGCTCTTGTGACTTTCCTTCGCAGAACCCCATACTAGACCCTAGAAAAGAGTCTCGTCCCTTACCATACTCTGGCCATAAAATCATTTAGATCAATACCAAGGGACCTAATATGCTGTATACGTGTGTTTCCACCGCCCTTGTGGCTGTTGCTCCACTCAACCGTAAATATCCTGGGAAGGAAGAAGAGTAAGACTTGAGCGGGGCGTAGATGTAAAGAAGCGCAGTTACTAGAAACTCAGATTTGCCCTACAAGTCAATATTCACACCCACTACGAGATACCAGCGAGTATGGATACTGCAGGGAACTGTAGATCAAATGATGCAGGAGTAACGCGCAAGTGCCGGTTGGTGACAAGCGGCAGCTACCCGCATCACACCACATCACATCTCCATCATCCAAACCGGCTACAAGAAATGGATTCGGTTGACGTATGCGCCATCCAATCGGAAGGCGTGAGAGTCCAACCGAAAGGACTCGACATCGTGACTAAGCCTTTGGGCCTTCATTTGATAAAAGTTGACGCTGATGGAGGGTACTATCGTTGTGGTGTACCGAGTAGGTCCGTCTCGAGTATTCAAACAGATTCTTTGCCACTTGGACAAGGCTTGATCTTCTGACCTCGATGATGACTTCAGGGCCACCATTGACATGACCATGGCGACAGCGAACGCGCAAAACTCTCCACATGGTGCTCAAGGCTGATACTTGCCGAGTGTTGTTGGTACTAGCACTTGGTGTGAAACAGAAAGTACAGTAAATATACCCCGATCCTGAATTTCGCAAGGCACTAACCAATGGACTGTCGAATGCCAGGCCCCTTCGTCGCGGCTCAGCCTGTTTTCATCCGATTTTGACGCCATTTGCTGCACATCCCCGCGGATGGGTCAACTCTTTGCCATCGACTTCAGAAACCTCGACTCGGCGGCGTCTATCCCAGGTACTTCCGCTTGGGGGAAGACAGAGATCAGACGAGATCTCGTTTCGTTTTGTTCAACCCGTCCTTGCGGCTACACATGACATGTTCAATTATGACAATCGGCTGGCCTTCTATAAGCCCAACAAGGGATATGGTTATGGACCACTATGTTTGCAGACTACAACAAATACCGCAGTCGAGACAGGATCTAGACACGATCTACAGAGAGGAGTCTGAAGGAGCCCCGCCTGACATGGCCCGCTTTATGTACTTGCGCCGGCTAGTCCAGGAGCTGCATGAGACTGTCGACCAATGGCACTGTCGCAGGGCCAGGGGTGTTTAAATTTTCCCTGGCAGGCAGTCTCTGGATGGCCGAAATGTCAAGCGCTACGCGAGGGGGTTTGGAAAAGGGGGCCGATGGACAGACCCTTGTCCAGACAACCTCCCCCACCCAGACACCCAAGCCACCCTCCTTCTGCCGTACCACCTTGAACTCACTTCCCGGTGTGCTTCTTTTGGGCACCGCTGCGCTGGTCGTGGTTGCGAGAGAGGGCCTCGGGCATCTGCACGTTCACGTTGGCCGTCACATAGGGATGATGTGCAGGGAGGATGTGCTGTCTGTTGTTTTGTTTATTAATAGAGACAAAAAGTTGGGTGGGATGCTGAACTTTGTCTATAGGCCGCATAGACAGAAGTACTACTGTATGGCAGTATGTTTCCACACCAGGTGGAGCTCAAGGGCGATCCGGGGTCAGCCCGCCGGTCCTTGTTGACGTTCGATGATACATCGTCCGTTGCTCCTGGACGGTGTCGTGCTTGCCTACCACATTCCCCGTCCGACCCCCGCGCATGCTTTATACAGATCCTAGACCATACTAGTGTGTGTAGTATCTGAACGGTGGCCCCGATAGGCAACCGGTCCCGTTCGCAGCATCGCAACCGGCGTGCACCGAATCAGAAGCTCGAAAAAATTGAGTTCCGCCGGCATTCCACGGATAGGAAGGGTTGGGATAGCGAGAGTGAGTGCAGGGCACTCATCTCCGAGGTGGATCGGTGCGGGGGCATCTTTGTTCTCTCGCATCAGGGTGTGGTGTCCGCCACGATTTGGAGAGGGAGGTGGCCCCGGACGCACAGACGAGACCGGGTGGACAGGAAAATGGGCCGAGAACGAGGGGCATCTCTGAATCTCAGCGTCATCAGTAACGGCTGGGCCGGGAGTGATTGGTGCGCCGCGATGGGGTCGCCCGTGGAAGGCTGGGCTAGCGTGGATGGAGGCGCGGGGAGTGAGCCCCGCCATGATAGCGATGGAATTCAGATGCGATTATCGTGTCTCTGATGGGATCCGCCGTGGGTCGTGGTGGAGACCGGGGGAGCTGCGAACGGGGCCGGTGGAGGGGCATGACGACGATGATAAGTGATGATGATGAGGTTCATTGTTGAGAATCGAATTACGTCCGCGATCGAACAAGGGTCGCCAGTGCCATGCCGCAAGACCCGTGCCCTAAGCCCGGACTGTATCTCTAGAGGTACATGGATGTCCAGCAAGTAGTCCAGCTGGGATGTACATGCCCGACGAGAAAGGAGGTTGTGGTCGCACCGCCCGATAACGCGATCTCGTCCCACCAAGTACTCCCGGCACCTCCCTCTTCCTCTTCCTCTTCTCTCATCCCCAATTTCATGTCCTCGCGTTGCTTTGGACTTCCCCATCGTCTTTGTTTTTATGTCCTGTTCGAGTACTGAGTACACTTCGTTGTCGCCTCCCACCTGCTTCATACCTGTCGCAGCCCCCTTGCTGTGTTTGCCTATCGCCGTCGTATGAGAAGAGCGCCTAAATATTGTGTGGGCCTTGGATAACTGTATGCCTCCCCTCCCCCTTCACATTCCGGTCCTGCTTCAGACTCGCCCATTTTTTCCCTTCGACAGCCTCAAAAACAATTCATCACCGCATCGTCGTCTGTGCAGCGCTGACCAAGTCAAGTACAGAGCCGAGACCCTGCGCACCATCCGTCTATCAGGAGATCCGTACCGCCCGACATCTCGCGTTGCAAAGGATGTGATCCTGAGACCGTGCGGCTGCCGATAAAGTGATACGAATCTCTCTCTTCCTCGAACTTACTTGCGATCGTTGAGCCTGCGCTGTCGGTGACCCGATTTCGATCATGGCGACTGTCGTCGTCCAGCAGCATACGCTGCACCACTCGACCCCTCCTCCGTCACCCATTCCCTCGGCATTGACTGTGAACCGACGGCCAAGCCCAATTCCAAACAAACATATTCCCGTTTGCCCTACAGGGCCATCGCCTGAGGTATCTCCGCTGGATTCTCCCGTACCGAAGACCCAGCACGATCAACCCTCGTCCCTTCTGTATCCGCCAGATGCCTTCGTGCGCATTTCACGACCGCCGGCCGCGACTGTTTATGCTCTTGACGGGGAGACATTAGCTGCTGCCATGAATCATATGGCATCGCAACCCTTGCCTGACCCAAATCAGATGTTCCCATGGTTGCATGGTCTCCACGCCGATAACCATGTGCAGCTGGGCTTCTTCTCTAGTCGCAAGCGGGCCTCCCGTAGGTCTCCAAAGTGCTGGCGAGGAATCACCGTCGTCAAGCTGGGCGGGGATCTGACCAAGGCACGCATCAAGGGCGCCATCTCTGCCGATGAAGTGCTGTCTCCGGCGTTGCGCTTCTTGATGGCGGATCCGCCGGAAGGCTTCTCGGTGCGGAACTTTCAGATTCAGACGGCCAAACTCGCGGCCATGTCGGATATCATCGTCTATGGTGAAGATGGAGCCAGCAAGTCTGAGCTTCTTGCCTTGGCGGAGGATTTCGCGACGGCGCAGCAAGCATGGCGACTGAAGCATGATCCTACTCAAGAACGACCCACCTACAACACCTTTGTCGTCACCAGTAAGCTCCATGGCCCTCAAACTGACAAGGATAAACCCGGCTAATTTCGCTTTCATGCAGGTACCTTCGCGGAATTCGAGAAGAAATTCCCCAGTATGGTTGCCATTGACGCAAAAGGCCAGATCACTGGCGAAGTCATGGATTTCTGTAAGTCCACCGGAATACTTCTCATCGTCTCTTTGTGAACCCTGCTAATCACCCTTTTCACTAGCCCAATGGGAGCGACTGGAAATGCGCAGTATGTCTCAGGCCTCGGAGATATCGGCGAATGTTTGGCTCGGTCCAACTCCGGACTATCTGCTGAGACCGGGCGCCTACGAGCCACCCAAAGAAACCCAGTACGATCTTTTGATCGAAGCAAGCGACCTTGCCAGCATCCCGGGTCCTCGTTTCCTAGGAATGATCGATAAGCAACTCGAGGACGGTCCGCAGCGAATGGAGTTCCCTTCATCGGGGTCGATCGTGCTTCCATCTGGCAACACTCGAGAAGTGGAAGATTTGGTCAACACGGTTCGATGGATCTATTACTTGGCCAATCCGGATGAGCCTGAAGAGGTGCCCGATCATGACGGTGATGTCGCCATGCTTCACTCGAATAAGAAACCTCGCAGAGTCTTTATCCATTGCGCCGATGGCTATACCGAAAGTTCCCTCCTTGCAGTGGCGTATTTCATGTTTGCTGAAGGGGTTCCTGCCCATGAGGCGTGGCTCAGACTGCACTGCGAAAAGAAGCGAAACTTCTTCACGTATCCGACCGACGTCGCGCTCCTGAGTCACATTCAACCTCGCCTGTTGCAGGGAAGTCCGGTGTCCCATTCCCTTGATACCTCCAGCATGTGGGATCCGCAGTGGTTCCTCAAAATGGACGGCTCCTTGCCCAGCCGCATTCTCCCCTACCTGTATCTGGGCAATCTCCAACACGCCAACAATCCAGAACTTTTGGACAAGCTTGCCATCAACCGCGTGTTGAGTATCGGAGAGCCTGTTTCCTGGACTGAGGAAGAGCGTGTTGCGTGGGGACCGGAGAACTTGATGTACATTGACAACGTTCAAGACAACGGCATCGATTCGCTTTGGCAGGAGATTGATCGGTGCTTGGAGTTTATTGGTAAGTGGCATGGAACAATCCTTTATCATGTCGTTTGTTTTGAGTTCTTTCCCGGCATTGACTAATTGCTTCGCGCAGAAAAAGGCAAGCGCGATGGATCCGCTACCCTGGTTCATTGTCGGGTCGGAGTGTCCCGATCCGCCAGCATTTGCATCGCCGAAGTTATGGCCGCCAAGGGTCTCTCTTTCCCGCGAGCTTAGTAAGTTTCTCTACTGCCCGTCCGATTTGATACATCCAACTAACATCGATGCAGCTGTTTCGTTCGCGCTAGACGACTGAATGTGATTATCCAGCCTCATCTACGCTTTGTGTAAGATGGCTCGCACCTTCCTTCCATCAGCCGGTTATGTGACTAACTCTATTCATAGTTACGAGCTGCTTCAGTGGGAAGAGCTTCAAATGAAGAAACGCAATATCCCCATCAAACGCGAACTAGAGTGGCCTACTGTCGCTCGTGAGATCGCACTGCTCAACAAGCCATACTCGAGATACTGAGAGTGCGCATCACTCTGGCTACAACTCAAATCTTGAGTTTCTTTTCACCCACATCTGACTGCATATTCCAGACCACATATTCTTAATCTTATTCTTTCGCCTTGCATTTGCCTGAATTACCCAACAGCATTGCAAGATTTTATGTTGAACGATTTGACCTATGATTTCTACGAACACGGGATGACCCCAAGTTTCTGGTTTTTGGCGCATGGCGTCGCGCGGATCTGGTGGAATGGAATGATCAACCACCATTTTGACCATGCAATACTCTGACTGTATCCGCGAAGCTTTTTTTTCATATTTCTTCCGAGCTCTGCCTTTAGTGAAGCTGGCATCCTTACCGTCCCCATTTCAATTTTTTTTTACGCGAGCGAAAATGCGGGTTCACTGGTCGCTCTCGACCTTTCTGCGTTTCTCTTTCTGTATGCACTATTCATCCCTCTTTCTCAAGAGAGCAAGCATTCCGAATGATCACTGGATCCGGTCGGGCTTTGCATGACATATTAATGGTATATCACCTCAACCGCTGTCCTTTCGTGTTTCTGTTCTCCTTGTATACAAATATGGACGATTGTGTTACTGGAAGTTCAAATGGACACGGCGTAATTGGAAACTGGATCACATTTTTATATCAACTTCTAAAATATCCATTGACGTGAGGATTTGGCTAAAAGCTGCACAATGCTCGCAAACTCTGGATGTTCAGTGGAATAATTATACTAACTTAAAACTTAGCATCGTTCAAATACTCTGTAGAGACCTTTCAAGTCTGCAACTTCAACCACACCCCGCAGCATTCTTGAAGTCGCAACAAGTCGGGAACGTAGAGCAGGAAATACCGCGTACTCTAGCATTCGAGCCATTTGTGCGCGACGTGCATGAATTAAAGGATCTTCTTCAGCTACATAGCTTTCGTCTGCAGCTGTCTCTCCCGTGGCCGGCTCTGATTGAGCAGATGCAGATGCATCTTTCGATGTAGGTGGGGGAATTGGCAATTGCTCTGGCGTATAAAAAGCTGCAAGTTCTCGAAGGAAAGTGTGAAAACACTCCTGCTCTCCGGTCCAATCCACATATGGACCAAGCCGTAGCAAAAATCGAGGAAGTTTTGCTAGAGAAGGAACGTAGCCTTTCAAAAGCAGCGGGATCGTGAGGAGCTCACCCTCAGGGCTGATTTGCATCGAGAAATATTCATCCAGCATTTCACGGCGTTCGATGAGAGTACGAGAAACAACTTCTGCGGCGTTGGCGAAGATATCACCAGCCTCCTCGTCATTATTACCAGCGTGATCTTGTTGTTCCGTCTCGGCTGCGATACTGAGCAGATCCACAATCTTCGGCGGCGGATCTAAGTTTATCACGCCGAAGTTGCCAAAATCGGTTAGGCCGACCTGATAGAAGAACTCGTTGCAGGCGAGGCCATAGTCGACCAGGTAGAGTTTCACTCCAGACTGAATAGCTGCCAGGCGTCTTCGTTCGTCCACGAGACCAACGTAGGTATGTGATGCGAACATCTCTGTTAATGTGTTGTGCATTGCGGCACGCACAGAGTTGCGAAGGCTTTTGACGGAAGTCAGGGCGATACGCAGAGGTTGGCGATCGGTTGTTTCGTATTGAAGTCCTTCATCGCGTATGGATGCTGCTGGAATACCGGATTCTGTGTTCGGTGGTCCAGGGTGAGATGGCGATGAGATCGGAGCAGCGGTGAGCATCGAGGTTATTTTGCGGACCTTAGAATCCGTGCGAACGAGATTGTTCTCATAGGGCCTTTTGGAGGTTGCTGGTGTTTTGGGTGTGTTGATTGGTTTGTTGCTGACTGCGCCCTCGCCAGCAGCAGCATCTTGTTCCGGTTGAAGGGTTTCAATGGGTTGGACTCCCGGCAAGAGGCTTTGAGTCAGGAAAGTTCGACTTGAATCGACATGGGCAAGCTTGGATCTGATTTCACTGCACACCATCTCGATGATCTCATCCTCATTAAGGAAGTTCACCTCTCGTTTGGTGGGATGCACATTTACATCAACACGATGTGGTTCGATTTCCAGATCAAGATACACAAACGGATGTCCACCCTTCGGAAGAAAAGCGGAATAGGTCTGCTCAACGGCGCGTTTGACGGCTGTCGATTCGACGGCACGGTGATTGATGAATAGGAGGATCACAGTCTTTTTGACATGATAATTGGCATTTGTGGCTAGTCCAGAGGCTCGGAAACCAAGCTTCTTCTCGGCGACCTCAAACTCAACAACCTCATTTGCGACAGCACTTCCGTGTATTTGACGTATCCGGTCGATCGTGTTAGCGGCCGAAGGAGTCGAGATGCTCACTCCCGAATCACCATGCTTGCGACATGAGAAAGCAACGCCAGAACAATGCACTGCATAACGCCCAACCACATCCAGAATCTTGGCGTACTCTTCGCTGGAAGACCGAAAGGCACGGCGCCGGGTTGGGACATTGTAGAAGAGGTCTTCGACCTGTGATATTTGTTAGATCTGCATTTCCATAGGTTTTGAGGCAGAGCTGGTAGTGCTAACTGTGATCTGTGTTCCTCCACGTCCTGCAGTGGCCTTGGGCGCAGCATTTTGCCCCGGTTTCGCAGGAACCAGCTTCCCATCTCCGTAATGTGCGCGCCAGGCGCAGCTCGACCCGGCTGTTTTAGTCGTGACTGTGAGATGGGCAATATGACTGATACTAGCCAATGCTTCACCGCGGAACCCGTACGTGCCGATGGAAGAAAGATCCTCGAACTCTTTCAGCTTGGACGTGGTAAACCGTTCGCAGAGGATGGGAAGGTCGTCGCGCTATAGCATGTCAGCGGCTGAAGTTTTCCATTTATTATCCCAGAAGACCAATTATCGAGAGCTCACATCAATTCCATGTCCATTGTCCGTGATTTGTAGTAGCTTCAATCCTCCATCCTTGACGAGAACTTCGATCGACGTGGAGCCTGCGTCGACGGCATTCTCAATCAGCTCCTTCAATGCGTGCATCGGGGCGACGATTATCTCGCCGGCAGCGATCTTGTTGACGACATCAGGATCAAGGGCCTAGTTTCATCGTATGTTAGCATGAGACCGTGCCCATGTCATGATGTCTTTGCGGCAGGTGGGAATGGGTCTCCTTACTTTGATCCTCTTCGGTCGAGAGGGCCCGGACGCCTCTGTTTCCTCCAAGGGGCGTTTGGCTCCGCGCTGCTCTGGAGAGTCCATATCCATCTCCTCACCCATAACGTTCAAGATGCCCGGGCGCGTGTTGGCGTCGTGAAGTGGAGACAGACAGAAACACGGAGCTTTGCGATAAGGCGATAACCGGCTGATATCATCAAATCCGCCACTGGGAACCCTTTTGCTGTGCAAGTGCCTTGTTGCAATGGGGGATTTGAGTACCTTAATAGTATCTTAACGATTGTACACAGTTGAGTCCAGCATGACTGGTCTACTGGAAATGCTCCTTGGTTTATACTAATTGCACTATTCTCATTTCGCCAACTTATTGTATCCAATTGGTCGATCTGCGAGTGCTACCCCAGCTGGAAGAACAATCACCATAATCAAAGAGCGTCATAGGTACAGATCTGTCAAATTCCTAAATAATCTATAGCGAGGTATCGACAATATTTTGATGTGTTACCCTGGTGGGACGCTGTACAGATATCTGATGCCTGGATGCAAAGATTCAGTTGGTGAACAATCCAGTCGAATTTGAGTGAATATATTTGAATAAGATGAAAACTAAAAGAGGGTTGGGGTGAGCCACAGGTGCTACTCAAGTTGACCATAGCGATAGATCAACACTCCGAATTAGCCTTGGAAGCTCAATAGCCTCGATGAATCTAGATAGTTAGCTAAATATGACACCGGAAGGCAAAAGGCGGAAGAAGGTGCTCGAGGCAGAACGCCATGACGAGGGCTTGGCGTTGATTATATAAGCCCGGGAGCTGCAACAGCCCGAGCTCTCTGTCTCCGTCACCAGCTAACAACTGCATCACTCGCCATCTGCAAACTCCATTTACCACCTCTCGTTTGAGTCACAGTGCGCTTGGATCTTTATTATCCGAATTCGCGTCGTGCTCTGTTGATACTACCCCGACCTGGTCGCCAGATACCCGTCAGAAATGGTGAACGAGGGCGAACGGTCAACCGCCGCCGACAAGGGCAAGGGCAAGGTTGAGGACGCTGCTGAGCTGAGCGGCAAGAAGCCCCAAAATGACGAGAAGCCGTCGACGGATGGAAAGAAGAAGGATGAAGAGCCTCAGGATGGTAAGTTGCGACTGCAGCGGGTTACGCATCTCCGAGCAGAGTGTGTGATCTCTGCATTGCCATGTTTACGGAAGTGCGGGCTAACATTCTCAAAGATGAGCTTAGTGAAGAGGACCAGCAATTGAAGGATGAGCTTGAAATGCTTGTTGAGCGATTAAAGGTAGGATGGACTGTCCGAAGAGAACAACGACGTTGAGGCTAACATTCGGTTTCGATAGGAACCGGACACTTCTCTCTACGGGCCTGCTTTGGATGCCATCAAGAATTTCATCAAGACCTCTACCTCTTCCATGACAGCCGTTCCGAAACCTCTCAAATTCCTCCGACCGCATTACGATGACCTGGCTGAGCTCTACGAAAAATGGGTAGTGGGTGCCGTGAAGGTGAGTCCTAGACGTTCTCCCGATCAACCGAAAGCACGACTCTGACATTTTGCTTCTTAGGACTCGCTTGCCGATATGCTGTCAGTGCTCGGTATGACCTACGGAGACGAAGAGAAGCTGGAGACGCTGAAGTACCGCCTCCTCGCAAAGTCGGAGGACCTTGGATCCTGGGGCCATGAATATATCAGACATCTGGCATTGGAAATCGGACAGGAATACCAGAACCGATTGAATTCGGAGAAGGAGACCCAAGACTTGGTGGATCTTGTACTGTCGCTGGTTCCTTACTTCCTCAGCCACAATGCCGAGGCTGATGCTGTTGATCTTCTGAGTGAGATGGAAATCATCGGAGAAATCCCGCGATTTGTGGATGAGAATACATACTCCCGTGTCTGTCTGTATATGGTCAGCATGGTCAACCTGCTCACCTACCCCGAAGATCAGGAATTCCTTCGCACGGCACATGAGATCTACGTCCGCTACAACAAGCTCTCTCAAGCGATCGTGCTCGCCATTCGACTCAACGATGTGGACCTTATCAAGAGCGATATCAACGCCACCTCCGACAAGGCTCTTAAGAAGCAAATGGCGTTCCTTGTTGCCCGTCAGCAGATCTGGCTTGATCTATCTGGGGAGGATGAGGAAGACGAGGCTCTCGCGGAGTGCCTGAACAATACCTCCATCCCCAAGCACTTCAAGTCACTTGGAAAGGAGCTCAACATCCTGGATCCCAAGATGCCCGAGGACATCTACAAGACACACCTGGAGAGCAGCCGTGGAGCAGGTCTTACCAACCTTGACTCGGCACGACACAATTTGGCAAGTGCCTTCGTCAACTCATTCGCCAATGCCGGATTTGGAAACGATAAGATGATGCTTGTCGAGGGCGAGAAGGGACCGTGGGTCTGGAAGACCAAGGACGACGGCATGCTTTCGACTACGGCTTCGCTTGGTATGCTCCTCCACCGAGACGTTGAGGATGGACTGGACAAGATCGACAAATTTACCTATGCGACTGAGGACCAGGTCAAGGCTGGTGCTCTACTTGCAATCGGTATCTTGAACTCGGGTGTTCGTCTCGATTCGGACCCTGCCCTCGCCCTCCTGAGCGACCCCGACAACCTTGAGGCTAAGAACGTACCAATGAGGGTGGCATCAATCATGGGTCTCGGTCTGGCCTATGCTGGATCAAACAAGGAGGAGCTTCTGGAGGTTCTGCTGCCCATTGTTGAGGACGCCTCCCTTGATATGCAACTTTCCGCCATGGCAGCAGTTTCGCTCGGTCTGATTTTTGTTGGTTCATCGAACCACCAGGTCAGTGAAGCAATTGCTACGACACTTATGGATGAGGAGCGCCAGAAGCAACTTAAGGACAAATGGACACGGTTCATGGCTCTTGGTCTGGCACTCCTTTACTTCGGCCGTCAAGAAGAGGTCGATGTTATCCTCGACATTCTCAAGGCTGTCGATCACCCGATGGCGAAGCCGACCTCTGTCCTTGCCTCGGTTTGTGCCTGGGCTGGCACTGGAACTGTGCTAAAGCTGCAAGAACTTCTTCACATCTGTAATGACATGATTGAGGAGAAGGAGGAGAACAAGGGCGACGAGCTGGTTCAGTCATATGCTGTTCTGGGTCTATCGCTGATTGCCATGGGCGAGGATGTCGGCCAAGACATGATCCTGCGTCAGTTCGGCCACCTCATGCACTACGGCTCTAGTAACATCCGACGAGCTGTGCCTCTGGCTATGGGTTTGGTTAGCCCCAGTAACCCTCAAATGAAGGTCTACGACACTTTGTCCCGATACAGCCACGACAATGATAACGATGTGGCTATTAATGCCATTTTCGCCATGGGTCTCTGTGGTGCTGGTACTAATAATGCCCGTTTGGCGCAGCTTCTCCGCCAACTAGCCAGCTATTACCACCGTGACCAGAATTCGCTCTTCATGGTTCGCATTGCTCAGGGTCTATTGCACATGGGAAAGGGCACCATGACCCTCAACCCCTTCCACACCGATCGCCAGGTTCTTTCTCGCGTTTCGGCTGCTGGTCTCCTTACCGTGCTTGTCTCCTTGATTGATGCCAAGCAATTTATCCTGGCCGAGCACCACTATCTGCTCTACTTCCTCATTACCGCCATGTTCCCCCGTTACCTCGTCACTCTCGACGAAGACCTGCAGCCACTCACCGTAAATGTTCGAGTGGGTCAGGCTGTGGATGTTGTCGGCCAGGCTGGTCGTCCGAAGACCATTACCGGATGGCAGACTCAGAGTACCCCGGTGCTTTTGTCTTACGGTGAAAGAGCCGAGTTGGAAGATGAGCAGTATATCCCGCTTAGCAGCACCCTCGAGGGCTTGGTCATTCTGCGCAAGGTAAGTGATTCCGAGAGTGTCGAATATTGGGATTACTCTAGATAGGTACTAACAAGATTGAAGAACCCTGACTACGAAAGTCCTGAATAAGCTTGAACAAAATGCTTCCGGTTTCTATTGCTGCTTACCATGTGCTAGCGTCAAAGATAGACCGGGTTGTCTTTGGATTTAATGTATTCAGGAACGACTGAGGAATATTATGGACTTTTTTCGTTCCCACTGCATTTCGTTTTGTATTGGGCAGCTTGGTTGTTATGTAGACTACATCTTTTCAGGCATTGAGGCTTTGTGGTCTAAGATCTGGTTAAGGAGTGGAAGTTCAATTATTGTAAGCTCCTCTGTACTTTGAGACAACGAAGGACACAACCATTTACTTCATCGCATATACGCGTCATGGGATGATCTATCAGGAATTATTCTACGTCGACAAGTTGAGATGATCAGCACGCGGCTTAATCAGGTCTGGCGCCCGAAGTGGAAATAGGGTTTAGGGCTTCCGGGCTTATCACTTTTTTTGTCTCCGCATCCGCTCCCAAGGTTGGTCCAGCTATCGCCAAGCGCATTTGCTCAAAAAATTTACAGTGTTTAGAGGTCGACATCTGTCGCAAAGTCTTGGACAATGAAACTCGACGCCAAGGCGATCCGCTACCTCACCTCTGAGGATTTCCGCGTGCTTCAAGGGGTACTTATCTCCCCTCCACCCCGCCACGTCCGCGGGTATCGGCTTTTCTGATCTACGACTGGATAACTGACATGGCCCTTGTACTATAGGTGGAGGCTGGCAGCCGTAACCATGAGGTTGTTCCGACCCCTCTGATCGCCCAGTTGTCAGGCCTGCGCGGTGGCAGTGGCGTGCATCGTGCCATCTCGAATTTGGCCAAGACGAACCTGATTGCCAAGGTGAAGAACGCGAAGTGTACGTATTTGATGGAGTGCTTGGTCATATCTCCCATTTTGGTAACTGACATTTGCTTTGCGTGAATAGACGATGGCTACCGACTCACTTACGGAGGTCTTGACTATTTGGCTTTGAACGCGCACCAAAAACAGAAGGTCGTGTACTCGGTTGGAAACCAGATTGGTGTTGGCAAGGAATCAGATATTGTCGTAGTCGCACACGGCAGTGGATCGCAACGAATCCTCAAGATCCATCGTCTGGGCCGTATTTCGTTCCGAACCGTTAAGACCAACCGTGACTACCTTCGACATCGCAACACTGGCTCCTGGATGTATATGTCGCGGCTGGCCGCGATGAAAGAATTTGCCTTCATGAAGGCGCTACGAGAGAACGGATTCTCGGTCCCCGAACCCATCGCGCAGAATCGCCATACCATTGTCATGAGCTTGATTGACGCCTTCCCTCTTCGTCAGATCGCCAAGGTCCCCAATCCGGCAGGACTATACTCAGAGCTTATGGATATGATTATTGAACTGGCGCGATTCGGTTTGATCCATGGTGATTTCAACGAGTTTAATATCCTTATCAAGGAAATTCCAATTCCCAGTGAAAAGGACAAGGAGGCTGAAAACGCGGAGGCCGAAGAAGAAAATTACCGGCTGGAACCGGTGCTCATCGATTTCCCGCAAATGGTGTCCATCGATCACGTCAATGCCGAAATGTACTTTGATCGTGATGTCAACTGTATCAAGCGCTACTTCCAGCGCAAGTTCCACTTCGTGAGTGATGCGCCTGGTCCTTCCTTTGCGGATGCGAAGAAGGTCTTCCTGAAGAACCCTGGAAAGCGACTGGATGTGGAAGTTGAGGCCTCTGGGTTCTCGAGAAAGATGGCTCGTGATCTGGAGAACTACATGAAAGAAGTTGGCGCTGATGGAGATGCGGGTGAGAGAGATAATGAAGACGAAGAAGAAGACGAAGACGAGGAAGAAGGCTCGGGCTCGGATTCCGAAGAAGTTCAGGAGGACGAACAACCAGCCCGGGCCGATGCTGATGTGGACGAGAGCTCCAAGCGCCTGGAGGGACTCCAGGTTTCCTGGTCTTCAGCACAGTAAAAGTGGCACGGGATATCAATTACCTTAATGACCATGAGTTATGAAATTAGAATGTAGATTAGGTATTTTCGCGGCTCAGCATAATCTCTAGTACGCAGCAGACTAAGCACCCATACTTACTGGGCAGGGACCCATTGTACTTTTGTAGCTGAAGTCAAAGTATCTCTGTTGCTGTTTTATGACAAGCCTCATACCCCAGACATACGACTAGTCATATGAACGGTCTCTAGTCAGAAATCTAGAGGAAACAACGATTGTAATTGTTCAAGTCGTAGTGTAGGGTAAGGTACAAATTGGCTACGGCGGGCGGGGCGGCCACCCACGCAATTCCGACTTCCGCGCAGCGAAAGATGTCTTGCGGATAGTTGCCCCGACACTACCAACGACCACTCAAAACCACAATGGTGCGCAAAGCAGTCGGACTCTCCAAGCTCGGAACAAGTGGCTTCTTGCCCCTGACCGAGCGCAAGCAGGTCTTCCTGTATGTCAATACACGCCCCCCAACCCACCCGTCAAATTTCAACCTTTGCCCCAGAGGATCCAAGGTCAGACACAAGGAGTCTTTCTGGACCAGCAGCCCCCAGCATCACCACGGAAAAAGCGACGAAATGTACTAACGAGGCCGCTAAACAGTCCCGAATTCACAATCGCTCTTGTCCGAACTCCCAATCTCTCTCCTCGCTATGCCCAGTTCCGCGTCCCGCTCAACTTCAACAAACTTGATCTTCGTGACTACCTCGAGCGCGTATATGGCGTCGGTGTCGTTAGCATCCGCAGCTACATCGAGCAACAACCTATTACCCGTATCACCCGCGATAACCGGAACTATGGTGCATGGCGACGGCCGCAATCCATTAAGCGGATGACCGTCGAGCTGCAGGAGCCGTTCGTCTGGCCCGAGGAACCGAAGGACTTCAGCCGGTACGTATGCATTTTCGGAAGGGTCGAGTTGCAAATTTCTGCTGCATCAAGTCTTCTATGTCTTTGTTTTAATGCTAATACGCTTCCTCAACGAGCAGATGGGAAAAGGAGTCCTGGGATGCCACGGAGAAATTCCAGCAAAAAATGCGCAAGGAAAACGTCCAAAAGAGTGACGCATCCGAACAGCCTGATAAAGATTTGCGCAAGGCGTACGAGGAGCAGGCAAAGGAATTGAAGAACGAGGCTGAGGCGTGGCGGCCGACTTGGAAGGCCCTGGGTCTCGAATTTGCGCGTAAGGAGATGGCCAAGGGCAAGCACGCCCCGGCGCCGAAGTGGATGAAGAAGACACCATAATGTGTTGATTGTGACCTTTTCTTGGAGAACTGGTGTTCTTGTGTAACTTCTTCCATATTGCTATTGGGCCTGCACTGTATTATATTGTTGAATAACAGACCAGAGACTTCAGAATGTCTTCGTTTTTTACTACTCCTTTCCTTCAGGAAATGTGGATGATCAGCCTCTAATAATGTCTGTGCTGCATTGAATGATATTAACATGGGAAATCTTGACTGGCATAACTGCATCGAAAATACAAGAAATTAAAAAGACAAGTAATTAAGTACAAATAACAGCACGCTATGCAAAACGATTGGAGTCGAGAGAGTGAGGACCAATTAGATAATAATTGAAACAGTAATTGTCGAAACGCGCTCTGGAAATTATGTCGAGTATCCAGAGCCATCTAGAGACGACTCTCGACAAAGTTCACTTGGTGCTGACCAGGCCAGTGAGCATCCGGCCAGATTTGGCGAAGGGCTTCCCAGATGTGTCTGCACGCGAAAGTTAGCAAGGCGCCGATACAGGATATCGTTGGAGTAGTTTGACTTACTGGACATAAACAATCTCTAGACCCTCCAAGACTTCCTGAGGTACGTCCTTGACGTCCTTGCGGTTGGCATATGGCAAAAGCACAGTCTTGACACCTGCACGAAGAGCCCCAATGAGCTTCTCCTTGATTCCACCAACAGGCATCACGCGCCCTCGCAACGAAATTTCACCCGTCATGGCAATCTGCGGCGGCACGGGCTTGTTGCTGAACAAAGAGATGAGCGCCACCGTGTGTGCGAGGCCGGCCGAGGGGCCATCCTTGGGGATAGCACCCGAGGGGCAGTGAACGTGCAAGCTGCGACTCTTCATGACGTCCTCATTTGGGTCGTGGGTGAGCCCCAGCTCGAACGAATGAGCCTTCACCCAAGTGAGGGCTACCTCAACAGACTCCTTCAAAACGTCGCCAAGCTTGCCAGTCAGCTGAACACGTCCATTTCCGGGCATATCAGCCACCTCGATAAAAAGGATGCTTCCCTGTCCACCAGTGGAGTAGGCCACCAGACCAGTGACAACTCCAGGGCGACCGTGCTTCTCAGCAATCTCCTCTTCGAATCTCTCAATACCAAGGATATCTTCGAGATCCTCGACTGAAACGACTGGATTGTAGTCATCCAGGCGGTCAGCATCGCCGGCGTCAGCGAACTGAACGGCCTTGTGGCGACAGATAGAGCCAAGCTCGCGCTCTAGATTACGAACACCAGATTCACGAGTATAGGCAGTGATCGTCTTATCAATAACTTCATCTGACAGGTTGACCTGTCCCTCACTCAGACCATTGGCACGGATCTGCTTGGGGATCAGATGCCTCTTAGCAATGTGTCGCTTTTCCACAGTGGTGTATCCAGAGAGGGAGATGGTTTCCATGCGGTCTAGCAAGGGTGCTGGGATGGTATCGAGGGAGTTGGCGGTAGCAATGAAGAGAATCTTGCTCAAATCAATCGGGATGTTGATGTAGTGGTCAGTGAAGGTGTAATTCTGCTCGGGGTCGAGAACTTCGAGCATGGCCGCAGACGGATCACCTTGGAAGTTGGCACCCCCGACCTTGTCAATCTCGTCCAGCAAGAAGACGGGATTAGCAACGCCCACTTTTTTTAGCCCGTTGACAACAAGACCGGGCATCGCAGCAACATAAGTTCGTCGGTGGCCACGAATTTCGGCCTCGTCACGGACGCCACCAAGTGAGATTCGGTGGAATTTGCGGCCAAGCGATGCAGCAACCGATCTTGCCAGACTGGTTTTGCCGGTTCCCGGAGGACCAACAAGCAGCAGAATGGGCGACTTGTCAGTCATGCGTTTGGACTTGAGAATCTCCAGCCGGGTCTCCAATGCAACTCGGTCAGCTTCTGAAAGAAGGGGAACGTCTTTCTCAAGATCGCCAGTGGACGACGCATCCAGGTCCTTCGAGAGTCCAGTGATCTGGCGCTCGACATCCTGGTTGGTCGATTGCTTCAAGCGCAGAACGGCCAAATATTCCAGAAGTCTTTTCTTGATCCGCTCCAGTCCGTAATGGTCCTCGTCCAGTTGCTTTCGAGCGCGCCGCAACGTATCAGGGCCTAATTGATCCTGAGTGACCTGGGTCCAGGGAATTTCAGCCAGATTTTCGAGATAGGTACGGCAAACACCATACTCCGCGTTGGCTGGGTTCATCTTGCGCAGACGCTTCAGTTCTTTGTCAGCCACCTTCTGCGCCTCGGGACTCAGCTCAGCGTCAGTGATGCGCTTCTGCAGCTCATCAATTTCATTCGGCTCCTTCTCATCGTTGTCACCCCCCGCGCGCCAGCAGGGCCAGGAGGGGTAAGACCTGAAAGGCCGGCCATCGCACGCCTTGCGAGCAAATCACGCTCACGCGGATCAATCTGTCCAACATCCGAATTTGGAGGGAACGACGTTGTGGTAATCGATGTGACCTTTACGCTGCTCTTAATATGTTGAGCTTGACGAGTCAGAATCTCGACAACCCGCTCCAGGCGCTCCTTGACATCGAACGAGGCCAGAATCCGCAGTTTCTCTTCAAAACTTCCATCAGATACATCTGCCATAAAGTCGGCTAGTCTGCCGGCCTGGCCGATTTCCGTCTTCGAGATATACAATTCAAACTTTCGCGCGACTAGCGGTGACAGCCGAGTCGAGGCGGAGGATAACAAAGAGGAAAGGCGCAAAAGAGTGAGAAGCTCGCGAGATAGTTGACGAAGCTGCTGGAAGAGTTCGGCCGCTTCGGAGTCGCCATGGATTGAAGATGCTAGTGGTAGATATATGTTAGCTATGGGATGTCTTCGCATGTCACATGTCAGGGTCGGCGAACTCACTACTCTCATCATGAAGAACGACCTCTGCTTCGAAGAAAGGTCGATCCTTCAGTACCTTTCTCACCGTGAATCGCTGTGATCCCTGGACCAGAAGGAATGGTTCCGCATAGGCGCGGCGTTGTACGCCGATCACTTTGCCCACGGTACCGTAGCGGAAAAGGTCTTCCTTGCGCGCTTGACCGGCATCGATCGAGTCATAATCCTCCTTCCGTTCATCTTCCGACTCATCACCTTCAAGAAGCTGCTGGCCGTCGCGGCTCAGGAAGGGCGAGCTAAGCGGAATACATCCGAAGGTAATGGAACCGCCATCGCGCTTCTGGGGCCGATCGACCAGAGATGACAAGAGATTGGTCAAGTCCGGGCGGTTGGAGACCGGAATTCGCAATGTGACGCCGGGGAGCAGAACGGAGCCCTTTGCCAAGGGAACGAGAGGCAGCTTGATGGCTCTACCGCTGCTGGATCCCATCGTGTGCTGCCGGGTAAATTAGGTGGCGATAACAGCGGCAGGGCCCAGTCGGTACAGAGGAAAATGGAAAGGGGAATGGATGTACTCAGTAGAATGGGGGAGGGCGAAATAATAAACCGCGATCAGGGGGAAGAAGAGGAGAAAGGTTCTGGAACCCCGTGGATGTAGGAGGCAATTCCGGGGGAAGGTGATAAGACGGTCGCATGTCTTGTAATCTCCACGTTCCGAAGCCGAGGTCTGTAACGAGTACGTCAGTCTGCAGATCCGGCCGGGGAAATTGACTACTGTCGAGTCGGGCGCACATACATAGTTTCAGGCCAGCGCCTAATCAAACCCCCTCACAAGCCAAGAGGATCGTCCAAAGAGGTCTTGTTATTTCCTTCTCTCTTTTTCTACGGCATGGCCCTGTCGCCGCGTACGGAGTACCGTACATGAACATACATACATCCGTTGCTGTACGGTATCCGTTTGTATCACCGCGTCCCGTGATCGGACCGATCCTCCGCGATTGCCTCACTTTTCCCTCGGCTGGTCTTCCCCCTCCAGAACTCGCGTGATCCGCACTCCGTCGCTGTTTCCCCTCATCATGGCCGCCCCCGCCCCGTCCAAGACCACCTTCACCATTGGCACCCGCAAGTCCAAGCTTGCCCTCGAACAGACCGAGCTGGTGCGCGCTGCCCTCAAGAAAACACACCCGAACTATGATTTCCAGATCTTCTCCAAGGAGACCGCCGGTGATCTCAACACCACCATTGCGCTGAAGGATTTCACGTCCAAGAACCTGTGGACGGAGGAACTGGAGGAATTGATGATCGGCGGTCAGGTCGACTTCATTGTGCATTCTCTCAAAGGTATGCCGCTTCTCACTTTATATGGCGGGGTCAAATAGCTAACAAGTCTGTTTCGTTTGCATGCAGATGTCCCCACCCTCCTCCCCGATACTTGTACCCTTGGCCCGATGATGCCCCGCGAAGATAACAGAGATGTTCTTGTCGTCAAGCAAGGGCTATCGTTCAAGAGCCTAGAGGAGATACCCGCAGGCTCCGTGGTCGGCACCTCGTCTATCCGTCGGACAGCCCAATTGGCCCGCAAATACCCTCATTTGAAGGTCCAAGACATTCGTGGAAACATTGGCACGCGGTTGTCGAAGCTGGACGCTGAGGATAGCCCTTACGCCTGTATCATCATTGCGGCAGCCGGTCTATTGCGCCTCGATCTTGGGGACCGCATCACACAATACCTTGACTCCAAGAATGGCGGTATGCTCTACGCTGTCGGCCAGGGTGCTTTGGGAATTGAAATTCGCAAGGACGACACAGTTTTGCATGAGATGCTGCGTCAAATCGGACACCAGGAGACCACATACGCTTGCTTGGCTGAGCGTAATCTCCTGCGGACCCTCGAGGGAGGTTGCAGTGCTCCGCTCGGCGTTGAATCTGAGTGGGTTCAGAGCTCTGACGGGTTGAAGAAATTGCGCATGCGCTCCGTGGTTGTTAGTGTGGATGGCAAGCAATGTGCTGAGGTGGAACTTGATGGCGTTGTTGATTCACCCGAAAGTGCAGAAGCTTTCGGCGTCACATTGGCGAATGCCCTGGTGGCCGATGGTGCCGGAGCAATTCTTGAGGAAATCCAGCGCAAGAAAATTGCCAAGGACAATGTTTCTTCTTAATCCAAAAGCTTTATCTGATAGACTGACGGAATATCCTAGGATACTATACCTTATGCAGATACCCTGTGGAAAAATTGCAACGAGATTAATGAACCTCTATATACCGCTTACTCGTATTGAGTACGACACCGCGGTGCTAGTCGATGCATCACGCAATGACAAAGATACTTGTATCCGCGCCAAAAGCACCAACCCTAAAGTATGCCTTGTATATTCTATTCGGTGAGTGACTTGGAGACTTGCAGCGTGACACCGAGACAAGTCATGAAAAGCAGACATGATCACGCCCTTGGAGGCTGTTCCACTTACGACAGACCGAAGCTGGCTCATGGACTGCATCCGGCGAAGTGGCCCTAAGCCGGACAAGCCCTCGGAATCAACGGAAGGTTAAAGCGGCCAAAGCTCGCTTTCCAATTTCAGTAGGGCTTGGTTCTGGAATTATAAGAGATTTGTACCTTAATCTAACAGTCATCAAAACAGTCGCCCAAACAGTCATATTGTTCCCACTGAACGGTCAGCTGAACAGTCATATGCACAGTAACCGACACTATACAATCATCACTCCTAATCTTGTACAGTCGATGAAGCTATAACAAGTGTTTTGAAAATGAAAAGTTTCCATACTTCTAGTACTTTTTGGTTTGTGAGTGCTGATCAGCCATCAATCCAAAACCGGGCATCAACATAGGCGAAAAAATAATAATAATAAAAATTAACCAAAAAAAGTGAAAAGAAATTAGAAGAAAAGAAAAGAAAAATAAAGAGAGTGAGCTCTGGCTGTTATAACCTTCGTAGGGTTCTTATATTAGCTGTGGTACCATGCTCTAATGGAAAGCCTTATATCCTAGGTAGGCGTGCGTTACCCCTGATATGCACCACCCATGACGGCAAGACAATTTGGTACTTAGACGTAACCTACATCATGTTATTGAACTTGTAGTTATTTATAGTGATTGCTCTTATGGACGAATCTAAGGTGAAGCGCAGATTTTAATAGGACATTGATCTTATGCTCAATGTCAGGAACGGACGACCAATAATAAGCCATTGTATTGTTCAAGATAATAAATAGCTGTGAGGTAAGGAGCAACAGTGAAGAAAAGCTGTACAGCCACTAGGGGAGCAAGAGTGAAGTGAGATAAGACTAAGCTGAGAGTAGGTAAAATGGGGATTAACCCCAGGATAGGTAAGAGACGAAGTGAGAGCAAAGTGAAGTGAAAGTGAAAGTAAAATTGAGTACGAGTAAAGCAAGAGGAAGTGAGAATAGTTCGGCTTAGGTAAGAGTGAACTTATTATAACTAATAATAGGAGAGGTGCGAATAATGTAAGAAATAACTAGATATTCACTTGCCCAAAAGAGCTAACACATCATGTACGATATAGAAACTGATAGAGGATAAATACAAATTAGACTTTGACCTATCTAAGTTGCCACTAGTTCAGGTGTGGTGTATCTTGTTGGCTGTTTACCTACGAGCCATTTCCAGAATGGCTTTCTTTGTGTGGCTGGTCTTCATTTCCCTTTTGGATGGGTTCTACAAACCACCCTGGAGAATTCAATGCTAATAAAACTACATTGAGAATAGCCCATCACTAGGGATTTTCGAGTTAGCTGCACAGAGTATTTATGTGCTATTAGTCTCGGAATTTTGTTGAACTTGTCGCTTTTTTTGAGTCAACTTAACCAACAGCTGGAGTTCCAAGTGTCTCGAGTGCAGCCCGAGGCTGCTACTCAAGGAAGTAGTGGATCCGTATACGAAGTGGTTCAATTCCCAGCTTTTGGAGCTATGGTGTGCTCAGGCACAAATTGGCTTTACGACTCTGATTCAAGACGTTCTGATCCCAGCAGAAAGCCGATAATAATGTGGTCAAGAGAGTTCAGCGTTTCCTTGGTGTCTTTTGTTATCCTTGTTTTGCTGGCTTGATGTCCAGAAAGAACTCGGGAAAGAGACTTTATGTTTCATTGACAACTGAATTAAGTTCCAACTTTGAGACGCTGGCTCAGATAATATAGTCGTGGAAAAGCTGTTCCGTAACGTTCCTTATCGCTCAGCCCCGGTTCAAAGTGTTGCCCGATCCCTTGGGGTTGGCCTCGACGTATTCGTCCCACGCTCGTGCCTTCATTGTTTCCTCGTCTGCCTTGTCGAGGTCGTCCTCATCAATTTCTGGCTGTACGCCAGATTGCTCTCCACCTTGAAGGACGTTGCCTCTTCGGTGCTCTTCCGCGAGGTACTCATCAATTGTCATGGTGGGGAGATTGTGGCCTGAACGGAAAACCCCCTCCTGGAGCTGTGTCCGACGGTCCAACAGCGTGAAGGGCTGAATTGGTTTACCCTTGCTATTGAGAATAGGTCCACTCCTTCCACCATTGAGTAACTGTGACAATGATGGGTCTAGGCGATCTGAGTAGTTTGCCCCTCCAAGGTTGCTCCGTTGTCTCGGGTCATCTGGCGGTGGCTGGATCGGGGCGGGTGCATTTTGCATCGCCGAAAGCATTGCCAGTTCTTGCATCAAGAGGTCAAGCGCTTGAAAGGTTTGGTGGGTATAGAGTTGTAACTCGGCCAGGTAGAGTCTCCGAGTGTCATCATCGTCGCTTTGGAGCCGGGCTTCATTCCGCGCAAGATACTGCAGGCTGGTGAGTGGACGGGCCTGATTCGACCTCGTAGGACATATACATACCTCCAGTTTTTGCTTCAGCTCCTTTTCTTCCCTGAATCGCCTCACCTTAATATCTCGTCGGGCGGCCGCATCATTGACAGGGGCAAGAGTGAAGGACGTCGGGTTGGCCATGTATTGCGCGAAGAGTTTCTTATCCCCTCCATATAGTAGCTCATATTCGTCAAGACGTGTGAGGAACCTCTCGTATTGCTCCAGGGCTCGGCGTAGAACGGCTTCACGATCGGATGTGGTGGCGCGCTGGATCAGCTCGGCAAGGTGATATTCCAGTGTCATGTATCTAGACTTGACGGTTAGCTCGGAGACAGCGACTCGGCGTGTGGTGGATAAACGTACTGGATGTCTCCGGTCGACACATCGTCCAGCGACTCATTTGAGCTGAACAGAGAGACAATGCTCACCTGTCGCTGGCATTCTTGGAACTTGGCGATTGCTGCATTGACCAGGTCGCGGTAGGTCTCGGTGTTGGTGTCCCCTCGCAATTCCAAGGATTTCTTGTCGCCCTTTGCCGCAGAGAACAAAGACCGAAGGTTCTGCGACTCTTCCATGATTGTGATCTCGTGATGTGTGTGGAAGGCGAATCTCAACGCGCTTTCTTCGCCCCGCAGTTTCGGCCTGAGATTTGGCGAGGCGATAAGCGATAGGAGAGCTCCATCTTATCGCAATCGAGTGGAGCGGCGAGCGGCCCGCCCGATTACATTTGGACAATATTGTATCGAGTTGGTTACTATGCATACCACTGTGGAGATCGCAGATATGACTGGTGGCAGAAAGAGGTCGAATAGATCGTTTGAAGATGCATGAGGTTGTTTGTTTGAGTCAAACTGGATGGGTTACCGCAGACTGGCTTGTGGCACCTGACCAGCGCCGCTCGGGAGTATATATATCAAAATGCAGCCCAACATCATCCTCTTCCTCTTTGATCACTTTCTCACATATATCACATTTCATCACTTTCTAAAACAAGAATCATATCGGAGATCCCAGTCGATTACACCATCTGCGAGGAATGATCACACCTTCTCTCCTCACTTCCACAAACTCGAGCTTGCTATGCAGCCTTCTTCGGAGCCACAAAAGGGCCCAGCACCAGATACCATGGCATCGGCCGACCAAGGCGCCGCCATTTCCGACAATTCCGATAGTGAAGAGAATCAGATTTCCGTTCCAGTGGCTTCGGAGAACCGAAAAGCTCAAAATGCCCAGTTTGAAGCTCTGTTGGTCTTCCAAACACGTTATTACCTCAAAGTGGCGCTAATCTATTGACAGGCTGAGCGAACATGCGGTCCGGAACTCCAGTGCGACGGCCAAGTCTAAAGCAGCCAACCGACCAGATCATGAGCTTGCCATTGCGTCTCTGCTGGCTAAACACGACCCGAACGCCCGCAGTTTAGACCCCCGAGCGTACCAGATTGAGCTGTTTGAGCGAGCAAAGCTTCAGAATACTATTGCAGTTCTCGACACAGGTGAGCGAGTGCAGAATCAAATGCCGAGGAGTATATTTTGACGAATTATCGATTCTAGGCTCAGGAAAAACCCTCATCGCGGTTTTGCTACTGAAGCATATTCTCCAGCAGGAGCTGATAGATCGGGGTAACGGCAAGCCTCATCGGATTGCCTTCTTTTTGGTACGCTAATTTCCAAATAGCTTTGATTGAATGCTAAAAATAGAATAGGTCGATAGCGTGACCCTTGTTTTTCAGCAATCCGCTGTTTTGCGCAATAACATTGACCAAAGTGTGGGCCACTTCTTTGGCAGCATGGGAGTGGACCTCTGGGACCAGCAAACCTGGGACCAGCATTTCACCCGAGAACATGGTCATAGTATGCACGGCTGAGATTCTCAACCAGTGTCTTCTCAATGGATTTGTGAAGATAGGCCAGATCAACCTCTTGATCTTTGATGAGGCGCATCACACCAAGAAAGATCATCCCTATGCACGGTAAGTACCCTACCTCGACGCAGTAAGCGGCTCCGATGACCAGCAACTGACATCAAAAAGCATCATTCGCGACTCGTACCAGGGCGCGGACCCTACAATGCGCCCTAGAATTTTTGGCATGACAGCTTCTCCCATCGATGCCAAGGGCGATATCGCAAAAGCGGCAATGTAAGAGCAAGTTCTACCTGCGCTAAACCAACACTCTTCTAACTGATAGTATCAAGGAAGCTAGAGGATCTTCTGGACAGCCAGATAGCAACGACAGCGAACCTGGAAGCTCTGCTACAAATCGTGAGGCGGCCGATGGAGGAGATATGGACATACTCCAACCTCAACGCTCCCTTTGAAACAGACCTGTTTCGGCTCATGAAAAATACGGTTGGAGGTATGAAGTCACTTGAGCCAGTATTTAGATTTTCTTGGATAGCAAGCGCCGAGCTGGGAAGATGGTGTGCTGATTATGTGTGGACACACGCCCTGGCGGATGAGGTTATCCCCAAGCTTCAGGCCAAAATCGGTAAGAACTCGGGTTCCGACAGTGAGGCACCGGGGAAAATCGAGAAAGACATCAAGCGCATACAAGAGGCAAGTGATCTTGTGAAAACTTACGAGCTCAGCAACCCACGAGAGCCAGGACAACTTAGTCCGAAAGTCGAATGTCTACTCAGGAAGTTGACGCAGCACTTCAGCATGTCAAAAGATAAGAAGTGCATAGTGTTTGTCAAGAGGAGAAATACGGCCAAAGTGATGGCACGCCTTTGCGACATAATGAACATTCCTAACCTCCGCCCCGGCGTCTTGGTTGGTGTTCAAAACTCTGACGTTACAGGAAACATCACATTCCGCGACCAGTTTCTCGTGTTGATCAGATTTCGACAAGGGTCAGTTAATTGTCTTGTGAGTGTCATTTTTCAAAGGAATGGGAGAATTGCAGCTAACGTCATCAGTTTGCAACATCGGTCGCCGAAGAAGGACTCGACATCCCCGATTGCAATCTCGTCGTCAGGTGTGTATACACTTCCGCTATGACAATTGCCACTGTCTAATATTCGAATAGATTTGACGTTTACGACACCCTCATTCAATACATCCAAAGCAGAGGTCGTGCTCGACATGCCGACTCGACGGTATGTTTCCGACCTCCCTGTGGATTAACTGAATACTTACAAAAATTCAAAGTACGCGACCATGACTGAGCAAGGGAGAAAGGAACAGCAGCGGCGGTTACAAGAAGTGCGAGAAAATGAGGTATGCAGATTCTTCATCAAGTCGAATATGATGTTAACGTAGTAAAACACAGGTCCAGATGCGTTTCTTCTTCCAAAATCTCCCCGAGAACAGATTGATCTACGGAGATGATCACGATTTGGAGAGAATAAAAGAGCAGAGAGAGGCAGAGCGCTTTTTCGAGATAGACATTTCGGGTGCAAAATTGACATATCCCCATGCCATGGACATCCTGGCACGGTATGCCCAGTCACTGGTAAGTGCATGCTTCTGGATTGTTTTGCAACCGTCTTTTCACATGAACTAAAATGAAAACAGCAATACGAGAGCGATATTTCGACAGAAGTCACGTACTTTATCATTCCAATCAACAAATGCTTCATTTGCGAAGTGATCCTGCCTGAGAAGTCACCTATTCGAGGCGTCACTGGAAAGCCTGAGTCGAGGAAACTGAGAGCCAAGCAGTCAGCCGCGTTTGATCTTTGTGTGCTCCTCCGAAGGAATAAGCTGCTAGATGAGCACTTCTGTTCGATCTACCAGAGGCGTCTACCCGCAATGCGAAACGCAAAACTGGCAATCGTGTCGAAGAAAACGAATCAATACACCATGCGCTGCAAACCATTAATATGGAGTCTAGAAGAGGAAAGGAACCCTGAGCTATTGTACGGAATGGTCATGAGCTTCAGGCCTTCGCAGAAACTGATTCGTGAGCATGGCGATTTAATGCTCTTAACCCGAAAGCAACTTGTGGAATTCCCGGAATTCCCTGTCTATGTGGAAAACGATACAGAGACCCATGTTCGGACCGTGGGTCTTAGACCGGTTCTTTCGATCAATTACCAGGAGCTGATGCAGTTGACCAAATTCACCACTTCGGTCTTCAGTGACCTCTTTCAGAAAAGCTTCGATCCAACCCCAGAGAAGTTTCCTTATTGGCTTGCGCCGGTGAAACCGGGCATCGGAGAAGTGACGTGTACTTCTGTACCCAAGAAAGTGATTGACTGGGATACACTGCGTTTCGTTTATGAAAATCCTGAGTTGAGCTGGTCCAAGAACATGGGGCCAGAGTATCTCTTGAACCAGTTTTTCTATGACCCCTGGGATGGCAGAAAGCGATACTTTCCACTCGCCATTGACACAAGCCTACGTGCATCCGACCCTCCTCCAGCCTGGGCGCCCCAGCGAAGGTGGATGAAAGACATCGTGAACTACACTCTTAGCCTCTCCAAAAATTCCCGACCAAAGTTTCTGGAACAATGTGATTGGGACCAGCCAGTACTTCGAGTCGAGCACATTTCCTATCGACGGAATTTCCTTGATAGGGCAACTGAAGGAGAAAAGTCAGAAAGTTCAATCTGCGCTGTTTGCCCCCAGCCTTTGAGAATCTCCCCTGTGAGTCACCCTGCCATGGAATTTCAACAACATTTGCTAACCTATTAGATCCCCGTTCGCATCGTGACTTCATGCTTGGCTTTTCCAGCAATCATCACAAGGTTAGAAGCGTACATGATTGTTCGAGAAGGATTTCAATCTTTGGGCTTGGATATGAGACTTGACCTCGCCCTTGAGGCTTTCACCAAGGATTCTGACAACACTGAGGATCACCGAGCCCTGCAGATCCATGTACAGCGAGGCATGGGCAAAAACTATGAGCGACTGGAGTTCTTAGGAGACAGTTTCCTGAAAATGGCAACATCTATCTCACTATTCTGTCAAAAGCCTGATGATGACGAATATGACTTTCACGTGAACCGGATGTGTTTGATTTGCAACAAAAACATGTTTAATGCTGCTATCAAGATGGGACTCTATGAGTACATTCGCAGCCGCGGTTTCTCAAGGTATGTTATGCACACCCAATCTTATTCTCAAAAAAGGGACTTCGCTCACATCAATATAGACACAACTGGTATCCTCCTGGTCTCCAGCTTCTCCGAGGCCGTGACTACATCAGGCATCTTGTCACAGAAAGCTCCCATAACCTCGCAGAGAAGACCATTGCAGATGTTTGCGAGGCGTTGATAGGAGGTTCGATGCTTTCTGGTGGCAAAGAGAACCGCTTCGACATGGCCGTGAGAGCAGTCAGTGTTTTCGTGAACAGTACCAATCATGCAGCAGACTGCTGGGGAGACTATCGTATAACTTATACAAAGCCGGCGTACCAGACCAAAGTTGCTGATGGGTTCGAGAATGATCTCGCCCAGAAAATTTTCGAGCGGCTAGGTTACAGGTTCAAATACCCGCGACTGCTACGATCTGCATTTACCCATCCGTCCTATCCACAAGCGTGGGCCAAGGTGCCATGCTACCAGCGACTGGAATTTCTGGGAGACGCTTTGTTGGACATGGTGTGCGTGGAGGACATCTTCGAAAGATTCCCGGATAAGGATCCGCAATGGCTAACTGAGCACAAGGTAAAAGTTTGCACTGAGTAGCAGGAGTATTCATTTTTGCTAACTGGATTCTGAAGATGGCAATGGTGTCAAACAAGTTTCTTGGGGCCTTGGCCGTCAAGCTAGGGTTCCATCGACATCTACAACATTTCAGCGCGCCTATTCAGGCGAATGTAACGCATTACGCTGAAGATATCCAGACCGCGGAAGCTGAAAGCGAGGGAGCGATGGACTACTGGCTGGGCACAAAGGATTCTCCCAAAGTAGTATTTCCGAGCCTACAATGTATGGAAGATCACGGGAAAGCTGACAATTCTACGACTTTAGTGCCTGCCTGACATGGTCGAGGCTTATATTGCGGCCATCTTCGTCGATTCCGACTTCGATTACAAAGTCGTCGAAGAGTTCTTCATCACCTACGTCAAACCATACTTCGTGGATATGTCACTGTACGACACATTCGCCAACCGACATCCGACAGTGAGAAACCCCCACATCTTGCCTCGTCAATATTTCCCCGCATACTGATCAGGTCACAGACTTATCTGCACAATCAGCTGACCAATATCTACGGCTGCACGAATTATTGCCTCAAGTCTGGTGAGCTCCCTGGCATAGACGGAGACGCACCACGTATTCTTGCCGCTGTTCTGATCCATGGCCACTCCGTCGCGGAAGCAGTTGCATCTTCAAGCCGATACGCGAAAGTCCGAGCGAGTGAACGTGCACTGGCGGCGATCGCGGGGCTGTTGCAGACCGACTTCCGTCTTAAATTTTTTTGTGATTGTCGGCCTCCATCTGAGTCCGAAAGGATGAAGACAGAACACGTTGGAACTGCGATTTGAGTCTGACAGTTGATGGATGATGATCTTTGGTATCCTTCTGAAAATACAATTCAATGTGCTCGATATGAATGCCACACTCGAAATTAGACGGGTAGAAACGTTCTGTGTAGTAGTACCTTGGAGTATTTGTATGAAGTCGTACTTCAGGTAGTTTTGTGGAACGGTTCAGGGACCCTTGGCTGTCACATGGTCCGGCGTTGCCCCTAGTCTCGATCTGGTTAGCTTGTATCCCCTGAAGTTTGGCGGCCTTCTTTGGGTAGAGAACAAACATGGCGAATCTGTTATCGACCTACCACACCCGACTTGCCTCTCGTCAGCACTCTTTCTTTTCTTCGATCTTGTAATTCAAATTGTCGCCTTTATTTTAACTCCGCGATCCGACGCCGCGTTTCGATCCTCCCCGCTCGACGCGACACGGTCAAATATCTAATCAGCTGCTCCGATCGCGCTCCGCTTCTTTGAACCGCCCATGATTCCTCGAAGCTCGTTGCCATAGAGTCGAACACAAAGATGGAGGTCGCCGCTACGAGCATATCAAACGGCATGCCTACGCCTGAAACCGCCGCTGCGGTGGACCCGGGCACTGTGATCCAGTACCTGACAGAGGTACTCCAGGTGACACTGGGGGCCTTGAAATCCGATCTGGAAAGCGCTGGAAGCTTGCTGTCGGCTGCTAAACACAGTGAGACCACGCAAAGATGTATGCGCTTTGCCTCTGAGTCGCAAGTCGCGCTGTATGTACAGAAAGATATCGCGGCTGCGGAGGAGACAAATGGCCAGAATGAAGGTAAGTTCCGCCGTACAAATAGTCGGACTCCTCGTCCCAGTCCTAACAGCGTACGCAAAGACTCGCTTCAGTATGTCTATACCCTCTCCTCCGAGATGTCCTCCGCGTCGACCACCGTCGCCTCCGTCGCCTTCATAAAACGCCCTGCTTCGATCGACCCGGCTCTCCCAATTGCATCGCAAATTCAAGTCATGAACTTGCCGGGTCTGGCCTCGCTCAATAACGCCCAAACACAGCAAGGAAACTCGATGTCGCCCTATCAGATTCTACACCTGCTCCTCCACCACGGTCTCAGTCCCTACTTCGAAGCCTACACCCGCAACCAAGAAACAATCACCGGAGCGAAACCGAGGGCGGACACGGAAGCGAAAACTGGTATTCCCGGCACAAAAAGAAGTTCGCTGAACTTGAGCTGGGTCTGATGCACTTGCAACAGAACGTGGAGATTCCGGCACTGAACCTTCCGTTGCACGAAGTTGTGCAAAGTGCGCTGAAGGAGGCCGAGGCAAAGGATGTCAAGCCATCGGTGGAGCTTATCCCAGCGTCTGTCCTGGACAGCAGTGCCTTCACAAACAGCATTCAAAATACCGTGAATGGCTGGATTCGGTCCATCCAGACCATCACCAAGATGACTCGTGATCCGGATGGAGAATCCGCTGCTCCAGAAGTCAACTTCTGGCTCTCAATGGAGTCTGCACTCGAAGGGATTGAGGGACAGCTACAGAGTGATGGAGTCCGGCTGACCATGGACATTTTGCGCCATGCGAAGCGGTATCAGCCGACCCTCAGCTTTCAGGCGGACACGGGGCTGAAAGATGCCTCTGAGCTGGTCCAGAAATACAATCAGCTCATGCGAGACTTTCCTTTGGATGAACTTCTATCCGCTACTTCTCTGCAAAAAGTGCAGGAATCTCTTGGTTTGATTTTCACCCACTTGAATAAGAAGCTCAAGATCTGCCCGTATCCCATCAAACGCTCTCTTTCGCTTGTTGAGTCCATATCCGGTGACCTTGACAAGAAGATTCATGACCTGATCAATGGCCGCGATGTCCTCCATCTGGATTACCGCGAATTCCGGTCGTTGATGAAGATTACTCAGGCCATCTGGCGAACCTGGGATGAAAATCTCAAAGAATTCACCAACGTTGCCCGTGAGTCTACGAGACGCCGAAATGAGAAATTCATCCCGATCAAAATCAATGCTCGACACGATAAGACTCGCGAACGACTCAAGTACATTGATACTTTCCGGGTAAACCATGAGCAGCTCCAAAAGACTATCATCAATGTTCTGGGTCCGAAGAACTTGTCACCTGCAGAGACCGGCGCTGGCGTTGACTCTGATGGAGCTGTTATCGTGGAAGAAATTGGTGACGTGGATGCTGTGGAGGAAGTCACACTTGCCTATGCTGCTTTGAAGAATGTGGACGTTCTAGATGTTTCTCCGGAAGGATCTCGCACCTGGGAGCAAGCCGAGATCGGCTACAGTGAGCGTACATCTCGTGTCGAAAATTCTATTATTGCTCGTTTGCGCGACCGCCTCGCAACTGCGAAGAATGCCAATGAGATGTTCCGTGTCTTCTCTAAGTTCAATGCTCTTCTCGTTCGCCCGAAGATCCGTGGTGCAATTGGAGAGTACCAAACGCAGCTTATCGACAACGTCAAGCGTGACATTTCAGCCCTCCATGAGCGTTTTAAACACCAGTATGCTCATTCTGAGGCTCACGCCATGGCTCAATTGCGCGATCTCCCGCCTGTATCGGGCGCCATTATCTGGGCAAGACAAATCGAGCGACAGCTCGATGGCTATATGCGTAAGGTTGAGAATGTCTTGGGAGAGGACTGGCATTTGCACACCGAGGGTGAGAAATTACAAGCCGAAAGCAGTCTGTTCCGTAAGAAGTTGGATACTCGTCCAGTGTTCGAGTCCTGGCTTTGGGACGTTCAAAGACGCCATATCACCATTTCGGGCCGTCTCTTCAATATCGTCCGCAACCGCGCTGCCGGAAATAGCTTTGAGCTCACTGTCAACTTTGACGCCCAAATCATCGCTCTGTTTAAAGAGGTCCGCAATCTTATTTGGTTAAACTTCCAAGTTCCCCATGCTGTGAGCAACATTTCGAAGGAAGCTAAGCGTGTCTATCCCTACGCAATTAGTTTGATGGAGAGCGTTCGTACCCTTCTACAGACAAACCGTACCATCGCTGCGATGTCCGATGTTGCTATCCTTCTCAATGGCTACGTTAATGATTCGCAAGCCATGGTGGCCAAGGGTATCCCTCTCAGATGGGAGTCTTTTGTTCACTCTTACGAACTTCACGTCAAGCAGTCTGCCCTCGCTAATGGTGCCATCGACACTTCCATGCCTAACCGTACCGAGAGCAAGCATGTGCAATTTGTTCGTGAATTCGCTGGCTCTGCGTCTGTTCTTCAATCCAAGACTGCCGTCTTGTCATCCATCAACGAGAACATCCAGAAGTCTATTCATGAGCTCAAGACGTGCCCTTATGACTTTACAGCATTCAAGCAGCGTTTGGATACGATTCAGATCGCTGTTGATAAGCTCAACTTGGAAAACTATGTCAATCTAGGCTACTGGGTTGCTGAACTGAACGAAAAGATCGAGGCTATCCTCCAAGAACGACTTCACCGGGCCGTTCGCGAATGGATCAGCACTTTCCAAGAATCTCGCAACCCAGAGGCCGTGACTTTCCAGTCGCAGTTCGGTGTCATTGAGCCAGAGGCCACTATTTACAGCATTGAATTCCCCGAACTTTTCCACGAGATCTCCATGAAAAATCAGGTTCTTCATCTCGATCCACCACTGCAATACGCCCGCGCAAGCTGGTTCGTGCACTTTGATAATTGGCTGGGTGTGATCTGCAATCTGGAGAAAATTAAGGCCTCCCGCTACCAAATCTCCATTGATGTTCAGACCGTTCGTCATTCGGAAGCCTGTTTCGCAAACCTGCCGGAGCGGTGTACCGATGAGCTTAACCAGGTCTACGGAGTAATTGAAAGCCGACTCAAGGATGTGTCACAATACGTGGACAAGTGGCTGCAATTCCAGTCCCTCTGGGATCTGCAGTCTGAGCAAGTGTACGATATTCTTGGGGATGACCTTTCGCAGTGGCTTCAGCTCCTTCAAGAAATCAGAAAAGTCGTGCCACTTTCGATACCTCAGAGGTTAGCCGAGCATTTGGCAACATTCGGATCGATTACGAACAAGTCCAAACCAAGGTCAACGCCAAATACGACCAATGGCAGCATGAAATTTTGCTGAAATTCGGTTCCAAACTTGGTGGCCGCATGCGAGAGGTGCACTCAGAAATAGCGTCTGCCCGCCGCGATTTGGAGGGCCAAACGTTGGAGGCTTCTTCAACCGCCCATGCTGTGTCCTTCATCACCATCGTGCAACAATGCAAGCGCAAGACTCGCGTTTGGGAACCCGAAGTCGATCTTTTTCGCCAGGGCCAAACAACTCTATCCCGACAACGATACCAGTTCCCTAGCGACTGGCTCCACGTCGAAAATGTGGATGGAGAATGGGCAGCCTTGAATGAGCTTCTTACTCGGAAAAGCAAGATTGTCCAGGACCAGACTGATGCCCTTCGTGCTAAGATCGTCGCCGAAGACCGTGTCATTGGTGACAAGATCGCAGAGATCATTGGCCAATGGAATGATGAGAAGCCTGTGTCTGGCACCATCCCCCCGACGAGGCCTCTCGCACACTGAGCTCCTTCCAGTCACGTCTCGAAGCTCTACAGTCAGAGTTTGAGATGGTGTCCAAGGCAAAAGAGGCTCTCGATCTTCCAGCGAACGCGGAGTCATCTCTGCCGGCGATTCTCGAGGAAGTCCAAGACTTCATGTCTGTCTGGGCAGCATTGGCCACAATCTGGAAGAGCCTGGAAGATCTCCGCGAAACATTGTGGGCTTCCGTTCAGCCCCGCAAGATCCGTCAGTCTCTTGATGGCCTGATCAAGATGACCAAGGAAATGCCAAGTCGAATGAGACAATATGCCGCCTTCGAGCATATCCAAAATGTCCTCCGCGGACTGCTCAAGGCCAACAGTACCCTTTCAGACTTGAAGTCCGAGGCTGTCAAAGACCGGCATTGGGAAAAGATCTTCAAGGCTTTGAAACCCGGCGAACGACCTGGCCTGAACAATCTCACTCTTGGTCGGGTCTGGGATTTGAATCTGACTGCAAGCGATGCTGTCATCAAAAGCATTCTTGCGCAGGCTGCTGGCGAGATGGCATTGGAGGAATTCTTGAAATTGGTTCGTGAGACCTGGCAATCATACTCCCTGGACCTGGTGAACTACCAAAACAAGTGCCGTCTTATCCGTGGTTTCGACGATCTCTTTGCCAAGTGTAGTGAGAATCTCTCTTCATTGCAGGCCATGAGAAACTCTCCCTATTACAAAGAGTTTGAAGAGGAAGCTGCCGCCTGGGAGGACAAGCTGAATCGTGTCCATGTTCTGTTTGATGTCTGGATCGATGTGCAAAGGCAGTGGGTGTACTTGGAAGGAGTGTTTACCGGAAATGCTGACATCAAGCATCTCCTTCCACTCGAATCAAGCCGCTTCCAGAACATTAATTCCGAGTTCTTTGCGGTGATGAAGAAGGTCTACAAGTCTCCCTTCGTTCTGGAGGTGCTCGCCATCAACGGCGTTCAGAAGTCTCTGGAAAGATTAGCCGAGCTGCTCAATAAGATTCAGAAGGCCCTTGGTGAATACCTGGAGCGCGAACGTGTGTCGTTCCCGCGTTTCTATTTCGTTGGAGACGAGGACTTGCTGGAGATTATCGGTAACAGCAACGATATTTTCCGAGTGGCGAAACATTTCAAGAAGATGTTCGCTGGCCTTTCGGGACTCCTAATGGATGACGACAATAACATTGTCGGATTCACCTCCAAGGAAGGCGAAGAAGTTCGATTGAAGAAGGAGGTCAATCTTGTCAAGACACCTAGAATCAACGACTGGCTGTCTGCACTGGAGAACAACATGAAGTTGACTCTGGCGGAGCTCCTCGCAGAAGCCATTGAGCAGTTTGATACCCTCTACAACACCACCGAGGTTGATCGGACCGCATTCAGTGACTTTCTTGCCAACTACCCTGCCCAGATCGTCGTTCTTGCCAGCCAAGCTGTGTGGACCAATGCTGTCCAGAAATCTTTGGAAGAGGGCGGCGCAAACCTCTCAACTTTGTATGATGCTGAAGTCCGAATCCTCGAACTGCTCGCCGTCACAGTTCTTGGTGAGCTCGACGCCATTACTCGCAAGAAGTGTGAACATATGATTACCGAATTTGTTCACCAGAGAGACACTATCTCTAAGCTCATGCAATCTAATGCTACCACCCCCACACATCACTTGTGGCTGCTGCAAATGCGCTACGTGTACAAGCCGGAAGGCGATTTCTTGCAACGCCTCTATGTCCACATGGCCAATGCTAAGCTCAACTATGGATTCGAGTATTTGGGTGTTCCTGAACGTCTTGTTCGCACTCCACTCACAGACCGTTGTTTCCTTACTCTCACCCAAGCTCTCTGCCAGAGACTTGGTGGATCTCCCTATGGTCCCGCTGGTACAGGAAAGACTGAATCAGTTAAGGCACTTGGGCTGCAGCTTGGTCGTTTTACTCTGGTATTCTGCTGTGACGACACATTTGATTTCCAGGCCATGGGTCGTATTTTCCTGGGTATTTGCCAGGTTGGTGCATGGGGCTGCTTCGACGAGTTCAACCGTCTGGAAGAGCGAATTCTGTCCGCCGTGTCTCAGCAAATCCAGAACATCCAGATTGGTCTCCGTAAACGCGAAGATGATGGCGATTCTCAAATCGAGCTTGTCGGACGTCGCCTGGCGGTCAATGCCAACACGGGTATCTTCATTACCATGAATCCCGGATATGCAGGCCGATCAAACCTGCCCGACAACCTGAAGAAACTGTTCCGCAGTGTTGCCATGTCGAAGCCCGACAAGGAGCTCATTGCCGAAGTCATGCTCTTCTCCCAAGGTTTCAAGCAAGCCAAGCCTCTGTCAAAGCAGACTGTTCCATTTTTCGATCATTGCGCCTCTCAGTTGTCCAAACAAGCCCACTACGACTTCGGTCTTCGTGCGTTGAAGAGTGTTCTGGTCAGCTCCGGTGGCCTCAAGCGTGCCCGTCTTGCCAGTTCAGACGGTGAGCTCGGCCCTGATGTAGTTGTTGAGCCTCAAATCATTGTGCAGAGCTTGCGAGAGACCATCGCGCCTAAGCTTGTGCAAGAGGATGTTGAGCGCATGCTGGAGATTCAAGTGCAGGATTTCCCTGGCGTGGACTATGTCCCTGCCAACTACGAGAAGCTCACTTCGGCAATTCGGGAGATTGCTACAGGCAAAGGCAACCACTACGTCGACAGTGAGATGTGGGTCACCAAGGCTCTGCAACTTTACCAGATCCAAAGCATTCACCACGGTGTCATGATGGTCGGAAAATCGGGAGCTGGTAAATCAACTGCCTGGAAAATCCTTCTGGAAGCCATGCAGAAGGTTGATGGTGTCGACGGCGTTTCCCATATCATCGACTCCAAGGTCATGTCCAAAGAGGCGCTCTACGGTAACCTGGATAGTACTACTCGTGAATGGACCGATGGTCTCTTTACTGGTATTCTTCGAAAGATTGTCGATAATCTCCGAGGCGAGGACAGCAAACGCCATTGGATTGTTTTCGATGGCGATGTTGACCCTGAGTGGGTTGAGAACCTGAACAGTGTTCTGGACGACAACAAGCTTCTTACCCTGCCCAACGGTGAACGTCTAAACCTACCTCCCAATGTTCGCATCATGTTCGAAGTCGAGACTTTGAAGTACGCAACGCTAGCTACAGTCAGTCGTTGCGGTATGGTTTGGTTCAATGAAGATACGGTCACACCATCGATGATGATAACCAACTACGTCGAGGGTTTGAAGACTAAGACCTTTGAAGACCTGGACGACGATAGCGCACCAGCTGGCATGGCAGCAGCCCGAACTACGACCACACAGGAAACGCTTTCTACAATTCTCAAGCAACTCCTGGAAAGCGATATTCTTGTACTCAAGGCACTCGAAGAAGCAAAAAATTACAATCATATCATGGACTTCACAGAGATTCGCGCCCTCAACACTTTGTTCAGTCTGCTCAACAAAGCCTGCCGCAGTGTCCTGGAATACAACATTCAGCATGTTGATTTCCCTCTTGATCCAGAACAAATCGAGGCGTATATCTCCAAGAAGCTACTTCTTACCCTCGTTTGGTCTTTCACCGGCGACTGCCCGCTCGCAGACCGCAAGGCTTTCGGACAATACATCACTGGCATGTCGACAAGCGATTTACCTCCAACTGGTGACTCGTCTCTCATTGACTTCGATGTTACGCTTCCGAAGTCTGAGTGGACTACCTGGCAATCCCAGGTGCCTTCTATTGACATCAACACCCACTCCGTCACCCAGACTGATGTCATTATTCCGACAGTGGATACTGTTCGCCATGAGGATGTTTTGTATTCTTGGCTCGCCGAGCACAAGCCATTGCTGCTTTGCGGTCCCCCTGGATCGGGTAAGACTATGACGCTATTTGCTGCTCTGAGGAAGCTGCCCAATATGGAGGTCGTTGGCCTCAATTTTTCAAGCGCCACTACCCCTGATCTTTTGATCAAGACATTCGAGCAATACTGCGAGTACAAGAAGACCCTGAATGGTGTCGTGATGTCTCCTAGCCAGATCGGTCGTTGGTTGGTCATCTTCTGCGACGAAATCAACTTGCCCGCCCCCGATCGTTACGGAACTCAGAGAGCTATTTCCTTCCTTCGCCAGCTTGTTGAACAGAATGGATTCTGGCGAACTACCGATAAGACCTGGGTTACTCTGGACCGAATCCAGTTTGTCGGTGCTTGCAATCCTCCCACAGATGCTGGACGTACCGCAATGGGAGAGCGATTCCTGCGCCATGCTCCTCTTATCATGGTCGACTACCCCGGCGAGATCTCGCTCAACCAGATTTATGGCACGTTCAACTCGGCGGTTCTCAAGATTCTTCCATTGCTTCGTGGATACGCCGAGGCTCTCACCAAGGCCATGGTTCAATTCTATCTCGAATCCCAAGCAAGATTTACTCCGAAAATCCAGCCGCACTACGTATATTCGCCCCGTGAGCTGACTCGCTGGGTTCGTGGTGTCTATGAGGCTATTAAACCCCTCGAAACCCTCACACTGGAAGGGCTTGTGCGGATTTGGGCCCATGAGGCTCTGCGCCTCTTCCAGGATCGTCTGGTTGCTGAGGATGAACGGGCCTGGACCGCCGATGCTGTTCGTCGTATCGCACTGGAACATTTTCCCACCATCAATGACGAAGAAGCGCTCAAGGGGCCGATTTTGTTCTCGAACTGGCTATCCAAACACTACGTGCCGGTTGAGCAAGAGCGTCTCCGAGAATTCGTGAAGGCACGTCTGAGAACTTTTTGTGAGGAAGAGGTTGATGTCCCTCTGGTCTTGTTCAATGACGTCCTGGAGCACGCTCTGCGCATCGACAGAGTCTTCCGCCAGCCCCAGGGTCATCTTATTCTCATCGGAGTCAGTGGTAGTGGAAAGACTACGTTGTCTCGCTTTGTTGCCTGGATGAATGGTTTGAAGGTCTTCCAGATCAAGGTTCACGGCAAGTACTCTTCGGAAGACTTTGACGACGACCTGAGAAGTGTTTTGCGGCGAGCAGGCTGCAAGGGTGAGAAGATCTGCTTCATCATGGATGAATCAAATGTTTTGGACTCTGGTTTCCTGGAGCGCATGAACACCCTACTTGCGAACGCTGAGGTCCCTGGTCTTTTCGAAGGCGATGAATTCTCTTCTTTGATGACCGCCTGTAGGGAGGGTGCTCAGCGCCAAGGCTTGCTGCTTGACTCCCAGGAGGAGTTGTACAAGTGGTTCACGCAGCAAATTGTCAAGAACCTGCACGTGGTGTTTACCATGAACCCACCCGAGGAGGGCCTGTCGTCCAAGGCAGCTACCAGTCCAGCCTTGTTCAACCGTTGCGTGCTCAACTGGATGGGTGACTGGTCTGATCAAGCATTGTTCCAGGTCGGCTCGGAACTTACCCATTCGGTTGATCTCGACAAGTCCAACTTTGTCTCGCCCGACAGCATTCCCGTGGCATACCGCGAGCTGTCATTGCCAGCATCGCACCGAGACACGGTTATCAACTCTATGGTTTATATTCACCACTCGCTGCACAGGTTCAACCAGCGTCTGCAAAAGCAGCAGGGTCGGACTACTTTCCTCACTCCTCGCCACTATCTCGATTTCGTTGCCCAGTATGTCAAGCTGTTCAACGAGAAACGTGAGGACCTTGAGGAGCAGCAGCGCCATTTGAACGTTGGTCTTGAAAAGCTTCGCGATACTGTTGATAAAGTCAGCGATCTGCGTGTCAGCCTGGCCCAGAAGAAGACTCAACTGGAGCGAAAGGATGCCGAAGCGAATGAGAAGCTGCAGCGCATGGTTGCTGACCAGCAAGAGGCCGAGCGACGGAAGCATACTTCATTGGAGGTACAGAAAACTCTGAAGGTGCAAGAGAAGGAGGTGGCGGAGCGAAGAGAGGTTGTGCTGAGCGATTTGGCTCGGGCTGAGCCTGCTGTTGTGGAAGCACAAAAGAGTGTGAGCAACATTAAGCGACAGCATCTCACTGAAGTTCGATCTATGGCAAATCCCCCAGCTGGTGTCAGACTCGCAATTGAGGCGGTCTGTACTTTGCTAGGCCACAAGGTCGTTGGTGATTGGAAGTTAGTCGGATCCATTCTTCGAAGGGATGATTTCATTGCCAGCATTGTCAACTACGACAACGAGAAGCAGATGACGCGCGCCCATCGAACAAAGATGCAGAACGAGTACCTCTCCAAAGAAGAATTTACCTACGAGAGAGTGAACCGTGCCAGTAAGGCATGTGGTCCACTAGTTCAGTGGGTCGAAGCTCAAGTTAACTACTCCGCTATCTTGGATCGTGTTGGACCTTTGCGCGAGGAGGTTGGCGAACTAGAGAACCAAGCTTTGCAGACCAAGGCCGAAGCTCAAGCCATCGAAAACACCATCACATCTCTGGAGAACAGCATTGCGACCTACAAGACCGAGTATGCCGCATTAATCAGCGAAACCCAAGCAATCAAGACCGAGATGTCCAAGGTCGAGTTCAAGGTTGATCGGAGTGTGCGTTTACTTGACAGTCTGGCATCCGAGCGTGAGCGCTGGGAGAATGGAAGCAAGTCATTCGAGACTCAGATCAGTACACTTGTCGGCGACGTCCTTATCGCGGCAGCGTTCCTCGCCTATGCTGGCCTGTACGATCAGCAGTTCCGCAAGGCAATGGTTGATGATTGGGTTCATCAGCTGTTTCAGTCGGGCATCACCTTTAAGCCACACAACCCCATCACAGAATACCTGTCCAATGCCGATGAACGCCTGACCTGGCAAGAACACTCTCTTCCAGTCGACGATCTTTGCACCGAGAACGCTATTGTCTTGAAGCGATACAACAGATACCCGTTGATTGTTGACCCCTCCGGCCGTGTTACGGAGTTCTTGCAAAAGGAGAGCAAGGACCGCAAGCTTACCGTTACCAGCTTCTTGGACGACTCTTTTGTCAAGCAGCTGGAAAGTGCCCTGCGCTTCGGAAACCCTATCCTTATTCAGGATGCGGAGCACCTCGACCCCATTCTCAACCACGTTCTCAACAAAGAGTACCAGAAGACCGGAGGCCGGGTTCTGATCCAGCTTGGAAAGCAAGAAATCGATTTCTCGCCGTCCTTCAAGCTGTTCTTGTCAACCCGGGATCCATCTGCTACCTTCCCGCCGGATGTCTGCAGTCGAACAACATTTGTCAACTTTACTGTCACGCAGAGCAGTTTGCAGACCCAGTCGTTGAACGATGTCCTCAAGTTCGAGCGGCCTGATGTCGATGAGCGTCGTAACAACCTTGTCAAGATGCAGGGCGAGTTCAAGGTTCACTTGCGCCAGCTCGAGAAACGTCTGCTACAGGCACTGAACGAATCACGTGGCAATATACTTGACGACGATAATGTCATTGAAACCCTGGAGACTCTCAAGAAGGAGGCTGCGGAAATCTCAAAGAAGATGTCCGAGACCGAAGGTGTCATGTCCGAGGTGGAGAACGTCACAAACCAGTACAGCATTATCGCACGCTCTTGCAGTGCTGTTTTCGCTGTCCTTGAGCAGCTCCACCACATCAACCACTTCTATCAATTTTCTCTGCAGTACTTCGTCGACATTTTCAACTGCGTCCTTTACCAGAACAAACGCCTGGCCCAAGAGAAGGACCACAGCGCACGGGTTCAGATCATCATTCGCGACCTGTTCATTACGACTTACCAGCGCACTTCCCTTGGACTAGTCCAGAAAGACCGTGTCACGTTTGCCATTCTTCTCGCTCAAGCTACTCCCTACACAATGGACAAATCCATCCTCGACCAGATTTTGGACGAGTCTGTTGAGGACGCCGATCTTTCGACCACCGGAACTGATCGTGACCAAGTAATGAGCAAGCTGTGCAAAATGTCTCTCTTCAAGGATGTCATTGCCAATGTTTCCGAAGAGCAATGGGATCGCTTCTTCACTGAAGAACTCGCAGAGAATGCCGTTCCAACTGTCTGGGGCGAAGGCACTTCCAACCTTGATCAACTCCTCCGTTCTCTGCTACTCGTCAAGCTTTGTCGTATGGACCGCTTTGTGCCAACCGCTGAACGCTTCGTGGAAGCTGTCTTCGGTCGTGAGATATTCGGTGGTAGCAGTGACTTGAAGGACGTTGTCGAGCAAGTCACCGCAACGACGCCTATTTCCCTCAGCTCAAGCCCTGGTTTCGATGCCAGCTACAAGGTCGATGCTCTCGTGCAGCGCACCAATGCAACCTGCGCTAATATCGCCATGGGTTCGAACGAAGGTCTTGAGAGTGCCGACAAGGCAATCAGCAATGCTGCGGCGACAGGAAACTGGGTCCTCGTCAAGAATGTCCACCTCGCACCCTCCTGGCTTCAGAGTCTGGAGAAGAGACTGGATTCCCTCAAGCCCCACAAGGAATTTCGCTTGTTCCTTTCCATGGAGTCCAGCCCGAAGATCCCTGTCAATCTCATCCGTGCCTCTCGTGTCTTGATGTTCGAGCAGCCTGCTGGCGTCCGCGCCAACATGAAGGATTCCTTGTCTTCTCTGTCCGACCGTGCCAGCAAGGCTCCTGTCGAAAAGGCCCGTGTCTACGTTCTGCTCTGCTTCCTCCACGCCGTGGTCCAAGAGCGACTCCGCTACGCGCCCAGCCTGGGTTGGAAGGGCTTCTGGGAATTTAACGACAGTGATGTGAGTATTGCTCATTTCCCTCAAAGCAAGATAACTCAGTTCACTAACTTCTTTTCTACAGTACGAATGCTCTGCGCTCATTATTGATCACTGGGTCGATACCGTCGCCCAGGGTCGCTCTAACGTTGCACCCAACAAGCTTCCTTGGGAGATGATGCGCACGCTCATTGCCGAGATGTACGGCGGCAAGATCGATGACGCCGGTGACTACGCACAATTGGAAGGCCTGGTGAATAGCTTCATCACCGCGGCCGCCTTCGAAGACGATTACAAACTTGTCTCGGGCGTTGAAAACGAAGAGCTTCTGGCTCTACCTACCACGACTAGCATGCGTGACTTCGTTGCCTGGGTCAACAATCTTCCTGAGCGTGAACCGCCTACCTACTTGGGTCTTCCTGCGAATGCCGAGAAGTTGTTGCTGGTTGGCCATGGCCGCAAGATGATCTCTGACTTGTCTCGGGTTACGACTCTTCTGGACGAGGGCGAGCAGCTGATGGTTGACAATTAATCTTCTCATATTTCTCCTTTGTCACTGTTTCTACAAGATTTGGAGCTCGGCGTGTTTCTCCTGCCTCTAGACCATTATTTGCAGGGGGTTGTACGTTTACGTGATACCTTCGACGCCGCTGGCGGATGTTTTGAATTTGTTTTTGTGATTTATGTATTTTATTGCAGCTTCTTTCTTTGTACAACTGCGTTTTTGTCAAGCACACTATTTGTGTCCGTACTGCACAATCATTTCTTTCTAAATTACCCTTCTTCCCATTCTTACCTGTCCTTTGTATGTTACATATCGTAATAAGCTCGTTTGCACTAAGGCCTAGAAGAGCCTTCAATATAAACAACTTCATTAGTTATTTCTGTACTACTTGGGCTGATAAGAAAAATCATGTAGGGGGATATAGTCAATAGCATTAAGTATCCAGTATACAATCTGTGGAATATCTGGTACGCGCGGGAGCCAACGATACTCGTCGCTACCCTAGTATAATGTAGAATGACTCAAACAAAAACGCCAACGAGTGTCCACATAGGGTAATGTTCCTATATACGTAGGTCATGATTAGAGACAGCCTCCATATTTTAGGAGATGAAGGTCGACTCTGAGAACATGAATCCTTCTTCAACAATCTCGGTATCACCGATCTTCAGCTTCAAGGACAGCTTCTCCTTTGGCGAGTACTAGGATAAAGTTAGCATATATTTCCAAGAAATGGGATCTATAGACAAAAAATCGGAGCATACCTGGAAGATGTACGGGCGTGTACCGGCGACACTGCCAGCAATGGCCTTGATAAAGCCGGGAACCTCTCCCATAACATCGACGCGATCCAGACGCTTGCCAAGAGCGCCGTCGACCTCGGCGGAGACCTCCTGGCCGTCAGCGGACTTGCCGGTCCACTCCCACTTGATGGAGGTAGGCTCGGGCCACTCGCTCTCGGGGTCGAGAGCCGAGGCGGTATGGGTGATCGTGTTACCGGCGCCGGCGTAGATAATCTCGCCGTCCTTGAGAATACCACCAACGTTGACCTTGGTGGAGCCGTAGGAGGGGGGAGTGGTGAACTCCATCATGATGGCGGAGTAAGTGGGGGTCTGGAAGTTGATGAAGTTCCAGCGGGCAGCTGCAATCAATGTCAGCCTACGAGGATAGTTTTCGACGTATATTTCTTTTTGCTTGTCCATACCTGCGTGGTGAGGCTTCATGCCCTGCAGAGCCGGGATGAAGACACCGCGACCGGTCAGGTCGTACGTCTTCTCCTTGGTGGTAATAGTACCCTCGACCGCACAGCGGGCCCAGAAGGCGTGGCTCATGGAGCCCCACGGGTTCTTGGGGTCGGTTCCGAAGTAGGAGGTACCGTTCTTCCCGACGGCGAAGCCGGGGGCCTTGCGGGTGAACTTGAGGTCCACCAGACTGTTCGGGTTGACAGTAGACTTGATGGTGTAGGAGTCGCCCTCCTCGTTGAGGGTAATGGTCATGTTATCCGCGCCGAAGGAAAGCATGTGCTCGTCGAACATGAAGTTGGTGAGAGGATCGGAGTGCCAGACGTGGTCACCATTGCCCTGGAGGTTGAAGATCTTCGTGTTGAAGTGCGCGGTAGTATGGATGCCCCTACAGAGGTCGAATAACAGCCCAGACGGTCAGCGACCGCTCATTCAACACAATATCATATCCAAAACTTTTGGTTCCACACGCAACTGGATCCGATTTACTTACACAATGTTGCTGTAGATGACCTGGACCATGACCAATGTGCCGTTGTCGGCCATGATGTAGAAGGTCTGGGTCTCGACATTGGTGTACTGGTAGGCCTTCCAACGCAAGTCATCCTTGCTCAGCACGGTGTAGGGCGTCTCCTCGGCCTGCTTCGCGACCGACTGGATGGCTTCGGGGCCATAGATGGGCTCCTGCGTGCCCACGGCCGCTGAGAGACTGCCCGCATCCATTCGGGTCAGCTAGCCCCACCACGTTGATGGGTCGAGACACACTTACGTCGACTTGAGCCAGTTCATGGTGAATCGGGATTTGAGACCGCAACGGAGAGAGCGATCGAAAAAAGGAAAGGGGAGGTGAAGGAGAAGGGAGATCGACGCGGGGCCTGCGAGTTTAGTTTGGGTCGGATGGGAAGGGCGCCGAGACCGAGCAGACTGCAGTAGAACAAAGCGACGGACAAGAGGATCGGGCAGCAGAGAACCACAGCACTTTCACTCACTTTGCTTCAATATGCCGTCTGTAACTTGGGATATTTGCTGAATCGTGTAAATACTTCAGAGTGAGTCGCGATGACGTCCAGCGCTGAGCAGCTCGCTTGGCCCGCGGGCCAATCAACGGCGGGTCACCTGAGGAAAATCTGCCGGCTGCGGCGATTCTCGACTTGTTGCTGCTTCGAGCATCTCCCCGTCTTCCCCCAACACCACACACCATGGCCAAGAACGCGCTGGCTAAGGAGCAGTTCGTCAAGCTCATTGTCGGAGCTGGCCAGGCCAGTCCCAGTCCCCCCGTCGGTCCGGCGCTGGGTAGCAAGGGTGTCAAGAGTATGGACTTTTGCAAGGTGAGCTTCCCCCATCTGGACCCTGATCATAATGGCCCCTTAACCAGGACCTCCGGAATTGGCTGTGTCTGACTGTCTGCGTCCAGGAGTTCAATGCCCGCACCGCCCACATGAATGTCGGCGTCCCCATCCCGGCGCGCGTCACTGTCCGTCCCGACCGATCCTTCGCCTTTGACCTGCGCACCCCGACCACCACCTACCTGCTGCTGAACGCGGCCAACGTCGAGCCCCGAAAGAACCGCATCCGCGGTGCGATGCGCCCCGGCCACGAGACCTGTGGCGAGATCTCGCTCAAGCACGTCTACGAGATTGCGCAGATCAAGCACAGCGAGACCCGGTTATCAGGGCTGAGTCTGCAGGGTCTGTGCAAGAGTGTCATCTCGCAGGCCAAGTCCATTGGCATCAAGGTCGTCCCGTGATCGCGTGGAGTTTTTGTCGGGCGCGGGATTGAATTCGACCTGTATCACTACGAGTGCGGTACCACGCCAGGCGGTCTCGTCTCGGCGCCCTGGCGGACTCCGGAAGGTGCCCTGACTACATTTATGTGTTTTATTTGGCGTTCTTGTCGAGGGAGAAAATGGGATCCTCCTCGCTGTACTATATATACCTGATCATTTGATGCATGCGACTCGAGCGATATATGCATATCACAATGGGACATCTGGCATGACCAGCATATCTGCAATGCCATGACGCAAAGCCAGATTCTTCTCCCGTATTCGGCGTGGGCCTTTGTGGTTGCGCCTTACGAAAGTACATACTTTGGGGTACCTAGCGGGTTGCCAGCTGCCTGGAGCCATACTTCAAATGCTGTCGAAAATGTACACCTGCCTAAGCTGCCTAAGTTTAGCATCAATATAGCTGGCGCCTGCTTGATGCTGATCACTGACGCAGAAAACATGTAATGTCGAGTCGTCTAGTATTCTCCAGCCGATTTTCAGATGAACTATACTCTGATTGGAAAAGAAATTGGACACGAGTCGGCAATTCGACGGTCATGACTTGTTTTGCTACATTTTAGTTGTCTCAGTACCAGAGGTAGGCAATACGACAGATCTACGACACAAAGTTCTAGGCTGCATACATACTCCATGGAATTGGAGTGTCACTTACACTGATATAATTCCGACACAGACGTACACAGTGCTACAGCCGATCAAGATCGAAAGTAGCTCCAGTAGCATCTACGTTAGGTAAGATACTCGACCTGGCCGTGACCTACTGATTCTCCACGCGGGCCTGAATGAAAGAAGGGGTATGTCGGAGGCTGTGCTACTGTGCGAGGCGAGGCATTACACGTAAATCTCCGCAAGGAGACAACATGAAATGCCGGGGTAAGCGTTACATACTAAATAGTATCCTGGTGCGTGGTGCGGGGCGCCACGCTGAGTACGATGCCACATTGCTTTTGGCGCACTGGCGCCTGGTGCGACTTCATCTTGCGGGCCACCGGTGACGGGAAAAGACAACGATGCTCCGCCTCCGCTTTCGCAGGGATCTGCTTCAGAATCCAGCTGGCTTGGCGGGTATGGAGGGCGATCACGACGGGACGCGCATCCATGGATGATCCCTTGGCAGGCATGGTACCGTGAGAACGGAAGATCCGTTTGGCAGCGTGGTTGATTGTCATGGGGGATCTTTGTGGAGAAACGGTGAGAGAAAGGGTGACCGTCCCTCGAGGGCATGGTACCTCAGGTATCAACAGCATCACCAGGCCAGCCAGTCCGACAGGCTGCAGGGCATGGAGAGTCAACTAGTCCTATTCAGGTAAAATTCCAGAGCGTCGGCGAAGCAGCAACAACGATGGCGCGCAGGTCATGTTCGCAGCCGGGAATCGGCACGAGGGAATAGACGTGGGCATCGACATCATAGGTCCCCTCCACCGTGCCCTCCGCGCCCTTCCGAGATCTTCGGGAGAGCGACCAGCTCGAATTCTGCGGTGCTAGAGCCGATAAGGATCTGTCATGAGGCGACGAGAATCAGTCGGGCGTAGTTCCGTGAAGTGATGGTGATTGCGTAAAGAGAGAGGGAGGGAAGGTAGGAACGTGAAAGAGTGCTTGGTGATGAGGCCGTGACTGTCCCCCCACCCGCTTGGCCTACAGGCCCAGACCCCAAACTCATTCCCCTCTTTCGACTTCGCGACTTCCTGGTTTCTGCGGTCGATTTACACTCTACATTTACTCCGACTCAACCTTCCTCTTCTCCCCTCCTCGTCCTCCTTTTCTTTTTCCTCTCTGGAGGTCATCCTTGTCCCGTTGCGGTCGGGCTTATCGCACGGATTCGGCACCGAAAAACCTAAGAGGAAGAGATTTGCCTCCGCGTAATCGACGCTTTCTGCGGAATCCCCAGACGCCCAAACCGACGAGGGTCTTCCCCCAGAAAAAAAAGAAAAGGGAAAAAAAAAAAAAGAAACAGGACGCCCGTTCCTGCGAACTCACCCTCGTCTACCAAACCGTCCCCCCGCAGCGCAGAACTCCCCGAGGGGCATGCCGTCCCACTAGGCCCCGAGGTGGTGTCGATTGAGTATGACGTCTGAACAGGCCGATTCGACCCCAACCGCCAACTCCATGGAGTCAGGTATGTCTTGGCCACGCCCTCCCTGTCGTACCCGAATCCCTTACTGACTCCGCATGCTTGATTACCACAGGCCCGCAGGCTATGCATCCCCAAGCCAAGATGCCGGGCCAAGCGGAGACCGACTCCGACGCCAAGTCAAGATCGCAGCCCGGCCAGGTTCGCTTCTCCTCTGTCACGCAGGAGATCGAACCCTCTCGATCACAGCTGTCCCCGGACCCGGAGCAAACCCCGACAGACTCCCGCAAGAAAACTGAAGAAGAGGAACTGCGGTCCCTGGCGATGAGCTTGCAGAGCTCCCAGCTTCAGGAGTCCCGTCTGCGTAACAACTTCTCATTCGAGCCAATGTCGCTTCCGTCGTCGAGAGTATGTCTACACTTTACTTGTTCATCTTCCTCTGGACCGAGCTAGTTTGGTGAACGTGGCCCGGAATTGGGAATCAAACCAAGTCCTTTCTGATGGTCCCTCGGGGCCTCTGAATGCCGCTCCCTGCAAACCCGTTAGACCCGGTGTGGAGAATTGAATCCAGTGCTAACGTCTCACCTCTCCCCTCATTCAGGTTGCCTCTCGAGAATCGAGCGATCGTAGTGGCCGAGACGGTCCAGGCTCCTACGTGACTTCTCCTCATGCATCTCCCCCAGTTTCCGCCGTACAGTCGCCTCCCCTGACTCCCGCCGTCACCCATTCTCGCGATGGCCGATCTACCGAAAGCGCCTCTCTACTGAACGCAGTTGGCAATGTCAACGCAAAGGCATCGGCCATCACTCCCGAAACTTCCCCACCCGTCTCATCGGCCGACAAGAATGGTACGCAACGAAGTGCTCCATCCTCGCGACCCGGTTCCACCGACCGCCTCTCTACCAAACAGAGCGGTGCTTCGGAACCTTCGTCCCAGGCTCACAGCACATTGCCCCGGCACCGAGCTCAATTCTTCATTGGCACCGATGCCAGCTCACAAGAAGAAAGCCCTCCTGCAACTCCCCGCGACTCGCATACGCCGCCGGGTACCATCACACCAGTAGGCGAGCCCAATGACCCATACGCTCGCAGCAAGCGGCCACCGCAGCCGAAGAACCTCGCTCAGCTAGATCCACGATTTATATTCGGGGGCCGGGATTCGAAGCGGTCGTTTCGGCCAGGAACCCCTCGGTCAGCCAGCGCCAGTGATGTCACGAAATCGAGCGACAAAAGGGGATTTTCGGCAATGGCAAGAAGGACCAGGACCACAAGGGCGGCCACGGCCATCAAGGTCACCATGGGTCCATGTCCGAGCTGAAGCGGTTTTTCAAGATGGGCCATCGCCACAAGCGGCCCGACTCACCGACGTCCGGCAAGCGATCCAAGAGCACGCCGTATCAGATGGCCCCTGATAATGTTCCCTTCGCCGACGACCACGGCCTGAACTCCAAGTATGGTAAATTGGGAAGGGTTCTTGGCTCTGGTGCTGGTGGTTCGGTGCGACTGCTGAAGCGGAACAGCGACGGGGTCACCTTTGCCGTTAAGCAATTCCGAGACCGCCACAGCTGGGAGAGCTTGAAAGAATACTCAAAGAAAGTAACGGCCGAGTTTTGTATCGGTTCCACGCTGCACCACGGTAACATTATCGAGACCTTGGATATCATCCAAGAAGGACAGCATTGGTACGAGGTCATGGAGTATGCTCCCTTCGATCTCTTTGCGATTGTCATGACGGGCAAGATGACCAAGGAGGAGATTGCGTGTTCCTTCAAGCAGATCCTCAGCGGCGTTGCTTATCTTCACGGCATGGGCTTGGCCCATCGTGATTTGAAGCTGGACAATGTCGTGGTCAACGACCGCGGCATCATGAAGTTAATTGATTTTGGGAGTGCAGTGGTGTTCCGGTACCCATTTGAAAACGACATTGTGCCAGCTTCAGGCATCGTTGGCTCGGATCCTTACCTTGCCCCGGAAGTGTATGATGAGAAGAAATATGACCCCCGCCCCACGGATGTTTGGTCGCTGGCGATCATCTTCTGTTGCATGACTTTGCGCCGCTTCCCGTGGAAGCAGCCGCGCACGACCGACAACTCATATCGCCTGTTTGTGTCCACTCCTACACCTGGCACCCCGGTCCCTGATGTCGATCCCCGGCGTCGACCCAAGTCTAACCCCGATCTTCCTTCTACCATCCACGAGCACAAACAGTCCGAGCACAAACAGCCCGAGCAGAAGCAACAAGCACCCACTTCGAATGGGCCTCCTGCCACACCGGCCAAACTGACCGTTCCTGGGGCGCCGGAGCAAAACGGAACTAAGCCGGATAATTCGGAGAAGCCCGAGTCGCCCAAGGAAAGCGACAGCCCAACGGAAGCTCAGAAGCAAACCAGTCAAACCAGCACGAAAAACAACAAAACTACGCGGACGACTAGCAAGGAAGCGCCCCCCCTTCCGCCGGGTTCGCAACCCCCGGCTCAGAAGCAGGAGGTCATCAAGGGTCCCTGGCGACTTCTCCGTATTCTGCCGCGGGAAAGTCGGTTCATCATTGGTCGCATGCTCAAGGTCAACCCCAAGGAGCGAGCTACGCTGGATGAGGTCTTGGAGGACGAGTGGGTGCGCAACATCTTGACCTGTACGCAGGACAGCGCCGGCACCGTTAGCCCCGCCTCCAACCACAAACACATCCTCGAACCTCCATCCCAGGCTCCCGCTGCTGCGGTTGCCAGTAAAGGTGCCAAGGCTAAATAATCTTCCCTTGTTCCTGTATCAAATTATTCCTCTGTTCATATTCCCGCCCGTGGTTGGAGACTGAGCTTTCAACTTGCTCCGTTCCTCCCTTCCCCATCGGCAAAATTTGGCTTCCCTGCGAAAGGCGTTTCTGATCATCTGGAATTTCCTTCTCTTCACTTCGAATTTTCCTGTCCATATGCGCCCCACTAATCTTGTGTTATCTTGGCCCTCTGTTTGTCGCTTCCGCGTTTCTCGACTTCAGAGCGCAGTGGAGGGAGAACTGTTGTTTCCGGGCGTTGGGGCAAGGCTCTGTCGTACTGGCAAAGAAGATGCGCAAGTGCAGCTGCTCAAGATTATAAGTATCATTACCACTGGATGCACGATGAACATCCCGCATGATACACGTCCGTCGCGCGAGCTTTTCGCATGCTTCTGGTAGCTGGTGGCTGGCGGTTATTCACGGAACTTCTGTTGTACCCAAGTGACCGAAGCAGTAGATATTTATTTTTCCAATATATAAGAATATACTGTCCTTTACAAAAAAGTATCTTAATATCTCAGATGAATGCCCTCCGGTCCGACTGCACTTAAATGGTTATCCCGACGTAAAGAGCCGTTTCGGCGATATCGGAAGAGCCATGGGCTGACCGCGGAGAAAAAGCTGGATCTGGGTCAATTGCGGAGCTCTCCTCACCACCAGCACCTACAATTCACCGGCTCACGAGAACGGAACTCGACACTGCAATCGCTCCGGATAGGTGTTTCGAGACCATTGAGCAACACAGCATGCTCCTGCGATAGAAATTCCAAACCAACTTCCCCGACGCACGCACTCTGCCATTTCCCGCATTATGGCCCAGCAACCAGAAAGCGAGGCATTGGTCTCCTCGCTATGGACCAGATCCCTCCTGGTACGAGAGCGCTCCCTTCATAAGCTCAATCCCTCGCATGCCACTAATCACTACCACCAACAGTCCGGCGCCGTCGCAGGTCTCACCGTTGACTGCTCGCTCTACCCCCTCGACACCATCAAGACCCGCCTCCAAAAGGCACGCGATCACACCGCACCGCAAGCAACCCGGCTCTCACTGCGCCAGACAGTCCGTGGCATCTACGCCGGTCTCCCATCTGTCCTCTTCGGCTCCGCCCCATCGGCCGCATCCTTCTTCATCGTCTATGACGGCGTCAAGCGCTCCCTCCTCCCTTCGTCTCCGGACTCCGCCCCCGCTTCCCGCGCTCATGTCTTTTTCACACACTCGATTGCCTCGTCACTAGGCGAGATCGCCGCCTGTGCCGTACGCGTTCCGACAGAGGTTATCAAGCAGCGTGCGCAGGCTGGTCTGTTTGGTGGATCTAGTCTGCTTGCGCTGAAGGACATCCTCTCCCTGCGCCACGCGCCGGTCTCCACGGCTATTCCGGCTGCCGGTACCAATGCCATTATCCCGTCGCCAGCTGGCTCTGGCTCTGCGGCCCCCGTGAAGCGGGGATATGGACAGGTCTTCCGGGAGCTGTACCGCGGCGCGGGTATTACCATTGCGCGCGAGATCCCCTTTACCGTTCTCCAGTTCACCATGTGGGAATCCATGAAGGAGAGATATACACAACGGTACCTCCGCCAAACGGACTCGGTGTCTGGAGTCGTCAAGCAGGATCAGATTCCCGCTTCCACGAGTGCGATGTTTGGTAGTGTGGCCGGTGCCATTGCGGCCGGTCTGACGACCCCGTTGGATGTGATCAAGACTCGCGTGATGCTTGCGCGCCGGGGTGACGGTGGTGCTGATGCCCCTCTTCGAGTGCGTGAGATTATGCGCGGCATTGCGCAGGAGGGATTCGGAGCCTTCTGGCGTGGCATTGGGCCTCGTGTTGCATGGATTGGTATTGGTGGTGCTGTTTTCTTGGGGAGTTACCAATGGGCTTGGAATACCCTTGAAGGTAAGAAGCAGGAGGAGGAGAAGTAGAATTGGCGCCTGTTTTGTATATCCTTGATATATTGTATAGTATCATTCAGAGCCATATAGAGGGTCTAGAGTGTATAGAATTTGGGAAACCAGTGAAACATAATCGTGGAAATTGCCACAACACTTGCGAAATGTTTCTTTGTCGTTCCAGATTTGTGCATGCTCATGCTACTTGACCAGCCAAGCTAGCTCACGGATTTGCTCCGGGGAAAGCAAATCGTCCATCTGGTCCTTGTGGAGGAAGTCGTTGTCTGTGTACTCAAACCCGGGCACAACGATCTGAACCTGTTCAGTAAAGTTCGTCCAAGCACATTATAACGGCGATATGCGACAACTTTTGAAAACATACCTCGCTTATCAAGAGACCTGTTGAGTCTTCTGAGGATCCATCTATATTCGTCAGCCGATCATCAGAAGCCGGGGAGTCAGGCAACAAAAAGCTAGCCTTATACATGCCCCCGGGCACAACCCATTGCATACGCTCCCCACGTTCCAGATTCGGGCCGACGACAAACGTTTCGATGTCTGCCTTGGCTGTCCTATCTTGCGAGTTGGGATTGCTGTGAATGACAACGTACCGCCCCCGCCCCCGATGCAAGGTATGTATCGTCTGGGCCTGGTTGCGGTGGAAAACGCCTACCGGAAAGCGTGGGGTGAGTAAGTAATATATCGCCGTGCTAGCTGAGCGAGTTTCGTCGTCTTGAGAATCACCCTGTGAACCCTGCTGGAATGGATTTGGAATTTGCAGTGGATTTCGATGTGTTTCTGCAAAATAACCGCCCTCAGGGTGGGGGTGGAGGTCGAGGTGGCTGAGTAGAGACTGAATCGACAGGTCTTCTTCCTGGTGAGACGAAGAGGTGTAGACTGGCTTGACATGGGATAATGGGATATCCATTTTGCAGTTTCACAAGAGGCACTCGTAGTTCATTCTGTCTTTCCAGTGTTATACTTGTTATACTGGCCCGTGGGACATTACGTCGAATTGACCCCCGGCTTCGCTGACAGAATGACATCACTTGAGTAGCCTGTGTTCCACGGGTGGTCGCGAGATGAGATGCCCAAAGGAGCCAGTAGAGAGGTCCTAGGAAAGACAGTAAGTACCAAGGAAAGCAAAAACGGCAAACTGGTGATACCGTCAGGCACACCAAGACGCCCAGCCGGCCGACAGCCGACGCTGCGCTATGGCGTCGCGAACCGGTGCCCCTGGCGGATCCCCCAACTTCCCCTCACTGCATCCTGCGAGGCTTCTTCCCTCTTGAAACCGCGTGTGCATCTCACCTGGTAGCCCGAGGAACCCCCAGGAACTGCCGTGTTGGCGTCTGCAGTGACGTCCTCGTCCCCACCAGCAACGTGTGATCGGCCCTCGATTGAGGCAGATAAGCTCCGCATTTCTCCTCCGCAATCCGCAGTTCACCACCTCCTCGCCCCAACTGCATGCATGGCACGGAAACTGAGCCATCAGAGGGTCACGTATGGTGAGTTGGCCCCCATGCCTCAGGTTTCGTTGCGATATAGACTGATCTCGCTCTAGTGCTTCCTCTGCCCGATGCCCCCGGTGGGCACCGGCTGGGGGTCAATGGCCTGACCCTTGACCGGCAAAACTCCATCCTGTAAGTATACACCCCGTATGCGCCAAGAAGATCGTGCTAGCTGGCCTTAGCGGTTGCTTGGTCGGCTGTGAGATCACGACTTTTTGTTCCTCTGGCGTATGCGGCTCCACGTGGGTTGCACAGCCGGCTAATATGACGTTTGTTGCGCTCCTCCAGGTATTCCGCTGGCCGCGACGGTGTCATTTGCTCGTGGGACCTCGACTTCCCCCTGACGCCGCTTTCTTCGGCGAATCCCTTCTCGTCTTCCAATCGCAAACCGGGCCCGACTCGATTCAAGACACAGGTGCAGGCACACAGCCACTGGATCAATGACATTGTCTTAACCGAGAACAATTCGGCACTTGTCTCAGCCTCCTCCGATACCACAGTGCGGCTGTGGCGCCCACATTCAGAGTCCAAGGAGGTCCCTGAGCGCATTGGGAAGCATACCGACTATGTAAAGGCTTTAGCGAGTCCCGGCGGCCAGGCCAGTTGGGTCGCGTCCGGTGGGTTGGACCATAAACTCTACCTGTGGGATTTGAATGGCGGCGGGGAGATTCTGAACATCGATGCCGGTGGCGATGATACTACCGAGAAGGGCTCGGTTTACGCGCTGGGCGCGGTCTCATCTGTGCTTGCCAGCGGTGGTCCGGAGAACGTTGTGCGGGTATGGGATCCTAGGTCGGGCAAGTTGGTCACCAAGTTTGTGGGCCATACCGACAACGTACGGGATATTTTGATCAACCAGACTGGCGACACCATTATGACTGCCTCCTCGGACGAGACCATTAAGATTTGGTCGCTAACCGCCGGCCGCTGCATGAACACATTGACCATGCACAACGATAGTGTGTGGTCTCTCTACTCCGACCATCCGGATCTTTCGGTCTTCTATTCGAGCGATCGATCAGGCCTGGTCGCAAAAACAGATACGCGCAACTCTCCGGATCCCGAACAAGGTACTTGTGTGGCTGCTCTGCAGGAACATGAGGGTGTTGTGAAGGTAGTGGCTGCTGGTGATTTTATCTGGACTGCTACGCCCAAGTCCAGCATCAACCGGTGGCGCAATGTCGATACCGAGCTCGAGATCGAAGCGCCGCCTGACCCAGCACGCACGATCGAGTCGGCTACGACCGAGCCAGCAAAGTCGTCTGAAAATGGACCGAAGAAAATCCCCTTCAATTCTGCCCTACAACTGTCTGCTGCTTCAACACTACTAGGTAATTCGCCATTCTCAAGTGCGAGCTCTTCCGAAACAGGCCTGGGACCAGATCCTGGTCTCACAATTCCGATTCATTCACTGCCAGAGGAAAGCATTGAGGGCCAGCATGGCCTGATCAAGTGTTTGATGCTCAATGATCGAAAGCGCACCCTTACGCAAGATTCGGCTGGTGAGGTGGTGCTTTGGGATTTGTTAAAGGTCAGTCATCATTTGATTACTCAAATATTAGTTGCACTCGTGACATCTACTCACCAGAATACAGTGTCTTCCAGTACAAGAGTTTGGCAAGCGTCATCTAGATGACGTGGCTACCGAGCTCAATACAACTGAAAGCATCTCCCATTGGTGCACGATCGATGTCCGGACCGGCAGGCTGTCTGTCATTCTCGAGCCCAACCGCTGTTTCGATGCGGAGGTGTATGCAGATGAAGCCGGTTTGTCTGAGGCTGAAATGTCGCAGTTCCGAGATGATCAAAGAAGTATGTTCTAAATGAGCTCATTTCTTCATTTGGCCCGTTTATCAACCATTTGCTAACAATTCCCCCAGTCAATCTTGGAAAGTGGATCTTGCGTTGGCTTTTTGCCCCTCTGGTTGATGAAGAAATTCGACGCGATAATGAATATCGTGAGACTGCAGTGGCGAAAGCGGAAGAGTTGGCCAAACTGAACCCAGCCCTGGGCTCGTCGGCACCGGGAGATGATATCCCCCGTAGCCTTGGGATCCCCATTTCCACCGACGGCTCCGCGGGTACCTTGCGACCTGGCATGGACTTCCCTGGGAGCCCCAGCACGACCGGCGGCTTTGGCATCCACATCGGCACTCCATCCTCAGCCAATTACCTCAGCACTTCTATGCAGAGCAATTCACCATTCCCAAATTTTGAGCCTGAGACACCGGGTTCGGTGCAGGGACATCAAGATGGCGTGCCTTCTTCTTTCTCGGATAGATCGGATTACTTTTCAAGACTCCCTAACCCGCCTCAGTCGGATGACAAACTGCCCATGTCTCCCTCTGACTCTGGAATACCGCAATCCCCAGCCGAGCCTGATAAAGAAGAGCGCAAGAAGGGCGGTTCATTATTCGGAAAAAAGTTCCGCATGGATATCAAGAAGCTGGGTCGCACCTCTACAGATGCCAAACCAATGATCCAAGAGGAAAAAATTGAGGAATCAGAAGTTTCCTCAATCAAGGAAGAGAAGACGTACGAGTCCAACATCAACGGCGTTATCGAGAAAATCCGTGACGACTATGAGGAATTCCTATCCGCGAACCCCGGCCAGGAACTGGTCACAACTGTTACCCCTAGTCTGGAGACCGAAACTCCTCGACTCACCATTCCTCCTCGCACAGCGGTATTTATTCAAGAAGAGACTGGCGATACTGCCGTGGCTTCGGACCTCTATCGGGGTAGTGTGCAGCATATTGGACAGGATATCGAGCGGCTAGAAAAGGCCATTCCCTACTGGCTTGGCGAGCTCCTCTTGAAGGTAAGCGGAAAGGTACCTGGTTGCCCGTGCGCCATCTCTAACTAAGCTTTCTAGAATCAAATTCCGTTTAAGGAACAGGCCAAGGTTGCCTTTGTCTTGAAGCCTTTCGACGATACTTTGCCACCCGTGGTGAAGCCAGAACTGTGAGTCTCCATACCTGAAGACCTTTGTGGTTGATATGGAAGCTAACATAACTCTTCTCAGACCAACTGCGAGCAGCGGACCTCCACCCAATGGAGTCAACAACAGCTCCCGCCTGAATGCCAACCGCATGCTGCGTGCAAAGAAGGTTCTGGCTTACGTAGCGGAACGCATCGACCCTCCCAATCCTGATGAGCCCGAGGCCAATGTGATGCCGCCGGAGGAATACCTGGAACTCTATTGCCAAAAGATGGTAAGGCCATTCCCGCCACGTATCGAAGCTGCTTGCTAACATGCCTTCCAGCTGGTGCCACCCAACATGACCCTGGCTACGATGCGAACCCATCTGTGGCGTACCTCTGGTGATATGATCCTCCACTACAAGACAAACGGAAAGAAGGAGATCCGACCGCCGCCATCTTTGCTCGGCCACAGCGAGAACCATGTGGTCCCCAGTGATCCTACAACGCCTAACGCTACGAATGGTGAAGCTACGGCACCTCCTGGTAGCATCCATTCGATGACCAACTCCGGGTCGGTCTCCGGCTCAATTGCTACTTGAGAAAGAGGGGACTGATGTATATCAACGATTTCAATTCAAACCTACTTTTGCCTTGTTTTCATTCTGTATTTTCGCGCGTGTGGCCTTGCTGGGTTGCTAGCGTCGATTTGGCGTGGTAACGTTGACCTGAAGCGAACAAGCGAGGAAGTGCTATGGCCTCTGGTACATATGGAGGAGATGCTCTCTGATTCCCCTTTCTGCCGTTCTTCCGTCTGCTTCTTTTATTGCAGCTTTTTTTTGGTCCCGGCCTATGTGCAGCGCATATACTGGGATAAATTCAACATATGTATCGCGTACAATCTGCATGGGGTACCCTAGGGTAGTAGACTCGAGACCATTTGCATGCATCTGCGCCTACTCTGTCTCCTGACAAAGTACGAGTAGCTGCTGAACGAACCCCTGGGGAGATCTTGTAAATCCGACCAGGCTTGACGCACCCTTCAGTGCCCCATGCGGCTGACTCGGCGTTCCCTGTCGTGACATTTCCCCATTTGCGCTAATGGATTCTCGATATCGTCTTTCCCGCGCGAGAGGTCATATGTGCGCCCACAACAAACATGAACCCACGAATCCGACGGATCCGACCAAGCGCAAAATAGCACGCCTAACTGGCAGTCGTATGGTCCTGGCGGGCCCCCCTTTTCGCAGGAGCCTCGTCGGTAGTCCGGTTCTGCCGTGTAAGCTGTGGTGGTGCGGTGTATAAATGTCGTGTCCCCTCATACGATCATCCGCCGCGCCCCTCCCAACCCCAAATCTGCAACCTGCATCATCCCATCCCCGTCCGGACAGTCCCCCCAGCATGGCCGAAGGATCCCCCATCGACAGAAAAACTGCGTATGCTTTCGATCTGGGCACCTTCGGTCGTTCCATCACCACCGCCAGCCCCGAGGCTCAAATATGGTTTAACCGAGGGTTGACGTGGGCCTACGCCTTCAACCACAAGGAAGCCGCAACATGTTTTGAGCAGGCCATCGCTCACGATGAGTCCTGTGCCATGGCGTATTGGGGCGTGGCATATACCTTGGGCCCCAACTACAACCAACCATGGGAATTCTTCGGCGCCAACTTGGCCGTCGTCGTGAAGCGCACTTTTGACGCTTCGCGCAAGGCCGTCGCACTCGCTGCCAACGCATCGCCGGTGGAGAAGGCGCTGATTACCGCGATTCAGGCCCGCTACCACAGTGACCAGCCGGCGAGTATGGAGCAGTATGCGCGGCAGAATCTCGCGTACGCTGAGGCGATGGAAGTCGCTTATGGCGAGTTCAGCGATGATCTCGATGTAGCAACTTTGTACGCGGACTCGCTGACCAGTCTCACTCCCTGGAAATTATGGGATCTGGTCACGGGCGAGCCGAACCCAGGGACCAGAACGCTGGATGCGAAGATGGTGCTGGAAAAGGCGCTGAAGCATAAAGACGCCTCGAAGCACCCCGGCTTGCTGCATACATACATCCATCTGGTGGAGATGTCGCCCACTCCGGAACTAGGTCTGGTTCCCGCCGATCACCTGCGAGACCTGATTCCAGAATCCGGCCATGTGCGCCATATGCCATCCCATCTGGATGTTTTAGTCGGCGATTATCGTGCGGCTATCCGCGCAAATCAGAATGCCTGTATTGCCGACGAAAAGTACATCGCGGAAGAAGGCATGTTCAATTTCTATTCTGTCTATCGCATGCATAATTACCACTCGCTTATTTATGCGGCCATGTTCGCGGGCCAAAAAGGTGTCGCCTTGAACGCGGTTGACCGCATGGAAGCTACGCTGCCCAAGGAACTTCTAGTTGAAATGGCAGACTATAGTGAAATCTTTATGTCTGTTCGCTCACACGTCATGGTGCGCTTTGGAATGTGGGAAGAAATCATTCAACGCCCGCTCCCAGATGACCCAGTCCTGTACTCTGTCACGACGGCAATGGCCCATTATGCCAAGGGAGTCGCATACGCCGCGCTTGGCAGAGTCCCTGAAGCTGAGCATCAACGTGATCTATATCGTGAAGCCGAAAAGCGTGTACCGGACACACGGCTAGACTGGCCAAATAAATGCATTGATATCTTAGGCGTGGCGTCTGCCATGCTGGATGGAGAGATCGAGTACCGTCGGGAAAACTATGTGGAAGCATTCCAACATCTCCGTCGTTCGATTGAGCTAGACGATGGACTTGGGTACAGCGAGCCGTGGAGCTGGATGCAACCTGCCCGCCACGCGTATGCAGCCCTGCTTCTGGAGCAGGGACATGTGGAGGATGCGGCAGATGTGTACCGCGCCGACCTGGGCCTGGATAATTCGGTCATTCGTGCCCGTCAGCACCCGAATAATGTTTGGGCTTTGCAAGGGTATCACGAATGTCTGGTTCGATTGGGCCGCACGGCTGAAGCGCGGGTCATTGAGCCTCAGCTGAAGATCGCTGTTGCTGTGGCGGATGTCCCGGTGCAGTCGTCTTGTTTCTGTCGAACGGATACATCCCAGGCTCCGCCTGTGGGCACCAGGTGTGCTAAAAGCGGATGCTGTTGATCTGGAGGCGTCTCTTATTTGAGTATATACTGCTAGAATGTAGCATTTCCCGAGTCCGTATTTACCGAATTATTGGTGTTAATTTATATCCATCTATCTTTCTTGTTCTTTCCATCCTCAAGGTTTGGTCTAAACAATAGCGATGACTATTATTTTCGATATAAGACAGTATTAAATACCCACTCTCTGTAGTCAAATCATCGCAGATCGGTGGAGCCAAATACGAAGCCTGCGCGGTACGACACTGGTGGAAGTAGACTTTACTAAAATTGGTGCTTCACTTGCGCTCGTTCAAAAGTGTTGTGTTGATTTTCCGAATAAAGTGACTGTGACCACTAACCGCAAGCAGGTCACCCATTTGCTTCCATTTCTACAAGGTTTTTTCGGTCCGTCACCGCCATCCAACGATCTTGCAGTCCCCACCGTGGCTGCTGCTGATCGCTCAATTCCTCGTAACTTCGAGTGGGACTTGCTTGTTGACGGTCAAAGGAATGCCAAGGTCCACCCCGATAAGCGCGCATAAGACCGTCGCATGCTTGGCGGCGATTTGGATGCACAATAAATGGGATACCCGAAGGTACGTGGGCTTGTCAAAATCATTTTACTCTGGCGGCTAGTTAGAATCAAGCTGCTAAGCACACGAAATGCCCGTCTTGTTCTATTTCTGGTCTCTCGTTAAGCTTTCTGGAAATCCCCCGAAGTAATATATAAGCAGCAGGAAGTATTATGGAAGTAACAATTTGAACAAATCCAACGAAGTATTCACAGACCAGCAATTCCAACTCCAAGGATTCATTATGAAGGTCACAGCCGTTCTCACATTCATGGCTCTTGCCCTTTCCTCTTCGGCCATTGCAGCCGAGGTACGCAACTCTCATTGCACTCTGAAACAATCACAGCCTTCTCAGGAACGCTGTGAGAAGAATGGAAATGCTATCGTGAGCTATTATAATCTTGAAATGACGAAGCTGGTGCTGAACTGCATTACTTGGGTAAATTAGCTCCGATGTGAGCAGACATCGCTCTACCCCATCTGGACTAGAGTCCACAAATGCGGTGCTCATCAACACAGTCACAATGCGAGGTACATTGACAATTAAACGAGGATTTCAAAGTTGCTTTGCACCGACTCGGTATTCTTGCTTAATTATTGGAAAAAATGAGTCGATGGGATAACCAGATTTGCCCGTTTATGACGTTCTCCAGTGAGATGTCAGAGTTCGAATCTTGTGGTGTCGTGGTTGACTCTTGGGAGTCTGTCTGCTACCGATAGTTCGAAATTTTCGCACTTGTTTTGCACTCGCATGAGCTTGCATCATTCGTCTCATTGTATTCTTGTACCTTTCCCAGTAAGACGTCAATAATAACAGGCTCCTCACTAGATGTCAGCACCCGCCTCGGGTTTGGACGTCGTATTAATATTCCGGAGAGGAAGGATCAGCGATCACAATCCCAATGAGGACGATCAGATTAGTTTATAATAAAACCCAGTAAAAATCAAACTCCGACGTGTCCTCAGCCCCGTTTGGTGGCGGGCCTAGTGTCGTAGGAAGGAAACGGGCCCGGCCAATGAATCCACTTGATCGGCATATTGCGGTGCAGCTGAAGCTCTGACGTCTAGAGGAAAACTGCCAGTCCTGCGTTGGCAGGTATTGGGTCATTTCTCATTGTCGAGGCGAAAGACGACCCTACCTGCTATCATTTAGATGGCTCGGTAGCCGATAACCAGGTCCCTTGTTCAACAGATTCTGCAACAAATTGTTGCGGATCGAGAGTTCTCTGCCTGAGCAATGGCCTTTGCTACCTTCAGGGAGCACAGGGGTTACATTTGACACGCGGAAGCTGTAGCGACCAGAATTGGGGATCGGAATGCTATGCGCCATGCTGTTTGTCGGCCCATGACTTCCCATGGCTTCCCACGAGATGAGATAAATCACAGCAACACGTGTCTTCCATGCTAACTCTTTCCTCGCAGCAAAATACAGACGCAACACTGGCATGCCGATCATGAACATTGGATACAACTACTCGGCGACTCAATACTGCTGTGGTACCGCGATAGCCGACAACGGCGACGTGGGATGCAAATATGAAGAGCCACTTGAGCTCACTAAGCAAGTGTCATTCCAGGGGTCGCCTATCTTGCCAACGACGGAGGCGAAAGTTCCAGTTCAGCAACATTATCACCCTCTTCGTCGTTGTGTGTCGCTGTTGAGGCAGGTGTCAGTGTCCCGCTGGGTGTAATTGCCATCGCAACTTCTATATGGGCACATTGGGAGCGACGACATCGCCGGCACCCGAAAGACATACCACTCCATGATTCGGAACGTGGTGCATCGCCTGCTGGTAGTCGTCAGCAGCGAACGGCAGAGCTCAATGCGTCTGGGGCTTCATCGCAGCCAACGGAGCTGACGGATATATGCCTAAAGTATAAAGAAGCCCTTACAGAACGATGATTGTTACCGCAAGTTCAGAGTTATTAAAGTAGTGCTTTCCGTTCACAGAAACTTTCTTGCCCCTGTGATGATCTATTGTCCACATTGACAAAAAGCTGGAATTTGAGGCTTATGGCTTAAATTAGTGTAGCACCAGCACCAAGGCGTGCTTGTGTGAATGCATATTTTAGAAGCCCGGTGACCCGAGATCCACCATCAAGTGTGACAGTTTTTGGAAATTGAAGAACCTTGGTCTTTCACAAGAAAACACCTGGGAATAGATCCAAAGATCGCATGGCTTCGAAAACTCCCAAAATCTCGACTGCTTTCTTTTAGTAATAATATCACCAAACGCCGAGTTGTTGGTGGTGGCGGGAGCAACGCTCGGTGTTTGATCGGACCAAAGGCCGAATCTTACCACTTTGATCTCTTGACCACTTCCTCGTTGACTTTCCTCCTGCATTCCACCAGGTGGGGTTTACAGACACACCGATCTACTCAAAATCTCCGAATCCAATCACACTGTGTTACTCGAGTCACCAATTGCGGGTCTCCGCCGTCGGACATTCAGACAGTATAATAACGTGTCACGTGCCTTGTGACGTTTCATCCGCCGAAACGAGGACATCCTCTTCACAATCAGATATTTCGGACAAAATGGGGAAAATTGCGAAGCCGCCAGTTAAGGCGGCTTGTCTAGAATGGTAATATCTCACGTATTCCGAGAACAAATACTATTGCTAACGACCCATTTAGCCGTTCTTCCAAGACCCGTTGTGACGGACACCGACCATGTAAAAGTGTAAGGTGAAACTCGTTCATCTACACTTCGACATTCAGCTAATAGAAATTACTTTTTAGTGCAATACTAAAGGACGCCCCTGCACTTATCAGCCGAGTCGCCGGGGTGGTCCACGACGGGGCATCCGATATGAACAGGCGCAGCGGCAGCATTCGAATGATGGCCAACAGCCAGACAGCTCTTTATCGGAAAATACCGATTGCTTTGGTAAGTCAATAATTTCCGAAAGTGCCAAGATCGAGCTAATCAGATGCCAGAGCCCTATCTGGACAGCACGATGGGTCTTGTCTCTCCTTTTGCAGGAGTGCACAATCTTGATTTGTCTCCGGAGGCATTTTCCGACGTCAGTGGTAGTCGGCAGCTCTGGGGGCTACCCACACCTAGCGATGGCCCCTTTGCCTCATCTATCTCAGATACAGATCTGCCCATCATTCGAGTTTATCGAAATGAAGAAGACATGTAGGTCAAAGAAGCAGGGGGAAGTCGAAAGATACTAATGATTCGCAAGTACCAACGCTTACTACATCTACATTCACCCTTATCTACCACTTCTGCCTGCCGCTATTTCACCTCAATATGAAGACCAGTCAAGTTTCATTCAAGCACCAGGAGAGTCTAATACGACCGAGCTAAAGAAAACCGATCTGCCTTATTGGCCAGAATCCTCGCTGAGTCTTGCTCTATCAGCTCTTTTAGTGCTGATCCCACCCTCCCACGACCAAGCACCAACCAAAGGATCGACATTCGCTGCTAGAAGAGCCTATGCGCAACTGTTTGCGCAATCGGCGCTATCAAAAATTGAACAGGAAATCGATGATTTAGGGCCGCCGTCAAGCGTCAACTTATTTGTTAGTACGGATCGAGGAAATATCTCTCTCCACCCTGATGTGCCAATCCAGCTTGATCCTATACTAGCACTAGTGACTCTTGCTGTTTATGAGTATGTTCAGCGTGGCAACGTGTCTCGTATGCGAGCCCGCATCAACCAGGCCGTGACGACGGCTATGGATATCTCGCTTCATACCCTTGGGGTATCTTCGTCGGAGTCTCCGGAGGCTCACAGAAGGGCCTGGTGGATGACTGTAAGTAATCACCAATTTTCGAGTCTGCTGATTTCTAACACCGCTATGCAGATGTTTATTGCCTACTTGTCCTCCAATCTCCACCTTGCTGTAAGAATTAGTCGCCTTGATTTCACACACTAATGTCAACTGACTCGGCCCATAGCCACCAGTCATTGCCGCCAACGACTCTCGGATCACGACACCATTTCCCCAGTTTGGCGTGCATTTGGAGGTAGGCATGCTACCAAACCTTCAGAGGTATCTTGGTGACTGACTTCAAAACAAGCCCTTTGATCTTCTGATGAAAGCACAAACAACCCTTTTTGCATCCCATCAAATGGCGCAGAAAATAGAAAAGTCGTCACATGCATCTAGGCCACCGAACATTGGCGATGAAATCAGTTCCCTCGATGCCCTCACTGTATCTTTGATGACCGAATCAGATCGTTGTCTTCGGACGACTTTCGGCTCAGATTACGAAGAACAAATCGCTGAAAATCTTTGGAGGATTGGACGAATCAATATATACACGTAAGCTTTTCTCTTTTTGTCTGAACGTGTGAGTTGAGAAGATCTTCTGACCACTTTCGTAAACAGTGCTCGCATCCGCCTTCACAGGTTTAGAGCATTCATGGATATCCCGTTATTCCTCGATAAATACTGCGATCTCACTTCAATAAATAGCCACGGACTATCCTCAACACCATCGCCAGCCTGGGTAACAGAGCGAGAAACCTCATTTCCCTTCACTGAGGAAGAATCTTCAAATATCTGCCTCAAAGCCTGTCTGGTTGTCTCAACAATGTTCCGCAATCTTCCATACCCTAGCCAACCAGGCCTTGGGCCTTTCGAAAGGAGACCTGCCTACAAAACGCCCCACACAATTCCCTATTTTGCTTGCTCGGCAATGCAAAGTTGCTATACACTCCTCATGCTCCTTCACAAGGTCCGTGCATGCCTTGCGACAGATCGACTAGGTACTTGTTACCATCTTCTCAATAAGCCCGAGCCAGCGACAGAGGCTTCAGATGCAGAAAGATTGGCAGAGGAACTGCGCCGTGGCGTGGAATGTCTTGGGGCGTCGTTGAAGTCAGATATCATTTTCGAAGGCGTTGGAGGCATGGGGCACGAAATTGAGAGTGCATATTTGGCCGCATTTCCAGAATGCCATGAGATCTAGGAAGTGCTACTATGAGAAACGTTTTATTTAAATCTATGTGACAGATACCCTTCTTACATTATTCCGAAGAAATATCATTCCTTGAGCAGATGCTTGTTGACCGGCGTCAATGGTTCTTGACCAGTCAATACTCGCTGAATATTTTCCATCGAAAGTCTCTCGAATCCGATCTGGGTTTCGGCTGCACCACCGGCTGTGTGGGCAGTTAATCTGCGAAAGCCGTGTCAGTAATCTGATTTGCGATGTCGCTGCCAAGGAACAAGAACATACGTGACATTTCTCATCCGGGCAAGTTCTTTGTTCACGTTTGGTTCGTGCTCGTGAACATCAAGCCCTGCGGCAGACAGTTGTCCCGATTTTAAGGCATCGACGAGAGCGATCTCATCAACAAGCGCTCCCCGTGCGATGTTTACGAACTTAGCACCCCTCTTGAATTTGGACAGGTTCTCCCTGGTAATGAGCTTTGAGCCTCCAAAGGGAGTTGCCAGAACAACACAATCCGCTGCAGCCAGTAGGTCATCAAGCGATTCGCAGAATGATGCGCCGACTGCTTTCTCTTGCTCCGACGACTTGCGATAAAGGTCGTGATAGTAGATTTTCATCCCGAAACAGGCGTATGCCTTACGGGCGATGGTACTGCAGGCGTCAGGGTTTCTGGGACCGTCAATATAATGAACCAAGTATTACATACTAACCAATATTGCCAAGCCCGATGATACCAAGAACCTGTGTGCATGGGTTATGCGCGGTAGCTGCGGTGTTTTGGTGGGCCTCAAGCCAGAGCTTAGGATCTCCCGAACGAGCGCCATCCATGGACCACTGCATGTTGCGAAAAACAGATATTATGTGAAAAACAGCCTGCCGTCAACGCGTTAGCCTTGAAAAAGTAACAAATTATTTCGAGCAGGACTTTTTACCATATCTGCCACTGCTTCACTCGACGCCTGTGCGCCATTGCAGTATACAACGTCTATATTAAAATCGTCAGCAAGGCTTTCGTATTGGAGGGGCAGTCTGTATCAAGCTCACCATGTTCAGCCAGGATATCCACATCCATCCAGTCGTATCCCGCCCCCGCGCTCGCATACACTTTCAACGATGACGGAAGTAGACGAATCAACTCGGCATCCCAGCGCCCCATTTCGCCGCCGCTATTCCAAAAGGGACGGAAAATGGCCTGGAAGTCGCCCCATCTTTTCTCTTGGAGGGCCTTCAAGAACTCATTCCGCTGTCTCTCCTCAAGCGAAGGTCGAATCACTGTGAAAGCATTTGCTATTTGCGCGTATAGTTCCTTATTAAACTCGACAGGATCTCCGAGGTGAAGAACGATGGGCTTTTCTGAGGCCATTTGGTTGACTGTAGACAGCGATCAATTAGTTGCTCGATTGAACATCAAAAGATGAAGAGATAAAAAGAAACCGTTGCAAACAGCAACAAATCTCCTCGCCCCGGCCAGCTCTCCGAGTTCTGTCCTGGCACCGGTGCATCTCCGCAACCTGATGACCTGCGGGCCCCTAGACTGGAATCAGCATAGCGGGAATGAGCCATCGGGCACATCCCAGAGAGGCATTTAGCCGAGCGTGGCACGACGGGAATGCAGGCCGGCGTGGCGGGGAAAAGTGGAGGCTTCCCCGGAGACTTGCCGAGCCCGAAGCGCATGCCGCATCTCCTGGGGCTCAGTACTTTGTACCTTGCTATCGACAAGCCCGACCTCCGCAGGTTCACCATGTTCCATCAATGGGAACAGCACCCACATCTCGATCGGCGTCTTCGTCCGCGCACGCGCAATGGCTGTCTGACTTGTCGGTAGGTGCTGCTGCATGGTATACTCCGATTCGGGGCTATTTCGGGTCTAATTTTCCAGTAGGCGACGCAAGGTCCGGTGCGATGAGAAACGGCCGGATTGTGGGCATTGCAGTCGACTGCAGCTGGATTGCTCGTGGCAGCAGGAGGGAGGCTCGCGGTTTGGTGTCCGGACAAAGAAAATTCGGCACCGCCAGCAGCGACAACAGCAGCAGCAGCGACAGCAGCTTCAAGTGGACCAGTCTCGACTGGCAGCAGAAGACACGAAGGCGAACCCTACCGATATCCCTATCGCTGCGGTGGAGAGTCAAGAAGCTCTCGCAGTAAATGACTCTTCCTTCAGCCGCATCTTCAACTATGCAAGTTTCATGTGGGATGAATATCCCCCCAGTCTCTCGCCAAGCTGGGGTACTCTAGATCTCAGCTCCTCACAAGATCTAGTTCCTTGGTCGGACACCTCGCTCGCAGTCTCATCACCACTGGATCTCTCTTTCCCAACGCCGACGATGAGTTCTGCAGTCCTCACCGGCCGACAATCCAAACCCAACTTTCCGTCCCCGATGGGATCTGCTCTAGAGTCTATGGGGTGGAGCGAGTCTCAGCTGGCTGATTATTTTGCCCGCTCGGCACCACCGCCAATCCTTGCGACAATAGAAACGAGCGCTCGATGGCTTTGGATGCGCAAGGAGCTGATGTCAATGACCTCGTCTTCTCGCATGGTTAAATACGGTGTGATTGCATTTGTGGCTCTGGAATTGGAATCCTCAGGCACATTGGAACCGTCGACCTACATCCAATACTATCAAACCGCAAAAGAAAAGTTGCAAGAGTGTCTAAAAGACATTTGTCTGGATCAGAATATCATTATGTCACAGCTACGACATATTCTTGCTGTCCTTTTCCTATTGTCCTACGTCGACCTCCTCACCAAAGACGTATCGAATGCACACGCCAATTTGCGAGAGGGGTTCTATGCCTTGCAAATGGTAGAGATTGACTCTCTCGGTGTTACAGGTAGCTATCGAGCCCTGATCCTTGATTAACTTGATCCTATGGAGCTAATTAGTCAATCTGGTCTAGAAAAACGGCTTCTATCGTGGCTACGGCTTCTGGATGCGCGAGCCGTCAGTGCAGGGGGCGAAGGTCTCTTTCTCACCGAAGAGGATAGCGCTATCAACACTGATCTCCGATCCCCCGACAGTTCTATTACCGAAGTTGATGCGGGCCTTGACGATGCAGAGGCGGCATTAGAAGACTTGATCATGCGACCTGCCTTCCTGTTCTTCCAGAAAGTGCAGCTCTTCATGGGTCGAATATCAAAGATTGATCCCTGGCACCGACGTCGAGGTACAGTTGAAGATGAAACCGAGGTCATGTTGATATCGGCTGCCATCAGCCGCGATATCAAGGCACTATGGCAACAACGACCACCCTTAATGGGCCATGCGGTGTCCGGAAACCTTGCGACGCTCTTGTCTCCCAAACTGGCGGAGACCATCACGCGCACCATGCGTGTCTATCATGCAAATTATTACGCCAGCTTCATTCATCTTCATCGTGTATCTTACAAAAGTGAGTGCTGCAGACTCTTGCTTGATGTGACTCCTCTAACAAAAGACTTCTGCTAGATCTTCCTCGCACGACGGATGTGCTCAGTGCGATGGATGAAATCCGACAAGTAACACGGCGTATCCTAGAGAGCTCTTGGGCGTCATCACCTGAGGATGTCGCTGCAATAGGCTCACCCACAACATCATCAGAAGCCATGACACCACTTCCAGTGAACATGCTCTGGCCATTGCTCATGCTTGGTGTTGAAACCGAAGACGCCGAAGAACGAACTTGGGTGGTCTCTTGTATTAAGGGAATGGAAAACGTCGCTTCCAATGCAGGAATCACTGCTGATGTACTGCAGGAAGTCGTCCGGCAACAAGACAAAGCTAAACAGAGAATGGACATTCGAACAGTGATGCACCAGACCTTCGACAGGGCCTTTGCCATTGTATGAGGTATAATCTCTCTCACTATATGCTCATGAATGCAGTCTATGAAAATCATGATTCCGTTATCTCGTTTTAAAGTCCTTGTTCGATAACCTGCAGTCCATTAACTTGCTTGGTAATCCACGCACGCTTTTCTTCGTCGATAAATTTGGGATAGGGTCGACGACAGCATGCGCTATCCTCGGGATAGCCCAGGTACTTGGCAACAACCCACTTGGTTCCGTTGATGCCTCCCTTGCCGAATCCCCATTCCGCAACTGCGAGTTGGATTTGAAGTTTCTCCGCCTCGGCCCTCTTTCCTGAGTTGTGCAGGTTAAATATCTCCATGCAGGCCTATCCAGAAGGTCAATATTCACATCCTGCAGTCTACGAGCTCGGAACTGAGCTTACCTTCGGATACAGATTTGCCAGACCTGTTACAGATCCAGCACCGCCTATAGTGAGGCAAGGAACAAGCCAGTCACTTTGGCCTGCCAGAGCGACAAACCTCCTGTCCCCATCCAGCGCTGTGCCAAATTTAGCAGCCGTCCTGGCAACCGAGGCAATTGTCCCGCAGGTCAACTTCACAGCGACAATATTTGGGTGGTCTCCAAGCGTCTCCAGCATCTCTGAAGTAACATTCAATCCGCTGGCAACACCAGGGAAGTTATAGATCACAACTGGAACCGGTGATGCCGACGCCACATCCTGGAAGAACTCCACGATCGCAGTGGCATCAAGTGCGAAATGGAAATACGACGGCACGAGAACGAGCGCATAGTCGGCGCCTGCATCGGCGGCCAATTTGGTGTCTTGAATAATCGCTTGCGTGCATCCACCAAAGGTACCACAGGTAATTGGTAGACTGGATTGATTGAGCTTTTGCGCGGTAGATCGCGTCAGGCGTACTAGCTTAGACTTCTCTTCCGGCGTCAGAGTGGCCGCTTCACCATTTGTGCCGGCGATGACAATTCCATGAATACCGCTCCGAATGAGGAATTCTAGATGCTTTTCCTGAAGATCCCAATCGATCGTTTGTGTGGCGTCTGGTTTGAACCACGTCAGGGAAGGGACGTGGATTCCCGGTGGGTACGGTGACTGGACTGAACCCATTTTTCCTGGTTATGGCTTGACAGGGTGAAATCCGCGAATTGAAGAATAGACGGCAGGCTGGGTCAATATAGGCTTTAGCAATAAATAAAGGCCATCGTGCATCCCACCACATTTACCAACGCTACCCAACGATCGGCTGTGCCTAAAACGGAAATCAGCCGACGCCCTTTTTCGCCACGAACCCACTGGTTTGGGGGTGGGAAAGGCAAGTAATGTAGAACCCAAGGACTTATATACGGAGTAAAGAAAGTCGAGCTGCGAGAATCTCGATGTTCTTGGTAAATATTGGTAACTTTCAGGTGATCTTGGACATCGACGTATCTATCATATCACGTGATTTAACTGGCATGACAGTAGACCTCGCCAAAATCGCGGGTTGGGGTTCGACCCTTGACCCAAAACCCGCCAAGAGATTTGAATACAGGTAATATATACCATATTACACATATTTATATGCGTTATAGGTAGTACTACAACTGTTATTCCGTAGTATACGGGCTGATGGGTTCTGGGCGGGTTCGCGGGTACCCGTAGGGTACCCAAAAAAGCAATATGGCGAGGTCTACATGACAGCAGCTTCTCTAAATACCAAAGCCTCTCATGTCGTATACCGGGTCGGAAACGGCGAGTCAAGAAGTCCTCGAAACAGGTAGCCGTGGTGTAGCTTGGATGGATCGCACATGTAAATATCCTCAAAATTTGAAGGGGTACCTGCGCTGAGGCGAGCTGCCTCAGCAATGCATGACAAGACATGAAGGCTTAGCCAGTCAGATTTGTTGAGAGCTGAGGCAGAAGCAGGCGAGTTCAAGTGGGAGCCCCAGCGGCAGAAGACTTTCTTGCGGTGGGCGTTGACCTCGTGATTGAGGAAGAACGCAGCACCACTCCTCGTGACCATGGGCCAGTTGAGGAATTGGTTGAAAGGGCGGCCGACCTGACCCACTTCGTATGAGGGCTTAGACCAAGTTGGCGCGCGAATAATGATTCGACTCATCACTGCAACTTTCGGTGATAGTTGCACACTTGGGGGTTGCCGCCGGGGTCTTTCTTGAGCATGTTATGGAACATGGTCGAAGCCAAAATGCGAATGCTGTCGTCGTTATCGTCGAAGGTTTTGAACTCGTGGACAATTGTCTCCAAGACATTCCCTAGTCGGGAGGAAGGCTGAGGATCATCTGGCCAAGTCAGTCAGTCGGGATGGTTTCAATAGAGGAAGTGGTGACAGTCATGTTTATAATTGCTTGTGGAATAGCTGGTTTTTATTGTGTCAATGCTGAATTTGGTCCACCTTTATAGTTTCATGATCATTGCTGTTCTCTAGGTTGTCTCTCCTTTCCTGGGCGCCAAATCATGTTGATGAAGTCATTCAAATGTAGGATCCTCGATTGCGGATACAATCTTTGAACAATGAGCTTCCACGGATGACATCACGCTTCTCAGGGTCTTGGTGAGAAAAAACACCTTGTTCTTCTTCCGCGGCCCCTCAAGTCTCGAGCTAGCAAGGTTCATGGATCGATCAGAATGCCATGAAGATTACTCGCATCGGCGATTTTTATGGCCTGCATGAGCGGGACTTTCTTTAGCAGCTATGATCATCTATGAAGAAAAGCTGAAATTGGTAGAACTTTCCAGTGTGTAAGGATGACCCTTGTGACAGCAGAAATGCAAAGCAAATGTTGCGTATGGCTTGCATATCCCGTTGTCAAGTTTGTGCAACACAGCTGACATTTATCTACTCAGTTAATCAGGAAATGAAATGTTCTAAGCTTCACAGTCCCCAGTTGCGGCGGAAGCACACGATCAATATGAATTACCCGGATAACCTATATCTGCTGTTTGTTACAACGTGAGCAGTCCGTCCATACCAATCACTACTTGCACTAACTTCTTGACCTTCTTCGGATATTTTATTGGCCAAGAAATAGGGTGATCATGGCTGCGGTTTCGTCCCTAGCGACTGTGTTATTGGGGCGACTAGTCGGAGATTTCCTATCAGCTATGCCTTATACCGTGAGTGGCGGAAGCTTTGAGGATATGTTCGTGACAAGGACTCGTATATGGATGGTCTGGCTCTAGATGCTGTTTTCCAATATTGGCCTCGTAATTGGCCCCATCATGGGCAGCTACAATAAATTGCATCTCTCAACTGGTTTATGATTATTGTTGTCTCACTTTATATGCTGTACCCAACCCAGTGTACTAACTATGAAGCAGGTACTGAGTGTACTATATATTTGCGATTATCCTCGGAATACTTACGGGACTTTTACTTCTCTCGTGCGAATCTCGACCATCCCTGTTGCTCTCACGTGAGGTGAATCTTCTCACTCAATAGTTCGGTGCCGACAAAATCTACGCCATCAACCCCGATCAAATACCCAACCTGTTCGTATTTGTACAGGCTGCTCTCTTTCGACCTGTCCAACGTTTCTTTGGAGAGACACTGTCTTTAGCATTGCTATAATGGCTGCGGTTGCATTCGCCCTACTCCTCATTTTCACTGAAGCTTTACTGCCTATATTGGAGGAGATTGGCCGCTCCGGCTCTCAACCGTCGCTTGTCTTTATCGCTATCGGAATTGGTCTGTGTTTCAGTGCTTTGGCTCTCCTATATGACGACCGAGTCTCCAGGCTTCGCTACCATGGCAATGTGTCACTTCAACCACAAGTTATTTGGGTTTCTCATGGGAGCGCCTGCCCTCTCTAATGGGCCGTGGTGGTTTGCTTGGACAATTCCGATAGTCGTCAGCGATTTCCACTGGATTCTCCTGGCTATACCGCTGATTTTGTGTGAATACGCCCTCACCGAGTTCGTCACTTCCTCCGGGCTACCTCGTAGATTGCTTTTAGGCTTATGCGGCAAGTGGATTGGCGGCTGTGCAATTTGTGCGCGCTATAATGGCGGGTACTTTCCCACTGTTCACGCACCAGATGAATCAAGGCTTAGAGGCCAATATTGCAATGACAGTTCTAGCTATAGTAGCAACTATCTTTTGCGTTGCCCCTCCCTTTTTGTGCTCTTATAGCAAGCGAATCAGGGAGAACATCAAATTCGCGGCTCAGAGGATGAACTTGCAGGGCCATGATCAGATGAGCATAAGTTATAATGATTCAAGGGTCGCTGGTAGTGAGTCCATATTACATTGTGATGGAAAAGGGAGGTTTTGAATGGGTGGACACCGCCCCTCAGTGTGGTGCAGCGGGCAATAGAGTCTATATTATGTCACCAAATCATACTTTGATTTGAAACCACCTGGGCAGTCCCGGTAGGTCCTGAAACTCGCCTACCACATTTAACTTGAACCTGAAGTACCCACTGACATCACATTCTATTGGTAGTTACGAATGAATGCGAAATTTAGATCGTCTGAAACTAAATCTGCGTGACGAAAATACACCCCGAGAATCAGGCCGGTCACGTGCCTCGCTTTATCGAGCTGCCGGCGGCCGAATTTCACCCGCGCCAACTGGTTCGCCCGTCCCATCTTCGTGATGGCCTCTCCATGGCCTCGAATATCATCTCCCCGGCCATTTTTGCCCAGAGTCTTCGTCGAGCATGGCTTGATGTCTGTCGCACCCTTCATTATGGCTTTAAGGACCCCATTGAGACTGCCCATCTGCCACACAGAGTTGGTAAGAATTATCCTGAAGCTATCGACCCAAGTTGACAGTGCTAATTGATATTATAAGGTCTCGCTGTCAGTGGTGGTGCCGATTCAATGTGCCTGGCATACCTGTGTCGGCAACTAGAGCGCTCTGGTACCCATGGGAGTCTCTCGGTCACCGCATTCGTGGTTGACCATCGGGCGCGAGAGGAGAGTAAACGCGAGGCACAGACAGTCGCAGGCTGGCTACGCAATTTAGGTAAGTGTCCAGTTCTGAACTTTTTTCGGATGCCGAACGATCTATACTCTCCTTTTCTAAATTGTCATACTGATATGAATCAGGGGTGGAAACCAACATTCTGGAATTAGATTGGTCTCCTCTCTTGGGTGGTCAATCTAAGTCTGTCAAGGACGATGCAGACGCCAAAATGCCCTCCGCATTTGAGACACATGCCCGTCGATTGAGATTCCAGGCTCTCGGCATTGCCTGTCGTGATCGCAATATCGAGACTTTGCTTATGGGTCATCATCAGGACGACGCTGTTGAGACCACCATTCTGCGGTTAAGTGCTGGGGCACGAGGTGCAGGTCTTGCTGGTATTCAAGCAGTGGCCCGAATCCCCGAGTGTCACGGTATCTTCGGGGTCTCTCAAAGTGGCTCTTCAATTGTTCTATCCGGAAGGCAAAGGAACGCCTCTGTGAAAGCTCAACTCCGCGTCGACAACAGCACCGGACCCACAGTCTCATTAGTCCCTAATGAACCCAACCTTAATAAAGAGAGTACCCGATCATCAGTCGGTGACGAGCCACTCATCTCAACAGGCGGAGTTTACATATGTCGTCCTTTCCTCGGCTTCCCCAAGAAATCTTTGCTTGACACCTGCCACAGATACAATATTCCCTATGTATCCGACCCCACGAACTTTGATCCCACTTTGACTGCCCGCAACACTGTTCGCAGTCTACTTAGCTCAGGCTCCTTGCCTCGTGCTTTGCAATCTCCGTCAATTCTCTCTCTATCAAAAACAAGCAACAGTTTCATCCAGGCCTCGAACCAACTTACGGACCGAGTCCTTTCGGCAGGAAGCCATATTCTTGATCTAAATCTAAGATGTGGATCACTTGTCGTTGAGTTTCTGAGCTCTCCAGAACTCTTAGATCCTCTTCTGTCTGAAAGTCGTGCAAAGGAGATCAAGTCTCTTGCCCTTCGTCGTATCACAGAGCTGATATCCTCTTTCCACGGGAAATCCTTTCCGCTGCGAAGTTTTGAACCTTATGTTTCAAGGTTGTTCGATTCACGAAATAACCAGCCAAGACATGTTTTCACGCTAGCTGGATGTATGTTTACGCCTCTCACTGTGAAACCTGTGCAAAACGCTCCATCAGCACTCGCAGATTTGGAAGGCTCTTCGCCCATGCATGGAAATGTGTGGCTCGTCACTCGCCAGCCATACATGAAAAACAGGGCACCATTTACACGAATTGATTTGGCTGTCCGCTCCTCAACAACTGAGCCTGCTCGTCTCCCTATGAAGCACATTCAAACATCTTGGACACTATGGGATGACCGTTTTTGGCTTCGAGTTTCGATTTCCCCGCATGAAGAGGGCAAGGACAAATGTCTAGCGCCGTTCTCATTATTCCTGCGGCCTTTCCAGAAAACAGATCTCGGATACGCCTGTAGAAATCTCGATTCCTTAACGGAAAGTCTCAGTGCGCCGGAACAAACTCTTCCGGAGACCAGATCCAGATTCAACGAAATACGGAAGATACTTACGGATGAAGCTCCGGGTTCCATCCGGTATACCATTCCAGTCCTTGGAATGAGGCTACCGTCTGAAAAGAGTCAGAGCAATGAAGAAGTCGAGCACCTACTAGCTTTGCCAACCCTGGGGGCCCAGCTCTGTGGCAGGACAACATCAAGTGACAACCCCAACAAGCTTGACATATACTTTTCTGGAACGTGGTGGACCTTGAGATGGGAATGGATGTACAAAGAGATCGACGTTGAGACAGTGCGCCTTATGGGAGGTCCGCTAAAATCTGAAGCTAAGGTGGCCGGCTAATGTACAATAGAAGTAATGATATCATGTAAACAATAACAAAGCCCTGCTAACTTGATCACCGGTGCTATGCATGGCCCAAAGCCATATGTGCGTATGTGGGCCTCGAAAGTGACAAGAAATGAGAAAAATAAGTGTCGGATGCAGAGTGTAACAAATGTCTGGGAGCTGACAGCTGACAGGTCCCAGGACTGGACAAAGGAGAGAGTTGACACTGTATCACGGTACCAGAAGTAAGATACCACGTAAAAAGGGGGGTTGATACATGTGTGAAGGAAAGTGTGAAAAAAGAAAGTGTGACTTCAAAAACTTCAACAACGATCACTGCTCACTTGCTCTCAGAAGAGCAACCGCTGCCTGCTGGGCTCGGAGGCCCCCAACTTCTCTCTTGAGGCGTAGATTTTCTTTCTTGAGTCGGCCAATTTCTTCCATGGCATTTGACAGCTGAGATTTCAAGGCATCTTCTCCGTTTCCGGATCTCACATCCTTGGCGATCTTGCTGAGCTCCGAGTTGAATCGATCATACAACGCCTCGTTTTCTGCACTTGCCTCTCGATAAAGCTCATCCAGCTTTTTCACACGCTTCTCACTAACAGTCAAAGAAGATTCAAGGTCCTTTTCGAGAGCAGAGGTGCGGTCATTGAATTCACCAGTGAAGCTGTCAAATCGACTCTCAAGGCTTCGTAAACGGCCTTCAAGCGAAGACTTAGTACCCGAAGGTCTTAGAGGCCCAGTAATTCCAATTCCTCGATCCGGACTAGATTGTTTGGTGGGTGTGAGCCTCAGAGCCTGTAGCTCATCTCCAAGTGCTCGCAGCTCGTCTCGCATGCCAGCCTGGGAGGTGGCTTGTGCTCTTTTATCTTGTTGTACACGATCACGAAGCTTTTGAGGGCTCTGCATTCGCAGCTTCTGCGGCTTTTGAGGTGATGAGGAGGAAGACTGCGGGCGGAGAGTATCGGACCCGTTAGTAGCTGGGCGTTCGCGCAATCCTGGGGTGCGCTGAGGAATGCTGGTTGCCCGTGATCTTCTTTTGGTGTCCGGAGGGGGCGACTCTGGGAGATCGGGTTTGGTTTTAGTTGATGGCTCCGTATGGGGCTCTGTAGGATCAATGTTCTCTTTCCTGCTAGGAGTTGAAGGACGCGGTGGTGACATTCTCCGAATAGGCGACCCAAGTCTAGCCGGTGAGGTTGCCTTTGTCGGCGATGCACTCCTTGCAGGCGATACTGCCAGGTAGCTGCTCTGTGGTCTGGATTGACTGGTTGGTGTCGTTGCTTCACCGCGTGGGTGACTGGATGGTGTCACTGGGCGCAAGGGATGCGTTGGGGAGACGTAGGATGCATCAGAAGAGGCAGTTGGTGGGCGGAAATCAGATAGGGAGCTTCTTCGTTTTCTGCGAACTTTCACAACACCATCCTGGGAGATGCCTCGAATGGAAGACAGTGATGGCGGTTCTCCGTGACCGGTACCCGGCCTAGAAATTTGCTCTTCGGAGGCAAACCCATAAGGGCGATCACGAGATGCAGGCCGAAGTAGACCCAGCCGTGCGTCCACATCAGTCGACTTCGATCGTATCAATGATCCCTTGGGGGTATTGGGTTCTGAGTCGCCCGGGCTTTGTCGCTTGCTCAGAGTTCGCAGAATCGATGCAACCTTACTTTCTCCCTCGTTTTTATGGCTCTCCTTGTGTAATCCGAATCCGAAGCGCTTCCTGAATGATGAATTGTTGGAGCTCACAGACCCAGCACTGGTATGTGAGGATTGCTTGTTTGGGTCGCAGCTCAAGGTCCCCTCCACTGAGGCCCCGCCGGGGATGAATTCCTCGAACAGACTGTCAAAATCCTCGACTAGGCGGTCCAGGAGTGACACATGCTGCACAGGGTCACCCTCTTCGGTGAGGACTTCTGCAAATGCCATTGTCAGGGCCCCTCGGTCACCATCATTGCCAGATGCATCAAGCAATTCAGCCAGAAGACGAACGATTGCGGCTAATGCGCGGCGGTTTTGTGGGCTGGTATCAGCCAGGAATTTTCGGAATTGCTCATCGAAATCGTGCGGAAACATTGTGTCAAACTGATTCTGCAGAGTTTTCAGAGACGAAACATCAAGTACTGGGCCCATGCTGTCTTTCCAGGCATTCTTCATGAACGTTTCGAAGGCGACAAACAGAGTATCAACAGGTACTTCGGCGGCTGCTTGGAGCTTGCTTGGATTTTCCAATAAGATGTTGTAAAGCTCATTAACGGGTGATCGGTCTGCGTTCTCTCTCGAGCGAAGCATTCTGCCCAGAATATTGCCACTTCGGGACTGTAAAGACAGCACATATGCTGCGAACGTTTGTTGCAGATACCCCAGCTGGCTTTCCGGGCCCTGGCCATCAGTTGCTCCAACCACTGAGATTTTGCTTGGAGTTTCTTCTTTTTGCTTGTCTTTCTCCTTTCCTGAGAATGTCGATGGGAGAGTGTTGGACCTGGAATGAGTAGGCCTTGTCGGTGGGGGCATCTTTGGAAATTCGCCAAGTAGGGTGGCTGAACTCGGGCCTTTCAAATTTGGCGCATTCTCGCGACTGCCACCTAAAAGATTCGAGAGTAGCTTCGTAGGAGAGGGAGGCCGGAAGCCTCTCGAGGATTTGGCCTGCGCAATCAGACTGCTCGCAATAAACCGAATAACGGCGAAATTCGAATGGACCAGCGGTTTAACTAAGTTCGGGTTTCGAGGGCTATGCAGAGACATTAGGAGATTTTGCACTGCAATTAACATTGTTAGTGACCAAATAACACTTGCTTTCAGAAACAGCATACTTACAACGCCTAGTAAGAGTAGGGACGAAGGTATCTGCCGAGACCAAGTCCGTAGAAGCCATGCCAACGACTGACTCTATGTCGAGTCTGAACTGGTCGCCATTTGGCGGCGACACAGATACTATAACCTCGATGTCGTCACGAGTTAGAATCTGAGAGCACATGGCTTTTGGCATGTCAAAGACAAGACGGATTGGGCAAGAACGGGGCCGGTCGAGTGCCGCCGTCTCGCCGTCTTCGCAGACGCAAGCCAAGATACTCGTGCTACCAGCAGACCCTGGAGGGCTGCGCAGTGTCCATTTGCTTCCCTCGCGCTCTTTTTCAGGAAACCGTCCCTCAATCTTTGCTTTCGTGATTTCTTCGATCAAACGACTGGCCTTTCCCTCGTACGTCGCAGTAAGCTCTAATGCAAGAAGGTCATATCCACTATCCAATGTTCCCGCATTGGTTTTGTATGATGCGGGAACAACGAACAGCATTCGACCACAGATCGATTGCATACAACGCACGGCAGGAAGCTCCAGAACTTGAATGACCTTGAGCTCACCAGACGGTAGGGACATAGACATATCGTTGGTTGGGGATGCTGCATTATCTATGTCGGCCAGCAGCCCACGTGCAGTGGTTCGACTTTCTTCGGGTTTCGCTAAAACCACGAGACAGTTCTTATAAAGAAGCATAATCCCAGCGCCGAGGGTTGACGGCTGCTCGGATAGTTGATACGGCGGTACCACTTCGTTTACATCGACTGCCGTGATCAAGCGACCTTCGGGGAAAATCTTCGCTGGCCACGCGTCCACAAGTTCCCTCAGACGCTTGAGGCTTTGCGCATGGCTCGAGGGCGAGGCATCATCTAATGCACAGATGTCCTTTACAAGGTCTCGGGCCTTGAGCAACGGCCTCACCGCGGGGTGGACCAAGGGTAGACTGCCAGTCATCGTATCAATCAATAGGCTATATCGAGGAAGTCGCTGCACTGGTTCCATCAAGAGGGAGCGCAGTCGTTGCTCTCCAGTCTCATACACTCGTTTCGAAAAACTGGAGTTTTTGTCCTTCATAAAAGTGCTGAGTATCTGCGTAAAACCTGTATGCGCACGCATGTATTCGGCATATGGCTCTGAGAAACGCGGTAGCCAAGCAAGTAGTGCTTTCGCGAATGAAACCGCGCCAATAGAGTCTCTCGTTTCTCTTGAACCGCGATGTGACAGCTCCGTATCTTGGCTTATGTCGGTAAGGGCGTCTTTCTCTGTCTCGTCAAGTACTTGGCGAATATCATCCAGGAAGCCGAGATTGACCTCCAAGATCTCGTTAAGGCAGGGAGGGAACAGTTGCGCCAGCTGAGTCTCGTTGGGACTAGTGCTTGACGGACCTTTCCCTTGAGCCTTCTGTCGGAACTCGTCTGCCACTTCATGAACAAGGGAATACAACTTAGCGACGTATCGCTCCTCTGTGTCCACTAGTTCACACATGGTGAGACGCAGTGCCTCTTTCTGGCTGCGTGCAAAGATTCTCGACTTGCTGACGTTTGTGGGTTGTGAGGGTGCACGCTTCAATCTTGATGTTGGCAAAAACATAGGATCTCCCAAGGCCAATATCAGCGCCGTATATGGGCCATATTCGGAAGACTGTTCCTGTTCATCTTCCCATTCTGATCCTGCACTTTCTCGTCTTTGCAAGGGTTGTATGATGCCCGACGGTAGCACAACATCGATATCGGCCCAAGGAATTCTGCGCTCTTGAAATGTGCTACGGAGGTCCCGCACAATGTCCGATGAGTCTTCCACCTTTGTCATTCGATTCGCCAAATCGGCTGCGTGCATCTCATCAAATAGCTTCGGGGGGCTCCACCCTGGCGTGAATTGTGAATCGGCTCTGTCAGCCGGCGTTTCAGTGGATCAGACAGCTCTGCGAAGTACTTCAACATGCTGACTGCCAGCCCCCGACAGACCGGATCGCCTTGTTTATCGCGGGGCAGATGGTTGACAGCTGCATACAAGGGCGCAGCGGGGGATATTGTGATGCGAGAGTAGCTCTGAAACCCAGCGGGTGTGAAGATATGCGCTTGGATGCGCGAGCTGCTCACGGTGGCATTTGCGGTAGCCACAGGGCCGTAGAAAACAAGGATAGACGAGAGATATGAATCGACTGTATGGTAAAGACTGAGATATTCCAACGGCAGGTCCGCCAGCGCGGTGGTCGCACTTGCGCTGACCGCCATGACTAGAGCCCGGTGGCACTTGCCCGTTGTAAGGCTACAGGTTGGTAAATTCGAAAGGAAGTATGATCGCGACAATCGGGGGGAGCCGATGGTTTGCCCGAAAAAGAGAGACGATGGGGGGGAGGGGAAGCGACGGCGCAAGAGTTGAATCGATCGGAGGGGAAGACCCGGTGGTCATCACATTGAACGGCGACAAGGAATGGATAATGATGCGCGACAGTCGTGGACCCCCTCCATAAACAGTCGGACAGAGTACCACCACTGCACGAGGGGGCGGCAGCGTACAAGAGTCTTGGGAGGAGGGGAAAAGCGACGAAGGTGAGGAGCAGCGTTTGTTTTGGCGCGGGGATGGAGGCAACGTGATACCGCTGCGATAGCGCGATAGCTCCAATGGGCCCTTAGCGCCTCGGGGAGATCGCCTTGTTTATGTTTGGCGGGACAACGCGGCCGTTGCTCGCCCCAACCAGCTGCAAGGTCCGATCCGAGGGGTCATTAAATTGGGCGGCGCTACTTGACTCCCTGCATGGCGCACAATGGGCTCATCCTACAGAATTTCGGCCGGCTACGATTGTCATTGAGGTCGAGCCCTGAAGGGCGCATGTGGCGGGATCGGCCATGAGAGTCGATCGGATCGGCTTAAAACCAGGATGCCCAGAAGCTGGGATGTCGTTTCACCTTGGCTTTGTTCGCGGATCAAGTTTCAATTAGCGATCCTCTCAATGTCGGAGAAATTGGCAGATAAAGCAATTGTTTATACGATGAGTAACGTCAGGTCGCCTGTCTCGGAAGTATATAAACACGACGGTGATCTGGCGGCACACGGCATATATCATTGCCATGAACATAATAGGGCACTCGACCTTCGATAAGAAAAATATTCTTTTTTTTTGTGTCATGTACATCGACACGGGGGAAATTCTCTTTCTAAAATCCATTCAGATTGTGTATTATAAAAATTACTACGGCCTCACGCCTGGGGAAGCTGAATTGTTTGGGGGTCAACAAGCACATGCGCGGTAAAATACTACATACCAGATGCTGTTTAGTTCCACCAATAAAAGCTCTTAGATACCGGATACAGCGTATCGGATCGAATCGACCCCTGACAAACCTACGAAAGGCGGTGAGCGGGCTAGGACGCTAGGCTGGAAGGAGGCAGCCCGCAGCCCATCGGCGACAGCTGGCAGCTGTTGTTTCTTGAAGGCCGATTCCACCCCGACACACGAGCCGATCTCGCGCTCGAGATGCTCGATAGCACCATGTCGGATCCCCTACCAATTGCCATCGACCCCGTGGCTTTGGTGACAACAGAATGCATCACCGTCACTTCCTCCATGCGGAAGCATGCCCGCTGGGCGCACTCCTCCGTCTCCGCCATACTGGGCGGTAATGGAGGCTCGCGAGTCTATGAACGGGATACCTCAGCGCCCCCGAGCCCACGCAAGAGCGGACAGTCTACCCGCGGTGACGAAGATCATGCTCTGGCAAACCGATGGGGTCTCCGAGGCAAGAAGGGCAAGAGCATGCAGGACAACCCGTTGATATCGGCTTTCACTCGCCTTCGCAGTGACCTCAAGGGCTGCAAGGACATTCGCGCATTCGATACGCCTGCCCTCCTTCATCCATTCCTCCAAGTCGTTCGCTCCTCCTCGACCTCCGCCGCAATCACCTCCCTCGCCTTGGTTGCCATCACCAAGTTCTTCTCTTACAACATCATCAATCGCGACTCGCCTCGACTTCCGATGGCAATGCAGCTGCTGTCCGCCGCAATTACACACTGTCGATTCGAAGCAAGTGACTCATCGGCGGATGAGATCGTCCTGCTGAGGATTTTAAAGTTGATGGAAGGCATGCTCTCTCGTCCGGAGGGAGAATTGCTGGGCGACGAAAGCGTGTGCGAGATGATGGAGACAGGATTGAGCATGTGCTGTCAGGGCCGCCTATCGGAAGTGTTGCGGCGGTCTGCAGAGATGGCCATGGTGAATATGTGCCAAGTCATCTTCACACGATTGACACAATTAGACGATGAAATACCGCAAGGGCCAGCTCCATTCGCGGACGAAACCTCCGAAAAAGATACATCAACTCTAAAGATGGATCCATCAGTGAATGGTGATACAGTGACCTCGCAACACCAGTCCGCCATCAGTGCAGACACCGCAGCTCCGGAGCGGAACAGCTCGAGCCGAGAGGGGACCCCAGAACAGTCGGGCAATGGGAGTGCTGCTGCTGCTGCACCCCCAAGTCTCCAGGATGACTACAACGGCGATGTGCAGCCGTACTCTTTACCATCTATTAGAGAGCTATTCCGGGTATTGATCGATCTCCTTGACCCTCACAATCGTCAGCATACCGACACGATGAGAGTCATGGCCCTTCGAATCATTGATGTCGCCTTAGAAGTGGCTGGACCGTCTATCGCTCGGCATCCCAGCTTGGCTGCTCTGGCTCGAGACGATCTCTGTCGTTATCTCTTCCAGTTGGTTCGCTCAGAACAGTTGGCAATTCTCACCAGCTCCCTGAGAGTCGCTGGTACATTGCTGTCGACATGTCGGCCTGTACTGAAGCTTCAGCAAGAGCTCTATCTCTCGTACCTGGTGGCATGTCTTCATCCCCGAGTCGAGATTCCCCAAGAATCTGGTATCGACCCATCGTTATACGAAGGAGTTCCTCAGGTTCCGAAGCTAGTGAAGCAGCCAGCTTCCCAAACCAACAGCGGCAGGTCAACACCGGTTCCTGTCAAGGATCGACAAAAGCTGGGACTGGAGGGTGGGTCACGTAAACCAGAAGTTCGGGAGGCAATGGTCGAAAGCATCGGTGTTCTATCACGTATCCCCAGCTTTATGGTTGAGCTTTTTGTCAACTATGACTGCGAAGTTGATCGGGCAGACCTGTGTGAGGATATGATTGGACTGCTCTCTCGGAATGCCTTTCCTGACTCCGCAACGTGGAGTACGACGAACGTTCCACCTTTATGCCTGGATGCCTTGCTTGGCTACGTGCAATTCATCTATGACCGTCTAGACGATGAGCCGGTGCAGGGAGACTATCCTCCGCAGGAACGCCTTCGAAGCCAAAGACAAACTAAGAAACTTATTATCAAAGGAGCTTCAATGTTCAATGAAAACCCCAAGGCTGGTATTGCCTACCTTACCGAACATGGAATCATCGAAGACTCGAAAAACCCTGTCCTGGTTGCCCGCTTCCTGAAGGGGACTGGTCGCCTGTCAAAGAAGGTATTGGGTGAATTTATTTCGAAGCGTGATAACGAGGAATTGCTTGGAGCCTTTGTGGATCTCTTGGACTTCTCAGGGAGAAATGTGGTTGAAGCCCTTCGAGAGTTGCTCAGCTCATTCCGTTTGCCGGGTGAATCACCCTTAATTGAAAGGATCGTGACAACCTTTTCGGAACACTACACCGAGAAGGCAAAACCAGAGGGTGTTGCTGACAAGGACGCTCTCTACATCTTGACATATGCAATTATCATGCTGAACACCGAGCTCTACAACCCTAATGTTAAGTCTCAAAATCGCATGTCATTCCCTGCTTTTGCTAGGAACTTGCGAGGAGTTAATGGAGGCGGTGATTTCACAGAAGAATTTCTCCAGGAGATTTATGATTCGATCAAAACAAACGAGATCATTCTCCCCGATGAACATGAAAACAAGCATGCGTTCGATTATGCCTGGAAAGAGATGCTTTTGAAGTCCGCTGGCGCCGGCGAGATGGTAGTGGGCGAGACCAACGTCTACGACGCGGAGATGTTCGAAGCGACTTGGCGTCCTGTTGTCGCTACTCTGTCCTATGTTTTTATGTCCGCTTCCGATGATGCTGTCTATTCCCGAGTTGTGAATGGTTTTGACCAATGTGCCCAGATTGCAGCTCGTTACGGGTTGACAGAGGCCTTTGACCGCATCATCTCCTCGCTGTCATCTATCAGTACCTTGGCAACCAGCAAGCCGCCAAGCACCGCACTCAATACCGAAGTACAAGCTGGTCAAAAGAGCGTCATGGTGAGCGAGTTGGCTGTTAAGTTTGGAAGAGATTTCCGCGCGCAATTGGCGACTGTTGTCCTCTTCCGAGTCCTGCTGGGCAACGAGTCTACTCCCAAACAAGGCTGGGAGCATGTTACTCGCATTCTCAGCAATTTGTTCATAAATTCTCTCATTCCACCATTTGACTCCCAGCTCACAGCTGAGCTGGAAGTTTCTCCCATTCCTCTGCAACCGCCGTCACAGGTCGTCGATCGGGACGGGCGAGGAAACGACAGCGGCTTATTGTCTGCGTTTACATCCTACCTCTCAAGCTATGCTGCCGATGATCCACCCGAGCCCTCTGATGAAGAGCTGGACAATACTCTATGCACAGTGGATTGCGTAACTTCCTGCTCGATTCCCGAAATCCTGATCAATATCAAGTAAGAATTGACTACCTGCCATGACTCGTTTATTATGCTAATCGTTTCCAAGATCACTTCCCATTCCTTCACTGCAAACGCTCGTGGAGGCATTGTTGTCTCAGCTTCCCGAAGATAACGCGCCTGCTGTGATTGTGGTGAAGCCGGAGCGACCAAGTCCCGTGATAAGAAATTCAAATAGCCGGGTTGATCCAAATCAACCCAAGTATGATCCTTCGATGATATTCGTGCTAGAGCTGGCGACTATTCTTACCCTTCGTGATGAGAAAACTCTCGAATCTCTCGGCGAAACACTAGCGACTACTCTTCAGAACCTGATTCGCGACGCGAAGAATCTGCACCCACTAACTGTGTCCCGAATCGTTTCGTACCTGCTCAATCTACTACGTCTGAGTCATGTAAGCTGCCTTGCTCCCGTCATTTCTCATAAATCTTCATCAAGCTAATGGCCTATACAGGACCAACACTTCTTGCGAGTTCCTGTTGTTCTTCACGCCATTTCCGGGTACGATCAGGATATATTGGACATTGTGGCTGTATCAACTGTCAAGGGACTCTCGAGGTGCATTGCGCACCCCGGACGCCTGAGGAACGAAATTACTATCTCACCCGATTTCTGGTCAATCTTGCAAAGATTGCACCAGCATGAAGAGGCCGGTCCTATGGTGTTTGAATTGCTTCGGAGCATTATTGACTCAATGCCGGATATCGTCACAGCGGACAATTACGAGTCTACTGTCAGCCTGGCGAATGACTTTGTTAGTGCAGGACACGTAGGCTCTCTGGACGAGCGACAGAGAGATGCCCAGGGACGGCGGATCAAGGGTATCAAGCAGCCCAAATCTAGGTAAGTGCGCCCTGTCTTTTCATCAAAGATTTAGAAGCTAATCCTCGGCAAGTGCCAGTGAGAACCAAGTCGTAAAACGCGGCACCAAAGCCATTGGCCTGATTTATCATCTAACTGGGCGGGTCCCTACGCTCATCAAACAGTCTCACCTGGAAGCGCGCGAGGGTAAGCCACTCCGATCCCTGGCAACGCCTGGCCCACATTTTCCTAATTTGTTTCTTTTAGCCTGGGCGGCATATTGGTCTCCTATCTTTCAGTCTCTGAGAAGTCAATGCACCAACCCTTGTCGCGACATTCGCCACAATGCCGTGTCCACATTGCAACGCGCTCTTTTGTCGGCCGAGTTGATCTCCAGCGATGACAAGGAGTGGACAAGTATTTTTGACGAGGTTCTTTTCCCGCTGGTCTTGCATCTTCTCAAACCCGAGGTCTATCACTCTGATCCCATTGGAATGGCCGAGACTCGGGTCCAAGCGGCCACTTTGGTATGCAAGATTTTCTTGCGCTTCCTCGACCAATTGCCAAACAAAGAAGGCATGCTTCCTCTCTGGTTGCGAATCCTGGATATCCTCGATCGGATGATGAATAGCGGTCAAACAGAAAGCTTGGAGGAAGCGATTCCCGAAAGCCTGAAAAACATTCTCCTTGTGATGGCCGACGGAGGCTATCTTGTTTCACCGTCTCAAGATCCGAGCAAAGAGGAAATGTGGAACGAGACTCGCAAGCGTCTGGGTCGTTTCCTGCCCGATCTCTTCTCTGAGATCTTCCCAGACGCAGGCAAGGCGCCAGAGAAGTCTCAGCCAAGCTCTGTTATCTCATCTCCACCTCAGCCAAGCAGTGAGGCTGGAAAGAAAGGTGAGGAGGCGGCTCCCGCGTCGAACGAAGCCGGTGAAGTTGTCCAAGAGGGTGAACGCTCCGAGAAGGCCCCACCTTCTGACGATGATTGCACCTCGTCCTAAGGACTATAGTTGAACCTTGGGGGTGTATCTATGCTCCTTATTTACCCCCTTGCTCTTTTGCATCTACAGATAGAACAGCGATCGGGATGCAGATTTTGGAAGGAGTCTCATTGATTTATTTTACAATTTTCACGATGTCGGACCTCATGTAGATAGGTGTGTGTGATGTTAATGCCGACGCCGTGTCACAATACAAAATATTGATTCAAGTATAGCACCTGAGCATGGTAATTCTATCGCCACAGGACGAGCCCACTGACTTTAATCTGCTTCGGACGCTCCTAAGTAATCAATGAATGGAGCACAGATAGGCTTCGTCTACAAAAGTTGGAGGGTCATGGAAATTTCCAAATTCTATGATTGCGCCGTAGAGGTAAGCTGCTAGATAAAGAGAACCAGCGAACGAACGGAAAACCACTGCCAATAGTATCGTTACTGTAAAAAGAAATTCATCTCGTCATGGTCGTACTCAGTGTCTATCACTGAGCCCATTCTATGCTCTCTTGTACGGACCGCTCAAAATCTAAAAAGCATCAACTGATAGCCAGGAACTGTGAAATGACGCGTCATATTGTAGAACTTACGGCAGCCTGCTGTGGCCTGGACTCCAAAAAGAGAATCTTTTGCCTCTGCGACCGGCGTTACTTCCTCTCCACCAACCGGCAATGTCTCCATGCGGCCTTCCACCCAAGCCATGCTGCATCACATATGCCGTCAACAAGAAATATCAATTTGATTTTGCAGGGCTTCGATAATGAATGCTGAGATTTGCCGTTACGCCGACTTTTTTGGCCAAAGGCTGAGCAGCAGCACCGCGTCAAGCACTCGTCTCGTAATATGGCCAGCATATCGCCATGTACGATACCCAAATAGTTGCAGATATCTCCAACAAGGTGCATGATTATGACCATTGCTTTGCCTTCGTCCTCGAAGACGTGGGGTGGCACGGTAATTCTCTGGGGTCCGGCCAGCATCCCCGTCAGGAGGATCTCGCCTCGCATGGCCGCTGGTGCCGTAAGGTGAGGTCAAGTTTCTTTATCTCTGGGGTTCCTTCGCAGAGCCGATGCCGATAGGAGGAGGTGGATGGAGCGGTCGATGTTCCTCGGCGAGCCGTCTGAAAGGCAAGATACCTGGATGGCTGTACTCTCTTTGTGGAGAGGATGGTGGCCATGGTTCTGGCTCTCATGGCGGAATTCATCAATTCAGGTTGAGAGAAAGATTGCAAGAACGGTTCAACTGTAGTGGGAGTGCTTTTCCCTTCACGGTGCTCCTAGGGACGGGGGGCATCTTATATACCTCAGGGTACCTCAGGTACTAACTACCTCAGAATCCAGGACAGTTCCGTCAATGATCAGACGATCCATGTTCCGTATACTCCTCGCTGACTTGATGGGTATTGCAACATTCGTGAAAATCATCCTCATTGGGGCAATGTCGACCTACCAATCAGTACAACGATCATGACAACTTCGAAATGCTGGCTTCTCATTCACTTTTGCAGGGGATGTGCAAAGGCCAATGGCCTGTTGTCCAAGCAAAATGCCAGATTGCGAGGGCAGCAATCTCCGGACCAGCCTTGCCCAGCGTGCAGCTTGAGGCAATCGATCGAGCGGGAGATGTAGAAGCCTGAAGAATCGCGATCCCTTCTGTGTAACCCACGGCCGTCCTTTCTGTCCCCACTCCTCCCTCCCGGCTGCAAGTGGGTGCAGCTTCCCCGACTACCGGGAATATAAGCGTGCATGGGGATGCATGTCCCCTGCGTCTGAGAAGACTTCACCCGAACTAACTCCGACCTTGGGCGAGTTTCAAGCTATCATCATGGTTAAGCTCGTCGATGACCATTGGCAGCTCGGAAGTTGGGCGGGCATTGGCAATGTCAAGCACACCTGATCAGGATGTTGCATTCCTGACTGTTTCTAGAAGTATAGTCCTACGGCAGTGGCAGTGCTTGGCCTTAACCATTCGGCTGGTACCTAGCCGATACCGGGGTACTGGAAAACGCAATCAGAGCCTCTCCAGGCTTAACTGGTAGTGCTACAGCCAAAAAAGCAAGTTTGCAAAGTCGATGTCGAATGTAAACAGGCCCCTCCCCCCCCCATCCCTACACAAATAATTATTGTTTTGATAGCTTGAGGAAACAAGGTAAATCTCAAGCGCCAGGTGGCCATGGGCGACGCCTTGGATGAGCAGCTGAAAAGCCACTGTTCTATGAACTTTCATCAATAATGACTTGATATGGAGTCTCCCGGCGGCAAGCTTAGACGAGAGGCTCTATGTGATAAGAAATCCGTACCAGGCCTCAAGGGGTGAAAAAAGCGGAAATGCGCCGAAGAACATGCCACGAAGACAAAGTATGAGAGGGAAAGAAGACCACGATTACGTGTTTCTAACTTGATGCAACTACAAAGAACATGCTTCATGTGGGACGGCATGTACCGCAGGTAATACGATAGCGAGAAAATCAGATGGTCGCAGCCAAGAAGATTCAGCGTCGAGAATGGTTGTCTCGAATTGAACATAAGAGAAGCCAGCCAGAATCAGAGCGGCGTGGGAAGTACTCGAACATGGAAAGTTAAAAAGACAAATCAAGATGATATCCGTCGCAATGGTACTTGTCTGAGAAAGGAAAACAGGAAATACTAGAGACACATTTGGGTGAATGAAATGAGCAAGGGAACGTTGAGGTGCGTATGGCTAGACAGCCTTCTGCTAAGCGCAGTGGAGAAGGGGTGTGGATGGTTCCCCTACTCAGCATCCATATCATCGTCAAGGTCAATGGCATTGGGATTGGCCGTTGCTGATGCAGCTTCGCCAGCCGGGGGAATGTTCCCTCCCTGGGGGCCGCTGCTCGCAGCAACAAAGCCCACCGGAGCACGGGCCTGGCGCTCAATCGCTGCCATTGCATCGGCCTGATCGGCCTGATCGACACCATCCTCGCCGTTCTGCGTTTGTTGTTGGCTCCGAGCAATGGCCTGGGAGGCAATAAAGTTGACGTCGGTACTGCGGAATGGTCAGTAAGTAACTGCGGGCGTATCAGTGAAAGGGATCGAACGTACTTGTATTGAGCCTGGACGCTCCGTTTGACGCGAAGCATCTCCTTGAAAGTATCTTCGTTGCCGTGCTGCACCTCAAAGGACTCCCACTTCTGCCAGAAGGAAGCGTTCGTGCGCGGATCACAGAACTGCGAGGCGTGGCCATAAATCGCACGGGCACGGTCAATTTCACCCAGACGTCGCTCCATTTCAGCAAACTTAAGACACATCTCCTTGGCTTCCTGATCGGGCAAGGCTGAAATTGCCCGCTCATAGATGGCCCGTGTGGAGGTGAGACCGAAGTTGGAGGCGGATTTGGTGATGTAGAACTCGAACATCTCGAATCGGTCCTCATCGGATACAGCCCGCGTGGCACGCTCGTAGATGCGCATGGCGTGACGCGCCAGCCCCCGCTCTTCTTCGAGGTTACCATACATCAGGTACAGAGGCTTAGCAAACTTTGGCGGGCATTCATCCAAGGCTTGCTCAAAAAGATCGCGGAGTCTCTCAATTCCGATCTTGCGATCAACCGCCTTGGTCAAGTACAAGTTCCACAGCTCAAAGGCAACTGGATAACTGAAGAGATCCAAGCCACGCTCGTAAATCTTGAAAGAATCTTCGAAATACTTTCTTTCTTCCAGGAGGTTTGCATAGTTGACCACGGTTTGAGGCGTCGCGATTCGGAGTTCGAAAATTCGTTCGTAAACCTTTCTCGTTTCCTCCAGGGACGACACACTTTCAACGAGATCGACATAGAAGCTCCACAACTTCCAGCTCTTATGTATGCGCTGCTGCGGCGACAAGTTTTCATCGAAATAGTCGACCATAGACTTCTTAGGTGCTTGTGTCGCCTTGGCCATGATATCAACCGCGCGATCAAAGTGCTCGCTGCGAAGTTCCATCTCGGCCCATTCACACCACGTCTCCGCAAGCTCTGCCACGGCTTTGAAAGGGACCTTGACGGCCCTCTCAAAAATGACCCGTGCCGTGTCGAGGTCCTGTTCGTTTTCGTAGAACTTGGCGTAGTTAACCCAAAGATCCGATAGCTTCCCATTAGCCTTCTTTGGGTTGATTGTGGCAATGGCAGCCGTGTAGGTGTTAACCACCTCTTGTTTATTGGTGCCCCAGAGTCCCACGCGCTTTTCCCATTCAATGACGTTGTGAGGGTCCTGACGCAACATAACATCGTTCATTAGGAAGGAACGTCGGTCCATCAACTGCTCAAAGCGAATCATGCGAAGGTCTAGATCGAAATCCGCCTCTTCGTCATGTTTGCCTTTCTCAGAGCGCACGGCTGCCGCTTCCATCAAGCTTCCAACAAGGGACTCTTCAAATTCCGCATACGAATCGAAGACCAGAGTAAAATCACGTACAGTCATGACAGTCGTGATTCCCTCCTCAAAGACATCTCTCGCCTTCTCAAAATTCCCCTTGGTAATCCAGTAGGTGGCCAGGCCAGCCCAAAGCTTCCCACGCTGGTCAGCGAATCTATCAATGCCACTTCGAAGAATGGCATCCACATCAATTCCATTTTTCGGTCCAGTTTCGATCTTCTTGGCTTTCGAAACTAACAGATCGACCATTGCTGTCCATAACTGGAAATTGCTCTTGCCGTTCTTGGATTGGAACCGAGGGTTATTGAGAATATCCATAAAGACCTTCACAGCCTCCGTGTATTGACCCATCTTGATCAGGAGCTCGATGTACTCTTCCGCATTCTCCGGATGGATCTTCATGTATCGAGCCCAGGTCTTCACGGTCGTTTGTCCAGATGCCGATCGCGCAAAGCTCTTGTAGAGCTTCCAAATGCGGTTGTGTTGGGTCACCGGGAGCGCGCGCAAGGCACGATCGAATACTCGTCTGGTTTGGGTCACTGAGGGCTGCAAGAGAAGGAAGGAGAGGTACATCTCCCAGACCCGAGGCATCTTATTCAGGAGAATCAAGGCTCGTTCGAACAGGGCGTTCACTTTCTGAAATTCAGCTCGGTAAACCGTTTGGTCCCGGCCCTTGAGATGTTTCGTTCGGAACTCGAGGTACTGTTGCGGCAAGCAGTTAGTCATATCACAATGTAACTTGCGCCGTGCATTTGAGGAGCAATGAAATCTCACCATCTTCCATAGTTTGTGGGATCGGGGCAGCTGTCTGCAGGCACGCTCGAGAACCTGGATGAGATATATTAGTGGTGATTCTCAAGTTATTCGTTGATTCGAGATATGTTGATCGACGTACAAAGGCTTGCTCATAGAGCGTACCGTGTTGCATCTTGAATTCGATGTAGGCAAGCCATGGCTTGACACTACCTGTGCTACCGGCATTGCGTAGCAAATCTTGTTCGTAGACCGTGTCTTGATCATTCTGCTTAAGTGTATATTAGCATCGTCCTCGCTTCAAGGCAGTTCAATGGGTGCATACGATCAGGTAAAAGTCCGGCCGGGACGCAGATGTTCGATCCATCTGTGCGTGCTGCCGGCTTGATCTCGGGGGCAAGAGTGTCCCTGGCATTGCGCCACTCGATTTGAGCGGGATCAGTTCGCACAGCAACAAGTCAGCATGAGAGGATGGCGCGGGGCGGGGAATCGCAGGTCGGCGCGTCGCCAGTGAAGGATGAAACGGCGAGGTCATATATTGGTCACGTGTATGTCACCGCATAGAGTAGGCGGTGGGGCTTTATCGGGGTCATATCAATGCGTGGCCGCATGGGAACTGAGTCGATCGTTTACGCCGGGAATTCAAAGCTGCCGTTATGTCGGGTGCCGTGGTATGTCTTGTGGCTCCAAGTGTCTTGTGCATCAACTAATGAGCTGTTTCTAGGGCCGAGAGCCAGTCTTCCCGACTCGCCAGTCGCTGGGGTTGATGAAAGCGAAGCTGAAGGGGGCGGAAGTAGGCCACAGCTTGTTGAAACGAAAGAGTGAAGCCCTAACAAAGTAGGTGCATTTTTCCAAGTGTTCTCATGTCCATGGCTAACTGGTGCGATCTCAAATAGGCGTTTCCGAGGTACGGCATATTGACCACTCGATGTTCCCCCGCACTCCACGACTGCTAATGATAGGCTCCGAATAGAAATCACACGGCGCATCGATGAAGCCAAGCAAAAGATGGGACGAGTGATGCAAATTGCGGCATTCTCCCTGGCCGAAGTTAGCTACGCCGTCGGTGGTGACATTGGCTATCAGATCCAGGAGTCAGCCAAGCAAGCTCGTTTCCGCGTACGAGCCAAGCAAGAGAACGTCTCCGGTGTCTTCCTTCCTCAGTTCGAGAGCTATACGGAGGAAGGCGTTAACGACTTTGGGTTGACTGGTCTTGGAAAGGGTGGTCAGCAGATCCAACGCTGTCGGGAAACATACGCACGAGCCGTGGAGACTTTGGTGGAGTTGGCCAGTCTGCAGGTACATACTGGGATATGAACATCTGAACATGCACTCTACTGACACTTGCAGACTGCTTTCTTGATCTTGGATGAGGTTATCAAGGTCGTCAACCGTCGAGGTATGCCTTTCCAAAACGCATTTAGCCACCAGGATGAGACTAACTTATACACAACGCAGTGAACGCGATGTAAGCCATTCATTGCACTACAATGTCGACAATGTCGATAAAACCCCAAATGCACCAGCTAACCGCTATGTAGTGAGCATGTTATTATTCCTCGGACGGAAAATACAATCAAATGTGAGTGTCCCTCGCCGTCTTTATCGCACGCATCACACTAACATCTAACTAGACATCAATTCCGAACTTGATGAACTCGATCGAGAAGAATTCTACCGCCTCAAGAAAGTTTCGAACAAGAAGCAGAGAGATAATGCAGCTGCAGATGCTGAAATTCTTGCCGCACGGCAAAAGGCCGCCGAGAAAGAAGCACAAAACGGCACTGCTGACACGTCGACGGTCACGAATAATGAGCCAGAAGCTACTGATGTCTTGGGCGAGCAGGAAGACAATGATGTTATCTTTTAAGACATCTTCATCAATCTCATCTGCCTCGCCTTTGCTTTGGACGGTTCGTGCGGTTCAACCTCATTGCCATATGGGTCATATCTGTATCAATTCTTTGGGTTACCAATTTATGTTCTTATTTGTGTGCCTTTTAGCTATTTGGCTTTACTTCGGGAAATATATTCAAGTTTGACTCGATTGGACATGGACATTGGACATGGACAAATGGTTACGAGCCCTGCATGTAGGATTGAATTGAGCTGAAAATGTGACCTAAGTAAGGCTCGTAATTCAAAGACAGAAAATTGATCGACAGACTCCCTGAACGCCAGAAAAAAATTATATCAAGATCTTTTGAACACGAATGTCTGAAGCGATCACTGACGCCACTTAGTAGCGCGGGTCCGGTAGCATGTACTGCTTATGACATACGGTTCAATTGTCATTCGCGTTCCCTTTGTTCTGGTAAGTAACGCGCATCAGCTTGCCCTCGGGTCCAATGGGCGTATTGTCCGTGGCTTCCTTGGCGCTGATGGCACTAGCCAGAGTCGCAAACTCGACGAAACCGATGTCTGGATATGCTTCAAAATGTCTGACTTCCTTGAATCCCTCGAAACGCTCATACACCGCCATCAGGACCTCTTCGTTGACGCCGGGTGGCAGTCGCTGCAGGAAAAGGGTTGTGTTTGGCTCGGCATACTCGCCGACCAGGGTCATATCCTGAGAAGGAGCGGTAGACTTGAGGCCAGCGCCCTTGATCAGTTTGCTGGGGCGTGCAGAGTCGTCGGCGTCGGGAGCGGGGCGCTTCTTGTTCGCTGCTTCCTGGGCCTCTTGAGCTTGGCGGAGCTCTTGTTATCTACATCAGCACCCAGATTCCCTCGACAAGAATAGATAAAGCGCATGAGGCGCATAGGATTGGATCGGTGCTGTTTAACTTACCCTTCTTTGCCAGACGCTCCTCCTTGTGGGCCTGCAGCGCCTCCGGACCATCCTCGCGCAAGACCGTCGCATCACTTCGCGTTTGCGCATAGGCCAGAACCATGGGCTTGCCAAAGAGCTCGAATCCGTTGATTTCCTCGATGGCGTTGGCCGCCGCCTCGACGCTGTCGAAAACGATAAAAGCCTGGCCCCTGCGCTTCAGGCTACGCTTCAGGATGATCTCGGTCACTTGGCCATAGTCCTCGAAAATCTCTCGCAGTTGCTCCTGCATCTTGCCGAAGTTAACGCGCTCCCGCAAGTTCCGAATCTAGATTCCCGAATATGTTAGTTGATCTTCGGCGGCGAACACGGGGGTCGGAGACCAGATGTGGGACTGGGTGTGCGTACGTAGACACTGAGAAGGCAGGTTAGCGGATACACAGACAAGAGAGATGATGCTTCGGCACTTACGTGCAGTTAGGCGTGATGCCAGCTTCCTTGGGGTCCTCGGTCGCCATGGTTGCGACAAGATGAGCACGGAAAGCTGATCGCGCGGAAGCTGAGAGGAGTGGGTGAAGCTCGGATCGTCTGCGGCGATGGCGATAAAGAAGATAAACGGGTACCTCAACGCTTCCTCAGTGAATTGCGGGTTGCTGATTACATACGTAGTACATGATGACAAAGCGGACAATAATTTCCATTCATTGGCATCATTGGTCTAGTGGTAGAATTCGTCGTTGCCATCGACGAGGCCCGTGTTCGATTCACGGATGATGCAATTAATCATTTTTTTTCCTGCTGCACCCTTTTCTCGTCCTCTCGTCTCTGCTCTGCTCTGAAAGGTCACAAAATTCAATACTTGGAAGGATTGAAAAATTTTTATTGATTCTTTAATTCACATCGCGTAATCGAAATTTAGCCTTTTCCTTGTGTTTAGCTCACCGGCAACAGGACCACCCTGAGATCTTCTACTTTCTCTTTCAATTGCTTTGGCTGGTCAGACCAGTTCTCATACTTCACTGTTTCAGAATTAGTGACAACAAATAGACGATCTGCAGCACTCAACCGAACCTAAAGAACAAATAGTCCGTTAGTGAGGTTTCGTATCAGTGTGGAGCAATTAACTTACCCTTGGAAAAGGGTGTAGCAGTAGCCCCGATAGCTTTTTGAGGACATCTGTTCGCAGGGCTTCGAGCCTCGATAGCGCCGCATAAGCTTTGATGGCCGCTTCCAAACGGGCGATATTCGATGAGCGGAAGTGTGACTTCTGGACAAGCACGAAGACCTTTCTGAATACAGGGTCTTGTTGTTCCAGACTGGAAGTCGCAAAACTGTCTATCAGAAATGCACAGAAATCCACTATAGGAACCGCGTAGCGATCATCTTGAAGAGTTTCACCCAGAGCGGCGGAAAGGTCCTGCAGAAGGGTAACCAAGATTGTTTGGCGTTGATTGGGCTCGTGAGAATTTAAAAATTGAATCAAAGCTGATCTTGCTGCCCGAACAAGTCCCTCAGATCCTGCAACCGCAGACGTAGCTAGTCCCTTGAACAAAGGCAGACGCAGCCAGTCAATAGGATACAGAGTAAGTAGTTGAGCAAAATAATCTTGAGAAGATACTTGGCTAAAATGCTCGTATTTTCTGCTTGAGTCAGTACGGATTGATATAGTGGGCTTCTATGAGAGTCGATTACCTTTGGAGGGGAGGCAGATCAGAGTATTCCCAACAGCTTTGCAGGCAACGCCATGCCTGCAGTCGGACTTTGTCGAGCTTTTCAGACGCAAGCCGGACGAGACAGCGAAGTAGGTCTTGTATCATGGGCGAACGCGATGTCACACCCGATTCCCCTTTCAGAATGATTTCGGCCGCCTGGATCGCTTCTACTCGAACTAGCGAGCCGATATCGCCTCGTCGGTCAGTAGTGTAATCATTGAGATAATCGAGCAGATTGGTTGCAATTTTCGTCGAAACCACTGATACATCATCAGTCAAAATTACTTTAGGTTGTCCTGTCCACAGGTATTTGGGGAGGTGCGAGTTACCTGTATGTGGCAAGATTTTAGTGGCCAAACATCTCACAGCAGCAACTCGCTTTTCAATGAGCTCTTCATTTCCTGCATAGCGAATCAACTCGGTGATGATGTCCCCTCGTAGATCGCTCGTCTCTTCTACTTGTTCGAAAACAGCACCAAGGGCTAAAATCTGGCCACGGCCACTGGGTAGTTTTGATGCAGCGTGCAAGTGGGAGAACCATGATTGAATTGTGATGTCCTGTTTTTGCGCTGTCAATAGTGGGAACAATGTGGATAGTGCTCCCGAGGAAGTCTCTATAGAAACATCATCACCCCGGGAGACGCAAAGTGAGAGAATCCGAAGAACTCGATCAAGTAGATCGCCGGAGGGTCGAGGAAGTGAAGTAGAAATGGTAGCGCGAGCAAGAGAATCAATCAAGCAAGCAGAGGCTTCCGCGGTCAGCTCCGGGCGAGAGGTTTGTTGAGTCAGGTCCCCATCAGTAGGACCCAGCGAGGACTCGAAAACCTCCCACAGTTTAGTTACTTGGGAAGAAACATTATTTCCTTCAGACGTATCGCTTGATTCTGCATCAAGCTCCCATGTGTTGGTGAAGGCTTCCACGGTTGCAGCCATTGACAAGAAACACCCGTGTCGTGTCTCTACGTCGCTCCGGGGAATACGTGGCAGCTTCTGCAACAGCCTTCCGATTACCATGCTCAATGTCTTGTATCTCTGTTGGACACTCAGCGACCCAATGGATCTCGCTGCTTGTCTCCTAGATTCGGCATCCGGAGATCCAATGCCTCGCCACTGCAGCAAAGCGTCGAGAAGGGGGCTCCAGTACATGGACTCCAGTGAAGCGGTGGCCTTGGAAACATCGACCATAGCGCGAGATCTGCGTGCAACAGCGTGGTAGTCAACTACCTGCACTAAAGCAATACCTTCGGTGATGGTGTTCGGGTGACGGCCGATCAACTCTTGCAGTGCCGCGGAGGCACCTCGTCGGATATTTCCAGAGGGATCTACACAAGCCGAGCAAACGAGCTCAACGGCCAATTTTTGCAAGACATCCACATCGCTTGTTCCGGATAGCGAAGGGACAACTTGTCGGGGCAATGCTTGCAGTTCCGATGTGGTGTATTTCCGAGACAATGCCCAAACACCGAAGCAGGCGGCATCACGAACCCCAGTTCCCATGGAGCTGCCAGTGGCTGTCCTCTGCTCGAATCCAAGACCCGACACAAGAGATTGAAGAATTTCGGGAAGTTGGTCAACAGGAGGCGCACGTCGAAAAAGCAAATGTGAGAGTGTGAGCATTAGTCCCTGCCACCGCTGAGCATCCACTGCACCCAGGTTACGTCTCAGCGTGTGAGAGCCGATTTTCCTTGCTTCAAACGGAGTTACCAAAGACCCATCTTCTTTTTCATAAAGAATGTTCTCTCTCAAAGAGTCTATTACTGCTTCGATGACTTCGGCGCCCATCTCAGGCTCCAATTTCAGGGTTATTACACTCAGAGCCTTGCTTGCGGCAAAACGCACAGGTGTATCCTTGTCTGCTAGAACGACGAGGAAGTGGTCAATTGAATCTTCCAAAATGGATGATAGCTGATCACCTGTGATCCTGGTGTCTCCTCTTTCGCTCAAAGATAATGCCATGACGGTAACGTTGCGGAGGATCTTGACAACGGTCTTTTTGGCTAATGCAGAAGACGCTATGGTGTTGGATATTCTCGACTGCCCTTGATAGATTCTGGATGTCTTTTTCAAAGATGCTCCTCAATATGGGAGCGAGATCTTCGACTTGGCCCGAGCCAGCCAAGCGAGCAATGAAAGACAGAACACCGATACAGGAGTAAACAAAAGGTGAGTCGACGTCCTCTGAGGGGAGAATGGTAGCGAAGGCCCAATTTTGAAGGTCTTTGAGGAGTCCCAATGTCTGCATATCCCCACGTAGGACAAGCCGTGCCAGAAGGGCTGTTGCAGCTTCACGCTCTTTCCCAGGGGCATTGATGTAATGCAGCGCCAATGACAGAAGCGATTTCGCAGCTGCTGGGGTTTTTGTGTTGAAGTCGCCCAATTGTTGCAAATTATCGTACGGAATGGGAACATCATCAGATGATAACGAGGAGAGGTCGAACGGCGCGAGAAGCAAATGTGATAACCAAACAAGCATCACGTAGCGCTCTTCCCATTTCATGCTCTGTAGCTCGCATTCAGGTAGGTCTTCGATGGAGTTCGAAGCGCGCGACTCATCCCACTCAATGAAAGCCCGAAGCATAGACTCAAGATATTTTGGCTCATTGTTAAGAAACCGACTGATCACTTTGACGCCACGAACCTTACAGAAAGTGTAAAGTAATCTGCATATAGCGCGAGGAAGCGGATACAGTGAAGCACCACGTGTGTTTTTTGCTACTTGGGAGCAATAATGGCCGCGGTGGTTGATCAGGTATGCCAGAAATGCATCCACTAAGGGGGGCAATAGCTTATGCAGATGCGGGTCTAACAACTGAGGCCATTCTTGAAAAGGTTCGAGCTGTATCAAAAGGTTAGCTACCAGAAAACTTCATATTGGGCGACGATATGTATTTTATATCGGACTTACAAGGCTCACGAGCTTCTCTGCCTTGAATTCCGATGTCCACTTGCGCGAGGTGCGGTGAGGGGCTCCAGTTTGAGACCTCCACAGCAGCGACGGGAGCTTGGTCGAGAACTCCGTGACTAGGTCGTTAGATGCCCGCTGGAGCTTGATATCTCTGTCCTCTGCTGCATCCATTGCGAGGACTTTAGTGGGGAGTGGATCGGTGTTGTTGAAGAATTGGGAAAGGCGTCAATAGCGGGCGAGGTCATGTGACGTCGATGCGATCCCACCCGTGGAGGTCACATTAGACATTCGCTTATCTCCCTCGTAATGGAACTGGGAAAAATTGAGTATTTTTTAATGTAGAAAAGATGGCGGTAAAATTGCCGCCTCGGGAAGCGATCTGCTCCCGTAGCTCAGCCTGATTTAGTCCCCCTGCCGCCCTGAGCTGCTCCCTGAGAAATCCTGAGAAATCCTGAGCGAACCTGAGCGCTCCCGGAGCACACTGATCGCTCGCCTCAGCCTTTCTTTCTCTGTTTCGCTTCCTCCAAAGATAAGCGAGTTGCTGCCTACGGCCGTTCCTAGGAGCCCGGGCAAAGAATTTAACGTGTGTCATCATGCTTCTACTCTCTAGTGCTTACTTTCGAGCTCATCGTCTGTCCACCATGATCTGCTATTCTGCATAAGAAATGAGCCTGCTGTTAACTCACTCTCTGATGCCTTGCTCTACTCTACAGTAGTAATACGTACTTTACTTGACCGACGTATAAGAACTAGTTTTCATCCTTGCTTCTGCCTCTATGTTCTGGATTAGTTCAGCCCCAGGACTATTATTCATCACTACAGCGAAGCACAAATTCTATAACCCTAAGTTATATTTCTCTCTATAACTATAAAGCAGCAGGAAGGCATCACTAGCTTACTAAAGGATAATTAACTAACTAACAACTACTTAACTATGCGTGGGATAAGTCAGAATATATAAACACTGTTTTGCTTTTCGAAGGTTGATTTTACAATTCACTTGTTGACGTTGATCTTTCTCTTTCAAATTTTTTCTTATAGTTTTGAATCGAATCATTAAATCAAAATTTTCCTCATGAGTATTCGCGGAATATAAGATGATCTCACAAGCAGATCGCTTTTAGATTTCTTGAAAGATCTCGTGATCAGCTTTACCTAGTCTCCATACAAGAACCACATCTAAATACTAACAACCTATTAGTGCTCGAATCCCAATCCAATGATCAATTTTGCAATACCGCTTTATCAGTCCGGAGGCATTTGAATAGTTTGGTATATTGAATAAATAGTCTTTCATGACAAACTTGTAATGCTACTGCTACAGTATACAATACACAAATTAATCCCTTTGGCTTCCACACAGCGACTTTAGGTTCCAGATCAACGTGTATTTTTATTTTCTCACGGAAGGCCTTAGTTATGTAATTTCCTCGGAGACAAAAATGCGACATGATCTCCAGTGAACACTGCCTTGGGTAGATTCTATATCTTTCCATGTTCTGAATCAAATACATACCTATACATATAGCATTATTTGCAACCAACAACTTTCTTCTCTGAAACTCAGTAAGGTGAGTCGTTGCTATGGTTAAGATAACCATTCCCTTGACCCATATCATTGGACACAAGTGGGGACTTGCTTTAGTCTCTAGATTAACGTGGCTGCTTTTCCATATTCTTGTCCCTGTTCCATATTCTTGTCCCTGTTCCATTTCTGTTCCCTGTTTCATTCTGTTGCCTGTTTCATTTATGGGAGCGGCCTGCTCACCCAGAAACTCTTCTTCATGTACGTAGATATTTTCCTTCCATTTCCTCAAGACCGTTATTTCCAGAAGCACCTAGTCATTGAATAGAATCCTGCTCATTATCTGGATTCCTGCAATTAATTTTGCCTGGAAAGTAAGTAGAACTTAATAAGGAGACATATGTATCAGTCAACCGTTCGTGGCCATCCAGAAGCGGGCAGCATGCCTGATCAGCGGAGCTTTCAGAACGACAGCAGCAGAGGCACTGAACACAGAACTACACCTACCACCAATTGCGATCCAGATGAACCGCCTCGTAAAAGAAACGGCTTTACGGTTACGGACTGGACCAGTATTCGCTGTCCCACCAACAATGCTACGACGCCGACCGGTGGACGAGAGAGACTGGTCTGGATGGACACCGATGGAGGCGCAAGCCTGGAAAACAAGCGGATGCCTTACGGCTCCCCCGGGAACTTTGGCGAGAGACTGGGAGAGTCGGAAGGCATTCGTCCAGGCACCATGGCAAGCGCCGCCAGAAGTGTTCATCGAGGACAGAGAGATGGCAGTGATTCTATCCAAAGAACCAAGCGAAAGATCCTTGATTCTCTACACCGACGGGAGTGGGATCGAGGGAAAAATTGGAGCAGCAGTAGTCGTTGATCTCGAGGATCACCACGCTCACAGCCAAATGGGCGGCGAAGATACGTCCACTGTATACGCTGCCGAGCTCAGTGCCATCGAAATGGCATTCAAATTAATCTTGGAGACCACGGAACCGTGGGCGGCACAGGCGAGAAACGAGCTTGTCATCTTTGCAGACAGCCAAGCGGCATTGAAGGCGCTCCGCCAACCACGGATGCCATCAGGACAGGTCTACCTGGAAGAATGCCTCCACCTGGTAAGGCAACACGCAGCCAATGGCCGTCAAATCCACCTCAGGTGGATACCTGCTCATCAAGGAGTGGCCGGCAATGAACGTGTCGACCGACACGCAAAGGAGGCGGCCCAGGAACCAGAAGGACCACAAAATCCAAACAATGGTTATATTCGCCTTGCAGCTGCAGCTAAAAGCCGCATTCGCCGCGAGGCAAAAATCGAGTGGGAAAGGTCATGGTCTATTAACAGTTCGACCGACGAAACGCTTAGTCGAACGACCAACAAAGAAGACCCTAGAATACTGGTCCGACCTGCGGAAAGTGACAGCGTCCATTCTGATGCAGCTTCGTACTGGAAGAATTGGCCTTGCTGCCTACTTGACTCGCATCAATCGGCGCGAGTCAGCGAGATGTGGTTGCGATCTGGGGAATCAGACGGTCAATCATATCTTGCTTGAATGCCCGCTACTCCCAGACGAACGCAACTGGATGAGAAACGCTCTGTCCGACCGCGGAGTTGCTCTTCGACGCGATAGTTGCTCTTCGACGCGACGAGCTCCTGACGCGGCCAGAGGCTCGCATAATTGTGGCCGAATTCATGGTCCGGACAGGTCTCTTAAACCAGTTTCAACCAGTCGACCCATTGGCTCTCGGCACGGAAAAAGGCGACGAAAAAGGATGACCCCTCAGGACAGTGTGACGGAAGGAGAAGGATGGTGCCCGTTAGGAGTGCAGTGCCAGGTCCACAGAGTATACTCCCTTGATGCAAACGAACGCAGGAGCGGCAGCCGACGGCCCAGAGGGCTGCGCAGATGAAGGCGGTGGAGGTTGAAGCAGATCAGAGAATGAAGTCTGATTGTGGAAAGGAGAGTGGGTAGAGGGGAGGCGACGTTCGTTTTGGATTTCCTTTGTTTATTTTGTCTATTTTGTCATGGTTGCATACATTCTCGGGCGATCAATCCGGGGCTTGCGTTGCAACCCATGGAAACAATCGTTCAGTGGGCGGGCGACCACCTTCAAGATGTCGGCAGGCCTGACAGCACTCCCTATAGCAGCATATATTTAGAGCAAGCTACATCGGGCAAATGAATTCATCATCATCATCATATAAATTGTTCGTTTGGAGCGTCCTCTACACAGTACGGCATCGAATTTTAAACAATCTTTTCTTTCATTGCACCAACGATTATTGAAGTTCAGAACGACCCTCTACCACCACCATACAAGTTCTGGATAGTGCAAGTGAGCTCTCTTCTCCGGTTAGTTGCTGTTATCGATTATCAGCGGAGATACACGTTAGTTGACTACAGAGTACCGTAAGACGAGCATCCCCATACCTAAGCCCTTTTAACTTGTTTTACCTATTAGGTGAAAATGTGAGAGTCGAAGTATATCCAATATACTTGTGGTTGCAAGAAGGAAATGGAGTTTGAACAATGCGACGAGCGCCGCGGAACGAACGTCAGATGCCATCCAATCAGGAAGGTATTTGGTAAACTCGAACAACTACTGTTCGAGGCACCTGGTTAAGCCAGACGCAGAGGTGAAATAATATATTTTTTGGCTCGCGGAGTTCAAGCTGTCTTTAACCAAGCAACAGAGTTACTTCGCTATAGCAATTTTTGCGCCGCTATTCGATGTGAGTGACCCAGGGGTGGCAGTTTCTGACGATGTTCTCGCGGCATTCGATTATCTTGACAACTTGAAAATTCGGCATGGTGAGCAATTGAAAAACATGACACAAAGTCCTACGAGCATGCGATCAGGATCATGAGAGATATTGCTTCGTTCACCTATGCAGAGCCCACATCAATAACGCTGGTGGGCGGGTGGGCCATTCGATGTCCCCGGGGTTCTTGGAAGGGCTAAAAGGCCGCAATCCTTTTGCCTTGGTGATACTGGCCCACTTCTGTGTATTTCTGCACGTCGCCCGAGACAATTGATGTATTGGGTCCTGGGGTCGAAATGTTCTTGGGGAATAATGCAAAGCTTAGAGTATGGCTCGCAGCGTCACTTAAAATGGGCAGTCGTACAAGTTTACAGACGATGATTAACGGGGCCTGCAATGAGCGCTCAATGCCATTCAACATGGTCCAATGTCGGGTTTCAGGGGTACAGCTTAAGATGAAGAACTTACTCAACAATATAAAGGGCCACAAAATCAACTTGTACACCCCCTGGATAGACACTACGTATTCATATTCTCTAAACCTCCCCGAGCAGGCCCATCTCGAGCGCGGAGGTTTGTTCCATGGAACAAACGTGTGCGTAAGTTCAAACAATTTCTTTTATACTTATCACCGTGAGCGAACCAGGGTTAAAATACTGGCGGTGTAGAGAGCGCTCATATGGCGTGTCTAAAGACTCTGCAACTCGATCGAACGAGCGGCCGCGGCCGTGAATGTGCAAGATTGAAACACAACAGCACGCCGAATAAGGTGATTTTTTCAAAAGAGACCGCCAGTGATAATACATTCGCCGGTAGATCGGTCTGAGCATCGAGCCATAAGTCACGCGCTTTGGAATTGATTAGTTTCGGGATTTTCGTTAAATGTCTTTGGCAGAGGCATTCGCCAAGAAGATCTAGACCCTTGAGGCCTGCACCAGGAAAGACAGATCGCCAGCGACAAAGTTCATAGGGAGCCATACTACTCTAATGGTAGAGAGCTTCTCTGCACAGATGTATTAGATAATGCGTTCTAGAGTCATATAGATACTCGCAGCAAGAAAAGCGGGTATAAGCAGGGCTAATGCACTCTGCATGATATTTAAGCCTTTGGTGAAGTCCAGTGCCTCGGACAATGTCAGTAAGCATTCTACATAATCAATAGTCTCCAGGTTGCGCCGGTTAAGAAGATGATCAAGAACCATGTTGGTGAACGCATCAGCTGATAAATATGCACAAGTCTGCTGAGCCCAAATAGGACAGTGGGACAGTGAATGTGACTGCAGCCGGAGTGGACAGGATATAGTAATAGAAAATGAACACCATCGATGCTCTGTTATTGCTGCATGACCTAGGAAAAGGACCAAACCAGTCGTGGATGTACCAAGTGTTGTGAGATTTGAATTTAACAAGTAGACGGATAGATCCGGAATATTGGAATATTGGAATATTTGTATTTCTAGACCAAGCGAAAAGTTGCCGCAAAAATAGAAAATTTCAAGCTAGAGCCCTGATCCATAGGCATCTAATTTAGTACTACGTATTCCCCTACAGTATCTTTGAAACTTCTTTTTCATCAACTTTTCTTCGTATTCGTTCCCGTGCACGTTTAAGGCTAAAGCGGCGCATCAGGTACGGGTATTCGCCGGTGTTTTGGACCTTCTGTTCGTGTTCGTGATTTTGTCCAGTTTAGGGCTACCTGTGGGTCCTGGAAAACGCTATTTGAAGACGTAATCGTGACTAGGGACTTTGGATTTGCCATGGCCTAATCTAAGTGGGCAGATTTTATGATCTCCGAGACATCAATTCGCGCCCGTCACGTTCGCCTGTCACCCAATAAAATCTCAGGAGTACTCGGATTTTGCATAGTCCGGAGGTGGTAGCCAAATCGACAGATCTGGCGGCAACGATTGTTCGTATGTCGCGCCTTTTCGGGTATATTTGGAGAATATTGCTACCTAGCGTGGATCTGAACTTGCGTTGTTCAGTGTTAGCATCAATACTTAAGCATAGGGTAACCTATGAACCGTTCATTGGAAACTGCTTTCGCCACGACATTCACTCCTCTCTTTTTATTGACTTTCCATTTTCTCGTTTGCCACCTACAAAGCCATGGCCTACAAACTTTATAATTACGATCCTTCCGGCAGCGCAGCCATTCCTATTGCTGCCCTTTTCGGACTGGCAACAGTGGTCCACATTGTGCAGATGGTTCGTGCCCGAAGTTGGTACATGATTCCATTCACAGTTGGTGGCGTCTGTAAGTTTCTCTACGATACACACGGTTGTGAAATTGATTAAATTTTGAACAACTTCATTTCAGTCGAGGCGATCGGCTACTTATGCAGGTACATCAATTCAACCGAAACGCCAGACTGGCAGACCACGCCCTATATTGGGCAAAGCCTTCTTATTCTTCTCGCTCCTGCTCTTTTTGCCGCCTCTATTTACATGACTCTCGGACGACTTATTGTCACTCTAAAAGCCCATTCGAATTCGATCATTCGGCCATCATGGTTGACCAAGATTTTCGTGATCGGGGATGTTCTTTCCTTCTTGATGCAATGTGGAGGTATGGTCTCTTTTAGCAGCCAGGATTCAGCAGGGCTTGACACGGTGACTGATGCCATTCTTTATAGGCGGAGGATTCCTTGCCAGCGCGAAGACCCAGGACAAGATAGATATGGGCGAGAACATGATCCTGGGTGGCCTTTTCGTCCAAATACTCTTCTTCGGACTTTTTATCATAGTTTCGGTCATTTTTCACTGTCGAATGCATGCTTCCCCTATGAACTATGTGGGAGGAAGCCGAATTCCCTGGGCGCGGTGCATGATGGTCTTGTATACTGTCAGCTGCCTAATTATGATTCGTTCAATCTACCGAGTGGTTGAATACGTGCAGGGGAGCGGTGGCTACCTACAAAGCAAGGAAACGTTTATCTACGTTTTTGATGCCGCGTTGATGCTTGGCTGTTGCCTTGTCCTCATTATTTTACACCCAAGCAAAATGTTGAGTGAACAGGAAAACAGATATCAGAAGACTGAAGATCTTGAGATGCTGGCCAGTAATTACTGATCATGTGGAAAACATTACGTTTGAGTTGCGGGATGGATTATAAATTTCTTTGGAATTTCTAGCTTCCATCAATATCTTTAGGACTATGCAACCAAACCAGAGAGACAGATTCTATGTCCATGTACAATAGAGCCAACGCTCATGTAATCACATGTGTAAAAGGCGTCCTTCCGAGAGAGCATTTGGGGAGACGGACATTTTTCGTTTTCAAGGTGTGGACTGCTGCATCCGTTTTCTGGCCCACGTCTTCAATCTTGAGGTTGGCGATATACTTTCCACACTGAAATCCGGCGACCATAAGGCAGCAGCCACGGCATGCGATCTTATGCAGGAGAACAAAAACATTGGTTTGCACCCTTCAGTGTCCCGCCTTCGAATTATGAGCCTCAAGATAGCAAGAACACCACAGAGAAGACAGCAGTAGAAGGTAATTTGCCAAACAAATCGGTTTAATGACAAATTCATAGAGTACGATGTTGACACAAGGTGGAAGTCGACATTCCGAATGATAAGGGACGCCTTACAGGCAAAGCAACTAATCAAAACGTGGATTGACAATCAATCATACCTTCCACCTCTCTCGACAGAGGACTGGGAGTCTCTCCATCAAGTCGAGTGCATTCTGGCGAAATTTGAGGAGCTCACTCTCACTGTTTCTAAAAGCCAGCCCCAGATCAGCCTTGCAATACCTATTTACTATTATATTCACGATATACTGAACGATGCTGCATCCAGGGAGGGAGAATTTGCTGCCCTAGGCCCGACATAGCTTCTGCAGTATCTTCAGGGCTTAGTTAGCGTTGGGGTGAAATTTATCGCGACTCTCAAAATCATCTTCTGATTCGTAAATTGAATAAAAAGGAATTTCCCATGCCCCAAATACGACCAATATGTGAGTGTTGACCTTGAAAGCTACAACATTGTGAATGTAAACACATAGTAATCAGGATACATAAAGTATGGTGCTTTACTGAATAGTAAAAATTCCCTTGGGAAAAGTCCAGAAAAAAACCCATCCATATAATGAAAGACAAACGATCAAACGGCCAGACATCACGTAATAACGAAACAAATCTTGCCACTAATACCCCAATCGGAGAGCATGGCTTTTGTCACCCGAGCAAAATGACCAAAGCCGCGTGCCTTTGAGAAAAAGAACATCGTATATTGCTTGCAATCAAAACAGAAGCATACCGCTGTGGCCCTTCAGTTATCCTCATCGTCTAATTCACCCATTTGGTCTCGAAAGGAGGGAGTCTTGGGGTTCTGAGGGTACGTCGTGGCAAGCTGGACCATGGTCTCCCGAACATGAATTAACGAGATTGCCAACGCAAGTGAGTTCCAGACATCCTGACCGGGCTCGGTGAGATTGAATTGTCCCATAAATTTCACTCGGGAATCAGGGGCTGCTTTCCAAGCAGGGGAATAAGGATCTGAGTCGAGGGATAATATAGTGGCAATGGGGCCACAAAGGACAAATCCTATCAGAGTTGGCCAATACGGTTCGTCCGGCTCTCCATATGCAACTTGATGACGTGCCGCATGTGAAATGAGTCTATCAACTAATTTAGTGACAGTTTTGAGAGCAGCCTCGTTTGGTTTCTGAACTTGGATAATATAAACTGGGATGGTCTCGCAGGTTGTTTTGAGACCGCCGTCGTCAATAGCCCAGCGAAGGAATTTCAAGATCGCTTTGCGTACCACATTGGGTGGGTAAACATCCAGAACTTGACAGTCTCTAATCTGGCACCCCAAACTGAGAATGTCTTTCATGGCCTTGATTGCATGAAACTCCGACCGTGCTCTACTCTTGAATTTGAGATTTGCTATCTCTTCATCAGAAGTGTCATCCGCAGTAAACAATGATTCGGGTAACGTGGCAAAGTCCGTTCTCCAATGATGAAACATTACCGGTTTGCAGCCACGAAGGGCGAGCTCGAGGTATAGACTCTTCTCTCCTTCACCCATTTGCGCTTCCTTTGGAACCTTCACTGCCTGGGCCATGCGCCTGGCCTTCTCTTGAGTAAGCTCAAACACAAGGTCCCTTCTTTCAAGCCTTGCCTCATTCCTCCGGTGTTGTTTGTCATATGCAGCCTCGATTTCATCATCATCACTCGGAGAGCTATAGTTGTAGTCTTTGATTGAATTATCAAGATCTTCTTTCGCCCCCTTTTTGATGATGAATCTATCTCGCTCTGAAGAGCCCGTAGGGCTCTCGAAAGAGCTTGAGCACTGAAATAGATCATATTGAACCGCATAATGAGGAATGGTGACTGTCGAAGGCGCGGGCTCAGGTAATTTAGAGTAACCAAGCCCTTCCACAGCGGGATATCCGTTCGCTCTCCAGGACAAACTAGAAGATTTGGGCTTCTTTCCCTCCTCAGGAATATCCTGGCCATTTTTGGGGCTCTGAGAAGCACGAGGCTCGTCAATATCTTTTGAGGATTTGCCCTTTTTGAGGTTCGGCTGAATTGAGTCCACGGGTCTGCCTCGCTTGGACGACATGGCGACTAAAAGAACGTTTCGCTGACAAACGATGAAAGCCAGAAAATTGAAAAATTGGCGTCGATTTTTAAGAAGCAGGCGAAAGGCTGACAGGCAGGAGGTTTCAGGTTGAAGTCGCCGAAGACAGCAACGAAGTCAGATGGGCGGCAGGCAGAAAAAGAATCGAGTGCGAGTGCTTGAGGGACGAGATCGAGTTCCGAGTTGCCATGTACTCGCGGGGGCCCGGGAGAATCATATACCGACGAATTTCCACCGCGATAGGCGGATCAATGAAAGAAAGGTCAATACAAAGAGGACAACCGACAGTGGGAGCCAAGTAAGAAGTTTATCAAAGAAAAGCGGTGATATGATGCTCCAAATTAGCCGTAAAAAATAGCCCTAGGGCCGACTACTGCCTCGATCAAAGACAAAAAAGATCACTTAATGTTGTCTTCGTGAGAACGAGGATTGCCCCTCAAGAATAATCGCATACAAGAGAGAAAAAATTGAAAAGTCGCGCAGGATTTATTAGTACGTATTTGCATCTCCTGTCCAGGGCCATGGGAATCAAAATTTCATCCAGCAGCATGACTGCAAGACATCATCTCACGGGCACGGCGCCAGGCCCAGCAAGAACCACACGGGTCATAATCTTTCAAGCTCGAACACATCCCCGGATAACACTTTTTTGTTGAAAGACACACCCACCCTCGTTCGTGCAGTCGTAACCCACCCGCCCTGGCAGTGACTGCCCAAGAGCTCGTCACCCATCACTCCGAACAGCCATGGCCCGGCATGGCAGAGAATAGTCGTAAAGTCGACTAGTCGGGAAGAAATAAAGACGAACTCGCCAAGTTAAAGAAGACCCAAGAAAGCAATTTAGATACGCGAAACAGGAAAGGATAGAAAAAAGCAATAGCAACATAGTTGCTCCATTACTCATGTCATTCGGCACAATGAAGCGTGCTTAGCGAAAGGATCTGCAGTCAGCGTCTACGCTGACGTTCAGTCAAACACACATCTGCGATGGGTACGTAGAGCAAGTTGAAGAGAGGGAAACGGAAGCACGGAGCCCAAAAGAGCCCGGGTCGTGACGGCATCAGACCGTGGTGCACCGAGTCAGGACTGAGGCAAGAGGACTCGGTTCTAGGTGCTCAAGTGGAGAGTATATTATCGCATTTCAGACAATCCTGAAACTAAGCAAAGTCGGCGGTGTAAGAGAAGCCGCGGAACTCTTCCTGCATGGCCTGGGAGAGCACTAGAGGAGAGAAAAGAAAAGTTAGCTGCAGGCACGGAATCAAGGATAGAGCCAAGGAGCTGCTTACCGGATTGAACAGGGGTCAAGACGGGAGTCACGCTGGTGAACTCCTGGTCGAAATTGCTGGTATCCGTAGGGCTGCTGATGGTAGGGATGAAGGGTGGTGGAACGCGCTTGTAATAGATATCATCCCAGTTGATGTTGCGGAAGAATGCGTGCGACATCACTTCTTGGGCATCAGTAGGACCGGAGCCCAGTCGGAGTTCAGGCTCTCGGGTCAGGAGCTTCTGCAGGATGGAGACAGAGTCGCGAGGCATGTGGATAGGATAAAGAGGCTCATCCGCAAGGATAGCATCATAAATTTCGTCCTCATCTTCACCACGGAACGGAGACTGCTGCAAAAGCATCTGGTAAATGAGAACACCAAATGCCCACCAATCGACGGCCCGGCCATACTTCTTGTCCAGAAGAATCTAGGAAACAACAGTTAGTGTGTGGTCCCTTTGAATTCAATGAATACAGGGAAAGCTATGCTTACCTCCGGTGCCATGAACTCGGGTGTACCACAGAAGGTGCTAGTAGTACAACCGTACCACATATTCTCTTTGCAAAGACCGTAATCCGCGATCTTAATGTGACCATCCAAAGTCAGCAAGATGTTGTCAAGTTTCAGATCACGATAGATGACTCCGTTCTCGTGGAAGTACTTCAGAGCCAAGCAGACCTCGGCAGCGTAGAACCTAGTAATTTCGGGTTAGTCCATACACCGTAGTTGCAAACGATGCTTGGCAACCGGTGAAACTTACTGTGCCCTTTTCAAACCGAACTGACCACGCTGAATGTGCAGCATAAGATCACCGCCACTGATATACTCCATAACGAAATATACTCGAGTCTCGGTTTGGAAACAGGCGTGCAGGTTCAACAGGAACGGATGACGTTCCTTGTTGGCAATTAAGAAGACACGCTTTTCAGACTTGGTACTTTCGACTTCATCGTTTTCAATGATGAACTCCTTCTTCAGAACCTTAATGGCATACAGCTTCCGGGTACTCTTTGTCTCAGCAAGCATGACCTTTCCGAAGTTACCCTTCCCAAGAACAGCAAGGAAGTTAAAATGATCGAGTCCAATGCGAGACTTCGGTTGTGGGGGGGCAATATCATCCACTGGGGCCATTGGTTGAGGAACAGGCTGCATGGATTGCACGGGAGGTTGCATGGCCTGCTGCTGGGGCGGGGGCATGGCATAAGGCGCAGGCTTATGCATTGCTTGCGCCGGAGGTGGCTGCTGGAAGCTGGCGTAGACAGACGGATCGTAGTGAGCATGAGGAGGTTGTTGTTGTTGAGGAGGCTGCACAGGAGGACGGCTCATTTCAGCTGGATCACGGAGATTAGTATAGGGCTTCATATTACAAAACGGTATAGCAAAGGATGCATACTTGGGGTTTGTTGAGGGCTACGGAGGCCCGTTGCGGCAGCTGCAGCCGCCTGGGCAGCGGATCCAGATGTGGGCGATTTCGGCGGCAGGGGTTGACGCTGAGCATTCTGTGCAGCAGCTGTTGGTGACTGTGGAGTCATATAGGAGTTAGTCGCAGCGCTTACCGCTTCGGCTGAGGCCTTTCGGGGTATTGCCCCATACGGGCCCTCAGCGGGTTTTTGGGGATAAGATAGAGCGGCGTTGTCTTGAGGGGGTTGCGGCGGACCGCCTGGTCGAAGGGTACGACCGCTGAGACCGGAACTGACAGAAGTAGACTTGTTGTGATTCTTGGCACGAATAAGGGTCTCCAGGATCTGGTTCGCCGCTTCCATCGACATGCCACAGAAGTCAGGGACGAGATGTGTGCAATGCGCGTGGCACGTAAGACCGCACTCTATGATCGAGGTTAGTTTCGTCTAAATGTGAAGTTGGAGAAAAGAAAAGCTGCATACCGGTGCATCGTTTGGCGTTCTTGCGTCCGAAGGGAAGAAGATAACCGCAGTGGCAGCACCAGTTGGCAGAGAGATTGGAGAAGCCTTCCCAGCGGTGCGGGATACGGTGGTTGATCTTTTCCTCGTCGGGGTCGGTTTCGTAGTTGGCCTTGCTGATACATTTGGTGACAACCTTATTGTAACATTTCTTGTGGCAAGTATATTTGCAGTCGGCGCACTGCATGCCCGCGGCATACTTCAAGAATTCCCCACACAGCGCACAGCGCATGATGTTGTAGAATTGCTGACTGACAAACTTGTGACCCTGCTTTTCGTGAACCTCTTCCTTCTTTTGGCGGACGGCACCTTGACGGTTGAGACCAATGTCGAAGGGGCGACGGTCCTTCAATTGCTTGGCTATACGGCGTTAGCAAAGCACTCGAGATGCTATGGAACACAGACGACAGACTATACTTACCAAAGCTCATTGAAAGTTGGATGCGGCCAAAGGGCTCCAGAGCAAACCATGAGTCAATCATCACTGACGGAGGGGCATTGGGGTTCTCCGGTGGCATTCCGCCCTGTGCAGCAGACATGCCCCCAAAGCTGCCAGCTCCTCCGCCATGGGAAGAACCCATCGGCGAGCCTGGGTGATCGGATCGGGGAGTAGAATCACCGCCCATCCGGTCCGCAGAAACCCACCCAGAATTGTTCAGTTCGGACTCAATCTTCTTGCGACGCATCTCCTCCGCAATGTCCGAGATACGCACCCACAGCATACCGATGGGCGTGGGGCGATCGCCGGACTTATCGTACACCGTCAGCTCGATTTCGTTCGCTTTGTCAATGTCGATCGAGAATGCCTCATCCAACCATTTGTCGGTCCGACTGGGCTTCGTCCGCGCCTTGATCGTATCCTCCACCTTGACGACGACATAGGTCTCGGGTCCACGGGAGAACCTGGAGCTGGCGGCATGGTCCACGTCCTTCACCGCATGGATTCGCATGGTAAGAAGACCAGTCAACGGCTTGCGCATGTTAGGGCTGCTAAGACTCTCATCTATAATCATGGTTAGTCGCAAGGAAGGGCCAGGTCAATCGCCATGTCTGTAGTTTTCACGTACCATCAGCGGCATCGGACGACTCGATATCGACGTGAAGATCCTCGTATCGCTTCAAGGCCTGCTTGAGCAACTGGATTTTCTGGTTGCTCTCAACCCGTCGGCTTTCGGCATCCGCGCGGCTCTTCCGGTCACCCTCGTCCTGGTAAAGCCGGACCATCTTCTCAATACCCGCTTTGTATTGCTTCTCCACGCTCAGCTTGAATTCGAGCTGGGACAGCATGAGCTGAATCTTCGGACCGAGGTACGCGGTATCATATTTAATGAGATCTGCAAAAATCGATCTCGTTAACACTCATGGTCTGAAATTCGTCGACTGACGGGACTCTCCCGGGGGAAGGGGAGGGGGGAATTGTTAGAGTGAGCGACATACCGAGCTTGGTGTAATTAGGGCGCGCCTTGGGGATCGGAGCGTAGGGCCGGGGGTCAGGGAAAGGAGCGCCCGAGGGCATCGAGCCCGAACCGCCCTGAGGATAGCCACCAGTGCTGTCTTCACCTCCAAGATACCCAGCATAGTCCTTTGGGGGCGGCGGGGGCCCCGCGCCCGGCTGGCCTCGCTGGCCGGGGGAACCACCATCTTCCTGCTCGATCCGACGGATCTGTAGCTCTCGCATCTTCTCCTCGAGGTAGGCGATATTCTTGCGGCCATCGCGGATGTTAGCGTCGACCCTCTGTTGCACGAGGGGATTGTCGGTTGACTGCCGCATGTTGCTAGCGGCGGCGATGAGGGCCTTCTCCCGCTCGATCTTGCGGTAGACCGAGGCAATAAGCTCGTCGCCGTCCATGATGGGCAGGTCCGAAGCAGTTGGAGGGGGATCAAAACTGGGTGGCTGCGCCGGACCGTTGGGGGAGGAGTTGTAGGTGGGAGAAGGTTTCGCGGGGCTCTTGTTGACAAGGGGGGTAGACGGTAAGGATAATGCCACTTCGGAAAATGTCCCATGGAAGAGCCAGCGCCGCCCGCACGAAAGATCGTCCCGATAAGGGCCAGGGCAAAAATAATACGTCGTTGAGCAGATCCTTGATGACAGAAACTACGAGAGCTACAGTACCATTGGACTCGGCCCAAACGTTTTTAGGCGCGAATCCCATACAGTGTGGCGAAAACCGTGACATCTACACGTGAGACCGCCTGTTGACCCAACGTGGGAGGCCCTCCTCCGAGACAGTCAACCCTACGACTCCCGTCACGGAAGGCATTGGACCGTTATACTCTTCCGAGGCAGCCTAGTCGGCTTCGCACCGTCAGCCCCATGCTGGACCCAGCAATTCCGGCTGTGAAAGGGAACCTCCCCCATCCCTCGGATTTGGAAGTCGATGACCACCAGCCGAGGGTCTCGGAACCGTGATTGGCAGAGATCGGGCCCAACATGTCTCAGCATGGCGGCGATGCCGTCCGTCGTACAAGAGTACGAAGGGGATACGGAACGGCGATGTCTGCGTTTCGTCACTGCACGCTGATCGCCTCAGGCGTGCGACCGTTTGGTCTCCATAGGGGAGGGGATGGGCCCTCGACTCGGTTACATCTGACGCATTCTTAGCCTGCACATTGGCCTTTTCCACCTGTCTCGACATCATTCGTTTCTGTGGTCGATTGTAAAACTTTGAAATGGCCAGATACTCAATCATGGAATCATCCATTCACCAACTTGCGTAGGGCCAGGTGTAGTAGCTTGTCTGCTGGGGTTTGACGCCGTACATACTCTAGTGTGATTATGAACCTACCGGATTTCCTGATCGATGATCATACAGTGTATACAATTGTAACCACTAGGTATCGCAGTCTAGTGAATCTAAATGCATCATAAATGTTCCTTTTCCTCGATGTCTTTGCGAAGGGTAAGTTAACTGATTATACACTTGTATGCTTTATTGATTGGACTTGGAGCATGCTACTAGCGAGAAAGGGGTATATGCTTCATTGTAAGGGTGGTATCGTCTCAAAGGCTAGTCAGAACGTGGAATATAGACTTAATTTCTAAAGACTTGCTATTCGTGGGCCAAAACTTAAGTCCAGGAACAGGTTCTTGATGTCTCGGGATCTGATCATATCGAATACCGCACAGCAACATCTGATCTGAGCTCGAGGGAAAAAAAAGCCCTTACTCAGATCTCTTCGATATCTTCGGCAACAACAGCCAGCTTGTGGCCATGACCCCGTACAGGCCAATACAAATTGGATGCAGCACCATTGTACCCACATTCTGCGCGAGGATGCCGGTGAAGAAGGGCGAGACCGCTCCACCACTGCTTCCAAGGGCGCTGATGAAGCTGAGGCTAGAGATGTGCATGCTTCGCGGCAGCAGCCTCGTAAAAACGATCGTGGCGCATGGATAGACAGCGCCCAGCATGAGACCGAGAACGGCGACCGTCACGGCTTCTCCGATCACATTGGGGATGAGCCAGGTCATCAGCTGGAAAGCCACCGAGCCGGCCACCATTACGACCACGGCGGTCTTTTCGCCGAGCTTCGCGGCGGGATGAGTGAGCAGGAACCGTCCGACGGTAATTCCAGCCCAGAAACCAGCGCTGACATATCCGACCCTTGAGGGATCCCCATGGCGGTAGCTGATCAGAAAAGAAACCACCCACCCAGACGTAGAGACCTCAGCACCCTGGTAAGCGAAGATAAACAGGGCACCAAGCAACGTGGTCCGATTCTTTATTGACTTTTTGAGAATTTGGGCCCGAGTCAACGGTTCTCCAGTAGTGCTGGTAGGACGAGATGTTGTTTGATGGAGAGATGGCTGCGGTTCTGCTGGAGTATCTTTCTCGTAATTGAGGAATGCCCAAGCAGAATAACCGAGGTTGAAGAGGCAGAAAGCCAACGTGATGGAGTAGAAGATTGACCACCGGATCCCACCAGATACCATGGCAGTTGCAAAAAGCGGCGCAACGGTGCCACCGATGCCATAAGACCCATGCATACAGCCCAGGGCTGTGGTTGCGTTGCCTAAGTTGGCACAGTACACGTTGTTCAGGGCTAAGCTGAGCGCCATGCCGAACCCCAGGAAGAAGAAGCAGGTCACAACTACCGGGAAGGGTGGCTGGCAGATGATGACCACATAGCTGACTGCTAAAAAGACCATTGCGAGCACATAGCTCTTCGAACGGCCCAGCTTGTGCTCGATGGTGTGCGTAAGCGGTGCTGCAGAGATGAAGCCGAGCGCATTGGTCACGAAAATCAGCGAGACAACAGCATATCCGATACCATAGTGTTTTTCGATATAGGGGATCAAAGCTCCAGGGGCACTGTCATTCATTCCATTGCCAAAGTTGATGAAGCAAGCGCTTAACACTCGCCATTTGGTCTTCCATGAGGGGTTGGCACGATCCGGGACCCATTCTGTGGCTTCCTCTTCGACGCCTGGGGTCTGTGGGCTATTTTCCAATATGCTTGAAGTGTGCATGCGGGTCGATGGGCCCATTGATGGCTGTGTTGCTGGTTCAACAGTCACTCGAGCTGAGCTCTTGTGTGGCTGCAGCTCATTGAGTTCATAATCCGACGAGGGCTGCGTGACGCCTTGCTTATCCTTCCGCACTGCAGGCGGGGGGCTGGAGATATGCGAGGAGCTCTCAATCTCCCAAAAGAGCGCCTAGACCGGATGTTGCCATCCTGAAGCCAAACGAACGAGAAGAAAATCGCTAGAGAATGATACCGGCCAGCAAGAGTCCTGGGGCTTCATGGGTGTGGTTCGAACATGGGAAAGTGCGAAAAGTCAGATCCCCTCAAAGAAAGAAAGTGTGGTCAAGTGAGCTTCTGCATGAATTATCAACCCACCCGGCTTTTGCAATCCAAGAGTCGGGAATTAACTCCATTTGGCGGGGCCCCGACTGCCAGCGCAGGGTGGTGGAGGGCGGGCTGTTCCCACTCCAGGTTGGACTGGCAGCGGTGGGGTCGAGCACGTTTGTCATCGCGCGGAAACTGCCCCGCCGATAAGCATTTCCCGCCCTGGAAAATTCTCCCACTCGCTACAGCTTCAACTCTAGTGCTTTGAACTGAGCCTATTCGAATCGCAATGGCACCGCCTCGTCGAAAGGTCCTGGCTACGGCCGAGGAAACTATGACCCCGCCCGACGAGCTCGCCGACACCCACCACATTGTGCGGGCCATCAAGGCCACCGGCAACAACATCTACCAGATCGAATTCCCAGACAAGTCCCAGATGCTGGCTGAGCTGCCGGCGAGATTTCGGTCAACGTTTTGGATCAAACGCGGATCCTATCTCTTGGTCGACACGAAGACGCAGGAGGAGCGAGACAACAAAATCGGCGGGGAAATTATCAATATTGTGCGGGATGAGAAGGCCTGGCGGAAGGCTCCTTTCTGGTATGGACCGCTCTCTGCTTTGTGCAAACCTACAATTGATCGAACTAATGGGGTTTTTTTTTCTTATGTAGGCCGAAGGAGTTTGTCAAACAACCAGTGGTGACCGCCAACTCGGATTCCGAGGACGAGGAGGAATCGCGCGTGGGCAAGATGCCCTCTTCCGACGAGTCCGATGCGTGAAATGAATGTTGCGATATGATTACCGATTGAGGGCATTTTATACTATTGAGAACGCCCGTATGTCCTATCATCGACGTTTCGGCGCCCGTTGTCCACCTCCCCGAGCCCACTGATGAATACGCCAAACACTTGCAAAGTGAGGGACACAACCACGGCCGCCGAACTGATGTTGGTGCTGGGATAAACATTCCACGCCCATTCTTGCACCGCCCAGATGACATAGATGAGGATTGGGTGGAAGTTGGCTTGCCAAAGAAGGTATGGGGTGGCCCATGCCAAATAAGCGAAGAATTGGTAGTGCAAGGATCTGGCGCACAACATGCCAATGGCCAAGGAGCTTAGCATAGCCTGCATGATGAAGGTTTTGGAGAGGATGATGCGAGGTTTCCATCCGCGGAGAAGACGCTGGGCAAAGTTGAAAACGTTCATATTGGACGGCTTGGACCAAACGGTTGAGAAGATGCCTAGGAGCGAGACGTGCAAAGCAAGTAGGCCCAACGAAAATTCTTTAGACAAGAATGTCTCCTCGCCGACGAACCTCCAGTTGACCGTCCACTTAAACATGAATTTCCGGGTAAGCTCAAAAGACCGAGTGAGATAGCCAATGGCATCTTTGCGAGTGAAAGGCTTTGCGAGCAACATCTGTAAACGTTCAGTCAGCTCTTGTCCTGTCGTAATTGCCTTAAGTGACTGCTAGCTGCACGTACCTGAGGCTGAAATGCTACAATGGCTTGAGCTAAGCCACCGGTCAGGCCCGAGTCATACACAGTAATGACAGCAATCGCCGGCACAAGCAGAACCAGAGTCATCTTGACGGAAACCCCGAGACTCCATACCATGACACCTGCTAGAGGCTTCCGTTTCATCCACAGATAGATCGCAGCCCACATAAAGAAAGCCGCGATACCATCATTGAACATGCGCAGCATGTAAATGCTATGAAGTCGCTTAGACAGGGCGAGGAGAGGAAACAAATACGGCGGGGCTAGAACCTGTCTGTAACAGGCAACGACAATAGCCAGAGTCGCTAGGTATATGCCGGCAAAGATAATCTGGCCCAGCAGAATATCGCGCCCTTGATCGGTGAGGTGGTAAAGGAGGGTGTATACGTAGACGTGGCCGGCGGGGTAGACGAGGGGCCCGGTCGAGCCTTGAATCGAGGGATAATTGCGCTCGCCATCGATAAACAGCTTAACTTGTTGCATGTAGGTCGTCCAATCGATCTCTGTGTCTGCAGTAATGAATGCGATTAGCTTCGACTAGTCCGTTACGCGACGGGATATACGCGCTCACAGGAGATCTTCCAGACAACGAGCGCACAGAGCGCTGCGTCTCCTAGGATCAGCAAAGGTCCAATCCATTGCGTATGTCGCGGCTGGGTTAACACGTTGTATATGAAGCGCGTCCAGGGGCCCATGGCGAGGCGAGTGGTTGCTGAAGGACACTTCCAGCTGGCCAGACAGGATCCGCTCTAGCGCGGAGCATTTGGTTGCCAGCGGCCCGGTGCAGTCGGCTCGAGTATCCCGCCAGACACCAACAATGCGACGTATAAGGTGGTATATCGATGATCAAGTCAAGTTTAAGTACATTGAAGGTGCAGTCGGATCCAAGTGAGTATTTTCTCCCAAAAATCTGCCAAAATCCTGGGAAGTGCTACCACACTGTATGTATGGGACAATGGTGCAAACCAAACAAACCAGTAGATCATGGGACCAGCCAAGCCACTGGCAGGATAGTAAGTCTCAAGGTGGTACCCCTAATTTGCATTGTAATATGATCTCTAGCTCCACTATGTTGTGTCTAAACAGTCTGTTTCCCGCTATATGAATTCACATGGGTAGTTCTAATCTTCTCGCCGAGACTCCTTGTCGGAAAAGAATGTCCAACTCCTCATAAGTGCGGCCTTTCATTTCGGGTAATCTGAAGTAGGCCTAGGCAAACGAGAGGAAACAAATACCCTCGTAAAGGAAGAGTGTTTTCCTTTCCATCTTGCTGCATCAGGGTTGGGCATGTAGGGCGTGGCAACACCAAAGATGATGAACCAGAAATAGAAACCGCAACGTCCGATAGCAATGGTCTTGGCACGCAGTCGAGTCGACCCGACTTCACTGACAAGGCAGAATGAAAGAGGGCCGGGCGAACCATCATATATAAAGACCCAAATAACGAGAAGCATGGACTGGGCCCACATTGACGGGTTGTTGGATGTTGGTGCGAGAGCCGCGAACCCGGTGGTGAGCATCACGATGCGCCATCAAGGCCAGACCGCATAGGAAAATACTGCGTCTACCAAAGCGAGACATAAGAAACCACGCTGCAAGCGTACCAAGGACGCCGAGAACATAGTACCCGGGACTGATGTTGAAGGCGTTTAAGCGTTTGAGCTCGAAACCCCTGCTTGTTGAAGAAGTAGGTATTGTACTGATTCATAGAGATTCCAGCAAATACCTGGATGGACTAAGCGCAGACAGCAATCTCTGTCCTGCGCCTGTCCACAATCACAAAATAATCCAGATAAGAGCTCTCCTCTGCCTCGCTTTTTTCGTCAATCGTCCCCATCATCATCGCGATTGTCTTGTTGGTGTCGGTTCCCACCGACAATCGTTCAATGACAACTTTGCCTCGTCAATTGCCCTTGCGAAGAAGCCACCAGGGTAATTCGGGATAAAATATCATTGCAACAAGGGAACAGGCTAGACCCAGTGAAGGCCAGATCGTATACAATACGCCCACCGCCCTTCCATCCCTTGCACACCTCGAAATATACCGGCAGATATTAATTGAACGATCGCCCAAGTCAACTCGATAAAGGTCGACAGATATCCCCGGAGGAATACTGGACAGTCTTCTGATGCGTATGTTGGTGCCATTGTATTGAAGATACCTCATGGAATACCACAAATGATCTGACCAACCAGTATCAGAACGTTTGTTTGACCAAAATCAAGGATGGAGTTGAGTCCTGTCATAGTGATGTATGCGGGCATCATTGAATTTTTCATTCCGATGAGTTCCGAGATTTATTTGTTGAGCAGTATACCAGATAACATCAATGTAGCCACCGTTACCAAAGGAAGTTTGCCAGGAGGCCGTGATCTGGTAGCCACCTTTGGAACTCCAAACAGCTTTTGAAATGCCGTCATAGCAGATAACTGCCTGATCACAGCCACATCATAGCCTTCCATTATACAAGCAAAAATATAAGGAACAGACCACCCAACTGCCTTCGGTTAGGTCTTCAATGCTTCCAACAAAGTGAGGTTATGCTCAGTCGCATCTCGGGTATCATTGAACAACTGTTTGTTCGAAGGTATACCGCCGGGATCTTTCTGCCCTGGCCTGCATTTTCCAGGTGCCTCGTATCGGATTTCTGGTCTTCTCTCATTGGTTCGGAAGCCTCTTTCATGATTGCAAAGAAGGGCACAAGACAAGAAAAAAATATTGAGCAGAAAGAAGATAGGTTCTGGGATTTTGTGAAGAGTACTAATCCTCTATATATAAACTATTGACTCGTTCCTATTTTCCCAGAAACGCGGGGTAGGCTTTTTGCACATTTGAACTGCCGTTAGACTGACTGACTTTGCCTATCCTTGCGAGCAAAATTAGCTCTGGCGGCCCTAAAATCACCTTTCAGGTAATATGAGTATCTTCGAGCTTTGGTGCCTCTAAGGAACCAGTCTCATTTAATCCCGAATATCTTACCCATTTTGTCATCTCCGATTACTGGAACAAAATGGTCGCTTTTTACTCGAATAGTCCCATTGCTAATTTTAGATGGGCTTGACATTCCAGGAATAGAATATTTCTGTGGAGAGGATTACTATTAGTTCTTTTCTAAGCTGTATTCGTGAGGGATATTTTCCAATGAAGACCCCCTGGTCTTCTCCCTCACTTGACACAATACCATACCGTATCATAATGACGTGATAGTTGAGTCTGCCTCGGACATTGCTACTGTGATATAGTGATCACATATACTATATGATGCGCGGCAGCTTCCTTTTGGATAAACATACGCGGAACATCTACCTAGAAATAGTTTCCCGCTCCAGCACCGAAACCTGGGCTATCAATATACCCTATACTTCGGAGTTTCAAACTTTCATTCAACCCTGAGGTAAGGATAGGAAAGGTCAGAAGAATTGATGCCACAATACCCCAATAACAACATAATCGATAATCTGTGCTCTAGCGGATACATACTTTATGTGAGGCCTAAATGACGTTTCTAATAGCATGATTCATAAGTTATGAAACAAAATATATGGTTTAACATTGATGGAGTGTTTTCTTTTGTTTTGTCTGTACACGACTGATCATTCAAGAGCTTATTCAATGAGTGACCTTGATATTGCTGGGATAGTGCAGATCATGTTGGTTTCGAACTTCGTCCATGACATCCATAACAATAGTAGACTCATCCAAGACTTCATAACGACCTGCTTTCCGCCCTTCTGTCGGAGCCAAAGTCTCCTCGTCTGCCTCCCAGAACATTCCATAGCCCTCACTTTCGGGGTATGTATTGTCCAGGTACCCATTGTGCCTGTTACTTCCAGGACCCGGACCAGGCTGTGACCAATGCTTGTCCTTCGATAGTCCCATCAGAAAGAACGAACTTATCCGCGTCTGTCGATAGATCGGAGACCACACCTGCAATTCTCCCTTAGTACTCTGGCTGCGAACGGCTGGTCCACTGGCCCTTTTGTTGTCGATATCGCTGGGGATGCGGAAGCTAGTAGTTGCTATGCCGACTAAATTCCCTCCGGAATGACCATCGCGAGGAAACGTCAGAATGATGTTTGCTGCCTCATCAACGCCTGTCGGTCTATACTTCTGTATACTGGAGACAACCCGAGGTGGTTTGCGCGTCTCTGTTGATTGAGTCGTGTACAAGCTCCAGAAAATCCTAGTCAAGCTATAGATTCCCATGTCAAGCAAAGAACCACCAACTCAATCAGGGTTGAACATTCGGTGATCCAAACTGAAGATCTCGGGGTTGACGGCCAGAGAGTTGTCGGCTTGAGCCCTCATGGCAGTGCCGAGTCTTCCCGATGCAATGGCGTCTCTGGTATAGACCGACAGCGGAAATACTGTGTCCAAAGAGCTTCCATCAAGAACAGGCTTCTTTCTCGCGCATACGGACCAATTCCCTGGCTTGCATCGCGTTGACAGTGAAGGCTTTCACACAAAGTACATTTTTTCCAAGTTATAGACACAGCTTGATATTCTGGTAACGAGGGGGATGAGGCATCGAGACGTAGATAACATCAACGTTTCGTCCTTGCCCAGATCTTCTTGAGAGCCATATGCCTTGGCCCCCAAAGCACCCACGCTGGTCAGAAAGTCTCGCGCTCTCGAAGCACAGAAGAGCTCGCAGCAGCCGCAACTACATGCTTAATTGAATGAAAATCACGGATTGCAGGATCGACTAAAAGATCTTTGGTGAATGTTTGGGCAACGCCATCAGTTGCTAGGTGAAAAAGAAACTCAGTTTACGCATTTCCAACAGGACAGTATGTTGCACTTACCCAAGATGCCCCATCGAATGGGTTTTGGAGTCATTGCGACGAGAATTTGACAGCGATTTGATATCAGTGGAGTAGAAAAAATTCATGTAATGCAAGTGTGTCAGAGACGCAGAATGCTCCCAGTTCCTAGAATATAATGGTGGCTGTCTGAATCGCGGTAATTGCCTCTTTCAGAATTTTTCCCCATTTGGATGTCAGTCCTGATCAGGCAATTCCCCGACGACTAAATGCGGAAGGAGAGGAAAGCACATTCAGACCACCGCAATTTTCTCTGGCTAAATCATCAAGCGGAGTACTGAATGGAGTCAAAAGTGTGAATATCGCCATCAGTAGTACTTGTGATCGGAGGTCGAGATAAATAAATTCCCGCGTACAACTTCAACAGCACCACCGGCAAATCTGATCCATGATCCCAGGTGGCAGTTCTCTGTCTATTTCCAGTAAGCAAAAGGCGAGTTAATTTCTTAAGGTGATATAGGGCCTGGTGAAGACCTGCTACTACTAGAGAATAGTAATGCTCGAAAGCTCCGAGTCCACATGACCTGCAAATAAGGCCCTTTGGGTTTAGTACTCGGATTTCCCTTCTAGGAGAAATAACTCCGCTGGTTGTTGCCAAAGACCGCAAGGAGATGATTTTGCTATGTACCATGGCTTTCTTTACTCACCAATCTTTTGTTAGCAGCCAATCTGGCCCCGCACCCGTTTCTTGCTTGACCTATAAATACGGCAACCTCGGCGCCTTACTTTACTGAATCATCCCATGAGCAATCGAACACGTGACGACAACGACAACATCATGAATTAGGTATGATTATTCTTGAAATTTACGCCTCTCCAAACCTGCTGAAGTAACAAATGCAAGCTCAACCCCAAAGAAAACACAGCCGTCATTACCGGGGGTGCACGTTGTCTGGGATTCGCCTTCGCCGAGCACTTGCCGAAGCCGGAGTAAACATCGCTTATTTGGATGCCGGTACGCCTCAAGCGGGCTCACTCGAGACTTTGGCTGCGAAATACTCCGTGAAGGTTGATGCACACAAGGTCGATATCTCTTCCAGGGAGAAAGTCAATTAGGTCGTCGGGAACATTGAAAAGGAGTTTGGCAGTGTGAATGTGAAATAAGCTATGGATCATGCCTACTCACGTGCAACACCCTACTAAATCTTCATACCAGCATCAACGCGGCTGGTGTTGTTACCGATGAGTCAATATTCGGATAAGAATCTCAGTTCCACCTTCAACTTCAACGTAAGTGGTCCTTGCTAGATTTTTTTGGCTTGATCTAATTTAATTTTCATCCAATATAGTTCGTGGGTTCTTTCCTGGTTGTTCAAGCCAAGCGAGGCTCCTAATTTGGTTCCATCATCTTCGTTGCCTCCGTTGCGACACACATCAGCACAGTGGTCCGGCAAATCAGCTTCGACGCCGCATCTAAAGCAGCCATTAGAGGTATTGTGAAGCCTCTGCACTGGAACTAGCGCAATATGGCATTCGGGTCAACTCTCTCTCGCCTGGCTCTACACGGACCAACGCGATGAAACAGTGGAGCAGACCTTCCCAGATCTTCTGAAGTAGTTCAAGCAGGAATCGATGTTTGGTCGTGTGGGTGAGCCAGACAAGCTGAAGCCGGCTATTCTATACCTTGCCACGAGCACCTGGACTATTTGATAAGATCTATTGGTGAGCGTTGGTTAGATAGAATTGATGCAAAATCTATTGACCACTAGTAGTATGACGCACTTTACGCGTGGAAACAACTTTATTAGAACTTTAAAGTATTGATTCCAGGTATTTTCGCTTTTATACAGTATATGCAGAGCGAGCACGTATACAAGTGCCACTGTCGCAGTAATGTCTATTCCAATGTCCGGGTGGCCAGCATACCCAACCAAACCCCCACACATCTAATCCGTGGTATCATTAAACAACTGAGATAAAAAAGAGAATATGCAGCAAAGGCGAAGTATATGCCAAAAAGAGGATGTCGTATGCGCGGCATCATTGACGTCCCTCAGCCGGTCCCGTCATCTGGTCTTGCGAGACTCCGTGGGCATTGCGGAACCCCAGCAGCTCGCCGAGGATGCCCTTTGGTTTCGGGATAGGACACTCGTGGTTGGCCTGTGTCAATTTCTGGGCTTCCGCTTCCATCTGGAAGAACGTGGATACTTCTTCGTCCACGGGGCCGGGTGGTGTTGGATGGCCGGGTCGAGCGGTTTCGGCGTCCAGTTCAATGTCTTTTCTCCTTCTCCGACGGATACGCGGTACTTGTTGCCCATCGGCTGCGATCATCATCTCTGAGTCGGCGAGTGTGCGTCGGGGAGCCGGACAGGGGAAGACGTGTGGCATGCCGACCACCAGCAGGGATGCGAGGAGAGTGCCGGCGAAGAGGCCAGTCGTAGACCGCGAACGCGGATGAAGATGCGGCGGCATTCTGTATAACAGGAGGAGAGGAGGAGATGAAAAGAAACGGTGCGAATTGACGGCGAGAGTGCGGAGTCGACTACTTCGACGTTTTTTGGGGATCAGGCCATCGGACGGGTCAGGACAAGCGCATAGAACGAGTCAGGCGGGACAGACGGTATAAAAAACGCGCGAGAGGTCAATTGGGCAGTTCCCACGAGCCCGCAGTCGTTGGCACGGTCAGGGGAGGTCGTGGTGAGCGATTCTGGGGTGGTGGACTATTGCGAGGGCCAAGTTGCGAGACGACAACTGCAGCGAAGGCTCTGGTGCCATCTAATCTTATCGGCGGCCGCGTGATTGGCGCAGAGTCGGATCTGGCAGCCTCCAACCGCCCTCGCGTACTCTCCAACTGCTCTGCTCTGCTCTTTTCTGGCGATGGCGGCGCAACGATGAGCTTGGATTTTCCTCGGGAAGGAAACTGACTGGTCATCGCTACTTTCTTCTGAGAGGCGTTCGACTCGGACCTCTCCTACCTACCTTTCCGCCTCCACCTGATTCCCCTCCTAATCCACCTCCCGACTCTCACCCACCATGAGTAGTGACCTTGACCGGTATCGCGATTGTCCTCCCGATGACTCCGTCGTCCCTTGCTGACTATTTTTCTTTCTAGGGCGATCGAGCAGCTGCGGGCCTGCCGCCTGATCCCCGAATCCCAAGTTCGCGAACTCTGCTACAAGGCGCGCGAGCTCTTGATTGAAGAGGGCAATGTCGTGTCCGTGGATGCGCCGGTCACCATCTGCGGTGATATCCATGGCCAATTTCACGATCTGATGGAGCTGTTCCGCGTTGGCGGCGACGTTCCGGACACTAACTACCTCTTCATGGGCGACTTCGTTGATCGCGGTTTCTATTCACTCGAATCTTTCCTCCTCCTCTTATGCCTCAAAGTCCGGTATCCCGATCGCATCACTCTCATCCGTGGCAACCATGAGTCGCGACAAATCACGACCGTGTACGGGTTCTACGATGAATGTATTCGCAAATATGGTAGCGCCAATGTTTGGCGCTACTGCTGCGAAGTCTTCGATTATCTGGCCTTGGGCGCGATCGTGCTAGGCGCCAGCTCGGAGCTGGAACCCACATCTTCACCCGCAAATGATACAACGCAATCTACTATGCCTATCGAAGACAGCGAGTTGGAGACAGAGGTGCTCAATTCGCGAGGCGAAGTCACGATGAGTACCTACCGTCAGCGACAGCGCGCGTCTTCCAATAATTCCACAGACTCCCGAAACATTTCACCACCACGAGATATTGGGGCCGCTCCAGGCCAAGCTGGTGCGCCTGCACGCTCTGGCGCACCGGGCACAGGGGCTGGCGGAGACAGCAATGGCAGCGCGCCGACCAGCCGAACAGGCGCTGTTCTCTGTGTCCACGGTGGACTGTCGCCGCTCATTGACTCTGTCGACAAAATTCGACTCATCGATCGCAAACAAGAAGTTCCTCACGAAGGAGCCATGTGCGATTTACTCTGGTCCGACCCAGACGAAATTGAAGGCTGGGGCCTAAGCCCACGAGGCGCCGGTTTCCTCTTCGGTGGTGATATCGTGAAGCAATTCAACCATCTGAATGGCCTCTCGCTGGTCGCACGTGCCCATCAGCTTGTTATGGAGGGCTACAAGGAGATGTTTGACGGTGGAATTGTGACCGTCTGGTCTGCTCCGAACTACTGCTACCGATGCGGCAATGTAGCTGCTATTTTAGAGCTAGGTGAGGATGCTAGCAATGGTGGCACCGTCGCCCGCAGTAATGGAGACTACGGGCGTAGCAATGGAGTTTTGGACATGGGTTCGAATGTCGTCAGCCCGGGCCGGAGATACCGTGTGTTCGAGGCCGCTGCCCAGGACACAAGGGGCATGCCCGCAAAGAAGCCAGTCGCCGATTATTTCCTGGTGAGTATACAATTCTTTTGGTCTATCGGAACATTCACACTAATGACCGCAAGTGATACCATACATTGCATACATTTGCCTATCATCTCTCGACTCTACGGACTTTCATCTCGGAAACTTTTTGGGTTGACTGGGCATTTTGTCACTTAATGATCAATCTTGACGAAAATTCTCATTCTTAGAGTTCTATTCCAAGGCCTTCTCTTTTCCTGTGTAAATCTGAGACGCCACAATGTGCTCATCCCAGAAATTCCAAACGGCATTTGCTCCGCGACTGTAAAACAGTATCCGACTCTAGTAAAAAGTAAAAAGTGAAACGCAGGCCCTTCCCAAATTGTGGTATCATGAGATAATAAAGTAGAAAATCAACCTTGACACACTTATGAGTATGTACAGCGGTTATATCCAGAGTCGATTGTCAAAGAAGATCACCAAAGATACAGGGCACTCAGCCAAGATGTCATGGCCACTGGCATTCGTATTTGACGTGGCCATTCTCTTGCGGCCGACCGGCGTGGGGCATCCCCACTGGAACCTGCGGCTGATCCTCGGAGCCAGTGCCAACAGAAGGACTAGGATGTGATGACATTGCCATGAGCCCGGCATGGTTGTTATTATACTGAAGATGAGGGGGTGGGTTTGAGATATCGGGACTCCATGGCCCGCCCCAACTTTCCACGCCCATTCCCATTGCGGCAGCATTACGAGTCCACCAGTCTTGACTCTCTTCAACCAGATTTTCAGGACCTCCAAATCCGGACATTGGAGAAGGGTTTGATGCCGGTGTGGTAGTTTGGGTAGCTAATCGAGAACTAGACGCATCATACCAAGCATTTGATGGGGGTGAAGAAGCCGATGGACCCGATGTTGAAAGGCCAGGAGGAATTTGATAGCCAACCTGTGTTAGTGGTCGTAGGTAAGTTGGCTCCGGAGGCGGAAATTCGGGTTGCTGGGCTTGAGGTCCAAAGATTCGGCGCGCTGTTCGCATTCCCGGGGCTGATGCGGTTATTGTGCTTGTCGGAGGGTGTTGAGCACCCATAGATGTCCCCATAATAGTCGCTGGGTTTGCAGCCACAGGTTCGGTGCGTTGTACCGGGGGAGCGCTTCCCCCACCACCAGCAGGTGAGAATCGGCCTGGGCTGTTGACAGACGGATGTATGCTGCTATAAGCCGTGGCTGGGGACTCGTCTGACATAGAAGTAGAAGGCGATGTAGCTTGATCCCATAGACCCCATGAACCCCATTTTGAATGAGTACGCTCAAAAACAGAGCTTGCCTCGACGGGGAGCTGAACCTGCCACTTGCTAGCTGAGATTTCGAGGATATGTATTGTGCGACGAGCACAAAGCCACCCTTCGGCCATCTCTTCGAGGTTCCTCAGACCGTGGACAACGTCTCTTTGGGCATTTTTTTCGGGGAGGTTGAGGAGATGGACAGTACAGGCAGTATGAGCAATGTAGACGACAATGTTGCAAATCTGCCTCAGGCCGTATGTGCGCTTATACATCCGCAGAAGCTTAGAAATAGACGATGCTGACTGGGTGCAGATTTTCCGTGGGGAAACGTGTGAAGGAAGGGGTGTGTTGGTTTTAGTATACTTCAAGAATGGTCGATAGAGGTGGATGAGGAGTAATTGGTTGAGCATATGCATGACCATGACTTGAGGCAGCTGACCTTCCTTCGGCTCAAGTTCTTGCGGTAACTGTTTCTTCCAAGCTTCGAGTCGGGTATGCACATCGCTCAATTTCTTCAGTTCTGACTGTTTTGGCTGCGACTTCTCCGAATCTGATGGGTGGTAGAAAAACGCAAGAAGATCCCCGCTGATTTGGCAAAGTCTTGAGATTTGGAGTGCGACGGCTCTGGTCCGAGATGGTTGGCTGTGGTCGTGGCCAGCACCGGAATCGGTATACGGTGCCCAAACTTCTATTTCTTCTCTCGGGAAGACTTCGAATTTGGAAACACTTGTATTAGATGAGGTAAACTGCGGTTGTCGTCCAAGGTAATTTGACCAGCATCTGTCATATGTTAGGTATTATCTGAAGACAGCGAGTGACCTGAGCTCGTAGGGACTGACTTATCTATGAGGAAGCAGCCCCAAAACGTGATTCGTCGGGCATCTCTTTCCTCTTCGGTCAAATTATGTGCTCCAAGAGTCGTCGCATCGACATTCAATCCAAGATCGAATGCCATGCGAAAACTCAGTCCGCTGTAAACCCATCCTTTGCCCTCGCGACCACAGCCAGCTTCGCGCACAGACATGAGAGCGAAAGCTTGAACTGTACATAGCTTTGCGTTCTCGTGCTCGTCGTTTTCAAGTACCATTCGTTTGGCTTCTTTGAAGAAGTGATCGCCTGCAGTTATGGAATTATGTGGGTCCGAAAAGGCTCCTGGCCACGAGCTGAAGTGACAGCCAAGAGACAGCATGGCATTCACCAGCAGTGGAGAGCAGTAGGGACTGGAAACGCCACGAACATAATCTCGATAAAACATGTCTTTGGCCAGAATGGTGAAAAATGGGTAATGCCATGTAAAGTACATGGTTAAAAGGTGACTGATCAGCGAGTCATCTTCTGTCACCTGTGTCCATCGGCGCATAGGTTGAATATCATGGGCGGGAGGAAGGGCTGAGCCTCCTGGTATCGAGTTGGTCTCGTGTAGTTCCGAGCCGGGTGGGAGAAATATGAGATTGGACGTGCCGCCAATGAATTTACGTGAGCCGTCCAATAGAAGCTCACTCATTCTACCTGACAGCTCGGATTCGAATTGGTCAACTGCTGCTATGTTTCCGGCAGCTGATTCTTCCGCGGCCTTTAATACCTGTGCCGATTGTCCTTTCTCTTGCGAAAGAACCGATTGGGCAACATCTTCCAGGTCATCACAAGACCGGATTTGACGTACAAGTTCGAATGCATCATCCTCCTCATAGTTCAGCAATGCTTGTATCAGGGTCTGTAGTGTCGTATGTTTGGTTCGTAAGGTATCAGCATCTTTTTTATACACACCCTTGCGGCGATGGTCGGAATTAGGGTCATAGACACCTAGCATCAAGTCAGTATAAACACCAATTTATAAAACAGAAAGGTCCACAGACATGGTGTATGGTAGACTGAAGAACACGCAGCGCAGCTTGGCAGGTTTCCATCGCACTGAAGATCAAGGATTAGTGACGCTACTCGGACGATACTTCGATGAACGTTCTGGGAAGACTGAACGGACCTTGGATTTCCGCCTGCGACATGCGATGCAGGCCGTGCTGACACAGCGCCTTTTAGAAGCACCGCGCTCTGCAGACATGATCTCGAACCCTGCGGTAGGTGGGGGCTTCGGAATTCGAGAGAGGGATATTTTCTCCGCGGAATGTCATCCCGTACATTAACGTCGTGGCCGCCCGTCAATGGTCCAGCTTCGAATAACCTGGATACGGCGGCTGTCCATCTTTCAAACGTGTCAAAGGGCGCAGCAGCTGTCGACTGACCTCGACAGGATGGGAGGCGAGGCACGCGATGGTGGTTACGAGCTATGGAGGGTGTGTCAGTCCACGAAGCGAAGCATTGGCCGGTCAACCCTGAGAGCCTCGCAGGTCGGCCGCACCAGGAAGCAGAGAGCCAGGTCTTACGCCGAGAGTCGATTCTGATCCACTCCTTCCGAACCTCTTATCCCCGATGTCGCCAGCACCGCATGCGGTTTTCAATGGACCTGTTGAACCCGGGGGATGACCCACACTGGAGGCGGGGATCAGGGAGACGCAGTCACCAAGGCGAAGTCGACGAGGCCGTACTTTAGTATATGACAGCGGTGATTGGGTACGACTGCAAGTCAAGAAGGGGTTATCGCCGGCCTCTGGATGGCTGATGCACCGCATCGGAAGTGGGTTGCCCAGCACGCGCGGGCCTGCGACAGCGATGTAAAGTCAGCTTACTCATCACGATAAGCTACCATTGTGGAATGTCATGTGATGTAGAGGTCACATGACTTAATCCAATGAAACCGTCCGAACCTTAGTATGGATTCTTCCAAGCTTAGAGTAAGCAATCAACGAGAACGTTCGTCAAAGTGGGAAAAAAAAAAGGAAACTCAAAACCGCAAGATCCAGCTCCAACCACACCGACAGTGACTTGTACTAGCAGCCTGAGTCTCTGGGCTCTCTTGACCGCTATCCTTCCTAATCGGAAATACAAAAAAAAAATCAGTAAAAAAGCAATTATGTAGGACTCCATAGGAAGGCCCATCGGTATCTTACGGGCATCCACAATCAAAACAACTGAGAGGGAAAAAAAGTCAAGGGGTTGGGTAGACATCAAATGTATACACCGCTGGCTCTCGCTTATGGTAGGGCAGATCCACCGGCCACGTCGGTCGTCTCTTCGCCTCACCTTTTCCGACTCCTGGAACCACCCGTCTCCCGACTGGACTGTTCGATCGAAGCCGGGGGGTCCCGACGGTGCATTTGTAAACACTGAGTTGTTTCGACATAGTTAGTCATCGTTTCCTTTGTGTTTTTCATTTCTTTTTTTTTTGGATACATAAATGAAACAGTCCATCCATCGGAAATTAGAGGGGCTAGGTAGGCTAATTTGCTTTTCTTTTTGTCCATCAATCGATCTTGGGTGCGAACGGCGTTGCTGGTGTTGCCTCTATCTGCAGGCACCACACTAAACCCAACCTTAAACGGCCGAGTCCGGCACACCCGGAGGGATACCAGCGAGACTTTCAGTGTGTGTTTAGGGTCCCAGTGGATGTGTGCGTGGGATCAAAGCAATCCATGACTAGATAGAAAACGCGGCGGACCAATAGTGGTGCTGCATATCATAATGTAGCGTTAGAAATGGGCCGAGAGTTGAAAAGGAGAGGGGGCGCTGCAGGGCTTCGATGGATTCGATGGGTCCACCGGCCGAACATTCCACGCTGGGGTTTGTGTTTGGTATGTAGGCACAATGGATACCGTACACACAATACAATGCAACCCAACCCCCCAAAGACCTGGGGGCCTTGGCAAGACTTAAAGACACCGCGCCCGGAGTCCGGCACCTGACCGTACCTCCGCCCAATCACGCGTGCTACGTAACCATTTTGGGACTAGCCCGGTCTACCAATACCACAATACCGTCACACGCGTACCTGCCCAATACGCTTATCACCGTCTGAGATCACCACTTACCTTATCTAATTGTTCTTTCCCTCTTCCCCCAGTTGACTCTCCTCCATTTCAATACCCTCCTTTGCGACTTCCTCTCATCCCTCCTTCTCACCGTCCCAATACTCACTGCTCCCGGTTACCGGCTCCCCCCAAACGACACCCTCGGTTACATCTCTTGACTCGAGCACCCTCATCACCCACCAGCCTCAATCAAATTGGCCGTTGGCCTTACTCCCTCGACTGCGGGAGATCTCATCACCATTCCCACTATCGATGTATCTCGTCCAAGCTCTCGACCAGAGTGCCTCGTCAGGCCACGGCCTCGTTGTGAAATCCAAAACTAGCATGATTCAAGGCGCATAAGATGATGGTCCCAAGAGCCTATCTCTTTACCTCAGCTTCACCGCAGAATGCCATGTATGATGTGAAGGATGAAGCCGCGCGGCCGACTTTGCATCGCTCTGGCTGTTATCCTTCGAAGCGCCCCGAAAAACATGGAGCGATGGGCGCCGCACCCATGGTGATTCCCCCCGAAACGCGGCCCTCACACCCCCGGTCGTCGAGATGCCCGCTCTCGCCCTCCAGCCAAAACATCCGCACCCTCTCGCCGGTCGTCCTCGTCCTCATCCAACGACCGTCCGATTCCTACCTCGGTTGCATCGATGCTGGATGCAACCGCAATCCCGGTTCCACGGCGGAGCTGGTCCACTCGGAGACCTCGGAAACTTCCCCGAGGAAACCATGTGGAAGAATTCAGCCGTATATTGAAGGAAGGCGTCAAGTCGAGAGAGGACGAGTTGATGGCTAGCTCCGGGAACTCACCTCTGGACATCCTTCTCAGCCCGCCTGACGAAGAGGACCAGAAATATTCGCCCGGGCATGATTCCGAGCACGAAACGCCTTTCTCACTCAAATCTGCATCAAGTGATTCCATGCCCTCCCTCGATCACGACATAGCGTCTCCTTCTAGCTCCATGCTCCCGCCAACTCCAGGTAGTCAAAAGAGTCCTTGTGAACGTCGCCATCTGCGCTATTCACCTTCGGAAGATTGTGCCTTGGACCATCCTCTTCTCGAAACGGAGATTCAAGAGGGTGAATATATGGACCTTGTGGCTCCTATCGAGACAGAAATACACCACGATGCGACGCCACCTTCCAAACGCGCGGGCTCCCTCGCTTCATTTCCACGTCTACGGTCTTCGTTCAAATCAAACCTGACGGCTTCATTGCGAGCTATCAAATCTGCGGCCCAGTCGGTATCAACGTTCGCTACGCCGTCTGTGCAACCGGAGGACTTTCTTACACGGTCCCTTTTTATTATTACGCCGGAACTTACAGACGACCGTCGGCCGCCACCTATGCGAGACCCGCCATCTCCGGCATTGAGACGATATCTCAACCCAACACCCATTTCCCCAGCGGAGATGTACGTCTATCATGATCATCCTCACGAAAAGCCTGATTCGATACGCGCATGCCCGGTTTCAATCCAAATGCAAACATACCGCCGGTCCCGTGGCAGAGGACACCGGCGCAATCATTTCCATGTTGTCGCCGTGAAGAACTGCGACCAGTACACGTGCTTCGATCCGGAGATCCCGCCAATGTCACGTCAGCGTGAACCTCGCGAAAACTGTGACTTTCTCCGTATGGTCGTCCTTGAGATGAACATGCGTCGCAGTGGTAAGCTGCGCGAGGATATCCCCACTCGAGCTCGCATTTGGCTTCCTCCGCGGAAGAGTAACCCCTATCGCTTGTCGAGTGATTATGAGGATGGTGATGACAATGACACTGTCCCTTCCCGCTGGGTGGGTATGTCGGCTTAGGCCTCTCCTATGGATATGCCTGTACTTGCGCAGAGCGCGGTTCGGCAAGCTGTCCAGTACATAGACTTTATCCTTATACTTTTCTTTCTTTGTCCTATTCATACACAAGCGCGGCGTTTGACCTGGATGGTGTGTCCTGGCTGACACAGTTCTTTCTTCTGCGGCATATCCCTTCAATCCTCGACCATCTAGCTTTTTCTTCTCCCGTTGCAAAGATATACCCATTAAACGACAGAATTCATGAAACCCTCTTATTCTCAATCATATTTCTAGCGTGATGTTGGTAATACTCTGTAACCTTTCTGTCAATAAAGCCGACACTATTTAGTTTCGTGGCTTCTGGATGATATCACGCCGCAGCCATGAGATCATCCCCGCGTGGTCAGCTTCAATCTCTGCCTGAGCGATTCATTCATTAGGCATCGGTCGTCTCTAGCCACGTCTGGTCCCGACCAAGAAGTGATCAGTATCATCTGGTTGGAGAGCCCGATACCTCTAGGGCTTTGACCCTTTCCCTGGGAGTTTTGATTCTGTCATGGTTCACACACAGCATTGACGTAGTTTCCAATGATTTTAGTATAAGCCCCATGGAATGAACATCCATTTTCAGACTGATCAGTCCCGTAACAGTAAGGTTGTAGCATACTCTGTATTTTATTACATTTAAATAATAGCCTAATGATTCGATCACATGATGCTTGTGAATCATGCCAGGTTTTTGGAGGGAGAATCCGCCTTGGAGCGTACATTTTCTTAGGCATTATGGATTTTTCAGAAGTTTGAACTGGGCGAATTCTGTTTTTGAATGCACTTAGAATAGGGCTAAATAAAAAGGAGCAGAGAAATGTTCCACCCGCTGTTACATGCATGCGGAATACACTAGAACACGAGGAGTTCGTGTAACAATATTGTACTCGTTTGTGTCACATCTCATCGGCGTACCTGGAACCCTGTGCAACAGATAGGTTAGATTATAACACCACTTATTTCAAAAGGAAACGGAGATGCAACTCACTCTCTTCATCCAAGAGCGTTCCGTTCTTCCAACTTTCTTCCACCCATTTCGAGCTAACGAGATGGGGCAACTTCTTACCTGGCCTGGTGGCCAGAGATCCTCGCAGAGAAACGACTTGCAAAGAGGATGCCATATCTTGATCAACGATGACATGGGTAATTCCCGGATTGTCAAGTGACGTGGTCAAGCTTGCAGCCCCGAAGCGAGCAGTATTCTGTGCGAGAGTCAGACCTAAATTCGGTGACCATCGACCATTTTCTTCACCACTCGACTCGTTTGAAGTGACAAAATAGAGCACCAGGTCACGGAAGAGCCATCCACACGGTGCTGTGTATCCCGAATCCACTTTTCGTTGAATTAAAGCCTCGATTCGTTTTGATGTGCGACAGTCGAGTGTGTGCTCTGATTCTTGCTTGAGGTGCCCCATTTTCTCCAAAGTCTGCCGAAGATAGTTAGCTTGTATTTATAACCGAAAGAAATGGATTGTTCTTGTTCATTGGCCGCACCTCTTTGAGCTCCTCGACAGTGGTGTCACGAGCATAACTATCACCGAATCGATCGGCATTGAAACTGATCTCTTCATCTCGACCTTCTATGGTAAAGAACATGTGCCTGTGGATTTCGGTTCAGTTATGTCTGCCTTGTTGCATCTTGTCATGGAAATAGCGTGGTACCTTGGTTCAAAAGGAAGGATTAAATCCGATAGCCCTGCATCTTTTATGTTCTGCTTCACACAGTCCATTAGCCAGGATGGTCTGACGATATTGGTATCACCAGACTTCTGTAAAGAGGCCACCTTGACCGTCCCTAGGATTCAGAGTTAGCATGTCCTGGTCGTAGTGCTATGACACAATCATACTTCTCTCAGCGATGCATATTATGTCTGGAGCTGCAGTATTCGTTTGGTAAATCTTGCCTCCGTTGGCTTTCACCAGCTGCTCCAGCTCTGCCTTTGACTTTTTCTCGGGGGCATTTGCCTCTGTCATGACAACTGACATATAATCAGCAATTACCTGAGGGAATGTGGAGTTAAATCAAACTCACAGAAATTCAAATGGGCAAATACATGCCCTGAAGGACCAAGGTACTCGGCATTCTCCTTCTCATCATATCCAGCAATGGTCAGTGGTCTCATCGCTGTTCGCTTGACGCGTTTTTTGCGAGAATTGTCCACATCGAATTTCTTGTCCTGATGTTCCTGTTCCGCATTTGACTTAAGATCCAAAAACTCTTGGATCGATAGCGCAGTCTTCCAGTTCTTGTCTTTCCGTAGCTTTTTGAAGCGCGGGAAGCGTAAAGTTAGACCCATACGGAATTGGTCACTCGTGGCGACGGAAGCTGCTTTCACACAAACAACAACAGAATCAGACGGTTTGATCCACATATCGGGTCGCTCATGCTGAGCACCTCCACCCGCTAACTCAATAAAGTTCGTAGGTGGTTTTTTGGGATCCCATTTCTTCCATTTGCCCTCTGTATGATGGCGAATCTCCTGGTAGTCGGAAGCAGTAAACCCTCCGCCAACTTTACAGAATGACCAACACTTCTCAGGCTCTGCACCCTGTGAAGAGTGGCTGTCGTCGACTCGAAGGCCACAGAGGAAACTAGACAAGTTACCACCCCGATGGCCTTGACCATAGTAACCGCCAATCACGACTACGTCAAGGGACTCGCCGAACTCCGTCATGTAGTCTGGCTTCACCTTCATCCAGTCATCGTGACGCTCATTAAGTCGATAGGGTGATCGAGGATTTTTCAGAACTAAACCTTCGGATGCCTCCGCAACGACTTTGCGTAGGCATGTCTCGATTTCTGCCGCTGTGGTTGCCTCTTCGTATGGATGTATCTCGAATCGACGACGTACCGGTCGGAGGGCCTTTTTCAAAGCATTGCGGCGGTCACGAAGAGTGTATCTGGTCAAATCTGTGCCGTTGAGATGCAGGATATCAAAGACGCGAAATAGGGGACGTGGTCCTTTCGAAAAAGGGTTGCGTTGCTCAGCCAGAGCGGCAGTCTTGAGTGTCCCGAACGGAACGGGAGCATCCTGCTCAGGGTCCCAGGTGACCATCTCGCCGTCGAGAATCAGGCTTCTAACCCCATCTGCGAATGCATCTTCAAGATGTCGTGTCAAAGCCCCATTCTCATCGTATATTCCATTGCCGTAGAGATAGGTGTATTCCTTAGCTTTGCGAGACCAAAAGCAGAATTTGCGACCGCCTGGGACAGAATTATCGGGCGCCATATGAAGCTGAATTCGCTCGCCATCCATCTTCTCCTCGATCCAAAAAACCGGATCGTCCTCTGTAGTCCTCATTCGCGTGATCATCTTGTCGAAAGAGTGCATCTGGAACTGAGCCAGTTGGGGTTGGAAGCACTGCATCAGAGTGATGCCACGATCCTCTGCCTCTAGCCTGATATTTGGATCATGCAGCTCCCAGCACACACGTCGCAGGCTACTGGAGATACTGTAGAGATTCTCTGCGTCTGGGTGCCACACATTGAAGAACGTGCGCTCTGTAGCTCCGACTTTCATCTGTCGCAGAATAATGCGAATAAGCCATGTGAGTTCGTCAGGATTCATTCGCCGGTAGAATTCGGCCAAAATAGGCGTCTGTTGATCTTCTTTCGAGGCAATTGAAAGCTTGTCCAGCTTCTCGTTGACTTCATCGATTGTCATGTCTCCTGGCTCTGTTCGCAAGGGCCTTTTAGATAGAATATCGTAGCACCTCCCTGCAAAATCACCTGCCATGGGCGTCGATGACTGGCCCGGCAACTTCCAGTTCAGTAAGTTGGAGCCGTCTTCTGATTCCTTGTTGATTTTCATGATTTTCACCAACATCTTCCCTATGATCTTCTCCTTCATTCCATACATGGGGCGATCCCGATCCTTGTCTGGAAGAATCAGCCGGAAGGCAGGGTAAATATCGTCACCCACATCTTTGCGCCATCGCGAGATGAAACGAGCAATAACATCACGGCGAAGCTCATACGGGTTAAGGCCTGCTGCTCCTTTTCCCTGCGGTCCAACTTTGCGACGTCCAGGAGCTAGGCCAGGTGGCTTCTTCTTGATCTCACTGAGGGGGTTGAAGAGGTTCAGATAGAGCTCGTGGAACGCGAACGTTGGAGCATGGTTATGGGGTCGGTTTGGATATCTGTTTTTGGGAGTTAGTAGGCTTATTGAAGAACAATGGGGCTCAAAGTACTTCTCATCAAGATTCTCATCCACTTTATGGGTAGGATCTGGCACGACCTCGTCGGAATCCATGGTAGTTGAAGCTTCACAGAGACGAGGTTCCCCGGGCTGAAGCTCCTTCGCGACGGGGACGGTTTTAGGCAGCTGCCCCGATAAGATTAAGTATAGCTTGGCTTGGCGCACATGTGACATCACCCGACCCAGCGCCAAAAATACAAGGAAACATCAAAACAGCAACACCTAGAAGATAAAAATAGGATCAGCCAGTTTGAAATAGACATTTCGCCTTTGTTTGATGACATTCTTAGCACGTGAATAACACTGATATCTGATCCTCTTTACACTAGTGTACAGCCCGATTATGAAATGAATGGAGCGTGATGACCTTGAGAAATACATGTATGCTGCAGGTGGCAAAGGTTCATGCAACACTGCTAAAACAATGGGTAATATACAGGGCCGAAAGACTAGGTAAAGCCAGAATCTGATAATCATTCAGTGTTTGGTCATTTGCTCAATGACCTTCAACAGTTGCAGTGCCGTGCTCAGAGCCTCGATGTTGCATCATGATATCCGCCAAGCACGTCAAAACCCTGATGAATTCCTTTGACAGACCCCACGCTGTAAGACGTGAGAGAGTCTCGCAACCAACTCGCAAGATTCGCTCTGGACCTTCAGGTGCACATATATCTCCAACGCCAGTGACATTTCCTCTCATAACATGACCTTCACGAACAAATAGCTGCACCAATTCATCATCACACGGCCGGTCTAGGTGAATAAAACTCGGTTCCTGTAATGGTTCTGCTCGAGGTGCTTGGGAATGCGGGCTGGATTCTTGAGACCCATTCGTGTGACAAGTACCATATGCCCATAGAGTTAGCACGGCAAGAAAAGCCGCGACTGGCTCGTGAAATGCATTTGTTGAGTATCGTCGAACGTGCCAGAGCGTCACACCAGCATGGACAATCGACAGGCGAGCCTTATATTGGTCATGTTTGACCCAGCGCCAGATGTATTGCCATTCGAGTACTTGGTGTCTCTTACTCCACCGTAGCTTCTCGGTGGCAAGGGATGTCGCAAGAGATCGAATTTCACGGAACGGCGCCAGGAGCACAAGGCGCGAGGCATGAAGATGTAAGACAGTGGGATGCTCAAGTCCAGCTGCCTTGGCAATGGTGCTGTTGGCCGTCCAATGCAAAATATCTAAACAGTCACATGCACTATTGCGCCATTTTGAGTAGGAAGGGATCCCCGGAAGCCATACAGAACCGGTAGGGATTGCGGTCTCGCGAGACTGCTTTTTGGCAGTAGGGTTCCAGAAAGAAAGCGGCCGACGGAAGTAATCGCCAACTTCCCACATTCGGTGGTAGAGGGCGTGGATGAGGAGGATGTGGCTAAACTCGCCGATTCCGGAGATGAGTCGCTTTTCGATGTACAGGATATGCACAGCATCGAAGAGAGACTCATTCGCTGTTAACGTTAGAGCACAGCAAAAAATGGAAAGAAAAAGGCAATTGTATATACCTGTCGAGTCTAGCCATTGCTGCTTCCAAGTCTCCGCAGAATCTGCTTGCCACATCTTGTCATGTACAGGTAAAGCGGCCTGTCCATCATCCAGAGACAAATGTGGCCGCATTTCAAAGTAGTACGCCAAAGTACTGTCCAAAAGCTTTCATCGCAAATTTCAGTCAGCGTTCGGATTTCACATTTCCAGGGCGGATTGTCAGTACCCAGATACAATACCCAGTTCGGTTTTTGATCTCATTTTGGATCCACTTCCGCCACATAGAACCATCTGATTTACCATTCAAACTTGTCGCTTGTGTCGGGGTTGCTTTCAGAAGTTGCTCTTGCTCTAGCAATGCCACCAGATCGCTAAATGTGCTCAGAGCAGTGAGTTTGTCCTCCTCATTACCACTGTGAAGAAGTCCAATACAATTGAGTAGCATTGCTTGTATCAAGTCAAGGGAGTACTGGCTGGACTTAAATTTCTTCCTCTGCTCAGAAAAGTCAGACTTAACAACAGAAGACGTAGAAACTTGAGAGGGGTGTTACCTCAACGCAAAATGCTCGGCGTATCATTTCATGAAATGCAACGGCGCATCGGTCCATTTCGCGAGAATTTGAAAAATGACAACCGATCGCCACGACTGCCAAAGTCAAAAGCCAGTGGCACTTGTTTGGGTTAAAGGTAGGAAAATGAAGCATAGGGTAAACGGTTTGGAATGAATCGAAAAAGCAAGCAATATATCGAGTGCACTCATCCAAGCCTGGAAAGTTCTCGGAGTCAAAATTTTCGAAGAAGGGATTATTATTGCAGCAGAGAAGAAGGAAATTGTCGTGTATTTTGTCATAGGTGGCTGCTTCAATTGGCGTCAACACATCCGATATATCCATAAGAATGTCTTGTACTCCTGGAAATCCGAAGCTCTGTTGTGTGACGAAGAGAGGTTTTGAGTTTTCGATACTGGTTGCTTCGGCTAACGAACTAGACCAAGGTGCTTGCTTCTTGCGATACTTAGGGAGACGGGCTCCACCACCATCAACATAGTAATCAGTGGAACGTTTCGCGGAATCGACCGATTCGGCATTAGGGGAGAGCTCGCTAGCAACATGCGAGTGATTCCGAGGGCTTCCCATATCTGTTGCAAGAGATATATGTCCGGACGATGTTTGTGAGGTACTTTCGTAGAGCGGAGGACTCATCTGCCTTGTGCTGATAACCGGCGGCTGCCAAGCCATGCGAGATGTATATCCATCTGCCGTTGCTGTCTGAGAGTATTGCTGCGACACAATGCTGGGGGTCTGTCTTTGATCACTAGGTGTGAAGAGCTCATTCGGGAGCCAATTTATGGTGGAGAGTATTGAAGAATCAAAGAAGGACGGATCAAATGACAGTCCCATTTCCGGGTTCCCTGCCAAATTCATGTCCATTTCCATCCCTGATATTGGTATAGCTGGCTGGTTCTGTCTCAACTCATTGTTGATGCCTGGGAGCGGTGGATCGGTGCTGAGCAATTTTGGCACATCGGAGTTGGAGACTCTATTGTAGGGTTGTCGACAGTCCCCATTTTGGTAGATTGTTAACGGTATATGTCCTGTGGATGAGGGTTGATTTGAGGATGATAGATATACCGAAGCACCCGAGGCCCCTGCTATAGAGGGTCTCTCGTTTGGAGATGTTTGTTCACAAGGAGTTTCCACGCAATTCGGAAACCCTGAAACCGAGGATCTCGACAATCTCTGGGCATCATCCATGTTGTCCATGCTGCTGATAGAAAATTGGCCTATCTGGAAGCGTACTGGCGGCTCTGTCTGTGCAAGCTCTTCTTGGCGCTCATGGGGTAGGGGTGTCGACAGACGAGGGGTCTGCTGTTCATTGTCAGGGTCGAGAACAGACAGTCGCCGGGAGCCTCCGTTTCGAGGCTTTGCTTTCGATCGTCTTTCAGTGGGATATTCGCATCCGAGCGAGCGCGAATCGCACCTGCCGCATGGGATACCACCGCTGCACCGCACTCGAGCCGTGGCACAGTTGAAGCACGCCCGGAAAGTCTTCACTGTGATCCGATGGGTGCGGTCCTTTCCCCCTCACTTCCTTGCGTATGGTGACTCAATTCGTGTCGATGTAGCGTATCGCTAAAGGTCCCTGTTCGTCAGTCTATCCTTCCGAGAAGGGCTAGCCGGCGGCATGTAAACCTACGTTCTCGAGAAGTGACGGCCACACTGCGCGCATGCAAAAGGTTTCTCCTTTGTATGGCTGCGCAGATGCCGCTTCAGGTGCTCTGGTCGCCGAAACGTGCTGCTACAGACTGAGCATTGGACCCCGGTTGCGCCCGCTTGCTCTCCTTTCTCTCCACTGAGTTGTGCATCTACTCCCTCGCTGTTAGCAGCTGAGAAGTCGTTCGCAGGCGCAGGACTTTACCCTCTGCATGGTCAGTCACCGATAGCATGGCGCCTTTAGGGAGCTCAACCGGGCCAGCATTTCCGGATCATGAGAGCATATGTGTTGTTCCTTCTTGTCGGAGGGGAAAACCGGGGTGCAGGGTATAAATCAACCCACGCGCTGCGGAGAAGCTTGGATCCACGCGATTGGCCTTCATTTAAACGGGCCGGCTCGGTTAATTTGGTCGGAAATCTGGGGTTGAAATGGCCGAGGGATCATCGTGGGCCACATCTTGGCTCGAGAATTCAAGACACAGTCGCAAACGAAGGCCATAAGGAAGTCGATCTGCAAATCACGGTGGTAGGATGGGTTCCTGCGTCTCCACCGGTGCTGAATGTACTGGCGAGCGGGATGGCTGAATCGCAGCTGGAGACGTGGAAGTGGTGAGACCAGCAGTACTAACAGCCAGTGGGTTGCTGCGGCCATGAGGCCCCGTGCCCGCCAAGTGGAGCCGGCGTCATCGCCGCGCTGTCCCAGCTGCAGTGCGACACCGCAGCATCTCCCCCTCCATCCTCCACACTACATCCGATCCAAACTCTCGACGTCGGAGCTCGATTCCATGAATGGCGAGATCGCCGCCGCGAACCCGCGGTTGGCTTCCCCGGCCTCCCAAAATGCCTCCGCCCTACAGGGCGCCTCCGTCGCCTTTCGACAATCCCGTCCAGCTGCCAATGTGAATAAACCACCTTCTGCTGCTGCCGCAGCCGCCGTGGCCAGCAGTTGGAATCGCCATGCGGAGTCCCATCACGCAGACATGGATTCGGAACCCGGCCCTGAAGTTGGCTCTGTGCGGGACAAGATTGGAAGATGGACGACAAATAACCTCGTCGCGCCGAGCAGCGAGCCCATCGCCAGGGGGCGAACACCATCTTCATCATTATCACCAAAACCAGCACCCGAACAGATTGCTGCTCGTCTAGCTGCATCAAGGTCTCCTGCTCGGCGACAAGAAGCGTCGTCCGCGGCAGCCGCCGCCAGACTGGGTGCGATGCGTAGTGCCAGCACGGCACCCCCACCATCACGACCTCCTGAAGAACGACGAGAACTACGATCCCCAACTCCAATCCGTCCGAATCCACCCATTAAAAGCCCGGTCGATGTCATGCTGCAGGATGATCCCCCAGCGTTCGACCCTGACCCCAACACCCTCCGGCGCCCGCCATCCGTGCAATCCAAGGCCAGCAGCGTATCTAAAGCAAGCAGTGTTTATGGTCGAGCTCCGAGCCCTCATCCGTCCATCTCTTCGCGATTATCGTCTACCCAGAATGATGATTTCAAACCGAAACTCCCTCCCCGAACCCCTACAAACCCCTCCTCTGCGTCCTCGATCAAGTCCTCCGCTGGGTCGATCAAGAAGAAACCGGTTGGCAGTGGAACTATGAATCGTGCGAGTACCCCCAGTATGGGATCAATATCGGTAGCGTCGCACAACAGCAGCTCCAGTGCATTGCATGAGCCGAGTGGGATGAGCGAGGAAGCCCTGTCCAATGCAATTGTCGCGTCGTCGTTAGCGTCGGCTCGCGCATCACCCGTCTCCAAGCTCGCGCCACCTCCTCCACCGCAACGACGACGGGCGCGATCTCGGTCCCTTCTGCAGCAGCTAGCACATTCAGATAAGAGTGATGTATCTCGCACACCAAGCCCGCCTAAGGGCATGCCGCAGACCCTTCGCGGCTTGCCGAAGCCCGACGATGCCGATGACCGTCACCGGCATCGAATGCACCTCCTCCACAAGCACCCCCACAAACACCACGAGGGCGATCGCAAGCGATGGCGACGAGAGGTGACTGAGAAGGAGCGCAAACGCTACGAAGGCGTTTGGGCCTCGAACAAGGGGCTGCACATCCCTCCCGAGCGAAACACTGACAGCGATCGGTGGCCGCCCCCTCGGAGATGGTGCTCAACCTTGTCGTACGGGAGATCTGGTCCCGCAGCCGCCTGCCACCCACCATCCTGGAACAGGTGTGGGAGCTCGTGGATCACCAGCGCGTCGGGTTGCTGACGAAAGAGGAATTCGTGGTTGGAATGTGGTTGATCGACCAGCAGCTCAAGGGCCACAAGTTGCCGACCAAAGTACCGGAGAGCGTTTGGGACAGCGTGCGGTATGTGACGGGCATCAAGTTGACGACGACTGGCAGCAGGGCGTATCCGTAGACCCTGCTGTAGATTATTGGATTCTAAGTCAAGGTAGGATGTTTCTCATTTGCATATAGACCATGTCAATAGTTCCTCCATTCCTCCATGGGAAGCGCAGGCACGCCCCGGGGATGCGGGCTCCCACACAAGCGGCATAAATCGAGCGTATAGTGTTATTATGACTATGTGTTTCTAATCGGTATTCATCCCCTGGCATGTGAATCTTGATGTGCCGTGGTTCCTTCTACTACTCCATTGTAGAACTCGTACTGTATGTATACCTGTATACTGTGTCCCTCCTGGGCTCCACTACCAACATGAATGCCCCCGCGCTGGCAATTTCCCGGGATCGATCCGCATTATTTGCAAGTTTGGAACGTAGAATGGGGCTCCCGGTGACTTCACGTTGCTTTCTGATAATGAGAACATTTCTCATTAATCCCCTAGCACTCGTATTCAGTATGGGACTGGTCCAGCCAAATCGCGGCATCTCGCCACCCTCCGCCACGTGACCCTCCCCGAAACCTTTCGACGAGGACAGCGACGTCTTCTTAAACATGCCAGCGAGGGCGAAGAATCCAACGCTTCTCGTCGGTATGCTTCCATTTTCCCGACTCGCGGCGTGGGTGCAGTGACAAATCGCGGGCGTCTGGATCACCGCAGAGCAAATCCCGGATCTCCACGCCTCGGGATTTGCGCGCACGATCGAGCAATCATCGCACCGCGTCTGTATATTACAGCTCTCCCTCTTCCTCTGCGCGCTGACTGAGCAGTAACTTGCACCGACGGGAGTCTCCCGCGCACAGGGAACCCCAAACCGGTCGTGAACCGCAGAGAAAACGGTTGTTGGGTGCTTGCGATTGAAGATCCATGTCAGCCCCGTGATTCGCCATGGCCGACGCTTTTCACCCCGAAGCGCTGACTGCCTCCGCGCCCCCTCGACCGGTTCGCAAGAAGTTCGCCAAACCCCCCGTCAAGGTCGCCTGCTTGCCCTGGTACGCCATCCGTTCCTTCGAGGCTCTCATGGCCGCGCCGTAGCTAACCCCGAACCAGTCGCGCCTCCAGAACACGATGTGGCGGGCAGGAACCCTGCTCCAATGTAAGTGTCCACTATGGAAATCGCCTGCGGCTCCTCTTCTTTGGGAGGGGCTCTAGTCTCTTTTCGGAATCGTGTAATGCTCGATTGATTAGTTAGTTACCTCCGCGGGGCCTTTTACTAAAAGTTGCGGTGTTGCTAGTGTGTCTTTAAACGGCGTGAATGCACCTATCTGCCCAGCAAGAGAGGTGGGCCGCGCAAAAAGAAGCAGAAGCAGAAGCTGTCGCCCTCGCCTTCTCCGGACGAGGAGCTCTTACAGGATGCTCCCAATGTGGCCGTGCCAGGCCCAGACTTCGAGGAGTGTATGTTTGTCCATTCGGTGTTGCTTGCTGCATACTACTATTAGTAGTACTGGCAGCATGATCCGCTCAGGTCACTAACGACTCCACAGCTCCGGGCATGTTTAGTCAAATCGATGTCTTATCTCTGCCAGGTGCAGGGTTGAGGCATCTGGACTTCCCACAAGTGGCTTCCATGTTCCAGGGCTATTTCACGGGCGATGCAGACACAACCCATGTGCATATGGGGAATGTGCCGTCCCCGTTGAGTACCACCCAGTGCCTCGTGAGAACGTATGGAAGTGAACCTGAAATGTAGGTTCCTTTCTTCGCCATATTCCTTCCCACCACGCAATTCATCTCACATCACCAATCCAGCTTAAACGCTTATTATGATTTTATCCATCCCTATTTCCCAATTCTTCCGCCACGGGTATCACCTCAATGTCGGGATCGTCCGTTGCAATTCAACATCTCCCCGTCCAACCCGTCGTCAGAGCCTTTCATGTTGTACCGACCCCGATCTCCATTGAGTATTGCCATCTGCGCGATTCTTGCATTGATTCCACACCCACGGGATCCGGAGCCATCTTCTCCAACGTCAGTTCTTCGGCGCAGGAACTACGCACATTCGTTTGCGCAGCTCGCTAACTCAATCATCGAAACGGAATGTGACTTGGAACTGTCATCAACTGACCCCGGTCAAGCATTGTCTAGTGTCCGCCCTTCTGTTAACCGAGAGAAGCTTCATCCTGGAACACCCGAAGATTTAGAGACTCTTCTCGCCTTGCTTATCCTCTCGGTCTACGAGTATTCACAGCGAGGTAATCTTCTCAAGATGAGATATCGTGCAGGGCAAGCTTTGGCCCTTGCCTTGGACAAGTCACTCCATTGCTGCATGGAGGATAGTGAATTTTCAGAAGCTCGCCGTAGAGCTTGGTGGATGACGGTATGATAAAACTTCTCCTATTGTCTAAGGTCGATTGCATTATATCTAACTCCACTACAGTACTATTGTGTTATACAGGGCTCTATAGTCAGTACGACTGTGAGTGAATTATCATTGTTATTCTCCATACCCCGTCACGATAGCTAATGCAGGAAGATACAGCCGCCGACAATAGTCATCAATGATCCGCAGTTTACGACACCCTACCCACAATTTGCTGCCGATTCTGAGGTATGTTTTTCGGTCTCTAACACACCCGCTTGCCATGGATCCCAACTAATGTCTGGCAGGGCTGGTCCATCTTGATACAGGCCCAGCAAGTGTTAGTATCGGCTACTTCGTTTATTTCCGATCTCAACAAATCTCTCACCTCGCAATCCGGCATGCACTATATGTATGAAAGGATGCAACAACTTGACTCGTGGACCAACTCCGTGCTAGCGCAGGTAGATTTGCTGCCGATGTTACCCCAGGAGCCGGACTTCGGGGACAGTCGAGAAACAGTTACCTCCGGAAGTATCCGAGCTATATCGCGGATCAAACTATCGAGGTATACATTGCGTGTCTGCCAATTTGCTTGTTTCAAATCCTAACGCATTCCCAGCGCGCAAATCAAAACCCATCGCTTCCGAGCCTTCTCCGACATCCCCATCTTCATAAAACGACATTGTGATCTGACTGCCGCAAATCCAAGTAACCAATCAATCGACATGAAGCAACGCTCTCCATCCCACCAGGGTCACGGGTTAAGCAACGTGGGCTGCTCATGTAGCAGTCTCGATCAATTCCAACGTGCCTCGTCAGCGGAATACATGACTCCATCCGACTCCTCGACTTCCTCAGACATCCACCCTTACATTCCACAATATCCTCAGTTCCCCTTCGCGTCCGGATTCCCATACAGTCCTCAACACTCTGCCAAAATATGCCTTAGAGCTGCTTTGACGATTTCGCGCATGTTTGAAGGCCTGCCTGTCCCGCAGCCACTGACGGAAGGCCGCCAACAACAGAATCGCCCACTTCCTCGTACGATGCCCTCATTTGCGTGCTGTCTCATGCAAAGTAGCTACGCTATGTTCATGATCTTCTACAAGGCTCGTGTGGCAAAGCAACTTTCGCCAGACTCGGAAAGTGAAATTGCGGCCGAGTCGACAGACCATCTCGTGGAAGAACTCCGACGGGGCCTGGAGCGGATAATCGGAGCGGTGTCCAACTATTCACAAGCTTTTGAGGCATTGGATGGGATGCGAGGTAAGCTTATAGTGTTGATCTTCCAAGTTTTTACCTGGATAGCTCGGCTAACATATTCCAGATGAAATTCAAGGTGCATATCAAACGGCTTTCCCTCATATTTCCGTATAGTCGGAGCAAATTCTCGTTACGACGAAGTATATTTATTGCATTTCCTGCGAAGCCATACTCTGAAAGCTAGCAGCGGCTTCGATCGATATCGACTAACACAGCACACAACCTCTCCTCGTTTTCAACCCGCGCATATATGTATTTATCTCGGAACTCTCTAATCACGTACACGAACGGCAAGATCCTTCATATTCTCCTGCAGGATCGAAAGGCATGAAAAATGAAAAGCCGGAATTTGTTTATTTCCTCTAAATGTTTCGCTAAAATAACTCAACGCTGAAATCGTGCCAACAAATAAAGAAAAAAGGGAAAGAAAAGCCTGCAAATGATGGGATATTTCTATGCCTATAGCTTTGAGCGAATGCCCTCCAATCGAAACTTGACATCTTTCAAGACTTTACTTGATGGTTTCCAATCGTCGAACTGGCGGAGAAGTTCCATAGTCTCGTCATGCATCTGGCGTCGCACATGTTCCTCCTCGAGAAGCCCCCGCATGGCGAAGGGGAGAATGTATGGGTTTGTGTAAGCCAAAGGATTTGATCGCTTGATGCTCAGGGTGGCGTCCGGAACATTGGATGTTTCGAGCGCGAACTGAATAGCCATGTAGTACACGTCTTCATCATCATAGAGACGAGAGTGGCCATCTCCCGTGTAAAGACTGCCAGCTAGAGGACCACTAAGTTCACGGATGAGACCGTGATCTGGGATACCGAGGTTTCGTAGCTTGAGGGCGAACCCAACAAGGTGTGACAAGAAGCTTGGAGCATGAACTCGGCCGTCCACAAAGACTGAACGGTAAATGTATGGATGAGCGATTGGCGAGAACAAAGAAGACTGTATATCACATTAGCTTGCACTTCAGTGATGAGGTCTGATGTTAGCGAGCATACCTCTAGCGAAACGAGTTGGTCATCGATACTTCCGATGTAAGATATTCGAACTCCAAAATCAAGAGCACACTGAAGAGAAGCCTCGTAATCCTTGGAGACTTTGCTGGATGGTAGCTCAAATTCGAACAGCTCACCAGCAGATCCACTAATCCATCGAGATCGATATGAAGAGAAAGGGCCCATGTTTACCCCAGCCATGGCGCATATGCCGACCCGGCTGGCGTCAAGACAGCCGAAAGCAATAAGCTTAGCAACAAGCATGATTGAAACGGGCACCCCTTGACTATGACAGGCCACGAGAATGAAGTCAGCTTTGCGGATTTCTTCCATCCAGTTCAACAGAAGCTTCCACAGAAGATCCACCCGCTCTGCAATACGTCCCTCTCCTTCCAATGCAATCTTTTCGACCTCACACGAATAGCCATGATCGGCTGTCCATTTAGTGATGGCTTCCGCAGCCATGTTCGAAAACCGAATGGATGTCCCTGTGGGTTGTCCAAGCACACTCCGGATCACAGGGGCGGGGAAATAGCCATGGACACCGATGGCTAGAGCACGTTTGATGCGATGCGGTTCTTTGACGCGAGATACGTGATTGTGCTCTGGGCCCTTGGTATAATGCAAAATTCTGCCTAGGCTTTGCAAAAAAGAGGGCGACTCTTCCAGGTTATATGTTTCTTCGAATCGCGGCAGCACTTGATTTGGCAGTATTTTCTGCAGCTGCCTAGAGGCAGAAGCGCCTGCTGGTTGGGGTTCGGCGGGTGCTGTGGTGGTTGTTGAGTTCGTTTCAACAGTTGGTATGACTCCTTCCTTCATCCGTCCGTCTTTGGGTAGTTTAACTTTGACACTTCCTCTCTTGGTGACGTTCACATTCGCTTCTGTGTCTGGCTCCAGCGATGTTGGCCGCGCCAACGTGTTTGGCTCCAGCGTTGCTTCGACAGCCTCAACTTCCTGGGGTTTCGACGGCGCCGTTCCTCTAGCAGGTTCTTTAGACCAGAATGACCAACCGGAGGATTTGGCATTTCCAACTGAAGATTGCGATGGGCCTGTTTCCTCCGGGGGGTCTTCAGGAGAGTTCTTTGGCGTCATGTTCACGTCTTGGCTAGCTGTATATCCAGAGTCTTCCGGGGTTTCTTGTGCCGTCTCTTGAGTTGGTTGTTCTGCGGGTTTGGTAGACGAGGATGAACCGTACCACATTTGCAGCCAAGATCGCTTTTGTGACGTGGGCTGGGCCTCTGCCGTAGTATGTAGCTGATCTTGCCCCTGTCCTTGCTGCGGTTGTTTCACCGGTTCGTTTGCGTCTGGAGCAACTGCTTCTTGACTAGTTTGCGTCGAGGGTTGGTCTTCACCAGGCTGCTTCTGCGTTATCCCCACAGTTTCATGGTCATTCGTGGCACCTTTTACGGCAGGCGCAGACCTGTACATCCATGAAAACCACCCAACAGGCTGCTCTGTAGATGTGGACTGTGATATATGTGGTGTGGGCGTGTCAGATTCGGTGACGATCGTTTGCGCCTGTTCTTGTGACGATTTCTCTACCGAATTCGTGGCCCTTTCCTCTTCGTTATTGGGTTTGCGTATCCTTGCGGGAGTAGGGGTGTCGATCTTGTCCAAAGCTGCGGCGGAAGCTGAGCCGTCCGACGCAATGTTTACTCGGGTTGTGGTCACATCGGCGGGTAAAGATCTTGTCGAAATGCTCGCCCTTTTCGTAAGTTGGATCGAGGGGTTTCGACTGGTTTTGGGTGTATCGAGTAAGGAGGTTGTCGATTCCGCAATGCCGGACGCTACGTTCTGCGCGACCGAAATGCTCTCACGAGCAACCTCGGTAATTGGATCCGCCTTGGACGTTCGCGACGTAGTCGACCAGGACCCTGGATACCAGCTCTAGAAAAAAACAGACATATTTCGGTTAGCTATGCAATAACACCGCCCGTATCTTGAGCCTTGAAACATACCGCACGTCCTGAACGCTGGGAGTCCGAGCGGTCTCGGGCAGCATTGCCTGGTGCCGCGGGGGACGGAGAGTCCGCACCAGAAGGGCTGGGCTTCACTCTCTTTCGAGATCCCTTGGGCGTCATGGAAGCGAGGATAAAAACATCTAAGCAAGTTCGAGAAGAGCAAAGGTTCTCTCAGAGACAAGTCACAGGGAGTTAACTACAAGGCGCCACGAACCGGGGTGTCTGATATCACGTCACATGGCGGCCTGGTTCCTGGAGATTCTGCCTTAGGCATAAAGGCGGTGAGCGATAAGTCGACTTTTTTTTTTCTGCGCGCCGCTGGGTCAAGTGTATACGCCTTTCGTCGTTCTTTTATTTTGCATATCTAAGTCAGTCTGGTCTTCTGCGAGACCACCTGCACTTCAAGATGGCGATCCAGAAAAAGGTATGCGATTTTTCTTTCCAGTTCTCAGCAGATCGCGGGTGTTAACTGCTTCCAGCATGGAAAAGGTCGTCTTGATAAATGGTATCGGCTGGCCAAAGAGAAGGGCTATCGATCGCGTGCTGCATTCAAGTTGGTGCAACTGAACAAGAAGTATGGGTTCTTGGAGAAGAGTAAAGTTCTACTTGATCTTTGCGCGGCGCCTGGTGTAAGTTCGGAATTCAGGATCTTTTATCTCTCATGACGGCTTCGTCTAACAATACTCGCAGGGTTGGTGTCAAGTGGCAGCGGAATGCATGCCTAACCAGAGTATTATCGTTGGTGTCGATCTCGCTCCGATCAAGCCTATTCCTCGCGTCATTACCTTCCAAAGCGATATTACAACCGACAAGTGTCGCGCTACCATTCGGTCTCATCTCAAGCACTGGAAAGCAGACACGGTCATTCACGATGGTGCACCCAATGTCGGTTCCGCATGGGTTCAGGATGCTTTCTCTCAGGCGGAGCTGGTCTTGGAATCTATGAAATTGGCTGCGGAGTTTCTGGCGGAAGGTGGAACCTTCGTCACCAAGGTTTTCCGATCCAAGGACTACAACCCTCTCCTGTGGGTGTTCAAGCAGCTGTTCACCTCAGTCGAGGCCACCAAGCCCCCATCGTCCCGCAACGTTTCTGCTGAAATCTTCGTCGTCTGCCGTGGCTATAAAGCCCCTAAGCGCTTGGACCCAAAGTTCCTTGATCCCAAGCATGTCTTTGCCGAACTCACTGATCCCACTCCGAACAACGAAGCCAAGGTCTTCAATCCCGAAAAGAAAAAGCGCAAGCGTGAGGGCTACGAGGAAGGAGATTACACTCAATACAAGGAGATTCCCGTGACTGAATTCATCAACACTACGGACCCTATCGCCATTTTGGGTTCCTACAACAAGCTCAGCTTCGTGCAACCGCCTGGTGGAGACCTTGCTATGTCAACCCTGGACAGGCTGGAGGACACTACCGACGAAATCCGAGCTTGTTGTGAGGATCTCAAGATTCTGGGTAAGAAGGAGTTCCGTAACCTGCTTCGGTGGCGCTTGAAGGTCCGCGAGAAGTTTGGTCTTGTGGTGAAAAAGAAGAAGTCTCAGGAGGACGAACCCTCCGAGGAAGTCGCAGAAATCGCTCCGATGGATGAGGAGCTTGCAATCCAAGAACAACTTCACCGGATGCGTGATAAGGAAACTGCCCGAGAAAAGAAAGAAAGACGCAAAGAAAATGAGAAGAAACGGAAGGACATCATTCGCATGCAAATGCACATGACAACGCCTATGGATATCGGTATGGATCAGCACGGGCTTGGTGGTGAAGATTCTACCTTCTCTCCCTGAAGAAGGTAGATCGCGCGAATGCTCGGGACGCTGTCGTCAGCGCCCGTGATATTTCTGTCGAGAGCGAAAGTGAAGAAGACTCCGAATCCGAGGATGAAGAAAGCGACGACGATGGTGACCGACTCGAGAGGGAGCTTGATACGATGTATGAGCAATACCAAGACCGGATGGAGGACAAGGATTCCAAGTTGCGCGCGAAGAAGGCGCGCAAGCCTTACGAGACCGATGAATGGGAAGGTTTCTCTGAGGACAACAAGAGTGACGAGGAGGGTGAAGAGAACGAAAACTCGAAGCCCGCCGCCGCTGCCGAAAATGAGCGTCAATCCACGGGCCTTTCGAACAATGCCTCCATGTTCTTTGATCAGGACATTTTCCAGGGTGTAGATGACGGGGAGGAGGAAGACGAGGAAGACGAGGTGGTGGATGACGAGGAGGATGACGAGGAGGATGACGAGGACACCGATATGGAGGAAGTCGAAGTACCCGAGAAGCCGTCAAAACAAAAGGGCAAGAAGGATGCCAAAAAACAAGAATCGGAATGGGTTGACTCTGATGAAGAGTCCGTGGAATTCGAGGAGCCTCGAAAGCCCAATGGCCAGCTTGGTGAGTTCATTTTCCTGGGTAATAATCTGTGCATTACTAACATTGTGAAATTACAGACATCGACATCATTACTGCAGAGGCCATGGCTCTGGCCCAGTCGATGGCAACAGGCGAGAAGAAATCCTCTGACGTGGTTGACGATGGTTACAACCGCTTTTCTTTCCGTGACGTAGATGGCCTGCCCGATTGGTTCATGGACGATGAGGGCAAACACAGCAAGCCCAATCGCCCGATCACCAAGGCCGCTGCTGCCGCCATTAAAGAGAAGATGCGTGCCATCAACGCCCGTCCGATCAAGAAGGTGATGGAGGCCAAGGGTCGCAAGAAATTCAAGGCCGCTCAGAAGCTCGAGAAACTGCGCAAGAAGTCCGCGCTTCTGGCGGAGGACGAGGCCCTCAGCGAACGCGACAAGTCTCAAGCCATCACCAAGATGATGAGCAAGGCCACAAAGAAGAAGCCCAAGCAGCAGGTCAAGCTGGTTGTGGCCAAGGGTGCCAACCGTGGTATTTCCGGCCGACCTCGGGGTGTCAAGGGCAAGTACAAGATTGTGGATTCGCGTATGAAGAAGGATATCCGCGCGCAAAAGAGACTGGCAAAGAAGAAGTCCTAGAGGTTGTATAGTGCATAGACGCAACGTCATTGTGATACCCTATGAGATATTTGTGGTAGTGCTCTATCTCGTATAGTAAGTACCCTTACACTAGTGTAATAGCGCTCGTAGTAGATTGTACCCGTACCTTAACTAAGGTTTAGGCTGCCAACGTGGTGGTTGGCCCGATTGGATCCCAGGGGCCTGCGCCAAGCGTCCACCGAGTGGCGCTTATCGATTGCGCTTTCCATCTGATTGACTGCGCCCACCCCCCATCTTCCTCTCTTCAACTCCGCCGTATATATACGCCCTCATGTTTTTGCGCATACGTTAGTCGTTTTTTGCATTTATATTTCTTGTCCATACCGTACATTTTTACTTTGCATACCTCCTCCATGGGCTTTTTCGACCACCTCCAGAAAGGAGGAGCCTTCTCTCTGAAGCCGCAGAAGAACCAGGTTCGCAAAGTCGTTCAAACGCGACCGGCAGCCCCAAAATCAGCACCCCAGACCCCCGTCGCACGATCACCTCGAGCCCTTTCTTCGTCAGAACGCTCTCGACCGACGAGCAACCTCAAGGCCCGATCTGTCTCGAGTGACCCGGATGCACGCCCCTCCAAGCGAAGCACTCCAACGCGCGTGCGAAAGCGTCCAACCCCCGAACAGCGACTGTCCAGTGACGATGACGCCAGCGACAGTGATACCTCTTTCGAAGTGCGCAAGCGCGCAAGAACCAGCGCCAGTGCGGAACCTGATCCGGAACGTCGTGTGCGTTCGGTGAAGGCATTTTCGGAGGAAGGAACCAGGCCTTTCAAGATGGTGCATGCCATTGATATCACGTCTGTTCAGAAAGCAGGCAAGTTCAAGCCGGCTTTCGGGGCTGAGAAGTCCCGGGAGATTCTTCTCCAGTACCCGAGCGCCTCGCAAAAAGAAAAGTATGGACATTGCGTGACCAAAATTTATTCAAATGTACTGACAAATTTTCTTTCCTCTTTTTACAGATTTGACTGTGTCGTTCCTCGGGACAATGAGGATTTCCGCCCCATCGACGATATCGTTCAAGTCATCGAGACCGTTTCCGATAATTATATCCCGAGTGAAGAAGCGGACGAGTTCAACAACGAGACAACTGGAATTAAACGGAGGTTGCGCAGAGGATTGGCTGTTGCTTCGGAGACCCAATTTCGCGAGGCGGTGGATGATTACAATAAGGCGATCACGCGATTGAGGAACAGCGGTAGCCTTGCGAAGCATCTGGACGCTACACAGCGTATTAGTCTGCCCTGGGTGGAGCGCATTCTCACCCAGACATATGCACGCACTGTGTCCCCTCGCGTTGAGTCCCTTCGACAATATGAGAATGGTACAGATAATGTATATGGCGAGCTTCTTCCCCGATTCATCAGCACCATCTTCAAGGAAACGAAGCTCAAATCCGGCCAAGTTTTTGTTGATCTTGGATCCGGTGTCGGAAACGTTGTCCTCCAAGCGGCCCTCGAAATTGGGTGTGAAAGCTGGGGCTGTGAAATGATGAGCAACGCGTGTGATTTGGCGGACTTGCAGCAGTCCGAATTCAAGGCCCGATGTCGACTTTGGGGTATTACCCCTGGCAAAACGCATCTCGTCCGCGGTGACTTTCTGGAGCAAGAGAGCATCATCAGCGTTCTCAAGCGAGCTGATGTGATTCTCATCAACAACCAAGCTTTCACGCCGCAGCTCAACAACGAGTTGATCAATCATTTCTTGGATATGAAAGAAGGATGCCGCATTGTCTCCTTAAAATCCTTCGTTCCCGCTGGCCATAAGATCCAGTCTCGCAATCTCAACTCTCCTATCAACCTACTTCAGGTTCAACAAAAGAACTACTGGTCTAACAGTGTCAGCTGGACCGATGTTGGTGGCACCTACTTCATTGCTACCAAGGATAGTTCCCGCTTGAGAGCATTCATGGATAGCACTCTATGAGGAACAATTGATGGAAATGTGAAATTTCAACACCGCCGGGCGACCTTGGTTTCTGGAAGATCACGTATCAATCATGATTTTATATGCCCTTGTACATTGTCGTTTTTGGTTTCTTTCTGGATATATTTGGGTTATTGTATGATACCAATTCAACTTGTACAAAAACAAGCACCAGGTCCAGCTTCTGTAAGGAGCTACATGCCTCTATTCGTTTCATCAGTCATTTTTTGAAAATCGTTGCTTAGTTTACCATTATCAAGAAGGTGCAAAGGAACGATTCTGGAGTGAACATGAACTTGATCACGAGAACTTCGATGCATTGTTCATCGCGTCTGCTTCTCGACCCATTCTTGCCATCCAGCGATCAACGAGCTCTTGGTTCTCACGTTGGAGTTTGGTGGACCTTTGCTCAGCCATGTTCAACTGGAGATTTAACGAAGCCATTTCATCCTGGAAATCCTAGAGCAGCCAAAGGAGAACTTGTTAGTTACAGCACTATTTGGATGGATATCCTTGTTATGAGCCATCACACTTTCAACTGGTTGCTTACCTCCAATAATTTGGCTTTTCCTTTCAATTCTTCATCTCTATCTTTCAAGCGCAGCTGGAGATGCACCCTTTCATTTTCCAGGGTATTGATTCGCCGACCGTCTTGTACGCTCTTCTTCCGGAGTTTCTCCGCTTCAGACGTGATCCTTTCCAGGCGGCCTTGTAGTTCTGAGCGAGAACGCTGTGCCTCGGCCAAATCCGAACGGGCAATGTTTAGAAGTTCTGTTCTCGAGGGGCCCGGCTCAGTTGATTGTTTTCTAGTAGCTGCATCGGGCTGGGCTCCACTGGAACCTGCAAGTCTCTGGTCGCCCAAAACATTCGAGGTAGGTTCTATGGTAGGGTGTTGTTTGGCCGTGCGATCTGCGAGTCGGGCATCTGAAGCCGTGGAGTATATGTCAGTGACAAAGATGAGGCTCCGCGGGTGTGATGGAATTAGCACGTACAAGCATCGTAGAGGGCGATGTTGGCCTTTTCCCGCTCATCGCGCACTGCAAGCGCAGCAAGGTACTCCTCTCTCCAGTGGGCCATGGGCTCTCCCGAGGAGCCGATGGGGCTGTGGAATGTGTCAGATGCGATGATGTCGGTCGCGGCGCTATCTTGTTATCACCTGCCCACCGCCCCCCTCGACCGCCCGGGCCTGCATCATCGAATCCCGCTGCAACCCAACTCCAGCTCCCATCTGCACCACCTTCATTTACGCCAACCCCGTTCCTGCCCCGAGCTTGGCTATATTTATTCGCACTTGTCTCCTTTGGTGGCCCCCTCCTCCTCCTATCCCGGGGCTCTTAGACAGACCGCTGCGATGGCGTCACGGAAGAAGGTTCTCCTCAAGGTACGATCTCCGCATCAGCTCCGAGTGACCTTTGCAGTTCTCAAATGCTAACGCGACTCCGCTTCAAAATAGGTGATCATCCTTGGTGACAGCGGCGTTGGCAAAACCAGTCTGATGAACCAATATGTGTGTCATCGTTGAACCCCCTCATCCAATTCGGAGCTCGGCTGCTGTCGCCGGACTGCTCGTCTGCCATTTTTCCCTTGGCTGTCGCTAATACATCATTCTCCGGCATTGATAGGTCAACAAGAAGTTCAGCGGAAGCTACAAGGCGACTATCGGAGCTGACTTCCTTACTAAAGAGGTTCTCGTGGATGACCGACTGGTGACCATGCAGGTAAATCTCGCTCCTACAACTTGAAAAAATCGTCGGGGGCGAGAGCTGTCAGTAGCTAACTTATCGCGACTAGATCTGGGATACTGCTGGCCAAGAGCGTTTCCAGTCATTGGGCGTCGCTTTCTACCGTGGAGCTGATTGCTGCGTTTTGGTGTACGACGTGAACAACTCCAAGAGTTTCGAAGCTCTCGACAGCTGGCGGGATGAATTTTTGATTCAGGCCAGCCCGCGTGACCCTGAGAGCTTTCCTTTTGTAAGCTCTCCATCATTATCCGCATTTCCTCGTCTGAGCCATTCATCGCGTGGAGAAGCACCTGGTGAGAACCTGCCATGCTGATTCCTCGTCTAGGTTGTCATCGGTAACAAGATTGATGTGGAAGAGAACAAGCGCATGATTTCCTCTAAACGAGCCATGACCTTCTGCCAGTCCAAGGGCAACATTCCCTACTTCGAGACCAGTGCTAAAGAGGCTGTCAACGTTGAGCAGGCATTTGAAGGTGAGTTACTGCCCATTCAATGGGCTGGTATTCCGTAGCATTTACTGACGAACATTTTCTAGTCATCGCCCGGAGCGCGCTCGCACAGGAAGAGGCCGAGGAATTCAGTGGAGAGTTTAGTGACCCGATCAACATCCATCTGGACAATGAGCGCGATGGCTGTGCCTGTTGATATCCTTACCTGATACTCGTGACGTTCTAAGCGGTTGTTTCAATTTCCCTATCCTACAATTTTCTTTTCTCTTCGTCACCTATCATGCTGGTGGGCTTTGTATTCCCTGGTTGAGTTTCTTAGAGAGGCTCGTTGGTTTCCTTGACCTTTTCTTTTCCTTGTGTGTAGATGTTTTCGGCTCTGGGCTATAGGCAGCCTTGTCTTTCAGTTTTTTGCCTTGGTAATGAATGTTCCATTTCTAAACTCCGAATTTTTTTCTGCCAGTTGCCACCTGAGGACACCGTGACTTCTTGTCGGTGATTTCCCCTCGCCATCGAAGTGGCGATGCTTGATCATGTCCATAGGTACCTAGTGAATAAGGGGGATGCGCTCGATGGTTCGCTCACGTAAGAGCACTCAGATGGCAGAGAAGACACAAGCACACAAACACACACGCACACACGCACAATCACTTCCTTCTACACTACGCTCGTGTAGTCCAGTCAGACTGTGCTTCTAGTGAGGGCGGAAACTAGTGATCAAGGGAATGTAGTGATTGATAGGGATAGGTGATGGTTGTGATGTATCTAGTATATCTAGTCGGGAACACATATATACTTAACACAGGCACGAAACACGTCAGATCATTTATTTAATCTTGCTCGAAATAATAACTAAACAGGCATGGAAATTTTAGATTGGGAGCCCCGGTGGAGTCCGACGCACTCTCTTCTCCGCAGGAAATCTTGGGGTTGCCAGCCAAGCTCGGGGCAACTTGGGCCCTCCCCGACCCCGTCCTTATCGCGCCGATCCTCACATTCGGACCCTTGGCTTTCTCCCTCTCCTTCCTGCTGGACAAGACTCTCCTTCATTCTCCTCAGAGAGGGCTTTCGCTACCATTGCGTGACCGGTCTCTGCCTAATGATCGGCATCCCTTGTCACCTGGCGAAATCGGGACTTCCAGCCCCCGCTTTCATCTGATCACCCGCTCTTATCCTCCGACTTCTTTTTTCGAAACGCCCTTCACAACACGACAAGATGGCCACCGCACCCGACGGCCGGAGATCGTGGGCAGCAGGATTTGCTAGACACACAGTGGGAATGGGTCTGCTCTTGATAGTGGTTGTACTCTGGACAGCGTCGAATTTCCTAGGAAGTGTACGTTCGCAAACATGGCGCCGAGCCAGCACGCGCCGGTCAACCCTGTCACAGAATGAGAACTGACGTTCGTCCCATGTTCTTTGCAGACCATCTTCGCTGATAACACATACCCGAAACCCTTTTTCGTGACCTACGTCAACACATCGCTCTTCATATGGCCGCTTTTCACCATTCTACTCGGCCGTACATGGAGTCTATGGCGCACAAAGAAACTCGCTCAAGTCACCTCGTTCCGGAGCCTGCTTCATCATTTAGACTCGGAGGTCCCAAAGACCGAAGAGCAAAGTATCTTGCGTGGGGAGTCATTTGATGATGATACCCGCCATGATGTGGAAAGACCCCGCTACGTGGGCTGGAAATCGGATAGCGAGAATGGAAAGTTGGGACTCAGGGCAACCGCTAAACTGAGTCTTGAGTTTTGTTTACTCTGGGTATGCTTAGAACCGCAGAATATCTAATCTATTGAGACTATGGCTAACCTGTCGCAGTTTGTTGTATGTCGCACCCGGGTGACCTTATAAGGTGGAAGACGAATACTTATCTGATTTCTTTTTTCTTACAGGCAAACTACTTTGCGATGGCATGCCTTCAATTCACCACTGTCGGAAGCACAACCATCTTGACTTCGACTAGCGGTAAGTGCATCAATATAAGAGGAATATTTACACCTACCGGGGCAGCCGTACTTACAATATCCAGGTGTGTGGACCTTGATCTTTGGCGCGATCATCGGAGTCGAGAGATTCACCTCCCGCAAATTCCTCGGGGTCGTGGCATCCCTCGTGGGTATCATTTTGATCTCTCGCGTGGACCTCTCTAAGCCGGATACCAATACCACTCCGGCTGCTGTTAGTGGGCGAGATGGGTCATTCCCTCACAAGACGCCCGGCGAAATTGCCCTGGGAGACGCAATGGCGGCCTTCAGCTCAATTATGTACGGTGTCTACACCATCGTCATGAAGAAGCAAGTTGGCGACGAATCGCGCGTGAACATGCAGCTCTTTTTCGGTCTAGTTGGGCTGTTCAATCTTGTGTTTCTGTGGCCGGGATTCTTGATCCTCCATTGGATCGGGATTGAAACCTTTGAGTTGCCCAGCACGAACCGTGTGTGGATGATCATTCTCGTACGTCTATCCTTTTCGTTGACAACCCCCGTCCCAATCGACTGTACTGACTCCACAAATCTAGGTCAATTCATTATCCTCGTTCATTTCCGATATTGCTTGGGCGTATGCCATGCTCTTGACAACCCCTCTGGTTGTGACTGTTGGTCTTAGTTTGACCATTCCGTTGTCCCTGGTGGGTCAAATTATCCTGCAGGAGCAGTACGCATCCCCGCTGTACTGGGTCGGTGCGACAATCGTATTCCTGTCATTCTTGGTCGTCAACCACGAGAGCAAGATACAAGAAGAGGATGCTGCTTCGGTCCCGGGCAGAGGATCTTCCAGCGAGTATGAGAGTATTCCTCATGACGAGGTCCGGTAGCATTCGCAGCATGCGATTTTCTACATTGACGTCTATAAGTCCTCATTTTTAGCCTTACGATTGCATTTCGGGTATTGTTATTGCTATTGGTGTATTATTCTGCTGGTTCGAATAGAGATAGAATCTCATGCCTTACGACTCTCTACGTTATGTGAACTTTCTAGATGTAGATTTCCAGAATTACATGTCTATCTGAGAAGTGATATTAAGGGGATATCACGATGGGAAAGTTGAGACACAGAGAGGGTAGTTACGATAACTTCCGATGTTAATTAGTGAATCACAAAATCAAACCAGTCCGGTAGATGAAGAGTAAAAACAGACTCGCACAAAAGAAAAGGCAAATACCAGTAGAGAATGCAGCTCACAATAGAATACTGTCCATGACAGTCCTGGAAAAGGGTGCGCCTGGGTATTCCTCAAGAAACTCCTGTACTCGTGCCTGTGTATTGGCAAAGGAGTAAGAGAACGGCGCTTTCAACAAAAAATGGGTATATTCAAAACGAAAAAGTACGGCTCAAGTGAACGCATTCGCCGATGAGGTATGTCAGTTATTTTCGGCACGAGAATGAAAGATTCAAAGGACCCAGATAGATGAGTGGCTCAAAAGGGAAGGGGGTGTTACAGAAAAGATATGGAGAATCACACTATGTCGCGACGGCGGGCGTAGTTTCAAGTTTTTTCCGGGCAACAAAGATACTCTTCAAGGCGCCTAGCCAACGGGCGAGCGATTCTTCGTCTGGAGCGCAGAGTCGATATGTTTTTTCCACAGCGATCAGCTGCAGACAGAACCTTTTGGACCGGGACATGGGATCGACCTCGGCGGCATCAATGACCTGAGACATCGATATGATCTTGAGCGCCGAGTATTCTTGATCGTCCTTATAAAACGCCAGAGTCTTGGGCCGAAGGACCACCCAGAGGCGTTTCCATTGTCGCACGGTACCCTTAATGCGTAATCCCTGCAAGTATCCTTGACAAACGACCCGTTCCGGGTCCCGCAGAATGCCCAGTTCGGACTGCCGGCTCGTATCCCGCGGCAGGGATGAAGCGACGGGTCTGTCCTCCGGAGCGGACATGGACAGGGTGTGAATGGAAGGCATGGATCGCAATCGGCTACTGCGCGTTGGCGGTGGTCCGTCTGAGAGTTCGGAATAGGAGGTGACCTCATTGCCGGAGTAGTCCTGGGTGATAGGGGGTTTCCGGGCCCGGGAGCCTACGACCGGCGAGAGAGCGCGACCGAGCTCGGGCGAACTGACACGCTCAATGACATCGCAGTCGGAATGGTCGGTTGTATCGTCGACGAATTGTCTCTGAATAGTTGGGGTTTCGCGCTTCCGGGACAGAGCTAGGAAGGCCTGCTCATCTTCGTCGGCGGGGGATTCGGCGCGGATCCGGTCGATCCAATCCTCAGCATCACGCTCGGAGGGGGCTTCAAAACGGTAGTTCTTGGACGGAGTGAAGATCCCAAAGACGTGCTTGCGACTGGAGCGAGGGGTCTTCACGGGGGCGACGGCCGTGACGTCGGAGAGGGTGATGGAGACGCGGAGACGGGTAGTCTCCTCATCCTTGTAGACGGAGAGCAGGTTCGGGCGGAGGACGAGGTAGGCGGATTTCCACGAGGCGCGGAAGACGTGCTTGTGCTTGACCCGGCGGAAGACCCTTCCGGTCTTGAGGACGCGGTCAAAGGCGAAGCTGCCGTGCTCGTTGACGGGCGAGAAGGTGTCCAGGATGACTTGGCCATTGCGCGAGGGCGGCGGCGGGTGGAGATGAGAAGGATGCGTAGGCAGCTGAATCGTGGGGGTTGTCTTGCTCTTGTCCCCCGAGGGACGAGCCAGCGCTGAGTTCATGGCGAGGCTGCGCGGGTGCACGCAGACACACAGGGGATGACTGGGTAAGTCTGAAGAAAGACTATGCGCCGGTCTAGATCATGGAAGCGGAAAGGGGGAACCCCGCGGTGTTTTGGCCATTCAGTCGACGATCGTTTCCCATCGACCGACGCCGACCCTTGGAACGAAGATAAGTGACGGGATCGGGGGGTCACCGCGATCTGATGTCAGGTCAAGCGATGTACCTTGTACCTCCGTTGTACTGCTGCCTTTTGTCATCGGGTGGCGGTAATGCTGCCGTGAGCGTGTGACCTCCGATCGATGACTTCAATCACAGGATACGGGCAGGTTGTACCCTAGTATTCGAGTCTACATTTCCTGTCGGATTTGTGAGGCGTGATATAAGTAAATGCATTGCATTTTCTTCTTTGCCGTACATCAGAGTAAGATTGGTCGCAATAGCTATCTGAGCCTGTGGGAAAAAGCATCGCAGCACTTGAACAATTCCAAGGTTGCGGCCAGCGCCGGGACATACCTCATTCAAGGACTACACTAGTGTACTAATAGTGTACTTGTCTCCAAGCTACCCTACCCTAGGGTAGGATACTACAATGCCTCGTATGCAAGTGAGCTTACCTTCGAAAAAAAGGGAACAAAATCGAGGAATTTATTTCCTTTTTATTTTATTTTAGGGTTATTGGTACCTCTATTCTTGGCAATTGCTGTCTCAGCAACTGGAAATTCGGCCCCCAGTCTGTGAATACGTCCAATGGCTCTATCGTCGGCTCATGGGGAGTAATGGGAAAGTGACAATGGAAATGGCCGTGGCGGCTTCACCCAGTAGTTGATCTATGCAGCACAAACCTCGAACAGTCGCCCATTCGAGTAACATCGCACACGAACAGGGTCCAGACCCGCCCTTCTGGCCACATCGCCCGTTCGGGTGGAGCCGTATTGGCATGCAGTGTGCCATGGAGACGCCAGCGCAGGTTAATATGAGCCTAGGACAGAGATATACCAGAGCGAAAGACCCTCTGTCTCAACAACCAGACAATGAAGACCATCTTCATCACCGGGATCGGACCGCGAGGCAGATAAGCATGGCATCTCGGTCCAACGGTCCCCGTCCTGGACCTCGATCGCCATGCGCTAGCGGCCCGCCCAAGACTGGGATTCCATGTACGATTGCTGTACCCAGCGACAGTGCGTACATATGTGCCCGTCCCCAGCAGCGAGTAGACGTGATCAATCGCAGGGGATGTATCCAGGTATCCATCGGCAACGCTGGACAAGCATTTGCGGGAGAACCGATGACGGCGCGCCCCTGAGCTGCCGGGACCTCTTGACTCGCTCATTTCGCGGTCTCACAGGGCTACGCAGGGGACCGGGCAATGACTAGCATATCACTGCCCCTTTTGACTACTCACCACAAACCGGCAGGGGAGGATCGACCGCAGGGCTGAGAGCTGAGAGACGGAGCGGCCATCCAATAGTTACATTCAGGATATAAAGTCGTAAAGCGCAAGAGGGAATTGCCTAGAAACCGGGTAAATTACCATACGGGGGCCAAACCCGCCTCGGCGCCACCGGGGGCGGTGGCCCAGGGGAAGCAGACAAAATAACCGTTCCGGTGTGACAGGACCTGGACCGGGAGGCCACCGCATTGCGTCTCCCTGGTCTTGGCAGACCTTCGCCATCCCCATCCCCTTCGACTCTTCTCTTCCTCCACCCCCTCCCGCCATCCACACCTCCATCCTCACCCTCTCATTGATTTGGTCGTCACTGTCACCGGCGCCCGTCCCACTTACCCTTCCCCCTCGGGCTTGAGAAGGAAAGTTGGGGGAAATCAGTAGAACTCCGGGAAAAAAAGGAAAGGAGGCATTCCTCCGGCCACTCGTTTTTTTTTTGTCTTGAGATCCGATCGTCCTCAACCGCCTCGGAGTACCTCGCCTACCCTCTCCGCCCTCTTAACGCTCCTCCGGCCTCGATCGATTCTTCGAGCCGACTCCCCCAGCTGGGGCTATTCGCCGTTTCCTGACCCTCCTCCCCGGGTCCCGTTACTTTGGCCACCGTGGGGTTTTCGACGCGTGCCAACACCGCATCCATGAGCTTCATCCAGCGCATCGCGAAGCGGCTGCCCAGCGCACCTAGTCTCCCCATCGACGATGCGTCCCACGAAAAGGGTCGTGGGTCGCAGCGATTCGCCTTTTTCCGCCGGCGCATTCGCTTGAAGGGCAACTCCTCCGTTTCTATACCCCTGGGATTTGTGTTACTATTTCCATGCCTTGTAATTGTCTTCATCCTTCTTCTATTCGTCCGACACCCTGCATCTCCCGGGGGCATTCTCATCCCCGCGGGCACTCCACCTTCCATTCGGTATGTCGCGCTATTCCCGGCAGTTCCTGGATTGCGATCTCCCCTTGCTAATTATGTCTCCTAAACAGAAAAATTAGTGAGAAGCATGATAAGGTCTTCGCTACAGGCTGTATGCCCATCAGCCCCGATGTAGCGAAGGAGCCTCGTGCCAACGCCGCCTTCGTCGTCCTCGCGAGAAACAAGGAACTGGAGGGCGTCATCCAGTCGCTCAAGTCCATCGAGCGCCACTTCAACCGCTGGTTCCACTACCCCTACGTGTTTTTGAATGATGGCGACTTTGACGAGGTGTTCCAAGCGACAGTCAAGAACTACACTAGCGCCCCCGTCGAATTCGGCAAGATCGATAATTCCATGTGGGGTTTCCCCGATTGGGTAGACCCTGAGGTCGCCAAGGAGGGCGTGCGGAAACAGGGCGACGCCGCTATCATGTATGGTGGTATGGAGAGCTATCACCACATGTGCCGCTTTTATTCTGGGTAAGTGATTGGTTCCATTCCGAAGGAAATTTTGTGTGAGGCTGACCTTAGGGATGCAGGCATTTCTACAAGCACCCTCTCCTGATGAAGTACGAATGGTATTGGCGCCTGGAGCCCGAGATCAAGTACTTCTGTGACATCACCTAGTAAGCGAATGTTCGTTCTCTGCGTCATCGACAACTGCTAACATGAACACAAGTGATCCCTTCATGAAGATGATTGAAGCCAACAAGACATACGGTTTCACAATCGCTGTCAAAGAACTGCGCGAAACGGTTCCCAACATTTTCCGCTATGCATCAGCCTATAAGCGCAAGAACAACCTCAAGTCCAAGGGCTTGTGGGAGATGTTCCTAGAACGACCGGCCGAGGAAGAGGTTCCCCCCGAGGAGAAGAAGGAGAAGCTTCCCGAGGAGATTCTGCAATCCGAGCCCGGTGTCAACAATCTCGACGACATTGACCCTGAGGCCATGGAGGGCGAGAGCTACAACATGTGCCACTTTTGGAGTAACTTTGAGATTGCTCGTCTGGATTGGTTCCGCAGCAAAGAGTATGAGGACTTCTTCCAGATGATGGATCGCAGTGGTGGATTCTGGATGGAAAGAGTAAGTTGGCAGTTTCATGTCCCTATCTTGGGAAGCTGAGCTTTGAATGCTAACGAGTTGTTTTCTAGTGGGGTGACGCTCCTATTCACTCCCTCGCGGCTGGTGCCCTCCTCTCTCCCAGTGATATCCACTACTTCCGTGATTTCGGTTACCGGCACACCACCATCCAGCATTGCCCAGCCAACGCTCCGGCTCGCCAGCTCCCTCGCGAACCTTACCTCGAAAAGACCACCGAGGACGAGAAGAAGCGCATCGAAGAAGATGAGTACTGGGCCACCCCTGACCCAGTCAAGGAGAACGGTGTAGGCTGCCGTTGCCGTTGCGATACCGACATTGTGGACGTCGAAGGCAAGCAAGGCAGCTGTCTTGCGGAATGGGTTGAGGTGGCTGGTGGCTGGGCCTCGCCGTAAATGCCATGACTATTGCGTAAATGCCCTAACTATTGCCTCAGTCATCCCCCGCATTGCTTCTCATCGTCTGCTTCTCCATGCCTTTTTCTCTTCGGCGACGAAAACCATCTTGGGATTGGCCCTTGGTGTTCTTTGCTGAACTTTGCATGTCATGCTGGGGTTCTTTTCTGGGTGGCGTTCAAACGGATCTGACGGCTTTCTTTTTTATCTGGAAGATGGCGTGACCATTTCCATCATGTTGACATATTCATCTAGCGTGCTATCCGTGTCACTGGGTTTGGCTGTGTGCTCTGCGTTTTGGTTGATCGGCATAGGAAAGCTAGCATGTCTAGCTCTCTGTATACGATACTTTATTTACTGCCGTCTCGCCCCGCCCGTCATATTCTTCGGCTACCTCCAATCTTGGCTCTGCCAATATATTTTCGCAGCATGGACATACAGCTCAGCCTCAGTGACAGGAGGAGACCAAAGCTGATGTGTTGTGGGAGGCGATACCGGGAAGAACGAAGACAGCGCGCCCCCTCCCCACCTCTGCTTGTTTTTGATGATTTTTTTTTTTTTTTTTGTTTTGTCCTTTTTTCTTTTCCCTACTACCTGTCACTACTAGTACCCCCCATGTCCCGATTCTTCCCAGTTTCCTTCCAATACGCGCTCCTCCAGCATGCATTCATGAAATGTATATACCTGTTCTACCCGAAACTTCTCTCTGCTGCCGTGGTACATTCCCCATGGGCTTTTCCCTTTCGCATTGTCTCAACCCGCAAATACCAGATTCGAGCTTGGCTGTCTATAGAGTATGGAATAATCACCCGGAATTACGCGAAGAATGAGATCATCATAATACTACTTCGACCCTTGTCTGCAGGTGGCTGGTGTGTTTGATAGGGACCGTGCCGTTGTCTGGGTCTTCTCGATTCTTGCAAGCCAACCTTTGCTGAGCTCCTGTGACCGTGGCTTGCCTCCAAAAATGAAATGAGGTGCCTGTAATAAATAACGGCCCGAGGATGATCTCAAACGTTGTTTTCAACAAGCCCAGATCGAGACACTGATCTAAGGAGATCGATTGGCGCAAATTTCATCGTCATATCACACATGCATACTTCAAGCCGAACAAGCATGGATAAGGTTTGCTACATTTTCCGAAACCAGAGACAAACCCTCAATAGTGCTCTTTGTTTATCCTCCATCGTTGCAACAAGTGTTATGATCTGTGCAGGGTTGGACAAGGTGACATTCAAGAAAGGACAATGAGGCGAAATACCATGTGGCAACCTTGCGAAACGGAAAGTTCAAGTGTTGGTATACCCCAAACAGCCGATAAGCAAATATCTGGATCCCCCGGATTCTCCAGACACTCCATTTGACATTATGTTTTGGTTGCTTTCCAATGGAAGACAATTCGAAGTTAGCTCTAGTGTCTTTTTCCCGCCAGGTCCTGCCTGCAATATTGGCCGTCATGGCGGCATGGCGGCATGGCAGCCCAGGACATCGCATCATGCTATAGATCCTCCTCCACACCACGGGCTGTCTGGAGACTTCTTCTGCATCAAGCTGCGCGTCCCGGTCGGCAAGCATCCGCGTCCGATACTGAAGATTTTCCTCTTTTATCATATGTAGAGGGAGGTGGAAGTAGGTGCCATTGGCGATGAAGTGTTTCCCTCCATGAGGCTTGTGTTGTAGAGCCTGTCAGTGAGGCTTTTGGCAGTCGGGTGCTGATGCGTGCTGTTAGTGCCGTGACCGCTAGACACCAACTCCCAAGCGTGTTGGGCACCCTCCGCCTGACAGTAATTTTTGAGCTAAGCTGTATACGGGCATATACTGGTATTTCCTCCCTCTTACCTACCTTGGAGTAGATACTAGTGGATATAGATAAGATAGGTAATTTACCTATAGAACTGTGAGTTATTTCAACTAGTATATCTATGTTGCAGTACCATATTGTGTATACATACTAGTTCGCGGCTGCCCCATTCGGCGGGAGATCGGTGGGGCCCGGTGGAGCCTCCACGGTACAGTAAGTACTACGAGCATGTACAATGACTGTCGACGTAATGCTGCCTCATCGAAATAGCAACGAGGGGCAGCCGATATAACTGGATCGAAGTAAGGTCATAGTAGGATCAGATAAGAGCATGCTCCCTAAAAGCACTTTAGTGCCTGGCGCACAGCATCTCGTAAGTGCGTTGGTCGTCCAAGCTACCGCCCGCCCAGTACCCTTGTGTACTGCCCTCTTTGCTTATCGATCCAACGGTCACCGCGCATCTCACGGAGCTTCCCCTCACTCTCATTTCCCTTCCACCCCTCGCCCATCTCCCATCCTCTTTCCACTCCCTATTCAACCGTGATCCGATATCCACCTCGCCCCGCCTACGACGGCCTTGCTGCTCCTGCCTCGACTTCCTGTTGCGACCAGCTGACAGGCAACTTCACCCCGCGGACCCACTCCGGGGCACATGCCTACTTCTCGGTCGTCTGCCAGGTACGTCTCGTTTCCGATTTACAGTTCTGATTCTTCGTCCGCTTTGAATCTTGCCATAGATGTTCGATGTGCATAGTGAAGCCATGGCTGACGCCGGCGAGTCTTTCAGGCGTCCAACGAGCTCCGACATTGCGTGGCCTCTACAATACCCGACTCTCCCGCCGCTAACTGCCTCAGTGGAAGAGTGGCTATCCCACTCGCGGCTTGCAGGGAAAACAGACAACATGATGTCAGGCAATCCTACCGATCCTCCTCCGAAGCCTCTGAGCGAGAGCTGGGCAACCTTGAGCGTGTCAGACCTCCACTCCGAAGATGGAAGCCGCTCAGAGCCAACAGATATCGCATCTTTGATGGACCAAGCAACCCCGGACGATGTGGCCAGCCTAGACGAGCGCGACATCATCAGCGATGCGGAGGCTCCCGATAACGAATACACTCAGGACGACGAGGAAGAAGACCAGCTCGAGCCGCGGAGCAACGCGGCATCGCAGCAGTTCCCATCGCTGTATGCCCCGCCAGGACCAGCCATCGATGACAGCAACCTCACTACTCGACCCTCCTTCCGACAGTCGCTTGATTCGATTGAGTTCGTGGAACCAGAGAAATGGCCCGAGATGGAAAGGGTAGAACTGAAACGCATGATTCATGTCTTCGAGGGTGAGGCGGCCTCGGAGATGAGAACCCGACTGCCGTACAACCCGATCGATTCGGTCCTTCTGGCAACAGTTCAGCAAACCATGACCAAACAAAGTCTTGACCTAGACAAGCCCTTCCGTGTTCTCTACATTGGTCACCCGGAGTTTCGGAACATCATCCTCGATAAAATCGGCGATGTTCTGGTGTCGAGCTCAGCGGCCGGGTCTCAGACCAGCTCCACCGAGTCATCTCGATATCACGTTGTGCCTACCTCCTTCGGAATCGGAGCAGTTCCCAACTTTGCAGAGCTGCTTCCGATTCATGTTCAGCTCGTGGTGGATGAGTGCACGGAAGCGAACGCTGATCTCCATGGGGTCCGCCCGAGCACCTTGCATTTGAACTTCAAGAATCGGCCTTCGTGCCACTCATGGTGGGATGACAGCATGTATCAGGTTTCGTCCACTACGGAATGGACACTCCCTGATGTGGCTATTATTTTTATTGCCGCCCACGAAAGCCCTGCTGCGGTAAAGACCCGGGGTCTCGCTCATGTCTTCCTCGAGCGGCACGGGATTCCGGCGATGGTCATCTCGCAAGAAGCTATCTGGAAAGGGGCTGGCGAAATTGTGCCCATCAATCACCACAGTCTGCACATGTGCCTCGAGACCCGAAACAAGCAAACTGGAGAGACCGCCGTTCTCAAGCGGTATCCGATTGACCTCGAAAACTTTGAGAACATGACTCCCAGCCAACTCAATAGGAATTTGGCTTCTCTTATGGATCTATATCCAAAGAAGACTCTTAAAGCCACCCCGGATACCCCGGTACCGAAAGAAAGTTTCTCGTCTGTAGACCCCAAGAAATACCCAGGTCACTCGATTCCACCGACATATGCTACTCGGGTTTCTGAGCTGGCTCCTCTCCTCCGTCTTGCTCTCTTAGTTCTCGTTTCAGGAATTGGAGCCACCATCGGATACGCCGGACTGAAAGCGATGTCTATTTTCCTTGCGCAGCTAATTGCTGGGTCCGCTCTATCTCACTCCTTGTCACAGCCAACACCTACCGTCCTTCCGATGATGGTTCCAACTCTAGAGGGGGTGCGACAAAGATCCCTTTCCATTAGAAGCTCTGGAAATATCGATCTACTCAACAGTCAATTCCCCGACTGTGCCGTGCCAAAGCCTGCAGGACTTGCAATTTCAGCCCCTGACTCCTCTGCCGACACCGATAGCTTCGAGATCCAAGTCGTGGGAGATTGCCATGTGTTCATCAAGCCCCCTCGCAGCTTTGTGGCTGCCCGGAAGCAGCCACGGTTCGAAGTGGGCGTCTTTCGGTATGCCAAACCGCTTCCTCACGAATTGTTCCACTTGTTTGATGATGTCTACGCCGTGCGACTGAATCGACAAGATGCCTACGGTCTGGTCAATGTCACGATCACTGCCAATTCTAAGCCACGGGTCAACCAAACCATGCTGGCTGACTTTGGAACCCCATGGCTGAAGATTGAAAACTGGCGGCGGGCGGCACGCAGTATCTCTCATCAGTTCACGACGGATTTGCAGATCGCTCAAACCGGCCTGACTGAGGCGTATGGTCATTTCGTTACCGATCTTCAAGTAATCGTGGGGGACGTTGTCAAGCGATCTCACTATCTACGAGAGAATGCCGAACGTCTCCGTCGCGAGAGTTTGAACCCCGAAAATGGAGTTCTGTCTCGGTCAAAGCAGCTTTCAGAGGTTATCACCCACAATGCCGTGCAGCAGTTCCGAAGTGCTTCTTCTCTCCTCCACAGCCGTTCCGTAATAGTCAATCGACGCGCCAAGGGGATCGTCAGTACTGCCTGGGGCCGCCTTGGAGCGTCTGCCGGAAAGGTTGATATTCGCTCTGTGATGGATCGAGTGCGTGATACAAATAGCGCCGCCCTTCATCGAGCTCAGACCCGGGCCCGGCACCTCGTGGGACGTCGAGAGGAGAAGTCGAGTTGATCAGGCTACGAGGACACGACGTGCTGAGATGCCGGAACACGATTTTTGCCATTCTTTTTATTGGTTTGTTTTTCCCTCTTCCCGCAATACCCAAAGTGAATTTGCTCTTTTACGGACTGCTATTGGATAGTAATGACAGGGTGGTTTCTTTCTTTGTTTATGTGGCGATCGGTTTGGGTGGGGACAGGAACTTGAGCACGACTCTTTCGCAAGTCACTAGTAGTTAGTTACCTAGGTATGTCGGCTCAATACCAACTGATTGCTCATTTTGCAGTGCGGCGTTCATAGAAGGCATCCTAGTTATTGGTAGATTAGGCTAAATCGATCCCCCGGGTACTCGCAACTGCCATGGTAATGGTAGGACTGTATGGAGTGAGTAATCGTTCATAGTGTAGCTCACCCCTCGCGTTCCACTATGGGCGGGCGAAGGCGGTGGTGGCGAATTCTGCCGGCGCGCACTGTATTTTTCCCCCCTCATCGGGTCCCCCCAGTCAACAAACCCAATTCCCACCCCTGATCACCACTGTTTCCGGTGTCTCCCCATCTCCGAGTCATTTACAACCGTCATTTCTCCCGGATAACAGCCTTTACCTCTATTCGTCATGTCTGACGCCGCGGAGACCAAGCCCGACCCCACCACCACCGCTCCTGAGGCCGCGAAGCCCGAGGAGACCCCCGCCACCGGCGAGGGCGAGAAGACCACCACTGAGGCAGCCGCCGATACCGCCAAGGACGCCGCGGAAACCGTCAAGGATACCGCCGTAAAGACCTCCGACAACGTGTTCTCGATGTTCGGTGGTGGCCCCAAGAAGGAGAAGAAGGAAGAGACCGATGAGGGCGCCGATGAGCCCTCTGGCTCTTCTAAGGCCCAGAAGGAGTCTGAGGTAAGATTATTTCTCCCCGAGGTGATTTCTTGGTTGTGGTCTTTGCGATCGAGATCCCACCAAAACGCGGGGTGTTTTGCACCCCGCGCGCTTGTGTGCTCAACGCAAGATGGCCACTTTGCCCAAACCCCCGAAGTCGATATTCCATCCCGCCGACAGATCATTAATTTTGTGTCTTCTTCTAGAACCCCGAGGATGAGGCTCCTGAGTCTCCCGATGTCCACTTCGAGCCCGTCATCCGCCTGACTGAGAAGGTCGAGACCAAGACCAACGAGGAGGCCGAGGAGCAGGCCTTCAAGATGCGCGCCAAGCTTTTCAAGTTCGACCGCGAGAGCAAGGAGTGGAAGGAGCGTGGTACTGGTGACGTTCGCCTGCTCAAGCACAAGGAGAACCAGAAGACTCGTCTCGTCATGCGCCGTGATAAGACCCTCAAGGTCTGCGCCAACCACTACAGTAGGGATCCCAATCCATGTTTCGCCTTCCACGAAAGGCAATTATTAATGAACGTGCGCAGTCGTCCCCGATATGAAGTTGAGCCCCAACGTCGGCAGTGACCGCAGCTGGGTCTGGAACGCTGCCGCCGATGTTAGCGAGGGTGAGCCTGAGGCTCAGACTCTGGCTATTCGCTTTGCCAACAGCGACAGTGAGTGTTCCCTTGTTGTTATGGAACTGATCAATTAAATACAGTCTAACATTCCGAATCCGCAGACGCCAACGCCTTCAAGGAGGCTTTCGAGAAGGCCCAGCAGGAAAACGAGAAGCTGTTCAACGCCGAGCAGTAAATTGGGTACCTTCAGGTATCTACGCCGGGGGTAGCTGGGTCTGCGACGGACTGTCATTTTCCCCTGGCTATTCTCCACAATTTGCTCGAAAAGTCAAGGCCATTGTGATGATGCGCCCGTCGCCGACGGCCCTTGGTCCCGTGGAACAGAGTCTTGCTCTCGAAAAAACCCCCTTCCCCCACATCTTGGACAATTACACACAGATCCCCATTTCCCCCTTTTTTTCCAATTCTTCCCCTTCCCTACGATGCGACGAGCGAGGCAGCAGTGATGAAGATGCTGCTCGCATAGCTATCCGTGATGCGATTATGAAACAGAGGGCAGTTCCCGATGTCTTTGGTCACACTATTGGCAGTAGATAGACATTTTCCCATCGAATATACTACACCTTGCACATCATCTGCGAAGCATATCGTAGGCGGATTGCACACAAAATTACACTGTGCAGGCTTCTGTTCTACATCCGTCTTCGTTCTTTGTTCATCTTAAGTACCTCTCTAGTGGTACCTCAGCAATCTAGTCAGTTGTTGTGGGCTATAATGACACGCCGAGCGAGAGTTTTCAGCTTTATTTTCGAACGTATTATCCCAATTCAACTATCAGCTGTCGTGAAGCCCCGGCATTCATTGCCGGTCTAATTCAATTGTTGCGTGGTGGTGGAAGTAGTACCTAGCGGGCGCACTGAAACGGGCGGTCTTAGACCGATCTCCCCGTCGACGGTCAACCTCACTCCTCCCCACTCCCGGTCCTCTTTTCTCGTCGCCCACTCACTCTGCCAATGCGCAACAACTTCGCTGCTTTGAACTGTTGAGCAGCGACGGAATACCACTTAATCCTACACGAGATCTGTCACTTCTCGCCATCTCAAGAATTTCAACAGATTTCGTTCCGCGCAAGCTCTCGCTTTCCCCGACCCTCCTTGCGCGCCTGCTCCCCGACAAGACACCTTTCAAGCTCCACCTATAAATACGAGCGCGATACCGGAAACGCAGAGTTATAATGCCTGACGTGAGTTTTTATCCCATTTGCCTCTGCCTCGTGCTCGTGTGATGGTACTGCTGGGAGCCGCGACGGTGCACCAATTGCGAATAGCAAGCGCTGTTCGTCGTGTCCCTCAGCTTTGTGCTCTACACTGTTCTACGTGCTATGACCCAGGAGCGCGTACTAGAACCACATACTAACTTAGACTACTATGGTGTAGGTCAAGCGAAATGTCCGTCTTGTCACGGAGCAACACATCATGTACGTGCATTATGCCCTACACCCTACACCCTACCTACCCTCCGTTCAGACATATCCCCAGCAACCCCTAAAGCAACGTGGGAATGATATGAATGGGCTTCCCATGCGGCAACGAATGAAAGAGATATCCGGTCGGACCGAGTGTGGTGGGGGGAATGCACGCATGGGGATTTGATCTGAAAACGCGCCCCCGCCGAAGATTACCTTGCAAGCACAGCAGACGCAGATTGAAAGAACCATCTGCTAACGAAACATTTGTCATATAGTGACAAGCCGTCCGAGGTTGAAGGCTTCCCCCAGCGCGAATGGTCCATCGAGGTCTATCTCGTGAACGACAAGGGCGACCTTGTGCCCGCCAACCTCTTCGACAAGGTCATCTACCACCTCCATCCCAGTTTCGGCGCCCGCGCCACCCAAAGTGCGTCATATATCTGAACATATCTACGTTCAACCCTTTGAATAAAGCATGTCTGACGAAACATACAGCCTTCAAGAACCCGCCGTTTCGCATTCAAGAGGAAGGATGGGGTGAATTCGATATGCAGATTGAATTTGTGGCGGACAAGTCGCACCTGATCAACCACGACTTGAACTTTGCCCAGGAGCGCTATGAGTCCAAGCATGTCCTGGTTAGTTGAGACCACTCCTGGTTGGGCATTTTGCGATTGATGGAGCTGACCAAGTGGCAATTCGTATCATAGACATTCAAGAATCCAAAGGGGAATTTCTTGGCAGCTCTGCGCGAGACCGGCCCCGTCCCTGGCGATGAGAATGGGGCAAAGAACAAGCGCGCCGCGGTTGGTGAGGAGAGCGCCAAGAAGAAGAAGCGCACTGAGAAGAATGTAAGTTGTCAGTCCGGATTTTGATATGGATATTCAGACTAACGTATTTCTTAGGTTGATATGGACAAGCTGGCCGATGGCCTGCAGAAGCTCAACGAGGATGATTTGCTGCAAGTTGTGCAAATGGTGCACGACAACAAGGCCCCCGACTCATACACCCGGAATGATATGGAGCGTGAGTCCCTCTCTTCCTGGCGAGATCATTCATTCGCTGGGTTCATCCACTGTCCGGAGTATACTGATCATCCTTCTTTAAGTGGGCGAGTTCCATGTTGACCTCTACACCCTGCCTGATACATTGATCAAGATGCTTTGGGATTTTGCATCCGAAAAGCATGCCATCTAATTGCCTCGATTCAATTTGTGGCAAATGATCTGACTATACTGGCATTCGCCCGACCGAAAGGACCCGACTGATATTGCTGCAACCGTCTATCCCCATTTCTTTCGCTATCTGCTTTTTTCCCCTCGTGCTTCGTTTTCAATTTGGAGTTAGCGGGCTCCCCTCCAAGGGACTTGGCTGGGGCGTGTTATTTCATTGCCTCCCTTTCTGTTTTTGCCCTAGAGTCAGATACCGATGTTTTTAAACTAGGCAATTGTGCAATGGAGTGAGGTGGCATTATGATTCTTCATCTTCATCAAGTGCCCGTTGCGGGAATGAATTATGTGATGAGTATCTGGTTTTTAAATTTCATCTCTGGTTGATTCTTCCTCTTTGAAAATTGGGATCTCATTGAGAGCCGTGGTGTGTACCCTGTAGTTTCAATATAGTAGGGATAGTCTCGAGCTTCAACAGCGGGAGGAGATGACTGACATTAGAGTTTACGAGGAAGTAATGGCATAAACAAAACAGATGGGATATCTCGACTAAATCAACATCGAGACCAGGGCGAATCCGACCAGCCAGACACGCTCCGGTCTCAGGAGATCAAAGGAAAGAGGAAGACACAAAGGAGAGCACACATGGAGAAACATAGCGAGCATGGAAGGCAGAGCGAAATGCACAAAGGAGAAGCATCAACTTGGAAAAAAAAAAAAAAAAAAAAGAAAAGTAAAGCAAGAGGAAATAGCCAACCCAAGAAAACGTAAACGAACCCAGTTCCGCGCGGTCTATCAATGCTCCAACGCCGTTCAAACAAAGTTCACCACCCTAGACCACTTCTTTTTTTTCTGCTTTCGGCTTCAAAAAGATAGAATATGAAAGTGTGATGTTAAAGACATGGCTAGAAGTGAAGGGGATGACAAGGAAATTAGAGGGAGAGGGGTGGAAAGAGACCTGGACGCCTATTGCTTGCAAGAATCACATCAATCCAGTCAATGAAGATCATAGCACACGGTTCCTGTGAGTATTGTCAGTATTGATATTCAAGGTGTAGAGAGGAAGGTCTCCACAAGGAAAGACTTACAGCTTCAGCAGGTCTTCCAAACTATCGGCACTGCAGCTGCGACCCTTGGGGATGTTACGGATGACATCGACTATGGTAGAGAAGACATCACCACCGCGATAGGCGAGGAGAGCGGGAGCCTGGATGTGGTTCATCTCGGCAATCTCCTGGTGGAGTTTGACAAAACGAGTAGACGGCTGTCTGCGGGCAATAGTGACCAAGCACTCTTCCACAATAGCACTGTCATCGCACTGGGTATCGAGTTAGATATTCATGTTCCAATTGGAAAGGGTTGGCCTGCGGAGGAAGATGTAAGACATACCAGTGGATCATAGATGCAGACGACTACCACCGTATCGGAGGTAACCCTTTCGATGGCATCTAGATACCCCGCCGCGTCAACGGTGTCAACAGTGCCGTAGCGGCGGCCACGGGGTGAAGCGCGGCGAGCACTACGACCCTGAAGCTCCTGCATGCGAGAGGCCCGCCACTTGCGCATAAACCGATCTTCATCGTCATCGCTACCCGACGACCCATCGGTCGCTGGAGGGGGGGGTCTGGTCGCGGGTCGCCTTGGAGCCGAAGCCATTGGGGTCGAAGCCCGCGGCGCTGAGGAGCGTCTGGCGGAATGACTTCTTGCGAGCCCGCTCGAAGGCCTGGGCGTCGGCGATGACGCCCTTGGGCCCGGTGTTGGCTTCGTAAACGGTGTTTGGGATGTGGTAGTTGCGGGACGACACCATGTTGCGGTCGACTTCGTCCTCGTCGGAGGAATCGAGGACGCGCTGGGACTGGCGGAGGTTGCGGGTGGAGGGCTCGTCGTCCGAGAAATGGGCTTCGTCGGGATCGCGGTCCTCGGGATGGACGGAGGCTCGCTCGCGGTTGCTGTTGACCAGCTGGTTGAATTCTTCTTGGGCCGACATGGTGCACGAGGCGGGGTGGGGAGATTTAAAGTGTTGGGGGGGCGGCGCACGCCTGGTCTGGGGCAGCAGGAAACAAGCGTTTCGGTTGTTTGCCTCGTCCCGAAAAAGCAAGATTGAGATTGGCCCGGCAGTGAAGAACCCCTGAAGCCAGACACAGACGAAGGAATCACGACGGAGTTGGGGCTGAGCTGGGAAGAGATCGCCAGGGTGAAACGGTGCAGCCCCTTTTCGCTGGGGTTTCAGGCGTGACGATCCGGACCCACCGAAGGACCGAAGAACGTGGATCGAGGTTAGGTATTGGGGGTATCGTGGGCACGACGTGCAGCCAGACTTGACGTCGACGTCGACGTGGCCATCGCGGTGGCCATTATCTTCGCCGTGGTGGTCAGGGGGACTATCCTGTGTTTACGATGGTGGTTGGCGGTGTAATACGCCGCCTCGTGCCCTCGAGTACGCTCGGGTCAAGTACCGTGACTTCTCCCTCGTGCTTGACGGCGCACCTGCATATGCCTGGTCGACCCGCGAACCCAAGTCGCGTCGACCGCTCAAACGCCGCGAACGGCTGAAATTGCAGTGGTTGCGCCTTTTCCAAGTTTGGCACAGCAAAAAGCATCTTCCCACGCGGTCTGGAGACATGTGAACCCATGCGAGCGGTTCGTGCGACTTGGCTCCATTGCCATTGCCATTGCCACTGCCACTGCCATGTGTGCCCTCGAGGCCTGCAGCCCAGCCGCGGCCGTCGTCCTCGTTTCACGCATCTACTCGCGTGCCTGAAACTGAAGGGTGTGGTTTCCCGCGGATCCACTGAGATTCAGTCCTCGTCCCAACCGCCGGCAGGTGTTCGGCCGATCCCAGCGGTTCCCACTGGCAAGGCCAGTTCTTTGGCCCCCAACAGCTCCTCGTATCCCGGGCGCATAGCTTAAAATAAACAAGGATCGGGATGGTGTGGAGCGGCCTGCTGGGTCGCTGGAGATCGATTGCCTGCTCCACAGCTTGAACAGTTTCGGTTTTGCCCATCAGTCTTAGTCCTGTTTACCTTTTACTCTTTTCTTCCAAGCTCCGTCGAACCCAGGGTCTAGACTACACGCCGGGAGCGTTGCTCGACAGTCGCCAATGCCTGCAGCTGGCTTGGATCGTCTCTATTGCATCACAAGTGGGACTTAAGCCGGATCACAAAGCCTTGAAACACCGCGATGGTGGACGGAGTGGAACAACGCTCCTGCAGGATATCCCGTCCGCTCCACGTCATGTCACTAAGAGCAATGAGAAAAATGAGCAAGCTCTTTTAAGTCGAGTGATAATTCTGAATATTCGGAATATGAGTCCTAGTCAAGCATTGATGATGCAAACCTACGACTTTGGTGGATCTACTGTAGTCATGCTAGAAGTATCAAAATGTAGCGGCTATCCTATACGATCATATGGTCTCTCAGTCTTCTACTACTGGAGGTGCACAATCGGTATTCACATCATGGATTCCCGCACACTTCTCTCTTCTTCTATTACGCCCAGGATCCTTCTATACTTCATGCTCATCCATGGCACTTTTCTTCTTTTGCATCTGCACGCTGACTAGCTTCCACAAGTTATGATCGTATATGGATGCCTAGCGAAGCTGGGTCAACCTGGGACATGATCTGGTGGAAATCGCCTGATGAAAAAAGCCTACGTCAAAAGCCACCCATCTACAGAGCCTCGTCGGAATTGATCTGGACTGAACTTGGAACCAGAGACCTTGTATGAATGCCTTAATGTCTGACGATCACGCCACTCTCGCAGACGCCCGATACACAGCGCAGAAACCAAGGCCCAGCGCGCACACGAATTTGATGACGTACCACGAACCGCAGCCATATCCCTCGAAGAAAAAAAGAAAAAAGAAATATTGGAATCACAAATGGAAATTGGAGCTGCTGGAAACGGGATCAAATCCAATGGAGAATTTGGGTTTCCACGGGAAATTTAAAAAACAATAGGTACACATAACCTTGCTTTGACGGGACACAAGGAAATCAGAGAGGAAAAAATTTCGAAATGAGATGACGCAGGTAACGCAGGGAATAAATCAAGGGGAAATCATGGCCAAATCCAACAAACCGGTCCTTCCTTTCCATCACCCAGAAAATACAAACCGAGAACCGATGCGGGAAGGGCAATCCAGAACGAGGAGGGGTAATAGAAATAAGGGATGAGAAAAAAGAGGTTAGGAGAAAGAAAAGAAAGGGGAAGGAGAAAAAAAAAGAAAGAAAGAAAAAACAGGCATCATCGAACAGGAGAAACAGGAGATCGACGAGAAAGGGGTAATAGCCGCAGAGGCATCAAAGCAAGCCTGCAACGGCATAATCTTCACCGCGGCACCCATTTACTGTGCAGCTGCCAGGGGCGCTCTCGTCGTGTCCAGAACATTTGTGTCGTCGCTTTCGTTTCTTCCCCAGCGTCGCGCTCGCCTCCACCAAACACTTTCCGTATCGCATGCGACGGAACCGATTGACTGCGCCGTCGCGAGAACCCCTGGGGCCCCCCGGGGTAACTGATTATTATCGTACAAAGGCGGAGAATCGAATCGACCCATCGAACCAAAGAAAATTTCGAATAAGAGCATTGCAAATGATCGACACGGGGTATCTTGCGTTTGTTTTCTTTTTGCTTTTCAAGGATTACCAGGCCCACACCTTGAGCTATGTCACGGAGAGTGGTTAGCAAAAGAATTCAACTTGGGAGAGGCAACAGAGTCAAACTTACCAAAGAGTCCCAAGATCCAGTGCACAGACTGATACCATCGTTGCTGACACCCAGGCAGCTCACGCGGTTCTCGTGGCCGCTCAATGAGCCAACCTTGTCGCCACGCAGAACGTCCCACACCTTGCACTCGAAGTCGTCGTATCCGGCGAAGAGTAGACGGCCCGACACGGAGAAGGCGACGGATGTGATACCACACAGGACTTGCTCGCTCTGCGATTGTCAGTTAGCATAAGTTCATGACACACAAATCGTCTTAACCTGGGTTGGCTGGCAGAGGACAAAGGCCTACCTGGTAGGTGTTGAGCTCGCGATCGGCACGGATATCGAACAGGCGACAGCTAGTATCGTCGGAACCGGTCCCGAAAGCGTTACCGTCGGGGAAGAATTGGATCGCGTTTATGTCGGATTCGTGGCCAGAGAAGGTCTGCACGGCCTTGCCGGTACGGATATCCCACAGCTTGGCGAAGGCGTCGCAGGCACCGGAGACGAAGATGTTCTGGTTGGTAGGGTTGATGCTGATCGACATCACATCACCCAGGTGGTCGGCGAACTCGGTGACCTTGGAGCCCGACTCAATGTCCCACAGCATACAGGTCATGTCGCCAGAGGAGGTAATGATACGGCGGTCGTTGATGAAGCGGCAGCAGGAGAGGTAGCCCAGGTGACCAGAGAGCTCGCGTGCGACGCGGGTCGGACCTTCGCGCGAAGACAGGTTGTAGATGGAGCAGATGTTGTCCAAACCACCACAAGCGACGTAGTTACCGCTGGGCGCATAAGCACAGGTCATGACCCAGGATGACCGCAGGGGGATGGCGTGGACTTTGTTGGTGGTGTAGGCATCCCAGATGATGAGCTTTCCATCCTGCGAGGCGGAGACGAGGTGACGGCGGTCGGTTGACCAGTGCATAGCGTAGATCTTAGCAAGGTGACCCTTCAGCGTGCGGCGCGGCTTCATGCCAATTCGGGGGAGGGCTTCGGTCTGGTTTTGCGCGACCTGGCGGACTGTGACCTTGGTGTCAGCATGGTTGTCTCTCCCATTTGCGTCAGCTCCCCTCCTCTTTGACGTCGCATCCCACGAGCCTCTGCGGAAGTCTGTTCCGGGAGCATCTATGGAATTGAGGCTGGCGAGAGAAGGAGAGGGGTGTTTAGAGCAGGTTGGATGGGGGGAGACGTACGGGAGGTGTCGGCCAGTTCATCCTTCCGGCGCTTGATCTTGTCCTTCAAACCCTCAGCTTCGCGCCTGGCCGCAGTGATCTTGGCCTGCATCTGTTCGCCTGTCATGTCGGAAGCCATGGTGCCGGTCCCCTAGGTAATGATGATGGGAAAAGAGAGGGGGGGTAGAACGTCCGAGGAGGGTTGGAAGAGTAAGGGAAGGAGGGGAGGGCTAGAAAGTGGATCGAAGGAGGACAAGAGGAGGACGTGAGGCCTCACGCTGTGATCATAATACTGTAAAATAATCTTAGCAAGGGGGGTGAACTGTCCGAGGCGCGGCGCAAATTGGGGGAAAAGGAAGAGGGATTCGAAGGTCAGGGGGAGCGAGCGTATTACCCTAGCGTATTACCCGGTACGGTGCTGTACCAGTACGGAGTAAGGCCTACCTCATCCGATTTCTGGTTTCGTGAACCACGTACATGCAGGGGGAAGGGAAAACCGGGTAATGGAATATTTTCGGGGTCAATGAATCTATCTGTTCGGTCGAAATATTACTTGTACAATAATGGCAGACATTGCATTGATCGATGGCGACGAGTCTACAGAGGGGATCTTTATTGAACTGCGGCGCTCGGTGGGGAATACCGCAATACGCCCACAGGGGGAATGCCCCGGAACCACCAGCAGTGTACAGAGTACGGCCCAGCGGTATCTCCAGTACCTCAGGAACCTCGTCTTTCTTTGACGCATGAACCGCATGAACCACAGGCGCACCATCGCAGCCCCCCGCGGCCTCATTGCCCTGCCAGGCGCCAATGGCTCGTCTAGCATGGCCAATTTGGGGATCATGAGGGTCATCGGAGGATTTCAGTGGGCACTGGAGATCGGCCCAGTGCGCAGTGTCAATAGCGTCCAGGTCTAAACAACAATAATGTAACCTGCGCTTGCGGAGTGACGAGACCGGGACGATGGTCAGGCACCTTTGAACAATCATCCCCTTCCAAATACTAGTACATAGTTTATGGAGTCCCCCTCGTCCATCTCGGCGCTTCGTCGCTTTTCATCCCCTGGCGCCATCGTCCGAAGATCATTTTTCCTGTTCGCTCTCGCTCGCACTGAGCCCATGTTTGCGCGCCAGACCAGAACCTATTGTCCCCCCACCACCCCTCAACTACTACTAGTACTTAGGGTCACGATCGTGCCCTCGTCTCTGAGGGTCGGCCGCACGCTCGACCATCATGCTTGACCAGGACGACTGTGCTCATCTCGCCATTCCAACCAGCATGTGCTCGGGCATGGCCCAGTCTGAGCTCGGGACTGCTGTACCACCCACCCGGCCCAAGCTCTCTTTTTGCGGCTTGCAGTCGGAGGCTCCACTGTGGGAGCACTAAGGTCGACAATCCCAGGCTGACTAAACTGCATAATCTCCCTGGCCCTGTTGGATCCTGCTGAGACGATGATGCAGACTGCTGAAGACCGATGTATCGCTCCTCATCGAACCATCGTCCTCTCCCGGACGAGGATGTGCTCTGCGGCACCGCCTCCCGCCCCGGCGGGTCCCAACCGTTGGATCCTGGCGACTTTTCATTTCACTAGGCTGCCTTGGCCGAATGGCTTCGCGCTTTTGTTCCTCGGCGCGCGTCAGGAAGATGAGCCCCCACCCGGCGCCGGGTGCTTTCTGGGCCCCTTTTTGGCCGGCTTCTCCAACTAGACTCCCGGCTTGATATTGTCGTTGGCCGATCATTATTTGCAGCACCTCTGATCACGTCAGGCTGAGTGAGGCTCGCCGGGCCTAGATCATGACTTCTTTTTGTGTACTTGTCCTTGTCCTTGTCCTTGTCCTTTGCGGTTGGGGTCCGGCGTCAGCAGCGCCAGACCCCCTGGTTCGTGTATGCCATCTCGCTTCGCACTGTCCAATTCATGGTTTCTTTCAATGGCCCACCAGGTTTGGAACGTGCAAACCCTCAACCCCCACTGCAATCCCCACCAGAGGATCTACATTGAAATAACAAAGACCATTCAGGAACAATAATCACAAGAACAAGCATACAGTAGTCACCGTGGGCTTGGGTGATTCTGGTGACGACGACAGTACAGTAGTGCCCTTAATAGTCGAGCGATCCTCTGGCTGTGCCGCCCGCCAGACCGCGTTATGTCAAACCTGAGGCTGTCTGCTTCCCTGCAGACGCGCTGCGGCTGAGTCAAGCGCGGACTGATTCACGGGGAGGTCATATCAATCAAATCCAAATATATATATATATATATACTGAATCAATTTGCTGAGAACCACATCTGACTAAAGTGGTTCTGATTGCAATGCTAGGCTTCGGCCCCCGGCCATACACTGTACGTAGTAGCTTGTACTTATGGTATACCTAATGTAATGTAATATCTGCATCTGGATATTTACAACCTCGCCCTTGGCGATGTACCCCATGGTCTCTCCGCGACATTTTAGGATATCGAACCGATGCTATGACCAGTGAAAAGGGGGAGATTATCCCGTCGACCCGTCCCCCCATGCCGGGAGAACATAAGATAGACCATGATCGGCCCCTGTTGAAAGACACTAGAGGGCGGTTTTTAGCCGGAGTCCACGGTGCTCTCCGGACTTCTTCTGCCGGTCTTATCCTGCGATGATTTTCCGTCGAGATTGGCTCACCTCCTCCATAGTTTACCCGTAAGACAACAAGCTTGGTCACGTCGGAGCCTATATTCTTGTGTATGTAATTTATCAAGTACATGACATTCTTCTATTATGGTGATAAAACATCCCTTCTGCGGTTTTTTTTTTTTTTTTTTTTTTTTCCGCGACGGGATGATACCGTGGTAATTGGTATCCCAGTTATCCCTTTCCAAAGGCACTGTCAGTATGAACGATTGGGATGCTCTTGTCTACCTTGGTGGTTTACTTTGGGCCATCTCTACTGATGAAGCCAATCGATGCGCCGAGTGGAGGTCACTCACAACTCCCGAAAGTCATCGATTCGTCGTCTCATGCCGTAGGGAGATATAGATCCACGATCTCTCCAGTCGACCTCAGATATAGGGCGTCGAGGACCACCGCCTGAGTCCTCAGGATAATCCCCAAGAGATTATGCAGGAAATGAACAGAAATGGAGATCACGATCAGAAAAGTCCAATCGTAATATCCTGCAAGATGCATGGCCATTGCTCAACCATGCTGTGATCGTCCCTGAAGCGGACCGTTCATTTACACTGGACATCTCCACTTGGAGTCGCGGCGGCCGAGCGCAGGTGGCGGCCCTACGGGGCGAGGAATGGCTGCACTAGCCGCCACGAGGGAACCGGATAGCCTGCAGAGCGACCATGAACAGGCTCGTCTGAAGTCGACATCGCACTCGTCATGGATGAGTCTCAAGAGGACGCCAGACTCGAGCGCAGGGCCTCTTTAAAAATAGTAAAATCGAGGTTCGGGGTGGCGGGAGTGCACTGGGCGGGTACCGTAATATTAAGGAGGCACCTGACGCCTCTCCGCTTTCGCCCTCAAAGGCTTTTCATCCTCCCCTCCCCATCGCCATCTCCCCAATCTTCGATCTATTCGTCTAGTTTCTATCGTTGCGGGACGTCCTCTCCTTTGTCCTCTGGACTCCCTTTCCTCCTCCGTTAGCCGCTTGACGCCCATTCCACCCCCGGCGCTTCGCTCGTCCTCCCTTTCGCCTCGCGGAGTCACTACCAACCCCCTCCCCTCACGCGGTCGAATCCCCATCGGATATCATCAACAGACACTCTCCGGTTTCCCTGATGTCTTTGAATTGATTCTCGATACCGTTAGCGACATTTACTCCATCTCGTCGCTCTGGTCGCCATCCCGCAGGTTAGGGGGCTGATATCCCACTGTCTGGCCAAATTGTCAAGGTCCTCGCCATCGGGCATTTCCATTTCTTCTTGGGTTACTGGATGATATTTCATCCTTTGCGTCACTCTCATTCTTAGTTCTAACGATCACTTGATCGTTTTTACCATTCACTATGCGGGAAGTCAACTTCAGCATTCCCAATGTGAATAAGGCCTCCGTCAACATCACCACTACCCTCTACGACCGAAGGGCCCTTGACTGCACATCCACATTACCGCTCATAAACTCGCTCAACCACCTTGCATATCTCACAACTTCATCGGCGCGGATTCGAGACATCCTGACCGTCGATGGCGGCATCGAAAGGCTTGTGTGCATCCTGAAGGAGGGCAGGAGTAAGGATCTGATGGAAATGTGGAAATGGAGCCTCGCTTTCCAGTGCGTCGTCAACATTGGAGTCAGGGGCTCCGAGAGTGTGCGGACTCGTGTCGTCGAGGCCGACATGGTTCCCGTCATTGCCACCATCCTCGATAATTACATCAAGGTGGTGGACAAGGTTCGGTCGCGCGCCGACCCTGAGCCTCACAAGCACTCGTCGAGCCGACACTCCGGCAAGCCTAGTGCCTCTACCCGCGAGGTCGCTGGACGATCCGCCGCTCTTGAAGAGTCTACCCCCGATGCCGACTCTCGTCCTTCGTCTCGCCGCCAGGCTCCTCCCAGCATCGAAATTCCCCAGCCTTACTATCAGGACAACCAACCCACCGATTCTGATGCGATGGATGTTACCTCACCTCCCCGAGCTCCTATGACGTCGCCCCCGGAACGGAGCACATTCAGACAAGAGACTCCCAATCATCGGGCGCATGATGGCCGCGTCTCCCGGACAAACCACCGTCTGCGGGCCATGCAGTCTCTTGCCACTGCCGTCCCCCACACGGATACTGCTGAAGTATTTGGTCTTCGCCCTGTTCGTGATGCGGAACGTCTTCCTAGTATGCCTCCTGGCCTACAAACCGGAATCATCTCTCAGCCCGACTCTCCTACTACCCCGAGCGGGCCCCTCCACGCTCAGTCCCGAAATGTCCCCCAGACTACACCCGCCAGACAGCGCCCCGCCATTCGCCAGCAGCAGTCGGCATCGGGTGAATCGGACGACGCCAATGGCGAAGACTCGACGATGGGCGACGATAATGTCTTGGGACAGAACGCCGAGCCGATTGTTGGTCTCCCGAATCGGATGGAGATTGACAGTGTTGATGAACGACCCACGGCGATGATTGACGACGTTTCTGCCACACACGACCTGACTGTAACTGACCCTTCAGAAGAGGGCCAAGAGGCAGAGACCTTCAACATCGCTCATCGCTCTGCTGTTGACGGCAGTATCATCAACAACGGAAACACTCAAAACAACGGTGGACTTGGACTATCACCCACCCAAGCCAACAACAACCCTAATTCTCCTACCCTCGCTCCCAGCCCCTATGCCATGTACCTTCGTGACCGAAGCACACCCGCCGCCCAGGGGGTTTTGACAACCATGCCCCGGGATGAGGATGTGTTGATGTCGTTGCAGCTTCTGGCCTATGTGTCCAAGTACTGCAACCTCCGGTCTTACTTCCAGCATTCTCACCTCGTGCCCAAGCTCAAAATCGATCGGGAACTTCATCTTCTAGATGAGAATGCCGATCCTTCTACTCCGGTGGAGATGCCGGAGGATGAGGACGAATACCTCCTTCCTGATGATATCAATATCTTCCCACTGGTTGAGAAGTTCACTGTGAGGCACCACTCGAAGGACATGCAATACTGGGCTTGTGTGGTGATGCGCAACCTCTGCCGCAAGGATGAGTCGCGTGGCGGGATTCGCCAGTGCGCGTACTACAAGTGCGGCAAGTGGGAGGAGTTTCAGCGCCAGTTCGCCAAATGCCGTCGCTGCCGCCGCACCAAGTACTGCAGCAAGGACTGCCAGAAGGCTGCGTGGGTATACCACCGCCACTGGTGCCACACCTCCCCTTGATACGACCCGATGACCTCGAAGTAGTTCCCATTTCTGATTTCCCCTGCATACTGGCTCGCATAGCATCATATCGCGTCACGCTTCTCCCCCATATTCTGTTTCAAGGTCTTACGTCTCACTCGCACGCATGGCATTGCAACATTTGGCGGCGTTTCCCCATTCAATCCCCAAAGATACCTTTTTCTTTTTTACTTATCATATGATATTTTTTTCCGGTGCTCTTTTAGGGCCCCGTCATATCTCGCACAGCTCGCTCTCTTATGGTTTTTACTGATGTCGAGACCTCCATCCTGGGGCCTTTCTCCTTTTCACATATCCCACCAGCCGTTATGAGTGTATATCTTTTTTATTTTCCCCATATTTTAACTGGGATACTCTTTATAACCCATTATGTCTCTTCTCCGATTTCCTCCGCTATTCTCCTTTACTTAATTGTGTCATCACGAGTTTCTTTTTATGTCCGTAGATGGGCAATATCATCGACACATCCGACCGCAGCACGGTCCCTTGAAGCATTCTTCTTACTTTCTGTCCTATCTATGATGTTACTTACGTTGGAGGATTCATCTTTGTGTCTTGCACTTTGCCATCACGGCACCGGCGTTCTTCCACGCTCATTGAACCGTCTTTTATCCGTGAATTTTTTGCATACCCTCCGGAATACTCTCCATCAGTCTTTACGTAGTATATTGTATGCTGTCTCTCTGCTATATATCATTCAAATATTTATTCGAATTTGCTATTGGGATAACTCTGACCTTATGTAGTAGATGTCGGTAAGACCAACATCACTGATGGTGCGCAAAGAGATCATTGAATGAGTGACCAACCCAAGGTGATACTGCTCAAATGTCTTCAAAGTATTCTTGGCGAATTTTTTCATAGTCATCTCTGCAGACATCGGTTCGACGATTTTATCAATCTCAATGACCCAAAATGAATTTTGGGGATGGACCTGATGAGCAGAGGTATATCCCCCGTAAGGATACCAGCCAGCTGTTTCCTAATCAATGATGCCAACAATATCATTATTATGGACGAGAATATTGAGGCTACTTAGATCGCCATGAGTAAACACGGAAGGCCAGATTTGATTTCTTGTTTTCTGGTCAAGTCCTGGATCTCAGTAACCAATCTCGAATCGAATTCCATGGCCCCTCGTAAATGCCGATGGAAGTCCTGGGTTGTCTCAAAGGGACCGAAGCGTAAGTGCGGGCCTGGGGTTCGACTGTCGCAAAGTGATCCTCGTCATTGGAAGCAACTCCCATCGTTTCCCCTGGAGGTGGGCGAGTTAGTCCCCGCATCTCACGGATCATTCCCCCTAACTGTGCAAGAAATTCTGTCTTGGACGCCTCACTCCAAAACACCCAACCATGCCCAATAATGTCACCTTTTCCTCGTCATCACAATATACGTCATTTCCTTGCGCGAAAACGCACATAGTACCCTAGGCACTGAGATAGAGGTGTTTTGCGATATGAAACACATTGTTAATGCTTCGGATAAATGCACGCAACGCCCATATTTGACACAGATTGTGTCTGTCAGTATAAGGACTATGTATGTCGAAGAAAAGTGACGGAATATCACTATCCTTTCATTTCTGGAGATAGAGAAATACGCCTTGGGTCGGATCCAACTGTGAAAAAGTTGTATAGCGAGTCATCGAAAGAGGCCACACCGGTGGTGATAGAGCTAGGCGGTGAGCAGCCTGGGGTCTGGCCTTGCAGACTGCTATAAGTTTCAACCGCTATGATTCCTGAACATATAGACTGTCTCTCTCAAAACATACACGGGCTGGATCTAGTTTTCCTTCGTAAATCCATATGTTGCCGCAAGCCGCGACTCCAAATGCTCCGCAGCAGTCAGAGGCCTCTTACCGGGCTCCAAAGAACCAGCACCACCACCAAAGCCCACAACACCGACACCACCGGACTTGGCTCGGTGCTGCTTGACAACCTCCGAGGGAACAGGGACTAGCTCCGTCGCGTCTACAGGATGACAGAAGTACACGACGGTATACCGATCCTGCGGATTCGGACTCCGTTGCTCAGCTAGCGGGAAAACAACACGGTGCACGGTCGACTTGAGCAATCCATCGGTCCAATAACTGAGCAGGTCCCCGATGTTCACCAGGATAGGTGGGAACGGGAAGGCAGAGGGATCGTTACCAGGTACGATGGGGACAGGAGCCCATGTTTGCTCGGGCGTCAGGATTTCCAGACCAGGTTGGCCGGGTCGTTGGAAGAGCAAGGTGATACTTCCGTAGTCGGAGTGGGCGCCGGCTCGCACGTCCTTATCGTGTTTGTAGCTTGCAGTAGCTGGTGAGAAGATTGAAGGGTAGTACAGAAAGCGGAGGATGCTTCCCGTAGGTCCGCTGGCTGGGTCGTGGCGGGAGGTGAAGAAGTCTTGGGGCATCTCCAGGCCTAGGGCGAGTAGGCTGAGGATCCGGTTACAAGTCTTGGTGCAGAGGACGGCAAAGTCGCTGATTTCAGACTCGTGCGGTGCCAGAACTGGGGGCACAGGCTGCTGCGCTTTTCCGTTTTCGAAGTCGCCGAAATTCATGGCTCTGTTGAGGTTGTCAGTATTGGCAGGTATCCCAATACAGGATTATAATTATAGGAAGTATACTCCTTGAAGTCTCCGGTCTATACCGGTCAATCGTTAGCCTGGGATCTGGGGATATCGTCGTCGAGGCTACCAGGTCGGTATAAAAGACAGCCCTGGGAGGGCTATAGATGGACTTACGCGTTGGTTCTCGGGGTCGAGGGTTTCCGTGTGCATGCCGGACCAGCCACGATTCTAGTATCCGAGGGTCAGCTAGGTCGGTTTTCAGCTGGAGAGGTACTGCCACAAGGCAGGTCGAGGTACTGACATTGGGAGTAATGCGGCATGTCTCCTTCTCCGCTGCGGGAGATGCAAAGAACCTCTTGGACTATAGAAATTATAGATATAATGAGTCTTGTGGTCAGGCATGAAGCAGAGACGAAACATACCAATCCAAAGGCGTGGTCGACATCCTCAGTCGAAAAATCAGTGCCCTTGCTATTCACATAGAGAAACCCATACTTGGCCGCCGCATCGAGCATCGCCTTCCCCACGACGGGGTCGTGAGGATCGGAGATGTCGATGACGGGGAGTTCGATTGGAGTCGCGACGTCGGAGTCGGCCATGGTGCGAAGAGTGCGGAGGGGAAGGGGAAGAGAAAGCGGGACGGCCTGGTAGATATACCCATACACTAATTAGTGTCCTCGTAGTCTGATGGCGATGGAGCAGCGCTAGGAAGAGATGGGGAAAACCCGGCCTATCGCGTCTGGGGGATATCTAACGGAAACGTCAATCGCGTCCCCACGCCTTCCAGGCTTATCACCAGCTTCCGCCGGCGACATCCGACATGCACAACCCCCGCGTTTCCAGCATCTCGGGAGTTGCTGGTCTCCGGCGTCCGAATGGAGCTGCAGAAAATGTATCGGCAGGGGTGCGTAAAGCTTACATAGGTGGCACTATTTTGAAAGTCATCCATAGGGGAGTATTGCGGAGTCTATATATATATTCAAGGGTTGTATCTCGAGTTTCATGATTTCTCACCAAAAAAATAAATAAAAAATAGAAGAAAAATGAATAAAAAATATTTTTAGCACCAATATGTCGTAGTAGAACAACAAGCCATTAATTCCTTTCAACCGCGAATTTTCACCAGCGGAACACAAGGTGAATGGAGCGAGTCTAGCCCAAAGCTCTGCATGCGATCAACTGCCTAGCGGGAGCTTGGGGACCCAGTCGAACCAGCAAAACCCCGTCGTAAAATACCCTTAGTACCTGAGGATCCGGGTCCCTCAGGAATCCAGATGAACCAAAGAAAATCACGGAAATAAAAATAAAATATGGAGTAAGAAGTCATTGACGGGACTATGCCCAAGGCAGCCAGTGTCACCGTGGATGGGCGCGGCCAGGAACCATTGAAGGGGTCGCCCAACATGCCAACTCCGCTTTGTCCCCTCGTCGTTTCGCAACCCATTGCGATCCTCACCTCCCGCGATCTTCCCCCCACCACCACCACCTTCTCTACCACCATCTTCCTGGGCTTCAATGCTCGGCGTCTAGCCGTGCTTCCTGTCCCTCAGCTTCGCCATCATGCCAAGTATCTCTCTCTCTTCTCTCCCCCCCCATCGCAAGCGCGCTCGCTAACCGTGAGTCTCTGCTAGTCCGTCCTTTCGATGAATGGGCTGTGGGCCGCACCCAGTCACTCCCCCTCTCGGCCCTCAAGAATGCCGTCGTCGGTATCGATGCATCGCACTACATCAACCAGCACCTGACCAATGTCACCACCCGCGAGGCTCTGTTGGGCGCGCTGGGTGGCTTCCCATTTGCCCTGCGTCACAACATCGAGAAGGAGCTTCAGACATTGAAGAACCTCGGGGTCGGCTGCATATTTGTCTTCAATGGCCTGGATTTTGGCAAGAAGGACAACCGAACTGCTCCTCAGTCAGCGACCCGCTCCTTCGAACAGGCCTGGGAGCTGTACGACAAACAGCAAGCTGATCAGGTCGTGGACGCCTTCAGCAATGCCGGTGAGAACATTCTACCCTGAACGGGGAAAGATCTGGGCGACCTCTCCAAATGCGATGTCTTCCTGCGTCTGGTCTCCAGAGTGATTGGGCTCCCCATGCCAGTGCCAGTAGCTGACGATGAAACCGGGTTATCAGGTACCCCATCCCCAGAAACCCTCTACAAGTTCCTCCAGCGCATCCTGAACCAGAATGGTGTCTCCTTCATGGTCGCCCCGTACAGCGCAGCTGCTCAGGTTAGTTGCGATGCTGAAATGGCTGGTCAGTGGATCGCCAAGGGATATTCATGGTGCTAACCCAGTGCAACTCGCAGCTCTCCTACCTCGCCAGTGGATCCAACCCCGTGGTTGATGCAGTCTACGGACCATCCGAGGCCCTGCTGTTCAACCTGGAAAAGCTGGTGACTTCTATCGAAACCGAACCCGCACAATTCACCTGGATCGCAAAGCAGAACGCACAAGAAGAACTCGGCCGCCTGACAAACGAACAATTCCTCGACTTTTGTCTCCTTTTGGGCTCTCCGTTTCTGCGATCCTGCCCGCTGTTTGAAAACCCCGCCTTCCCAGGAAAGAACCCCACGGTCCGCGATGCTTTGCCCATGTTTAATTCGGCTGGGCGTAACGGGCTGGCATTGTGCGCCCATTTCGAGGATGACCGTCGTATGCAGGAGCTGCAATACACCGACCAATACAAGCGCGCATACTTGGTTGTGAAACACCACGTATACATGGATGCTGATGGTCGTGTTGGCCCGATGGATCAAGACCATACCTCCTCGGATATGCATGAGCTCATCGGTCAAAGACTCCCCGAGGAGCTGTACTTCTACCTGTCCCGAGGTATCTTGGGCCCTGATGTTCCCAATTACCTGACAACGGGTGAAGTCCGCATCTCTTTGCCCTTGGGTACTGGAGACACGGAGGTTTACCGTCAGCTAGTGGGCGACACCCTCACACCAATTCGATCGCAGTCGATCTGCTTGCTCGCCAACTCCCTTCACCGATTCTATCAGACCAAAGTTATTCAGATTCGCCCCTGGTTTGATGAGAAATCAGATAGAAACATCAATCTCAAGAGCATCCCGTCCGTCAAGGAAACCATCCAGGCCTGGAAGGTCCCCAGCGCCCAATTGCCCGAAAGCGTTAAGAAGCTCCAAATGCCCCGCGGGTCATTCAAGTTTGCTATCCAAAGCGTGACCACCTCGGACTTTGCGTCGAAGTCATTTGCCAACAAAGAAACTCCTGTATGTTAAGGATCGAGCAACATCGCCCTAATACCTCATGGACCATGTGCTAATCATCTGTTCAGGCTCTGTCAACACAAGAGGACATCCAGTCCAACGTGATGTGGCGCTTCTTGCAATTGCGCGGTTATGTTGATGAGAAGCACAAGCTAACCGTGTGGGGCAAGTGTCTCGAACAAGCGCTGTTAAATGTGGATCCCGCAGATAACCTTGAAGACGCTATTGTGATTGCAATCGAGATGCTTCGCATGGATCTTCTCAACACCAAGGAATGGTTCTCTCACGTATCCGGTGGACCGATGAGAGGGTCGGGTAAGTACTACGCGATATTACTCCTCAGGTGGCCGGTATCCGGAAGATAGAAACTGACTCAAGCGTATGATTCTTTAGAGGAGGACAAGTCTTTCAACATGTTGGTTTCTCGTGTTGCTTGCATTGCGAAGTTGCAGCACAAGCCTATTGGCTACTCCGGTCCTCTGAGTCGACAGCTCCTTTGCTACCGTTCTCTCATCTCCGAAGTGCGCTCTGCTCTGAGGAATCTGATTGAAGTGGTTTTGGCTGGTCTGCTCCTCAGTGGCGACGCCGACCGGGAGCGTAAGGACTGGACTGAACTGGGAACCAAGTATGTACCCTCAGACTGACTAATCTCTGAGATCTCTGACCTAACATTTTATGTTCAGGCTACCATTTATTGACGATAACGACTGCGGTCTTGGCATTGCTGTTCGCACCTACTTGGATGATCTCCCTCTCCAGACGAACCCTACCTCGCCCGAGGCTCGAGCGGAGGTCAAGGCGAAGGGCAAGGAATGGTTTCAGCACAGCGAAAGCTTCAACGGAAATCTGGATCTGGCATTTAAGCTCTGGGATGCGATTTACAAGGGTACGCAAAGCGGCGGCAAAGAGGTCAAGGACGCGAAGTTGTGGAGTGACGCGAACAAGTGGCTGTCGGAGCGCCGATGAGGGGAGGACACTTAACGCTACATCGAACTATCAACGAGGGGATTTCGGGCCCATATCCATTGTCTCCTGATGGCTACAATGCGTTGAATCGATATGATCAACATGTGATTGCCGCAGATTCTCAACTGTATTACTACATGAAGTAATCCACCCCAAAAAAAGAAGAACACGAGCCCACTGCGAGGCCATTTTGAGAGTATTCTGAGTAAATCTTGTATCCGTCGACAACTGTCCCAGACATGTTGTAGGCCGTTGTGTCACCGGCAATTTTTACGTACTGTATACTACGTTGGACATTGTTTGGATGATCTGCGGAACTGCGGAGGCAAAGTGGCCTCTTCGGGGATGTTTTGTCATCAGCCTTGGTGGACCTCCCAATTCCATCATTGTCTTTCAAGCAATTGCTACACCTCCCTTCCAAACTCTTTCACCCCAATTCACACAAAAAATGGCTCGCCTGAGCTACCTGCTGGTGGGCGCCGTCGCCGCGCTTAGCAGCTTCGCCAATGCAAGCTCCGCCGTCATCGATCTGATCCCCAACAACTTCGACAAGGTCGTTCTGCAGTCCGGCAAGCCCGCGCTCGTGGAATTCTTCGCTCCCTGGTGCGGTCACTGTAAGAACCTCGCCCCCGTCTACGAGGAGCTCGCGCAGGTCTTTGCCCACGCCGAGAACAAAGTTACCGTCGGCAAGGTCGATGCCGATGAGCACCGCGAGCTGGGTAAGCGCTTCGGCGTGCAGGGTTTCCCTACCCTGAAGTGGTTCGATGGCAAGAGTGACAAGCCCGAGGAGTACAAGGGTGGCCGTGATCTCGAGAGCTTGTCTTCGTGGATTACCGACAAGACCGGCATCAAGCCCCGTGGCGCGCAGAAGGAGCCCAGCAAGATCGAGTTCTTGAACGATGCCAACTTCAAGACTACCGTGGGTGGCGACAAGGATGTCATCGTCGCTTTTACTGCGCCGTGGTGTGGCCGTAAGTATTCTTTGATTCCATAACGTCCTATTGAGGTCATCGCCAACTCCTTTGTTTTTAACCTCATCTAGACTGCAAGACCCTCGCTCCGATCTGGGAAACCCTCGCCAATGATTTCGCCCTTGAAGAGAACGTCGTGGTCGCCAAGGTTGACGCTGAAGCTGAGAACGCCCGCGCTCTGGCCAAGGAGCAGGGCATTACCGGTTACCCCACCATCAAGTTCTTCGCTAAGGGATCGACCGAGCCCGAGGCCTACGCCGGTGCCCGCTCCGAGGAGGCCTTCGTTGAATTCCTGAACTCGAAGGCTGGCACCAACCGTGTCGCTGGTGGTGGTCTGAACAAGAAGGCTGGCACCATTGCCACCCTCGACTCTCTCGTCGCCGAGTACGTCCCCTCGCAGAAGTTCGACAAGCTCGCTGCCGAGGTCAAGAAGGCCGCCAAGGGCCTGCAGGACAAGTACGCCCAGTACTATGTCAAGGTTGCCGACAAGCTGAGCCAGAACCAGGAGTACGCAGTCAAGGAGTTGACTCGTCTCTCCAAGGTTCTCAGCAAGGGTAGCTCTACTCCCGAGAAGGTTGACGACATCGTCTCACGCAGCAACATCTTGCGTGGTTTTGCCGGTGAGAAGGAGGAGTCTGGTAAGGATGAGCTGTAAACGACTTTTGTCTTGACATTTTTTGTTGCATTGGGTCTGGGGAAGCTGTATGTAAAGATATTGGCAATTCCATGATTCCTGATGAGTATCTGGAACTAGAAATCTGCTAGAGAATGTATCGGCTTATTGCTGTATTTTACGAATTTTTTTGAAGTCGTGAAGGAATGTCAAGAAGTGCTATTGCTTCTAGTCTGTTTAAGGTCCAAATCTGTGTTTACGTGAAACAGGAATGAGTCCCGCGGAAGACATCATGTCTGTAAACTTCTGAATGCTTTGTCCCATTGGAACGTAGGGTATCTTCGCAAAATACATAAAACAGGATAGTAGTTCAAATGAGCCAGCCCTGCGCAGGAAAAACGGATGCCCAGGAAATCGCGCATAGGGTTGAATACACCCAGTAATCGCCACCCGATGCCATGAAATGTCATAAAGGACACGGCAAGCTTTTATTGTGTGCCGGGTTGATGTAATCATTTGGTAGGTGTTGCAGAGGCTGATTCATTTGCCGAGCCTGCGAGAGATGTTTCGAGCTCGTCCAAGCGGCGGGTCATGTCGTCCACTATGCAAATTGGTTGGTGTTAGAGTAAGAGCCGCGAATCTGGCGAACGCGACAAGCGGCAGATTAAGAACTCACGTTTTCCAAAGACCTCCTTCGAGACGTTATCGAATTTGCTCTGCAGCTGATCGAGAAGCTCGTCGACGGCCGCGGTCAGTTGGCCTTGAGCATCAGAGCTCTGTCACCGGTTAGTGGGGGCCATTGACATTGAAGTTGGAGGTTTTTAACGTACAGGCTGCGACAGGAACGACTCCTCAGCGGAGGTCTTCTCGGGAGAAGTCTCTTCAGCCATGGCGAAGAACTTGAGAACCTTGGACGTCACTGCGTATGCGAGCGCAAGACCATGGAACAGTCCCCGTCGCCGGCAGCGGACTTGGAGAGCGACGGGAGGGTCGATAAGTGCGGATGATCAGTTTCTCCGAATATCCGCGAGTGCTAGCCCCATTGGGTCCTTATCTCTTGCGCTAACCTCATTTGGACTGGTTCGAGTTCAAAAAAATCCAAGATTGACCCGTAGAGTCGAGCCTAGCCGCACCTCACACCTGCAATTGCCAACCACAAAATTCTTCACGGCCAGACACAATGGTCAAGCGAAGCAAGCTCCTTCAGGCGCTCGACGCCCACAAGGGTCGCGACTACGATGCCGAGAAGCAAAAGAAGCAGGTCAAGGCTGCCGAGAAGCGAAAAGGCGTGAAGCCCGAGCCTGCGACCAAGAAGAGCAAGAGCAAGAAGGCCGAGCCTGAAGATGAGGACGAGGTCATGAACTCGGGAGCTGAGGAGGACAAGGAGGTTTCTGAGGAGGACGAGGCTGAGGAGGCCGGCGACGACTCCGCTGAGAACGACGATGAGGAAGGTGAAGGCGAGGATGAAGAGGAAGAAGAAGAAGAAGATATCCCGCTATCAGACCTGGAAGAAGACGAACGCGAAGATGTTGTCCCTCACCAACGTCTGACTATCAACAACTCCGCCGCCATCAACGCCTCCATCAAGCGCATCTCCTTCATCACCAAGCAGACCCCATTCTCCGAGCACAACTCGTTAGTGTCGCAAGAGCCGATCGAAGTGCCCGACCCCAATGACGATCTCAACCGTGAGCTGGCCTTCTATAAGGTCTGCCAGGCCGCCGCCATTGAGGCCCGTGGTATGCTGAAGAAGGAAGGCATCTCGTTCACTCGCCCCGGTGACTACTTCGCCGAGATGGTCAAGAACGACGAGCACATGGACAAGATCAAGAAGAAGCTGTACGACGAGGCTGCTGGCAAGAAGGCCGCTGCCGAGGCGCGCCGCCAGCGCGATCTCAAGAAGTTCGGCAAGCAGGTGCAGGTCGCCAAGTTGCAGCAGCGCGCCAAGGAGAAGCGTGATACTATGGAGAAGATCAACACTTTGAAGAAGAGTATGTTGCAATCAAGATTTGCTAACCCTTTGACTTTGTCCAAGTCTATGAACTGACGTTTTTTCTTTTCTACAGAGCGCAAGGCCGATTCTTCCGCCCCTACCGATGATGCCAATGATCTGTTTGATGTCGCTATTGAAGAGGCCGGTCAGCCCGAGCGCAAGCGTGGTCGCACCGATAGTGGGCCCAACACAAAGCGTGCGAAGAAGGACCAGAAGTTCGGATTCGGTGGCAAGAAGCGACACATGAAGAGCGGCGATGCTGCCTCCACTGGTGACTTGCGCAACTTTTCTGCTAAGAAGATGAAGGCCGGTGCGAAACGTCCTGGAAAGAGCAAGCGCATGGCCGGCAAGCGCTAAAAAGCCTGATTTCTTAACTTATATGTCTGAGAGGAGAGCAAGAAGGCCGAACTGGGTGAAAGATGAAGGCGCCAACGGCGCACCAAAAATTTCCGAGGTGGACAACCACCGTTGTTTGTGTAATATCTAGAATACCTTGCATCTGCACATTGAATTGATTATTGATAAATCATGATGACTCTGGGCCTGAGAACTGCCAATTAAATCCCTTTTGTACAATCTTGTAGTCTGAAGGTTACCTAAAGTGAGATCAAATGCGATTTCATCCAAACAGACGAAAGGGATCTATAGCCAGAAACTCGCCAATTCCCGGGCTCACGCCATTCGGCATCCGCATGCATCCCAGCTGAATCCGCAGGTTAGTTGCTGGTAAATCGCGGGCCGGCGAGAAACAAGCGCCTTGGCCCAGTCCGATTAGGAAACTGGTCACATTCAACCCGATCAAATCAGATTGGATTATATCTATAGTCAACCTGGCCGAAAGCAAATCAGATTATAGAAGTCACGTCCTCTCTCTCACACACACAGAATGTTTTCTTTCGCTCTGCTAAATCTCCCTTGACAATGGCAGGATACCGTCACCTTAGCCATTGGCCATCCCCAGTGGGTTGATGTTCGTTAGACAACTACCCCATTCTGTTCATCCTAAGAGTGCCCCTTCTGAATTTTTGTATGACTATCTAGTTCTCCAAAAATCTTCCGAATATTTGCCGAGTACCTTTCAACCGAGACCATCGGGATATCGTTCCTCAGCCAGATCTGGACATTTATGAATTCGACATCACTGCTCGCGATGGCCACCTTATCTGTGTGCGCGTATAAAAGCATTCAAACAGGACTGATCTGCCCTTGCTCATTTATCTGCACGGTGGTGGATATGTGACAGGAGGCCAGGAAACAGATGATAAGGCCTGTCGTGCGCTGGCCCCTCAGATTCCTGTGCTGGCACTGAATGTCGAGTATCGTCTGGTGACTGAGCATCCCTTCCCCATTGGGTTCGAGGATAGTTTTGATGTCGTTCGTTGGGGGAGCTGAAACCGCGCCTCAAACGCACCTGCATTCGGTCAAAGCACAGACTCCATCTAGGCTGCTTCCCATGGACAATCGCAACTGCCTATCGATTTACAGCGAGGATTTCTCCTCGGGGGGTACATCTGCCGGTGCCAAATTCACCCTGGGAATCGCTCATCTTGCCGTGCAAGAGAACCTAACTCCGGCACTTACAGGAGTGGCATTCCTAGCCGGAAGCTTTTGTCACCCTCTCTGTACGTCCGGTAAAGTACCGAAGATCGCATCTTGAGTGTAGACAAGATCGATGATGCTCCAGGACTCATGCGGAAATCAATCGATTTCTTCGCGGCCAAGTATGGAGCTCTACCAGACGATAAGCTGTTTTCGCCGCTGTTGTTCGAGTCACATGGCAATATAGCGAAGCAGGCAATTTTCTATGTTTGTGGCTGTGACCCACGACGGACGAGGCCTTGCTATTTGAGCAAATTTTGAAGGAGAATGGCCTCGAAACCAAGGCGTACGTTTACCCCGGGCTGCCGCATGGCTTTTGGGCAACTTTTCCGGACCTGGAGGTCTCGAAGAATTGACAGAAAGACTTGGTCGAGGTGTTCGGTTCCTGTTGGAGTAGAGTTCTGTCCATTATATACACTGGGTTGTATTTGTATGGGATGAAGTACATCTTACGTTTGAAACCATTTGAAAATGTTGACTTCAGCTTTCATCAATTCTGGTGAACTTGAAAGATATGATTACATGAATTGAATGCCCGAGGCTCCCATAAATGATCCCGTTCGAGAAGCCTTTACACGCCAATAATGCTCGTCTGTATCAAACGATAATTTCGAAGTCCTCGCTCTCGGACTCCTAGCCCCGAGCTTCAGCCTCCGCCTGTGCCTTGGCGAGTCGCTTCTCCTCCCATGCTGCAAGGAACTTCTTGACCTTCGGGCCCCAGACCTCTTCTCCTGCGTCAAGATCCTTGTACTCCAAGATGTTCTCCGGCTCGAGGGTGAAATCAGCCTGGCGGCTGCGAATGAGTTCGCTCATCAAACCGCAGCTACCGACGGCCTTTCCTAGGTCGTGCGCAAGCGAGCGTACATAGAAACCAGATGTAACAGTCATGGAAATCTTCACTGCAGCCGGCTGAGACTTGGGATGCTCGGTGTGTGTAGTGGGAGCCTCGGACGTCGCGGGCTCCGGTACAGCGGTCTCAGCGACCTTAGCGGCCTCAGTAGTTTCAGCAGTAGCGGGTTGGGCAGCACCATCCTCCGAGACCTTTTGCTTCTTGGTCGCATCTTGGTCTCCCTCCTGAGGAGAATCCGACGGGGGTGGTGACTTGCGCTTGGTAGATGCTCCGGCATCCTGGGGCGCAGTCTCGCCTTCCGTCGAAGGAGCCACCGGTTCCGAGGCATCCTTTTCAAGCAGCTTCTCTGCAACAATTTTGGCATCTCCAGTCATCTCTTCCTCCGGCCACTTGAACTCGTGAGTGCCAGGCTCATACCACTCCACGATATCCATCTTCAAAACCTCCACCGGGCGAGCTTTGATTTCAATGGGCGGCAGCTGTCCCGCGCGCGCATACTCGTACAGCTTCTTGCCTTCCACCTTCAATGCCGAGAAAATAGGCGGACGTTGCATGATCTTTCCACGGAATTGTTCTAGAGCCTTCTCGACCGCCTCGCGAGTGATGTGCTCGTACGGAGCTCGGCGCACTATTTTGCCCAGTCGGTCGTATGAATCAGTCTCGGCGCCGAAAAGCACAACGGTTTCGTACTCCTTGGTGCATCCCAGGAAGTCACCGAGCGACTTGGTACCCTTGCCCACGCCAGCAACCAGCACGCCAGTCGCAAGCGGATCCAGAGTACCGCCATGTCCGAGCTTGACCTCCAATCGCTGTGTGCGTCGACGTCTGCGCTGGTTTCCGCTCTCGCGACCACGGCGGGCTTTTTCCTCCTCGAGCCATGGTCTGAAGGTCTCGGAGGGCTTGAAGTGGTGTTGAAGCTTGCGAATCACGTCGGCCGAGGTGACGCCCTGAGGCTTGTGGACGGCTGCGACAGCATTTAGGGTACGCTCATTCGACGAGCATGCGAGGCGACTTACCAAAACAGCCCTCCAGGATCTTCTCGCCGGACATTTTGTTGGTGCGGAAAAGACGAAACCCGGCGGGAAGCATTTGTCGCGGCGGCGGGATAGCTTGAATAATTTCAAGTTGCCGGTCGAATGCGGCGGAGACAAGCCCGTGTAATTTTGGCGTATCGATAAGGTATCCGTAACTTACCGCCATACCGGCATCGAAGGGCCTGGGGATGTTGACGTTGAGGATTCCAGCTCGACACCCTTTCCTTCCGTCGCAAGCTCCCGCACTCTCATCGATCCCCTCGTTGAGCCTTCTTCCTCTCCCAATAAACCCACCATGCTGCGGCCGCAGCCATGACAGCCCGCGAAGATACCGTCCTCCCTCCTATCGATCCCTCCATCGCCGACGAGAATGAGTGGCCCGAGTTTGACCTCATCGAGGCGAAGGTCCTACGCCCAGGGAAGATGCTGTACGCGAACCTGCTCGAAGCATCCGAACAGAGCCCCGTGCAGGTGATTGGCAGCTTGGAGTTGAAGAAAGCGCAGGAACAACTATGTGCGTCCACATTTCAATCCTCATACGCTTATCGCGATGGCGCACGCGTCTACCCATAAATCAAGCTTTTGTTCTTGACTGACCATTCTTCTTCCTCCAGTACTTAAGCCAGAAGCGCCGAACAACCGCGTCATCATCGATAATGTCACTCACTATGCGTATGGCCAGATGGAAGACCGCAGTGTGGAGTTGTGGGCTGCTGGCAAGGCCGGTTGGTACAAGATTGCACCGGCCAAGGGCTATCTACCACACTTCAATCGCATGGTCCAAGCCGTCGATATGTTTTATTTCTTGATGGACAGACACCAGCATGGTAGGAAGCAACTCAATCCTTCGTTCAAGAACCTCTGCGAGCAGGTAAGAACTCCCTCTATCGGTGACTCCAGGGAATCCAAATTGAAATCGAAAAGTATGTCTTCCACACACATGGCACTTGCGAAACACCCAAGCAATCGGCAGAAGTATTTATGGAGCATTCGTCTTTCTTGCTCCGCTGCATGATTGAAGAAGATGATGATGGAGACGTGGAGTGGAGCAAGACGAACGTATTTGCGCACCTCCGTCGCCAGTTCAAGGTACGTTTGATAATGCAACGTGGAATCATGCGCGGAGGCTGTTGCTGATACCTTGTCATTGTAGGATAAATATAAAACTCTCGTGGACCTACATTCACCCCGAAAGACAGACCCGCACGGACCCCGAGTAGAGTCGCAAGCATCAACCCCACGCCACGACCCGACTGCTCTTGCCAAATCACAATCAAATGCTGTTTACCAACAGATAATCGAACTCAAAGAAAAAGGGTACTTGGCCAAACGTCGACTTAACATTGGCCTTTTGACAGAACGCCTCGCGGAAAAGTACTCGCTCAGCAATGAGAATGTCCACAAGATCATTGCTGCGAGAGCAGGTTCCGTCCTGGAAATGCTAGAGGAAGAAGAAACTCCTAGCTTCAAATGGTCACGATATGTCATCCATCGAGAGCTCACCGATGCCGCCTCACAAGCCGATCCTCTTCCTCCCACCCTGCTTACGCCTTTACAATCGGTCGATGACTCTAGCGATGACGAGCGGCTGGAAAGAACGCACAAGTCTGTTCTCCGCCCCAAGATGACATCTGTTGTTTCCCGTAAAGTTATGGGAAAACGAAACCGCAATACAAATGCAGACCAGCAAAATGGGCACTCTGACACGAACGATGCCGATGATGATGACAATGATGACGACGAGGATGAAGTCATGCGAGATGTCGATACCCCCAGCAAAGTCCGTGGTCATGAGTTGATCCGAACTCCATTGGCCTCTGCCAAACCACGACCCTTGGCAACTTCGTTCCTCGGTAACCCGCAATCGGCAGCCGCATCTCTTCTGAAAAGTGTCCTCTCGGCAGAGACACCACCAACACCGCCAGTTATCTCTAATACGACAAGCGGGAAGCTAGACTTTGGTCAAGGGACAACTTCAAGATCATCTGTCGCACCAATTGGCTTTGATGAGCCTGAAATTTGGACATGTCGAATGCCTGGCTGCCCCAAATCCATCTCTACCAAAGGAAACGCGCGCAAGAAGGAAATTGAGGAGCACGCCGGGGAACATGACTGGGAGACTCAGATGCGTGTTGAGCTGGTTGAATCCGAGCGACGCATGCACTCCGCTTTCCCCGTCAGCAATCTGATGCAGTACCTGGTCAACCAGCATTACCAGCAGATGCGAGCCGCATTCCCAGAAATCTACCCTCCTGAAAATACGAACAGCAACACCAACACAAACGCTGAAACTACGGACGGAACGACTGAGCTCCCTGGTATCTCTGGCGACGAGGATCAGCTTCCAGAGCTAGACCTGAGAGTGAACGGACACGCAACCTGAGGTTCGTGATGCTCCCGTCACAATCATGATATCCAAATTCCAGGTTTCACTACGGCTACACCACACAATATGCTCTCTGAGGATGATCTTATGAGCCACTTTTGCTGCCTGGACAGGTATGTCCCGATTCATTATTCGAAAGGGAAGGGGAATCTGAACTAACACTCTTGCAAGACCGCGGCCATGTACTAGTATTTCGAATCAAATTGAATGCCATCTTCGCGATGCCGAATACTCACTCTACTATTACCTGTAAACGACCCTGGAAAATAGACGTCAATTACGACCATTCCTATCAACAGACAATGTGTCATGTATACAACAGACGTTTTGAACTGATCCTCTGTTCCCAACATGGTGCTTGGATGTGTAGCCAAAACGATAGCTCCCTGGGTCCTAATTTGGCCCAGAAAGAGTAACTCTCAATTCCCCGCCCTTCCATTTGCACGCCTCTTTGATATCTCCCGAGGGGTTCTTCGCGCAGACCCAGTCTGGATCGATACCAGCAGTTGTAATCACAGGGCTAAACCCCTGCTCAGACCCGTCCGTACTCTGAATCCACAACATAAAGGACTCGATATGAAGACCGTATCGGAAGCCGAATTGGAAATGGTTGTTTGTGCAATTTTTCACCTCTATGCTCGGTTGGTTGGGAGAATGGGTGTTCCTTTTGACTTTGTTAGCAGTTGGCCAAGATCGGTGCTAGAGGTTCGGGAGGAAAATTACCAGGTCAGGTTGCAATCATCGAGAATCTTTTTCGAGTCGTGTAGACTAAAATGTAAATCCCCTTGATGTGATTTGGAAGAGAGTGTGGCGGATAGGTTCTGAATCTGGATGGAATGATCTCGTCTGTATGACGTTGCCAAGGTGGCGCTGACTGGGGCGAGAAGTGAGATGATAGAGTCGATCCTCATATTGATATTAGAGGGTAAAGGGTTCACGGTGTTATCCAGTCCGATAGAGGTATGATGCGATCGACACTATGGGATGTCGTCTAAATAAAAACTCGAGTGGTTGCTCCTTCAGGCAGATAAAGCAAATTATAGAGTTCATCAGCGGGCGGCTCTAGTAGATTTATACCTGCTTTTCGCCGGTGAGTACTACCATGGTTGAAAGAGAGCTGACAAAACCTACCACCTTAAGCCGAATTAGACTCGCCCCTTCTTTCAGACGACAAGAAATGCTAGTATGCGATTCGGTGCTAATTCCCAGGAACTTGATCCGTGTCGCTGATCTTGTGAAATGCCGCAGGTCGACAGGTACTCAAGGTAGTACCTTGGGTAGTACATATCCGACCCTCATTATTGTTACAAAATGGTTACATTCAACGATCAGGCTGGTAGCCAGGTTTTGATCCGATTTTATTCATGTTCTTCAATTCGGCAAACGCCATACTACTACTCCTTTGCTGCGTTCGTGAATGTGACTTACCGAGATTGGTTCCGCATGTGAAGACTCGCCTTCCACTAAAGATGTGGATGTCATACCAATAGGATTGATGTAAGAATAAGGTAGCGACCATACGGGAAGGGTCACACAGGCCAGTTGGTTTGATGCAGCTATGCTATCCGCCACAAATATAGCAAACTTCCAGCTTTACAACGTCGAGACACGGGCCAGCGAAATGCAAGGATGGATATGGTATGCCATGCAAAGGGGAGGAGTCGAAGTAGGGAGAATAGAGAAGCTAGCTAGTACAGACTCCTGGACCTCAGAAGGGATCGATGCTAGACAAAGCACACGTGTACTCTGTCTTCACATTTTCACGCAGGAAAAGTTGGATGAGAGGGGAAAAGGAAGCTTTTGGACTTGGGAGGGGTATACCACGAAACATGCCACATTTATAACGCACGTACAGAAAGGAGAATAAGGACGGAGACGCAGGTAGGGAGAGATGAGGGTCAAATCGAAGGAAGAGATAAGAAAGATGATGGCAGAGATGTCAGTAGAACATATGTTCTAGCTGGAAAATTTGAAAAGAAATGAAAAAAAAGCGTATGCAGAAGATCAAAGGCGCAATGATCAGTGTGGCTGAAAGGAGTTGAGAATTGAATAGAGGTTTTCAAGGAATCCTGTCCTCGATATACGGGGAAGGAGTCTATTGTTGATGGGCGTTGTGAGCGTCGACAAGGGCTGTGTGCCAAGGTTAGCAAATGAAATTTACCTCGATTCAAACAAGAAGATATTACTTACTCTGCAGAGCAGAAGCTTGTCCCTGTCGCGACTCGCAAGCACATTGGAGGGTGCTACCGTCCAAAAAGTCCAGCAGGATGCTGTTTGGCAACTCCTGCATATCCTCATCAGGAAGACAAGGGGTTCGGAACTCACTCAGGTGATAACGCTTGGTCATGTTACGAGCAGCGGCATCGGTGGTGCCAGGAGCCAGAACAAGATATCCACCCTGGTCAATACGCATGAATCGACGCTTCCAGAGAAGCGTATCCGGGAATTGCACGTTGACCTCACCAATATCGATGGGGTCAGGGAGATGGGGGCGAGATGGCGAAGGAGAGATAGCCGATTCGTGCTGTGTGATCGGACCGATGTCTTCCTCTTTCACTGGCGGAGAAAGAGCCCCGATTATGCTGCGACGCGAGTTTGAGGTAATGGAGGACACACGACGCATGAGGCGCGAGGCCCGAGAACCCTTCTTCTCCTCGGTGGGCGAGGATGAGTTGACGATCTCATCGGTCTTGGAACGCGAAGATACGGAAAGTCGGCTCCCTGGGCGAGAGAGGGACGCTGCTTGCCGGCTAGATCCTACAGACGAGATTGACATGCTGCGGTCCTCGGGCCGATTGGCTGCCTCGGCCGTCGGGGTTTGTGCGGTCAGCTCGTCCGAGGTGTCGTGCTCCACGGTCAAAGGACTGGCCTGGAGGTTGAGAGCATCAGACTCTGTAGGATCGAGCCCAGCGGAATCGGGCGAGGCATCACTATCACGAATAATACGGGCCGTCACGGATATTGAGTTGGTACGGCGCGCGCCATTCGAAGCAGGGCGTGAGTCGTGATGATTCACGCTGGGGGCGCGAGAGAAATCCGGTGTGGTGCCATTAGGGAACGAGACAGATGCACGCTTGCGCAGATTTTCAAAAGAGGAAGAGGTCGAGGGCCCATTCACATTGATTGTTGAGCCTGAAGGGGTCCCTTCACGGGAAGAAAACTTCTCCAGTGCTTTGATACGAGAGGAGATACCAGAAGATACGTTGATCTTCTTGGCCATAAGCACAGGAGTTGAAGGTCCATTCTCGGGATAGGTGCTGGATGCGGACCTGCCCACATGCAGCGCCTGAACAGCGGACGGAGAGGCGAGACCATGCGGGCTGGAGACAGCGCGAGAGCCCTTCCAGGAGTTCTCGCCGCCATTGGGCGACTTGACCGAGACCGGTCTGGCCTCCTGCACGGTGGCCGATCTCAGCTCCTCCATGAAGGAATCGTCCGACAAAAGATTGTCGTCGTCAGAGTACTCTTGTGTCGGGACCTGGATTGGCTCCAGGTGGATCCTCCGTCGTTGATCCAAGGGGAGCGGCTCTGCTTTGGGGCTAGGTGTTTGCTCGGGAGCAGCCTCAATCGACACCAAAAAGGGCGCGATCGAGGGCTCCGCCACGGGGCTTGGGGGCGCGTCGGCAAAAGACGTGGCAGGCAATGTAGTCGAGTCAGTGGCCTCTTCTGAGAGAGTTCCTACAGATTGAGCCTTCTCCAGCTGCTGGTCCGCGGCTGGCGAGGCTTCTGGTTGTTGAAAAGGAGCATCCCCCGGTTCAGTCTTCGCGTCTGAAACTTCGGGTGCCTCCCTGTCAAGTGGAGATTCGAGAACGGCGCTAGGTGGGACTAGGTCGCTCTTAGTCTCGCTTTGGCCAAGGATTGCGGAGTCTTCGAGATCAGCGCGTGCTTCATCTTCCCAGACGGTCTGCGGCGTCTCCGACAGAGCAGGGTCGAAAGATGGATCGATATGGGTAGAGGAGAATGTGGTATCGGCACTAGGCCCAGAGGTATGTGATGATGGTTCACCTTCGGAATTTGACACAGGCACAGCCGTGGATGATTCTGGCTCTGGTGTCCCAGGTGTGGGAGACCGCTGTTTTTCCTCGGCCTCGACTGTCTCTTCCTGAGGGGTTGTATCTTCCTTCGAGATCGACTCAGGCGCGGGCGATGTCAGCTCTTCCTGATCACCTGCAACGATGGCCTCTTTCTCGACAGGGGGAACCGGCACCTCAGCTGGCGTTCGCGATTCTTTTTGAGGCTCTACAGCGTCGTGGGGAACCTCTGTTGCTGGAAGTGGCTGCTCCATAGTCATTTCTTCTTCTTTGAAAGATTGCTGTTCAATCTCGATTCTCCCAGACTCGGGTTCTGGGCTGATGTTTTCTTTATTCCCTTCGGTCATTTTGGTAGCTTCATCCTCGGTTTTGGGTTGTTCCTCCACATCTGGAATGTCATGTTTCTTCTTGGACTCTGCGCGTTTTGCCATGTTCTTCTTTCGCTGTTGCAATGCCTTCATCAACCGTTCCTTCTCCGGCGTCAATCCAGAAGATGTTGACAATGCGCCCAGAGATTTGGCACCGGGGGACAACTGCGGCCTCGAGATAGGTATTGAGGGTGGTGGAACAAGTAGCGGAGGAATTGGCGGAGCTCGTCTGTTCGGTCTGCTTGCGAATGAACTTCCTTGGGATCGAGGACGAGGTGGATCGGGGGCAGCATTGTTGGATTTCCGTACCGAGGACGAGCGCATGTTGGACGGTAGCGATGCAACGGGCCGCTGATCTGGATTCCGCGAGCTGCCCGCCGTACGGGGACGGCCACTTTGATCAACCGATGGGCGAGGCCCCAGCTTGACCTTGGGTGTATACCCGGCTGCCCGTTCCAACTCCCGCAGTGATGGCCGGGCGGATTGGGTTGACATCCGTGCCTCCTCTGACGGCCGGGGAAACTCATCCAGGATGTTCCGATACTTGGAATGCTCCGACCCGGAATCGGGAGATCTGGGCGACGTCGTCACCGATTGCATTTCACTTGGGCTTCTTCCGCGGGAGCTTGCTCGAGACGGTGGGGGACGGAGATCGGGCGATGAAGTTCCGGGGTCCGGCGAGGTTGGTGGTGGTGCGGCTGGCGCTGTAGTCGGCTGCTGGGGTGAGGTAGTCGTCGTCATCGGCGGCGGCGGCGGCGGCACAACAGTGGCTTCTGATATTTGACTTCCTGATCGTTGACGGCCCGGGGCCTTAGGTGGTGGCACCGGGTGGCCCTTGGTCTCTTCCTTCGCACCGCTTTCCTCGGCATCTTCGGTGATTTCCATCAATCGACGACGACGGAGCGAGCTTGACGACGAGGTGATGGATCCGGACGCCGTGTGAAGGAGACATGCTGAGGACAAGGAACTCTCGCTCAGTTCTGAGGCCTGGGTCAGGGCCAGAACGGTGTCGTTCGGGGAGAATTTGTCGGTCACGGACTGAAATTGCACATTGCTTCGGGCTGCGATAAGAACATTCCATGTCAGCTCAGATAATTCCGGGCCGGCTCGACTGCCCTGGCAAGGTATGGAGAGTGGAACATACCTTGGATCAGCCGTGACAACCCCTCGGGCATGTACCGCAGGATCACCTTCCTTCGCCGGTAATGCAGGAAGCCGTAGAGGGGGGAGGTCTCTTCGTAGTTCTCGATGGCATTACGGACCTCTGCCACCCCACCGGTGCCGCGCTCGAGGAGGGCGACCTCATCCCTGGAGACGTAGTGTAACAGAAACCTAGGGCGATGATGCTGGTCAGTTGATGTGTGGCTTGGGACGATTGCATTTGGGGGAGCGAATGCGTCGATGCCGCGGCGGCGAGCGCAAAAGGGGCCGGGTCGGGAGTGATCTGAATTGATTGGGGGCACACTTACCATCCGCCGGCGTCGGCCAGCGCGCTCTGGTAGGCCTCGACGATGGCGGGAGTCTCTAGCCCATTGAGAGACATGGCGCGAACGGCATGGAGGCAGGCCGAGGGCGAGGGCGTGGGAGAGAATAAGGAGGGGAGAGTCTGGAACTTCCAGGTCAACAAGGTTGAGGTGAGGACGCTACGCCGACTAGAAGAGCTCGGACGCGACCGCGAGAATCGCTCACGCTGGGGGCCACGGGTCAAAGATCTCCAGATCGAGATTCAGCCCAATCACGGCGGGACAGACGGGCGGATAGGCTCTGCAGCGCGAACCTCTGGATGGTTCTGCTTGTTTCAGGGGCATGGGCTCGGTGGTTGTACTCCACCCGCGGCTATCCCAATTTAAGTGGGCGTCCTGAAACACGCGGCGTTGGTGCTATTTCTAGCTAGGCTGGAATGATATTGGGCATTACTTGTAGGTAGGGTACCCATACCTGAGAGTCAGGGCGGTGGTATGGCCTGGCAAGTATGTGCACAAGTACGAGGTCGCACGGAGGGATTGTTGGGCTTTGGAGGAGAGGCATTCCCCATGAACTCATGCTTCGACGTGGGATGTACTATGAGCAGGCCTACTACATATCACGTTGTTTTGTCGGTAGTGTTAGGTTCAAGTAGCGATCAGTCTTGAATACATCCCATATTCCATATAGAGTTCTCACTCTATATCTGCTCTTGGCATACCCTACCTACCTTGGGGTACCTTCAAAGTTGTATATATCATCAGATATCTCTGGCTGGATTTATTGTGGCCGCCTCCGCCGCGGCCGCAGACACTCGGCGACCCCCGACGGCGGGACCCAAGACCACCACCACACCTCGAGGTATATCTTCACCACTGCCGCCCATGGCTTTCCCTTCAGGAATCCCCGCGTTCTCGACCTCTTGATTCACCATGGACCTGCCCGCCCTCGCCATCCTCCCCACGCTGCCGCAGGACGCCCGGCTGCGGGTGCTGGACACCCTCTTCGAGCCCTCGCCCGAACTGCACCAATTGATGCTGCCGGTGCTGGCCACGCCCTTCCCCTCGTACCCCGCGCTTATCGACGCCGTTGGCAGTCGCATGTCCGCCCTCGCCACCCCCGGCTCTTCTGACCGGAATGTGCTGTTCGGCATCCTGGGCTCGCACCCTCGGCTCGGTCGGCCCGCCGCCAACCCCGAGCATCTCAGCGAGTTGAGCAAGAAGGAACAGGCCCAGCTGCAGGTCGGCGCCGAGGAGCAGGCCGAAAAACTGCGCGCGCTGAATGCCGAGTATGAGGCGCGATTCCCCGGACTGCGTTTTGTGTAGGTTCCTTTGTCTCAATTCTCACCCTCCCGCCTATCGTTGCTCGTTTCTGACAGCGCCGATCCGATCGGGCCACAGCTCCTTTGTCAACGGCCGCAGTCGCGAGGTGATCATGGTGGAAATGCGCCAGCGCATTGACCGGGGCGACATTGAGCGCGAGATCCAAGAGACCATCCAGGTAAGTTTGGGCCCAGGCATTCCGAGGAGGGGATATCCCATGGAAACTAATCTCCCGGGACAGGCGATGTGCGATATTGCAAAGGACCGGGCCCGCAAACTTCAGGCGCGCATTTAGAAGATACCCTAGAACCAAGCAGGAAAAAAGAGAACAATGACCCCTGTATAAATTATTCTTTTGCTGCATATTCTGTACTCCGTTGATACCAGCCCGTTTGTAAGCAATACTACTAGCGACTAAAACTCACCTCAGGGTCCAGTCCGGGCCTTCTCGCGTGCTCCACTGGACTGTCGCGCCCCCCAATTTGATGTCATCCAACTGTCTCCGGCCATTGCCGCTTCGCCTATCGGTCCATTTTCGCCTGCCCATTTTTTCTTTCACGATGCCTCAATCCTGACTAATTTCCCCTTTCTCTCACTCTCTCTCTTAATTCTCCCCTCACTCCTCCATGCGACCCGACGCGCATCGCGATGGCCGAGAGTAGCGCGGACTCAGTCGCTCTGCCGTCGAGAGCCCCCGCGATGGCCGATGCGAAACCGCCACTGCGCCCCTCGCAGACAATGCCCAGTAAGTGCACGAGGGAAAAACCCCGCCGGGTTCCCAATGACCTTCTGGATCTTGAGAGGCTCCAGGCCGATTGAAAAGATCGGATCCCCACATTCCCCGGGGATCGTCGCGGGGAGGAGTATGAAGCATACGCGCTGACAGTTTTTGAACCACAGGCTCGGCCATATCGGACGTCGCGTCGGGCTCGAGCAACAGCCAACAAGATCTACACCGCAGCATCCGCCGTGTGCCGACCATTGGACCTATTGGCAGTCCTCTGGTCAGAAACCCTACGCAGCCGCTGCAGGAGACCCGCACCGAGACCAGCGCCATCGACCCGTTGTCCCAGGTAAGCCAGTTCTGATCCTAATCACCATTGCCCATGCCAATGGCTCGCCGGGGTTGGTCGCAATGGAAAGCCAAGCTGGGAATACGAAGCTTGCGCATCGTATCTCTGACTCTTCAGCCGCATCCATCGAGACCCTTTCCTGCCGTCGCTACGAGAGACAATACGGACAACAAGCTGACACTGTGACCTGTCTTGTAGCACATCATCCAGCGGACCAACACTCAAAAGTCAATTCCTTTAAAGCTGTTGGGCCGCGCATCGTATGAGGCCGACGCTGGCGGATCGGAATACAGCTTGTCGGAACAAGACGCAGGCCGGGGCGATGTGTCGCCAAACTCAAAACCCAAAGAGAAGAAGTATGTGAATCTCGTGAATCCTGCGCAAGCCGTGTGAGGCCCGGATGGCCCCGTTCTTATCGGGAGTTTATGTCTCACGCGCGTGCGTGATCTGTCCCCCCGCGGAATCTGGTGGCGAGCTCCGCGGGGTCCCGTTGCCAATATTACAGCGTGACTGACCCGGGTTTTCTCTTTTTCTTCTTGTTGCAACAGAAAAGGCGTTTCGTTCCTCAGTCGCATAATCGGCACGAAGAAGAAAGAACAGCTGTCCGAGGCAGAAGATGAGAGTTCAGGTCAGGAGCCCAGCCGCATGTCCGTCGACACTTCCCATCCAATAGGATTCATCCCTCGACATCCAGCACCAGCCAGGTATCTCCGAGTTCGCGCCCACTACAAGAAGGACAAGCAGTTCGACCGTGTTTTCTTGGCCCAGGAACTCGCGGGCATTCCCGCAAAGCCGCGCGCCGAGAGACGACTATCAACGTCCAAGGCAGCTCAAAGTGACGAGGGGACCGGAAAGGCCATTTGGGCGCTGGAATTTTCCAAAGATGGCAAGTATCTAGCGGCGGCGGGCCAGGACAAGAAGGTTCGAATATGGGCAGTCATCTCCACCCCGGATGAGCGCGAAGAGGCCCTTCGAGAGGATTTAGGGACGCCGGAGAGCGAGCAAGACCCGCCGCGGTTGAAGGCTCCCGTATTTGGTCCTAAGCCGGTTCAGGTATTTGAAGGACATACGGGCAGCATCCTGGATTTGAGCTGGAGCAAAGTATGTTATTGACAGCTATCATGCACGCACAACGCATGTGCTAACTGCCGAGTAGAACAACTTCATCCTCTCATCCTCCATGGACAAGACGGTTCGATTGTGGCATGCAAGCCGGCCGGAATGCTTGTGTTGCTTCCAACATAGTGATTTCGTCACCTCAATACAGTTCCACCCTCGAGATGACCGTTTCTTCCTTGCGGGCTCCCTTGATACGAAGTTGCGCTTGTGGAGTATTCCGGATAAGAGCGTGGCGTTTGTCACGGCTGTGCCCGACATGATTACCGCCGTTGCTTTTACGCCGGATGGACGTTATTCGATGGCTGGATGTCTCAATGGCATGTTGAATATCTACGACACGGAAGGCCTGAAGGTCTCCGGACAGATCCACGTCCGATCTGCCCGTGGACGTAACTCTAAAGGCAACAAGATCACCGGCATCGATACGAGAGTGGCCCCTTCCGACGATCCCAACGGCGATATCAAGCTGCTGGTGACCAGCAATGACTCTCGGATCAGGCTTTACGATTTCCGAGATCGAGCCTTGGAGGCCAAGTTCCGCGGAAACGAAAATAGCTGCAGCCAGATCCGAGCGACGTTTACCGAAGATGGCAAGCATGTCATCTGTGGAAGTGAGGATCGTCGTGCATATGTCTGGCCGATTGGTTCTATAGAACGGGATGCCGACAAGCGGGCAGTGGAAGTCTTTGAAACGCAGTCGGCTATTGTGACGGTGGCCGTCACCGCGCCAACTTCCACCAAGCAGGTTCTAGCGCTGTCCGAAGATCCTATTTTTGACATCTGCAATCCTCCACCCGTTGCGCTCATGAGCCCGGAAGAGTCGCCTGACACACCGAGGCAGGACAGTGGGAAAGAGATTGGCGGCAGCCAACATAAACGGTCTGCATCAGCACCACGGTTGTCGATCGTCAGTAAGATGGCACACGAGTCTCCATCGTATCTCTCCCGCTCGAAGCACCCCGATGGAAACATCATTGTCATTGCCGACTATTCCGGCAAAATCAAGGTGCTTCGACAGGACTGTGCCTATCACAAGCGACGATATGAGAACTGGGATGCCAACTCAACGATCTCCAGGCGGATCTTACGACGCTCGAACTCGGCCCGCCACAGCATTGCCTCATCGACCGGGAAGGACTCGTCACATAAAACACCATCCGAGCGGATTATCTCCTGGCGCAACTCCGTTGTCCGCCACGGCCGAACCAGTACCGAAGGTTCACGCTCAGGACTCCGCACCCGCAGTCCATCTCCACAGCCTCGATCCGCCACGTTTCGGCTCACCTCATCAAGGCCCTCAAGTATGGGTCCCAATGAATCTCACTCGGGGATTCCATCCCCACCACCCTCCCCTCGCCGTTCTCGTGCCGAGCGCAGACATGTGAATGGGGATCATCCTGGCAAGAATGGCCACGGTCCGGTCGTTGGTGCCGACCCCCGAGCACTGCCATCTTCTTCAGCCGAGCTTATCAACAGCGGCAAGGGCAAGGACAACCCACTTTGGCTCCAAGGCGACCACAGCTATGCCTATTGGAACAAAATTACACACGATGCGCTCGCCATACGATCTCGCAATTCCAGGGACCTGTTGAGTCCCAACCGTATAGTATCCTCCGAACGCAAATTGAGCACTGCTGGTAGCGTGCTGAGCAGTGATTTTGGTTCGTCGGCCGGTGATGCAGACGAGGATATCCTCAAATGCGACCACTGCCGCGGCACGAACTTTCGCGGAGTCAAGGGCCGGGATGGGAAGCAGAAGTTAATCTGCGTTCAGTGCAACCGGCCTGTTTCTTGATCTATATACCAATTTGTACTAACTATGCCTAATGCTTTGATGACGGATTTCAATTTGCGCCGGGGTTGGGGCCTTTATTTTGAATCATATCTTGTTTACTTATTTTCACGATCTGATGTTTGATGCCATTTGGATATGCTCTTTCCTTGTTTTTATAGTAAGCTCCATGAGCAGTTGTCTGGGCTTGTTGACATGCATGGTCTTGATATTCTGCTCGGCGTGTACGATATTTGAAGAATTTTGTAAAGTGAAATATATGCGCACATAAATTATTTTCAAAGCAGCATTACCCCATCTTAAATACTCATTTTTCGTTATGTAGAGATCTGTCTATTACCAGACATGTAGTAGTCAGGCTGAACTAGCGCGGAGCTAACGCCAAGACCTGAAAAAGTCCGGCGCCGATAACTGCGGTCCTGCCACCCCGGACTCTCCCCTCAACCACCACCTCCCAATTCCTCCCAGCTCGGCTTCAAAACCTCTTATCAGCCGGAGCCGACCCTGCAGCCGAATTTCCGATTCTCCAATCTTCCCAAGAAAGCTCAAACACGACGATCCTCAAACTGAACACCGCAGCAACAGCGAGACCGGTTCTCGCCTCCCACCACGATGCCCTTCCTTCCAACCTCGCAGGCCTTCCTGGAGCAATCTGCTCAGCTACTAGAGGCATACCCAGAGAATGTAAGAGCACTTCCCAACTACACAGGTGACTCCAAGTCGTCTGCGACTGCGTTGCCCGCACCGAGCACCGCCCCCAAACCCGCGAAAAGTCACCGCAACTCCAACGCCATTTGATCACAAGATCAAGCCCATCGCCAATTTCTAACCTATAAATTGGGCCGGAAGATGTACATAATTCTTGGATTGAAAGAAACTGACAACCCACCCAGACCCGCATAACAACAAAATACAACTTCCCAACAGAACGCCCCACCAACGTCGCAAAGCGCCAAAAGTCACAGTCCAAGAGACCTTCACCACAAGAATCCACCCCCTCCGTCCCCATCGCCTCTCTGACCCTGAAGACCTACAGCCCCGACTCGGGCATCATCCTGAAATACCGCACAAACAAGCAGCAAGAGGTTGGGCGACTAATGACGGGATTGGGGAAATTGGCTGCGGGCGCGGACGTTGCGAGTCTCGGATTGTCGGCGCCTGGTCTTGCCGGTGCGGATGTTGAGATGGCTGATGCGCCGGAAGAGGGTGCTGCACCTGCGCAGCCGGCGAAGGGTGGACAGCAGCAGCAGGGCCAGGTACAGGGAGGGAAGGGGAAGAAGAAAGGTGGGAAAGGGAAGCGATAGTGGTTTTCTGAGCATGGATTTTGGATTTTCTCTTCATACTATTTCTTGACGTGGTAGATGGGATTGGGTCCTGGAAAGTCCTCTTCTCTAGACATAATGACATGTTACGGCTCATGGGCTGGGCCATGTGCAGCACCTGAGAGCAAAGCTGGATTTCCTTTCTAAGTAGAATGGTTCATGCATAAAGCAGATGGCTGAGCTGTAGGGCGATGAACATCGTGGCTGTTAATAGTATGTACGTTGCAGTAGTATAGACTAGCATATACCAGAACTGTGACTACGGGACGGCGAGTACACATAACGAAGTGATTCAAACGTCTAGATACACATATCCGCCATCCATCCCAATATTAGACATTGCGGGAAAAAAGTCCAGGGCAGACTAAGACAGATCCAAGAAAAGAAAAAAAAAAAAAAACAAAAAAACGCCATGCCCATGCGTAACCAGAATTCCCGTCAATCAATAACCAAAAAAGCATCAAATCGTGTGAACAAGTGTGAGACAAACTCACAGCGTGAGGGTATAAAACAAGAACGGGGTGGAGGAGGGGGGGGGGGGGGGGGGGGTGGGTTAGGTTTCGACAAGAGGACAAGCATCTAGAAGTCCTCGTCGAAGTTCAGACCATCGTTGCCAGAGGACTGCTCGCCATCAGAGGTGGTCTCCTTCTTGGTCGAGGCCATGACACCAGCCTTCTGGTAGTCACCAACACGCTTCTCGAAGAAGTTGGTCTTGCCAGCCAGGGAGATAGACTCCATGAAGTCGAAGGGGTTGGCCGAGTTGAAGTACTTCTGGTTACCCAGGGCCACAAGGAGGCGGTCAGCGACGAACTCAATGTACTGGCACATCAGCTTGGCGTTCATGCCAAGCAGAGCGCAGGGAAGAGCGTCAGTCAAGAACTCCTGCTCAATGCCGACAGCCTCGACGATGATGTCCTGAACAACCTGCTTGCTGGGGCGGTGGTTCAGGTGGGAGAACAGCAGACAGGCGAAGTCAGTGTGCAGACCCTCGTCACGGGAGATCAGCTCGTTGGAGAAGGTCAGACCGGGCATGAGACCACGCTTCTTCAACCAGAAGATCGAGGCAAAAGAGCCGGAGAAGAAGATACCCTCAACGGCGGCAAAGGCAACCAGGCGCGAGGCGAAGGTAGAGTTACGGTCCTGGATCCAGCGGATAGCCCAGTCAGCCTTTCGCTTAATGCAGGGAACTGGGAAAGGTTAGCAGATACTTTCAACAGACATGAATGCTTGAATCTTACTGGTCTCGATGGCATCAAAGAGGTAGGTGCGCTGCTTAGGCTCCTTGATGTAGGTGTCGATGAGAAGAGAGTAGGTCTCAGAGTGAATGTTTTCCATCATGATCTGGAAACCGTAGAAGCAGCGAGCCTCGGTGGCTTGGATCTCTGCGCTGAAACGCTCTACCAGGTTCTCATTGACAATTCCGTCCGAGGCAGCGAAGAAAGCAAGGACGTGGGAGATGAAGTAGCGCTCGTCATCGTTGAGGCGGTTGTGCCAGTCGTGCAGATCCTTGGAGAGATCGATCTCTTCGGCGGTCCAGAAGGAGGCCTCGGCCTTCTTGTACATTTGCCAGATCTAACCAAAGACACGCGTCGTTAGCCATGTGGTTTTTGGTGGGGTGACGCGGAGTCCTTCACGTCCAATCCACTTTACGCGTAGACGCGTTGGCGACGTGACTTACCTCGTGGTACTTGATGGGGAACAGAACAAAGCGGTTGGGGTTCTCCTGCAGCAGAGGCTCGGTAGCCTCAAGCTCCAGAGGAGTGGGAGCAGCCTTGGGAGCCTCGACGGGCTTCTCGGTGATCTTCTCGGTGGAGGCGTCGACGGGCTTGGTGGACGCGGGCGCGTTCTCCTTGCCGATGGACTCGAAGTCGAGCTTCTTGACGGGCGAGTCGCTCATCTTGAGGTTCTCGAGGGAGGAAGCAGCCTATGGAACCACACAAGTTAGTTGGTATTGCACGGTTGACGCGTCTGTCGCGAGAGGCGACAGTCGTGACATCACGTACCTGCTTCGAGGGGGTGACTTGAGTGGCCATTGGGAACTATGTGTAGGGCTGGATGGTCACGTTAAACAGATGATTGCAAGTCAAACACAGCAAGAGTCTGGAGTCTGAAGCTTGGAGGGGGAGAGGGAGGGATGCAGCTGGGAGGGAAAAGCTCGATTAAGTAGTTGGCGGACGTGAATCTTTTAGCGCGACGGGCTAAGTCACGTCGCACGTGACTTCGCGCCGCCCGTGCTGAGTCATCCACGCAAGGCGCGTCGCCGTGGCAGTCGCATTGTCCAACGGGGGCGACTCGCATCTCATGCCACTGCCTTTCCAGCATCCTCCGACGCTAGGGCAAGTCGATCCATGGCCGTGCCTGCGGTAGCCCCTTCGACACATACGTTCAACCGCAGGTTCCATTCTTGGAAAAGTGTTCCTGCATCCCATCTGCCAATTAATCTCTACGCGGGTATCTACAGCGTCGGAACCAGCTATAATTTGAAGATATCCTACAATAGCAATACAAATGCACCATCAGCCGAGACGAAGGTCGCTAGAACCTGGAAACCGCCACAAACAACGCGGGGCCCAGCGACGCGTCGCATCAAATTTTCAGCTCGACGTAATGGGGGCCCACCTTGGCTGGATCACGATCAGATAAGCCAGCCAGACGATCAGCAACATACATGCTTTGCCGACGCGACATCGGATATACGGGCTTAATTGGCAATCTAGACCAGCAAGGATCCATCGAAACACACTACTATTGACCAGGTTGTCGCTCCAGTCGGGCACATCACTGTTGGCAAACCCGCTTTCCACGGCCCCAGCCCCTTCAAACCAATACGAGGAGGTACCGAACACACGATGAATTGCAGTCGTACAATTTGGAGTATACAGTGCACATCGTTTACGTTCCCAGCTGCCACTTTCAAGATAGTAGTACAGAGGAGGATTGCCCTGGCAATCCTCTTCCCCCCGAATCTCAAGCTCTAGAAGGAATGAAGGAGCGTTCACTCCATACAGAAGTTTCGAGGAGTGGAGACGGCCTCTCGCGTCGGAGAATGTGCCGGCCCAGCTCGCGTGGAGCTGGGCGCGTCCCTGGAGCTCCAGTTCTTGCTGGGGAAACAACATTGACAAGGTTTCAGCCTAGCTGTGCGCCAATCCATGTTCCATCCCTGTCGAGCTTGCGCGAACGCGTCTCCACCTGCCAACGCGATCCTCCAGCAACCCTACATATGCGGTGAAATTTGGGCCCGCTTGGACGATGCTGAGAGCCTTTTTGAGGGGCGTTTGGTCTTTTCACTTGACGGATCCCGGCCGTCTCCGAATGTCTTCGGAGCTGCCTTTCCGCCGTCGTGTCCTCCGTGCTAGGGGCTTGGATGTCCGACAGGCGGAGCTGCACGCGACCTGCCCTCCGGGTTTCGTGACAGGGCCTAGCTCGGCCTGTTGGCAGATATTGGCAACTAGCGCGTTTTTTTCTCGAATTTTTTAATCGGCAACAACTTTAGGCCCGCGGTATTCCCTTGCAAACGCGGTGCATTTCATCGTGCACGACGCGCTTCAGTTGTAAATAGTGTTAGGTATCAAGCTTATGGGTGCATTTGCCTTTCCTTTTTTTCGTCATTGAAGCACTATATACAGTATGATTGAATTTTTGACCGAACTTAACACAATACAGGTATATGAACTGTGAAATTAAATTTTTTTTCCACACCCCCGTCCAGGGCAGAATATGAAAAGGTTTTGTTGTGTCTCGCCCACCAGGATCCATCACATGTGATGCCAGAGCTTGCCAGTGCTTTAGTGCGAACTGCGGCGAGCCAGCTTATGGCTATTGTGTAGCGCGACATTTGGCACGTAAAGTGGCATGGAGTCCTCCCAGATCGAGTCGGTCAACACGCGTTTGTTGGAGCCATCCGCATCCATAACCATCACTTGACCATAGGGCTGGAAGGTTTGATCGTACAACGCGCACTCGTATTGGAACCCAAACATCCCCGTCGAATACATGATGCGCCCATCATGCGTCCACACAGCATGGGCATCGTTCGCGCCGCTACTCGTCAGAACCTTGCTGTCGGTACCGTCGGGGCGCATCGTGCAAACGTCGTAGTTGGTCGCGCTGACCTTGCGGGTGAACACAATGCGCTCGCCATCAGGTGAGAAGAACGGCAGATTGTCCCACTCGGTGGTCAAGACGGAGATCTTCCGTGTTTCCAAATCCAACATGCGCAGGCCGAGCTGGGACTTCTCGCCCTGAGTGGAGTTGTACCCCCACACCCGGAAGACAATCTTCTTGCCGTCATGCGAAAAGCTGGGGAAGCCCGAGTTGATAATGCTGCTGTTGGCGCTGAGAGTAGTCTCACTCTCCGTCAAGATTTCATAGTACGAACCATTCGCAGTAGCACGCACTAGCCAGCCACCGCTCGAGGCACGAGTCTGGAACCAGAAGCCGACACCAAAAGTGAGCCAGTTGCCATCTGGTGACCAGGAGGGCTGGAAGGCTCCAGCAAGTCCTTGGGAAACCAAGGTCGTTTCGAGGAAATCAGTGGTCATGTCGTTGAAAACGAGGTGCTCATTCGTTCCATTGGCGTTATAGGAAACGATAGAGGAGTTTCCGAGCTGTTTTTCAGTCATGGCGAACATGTTCTGGTTTGACAGTTGAGGGAACACGTCCGTGAATCGGTATTCCCATTCTGAGTCCCAGCTGTACAGCTTCTTATCCATGGGGCGGACATCCCAACCAGTCTTCTCATATACCACTTTCTTGCCATCAGGAGACCAGGCAGGCGAGCGAACTGTGACGCTGGATGTATTCACAAAGCTTCCGCTGGTCGTATGGAGACCCTCCTTGTCATTACCCTTGGCAAAGTAGGCGATTTTGTTATCGGGAAGGTATTGAGGAAAGATCTTGACGCCAGTTCCTTGCACTTCAATCCGACGAGCGCCAGTCTTAAAGTCAACCGAGATGATTGTCGAGTTGGCCGAGTCTATGGATTCGGGACGGTGGGAGTTCCAGGTATTCTCACGGGTCATCTCATAGAACACAATTCTCTTACCATCGGGAGACCACTTGGGCGAACCCTGGGACCAGCCTTTTCGTGTAGCAACCTGCCGGAAGTCAGAGCCATTGGGCCGAATAGCGTAGATAGATAGCTCTTGGGTGTGTTCCCAGCCGCTGACTCCCAGGAAGACGGGATCACCATGTCCGTACCATCCCGTATTCCGATCTGAAGAGAAAGCAACCCACTGGCCGTCTGGTGACCAAGCAGGACGGAAATAACCATTCGGCAAGGATGCATTCGCCGCAGTCGAGGCAGTGTCCGTAAGATTCCATTTCTTGCCACTTTCAAGCTCCATAACCCAGATATTGGCCTTGTATCCATTTGCCGTGGAGACATAGGCAACGTATCTACCATTGGGGGACATAACAACGGAGTCTTCAACTGACGAGGTCGCCACAAGTTCCTCTAAATCGGAGCCGTTCGTTCGCACGCGGTAGATATCGGAATTGCCGTCGCCGTTGCGTTCGCTTGTGAATGTGATCCATTCTCCGTCTGGGGAGAACTCTGCATGGTAGTCGAAAACGGGGTTGGAGAGGAGTGGTCGCTCATCAGTGCCGTCGACATTAGCGATGTACAATTCCGATGACCCTGGAGCAATGCGGTTCATGTAGAAGACACCCTTCTTGTTGTCCGAGGAGGGAATATCGAGAGCCGAATGAGGATGCGGCGGGGATGTGCCTCTCTTGTCAAGGCCCATTTGTGCGGCATACGGGCAGAGAGCCAATGACGGAACCAGGGTCATGCCCAACAGAGCGATGGACGCACAAGAGACAATCATAATGGCTTTGGCTCGAGAATTCGAGGTCGAATCGCGCAACAGGCAAAGCCGGAGCCTTGATGGGGGCTGCAAAGCATCTTTTATATTGACGATTTTTGCCTGTTCTAGAGAATTCTTATCCGAATTTATCGATCCTTGTTTATTCCGGCCGGTGATAGTTGATTCCAGCCCTGACATGCAACAAGCCTTTGCCCAGCTCAGTATCTCAGACCGAACAAGTGGAAACTTGGCGAAAAGTTCGCGTAAATGCCAAGAGCCATGACTAGTATCTAATCTGATGCTGAGGATTGGGCAGCTAGATCCGATCAATATTAATTCTCAAAGAATGAAGGCCTGAACGGCCGCTGATTCAATATGGAGTCGATATTGGGATCTTCGAGAAATTGGCTGCATCAGGCAGATTCGACCGTAAGCGAAACCTCGGAGTCGGACATTGCAGAGCCAAGACCAGTTGGCGTGGGGCAGAGTGAAGAAGTCCGCCGATCTTTTCCATGCTGTCTCTGATGAGACACGCCAAAGCCTGCTGCATTGCATGTATATGAGCCGCGTTCAAACAGAGACCGTTTTCGAATCAAAGTCGTCTGATATCAAGCCCGCAGAGGTGTTGTATGACCATCAGTTGTAATTGAATGTGGGTGCCTACTGTTTTTAGCAGCCAATCCAATACTGAGCACAAAAGTGCTGCGGCCAAATGGGGGCTTAAAGTGATCGGCTATCTTATCTGATGCGTTTAAGGTACCTTAGGGCACCCAGCTACACAATGCATTGTTGGCAACCGCCCGCAACGACACCTGGAGCATCCCTACCGGGCAGCCTAAACGGACACATCTGCCTCTTTCGAAAGCCTTGAAAAGTGAGTACCCAATCAAGAAATAACAGTGCCAAGCTCCGTGTCTGTCCTAACATTTATTGTGCGCTTGAGATCTGGCGGGGCCTCCCACCAAAAGACCGAGCGGCGTCCACGCATGTGGATAAGAATTTCTCCGCAAGGGTCATGATAATTCAGTGTAGGGTCCTGGTCTCATATACCAAGAGTTACTGGTGATCTATTCGCTTTCACATCTAATCTCGAGACACTTGGAGCTATGTCCGATTTGAAGCCGAAATCTTCGAATATTGTGATATTATGCCAAAAAGTCACTTATTGATCTGTACAGAGAAAATGTCACACCGAAGGAATTATTTGTCCAATCATCCAAATAATATACTTCCACTATATACAAACATGTGTCTAGCTCCGTGGGACACGGATCTAAAAGAACCAAAATCACAAACGCCCGTATCTATGATCAAACCCGGTATCACAAAGTTCGACGCCGCAAATAAATGCTGGTCGGAAACATCTAGGAGAGAACGCACGATGCAATGCTTTAGCAGTTCTAGATGCAATAAGAGGACGTGGACAGTGTTTCATCCAGCGCTGTATGGTTATTAGAGCTTCTCGCGAACGGAGTCAGAGAGAAATCGGTCCTCGACCCGACGCATAAGCTTGTTTGTTTGCTCAGCCAGACTGAGGGTCAAGATCTGGGGAATCTAGGTTAACGCGCTGTACACCCTACAGTGTTGGTAACGATTTGAAAAAGAGACTTACAGTGTGGGGGAGGATACGAGCCAAGTGGGCGAAGAATCCCTTGTAAATGGCCAGAACACCCTCGGTACGGACGGTCTTGAAGAGGCAATCAAAGACACCCTGGTAAAGGTTACCAGTCTGGTTGTACATGCGGGCCATGATGGTGTCTGGAAAAGTTAGATTCGGCACACGGGATCTCTTTCTCCGGTAGGCGGGTGTAACCTACCAGGGGGGTGCATGAAACAGCACACAACAAAGCCAGAAGCCGCACTACTGGCCAGGTGAAGAGCCGGACCCTCCTCCATACCAAGGTGCCGGGTCAGGCGGCGCTTTGCAAAGAAATATGTGGGGAGCTGGACAGCACTGCCGAAACTTGTGCGGATCATCGCGGCTCCCACGCCTCGGTAGATACCCTTGACTCCCTCACCCCTGTAGATCTTGCTCAGGCCATCAATGGAGTTCTTGTAGTTATGTTGGGTACCAACGGGAAGGAAGGGCGAATAGGATTGGAGACGGGTCTTCACCAAGAAGAACGGAGAGCCGGCAGCGGCTCCAATGACACCAGATGCAGCACCGGCAAAGACATTAGCTCCGAGAGACTGGACCATGGGGTCACTGTAGATGGCCGAGGTGAGGTTGGAACGGATGGGTTCGTAGAAACCCAGACGGCAGCCGTTCAACAGGACCTGATAGATGTACTGCAGGTTTCTCACATATTAGCACAATACACATCATACATAAAGAACTCCAGTCGGTTATAACAGGCAAACGTACGGCAGATCCAATGCCACGGAATAGGCCGCGGGGGCCTTCATTCTGTAGGATGACCTTGACGCCGTGCAGGACACCATTGTACTTCTTCGCCGCATCGCCCTTCGCCTGAAGCTCACCCTGCAATTGGAGCCTTCCAGAAAATTAGAGTTGTGCCACGCAAAGACGATCGTTGATCCCGCGCTTACCGGATCTTGACGGTTTCGAAGCTGTGAGTGACGGTTACGGCACCGCAGGCGGCGATACCTCCGGCAATGAAGGAACTGTTCGAGTCGACAGGGGTCAGCGCATGTAACACTTGTTATTTGCAGTCATAGGAAAACCCGGAGCACCATACCCAGCTGTGGTAGACATCGTGACTGTGCCAGGATCTTCTGCGACGAGGAAGTTGGAAATCGGAGAGAGATCGGAGGAGTGGCGACGATAGCCTCGGGTGACAAGGCGGACCCTCGAGTTTCAGATCGAACGGGGAAGGGAGGATTCCGTGCTGGTACCGAAAAGCTATCTTCAACGGTCTCGACAGCGATGATACGGCGATGCGACGATCTTCAAGTTGGAGGTAAGATGGTCGGGCTTCTTGAGGGCGACTATGACCAACTAAAAGCTTACTTGCGGCTAACGCAGGCCGAATCCCGCAGTCCGTCATTGGCCAATGCGGCAAATTGTCTCCGACCGTCGGGGGCGGTGAGCGTCCGACCGTAACGGGCCTAAAGAGGCAGGCGGTCGGGGAACGCTAGAAAAGAAGGCGCATGGGGAGCTGCCAGTGGTTCACCGAAGTGCAGATAGCGATGCGCTTCTGCATCACGTTCGTTTGTCAGGGCTGATATAAAAGCCGTTCTTTTGTTTTTTCCTTTATATTTTTTTTCGCAATTCCACAACCCTTCTCTCTCAGACCTCCACTTCCACTTCTCAAAGCTCTCACTTCTACATCATGGCGGACAGCCAGCAGCATACGCCGGTGCCCCAGCATACGCCGGGAGCTCCTCCCCAGACCCAGAAGTTATCAGACGTCATTCACAACTTCAAGCCCTGCAAGGTATGATGAGCTTACATGTACACTCCGATTGGATCCCCTGCTGACTTTCCACTCGTAGAGCTTCCGGAATTCGAAACCAGATGCCTCAAACTTCGTGACCTCCCTCGACTTCAACGACCAGGGCGAGCATATGGTAGCAGCCTGTGACGATGAAACGATTCAAATTTTTGATGTCAAGGAAGGCAAACACACCAAGACGGTCCCTAGCAAGAAATATGGTGTTCATCTGGCCAGGTTCACCCACCACCCTCGCCAGGTGCTGCATGCAAGTACGAAGCTTGATGGTAAGTAATTGAAAATTGAAGGCTATCTTACGCCGCAGGACTGCAGATCTGACAATATAGCAGACTCTCTACGGCTGCTGGATCTTCACAATGAAGGATACATTCGTTATTTCACCGGTCACACAGACAAGGTGACCTGTTTGGCCATGTCCCCGGGCAGTGACTCCTTCATTTCATGCTCCAAGGATGATACAGTGACGCTCTGGGATCTCGGATCACGCAATCCTCAGGGAAAATTGAAACTCGCGACTCCCTACCTCGTGGCATTTGACCCATCAGCCTCTGTTATTGCGATCGCGTCGCAGGCAACGTCAGCGATCCTTCTCCATGATTTCCGCAATTACGACAAGGCTCCTTTCGCAACATTTGACCTGGCTCAACTTGAGGAAGCCTACACCCCCTCAACCCGTGGCCGCGCCTGGACTCGACTCGAATTCTCCAATGATGGAAAATATCTGATGGTGGGGACAGATTACCACGGCCATTTTATCCTTGATGCCTTTGATGGCCACTTGAAATTCTTCTTGGTAGGCAAGAGCGGATCGCCTGGCCGTGCAGCCCCGATCTCTTCGACTGGAAAGCCACTGGGACAAGGCGATGTTTGTTTTACGCCGGATGGTCGATACGTGCTTGGCGGCAACGGAGAACAGAATGATGTGCTTGTCTGGGACCTGCAGCAGACTGCAGAGTCCAATGGCATACTGCAGCCCATGACTAGATTGCCTCACCGTGGCCGGACCGCTCTCGTCGAGTATAACCCTCGTTACAACATGATTGCCAGCGCGGATAAGGAGACCGTGTTCTGGCAACCAGATGAGCCGGCGAAACCATCCGACAAATAGGTTGCCATAGCCATCGAGATTAGTATCTCATTGTCGGTATACCAGTTATACCCAGTCATGGTGCCTGTTATCTGTCTTATGATCTACGTATGAGTGTTGCCTTGAAGTCCGTTATGATTTCGTGGTCTATCTCAGATGTCCACCCTGTGCGAAACTCCTCAAACATCTGTCTGCTGACCAACTCCATTTGGTTCTTTGCGGTCTCTATCCTTGCCCCTCAGACTTCGAGCTGTCTCACAGACCCACACTTGCGGTCCCTCGACATCATCATCAACTCCCTTCCGGCTATTCTCAATTGTGGCCTCAATTTGCCTATCCACGCTCCTGTTACTAGAGATGGTTGTCATGCCAGTCGCCCATCCATACATGAATATGCTGTGGTTGATTTCAGACAGGCCTTGCATGACGTCTCTTGCTATCGGCGGAAATTTGCCCTCTTCCCGTGCGGCATTGATCACTTCTCGAGCCTCGACTACCTTGACAGGAAGCCTCCATTCCACTGGGACTGGCCAGTTAGACAAGTTTTGGATTTTTTCAATGAGCGGTCTGCGCTCCAACTGATCATTGGGGGGATCTCCAAAGATAATCTCCACTCGTTGTTTCTCAGTCTCGGTGCCGAGCGTGTCGATGATTTCGCGCATCCGTGCTGCGGCTTCTTTGGTGCAGACCAACTCCCGACCACCCATTGCAGGCCAAATCTCGGTAGGAAGCAATGGTTGCTCCTTCTCGAGCTCAACTTGGCGCAAGATGGCACTGTGGGTTTTGTCCGTTGGAGCAAATTCTTTGAAATGTGATAGGTCTGAAACAATGGCGAGTAAAAGGGTGCAATCGACATTCAGGGTGGAAGTGAAGTTCTTGAATGGCTGAGGGAGAAGGCGGCTCAATGGAGCCGGGCTTGCAAGTGCAGGCAAGCTATTCTTACACTCAACCTTGATACCATAACCTCGCATTTTCTTCAGAATACCATCGATCTCGGGGACGTTCCCTTCTTCGATTTTTGGTAAAATAATCCGTAGTTGAGGATGTTTATATCTCACTCGCGTAGCATCTGCTGCTTTCCTCAGATCCCTCGCTAATTTAATGAGCTCCAGCTCATCGTCATCTGAGTCCTCGCCCGAGTCCTCGCCATCGAAGTTGCGTAATATGGTTCTCTTCGGGGGTGCTGAAGAATCTCCATCCGAGAATTCATCCTCACTGTCCCCTTCCCAGCCTTTCTTGGCCATCTCAAAAATCAACCGACTTTCCGAGATGGTTGAGACCTTCACCCACGCCTTCCCGTCATCTGCCACAATATCAACGAAAATGCTCTTTCGCTTGTCCTTGTTCGACGGCTTCCCCGTTCCCGATGAGGTATCCTCTTTCTTCTCTTTCTTTTGCTGGTCGCGGCTTTGCTCGGCGGATCCCCAGTAAAATCGTTTGCCCATGGCCACAAGCCCCGTACATGATCCTCGGGCGGCGTTCCAGACAGCTTGGTAGAAAGGCAGATTTGACGAGTGCAAAGCATGCAAGAGCCGCATTGCCACTTCAGGATCAGCTTCAGTAGTATAACCGCCCTTGTGGCCTTTTGTCTGGCCTTCGAGCCTCTGGAGCATTCGCAGTTCCGAGTTCACGCCTGCTCGAAACTGGCGCAGTTCCACGAGCTGTGGTCTCCGAAGGGCGCTATTGAGCAACGATTGCAGCTCGTCGATTTCATTCAGAAGGTCGCTGCATTTCTGATTCAGCTCTTCAAACAACTGGAAGCTTGCTGAATGGTCGTCTGTTCCTTGGGATAGACTTGGTTGGCTGTCGGCCTCCCTAGCCATGGTGTGCGGCGAGATTGCACGACTGGAAGGAATGTTTCTTTCCGGATCGTCCTTTCAACCAATGAGAATTGGCTCAAACTGATATGTGTGTACACCATAGCGATGTTCCGAGCTTACCTGGTCGAATTATCGATCTTTGTCCGCGATCCGCGTCTGTAAAACCTTGCATTGACTTTATGCGTGCGTGAACTCGAGTTTATGGACTCGTCCCAGTAAAGCTTTTGCATCAGTCTCAATTGAGACTGAGAAATGCGAATGACAAACTGGGGAAGTGTGGGTGGTTGGATGAATCTGGGTGCAATTGTGTACCGTGTTCGAGGGAATGGGGAAGAAGGTTGCGGGGCGGAAATGCGGCTCTCCAATGTTGACGGATGACTCAAGCACATCAGTCGCGGCTCGACCCGATCGATGGTTTTCCACCACAATCTGTACGTTTCTTGCACACAACAAGTACATTTGAAACTGAACAAAGTCTTTTAGAGTATTACGGCTATATCCCAATCTAACATACGCTCAGTGCTTTCTTGAATACAGATGCTAGAAAAATTACTCGGAATTTATTCTTGAGCCAAAATACAGAGCAGATCAACTTTGATAGCTTGGAAAAGGATGTCCTCCACTGATACATGAAAAAAGGGGAACCAACGCCGTGAGATGCTTGTAATCATCAAGACGAGCTAGCAGATCTGGGAAGTACCCTACTGCTAACAGAAATATATCAGACCCATATGAGGGTCCACTGCTGCCATAAGTAGGCATGCCAGACAAGCCACATTCATCGTATTTCTTAGTTGGTGAGTCGTTGTCTCTCGCCGGAATTGCGAGGGGATTCGTCATCAGACCATCTGCCATCCTCTTCGCCCACAGCGAAGATCGTCTCATCATCAAGCGACTCGCGCTGCTTGGGTGCAGACGATACAGGCTTGGGTGGCACGGGGGAAAGATCACGGCGGCCCTCGGCAGCAGAGCTACCAGGATACTCGGGAGGTGCATCGAAAGCATCCTCTTCATCCAGACCACTTCCGAAGGATCGAATCTCGAATCCGTCGTCATCTTGCGCAAGCTATAAGGATAGTTGTCATTACATGAACCCAAAACGAACTTTCGTTTTCCAAAATGGGGATTCCTTACCTCGTCACTCATGGCGAATCGACGGTTGTTAGCTGTAGGGCGCCACAGGTAAGCAACAAAAGCAATGTCGAACAAGTAGACCAGGTTTAACCATCCATCTAGGACGAACCACCGGGCCTTCCAGTGCTCTGGTACAAAGTTCACATCGCTGCGGCCAACAAAGACAAACGAGTTGATGAAGAAGAAGCCGAAAATGACGATGATGCTACCGAGAATGCACCACCAGAGCCTCTTGTACATCAGTGCTTTGGTCTTTTGCTTTCGATCAATGAGATCCTTCATGGTGGCATTGAGTGAATTCAAAGTCCACACATAAAATGCTGTCAAGGTGCCTGCAAGAGGGAGAACAATCAAGAGCACCAGGGGGCCGGCACTGTCGGGAGTGATGGATAGGCTCGCAATGGCGTAGACGACAGCGAATATGAAGTGAGCAATGGCAAGGATACGCACGTAGATCATCGTCCGACCAAGCGAAGGCTTAACCACACCGTAGCCCATACAGACAATGAGAAGGAGGAAAAACGAGAAGGCGTTTCGACCAGCATTGAGGACAGCTACTATGACCATCAATGCTTTTCCCATGGCATTCAGCCCATGTCGGTTTTGGTAATCTGGTCAAGGGGTCAGTGTGAGGTCGATTCAAATGCGAAATGTCACGTACCATAGAAGCCCCAGGTCATGAGCTGCTCGACGATCAGGAAGACAAGAATGGCCGTGATGTAGTTCTGCACGGGTACTATGAAGTAGTTAGCATTGATGTACGTAACTACAGAGAAAATGGACAATTGACTTACAGATGTCAAACCGGTTTTGAACGTAAAGGAATGCCCAGAACCTATACAAATTAGCATAAGTTTCTCTTCGAACGTGCACGTATTTGAGCGGTGGCAGTCGACACATACACTCCAATAACAGCGTAAACAATTGTCATGGCGCCATAGAATGGGAGTTTGGCGATTTGCGCAGCGGGGAGCTCGCCGTATGCATTGCGGAAGGTAACCACCGAGTAATAATCCTCATCAGAGTATGCGTAAGTGCTGACGCAGTAGAAACCGGTCTTTTTCACTGGATATTTGATGGGCTCTGGGTCGTTAAGGTGGATAGCTTTGGAGATGATGGGATTCTTGGAGACGTCGGTGGCATTCTTGGTGAGAATGAAGGAGCCGATATCTTCTTTCGCACAGAGACCAGCATCGACACTTCCCTGTTCGCAAATAGTATCTTTGACCTGTGGCTCGTCCGTTAGTTCTGATGCCGCCCCGAGCTGTGGGTTAGTATGTGGATGCATGCACTCACGTCGGCATCGTTAGACCGGTAGTCTCCAATCAATTCCTCATCATTCCATTCGAATATCACCAAGCTTGCAAGAGGATCTCCTTCAGTGTTCTGCGCCTTGGAAAACTTGACAAGGATAAATGGGTCCACATTCCCTCCCCAAGCTTTACGGCTGTACATCCCTGAGCATCGTTGTCGGTGCGCTTCGTCGGATTTCTTATAATAGGACCTCGTCAGCACCATGAGTGCGCACGTAGCTTGGGATCAAGACGCGATGACTTACCAGCTCAACGTCGTCTGCAAGCACCGAAGTGGCTAGCAGGGCCGTTAGGCCGAGAGTCCGCAGCCAGCCCTTCATCGCGACGGTGAATTAGGGGGCAACAGAGGCTCCAGCAGGGTCCAGCGGGTCGGAAAAGAGTCGTCGTTGGGGTGCACACAGCATCCAACGAGAAAAGGGACAGGAAGGTGAGGTTCACGCGAATCCACGAAAGCTCGTCCGGAATCGTCGAGCTCGAATGCGTGGCCTCTCAAACCGGGGAAGCCGCGCGTGGGCCCGCATTATCTAAGCCGCCGTGCCGCCCGCCGGCTTTTTTTCTTTCTACAAAGTTGTCGATCCCCGCCATCACATACAAACACGCCGGACGAAAATGCCCACCAAGGAGCTTTCGAATCCTTGTATGGAATGCAAGGATGTCGAGGCGACGCTCGATATTCGCAAGAGACAGCTATGCAGGTTAGTATATCATCCTATGGTCTTGTTGAACCCCTTCCGTGTTGCCGTTAGCCCCGCTAATGCCTGTGAAGTGATTGCTACAAGCGCTTTCTTGCCTATAAAATAATCCGTCGCACCGATGGCTATAGGTTTAAGAAGAACCAGTCTACGCGACCAAAGCTACTGCTTCCATTATCGCTCGGCGTATCCTCCTCTGTCCTACTTCACGTTCTTGATTCCCAAATCCAACGTCAACTCGCCAAACCCATTGGCGCGAAAGTACCCTTCGACCTGCTTGTCTTCGTCATTGAGCCCTCCACAATCGCAACTTCGGATAATTTGCACCAACAGAACTACGATCTTGTTCTTGAAAGATTCTCGACGCACGCTCATACCCGGCTGTCCATTCACGATATCTTCGACTATATTCCGGATATGAAAGAAGTCATGCTTGAATATGCCGGGTCTCAATTTGTGGATGATAGCTCAAAGTCTAATAAGGATCGTTTGGCGGCCTTCCGAAATTCTATAACTACCGCAACATCGCAAACAGACCTGGACTACGTTCTTTTGACACGACTTATTGTTGCGGTTGCACAGAAAAATGAATGTGAAGCAATCGTCTGGGGTGACTCGGACACTCGCCTTGCCGCGAAGGCTCTTGCGGGGGTCTCTAAGGGTCGGGGCGCATCAATGACTTGGCAAGTATCTGATGGCATGTCTCCTTGGGGCATCAGATTCGAGTTCCCGCTACGAGATCTGTACAAAACCGAGCTCGAGCAATACGAAAGCCTATGTCAGGAACTCTCTGGCGTTGTTATTCCTGATCCACCATTACCGGATAATGTCCTCACAAAGAACCTGTCTATCGATGAGTTGATGATGCGATATGTTCAGACGCAAGGTGCAAAGTATCCAGGTGTCATGGCAAATGTTGCGAGAACCGCCAACAAACTTCAGCCTTCCAGCTCTGACGATTCCATAACCTGCTCGTTGTGCGGGGGTCTAATCGGGAATGTCAAAGGCAACACTGGCGTTACAGTGACAAGTCAATCTGGTGGCAACCAGGGCTCCAAGTTTTGCTATGGATGCATCAGATCTCGTCCTGACCCCACACGTTGATTAACGTTGATTAAACTACTATGGAAGATATGATACCACAAAAAAGAAAAAGAAAAAGAAAACAGGTGCCAATTGAGAAGAGCCTGAAGAAGTCATGAAAGATGCTCAAACCCGAAGAACCGGGGTGTTGACAGATGGCATAGCCCAAGAGCGTCACAGGTCGAGAAAGGGTATATGTAAACGACGAATCGATCTGACATCCCTTCACCTTCCTTGCTCCAAATCCTCGTCAGGATGGCTGGCTCCACCAAACCAGCGGCTGAAACCACGGTTGTTCCTAGCTTGTCTGGTGGGTGGTGGCCTGGCTGGATAGGTGCCATCATTGTCGGCGTGTCGTGATCGTGAGGCCCCTTGCTCTTCATATGCCGGTGGCGCATTGCCTACCACTCCATTCTCCTGCCTGTCCCATTCCTCTGGAAGACTGTGATCGACAGTATCAATGGCCAGCGGCTCTTGTGCCCTTCCTCGTTCTTTGGATTGTCTCTTGATCGCTTTTGCGCCCTTCTCACGAAGATGTTTCTCGAGAATGACGGCATTTCTAGTGTTGCACTTGTAAACAGCATCTGCAAGGTCGCCAACGAATGGAACTAAGCCAATGACAAAGTCGACGATCACATTGATCATCATCATCATGCGCAAACGTGACGGGAGTCCACCGTCGATATCTTCGCAGTTTTTCACGACCATCATGGCCAGTGCAGCGTCCCCAGCATCGCCGATACTGTACCAAGAATTTGTTATCCTCCCGAATGAAGACCAAAGAGGCAGGGGTATTGGAGTACGCACAATGGAACGAGGCCAATGACACTTCCCCAACCAAATCGAATGCCACAGAGATTGAAAAGAGCATAGTCGAGTCGGTAGGCTCGGCGCTTGACCTGGGTGAGGATTTTGGCATCCTTTTCAGAAAGGCCTGGGGGAATGGCCTTGCGACGCTTGCGGGTTTTCTTTCCCATGGCACGTCCAAGCCGGGACGCAGGAACTTCTTCAAAATATGGATCCTGTAACCGATATTTTCGATTAGCCAAATTTAATCAATAAGGGTAAACAACGTTCTTGTCTTTTGCTTACCTCTGTTCCGAAATGATTCCTTGCGGATTCCGCTAGGACTCTTTTCCCAACAAGAGACCAGAGTGCGCCAGACATTGTGCGTAATGATGAGATACCCCTTCACTGAATGGGATCAACTTGTGTATTTGTCAAGGAGATCAAAGAAAAGGATCACGCGGGACACTGTTGCAGATATAGTTTCTCAAGGGGCCAAAATTAGAAAACAGTCTTAACTTTGCTTGGGCTGCAAGCTGATGACGGAGGGATTTCAAGTAGCGCCAGTAAAGGGTTTAACAGGAGCAACAATGGTGAGCCACAGCTCAGACGGGGAAGCAAGAAGACATTAATAGGAGGTGAAGGGAGGTGAAGGGGTCGAAACGACACGACACGCCGGCCGGCCGCGACGTCATGCCTTGGGTCTTATCCTGGCACCGCGCTGATCCTGTGGCGCACCAGCGCTTCACAGCCACATGCATCAACAATACTCGCCACACCTGAGTCAGCCGATCTTCCGTATTGACGCGCCCGGACCTGCCCAGCTGTTCTCCCCGATTGCCGCCTTACCTCCCACCACCTTGGCTGCCACCTGCACTGTTCGTCTTACCTGAACCTCTCATTATCAGCAAACCCCATATTTTGATTTCTACTCAACTGAGCTGCTTCATCCTTCTTGGAAGTTGCTTTGTGCTGCGATTTGTCGCGCAAGCGACCCGTTTCAGTCCCGGTCTTGGTCATTTGCCTTGAAATGCTAAGCTTCCAACATGATCGAAACAAAGATGCGTTTAGAAGATTGTCTGTGATCTACTCTACGCTCTTGCTTGAATACATGCTAACACATTCTGTTCTCTCAAAACAGGGCTGGATGACTTGTCTGCCCGCTTCATCATCAACCTCCCGCGCGAGGAGCTTGAAGATGTGGAGCGAATCTGCTTCCAGATCGAAGAAGCACAATGGTTTTACGAAGATTTCATTCGCCCACTCGATCCCGCCCTGCCATCCCTGAATTTGAAGACCTTCGCGATGCGCATGTTCCAGCACTGTCCTCTCACCTCACAATGGTCCTCCTACCACCACGATGCGGCCTTCTCTCGGTTCTTAGCGTACAAGATTCGTGTCCCAGTCCGCGGTGCGATTCTTTTGAATGAGGATATGGATGAGGTCGTCTTGGTTAAGGGTTGGAAGAAAGGTGCCAACTGGAGCTTTCCGCGAGGCAAGATCAACAGGAACGAAAAGGATCTTGATTGCGCCATTCGGGAGGTTTACGAAGAGACCGGATTCGACGTTCGCGAAGCCGATCTGATCAAAGATGAAGACAATGTGATGTCCATTGAGATCGCTATGCGCGAACAACATATGCGCCTCTATGTCTTCACTGGTGTTCCTCGAGACACGTACTTTGAGCCCCGCACCCGCAAGGAAATCAGCAAGATCGAATGGTACAAACTGAATGAGCTCCCAACTCTGAAGAAAAGCAAGCATTTTGACGAGGGCTTGGCTGTGGCCAACGCGAACAAGTTTTACATGGTTGCTCCATTCCTTCGCCCGCTAAAGAAGTGGATTGCAGAGCAGAAGAAGACCGACTTTAAGGCTCAAGCCGGCTCAAAACCACCACATCAAATCGATGTCGAGGGATGTGCTTCAGTCGACAAGCCATTGCCTGGTCCCAACGGTCATGTTCCTCTGCCATCGACTACTGAGATGCCTATCTCAAGTGACCTCCCTGAAGTCAACCTGGGCCAGGACGCTTCATCTCATCTTAAACAGATTTTGCGAATTGGCGACACTGCAACCTCCACCGCTCCCAACCAGATACTAGGTCTCGAATCTACTCAGCCTGCAGCTGTTGATCAGAACAAATCCAACGCGCTCCTGGCCCTTCTTAGGCAGGGCTCTCAAGATGCTGTGCCTCAAGTTCGCACTCAATCCATGCCCCAGTCTGGTAATTCCCAGAGTGCACCCATCCTCTTTCCTGGCTTTCCCCCGCAGCCGCATCAGAACATGCCGTTCCAACCCGTTCCGTCTCCGCTAGCACAGCCTCCAATCAACCCCCCCCAGCAACCACACTATTATGCTTTCGGTCAGCCTGACATGTCTGGATCGCCTGGCACGCAACAGCATCCGCATATGCCCACGTCGGATTACAATGGTCAAATTGGCGTTGTGCCCCCCAAGCACGCTCTGGCTCCTTTTCAGCAGACAGGAGACCCTGTTCTCTCTCATTCTGCCCAGCCAGCTGCTGGTCAGCGCCTTGCAGCGCCCCATGCGAGCAAGCTTCCTCCCCCAAAGCTTACTAGCCATTCCCTCTCGCTTCTGAATTTCTTCAAGGATGAATCGTCAAAGACACCGGTTGAAACTAATGCCGTGCCGGTGTCTGCAGATCCTGGATTGGTTCCAACGCAGACTTCGCAACGCCAGAAAACCTCTCATCACCAGGACAACCTTCTGGGTCTTTTCAAGGGCCAGAAAACTGTCCCTGCTTCACAGCCGGCGGAATTGTCTGCCCATCCTGTGCCACAAGCACAATCGCCATACGAGAAGCACATCTTGCAGAGGGCTCAAAATCCAATGAATTATGACCTACAGCGTGGAAATGAGAGCCTCAAGATCCAAAATGGCCCCGGTAGAGCTTCGGCCACCGTATCCGGTCCCTTGAACACACCCAAATTTGAAGCAAACGGCAAGCCGACTCTCAAGAAAGCCGCCAATAGCCCTGCTCGCAAGAACAATATGGATCGACGACCCCAGCCACAGCAACTCTCGTCGCCCATTACAATTCTACCGCGACCACAGTCGGCAAAGAACGATTCATTCCCATCGGGTCTCACAAAGGACACGACCCATGTTCAAGCTCAAACTCCGTCCTCTCATGCCGCCCGGGTCCAGACTCCCGAATCGGCAAAGCCATTTCAGCCCCAGATCCTCCGTCGCTCTGAAAAGGCTGGCTACGATCAATCGATGATTGCTGCAAACAAGCCGAATGATATCGATCGGAAGCTGAGCTTGCCTGGGTTGCAAAAGAACACAGACGAATTGTCTCCGCAGACCAACTTTGGTCGCAGACCCAGCCAGAACGCTGCCCAAAAAGAGGCACTGTTATCTCTTTTTGGAAAACCTGCTGTTTCTCCGACTCCCCCTTCTGCAGAGCACCCCGACTCTCGAACCGTCACTCAGCAGGCAGCCCACGCCTCGGGTCTGGTTAGTCCTTTGTCATCCATGCATCCCAATGCCAGTAGTGGCGAGTCCATTTCACGACACGGTACCCCATCTGAGGGTGACAATATCTCCGGTGCGAACCAACTTTCATCCCCGAACCATAAGGCGCTCTTGCTTGGTTACCTACAAGGTGTTGCTAAGGGCAACAAGCGAACTTGAGTTGTTTGATTTTCATCATTCAGGTATGTACCTACAAGGTGTTGCCAAAGGCATGAGTAAACTCGAATTTACAGATTGGCTCCCTTCAGGTATGTACACCTGCCTGTTAGATTACATTTTTTGTCATATTAGCCACGAACAAATGAATTAGCCGAAGACAAATGGTCTTCCCTGAGCTATCGCTCGCATAATGCTGTAAGTATATATTCCACCATCGTCGGCGTAGCATTTTAGATACTTCTTGTAGTTTGGCGCTTTCATGTACTGTAGGATCTTGGGGCTTGGTAGTGCTATGCTCTGGTCGATTCTGCCACTAAGTACCGCCTAACGTCATCGCTTCCTATACCTCAGTAAAAAGAAATACGGCAGCTCACATTGGCCGTTTCCCGCCGCGTCCTCAATCATGATGCGCCCTCGTCTCCCGGTCTGCAGCCGCTGTCTTGCGCGCAGTAAAGGATTCTCGACGACCGCAACTTGGTTCGGAGAGAGCCAAAATGCACCTTTTCCAGCTCAGACTGCGTACGCGCGTCTCACGAACCGCGGCCTCATCTCGATCACCGGCATCGACAGCGCGGATTTCCTGCAAGGCCTAATCACCCAGAACATGCTTGTCGCGAATGGCCCGAGCAAGAGTATTCGACGTACTGGCACATACACGGCCTTTCTCAACTCCCAAGGTCGCATACTGAATGATGCGTTCATCTACCCGCTTCCCGATCTGAGCGGAAACGACATCGAGCGGGAGTGGCTGGTGGAGGTGGATAAAAGCGAGGTCCCAAGCCTGCTCAAGCACTTGAAGAAGCACAAGCTCCGAGCAAAGCTGAAACTTCGCGCCCTCGAAGACGGTGAACGCACTGTCTGGTCGTCTTGGAAAAACCACTCCGAGCCTCGGTGGGCCGCGTACAACCTCGAGTCAGAGTCTGCTTCGCCTTTCTCCTTGTCTTCGAATGTTGTCGGATGCATTGATTCCCGTGCACCGGGCTTCGGTTCTCGAATCGTAACTCCGGGCGCCGAGGATTTACGCACATATTTGCCCGACGAGGCACAGATTGCCGGGTCGGAGGTGGAACTGGGTGCCTATACTATTCGACGGATACTCCATGGCGTGGCGGAAGGCCAGTCTGAGATAATCAGGGAATCGGCATTACCGATGGAATCTAATATGGACATGGCGCGGGGTATTGATTTCCGCAAGGGCTGTTACGTCGGTCAGGAATTGACGATCCGTACGCACCATACCGGTGTAGTTCGCAAGCGTATCCTGCCAGTGCAGCTCTACACCGGGGATTTGTCTAGCGAGGATGGTCCTGTTTATGACCCTGCGTCGGAAATTTCTCTGCCGCCTGCTGGGTCAAATATCAACAAAGCCGGTGGTCGCCGGGGTCGTAGCGCCGGAAAGTTCCTGAATGGTGTCGGAAACATTGGCCTCGCTTTGTGTCGCCTGGAAATGATGACTGACATCGTTTTAACGGGCGAAGGAACCCAATTCACACCTGGAACTGAATTCAAGGTCGCCTGGACTGCCGAGACGGAGCAGCCCGCGGAAGTCAAACTGCAGGCTTTTGTTCCATCTTGGGTAAGAGAACATATCCAATCTGGTGGTGTTCGCAAGCCTGCCCTCCAGTCAGTTGATACGGACGGTGAGAGGGCTCGAGGCTTTGTCGAGCAGTTGGGGGAAGAAGCAGCACAGCGTCGAGACTAGATTGGGTCAAATACGCCTTAACCAATCGCCAGACTCTTCCAACCCCACATGTATAACATGATGGAATTGTAGCTATAATGTATATGAAATCTCATCACTCTGAAATCCAGAAGACGTACATATCTCAGAATCTTCGATCAACAAAGCCTGTTCTAGGCGGGGTATCATAATATACTAGTAGTATGCCAAAAAAAAAAAAATAAAAAAATTCAAGCTGCTATGAGGACACATTCGCATCCGCAGCCTCGTCTTCTCGAGCGAGTTGTTCCTCCAAAGCCTTTCGTTCCTTCTCGCGCTGTGCATTCTTAAGTCGCATCATAACAGTCTCCTGGAAACTCGGCGTTCCTTTGCCAGACGACGCCGCAGCAGAAGCAAAGGAACCGAACGATGGTGCCTTCCCGGATTTCGGGGCGGACGAATTAACACCAGGAAAGCTGAATTTCGGCTTCGGAGGCTTCTCTGATTCCTGAGAATCTTGCTGGGTGGAAGAAACTGAGCCATCCTGTTTAGCTGGAGCATCTTGTCCCTCAGAAGAAGCCGGGTTTGGCGCACTTTGGCCAGGCGTTACGTTCTTGAGATCCGGAGGGGCTCCAGATGCCCAATCGACAGATTCGATATGAGCCCAGTCCCCGTTGGCTGCCCCAGCCTGGCGAAGCTTCTTCTCGCTATCCAACACAGCTGCGTGGGCGCCCACGATAGATTCAAAGACAACCACGCCAGTAGCAATGGTCACTTTTTCCCGCTTTCCCTCAACACGCTTCCGCTTGTCCTTAAGCATAGATACGCCCTCAATCTTCCCAAATGAAAGAAACAGCGCTTTCAATCGTTCCGTATCGAGGTCAAGTCTTTCACGTTGCCAGCGCACCTTGATTGTCCGTTCGACAGTTGGAACATTCGCGCCACCGTTCTGGGACCGGTCCACGCGCTGGGAACCACGATCAGCTTCTTTTCGAGCCTGCTCTTCTTCTTCCTTAGCCTTCAGCTCTTCCTCTTCAAGCTCCTGCTTCAATTTATCCGCCGCTTCACGACGACGGCGTCGTCCATCCTCGGCGATCCGCTCGACTTCTCGTTGTAGTTTGGCTTCCGCATCGTCGTTGAAATTATCCCACGACCGCTTGAAGCCCTGCTTACCAGCGGCACCGGTCCGCTCAGCAGATTCCAGATCCTCGCGCATTTTGCGCTTCGCCGCATCCATCTGATCGCGCTCGCGCTGTTTGCGCAAGCGCGCCTCACGCGCATTGTCGTAGAGCTGCCGAACTGCAGGGTCGGTAAGGACATCTTTGGCGACTTGGAGAAGGTGGAATCTTTCGATGTCTGCGGGGGTTGGGTTTTGGATTTTATCGGGGTGGAATTTAAGGGCTCGTCGGCGGTAGGCATTTCCTATCTCCTTTTCGGTGGCGGCTGGTCGGAGGTCCAACAGCTCATAGAAATCCTGGGAAGACGCAGCGTGCGCCTTGAGGTCGTCTGACGACATCTTGGAGGTCTTGTGTGGAAGGCGTTGGAAAGTACGGTTGAATGACAGGCCGGTCGAGAACAATGTCAAATATTTACGGTCGGCGGAAGACACCACTTGCGCATCTCTTTTGCATGGAGCAAGCAGGTCTTCGGATTAGGTACTTCGTCATACTACCTGGGTTTTTAATGGCATATTTAAGAACAAAGAATATCTTATGCTTCTATTAAAATCAAAACGCTGTTGTTGGAAGAGAAAGAGGCTGCCTTCGAGCCAAGGTGGCTGCACAATATCACATTTTGAGCTGTGATCCCCCGTCAACACCAGGCTGCCAAATATATATTGGGATCTTCCAAACCGCACTTTAAGCATGATCATACACTTCATTGAAATTCTTGATGTGCAATTTGATATATCAATCATTCCACTCAAAGCAGTCGCTCATTCCAAGATATGATAATATTAATGAAGCCTGTAGCTCGTCTCACTACTGCCTGTGTATTATTGGATGCCAAACATTTGGATCGGACTAGTTTCATCCCATCACATATCAGATGATATTTGGCTTGCTGTCCCAAATCGCCACTCATCTGGCATCACCACGATACATACATATTAATTCTGAGAAGATTCGAGAGATGCTTTTTAAGCTGAGTTCCAAGAAACTTTGGCACGTGCCTGCCTTAAGTTCAACAACAATCGGACGACAGTCCGATCCATTTTCATCCAGTCTAGGACAGACAGATGGTTCCTCTATCAGACAGAAGAGTAAACACCGACCCAGAAAGGGCCCATCTGGCACTGGCTCTGGCCATTGTCAAGGGGAAACCCCCAAACACTACGGTCAAAGGTAAGCCAGTGTTGATACTGATGTTTGTCTTTGCAGCTTCACAGCACTCATTGATCACTACAGATTATTTTGTGCAAATCAGGCGACACATCAAGGTCACCAAAGGCATCCAGATGCCTTGTCCGGAAAAAATATTCGACAGCGCCTTCTTCTGGAAATCCGCATACGAGAAGTCAGAGGCTGAACAAGCCAAATTGCTCAACACCATTTACGATCTGGAGCAGCGCAACCAAAGCCTTTCCTCCAAGCTATATCCCACCGACTCGATAGCCCAAAGCAACAAGACCTCATCGACAAAACAAAAAGATGCAGTACATACCGGTGAAAATGTTGGTGCCTCTGGCTCTGCGACACAGAGCCAACGAGCGCGGTCCCGCGCCAGTGATGCCGCAATGAAGAACCTCGGGAATGAAGGCAATGGAAAGAGGGCGCCGGCGGATGATGAAGATACCTTGGGTGAGTAGGGCATGCTGAGATATTTGTTCTAGCTGCTGACAGAACTAGCAACGGGGTTCCTGAGGCAGATATGTACACTGGAGCGAGCCCTACAGAAAAGACGTAACGAAAAGAGCTTGACAACCAATGCCGTTATGCTTTGCAAGCTAGCAGAACATGCTATCCTTGATACTGTCCAAGAAGAAATTAAATTGAGGCGCCAATCCAATGTCGAACAGCACCCAGAGACCTTCAGTGGGAGACCAACACCTCAAGCGGTTCTCAGGAGTGTGGAACTCTCATTTCAGCTTGCGCTTCAAGCACTCCACAAAATCTCGAACACTGGCAATATCCGTGCTCAATGCAAAGGACAAATTGTCTACTATCTTGTATGTCTCTTCGAGTCAATTACGGTCACTCTGACTCAATATTGTACGGCCATGTCGAAACCAATTGAATCCGTCAGAAGGAACCCTTCGCAGATATCCACGACTTCACGACCACGAAGGGTAGCAACAGGAAGAAGAGCCAGCAAACTCCCAGCTAGACAGCCTCGCCCTTCACCACGCAGCAAAAGCGATCTGAGCGAGGATTTGGTTAACCTCCTCTGCAATTTGACGACATCCCTTGACTTAGCTAAAGAGGATGATCAGAAAGTCGTGGAAGGAGTTTTCTTTGTAACTCTCAACCGTGTTGGCAAGATCCTAGCGCTCTACACCTTTGACGGGATGGAGCTCCCGACCGACATTTGCCCAACACTTCAACCTCCTGGCGGACTTGCCGCAATGCGGGAGGAGGATCTTTCACTGGACAGCACGCAGCTTGAAGCGAAGTCTCTAATCAAATTTCTGAAGAGGGCACTGCGAGGTGGACTTTTACGAACCTCTGATGATTCGGATATACAGGCACCCTTTTTTGGCAGGATGAAAGATCGCTTTCAAAAGACCCTGCTTCAGGCTGTATTCGGAGAAGATGAACCTTTGTTCCAGGAAGGCCTGAAGCGGCCGGCGACGCCGCCACCACAGGACCCCGACAGCGAAAGGGTCGGAAAGATGACATTTTCCGAATGGTTTACCGAGGAGTTATGGTCCGTAATTGGGTGGGATATGCTGAATTGTGTAGGTGGCTACCGCTAAACCCACCTGAAAATGGGATCATTGTTTCAGTATCTGCTTTTGAGCATGCCTAAATTGCTCGTTCTCAGGAGGAAACAACGGTGGAAGGTATCAGATACTATAGGATACTATAGGTATTATTATCACGTATCATAATATGAAATAGAATTTAAATAAGGAATGTTTGGGACTGAATTCCATTTCTTTTTTCTCATTTTTCATTCACCTTACTTATCTCATCTGATCTACCTCGCCTGCCCTACTCCCTCCGCTCACATTCAACTTACTTCGTTTGTCATTTCTCTTCCAGATTGAGGATACGTACCGCGTTGTCCCCAACAATTGCTTCAGCCGAGGCTGGAGCATCTTTGAGCGAAGCGTAAATAGCGTTGAAGTTCGTAGTAACACTCATCCACTGTCCGTCGTGATCGTTGAGAGGTGGGAAAAACGGGTGGTCAGTCCCTAGCCATGAGTTAGCATACGAGGTCGAAAAAATGGTAATCGATGCGGGTCATAAACATACCGAAAAGCAAACGATCCGTACTACCAGATTCGATAGCTGCCTTGAGGCCCGCCTGGCCATACACCACGGCGTCCAGATAGATGTTCGTTTGCAGCACCTCCCAGATGCTACGCTTCGGTCCCGGGGTGTCGCCGCCATTCTCTTCGAACTTCCGCTCATGCATAATGCAGCTTTCGATTCTCCCAGCGAGGAAAGGGATCGTTCCGCCCGAATGGGCGAGCAGAACCCGCATTCGGGGGAAACGATCGAATACGCCACTGAGAAGCATCCGGGTTACAGCAATCGTGGTTTCGAGTGGGAAGCCAAGTGCGAGAGGAAGAACATGGCCATATCGAGCTGTCGTCTCAGGGCCTCCGAATGCCTCATCCGGAAGGCCATAGTGGGGGTGCAGGAAGAGTAAGAGCTGTGTTGCTTCCAGAGCTGCCCAGATTGGATCCAGATTCGGATCATCTAAGCCGGAGCCTAGACCCGAAGTTCCCATTATCACACCACGCAGGTGTGAAAGGCCGCGAATTCTGAAGATCTCTTGAACGACATCTGGAGCTGGAGCGCTTAGTGGCAACGCGCCGAACGCGAAGAGAGACGCCTTCTCCACGAGTAGGAGGTTGTTTTCTGGATCTGCCATCTTGTTGACTTGAGCACAGGTAGAATTGAGGTCGTCATTAATCAGTTTTGCCCAGTCTGAGGCCTCACTTGGGAGGACAAAATCCAGCCATGGGTTTGCGAGGGAGATGACGCTGCAGTCAATGCCGTGCTTTCTCATGAAATCCAGCTTGACACTGATATCAGAATAAGAGGAGTCCACAGGGCGACCGCGTTGGTCGATGGGAATGGCAGGGTCATCGTCTGAAGAGAGGATGATTAGACGGGGTGTTCCGTTGTCGCTTGGGTCGTGGATGTATGGTACTGTTTTGCGACTGCGCAGCATCGCCATGTACGTCGGAGGATAGACATGGGTGTGGATGTCCACGACCACTGGGCGCGTCATGACTTCAAGAAGGAGAGGGTTGAATTCGAGGATGATTGAGTGGGTGGCTATTTCAGCTTGGGTGGGAGATAAGAGCTGCAGATGCGGGGAACAACGATACCTGTTTGTCTCGCTGCTGGCTGCCCATTGTTTGCTCACGGGTCGCATCGTCGAGAGGGGCTGCGCCAGGAGGGGCTTGACCAGTGACCGAAACGATTTGACCCGAAAAAGAGCGCAAAACGACATGTCTTTTTTTTTTTTTTTTTCCTTTTTCTTTCTTCCCGTAAATCGGCGCGAAAAGAAATGGTCAATAGACGAAGCCGGGATGGAAGGGCACGTACCTTTGAAGATTGCTGTTGTGCTCGCGTTGGAGGGGGCGGTATTGAAGTTAGGGAACTCGAAGGTGGCAAGATGGAAGAGGTGAAGAAGGGAAAAAAAGAAGTTGTTGGCATCTTCACTTAAATGTGGAATGGGGAGTGTCTACCTGAGGAAGGCACCAGCCTGTGGAGGCAGACCCGAAACATGCCCAAAACAAGGCGGTCATGTATCAGCGGACAAGGGCAGAAATTACCAGGCATTTACATGGTACATAACGACTATGACTGGAAGCTGAGATGAAATCAAGAGAAATACTGGGGGAATCTATCTCTAGATGACGTCAATTCCATCCATAATCGTGCTTTAATCTAGATGTTGTCCGAAAAGAACACATTCGGGATCAAGAACCAAAAAGCCCGCTAAGCCCGCTGGACCGCCAACGGGAATCATAATTCATCCAATAACTGCTGCACCAAGACCCCAGGGACATGCAGCGAGCTGAAAGATATGGACAGTAGATCTGGAGTTCGATGTTAACCACTGGGGCTCTCTATATCATCCCGTCGGGAAGGATTGAAGCTGAGGTTGAGAGCTCACCTCGTCTAAACATAATATCACAATCGCATGATAGAATGATTTAGAGACCAACACCGGCCAGGGTAATGGGCTGCTTGTTGGTGAAGTTGGGGATGTCCTCGAAGACCTTGGGAGACTCGGGGTCCTGGAGGGCCTTCTTGGCCGCATCCTCGCTCTCCCAGACCAGGTTGGCGGCAATCAGGAACTTGGAGCGAGAGCCATCAAGAGCGGTGGTGTACTTGATGATCTTCCAGCTAACAAGTCCGTGCTTCTTCCAGATCTTCTCCACCAGAGGCATATGCGTCTGGAGGTAGTAGGACTCATCGAAGGTGATGTCCTCATCATTGGGGTACATGACAGCGGCGTGGTAAGACATGATGAGCGATTGAGATTGAGACTAAGTCAGAATATGGATTTGTAGACAACAGATGGGCAAATATAGGAGAAGAAAAAGAGCAGGACGAGCCGGAGGTAGAAGAGGGGCATTAAGCCGAGGATCGCCCGAGCTGATTAATGGCAGCGTGTCCCATGTGGCTGTGGGTAATCCACGCTGCGGTGGGTCAACACACCACCTGCACGCTGCTCTCCTCGGACGATGCGCAAGCCGTGCTGCAAGTGCCCATGGCGACCGGGACTGATGGACACGAGGACAGTGGTCTGCTTCACCCACCGCAATGCTTGGATCTGGAAGGGTTCAGGGTCCATTCCCTACGCGGCTCCCCGCAGGATCCACCGGAATAGCGGCCGATGGTCGACCCTGGCCGTTTGATGTTCCAACGATCTGCCAATGAACTTGCCCAAGTCGTTATTGGCACCATCGCGCACACTGGTGACGATGTCTCACCCCGAAATCCTCGTCGATTCTCTCGCATTCGTCCATCATGGCGCCCGCAGAGAGCCAGCCATGCCCACGCGGCCGAACCGTTCGGCGAGTATCCGGGTCGGGAGCCGTGCTCTTTCTGGCCATCCTCTACAGCATCTACCTCCAGAACCCCGTACTTCAGTGGCTGAGCCCCTTTCAAGCCGAGTTGAATCCTGGAAGATTTTCGTGGCGTTGCACACGTCTGGAGCACCCTTTGATGGAGGGCTGCGAGCATCTCTGGCTGGACCATGAGAGGCGTAAGCTCTATGGGGCTTGTTCCAACTATTCATCGCATACTTAGACTTCCGTTGATGGTTCCGAGAGCCCGGTCGTCGCGGGCAAAGACTATATCAGTGTGATGGAAATCGACTCTCCGCCGGGACAGGAAAATGCCTACAACCTTCATCGACTGGAGGTAGCAGAGGAATTCCACGGGGAGCTTGATATTTATGGACTCGATGCCCGCCGCATTGGAGGAAGACTTCGATTCTGGCTGATAAATTATCAACCGTTTGTAGAAGACAGCATGGGAGAGATCATCGATGATGTTAAACACCACACCGTGGAGATCTTCGACTTGGACGGGGCGTCTGGTACCCTCTTCCTAGTAAGTACCATATCGAGCGAGTTCCTACACTCGCCCAACCACTTAGCAGTGCAACCTGAAGGAACTGATTTATCGTGATCAACGATTATGACGCAAAGTTTGGACCATTTCCAAGGGGAGAGACGACACAGGAAGATGCGAACCTTGCGCGATGCCGAACCGAGACAGGCGAATGTCATATTGTCGCAAGCCAGGGATTCAATCTTGTCAACAGTGTTGCAAGTGACCATCAGGGGAATTTCTATGTGTCTGGCATGGGGTGGTTCTTGTCTTGAAAATCAGAGGGGATGAGCTGAATGTGTTGAATTCATTCGAGCAAAATAGGGCAATAGATCGAATATCGATCAACGAGGAGGACGGTGTTGTCATTACCACATTCCCGGACCCATATGAATTCACTGCACGAAGCCTCGTCGAATCCAGAAGCCTTTGTTACGGGAGGAACGGTACTTGTTGCTCGAAAGAGAAACGATATTACGGACCAGTCAGAGGAACAAGGATATCAGGCCTTCTACTTGATCCATGATGAGACAGGAGAGCTCATGCCTACCACTATTGTAGCAGTGCATGATGTCCGAACGGATCGCCTTTTTCTAGCAGGCGTGTTTTCGCGGGGCATCAGTATCTGCAAAGCGACATAGATAAAGAATATTCCATTGTGGAAATGATTCGATTATTTACCCCAGGACGTGCTAAGACAACCCACACTTATATTCATTCGCACGAAAGGGGGGCCACCGTAGCACTCGCAACCTTGAGACACATTAGCATGCTCTCCACTCCCAAATGGCCTCGATTTGAACATTGAAAAAACATCACGCCAGAATTTGACAGGCATCGCACGCTTCATAAAGCTCAATTGCATCTGATTGCCAGCGTAAATCGACCTCATCAGGCGCCAACCACCTGGTTCTGTGAAATATCTTCCAGAATATGAAAGTGCCGGCGTAAGGAGAAGCATCGTGTAATTGAGGAAGAACCTCTGGAGGCTCCACGGTCGAATGCTCTGGTACCCGAAACAGAATACCTTCATGACCATCCAGACGAGCGAGATGTACCCACTGCACGGCTGGAAGTACCCGTAATATGGGAGCTGTGTGCGATCAAAGTTTTGTTTCTGGTAGGTACGATAGAAGCAAATATACGTGATCGCGATAATGGTATAGTGAATCAGAATATTGGCTGTTGTCAAGTCAATGAGCCAATTGAGGACGGTTATTGCACGGTCAGATAACTGCAAGAATGACAAACAGCCAAATACTAGCGCCACGACGTCGCAGTAAATAAGAATACTTCGTTCGTTTGTCTTCAAGAAGATACTGGGCGCTCGATTGCCTGCGGGTTGTGGCATACCAGTACGTATTCTCGGCAGAAAAGACGGTCGTCAACGTGAGTGCGCAGACTAGATTCGGGAGGCAGGTGAGGGCGAGGTTCTCCATGGCGATGGTGAAGGGAGACGTTGAAGCAGAAGAATCTCCACTCTCGGTTTACATCGGCCAGCGTGGGGTCGTCGTGCATCAAAAGTATTCCAACGCAGGTCGCAGCGCCGATGGAGAATACAATGCTTCGAAAGTACACCACCTCGAAGGCTTGCTTGACATAGGCCCGAGGGTGCTTAGTCTCGGCTACGAGAGAAGAGACATATTCCGGTCCAGTCACGATGACCGTCGTCCAAAGGCTTTCGAGGAAGCCTTCAAAGCGGCCGAGATCTCTGCTAGAGGAATATTCTGCGAAAACTCCAGAGAGATTCCAGTTGTGAAACCCATAAGCGTCGTGTTGTGGACTCCCGCCGACCATCGTGATGAAAATGAGGAGCAAAATTATAGTCATTAGTAGGACCTTGCCTCCCGAAAGCCAGAACTGGTCTCGCCGTACGCGTGCACTGTGAAGTGGTTAAGGGCACTAGTGAACAGCCTGCGGTGCAGGAAGAATTACCAGAACAGGAAGAATCACAGCTTCATGATACGACAGACGAAGCATCCCAACAACTTCACCGTGAACTCTCGATATCTCCCCCGGCTAGAGAACCGTACATCCCGACATTTGATCCCCGTGACCCGTCATTTGACCGTGCAGCGCTTGACGAACGCAATATCATCACTGGCAGCCGCATCCAGAAGCGAAAACTCGACTCCGATCATGCACACTTCGTACACGGACTTGAAGATGACCCACCAGAGTTGCTGCAGTCTTTTGCTATGGCCCTGCATGCGGACAAGCCCATTCGCCGTCACCGTGACGATTTGCCCCCGGAACCACAGAATTGGAAGGAAATGCTAAAACACCCACACGCAGAAGGCTTCTTAGAGGCATGTAACAAGGAGATCAACGGCCTCAAAAGCAAGGGAACCTTCAAAACAGTGCCAAAGCCGAAGGACAAGTCCGTGCAAGTTCTTCCACTGAAATGGGTGTTCAAATATAAGTTTGACCAAGATGGCTACCTAATCAAGATGAAGGCACGAATCTGTGTACGTGGTGACCTCGAGACGATCAACTCCGAGGAAAAACGAGCTGCAACCCTCGCTGCCCGCGCAGCACGCATGTTATTCGCCCTCGTTGCTGCATTTGACCTTGACTTCCGACAGCGTGACGCTGTCAACGCGTTTCTTAACAGCCTCCTAGAGAAACAGATTTATGTGCAGATACCCGAAGGATTCCAGGAAATAGGCAGGTGTTGGCTGCTCATCAAAGCCCTGTACGGACTTCGAATATCACCGAAACTGTGGCAAAAGGAGGCCTCCCGAGTTCTGTCAAAACTTGGCCTCCGCCCAGTCCCCGAGGATCCGTGTGTGTTTGTCGGCCAAGGCATTATTGTGTTCTTTTATGTGGATGACATTCTGATTGCATCGCATTTCTCCGCCCGTGCCAGGGCGCAGCAACTGGAAAAAGAGCTAGAAAAGCATTGGGAATTGACCGATCACGGAGATGCTGAGCGGTTCCTAGGTATCCGAATTTTCCGTGACCGAAAGCAAAAGAAGTTTTGGCTCTGTCAAGACGCCTATATCTCCAGCATGGCCACACGCTATAACCTCACAGATAAAGCCCGTGTGCATACCCCATTGCCCGTCGGAGAAGCGATTCTCCCACACACAGGCCAGGCCACGCCTCAGGAGATCAAGTGGTATCAACAACGCGTCGGATCAGCTCAATTTGCCACGTCGATTACCCGAGCTGATGCCGCCTTTGCTATTGCAAAATTGGCTCAATTCTGCACGAATCCGAGCCCTCGCCACAGCGAGTTAATTAACCGTGCATTATCCTACCTGTACACCACCCGTTTCCACGCGATCGAGTACGGGCTCAGCAGCGAGATGGAATCCGTTGAATTCGCGAGTGATGCTTCGTTTGCAGACAACGTGGGCCGGAAAAGCACCGGAGCCTACCTGTTCCAGGCTTACGGAGGTCCCATTGACTGGAAGGCTTCGAAGCAGCCCACAGTCACTACCTCCACCACGGAAGCAGAACTCCTTGCCCTCTCCGCTGCAGCCCGCTCGTACGAGTGGTGGATGCGATTCTTCCAGCGGATCATGTTCGTCCCTGACCACCAAGTCAAGCTCCGCTGCGATAACCATCAAACCGTGGATTTGTTGACCTCCGAAACCACCAAAATCGACACAAAACTCCGTCATGTCGATATCCACGGCCACTGGCTACGCCAGGAGGCGAGAGAAGGGCGAATCAATATTGCCTGGGTGCCGACCGCACAGATGGCCGCGGATGGACTCACAAAAGCTCTCCCCCGCCAGAAGCATGATCATTTCCTTCAAATGCTTCACATGACAAACATCCAGCACCTCATCGAGGCTTAATTAGGCAATTCCGCTGGGTATTGGCTATTCAACAGCCGTTGATTTGCAGGGTTTCCTTTGATTTTTCCAGTTCTCCCTTCAACACGAAGAACTGAGGGGGTGTGTTGGAACCCTGATATTAGTTATCCCCCTTTGGGCGCTGACTACTCCCGGACTTTCTCTCTTTTGTACTAGTCCGCTGGATTATTGTTGTTCCGTTCCTTATTGTGTACGTAATCTCTCAAACACCCCCTTTAGATTGGCAGAATCCAGGGGGATAGTAGAATAAGACCTTTCGTACCATTCCATTGGCCACTGTATATTCTACATTCTATTCCATTATCTGATTTATCACAATACCTTCTCAAGTTCTCTCAACACCGAAATTGTTTATAAAATAGTTTACGCGACCAACTCCCCCTGGGAAGGAACTTACGGCCAATATCGCGCCATTCGTGCCGGAACAAAAAGACCCCCATCTCCACCCAAGTGATTTTACGTTCACGATGTTTCTTCCAAGAAATGAAAATCCTCGATTAAAATCTTTCAGGAGTTCCAGGTCGCATTCTGTCCTTTCCAACTGAAATAGAAAGACCCCGTCGCGATAATGAAATGTCTGCTCTATCACTGTTGAGCTTCATATTTTCGATAGTCTCTTGATTGTCATTTTTAAGAGCTTTTCCTGATAGCCCTAAGAGGAGGAAAACCAAGTTCCCCAGACCGCGAGATATTAGGCCAAGGGTGAAGCTGCCTGCATATCTGCACAGTACAGATGTACCTGTGGCGAGCGGGGATCCTGTGATTGACCGCGAGCTTATCTGCAATGCGACCCCTGCCGCAGCTGCCCACCCAGCTTGACATGGGCAGTCTTGAGGGGCTCGCCCAGGTACAAGAACCTCGTGCGCTCTTATCTCGCATCTTGCTTTTACCCCTCTGCATCACCCCGCGTCCTCTGAAACCTGCAACTGCAACATCCCCTCTCTTCCAGATCATCCTTCACCCCCAGGATCTCAGGATGGCCAGCCCCCAGGAACTTCATCCTGCCACCACAGCTGTCGACAAGGATGATTTGGTTATTCCTGTAAGTACTCTCACATCTACTGACCTCGGCCCGACAGCTAACTCTTGCCACCTCTAGCTGATCAGCTTCGGCCCTTTCTTCTCTGGGACCCCATCCGACAAGCATGCCATCGCACTCTCCATAACAGAAGCCTTCAGAACCTCAGGCTTCCTCTACCTGAAAGACCACGGTATCCCGCCATCCGTGGTATCCCGAGTCTTTGCCTCATCTGAGCGCTTCTTTGGTCGACCCCAGAACCAGAAGGACAGTCTGGCGTGGACGACCCCACAGTCGAACCGTGGTTATGTTGCTATCGGCCGCGAGAAGCTCGCGACCCTTGACGAAACAGATGAGATAGACGATCGCCGGACCTCCGTCCCCGACATCAAAGAGACCATGGAGATTGGTCGGGAGGGTGTAGATGGTTTGCCGAATCGCTGGCCCGACCATCTCGATGACGAAGGGAAGGACTTCAAGGAAACTATGTTGTCCTTTTTTGTGATGTGCAAGACCTTGCACCGGCAGATCATGAGCGCTATTGCACTGGGCATGAATCTGCCTGAGCATTTTTTCGATGAATTTGTGAGTGGCGGTGACAACAATCTCCGCCTGCTACACTATCCGCCGGTTCATAAGAATGTGTTCATAAAGAATCCTGAACAGGTTCGCGCTGGCGAACACAGTGATTACGGCTCGGTGACTCTGCTGTTTCAAGATCGACATGGTGGATTACAGGTGCGCAGTCCGAAGGGGACTTTCGTGGATGCCACTCCCATTTCTGACACAATTGTGATAAATGCTGGTGATTTGCTGGCACGCTGGTCTAACGATACGATCCGAAGTACTCGCCATCGAGTGATCCAGCCCCCGAAGCCGGAAGGCGAAGACAAAAGTGACTCGGGAGACACATATCCATCGCGGTACAGCATTGCGTACTTTTGCAACCCGGACAACGACAAGACTATTCAGGCACTGCCCGGGACATACGGCGAAGATATCCATGTGACGAAGAAGTACAAAGATGTCACTGCGGGGGATTACCTGGTCCAACGGCTGACGGAGACATACTAAGTACCGATTTTCTGATGTCTGACTCGGCTTACAATTAATACACGGCTCATGCTTATACATTTTGCCTTAATGACCTCTCTGCATATGTTCGAATGGCCTGCTTGTACAATTGAGCTCTATTTGTTGTCTTATCTAAATGATATGCGCACATTCATTTTTTATGAATTATCTCCTTCCACAAACTGATTCGAGAGCTCAATTTCGACCGTTGAGCACAGACATGGCGGCGTCGCTTCTTAATAAGTGTTGGGGACGATACTGACACGGCCTCCGTCTGTAAGCATCACGGATCCGTTCAAATAACCACCCGAGGTACTCGCCATCCAAATAATCAGGCCAGCAAAGTCCTCCTCGCTGCCACTACGTCGAATGGGAATCATATCTCGGGGGAAAGATCCCTCAGAGATTCCACTGCCTTCAATGTTCCTGTCCTCAAAGATATGGTTCGCCATGTCTGACTGATACAGACCAGGCGCGATTCCATTCACGCGGATATCGTAGTCCGCAAGACCCGTCGAGAGCATCTTGACTAGATGAGTTGTAGCAGATTTGGATGCGTTGTATGCATAGCTGAAAGGCACCTTGCGGATGAACCCCGCAATCGAGCTGGTGATAATGACCTGTGCCGTCGGGGCAGTCAGGACACCCGGCTGCGGTGCTGCCCTGCGCTTGTTCGCCGCTTCGAGGAGAGGCAGAAATGCCAGGACAGTATAGTATGACCCAGTGACGTTGACATTGAGTACATCGGTGAATACCTCCATGGGGATATTGAAGAGCTCCTCGCGGAGCTCACTCAGCGAGGGCAGAGATCCATCTGCCTTCTGAGGCGGGCGCATCATCGGCCCCATAATTCCTCCATTCGCAAATAAGATATCGACATGGGTCGTTTGAGCAGCTATGGCCTGGTATGCAGCTTCCAGCGAGTCCTTCGAGGTCACATCACATTGAACAGGAATGACCACGCCCGCGGGAGCCAAGGCAGCGGTCTCTTGCAAGGCGTTTTCTCGTCGACCGAGGACGAAGATCTTCACAGCGCCGTTGGTGGCTAAGGCGCGAGCCATGATACGACCGAGGCCTACGACACGCATTGCGTTAGCTAAACATTGAGCTTTCACCGTCGGAAGGCCGACGGTTGAAGGTATGGGCTCTTACCGCTGCCTCCGCCGGTAATGACCGCGATGCGACCTTCGACAGAAAAGAGGTTGGATGCTTGCAGGTTGGCCATAATAATGGGAGCGTGTTTCTTCGTGTGAGAGTCGAGGATGACCAAAGATAAAAGATGGTTGCTGGCTTCACCGACCAGGTCGGCCCCCGCGATTGCGATAGCTAGCGTCATTCCCCACCGACGATCGGCCCTGCGCCGATCTGCCGCGGAAACATCTCTTCAGCGCCGTATGCCGACCTTTGCTTCTTGGGCCTGACTTGATGGTGATTCACCGTGAACGCGTGCTGAGTGACAGGTCGACTCTGCAAGTTGTACAAACTCGTTGCTTGATCATCATTCATGTTCCACGAAGCTGCTGTCAGGACATGCTGGAATGAGATGAACAGTGCAAATTTGTGGTGGCTCTGCATGCTTTCGAGGCCTATCGATGTCAATTAATATCTTCACGGCGTGACACGTCTGCAGCCAAGGACAATTTCCTGGTATCACGAGTGGGTCGTGCACCCAAAGCGCATGGAAGAGCCGAGCGGAGCGAGCAGAACGTGGAGGATCTCCCACGCTTCCTCGGGCACCTCGGTGACGATGGCGATCCGAAACATCCGGAAACGGACTTGATTTCCATCTCCAACGTTTGCCTACTGCTAGCAACCGTGGATAGGGATCAACGTCATTACCGGGGCCATCCGCTGCCCTGAAAGTTTCTCGAACCTGTTTCTATTCGACTACAATACATCAAGACGAGAACACTGAATATGGAGACACAATGGCAGTGAGGTTTCCATTTTAATGAGTAGCCGAACTTCTGAAGGGCTTCATCAACTTCCCGGACTGATATTGATGATCCCCAAGCTTTGAGATTGACCCGGCAGACCCGCAGGAAGCCAAGCTTCCTAAGTGTGGAACAATTTTATGACAGCATTATGGAGCTTTGAACCAAGCATCCAATCATACGGAAGAGCCATTACAGCATGCATCAGGGGAAATGGATGGTAAGTACACATACAAACTCTAACGGTGGCGCCGACGAGGGCCCTTGACCGATTAGGAATATACCCCGCGAGAATTGCTGCGAGTGGAGGATACGATGAGCAGTCTCTAAGTATAATGGCTCTACTACTACGGAATCCCGACGCATCTGGAGACTGCAAGCTTATCGTTGACTTCATGGGGTCAGTCAGTGGCGCTGGCACAGCACTATTCCTCAATGAAGGAACCGAACTTTATGCCTGTCACGCTATACCGGTAGCAATAACTGGACTGAGCTGAGTTATTTTGCAAGACACATGTTGCGTCAACGGGAGGCCCGGAGAGAGCCGGCGAGGTTTAGGCCAAAGGTCGGTCATATATATGCATTGTCGAGCATACATGGTCTTCTCGGCTTTGCAAATACCTCTCAGAAACTCTCGCCATTGCAGAATAAGCCGATATTGAAAGAAGCAGGACAGGTTATCATTGATCCACAGCTATAATGTGGAATCCAGTGCTCCTGTTGAGTGTGTTGGGCTCAATGCCCTTGACATTTGCATCGCCTCATGAGATCATCTTGCCGCGTGCAACTGATTCAAGCTCTGCCTCAGTTGTTTCGATCTCGGGCCCTCCAACTCGATCGCATCCGAGCTCCCAGCCACACACTCCTTTCAGTGGTACCCCGTCGACTACAGGTGCTTTGACAGCTGCCAAGATTGGATCGGGTATTTCGAGTGGCACCGTACCTCACGCAGCTACAACTTATCCAAGTGATGGGAAGTTGCACAATGCCGAGCCAGCTCCCTATGTTCCCGCTGGAGGCATTGGCACAAATGGCACCATTCCGGTCTACAATGCCAAGAGTGACTTTGATTATGAGTCTCTTGTATGTATCGCATTCTTTTGTCGAAGGAAAGAGACTGAATGATGGACGCTGACTCAAGATAATAGGCACTTGCACTGTATCAAGAATGGACCGAGCTCGATCTTTTCCAGGATGGATTGCGCCGCTTTTCTGACCAGGACTTCAGGTCCGCTGGCCTGAACGCAGCAGACCGAAACCTGATCGCCTATATGGCCGAGCAGGAGGTTGGACACGCGACCATGCTGAGCAACCTCCTGGGCAACAGAGCACCCCAACAATGCCAGTACAACTACCCCTACACCAACGTCAAGGAGTTCCTCGACTTCTGCCAGAAGCTTACTCGCTTCGGCGAGTCGGGCGTGTATGGTTTCTTGGCCCATTTGGACTCTCGTGAGGCAGCTATATTGCTGACCAAATCCGTTACCACCGAGGCGCGCCAGCAGATGATCTTCCGTCAATTCCAAGGACTTTTCCCCATGCCCGTGTGGTTTGAGACCGGTATCCCACAATCGTGGGCCTGGACTCTGCTGGCCCCTTACATTAGCTCATGCCCCTCGAACCAGACCCGTTTGGTGTGGCAGAACTTCCCAGCTCTGCGGATCCTCAACCAGCCCAATGCCTCCAGCGGCGGCTCCAACAGTTCCGGATCAATGAACAACACCATCTCACCGGGTACCAACGTGGTAAAGAGCTCCGGTGGTTCCAAGTCCGCATCTGCAGGTTGCAAAATTGCTCCAGACGGCTACTTGCCACTATCCTTCCCTGGTCGTCGGGTTGCTCTTCAGTGGGATAACCCTGGCTCGAGTGTCGGTCCGAACAACAGCTACATCACCTCGTCGCAGGCAGGCAAGGCCAAATATGTTGCTTGGGTCTCGCAACTCAACGTGACTTATACGCCACTCCGGGTCGATAATAACTCTCGCGGATACACCACCCAGCCTGATCTTGAGACTTATCAGGGAGACCCTGCGATTAATGGCACGATGTTTATTGCCATCACTGACAGCAATCCGTATTTGACACCGTTCAATTTGAGCCTGATCAATCCTCACGTGGTTTCTGGACCTGCCATCTACCAGGCTGGCTAATTTGGTGCTCGGTGGCACGCTTTCGAGTCTTAATGGTTGTATACGGTGGAGGGTCGATTGAGTACACTTTAATCAATATTATGAGCCTTTCAAAACCCATGTTTTTATTTCACACTATTTTTGCGAGAGATTCCGGCTTTCATGAAGGTGTCCAATGTCGCGTGCGAATGTACTGAGTATACAATTGCACCGAACGGGTGATCGCCTAAACCCGATTTATCGCCGAGCCGCCGCCGATCCACAGCTTCTGCTCTCTGCCAGCTCAGCAGATCTTCAAATCTCCCCACACCTCAATCCTCGCCAACCATGGATGCCCCCAGGAATCGAAAGCAGCGCCGTGCTGCCGCCACCAACTCTCCATCCGCCTCAAATACCTCAGTGCCCGATATCCCTCTTGCCCACCCACCACGCGGCGCCCCGGCCCCGAAAGCCGGTGAGCGAACACTATATGACATCATTGCAGAGCGCCAGAACGAGCTCGTTCAACAGGCAGACGTTGCGAATAAGGCACGAAAGAAATCTGAATTGGATACTGGTCAAGGGGTGCCTTCACAGGCGACGGGCACGCGGTTCGTGACCGTCGACGCGTCCGGGCAGCTCGTGGAGACGGACGGCAATATTGATAATAATGAGCTGGTGAATCCGAGTTCACGGCCTGAAGCTGGCGGAAATCGCAAGAAGTTCCCGAAAAGCGACAGAAACAGCGAGGAAAGCGAACCCGATAATCCTCTCGTGGCTTTATTCGACACCATCCTTCTTTCCGTACCTCTCACGGCCCTCAACGGCACCCTGTCCTACCTGGCAGCTTACCAATACGCCGAATCGACAGATCCCGTTCGCATCGTAAAGGACTCGATCATGTTCACCTTCCCGCTCCTCACCTTCCTCGTCCACCTTGTCCACGGTCACATCTTTTCATTCCGACTACAAAGGGCATCGGGTCTTCTTGCCGCGAGTGCGCAGCCCGTCATACTCTTCCCGCTCACTCGAGACAAATTCACTTTTTCCTTTCTGCGTCGACTCGTTTTTCCGCCTTCTATTCGGACTATCATATTTCTTCCAGCGTCTATCATGCTCGGGGTTCATCTGATAACCATCACGAACGGTGAGCCCTACTATGCTGTGATGAAGAAAGCGCCCGGGTTTGGGACAGTGTGGATCTGGTTCATTTTGGAATTATCGTTTGGCCCTGCTGCGATTGGAGCTCTCGGTCCTCTGATCTGGGCGGTCTGGTGGAAGGGATATGGCATTGTTTGAATGATGAAGTAAGGACTTCCAAAACAAAATATCTGTACATTACATTGCATAGTTTGGAGATATTTCCAGTTTAGCGTTGAACTGAGAACATGCCACGCGAGAACTTCAATTCACCTCCTGGGAGATGCGGGCGCAATATAGCCACGATCTCCTGCCAGACTTTTTTCTGCAGGGCCTTGCCCTCGGGACTCGTGACGAGTTCGCCCTTGCTGTATGTCGAGTCAGCGGAGAAACAAGGTGATTTGCTGTGGAATACATACTCATAAAACATATCAGAGAACCAGAATTTCCCGTGGGCCTCAAGACCCAAGGTCACGCCACTCACAAAGCTCCTTGCTCCCTGTTCAGCCGTACGGAAAAGGGACATCTGAATAAGAGTCATCGGGATCTTGAGAAGAGCAGAGAAATCGCGGCCCAATGTCGTACGGCACGGGCCAGGGCAGACCATATTGATGATGACTCCAGGGCCCTTGTGGTTGGTTTTTGCAGCGTCTGTCTCTTCCACCAGACCTTCCAAAATGTAGAATAAGAAGAGCTTCGCTGTTTGATATTGTCGCTGGCAGCCAAAAAGGCTGGGTTGGTTCGCTTGATCCAGGATCGGGGCATCGCTCTTGGAGAATGGGTTGACCTTGACACTGCGACCGGCAATACTGCCAACCAGTTCGAGATGCGTCGGTTCTTTGGAGATTATAGCAGACTTCTGAAGTTGTGGGAGAAGCAGTATTGCCATTAATGCTGTCGAGAGAACCATTACCTGGAGGCACATCTCGTATCCTTCCGGGCTGAGGCGAAAAGATGGTGATACGACGCCAGCATTGAGGATTGCTATGTCAATTCTTGGCTCTTTGGAGACTGCATCTCCAAACGTCTTGACGGAGTCGAAGGTGCTCATGTCAACCTCATAAAGCCGAATGTTGTTCTTGTCGTACCCGGTCTGTTGACATATTTTGTCCCGAGCCGCCTCGCCCCTTTGAAGTGATCGAACACCGAAGATGAGTCGTGATGCACCCAGTACGGCAAATTTGAGAGCCGCACTGAATCCCAGTCCCGTGTTTGCTCCGGTGATGAGGACAGTTTTACCAGCGAAGGATGTTGCGGGGTCTGCTGGCGGATGGCGGCCAGACCACCATATCATACTCGCGCCTTCGCCGTCAGGTGGTGTGGATGGCATTGTCAACGAAAACTGGAAGAAAAAAATGTATGACTCAGGGTCGGTAAGTTCTGACTAGCCCTTTTCATGGCAAATGGCCATGGGAGCGCAAACATTTTAAATGCCCGCTATGTCCGAAAAACGTTCCGAAGTCCCCTTTGCATCGGGGTATGCAAGATTACACATTGGTGCCGATTCGTCGTTTGAGGTGGACCAAGATACTTTTCAGAGAATCACAGTGGCCTCTGGGCTCATACAGTGGTGGTTGCTCGTTTGCTTCTGCCTCGAGCATACCAGATAGTAGACGAGCTGCCTTTCCCTTGCAAGAAATATTGCTCCACGGCTCGTTGATATTTCCAGATAGCCCAAATCTTGTTTCAATTTTGCCGAGCATGTCTTCGCTGACTTGAACCAGGATTTGTACCTGCAGGTCGAGTCGGGCTTCGAGTTTAAAGCCCCCGAGGTGCATCCCCGGGAAGAGCTGGGGGACGGGGTGTTGTAACCCCATCAAAAATGAAAGACAGTCCAAGATACATGATAAGACTGTTCGGTAAACTCGCACCAGGGATATATAGCACGAAAGGAGCGCAAACATAGTAGGTACATCGCAGGTCAATTCGAAAGATCCCGAACTAGGACATGGCTGGAAGCTGTCCAAAATTTCAATGAGAGATGTTGAGTGATCCAGCATGCGCCCGATCAGGAGATTCTGACTTGTCACGGAGCTCGAAGGGGAAATGGCTTCGGGACATTTGTCTGCTGTGATACAACACTTCACAGCCTCGAGGTCGGCAAGGATATTGGTTTGTAGATCGGCTAGCTTTTTTCAGGCGCTCATTTTGGGCCTCAGAAGGTGAACTCGTGGGTGTGACATGGCTCCCATTGGCCACTGAAATATCATGGCTAAAGCTCTGAGACCAAAACTGATTGAAGTCGTCAAGGTTGGAGGGTGTTATTAATTGTTGCAAGGCTGAATCTGACTCGTAAACGTCGATTTCAGGAGGAGTGGCTAACAGCAACATGGCCGCACTGGGTGTAGATCGCGCTGCAAAAGAATCGACATGGTCATCGGCAAACTGAATCTGGGAGCTTCCAGTATCGCCTAACTGTTGTGGCCGACCAGATCTAAGGGCAGGGCCCGTGATGCATTCGACGTTGGCTTTGTCACATCGTCGGCAGCGCTGCGCATCGCCACGCTCGCAACGCAGTTTGTGGCTTCTGCACCGGTCGCATGCCGATCGGCGGTTCCCTATATTCTCCGCAGTCATCGGGTGAGCTGAAACCGGTTCGTGAGAGTAGACACGGAGTAGAGTAGTCGGATTCGGAACGTTTACGAGAAGCTTGGTGGAGTTCGGAGATGGGTGGAGCCCCGATTCCGACGGGCCGGCCATTCAGGCCGCTGCTCTATGTGTTGAGGCCACTACTGAGCAATAGTACTATACTACCGCACGGCCTACAAATCCAATGAAGAGTGAAGTTGGTTCGTTATGCATAAGATACAAAATATGACCTGCTAAGTGTCTCAGTCGCAAGTCCAGCATTCAGATATACTGTCCCCGTACTGTTGCATCAAAGACTTCAGGGACAATCCGGCTATTTGCGATCCCCCGATGGTCACATCGAGTGACAACAACCCTTTCATAAGGCAGTCAATGTGCATTTCACATTGACCATCTGCAAAAAGGCACAGACCATCATCTGAGTTTTCCGTTATAGGTCCTGTAAACAAGCGGAGATTGATGATGAGGGCTACAGCCATCTCAATAGCTGTTGTCAGGATACCAGGGGTGACATGATATGCGGTGAGTGGGGCTTCAGCTGCAAGGCCGTTTTGCAGATTGAATGTCTCCTCGATAGGCATTTCGAGAACACATCCGATAGTTTGTGCAACCGATGAGGAAGCCCCTCGTTGATAGGCTCGTAGAGCTGAGCCCAGAGTAGGTGGACTGTTGTTACGGGCCTTAGCCATGAATGAAGATACTGTTTCCGCGAAGACAAAGACTCCAAGATCCCAAGGTGTAACAAGAGAGACTGATGTTGGTCAGAACAGCTATCGATGTAGCGAATGGAAATATCTTACCACAAGACACCCTTGATGGCAATGAAAGTTCTTGAAACCTTTGTCTGCAACGCTTGATGAAGGGTCGAAGTTTGTCGTTGAACTTCCCAATGGAGACCAACATGGAATAGATTGAACTTTCTATCCCAAAAACACAGCGATCATGAGCGTCGTGCGACTTTTTGATATCCATCTTGAGATTTGCAATCATTCTCCAGAGATAGAAAGCCTCCGCGGCTAACTTTCGACAGATATCAGGGACTTTGCGATCCCAATCTTCAACCACTCTTCCGAAGAATGTTGCTGGAAGTTCACCAACATCTGGAAATGCTGACTTCTGTTAGCATGTGGATTGTTCCATTTTCCACGGGTTCTGTTCCGGACCTACAGTTTTTGTTGGCAAAAAATTCGGGAAGTCTGCATTGATGGCTTGACGTCAGAGCAGCCCCGGTATCCCGGATATATGCAGCTATATACACAGGATAATGTCCGCCGGGTGGAGCTTTCCTGTCTGGTCTGCCGCCGCTTTAATGAGGGCGATCAGGCTCAGGCTCACTGAGTAAATGTCAGCATGGGCTCATGGCCAGTGATCTGCTCAGTGATCGCTCAGTGATCGCTCAGTGAACGGTCTGTGATCACTCAGCCACTGCTTACTCTCAAGCACTCATTGTCCAGCCAGCGAGCTGTATTCTTTTCTTCCAGCCCAAATTAGACAATACCCAAAATGGTCATGTCCCACGGGGTCATCTATTCTGTGAAAACTAGCGCATTAATGGTCGTTGTGAGGCCTTCCACTTTCTGGAGGTCTCCATTGAATCAAAAAACGGCGTCATTCACCCCCAACCAAACCAAAGTGAGGTGGTCCGTCGTGTTCAAGATTATGCAGCTTAAAGCTGCCTTTACACTATCATGTGTCGTCTCCGGTGACCACTTTGTCCCCTCCTCGGTCCCATTAAAAGAAGCATCCATTCATTATTTGCATCTACAGACAACTGCTTCCACAAAGCTGCCTCTTCACTTTTGATCAACTATTGATCAATATCCGGCTATGGGTCGAAAAGCCTTTTTCTCCAGGCGTGATGAGAAGGCCAAAGAAAGGCGCCGTCTCTTACGGCAGAGAAAAGGGTATATCCCCCGAGCCCACAAGGAGGAAGATGCTGTTCGAAACAAGGATAGAAAACTTCTAAGGACCAAAGGTTACACCAACAAACTTTGAGTCTCTGGCTTGAGTGAGTTTGAAAACCAGACAGAAAAGATTGATTGATGGCAGAGCTGATCATTTCTTAGCTTCACTGCAGACCCAGAAAACGGATTTGATGATTATAAACTGTTCCAGGTTGCTTGCCTCCAAGCCATGAAATGGTAAAAGAGTTCATTCGCTGGTATGCGAATCCTACCAGTGACAGACTCTGCAAGAGCGGGAAACCAACAGTGAGAACAGCTAAGGCGTGGGCGGAGCGATTCTTCGGTGGGTTTAAAGAGCCTACCGGTTCAGAGATCACTGAAACAGACAGAAAAGAAGTATACAGTGTGAGTCCTTACTCGTCTCACGTTTTCGGCAATACTAACCCTTTTCGATATAGTGGATCAAAAATACCTTAACCAAAGACGGCAAAGTGGTGAATAAAAAAAAGCAAAAATACAACTTTACAAAGGAAGACTTTTTGAAAGTTGTCTCTTCGATGTGGCGGGTTGACCATAAAAGGTTTATGCCTGGAGGGCTCAAAGCTCTCATACTATTCGCACTTCAGTTGTATCTCTTTACAGGAGCAAGAGTTGGATCATTCATGCCTTCCGATCAGAATAAGCAAGAAAGAGGTCTTCGATACGAAGTAAGTTGACAAGAATATCAATAATTATCCCATTCTAATTCCCAGTTCTAGCATATTGAATTGGTTCTTTTTCCATCAACGATAGCCCCCGGGGAAATTGGATGGAAAGTCAATCAGCAGTGGCTCAAGAACAACCGAGACTCCGATTGCACAGTGTATGAACTCAGAAAATCCACTTCGTATGCCACATACTGACTTTACCTAGGTTTGGGATCGGAATCAGGGATAGTAAGCGACCACAATTTGCCTCTGGTGACCTTCTGCTTGGCCTTGCATTAGGATGTGGTGCTCTCTTCGGGATCGAGACCAAAGAGGACTTGGCAAAATATGATCTGTCTAATGGAGAAATTCCACTACGATGGAAAGAAAGCTTTATGAAAAAGCCACTGTTCACGAATGTGACGGCCAGTGGACCACAGGATATTCCTCTCACGAGCAAAGATTTCTCTGCCTACCTGCACCAAATATTTGATGCTGCAGGGTATAGTGAGCATCCAAAAATACATTTTTTTGGAAGAGATATTCAGTAAAAGGAAAAGTCGATCGGTGATGTATTGTTCTAACCCACTATTTACAGATAGCGTGCACACAATTATACTGTAAGGCTAGATCCATGAATTTCGGGACCGCTGGATACGGGTAGCCCTCCACTCTCGCTTCCAAATTTGTTCTGCCTCAATCTCTCGCCGTTTAGATTCGTCTAGCGAGGCCCTCAGAGCTTGGATTGCCTGTAAGGGGGATGTTGGATGCCTTAGGCATCACTATAGGATAGAACCCAGATAGTTTGATTGCTCTCCCTCTCTCTCCTTCTCCTCTTTGTCCGTCCCAATACATACAGAGATTTCTCCATCGATTCTCCTTCTGTATCGTATCTCCATGACTTACTAATTAATATATACACTTTTATACCAAGTAGGATATCTCCGTGGTTAAATAGTTATAGACCGACCACAGTTATAGCAAGGCTGATTGGATAAAATCTCGGAATAGAGGTATAAAAGCAACAAAAGGGGCAAATATAGGAGAGAGAACATAGTGACTGGAAATAGTGGGGGTAATAAATAGAACAACGGTGTAATAAAACGAAGGACAAAGTGTAGAAGACGAAGCAATGATACCTACGAAAAGTGTATAAGTATATAGACCAAACGCTAGAACCCTAAAGCTGGAATAACATCTAGTCCAAAGAAAGCGACAATAATGCAGGTATCAGTGGGCAGTCCTCGCGAATGAGCGAGGTGGGTGGCCGAACAGTCCATACATAGTTAAGCCACCACCTTTTGCAACGTCTCGTGCGCACGTACATCCGTGTTGATTATTCCCTTTCCCTCACTTCGTTCGTTCAGGGCACTCGACAAAGCGTTCCATTCTTCTCCTGAATCCATCCCTCACTCCCCACACAGTGATGACACCACAGCAAATCCTGTGGATCATATTTCCGCTTAATCTCACGTAGTCGAGCATAATGAGGTCCCCAGAAAGACCATTGCCAATTGGGCTCATGACGATCCGCCTTTTCGTGGAATCGTATCAGTACTTGAGCCACACGTCTCAGGGTCAACCTGCAGAAAACATACCTCATTGTAGTAGGCACCCGAATCTGGTGCTATCTGGCGCAGCAAATAGCCCTTTTCGTTGGTCATTCTGTCGTATGTTTCGGCCGCAACCGAGTCTGGTAGTGAGTCATTCCAGGACTGACTGGTGATGAGGTGGACGACGGCATCGCGCCAGGCTGGATTCAAGGAATTGTCCACCATTTTTTTGCCGGGGGTCATTGTTCCGGACATTGATGGATTGGACACTGCGTTCTGAAAAGTCTGATTGTTAGAACATCACTTTATAAAGCAAAGCCCATGATTGTAGTGAACCTACCTTTGGATCGTCTGGTTGAGGGCCAATCTTTTCCAGAATATAAGCAAATCCTCGAGTATCCTCAACTGCCCGGCGGGGTATCAATCGAGACGTGCGAGCAGACCGGGAAGTGCCCGTATGCTCCACCCGGGGAAACATCTTGGTTAAGTTGTACCAAGATGCGGTGTGGAACTTGGTAATATTCGACGATACCGTCCCATTTCGGTGGTCTAGCAGTTTCTTGAGCGGGAGCATTTCCTGGTCAGCCGAGTCGGCACTGGTAGTGTTATATTGAAACATGGCATGACCGAAGTGGAATGGAGGCCCTGAAATAGTCCAATATCCGCCAATACCGGAGTCCTGCAGTACGGCCAGCTCTTTGTGGATCTCTGCAATCAGTTTCCACCATCCTCTAGGTGTCGTACCATTGCGCGCAGTAAGGTCTAGACCGACCATTGTGACAGATGGCATCGGATACGCCTTGACTGTAACGCTGAGAATTACGCCGAACGTGCCACCACCGCCGCCACGGATAGCCCAGTAAAGATCCTCATTCTGACATTGGTTCACGGTTAGGACTTCTCCGTCAGGAGTGACCAGTACAGCCTCGATGATGTTGTCAGCGCCCATTCCATATTCCATGGTCGCAAAGCCATGTCCTCCACCAGTAGCCCAGCCGATAACGCCAACGTCCTATCATGATATTCTGTTAGCACGACATCTGACATGGGTGAAGTCGCGTTTTCCCCATACTGTGTTTGTTCCACCAACACCAATCGCATTGTGTTGCGCCAATAGTTCGAATAATTCTCCGTCCTGAATTCCCGCGCCGAGGGTTGCCGCCATATGACCAACGGTTTGAGGACAACTTAAAGGCGTGTAGGATTCGTGGAATTGAAATTGTTTCATGGCGTGAGTCCAGATCCTAGAGTCATCAGCAAAAAAACCATTTATCATCCTTTCTTCTGAGATAGTAAAGGCAAACCATACGAGAGACTTCCATATGCCGAGCTAAAGCAATTGTAAATTGATCAGTCTAGGTCAAATGACAGGGTACATATTGCAGCCACGCACCTCTTATCCGGATTATGTCCCGTGTTCTTAATGTTTAAGCGTAGATTATGCGCTTTCGCAAACTTCAAGGCCGCCTGAACATGACTGGCCTCGCTTGCATTGATAACATACGGAGAGAGATTCCCCAGTGTGCACCCCCTCGAGCCTGCATCTGGGTCTCCCGAGAGACTCGTTCCATTGGGGTATATTGGCGTGCAGCTACTGTTGGATGAGACAGGATCGGCTATGCTCGAAGGGTCGGAAGAGTGGAATGACGAGGTAGTCCAGTTCTTGATCACATCCTCACAGGCAACAGGGTCGTAGTTTGGCTGTGATGGGTAACAGACACTGCCTAGAGGTACTTTTTTGATCAAGCATCCGGAAAGGGTGGTATTGAGAGATGCCCATTCAGAGGCTAGGGGCCAGCATGAGTCGTTGGGAGTCTAAGTTTGTGCATTGTGAGGGTTCTTGATCTGAATTGGTGTGGTAGCACCTGGATTCAATTGTACTAGGTACTTACACATTTGCAGTGCACATTACTAGCAGTGATGGCAGTCGCTAGAACGGCGAGTGAAAGTAGACAGCTTGGAGCTAACCTCATATTGGACGATTAGCCGCGGTAGATTTCGTTGAATGTAAACACGTGTAGTTGACTCCTACATCTCGACTTCCCATCTTCTTCTGCTCTTATATATTTGAGATAATGGAAGCGTATTCGTTTTCCATATTCCTGAAACTGATACCTCAGTCCATCAGATCTACATTGTTATGCCGTGCCAAGACTTCCCTAGATCCGGAAGTGCCCCTTTGAGTATGCAATACGAGTATACGAGGGTACGAGCACCGCAAGACGTCATATCCTCAGGCAACAGTTTATTATAGTACTATTCTGATTATGTCGTATGCTGAGTTCCACAAAGGAAACCTAAAGCTGCCTTCGTATAAATACGAGCCCCTTTGTTAAAAATGATCGTCATTTGTGGTCTGATGTCTTACTGACCCAGTTGCATGCAATTTCAATCCAGGCTTCTCCAAAGATTCGCTGTCCGTATTTCTCGTACTCTAACACGGGTCTATCTGCAATGGGTCTTTCACAATTTCCAAACAGCGGCGAAACTCAACGTTGTAGTGCCAGTCACGGGTCCAATTATTAGGTCAAAGATATGATATGGTCTATAGAAAAGACGTGGCAAAATGCATGCAAGGCGACATTTCAAATATAGCAAGCACTTCCCCTTCTTAGCGAGGCGTTGGGCTATGAGAGCGTCCCACTCAGTACGGTATTCCTCAACCTTCTGCTTGCAATCCAGCTCGGCATCATAGAAGCGGCCCTTGTGCAGGACAAAGCGCTCAAACCAGGAGAGATGCTTGGGAATTAACGGCGGGACCGTGGTAGTCCACCTCACGATCTTCACGGAGACAGGCCCAGCGGCGCTCTTGCTCCTTCAGATCGAGACTGGCCGGGTCGGGCAAGAAGGCCAGATGGCATTAAAGCTAACTTCAAGTAGAGACGAGGGTAAACAAGAGGGGGCTCTTTCACGGTCGAGGTGAACTGGCCCCAACCTAGACTGCAAAAGCTCCGGTAGGATCGTATTCATGTGAGGCTTGTCTGCCAATCATCCCCATGTCCCATGCACACAGCAGGGGCCTAGCCGTGGCTCCACCCACCTACACCGCTTTGCGCTGTAGGTGGGTGGAGCCACGGCTACTAGGGGATTCTCGACACTCCGATCGGGAGGTTCAACCCCTCACCCTACCCATGTAAGCAAGGACACCTTAACGTGTCCTCGCAGCGTCCGCTCTTTTCTTCTTTTCTTCAATCAATTCATCCTATCTTTTTGGATTGGTTCCCCTTGGTAGATTAGCCCCATTCTTGCATACAATGCCATACTGTATCAGCTAGCTGCGACATCTATTTTTAATTTACTTTCTCGTGAAACGTATTTGTGGAAAAAGTCACATGATTGTTTTCTGTGTAATATACTTAAAATAAAATACATTCCTCTATGTCTGGCATTGTCTGATCATTAAATAAGCGACATTCTTTTACGAATAATCGAAAACTGGCACTGTGTGGTAACTACTCATTATGATAATAGATAAGGAACCAACGTAGCATTAATCTCTGTGGATATATCAGGAGTATGAAATCAAGAAAATTGTCTCCCCTGGTCAACTTAATTGGTCACCTGATTGCGGGGTAAACTTCCAAGTTAGCAACACCAACTTTGGTACCACCAAGCATCGACCTGATTCAAGGATTATTATGGCAACTAATATCTCATATGACGGCCATAACTCGGGGCTTCAAATCGGACAGAACCATGGCCATATCAATGCTCAGTTCTGTAGGTGGGAGAAATCACGAATCTCACAGAATGCGGCTAATTAGTTTGATTGCCTCAGTACAACCGGAAGCGCCATTGAATCAAGCGTGCCTGCGGGATCTGCGAATAACGAGTCCTGAGGATGACAAGGGCCGCATCGAACGAACCAACGGAGGGTTACTCCAAGACTCGTATCGCTGGATTTTAGACAACGAGCAGTTTAAACAGTGGCAAGCAAAGCAGAGCAGCCGTCTCCTCTGGATTAAGGGCGATCCCGGCAAAGGCAAGACAATGCTACTGTGCGGGATCATCAACGAATTGACCCAATCAATCGGGTCTAATTCAAATATCTGCTTCTTTTTTTGCCAAGCTACGGACGTACGAATTAATAATGCAACAGCCGTGCTTCGTGGCTTGATATATTCACTGGTCGTGAAGCAGGCATCGCTTCTCTCCCATGTACGGAGCCGGTATGATCAAGCTGGAAAGACCTTGTTTGAGGATATAAATGCATGGAATGCGCTCTCTAAGATCTTCAACGATATTTTGAAAGATGCGACCCTACAGAATACTTATTTGGTGATCGATGCGCTAGACGAATGCACAACGGACCTCCCTCTCCTTCTGGACTTGGTCGTCCAGGAATCATCTACCCACCCGCGCGTGAAGTGGATTGTCTCGAGCCGCAACTGGCCTGGTATCGAAGAGCGTCTGGATGCTGCAACTCAGACTGCGCCTATCTCGTTAGAGCTAAATGAGATATCCGTATCTAACGCTGTGCAACAGTTCATTCAGCATAAGGTTCACCAATTAGCAGAAGTCAAAAAGTATAAAGATGAAATCCGTGATGCTGTTTATCGTCACTTATCGTCACACTCACAAGGCACTTTTCTCTGGGTCGCCCTAGTTTGTCAAGATCTCAACAGGACATCGCGGAGACATGTCCTTAAAAAACTTAAGGAGTTCCCTCCTGGACTGGATGCTTTATACGGTCGAATGATTAATCAGGTTCGAACGTCTGAGGATGCTGAGGTCTGCAAGCGAATACTGGCTGTTATGTCAATTGCGTATCGGCCTATCACTCTTGACGAACTGACCGCCCTAGTTGAAATACCTGATGATCTCTCCGATGACGATGAAGCTTTACTGGAGGTTATCGCAATTTGTGGCTCGTTCCTCACTTGCCGTGAGGACGTTATTGTTTTCGTTCACCAGTCTGCAAAGGAATTCCTGCTCGAAAGGGCGCGAAGCGAGGTTTTTCCGGAGGACCAACAAGCCGAACATGTTGCAATTTTCTCGCGATGTCTACAAACTATGTTCAAGACACTTCGGCATAATATCCTCGATGCCGAGGAATCCACACACCCACGTTCTCTGGCAGCTATAAAATACGCGTGTGTGTATTGGGTTGACCACCTTTTAAAAGGTTGGTGTGGTGAAGACAAGTATTACAGGCTTGATGATGGAGGCTGCGTGGATCGGTTTCTGCGACAGAAATATCTTCACTGGCTCGAAAGCCTCGGCATTTTGGGATGCGTTCAAGAAGGAATAACCGCTATACTGAAGCTGGAGGACTTACTCCATGTGAGTGATTGTTTAAATTCGGAAAATATCTCGATTTTAATCAGGCACTTCATAGAAAAAAGGAGTATCACAGGGTCTATTACACCGAGTTCAAGACGCGTCCCGATTCATTCGATACTACAGACATGCAATCGAAAGCAGCCCCCTTCAAGTATACAGTTCAGGACTTACCTTTAGCCCAACTCAAAGTGCGACGAGGACATGTTATCAGAAAGAGAAACCAGATTGGATTTTGAACAGTCCAGTAGTAGATGAAAGCTGGAGTTTATGTCTTCAAACCCTCGAGGGGCATAGTCATTGGGTCGACTTGATCACCTGGTCGTCAGATGGAAGCCGACTCGCATCAGCTTCGAAAGATAAGACTGTTAGGATCTGGGATCCAGCCACCGGCCAGTGTGCGTCCACCCTTGAGGGGCATAATAGCTCGGTCACGTCGATTGCCTGGTCGCCAGATGGGAGCCGACTTGCATCAGCTTCGGAAGATAAGACTGTTAGGATCTGGGGTCTAGCCACCAGCCAGTGCGTGTCTACCCTCAAGGGGCATAGTAGCTGGGTCGCGTCGATTGCCTGGTCGCCAGATGGAAGCCGACTCGCATCAGCGTCGGAAGATAAGACTGTTAGGACCTGGGATCCGGCCACCGGCCAGTGTGCGTCTACCCTTGAGGGGCATAGTAGCTCGGTCAAGTCGATTGCCTGGTCGCCAGATGGGAGCCGACTTGCATCAGCTTCGGAAGATAAGACTGTTAGGATCTGGGGTCTAGCCACCAGCCAGTGCGTGTCTACCCTCAAGGGGCATAGTAGCTGGGTCGCGTCGATTGCCTGGTCGCCAGATGGAAGCCGACTCGCATCAGCGTCGGAAGATAAGACTGTTAGGACCTGGGATCCGGCCACCGGCCAGTGTGCGTCTACCCTTGAGGGGCATAGTAGCTCGGTCAAGTCGATTGCCTGGTCGCCAGATGGGAGCCGACTTGCATCAGCTTCGGAAGATAAGACTGTTAGGATCTGGGATCTAGCCACCAGCCAGTGCGTGTCTACCCTCAAGGGGCATAGTAGCTGGGTCGCGTCGATTGCCTGGTCGCCAGATGGAAGCCGACTCGCATCAGCGTCTACTGATATGACCGTCAGGATCTGGGATCCAGCCACCGGCCAGTGCGTGTTCACCCTTGATTTTTACTCCTACAACCTCCAATTCGATAAAAGCACGCCCAACCATCTCCACACAATAATTGGCACCTTAAATTTAGGGTCCACTGAGCCTGTTGCGCCCAGCGCCAGTCGTTTGACCCTGCCAGGAATATACGGGTTTGGCTTAAGTGACTGCTCTTCCTGGATAACCTTTAATGGATCAAACCTTTTGTGGTTGCCTCCAGAATATCGGCCGTCCAACCCTTCTTCATTTCGTATATCTGCAGCAATGGTGGCAATCGGTTGTTCATCAGGTCGTGTCATATTCCTCGCACTCTCAGAACACAATCCCCTATCTAGCGTATAAATAGCATTTATGTCACTTCAAATCTACCGATTTTCCTTCTTCATCAAAAGCGGAAGGTTTGCCTTTATGAGGTTCGATAACGATTTGGTGCTCAGTGCTAGCACTGATCAACGCCCGCAGTTTTTTGATGGAGTGCGTACTACCAGCACCTTCCCAGGAACCAAAAAGGACCCTAAGTCACGTGCAGTTACCAATACCCCCAGCATCCCCCAAGACTTTCACGAAAAATAACTGGGGACGCGCGCTGCCGCACGCCATGGCCCTGAAACAAAACTACGTGGGAGACGATGGGTATTGACATATTGTGGAATTTAGAGTGAGATTTGTGTATTACCCACTTGCCAAGAATTTCTTTTCCATGGCCTGCTTTTGAATATTCCATACAGGTTCGGCAAGAACAATCAATTTGTCTCCAAATAACTGCATGACCTCTTCGATTGTCTTGAAAGCATCATACCTTCCAGTCGAGTCATCAGGTAGGTTCACATTGAAACTCTGAACCGTGGATGTTCTCCATGAATTTCGCAATTGGCGAAGTAGATCGCTCGCCCTCTCATGTCCAGAATCCACATCCTTTGCCACGAGATAAAACGAGCTGCGATGAGCGTGACTGACAGTTGGTTTGAAAAGAGAGATCTTGGAAAATTGACTGAACGATTCAAGAAGTCGGATCATAGGGGGGCTATACACCTGATGCAAGAGCACAATCAAAGTCCCACCGCGTTTGATTCTGCGTAATGCGATTGTGAGTTGGGCGGCAGTGAGTCTAGCGGGTTCGTGCCTGGAACCCCCTACTCTCGTATGAGTATGGAGAACCTGTCCATCGCAAAAAACAATATCGAAGGCCTGGCTCTCATAAGGTATATAATCCGAGAATTTAGATGCATCTGTATATTCTTGGGAGACCAGGTGAGGAAATCCAATCTCAGCAGCAAGCATGGTGATATCCATAAACTCAATGTTAATGCGCCTATTCACTTGCCACTTTGGAAGTAAAACGTCATGTCCACCTTCGGATTTCGGTAAGCTTAGCCCACTAATTCTGGCCAGTCGGTTATATTTCAGCACTGTTGCGGAATATCCCCCAGGGGCCATGCAGATATCGAGAGCTTCTAGGTTGATTGTCTTTGAACTAGTCGGGATGATTTTCTCTTTATTTTGCATCTCATCCCCAACTCTCGTCATCATTTTATAAAAGTATCTCTTTTGCTTCGTATTAGGAGAAGTGGCGCGCTCCTTTTGACCTTTGAAGTATTGATCTGCTTCAGGGCTCTCTTTAACCTAATTATTCGTTATATATCAGTAATTATACGGGAATCAGATAAACGGTCCATTAACAGTACCCGTTGTTGAACAGCCATAAGGTCCTGAAAGACTTGCGATCTTGCACTGAAGAATCCCTTGACTATTTTATAGTCTTCATTGAGGTCGGAATCGACTTCTGGTATTTCCCCAGTCATGTTTGTTATTCCTCCTTCCGCCATAACTGCTCTGGAAACCTGCGGTTGTTCAAGGCGACAAAGTGGAGCATTAAGAGATTCGGATGTTGGGGAGAGAGACGGAGACAATTTATCTGAACAGACAGGATGACGTGGCAGGAGGGGTATCTAACTTGGTAGACAACAAAGCGTGATTGTCGTGCGTTAGATTGCAGAAACACCAGCAAGTATGTACATTTTTTGGCCTTCAAGGCGGCCAATCAAAGCCGAGAGAGGAGGAAATTGGCAACATAGATTTGTGGGGCGGTTTGCGCCGTTGACAAAAGTTTCACTCATTTCTCACTCCAGGATCTAGAAAAATAATCACGTGGAACTTGATTCACGTGCATTCCCAAGTACAAAGCTAATAAGCGTGAGCCTTGGCGCGAAATTTAGCAGATGTCTCCTCGGCGTCAACTCCACTTTAAGTCCGCCTCAGGCACCCGGGTTTGTAAACCCTTCCACTCCGTTCCTTCGTTTCAGGGCATATGCCAGGCGGGGGAAACACAAGTCAAGAAAATGAACGGGAGACTAGGTAGAGCGAACTAAGAGCTGTGATACCACGCACAACAAGGAACAGAAGAGGTAGCTAGTAGAACGGCAACAACCAGAATGAAGCCTGCGACAAAGGCACGTGCAATTCCAAATACCAGACCAATGAGAGCAAAGTGTTCACACGAAGATGGACCATCTCCCATCACACAAAAACTCAGCCACCTGGCAGCCTCAGGCACCCAGGGTTTGTAAACCCTTCCACTCCGTTCCTTCGTTTCAGGGCATTTCATCTGCCCACTGAGCAGAGGGGTGAGCAGGGTGAGCATGGAGGACGCGCTTTCCCTACGGTGTGTCAACGACGCTCTTTGCCCCCTTCCACCCTCCCTCCCAAAATGGCGCCTCGGCTCTCTCCATCCAAGCTGGAATTGATTCGTGACATGATCCATAGCGGATCCCTAACTATATCACAGATGGCCGAAGGTGCTAAGTGTAGCGAGCGCTCGATAATCAATATTCGTAATAATCTTCGCCTTTTCGGAAATGTCAGAGCTCCCTTGACTCGTGTCGGCCGGCGACGAAGCACCACGCCTCCGATGATCCAGACTCGACAAGGCATATCAGGAGGCCATGAAGAAACTCAAGGACGAAGCGAAAGAAAAAAGAAAAGCTGTCAACAAGGCACAGAAGAAGGCTGCAAGGAAACTAAAGGATGAAGCGAAAGCAAAAAGAAAATCCAACAAGGCAGAGAAGATGGTTGAAACAAAGCTCAAGAATGAAGAGAAAGCAAAAAGAAAAGCCCTCGAGAAAGCACAGCAGGAGGCCATAAAGAAACTCAAGGATGAAGCGAAAGCAAAAAGAAAAGCTCTCGACAAGGCACAGCAAGCGGCTGCAAAGAGGCTCAATGATAAAATGAACGCTTAAGAGAAAGTACGACGTTCCTTAATACTGTCAGTATATGGATCTCCATTGAAAAGACTGCTCGCATTAATTCCATGGGTTTGAAAATTATGTTTGCACGTAAGTTATTCGAGACAGAGCATATGCCGTACAATCATTATACGACAGCGAACTCTAGTTACGAGTATCGTCCCAAAGCGTTGCTACAATAAGGTAGGTCAGGAGACCAACTACGAAAGGTGTGGAGATTTGCCGAGGATAGTTCGAGAAAGAATTGAAAAGAATAGAGGCGGCCAAGGCCGAACATTTACCTCCAGAAGTCATCAATCCCGGCGGCGACGGAGCGAGGGCACTGCTACCGATAGCCCATCATCTGTCGCGACGAGAGATCCAGCCATGAGGTATCCAGCCATAAGGAATCTAGCGGCCATATCTCCAACAGTTCCAATAGCCACAGCGAGGACGGCACCCATGATAGCGACATCCGCATCTTGAGTATTCCGGCCGACGTGGAAGACAAGGTTGCTGAGCGCCTCTCGAGCTACATGATCCCTGCTGTGAAGACAAGATTGACCGCAAGCGGTTGCTTGAAATCGGAGGCTCATGTTCGTGCCAGCAGTAGCGGATCTCTGCAGTAAGGCTCAAGGGGTAAAGCGCATGCTGTCCACAGAGATCGAGCGCACGCTGCAGCAACTATGGGCTCAGATCTTCAACCTCGACCCGGCAAGTATCGGTATCAATGACCCCTTCTTCCGGCTCGGTAGCGACTCTACAGTGCTGACCGTTATTGCCTTCCATATTCGGAAACAAGCCAATACTCTTTCAAACCCCAATCACATTATATCCTAACCTAATATGGATTTAGCGTTAAATACCGTTTTTGTATATACATAGTAATAATCTGCAAATTTGACGTTCTGGTCATCAGACCAGGGGTGCGATACTTCAGACCGAACGCTCTAGCCAATATACATAGCTTCAGACCGGCACGGCTATTTGCCACCCTCTATAGTGATCGGTGGTTATTTAACCGCTTCCCGTTCTGCGGGCTAAAGCGAAGTATTCAGAAACCAAACCCCGTATACTAAAGCCCTACAAGCATCTATTTCAGGAGCACTCTATAACCCGACGGCAGACTTCTAAAATTTCGTACCCCTACAGAGACCTCCGGCTATCTGACCTACTAAAGGACAGAAGCGAATCGATAAGGGGACACGGCACGCCATTCAATATGCATATATTATCTCCGCTTATTCTATCTTCTGCATTTATCCTCGCTTTTACATCCGCTCAACAAGGAGGCAAGCCTATACCATGTAACATCGTTGAGCCTGTGCAAGACTGCTACGGTCGTTGCAGTGGTTCTTGTTATAATGCATGCTACGCAGAATACCTAGACTGCTATTACGGCGGCGTGCATACACCTCAAGAGTGCCTCGATACCTACGATCATTGTAACTCGGACTGTAGCTACAACAGCCCCTGTCGCCAGTGCTGCAATCAGGCTGGAGCCACGAAATGTCACGCTAAGGAAGCGGGTACATGCTGTGCTGCTGCATATGGAAAATGTAGCGGGCCCTGAATTTCTTGCGCACCATCGTGGTAGGAGCAGGAATCTGTACGAGGGGTTGTTTTGCTGCTGTCTGATATTATGAAAAGTGCTTTTTACGTTTCGCTACTCAAGATTTTTCCTGTGCTATCTCTTCGGTCTTACTCCATATACTGGGCCATCTTTGCCATTTCTGTGCGATGTAGTGAGTCTACTCTTGCCGTATATCATGTGAACAATCGTCTTACGTTGCCAATAGGCGAAGTTTCTCGCTCCCCGTAAGCGATTTAAGTGTCTACAGCTGCTGGATTGGGAGGAGTGTGGACGAACGACGCCATAGTGGTTGGGCCAATTTTTTGGCTAGGAAGGAGAAGAGGGGGGTGCGGCTTCCGTTCATTTTTGGATATGGAAAAATGGTTAATTTTGGATCTGTAACAGAACAGGAGTATACAGGCTTTTACTTTTATTGTTATTACCATGAAAACATGGAACAAGTTTTAAATACGGGAAAACTATATTAGGTTTAGCTTGTCATGCTGCGATGCATATATTTTTTCAAGCTCGTCTACTTCATATATCACTTTCCATCGGTGATGTTCCTCGAAACAAGACTATCAGTAGTCTCCCACGGAGAAAAACTTCTCTCTTCCCCTCATTACTTCTACTCAATAGCCGCTGCTGCTCCTGAAATTACTATGCAGAACTTCGGTCTTACCCCATAAATTAGCTAAAAAGGGAAAAAATAGGAGCGGGGTTTGAAGCCGTGCTTGGTTGGACCGCTCGTGATAGATTGTGAAATGGTGCCTCCCGAGAAAACCGGCTTCGGGAGAGGGCATGGAGGTGTCTGATGTATGGAATTTATAAGTGAAAACATGCCAGAAATTATTATGTAACCTACATAGGAAGGAATAGGTACATAACTCCCGGAAGGTCTCTAAATATAGTCTAGTGGGTCTTAGTCTAAAGAGCAAAAAATCAATAGGACAGTGGAGCGGTTGCACCAGTTTCACAACGTACTGTAGCAAAAAGGCCTAAGTCTTTAATCTATGCTTCTCATGAGCATGCCTCCTCAAACCATCTTCATGCTCCACTGACATTTTGCAGTACTTGCAGTGACGGTCATCCAGATGTGTAGTCCTAAAATGACGAAGGAGATGTTTATGCCGAGAATATTGTTTCATCCGACGGTCCTCCGATTCTTCTAGGTTTCCAAAACATTGGAAGCATCCTAGTGGTTTAGCGGCGGCCTGAATGTGCTCTTCTGCTCTTCGTAAAGCAGCTTCGCGTGGCAAATATGACATAGGGATCTGTGTAGAAGCTGGTGTAGGGGCGCTGTGTGGTGAAAGACTATCACGGCAAGTGGGGTTCTTCGGTCTTCGTCCTCTTCGAGGCCCACCTTCTCGCACGCGGCAGTACATGCGAACAGCTTCAACTGCCTCATTGCGCCGTTTCCACTCCCGCTCCAAAGACAACGAGGTCGGCCATGTCATCAGCTTTTCTAAAAGAAATATCTGCTCTGGCAGCATGTTTTCCTCAGCTACCAGACGCTCCCTGGTTTCGTCATCATGAACTGCCGTTCCCGCAGCAAGCTGTCGCTGAATATCCTTAACTGCTTGGCTGCTATCAAATTCTTCCCTAACACGCTTGCGAAGATCGTAAAGAAGCCGACTGCGTGTGTTGATTACATTCCTTTTGAGTTGTTCATGTCGATCCACTTCTCTGCGACTCTGTTTGCCGGATTGTTTCAGTTTTCGAGCGAGCCCATCACGTTTGTGGATCGCCTCTTGTAGCTCCGGCATTGCTTCAACACCGGCTTTCTGGGCTTCAGTAAGCTCGCGAGGCCGTCGAGTGTCAACCCATCTCCCCATCCGGGTTACCGCTCTCATCATCGCCGAGTCAGGTTCGAGACCCCTCATCAATGCCTGCATGTCTGTACCGATGCGACGCGGGAGATAATGGTTCAAAAACGTTCGAATACTGGCGTGTTTTATGATTAAGTTTTGTTGGGCATCGCTCACAAGTCCTTTCCCTTCTTAGTCCTCTTTCTCGCCTTCTCACAATAGTTGAGAGCCGGTTGACTTACTACTCTGATTGAGGATTGTCCCACCACCGTAACGGTTGCAGTGTGTGCAAAGATTCGGGAAGCCAGCAATTTCCCCTGTGGTTTGATACTGCTTTCCTAGAGCAGCAGACGAGATTGGTTGATCTCGAACAATTTGAATGACGCCGCGTGTCGCTATAACCTTACAGAATACATAATGATTTGCCTTCTCCGCTTTCAGTGGTAGTGGTAGCTGCTGCCGGCCATCTTCTAGCCAAAGTTTCCTTAGGTCATCCCGGGATTTTATTGCGGGGGCACGGAAAGCGTCGTCATCGAAAAGGATACCAAGTAAAAACTCATGCGGGCTCAACATAAGTGACGGATCATGGATGATCTCGGGGATGATGAAAGTGTTGCTGCTCGTCGTCAGTGGTCTGTCCATATGGGAAGCGATTTGTCGTATAGAAAGCGTTCATCAACCCATACCCTTGTGTCACGCCGAGATGCGTTTTAGCAAACTTGTAGGTAATTTCGAGTAGAATGCGGGGCGGCCCCCCTTTTGGATCTCGTTGGATCGAGCACTGCAGGTGCTTGTATTGGAGCTTTCTCATTGCACTGATTCGATTCACCGTAAAGCATGCCATAAGATTGTAAAGGCATTGTTGCATTCGTTGAAGTCCAATATGGAACCGCTTTTCCATCGTGCGGAGAACCGTCTCCTGTAGGATAATGACATCCTCAATATATAGCGGCGGCTTCTCTTTTTCATCGGTGATCAACCCTTTCGCTTTCACTATTTTCCGAATGCTCTTCAGAAATCATTCCGTCAGTAATATGTCCACCATTAGAAAATTGTATTCCAACCTTTCTCATTCTTCGTCCCAGATCATGGGGCATTGGGACCTAGTTGGTTTTCTCGTAATAGCGGAGAAACATCTTCCAGTACGTATCAAGAGTACTGGCTTTTTTAATGCCTTTTGCACGTCGCCTGTCCCGACCCCGCTTTACTTGAAGTCCCCAGTAGAGAAACTTCGTGAATTCTCTCTTTCCAGCCGCCCGAAGGGCGTGTTGAGGGTCTTTCCATCTCAAGTCGGAAGATGTATCCTGTTTTTGGTGCTGTTTCCGACAGAATCTAGGCACTAGTTAGTTAATGGCTAATGGAGGATATTCACGTGTTCGTCCCGCTTACCTTTCCCAACGATTCTTCATAAACGCAATCTGGGTCTTCGTACCTTCTGCATAGCCATCACTGTCGCTATCGGATGAAGTGTCGTCCGTCTCGATATCTGGATCTGTTGTAGATTCCCCTCCCGCGGTATCACTTGAAATTCTGTCATTGCTCTGCCGTTCTTGGACCGTTATTATGTCGTCAAGCTGTATTCCTAGCCTAGTTTTCTTTTTTCGCCTTGTGTGGCGAGCCCGACTTCTTCTGTCATCATCAGATATACCGCTGGGGCTGTTTGATGACCCTCGGCTACGCCCACGTTTATGGGCGAGGGAAAATAGAAAATGGCGTCTACGGCATGACACCGAAGGAGGTTCCGGGGTTGACATGTCGGGTTCTGATTCAGCGTCACTGCCGTCGGACTCTGTGCGAAATGATTCGGAGTGAGGGCCTCCATCGCAAGATCGACTCCGATGCCTCGCCATCTCGTCGTGTTGGTGGAACAGATCGGACAGACCTTTAACGTAGGGAGATCTAGCGATTCGAGGAATCCAGCTTTAGAGGTCAAACGCGGCAGTTTAGTATAGATGCGAGTATATTTAAGAGGGAATGGGATGGATCTAGAAAAAGCATGATCATTCTAGGGGGTCAGAGGTACAATTTATATAGATAAAGAATAATCTCTCTTACTAGATCCGAGGAAATAATTTTATTTCTATCTCCAACTGACGCTACATATTGAAAGACATCGGGGTTACAGGAATCGGCAGGAAGTGGGAGGTGAGCCGAGGGTGCGTGCGGGTGAGCGCTACGTGAGTGCCAAGGGAGCGCGGGGTGAGAAGCGGGTGATAACTGGTGATAATTGGGTGATAATTGGGTGGGTCGCTACAAACGATTCATGGCCGAGAAACTGACGCTAGCAGTCGGGGGCGCACTGTTGGGTGGGCTACAGGCGCATTAGCGTGTGCGTGGGCAAGTCGCTTTGAAGGCCGTGGCATGAAGCTCCAGGGCCGGTGACGCTATTTTCGGCGTCAAACGACGCCATTTCCGGCAGCTCCGGCCCAAACAGAAATATACATATAGGAATAGTACTTATTGTAGCGGGGGATCTAGTGGCATATATCGGACTTGGCTATTTTCGTTTTGTGGGTTTGTTTCTCTAGTTTGCCGAAGGATTTCTATAGAAGAGTGGACGGCGGAGAACGCAAAGGGAAGCAACCAACGGAGAATACACAATGCTAGGAGCCAGGCCGTGTTTGTACAAAGTCATTCATTTTGATTTGCCTCATTTTATTTCCTGCCATCAGTCATAACGTTCTTCTGATTCGTTCGATACGGTAGCGGCACTACTTGCTACCACGAAGAAGGCAAGCCCCATGATTCAGACTGGACACTATCGGGGTAGATTCGCTGATGGTGTTTGTGATGGAAACCTGTCGGTACAACAATGTATGGATAACCTCAAGTGGTATTGAACTCTCCAACTAACTAAAATGATGACAATCTATCCACGGGTGCGGACATGGATGGCTCACTCTAATATGCACTTTTGTTGGTATGCTTCGTACCATCGGCCACATGACCGTTTTGGGAATATTACCCGGTAAATCCATGTATTCAACCTTGGTATTCGACATTTTGTTTAGTTGCGCCTACGCCTCTATCTGTTGCTCTTCTCATGCCTCGACCTGCCTGTGCCGACCAGGCTGCCTTGAGCTTCCCCGCTTTAACTATTATATACCCTTTACCTAATAAGTTTTACAAAGCCCGGTTTAATGTCTTTATTAGCAATATCACCAGAAGGACTTTCAAAGATAAATATCTCGCTCCGAATGCCTATCCCACTACACAATCGAACAAGTACTAGATCAAGCCAACGGCGTTCAAAGACCAGAAATCGTAGAATCGTCGTACGACAACAGAAGCTTTGTTGTTTAAATATATACTGAACCAAATGTCATATAGCCCTCCGAGTCCATGAGGTTCGAATTATATTTGGTTATCCAAAGTACAGTGTCGATTGATTGTATGGTGCAAATAGCTCCTGAAAAAGCCTAGTATATATGATATGCGCAGTGGACGAGAAACAGCACCTCAAGTCTACATGATCACATTGCCGGCTAGCAATTAAAGAAGAATTTAACCATAAAGGGTGGCTTACAGGTTGTTTAGGTGCTTGACCAACCAGATCAACATGTCCAAATCGCCAGCTATTACACGCTGAAGAATCTATTCTACTAGCTCATTCGATCAAGAGATGCCCGTAAAGTGTAGCAGTTGTGCATGGAATCTTTTTTTGGCCATGAGGTCATTGTACAACATTACTTCGGAATCTAAAAGAGCAAAAAGCCAAAAGAAAAGAAAAGGAAAGCTACATGTCTGAACAAGCTCAAGCCGTATAGACTAGTATGTATTACGGACGAATGAGGTCAAGCGGAACCAATTCAGGATGAAATGGTTGATTGAATAGAAAGCATGCGGTCGAGGGCATGTTGAAATTACCCTCGGAATATGCCGATACTCGGCGGTCACAACGCCAGAGTTGCAAATTGACAAAGAATTACATACAAAAACCAAGGAAAGGTGGTCTCTTCTGTGACCAATCAGTTGCTAGCGGTAGGTTACTGCTCCATGCTCTGACACTACATATCAGCTGAACCATGCTCGTCAGGCCAAAGTGGCGCCCTATTCACACTAATCCTCAGGACTTCAGGTCTTTTGTAATGGCCAACCGCATCTGTCAGAACTTTGCAAATCGAGATATGTGACAAATCGATTTCACACTGAACGAACAATTCGGTCGGTCCCGTATGAGGACCAGCAAGATAGGTGGCGTTGGGGTGGACAATGGCAGACCAGCCGCCTCCACCTCCTGGAATTAACTGGTCAGGATGCCCCAAGTTATCTGTAATCCAGTCCAAGCACCGGTCATCGACAAAATCGGAGACAGCGATAGTAAATACTTGGCCGCCCACAGCGTGCCCCTTTGTCACTGCTTCGGTTTGGAGATCCACGATTTCTGCATGTGCGGCAATGGCTGAGAGTGCCGGCCAAGCTCCAACATGTATCTGTTCTCCGTCCTCCAGCAAAGCTTGCCGCGCTCCATTCATAGAGTTCTCTGAGCACAAGAGCCCGCCAATTATATAGCCGTCATGCGACGAGAATGCTCTTAAACTCTTCCCACCACCCTGAGCCCACACAATGCGTTCACCGAGAGTTGGTTGCAGCTTCCGATGCACTCCTAATACTGACCCTCTGCTGTCGATAAATATCTGAGAATTGAAAAGAGCAGTACCACCCGAAATACGCTCTGAGAAGCCAAGACTAATAGCCACTTGGTGGTTCTCGCAGGCTGTTCTAATGCGATTGATTTCGGGTCCATCCGCTGTAACGCTTTCGTTCCCATAGGCGGCGACAGCCTGGAAGAGTTGGACTGGTGCGAATATATGGACAAAATACTACCCGCCGTAATTCTATTAGTCATGAGACTCAAGCGCACGTAGCTGTGAAGCGTGGAAATATGAGCGCCTACCGGGTATCCGGGCAAGAATGCCTCTGAAAAAGCCAAGAAGTCGATGGAATCCTGGGCTGCTTTTTCGATCAAATGTATGATCTTTTCTGTTGTCGCCTCTTTGTCCATGTAAATAGGAGCGGCGTGAACCGCAGCAATTTGGTATTTTGCCCCCATTGGTGATATTTCCGATGTAGGTGGGTTGGACCAGTGACTAAATCTGAACGGCTCATCGTCCTCTCACTCTCCTTCAAATAGCTCCTTTATAAGCTACGTTCTGCCTATGAAAAGTTAATGATCGTGGTACTGGAACAAGCTATTCGGAGCTCGGCGTCTATAATATGCCGATATTCCAATAGACTGGGTACTGGGTCGGAGTTTACGCATACGTGGGTTGACGTTGGAATGTTGTGGTCTGCGGAATATGGAGAAAGACCCCATCACCGGAATACGTAGAGTAGCAATGAGTCAACCAATGGGTCACGAGGGCCATGTGTCTGTGAAGGGCCAACCGTAAGTCCGGAAGGTGGGCCTAATTTATGACGAGACTTCCGAAGGACTACGTCATTCCGGCCACAAGTTAGGACACCGCTCACCCACCAGGTAAGGACAAGGTTAACACCGGTGGCAGGTCTGCAGAGCGGACTCATCATATAGCCCGCAGGCCGAAACGCATCTCTATTCTGGGAATTCACAAGTTGCCGGATGATGCCAAGTGTGCGGAGCGGAGCCGTGGATTGGCAGATTTAATTTCTAAAGGCTGGTGTGACGGAAAGTGGAGATTCTTTACATTTCCAACGAGAGCGAAACCCTCCTCAACACCAACATTTCGAACCTTTTTCGAACCTTTTTTAACCTCGGTGGATTTCAAACCATCGTATGGTAAAGGCTTGTAATCACTAATGTTGAGTTAGTGTCTAGCGCCGATAGGGTTGCTACTTAGTTAAATATGCTGACAAGGCAATTACCTACGTCTCACAAACTATCGCAATCTTCTATACATTGCCCCCGAAAAAGTGAGTTATCATGCCTAGGGTACCGTCTTATCTACCTAACGAGGTCTTAGGGAACGCACACAGAATATGACTGGCATCAAAGGATACCTCGTTGGGGACATCCCGGCCCAAGCGGCTTTTACTTCGGAAATCGTCATCAACGGGCTTCCACCTCTCCAAGACATTGTAAACCAACAGGATGTTCAACGCAAGATAATGGACACCCGCCCCGGTATGTACCTGAAGTATCTGCCAAACCTCTACGACCCGGTGAACGGTCAACTGCGAAGCGGCGGGGCGTACTTGTTCGACACGACTCAACAGGCAGCTGAGTACTGGGATTGGACTACCAACGTCTTTGAGGTGAACAACGTCAAGTTTTGGAGTCAGTCTTTGTTCAGGTCTACAAAGCGCTTCGTCTGGGAAGTCATTGGAGCGACCAACTTCGCGCCAGTCGACACTCACGCTGTTGGCAGATACCAACGCTGGACCTACGATGGGGCCAATGTTGAGAAAGAACTGCAACGCATCTACCCAGAGCTTAAGAGGAAGGCCGAGGATCAGGGAGCAGTCGCGATCTGGCTCCTGCATTCCCCCGGAGAAAAGCAGATCGGTATACAGCTCGCTTTCAGCAAGGTTGAAGGAGCCGACCCTGAAGCAGTTGGACACAACTCTTTTGCTCGCGCTGTCTCCCAGGTCTCCTTGGATTCCATCTTCCCCAGCTCCATAAAGGCCCAGAAGAGCGTGGATAGGACTAGTCTGTTCCTAGCGATCTGGCTCCCCAGGTCACGTCTTGCAGGTGGGGTACCCCAGTCACACCCGATGTATCCCACGCTTCCTGTCGTTCAAGACATTTAGAGGCTTGCCTCAAAGCATCGACTACAACAGGACACTTCTGCCACCAGGTTCTTTCGAGGACTGCTGGGTATCTCGGCTTCAAAGCCACCCTGCTGCCCCGAATATGGGCAACTGTTGGTTTACGTGTCTGGTCACAACTTAGGAATAGTTAGGAGGGGTTTTTAGCTCGTTCGACGATTTTCCCCGACCTAGTTAATTCCCAATGTTACTATTGCCTGGTTAGATTCATGTAAACTAGTCCCGGACGAAATTGAAGTAAGACGTACCTTCGTAGCTTCCAATTGGGGCCGAACAATGGGGATGACGAGATGCGTACATTACAACTTTTCTTTATTCCTAAAGAGTGTCGCGGGGCGGGATACATAAGCCACACATTAGATAGGCGATTGTCGTGTTGGGAGAGTCAATGATGTACGGGAGGGACTGCCAGCGTACCTAAGAGATCTGACGATGGATATGGGTAGTAATGGAGATTAATCGCTGCTTCTCGCGCTCTCGGGGGCCAGCCCCGCCGTTCTGACATACTCCCAGCCTCTCACGGACCCTCCGGGACTCCGTCTCGGCCCTTTGGCACGTAGTAACCCGCGAACGGCCCTAATATCTAGTATATCTTGTTTTGGGTTACTCCATTAGGGCTGCTAGCATTTCTGGTATACAACATCATGATTTTGAGATTTCATAGCCAGGAATCTATCTTTTCCTTCAGAACGGCGATTTTCAATAGTAAAATTCTGCCATAGCCACGTATCTGCCTCTAAGATATAGACGTAGGTGATTCTAGAGTGCCTGACGGCAGCTAGGCCGCAAAGGCTCCATATCTAAGCTCGGTTAAACCTTGCTCATACACAGTTGCTGGGACACCCCCTCTCCACACTCCCTCAACTGGCAAATAAAGATGTCGCGCATCGGACAGCACCGAGACAATGTCTCCCTTGACAAGAACCAAGTCTGCCTTCTTCCCGACTGCGATTTCCTCACGATCAGAAATCCAAAAAAATTGACGTGCCGTGTTGGAAGTTTAAAACTTGACACATCTTCAGATAACATTCCAATCTCATGAGCAAACAGGTGCATCTCGATGTGCATACCAAGGCCGAAGGGGACACCGAATCCAGACCCTGCTGAGTTGCTCCCGGCAATAATAGGGACACTTTCCTGGCATATTTTATGGTGGTCTCATATACGTTCTGGCCAGTAGCCTTGGATCGCTGTGCCCTGGCTAGCCCGTGTGGCCGGTCTGGAGATTTCTGCATCAGCATCCTTTGAGTGAAAGGGTCTTCTCTGAATTGCTTTTGCCATTTCTGCCGCTCAGCAGTCTGTGAAGCGCATAGGCTCAGCGTCGGGTTGCAGTGAATGTTCCTTGACAGCATGAGGGTTGTGAGTTCATCATTCGGGGGTTTATCCAGGAAGACACGCGTTAAACCGTCCTTCGATTGCGACACCAAGACCAGCGTACTTGTAGCCAGGGTATTTCGCTTTATTTGGAGAGGAACTTGTCAACTGCCAGAAATGTGAGCCTTCTTCAAGCTGCCTTGTTCAGCGCTGGAGGACGATGGACGAACTTTCTTCAGTTGAATGATATCCTTCAATTCGTTATGCATGTGGCAAATGATTGTGACACCGAATCGCAAAAGATTGCTCAATGCTCTCGATGTTGCCCCCAAGAGCGTGGATGTGCGCGTCAATCAGTCCCGTACAAGGGTGTGTTGCGGGCGAGAAATTATTGGGATGACCTGTTCATATGGTCCATCTGGCTGACCACGAGCGACTTCGACCACAATCCCGTTGCGAGCAGAGACGTACCCCGTATAGATGAACTCCATAGCCGTCAAAAATCTTGACTTGGTCGATGACAAACGAGTATTGGGACAGCATCATGGTTATCACGAGCGTTTGCCATGGGCATCAGTTAGATTACTACATTCTGGAGGTCTGCTAGAGAGGAAATGGGGACGTATTTATACAATCGGGCACCTACCTAGGCCTTCCGAGAGTAGCTTCGGGATGGGACAGGCCGTTCGAAACTGGTTAGGAAGTTCTTTCGGCTCGACCACGGCTATAGCAAAACCATGATTTCGCAATACCTAACACGTAGACTAATCGACGTCGGTTAAGGAAGATAACTAGTCGGTAAGCTGTTTGGAAGGTACGTATATGTTTGCTTATAGGCTACGATTCCTTCTGACGCTTGAATTAAAGTCCCATAATTCAGTTAGAACTAAGAGTTTCTTCTTGGAAAATGTTACAACTGTCACACTATTTTAGGAGAATAGTAGTCTTCTTATTTACAATGCTTACGACTAGCGATAGATCTATTATCACCGTTCCATCCTGATTGTCCGTCCGATATCTAAAGCGTTCACTGAAAGAGATAACTCTGCACATTATATGGCCATCCCGCCAGTCCGCAAGCTTGTGAGCTTTGCAAAACGCCGTTGTCACCATCGACTGTGAAATCCATATCTAAGCTGCCGCCGAAATACCAAGGATCAAACCGGAAAGGAAAGTCTTGCATGACTGTCTGGGGCTGTTCTTGAGCCTGTGGACAAGCTGGAGACTGTGATTGCTGGGAGGTCAAAGGAGGGTGTACAGTCGTGGACCCAGTGTTGGCAGGGGCGGTTGCCAACGGGCCCCCCGTTTCGGCGCTGCTCTGTGAGCCGTAGCTCTCCATTGCATTACAGAGTTCTCGAATTCTCCTCCACAGAGTATGCGCTGCCTTGGATACACCTGCATATTTTTCAGTTAACCCTTTCGCTAGCCGGAAGCAATAAAGAATTTGATCATCATAGTCAGGCGGCAGATACTGAGAGAGAGCTTGTCGATGCTCTTCAACATAGGCTGTGACAAGGAACATGAGGGCGCAAATGGATGCCAATATGTATTGGTAGTACGGCCGTTGGTTGCGGTAGATAGTTGTGGTGAGATCTAACGTAGTGAGAGCATCCATGACATGAGAAGCCAGCGCTAGGGCTGGGAGTATATGTTTTCTGCTTCCCTGGATATGGGATGTTGGGAAGAAATATGGCCGGAGTAGGAGACTTCGTAGGGACGCAGCTCGGAAAACCACTAGCAGCGCCCAAGGAGGAGGGACGGCCGCCGGATTTGAAATTGAAGATTCTCTGTCGCGGAGGATCTCGTCCCCGACGAAGCTTTGCTCCCACCGTTGGATTTGGAAGACCAGGAGCTCAATGGCGTCATCGTCGATATGGCTGTTACCTCTGGCTGCAAGCATTATAGGCTCGTTGAACCTGTCGCTGATCAAGACGAGCTTGTACATTGCGTTCGTGTAAGGTGCGTCAATCTGGCGGTAACTACGTTAGCTACTCTCTGTTCCTTCTCAACCAATACACATGGGTAAACGTCATCTACGAATCAACCATGATTTCACCTTTCGCAGGTATTGACAGAGACTATTACTCACCAGGTAGGTAGGTGTCGGATTGAATGTGGCATTTGGGAAGTTTGCCGGCAGGCCAGTCATTGCGCTCCATTGGCGATCAAGTATAATGATGGAGGCCATCATTACGCAGACAGCCTTGCGCTCGCCGTCGGAATGAAGAACTTCATCTAGAACATCGCCGTTGTGAAATCCGAGCTCCAACAATATACGCCCAGCTGTGCCACACATCCTTAACGCAAGTCGTGGCAGATCGTAGCAAAAGTAATAGTAACCCTCGGGAAAACCGTCAGTCGGGCGTAATCCTACAGCACAAATGGAAGAAACAGTCAACAGCTTACCAGTAGTAAGACGATGATGGCTTTTTTCATGCTTGCTGTGCCGGACGTGGCCGTTGCATTGGCCGCGTGCTGAACGCTAGAATGCATAACTACCGCCAGTTTTGCCTGGGTCGTATCCACTTGGGCCTGTGCTGCTATTGCTAGCATCAGAACCAAGATTATAAGATCATCATCATCCGGCTGGTTGTGTCCGCCGGTAAAGTGGCTCGAATCGTAAGAGTACCAGACGTCCAACTGCTTTTCCATGCGTTCAGATTCGACGAATGGATGCAAAGCTCCCACAACCTCGTGGTACGTGGATAAGGCGTCTTTGGCGTCTTGCAACGTCAGGCAGGCCCGGAACTGCAATAACTGGTGTCTGTCACTATGCCGTGTTGGTTGCCAATGGCTGGTTGACGAGGTGGTGCCTTCTTCAAAACTTGACAGCATCGGGCGGCGGTGTAAGGGTGTGAGGATACTTCGCTCTCGCAATTTCATCCGCACCAGATTCATGCTGTAGTCCGCGCTTGTTGGTCCGTAGAATACTTGGTTGGTCCTGTTTGATTTAGATCCGTCTCGACCTGCCTGATCTTGCCTGTTTGGTACGCCCATCGATTCACCATCGGAGCAACGATTCTCAACTGAAAGCAGGGCATTTGTAGATGCGTAGCCAGTGCTGCTATTCGGTTCATTGATGGCTTTTGCCATGGGCTTGACATTGTTTAGCTGGACACGGAGACTTGCAACTTGCCCGGTAAGAGAAGGCCCGGGACTACATGGTCGTTGGAAGCTGTTAGCAAAACGAGTGATTCCGACCAGGGCATGCGGAATAAGCTTGATAGGTGTAGGGAATATCATCACTTAAGGAAACGGGGCTATCGGGGATGGCAGCAGGTAGATAGCTTGGCAAGATAGTAGTGTTGTGAAGGACTTACCTTTGCGCTGTAGATTGTGATACCAAATGCGCTTGGTCTTGCGCCCGACCGATATCCTTCTCTTGCGATGTTGTCTGCCGCCCTGGATATCGAAAAATCCTAGTGTCTTGCTCGTAGGTGCAGAGCTGGCTCCGGTTACCGCAGTACCCGCATGGTTGCTGGCCGTCACATCTGCCTTTCCGTCGCCGGCAGGCTGCACAGGCATGAATTACATATGGCGCTCGTCGCTTGCTTGAATCTGTGGTGGTCGAAGGTCCTGCTCTCTTGAAGCCGCGTGGTTCCATCGGGCCATTAGGACTCTCTCAGGAGGGGGAATGGTTGGAAACAGTTTGGTGAGATGAAAATATGGACGAGCGCTTCAAGGTCGGAATGACCGGAATATAGCCATAAAATAGACGGAAAGTGTATAATACTGAACAGAATGTTGAGAAACTGGTCGCCGGTTTAAGCCTGTGACAATTGGGCACAGTGACAGGGTTCAGGCTCTGAATGTGAGGTGATTGGTTGTCCGTTTTATGTTCGATAAAGTGAATCGGAGTAGCCTACAGGATGATACCACCGACAATGCGCTAGTCCGAGGGCGTTTCGTTAATATTTAAACCCTAGTACTTCCACCACTGACCGCTCTTCTACACCGCCTACCTATTCCTACTAGTATACACCCCGCCAGCACGCGCGCTACGCGTAGTAGTATTTAGAATTCTCCCTTTCTCTCTATTTTTCACCTGTGAAGTTATGCAATTACAGTATCGCCTTGTACACATAGATGGGGCTAAAGATCCAAGGGGAACCAATCTGAATTGAGATAATAGAGATGATTGAAGAAAAGAAGAGATAAAAACACTGGCGAGGGGATGTTGAGGTGTCCTTGCCTGCCCCTCTCTGGGGAAGAGGGGTTGAGCCCTCGGAACTCTCCGGGTGTCATAAATCCCTTGATAAAACAAAGAAATCACGACAAACACTAAGTCAATCTTGCTCTAGTGGTTTTCTACCGACCCCACAATACTCGACACAACCCCTCAGCTAAGATCCATTGGACCATGGCTGGACCTCTCTCCGATGAGATGATCAATTTCCTTCATGCCTAACATCCTCACGAATTCCATATGCTTCAAGCGGGGTAGCATCTTGGTTAATCCATCCGCCACCATATCTGCCGTTTTAGTCCATTCAACTAGCAGCCGGCCAGCTTGAACCTCTTGGCGTAGCCAATAGTGGTGGATATCCACATGCCGCAGCTTCGTCTTCAGTTGAGGAGATTCCTTGGTGAGTAGGCCAATTGCTTGAGATTTGTCACACTTAAGGGTGATAGGGTGGCCAGGGTCGAATTGAATTGGTTTGAAGAGACGAAGCCACATCATGAGAGATTTGGCAGCCTCTGACATAGCCAAAAGCTCGGCCTCAGTGGTGCTGGTGGTGACTGTCTTCTGCTTCGTGGCCTTCCAGTCAATTATCCCTCCAAATATCATACAGATGAATCCGGCTGAGCTTTTGCGGTCCGGGTTGTCTCCGTATGACGCATCGCTGAAAAATCGCAGGACTTGGCTCATTTCTTCCTCAGTGGGCGCCCTAAAGCAGATGGCTCTGGTACGCGTGTGATAGAGATAACCAATAACCTGGTTAATTGCATGGATGTGGTCTAACGAAGGATTCGCAAGGAATTGAGCCAAATACGATGTTGCCTTAGCCGCATCCACCCTGGTGGTGGTTGTGGCATATTGGGCAGATCCTACCTTCTGTGAGAATTCGTGCTTGTGTCCTGGTGAAGCCACTCCATCATAGGGTTTCAGCTCTGCGATACTCACTGGTGGCGTATCGAACTTCCTTCCGTCGGTGAGATGATACTTCGAAGCCATTGAGGCAATATAAGTATCCTGGCATAGCCAAATCATGCCCTTTTTGCGGTCCCTGAGGATACGAAGGGTAATGTCCATGGCTTACACAGCCACGAGAAGAAGCTATGCTCTTCTTGAAGGGCAATGTCTCTGCTGTCATTCTCCCAGAGTTCCATTCATTTCTTACATTCAACTAAACTTTAGTCAAATAGCTACACCCAAGCATCTCTCTTGACGATCCGCTGCAAAAATCAACTTCTCCTTGCGAGTTTTGAGAATCCAAGACCTCATGAGCCAAATCTAGAAGTGGAAAGCTACGCGGCTACTAAAACAGTTAGGTGTAAGTATAAATTGAATGCAAAATTACTCTGGCCCACGTTTTCACCTGCTGGGTTATACTGCTATCACCTCTTAGTGTCACATACTTCACCGATTACCACTTCGCAATGCAGGCATCTGGCAGTGAACTGCCACCCAGGGTGGGGCAACTGGAATGGAACGTATCTACCAGATAACACTCATTGCGCCTCGGCCCCTGGGAGTGCTAATGAATCCGTCATTAGGGTAAATCCTGGAAATATCACTCCGGTTGCGGCTTGCATACAAACCCGCTATATACACGGATGGAAAATGTACCGTATCCAGCAGAGCAAAAAAGGCAAGTCATAGAATTTCCTTTTTTTAAATATATTGCTACTTGCTGCTCTCCTGAGCGTTTTCGAGTTCCTTGCAAAACAGCCATCTTGTGTTCATGTCGTACCCTTTTGCCTTCCAATCGTTGATGGTCGAAGGATAAAAGTCGACGTTTCCTCTCAAGGTACTATCATGGGCAAGAATCACAAATACATCATCGGAAGCATCGAGCTCTTTAATGTTGTCTACTGTCTTCAAAGCCGTATCGTAGTCGGAAGTCAGCACAGGCGACAGTGTGAAGACGGATTCGGATTTGGATTCGCACGAGCGATCAGAAAGTCGACTGTGGCAAGACTGAGATGGGCAAGGGAGATACTTTGTAGGCCGAAGCACACCAGGATGGTGGCAAGAATCTCCACCCATAAACACGAACGAGTCCGGAGAGACGGTAACGCGAGCGAGGGCGCATATATGGCCAACGGAATGGCCTGGGCAATTTAGAAGATAGAAGGACCCATCCCCGAAATAGTCCAGGGCGTCGAACGAGCCGATAGTGACAGCTCCCATTTCTGTCTTGTCGAAGGTGATTTCCCGCACGTGGCGGCCTTGGATGTCCGAGTCGAGATTGATCGCGGCTGGGTTGATTGGGTATCCGGGCCAATGGGAGTCCCGGATGCCAGGCCCGACGACAAGGTTGGTGGACGGTGGAAACGTCGACGGGTCGCCGACATGATCGAAATGGGCATGCGACAAGATGATGGCTTCGATGTCTGCACTGCGGACGCCCAGGGATGACGTGTCTGAGTCCAGAATGTCCGAGATGTTGCGCGGGTTCAGGATAGTCGTCTGCTTTTTGACCATGGACACAACGGAGGGTGGAAGGCTTTCCCAGTCCTGCCGGACTCCCAAGTCGAACAGTACGTGACGATTACCGGATGAGATCAAAAAGCAGTACGTTGGCGCTGTCACTTTTGTGAGCCCTGGGAGTGGGGGCTGCCAGAATAGATCAGGCTGTAAATCAAGGGTGGTTCCTCTGCAATCTGTTAGCTCTAATACCTTGGCTAAGGGTGTAGGGGCCTTACGGGTCAATCACTCGCACATCGACGGTCGATGAAGAATGAGGAACGTTCAAAACAGGGGGCATAATGAGCTCATCCTTGCTACTGGAACCTGTCTCCATTGCCGGCCGCCTGCGTAACAGCGCCTGTAGCCCCCACTGCTTGAAGAACCAAGCATTCTCTGTTTTGAATTTGTGCGGGTCGACAATTTGTATCTGGCACGGAACATGTCAGGAAGAGCACACGACTCGATTAATCGAAGCAAAGCACTTACATCGTATCTCAGAATCAGGACAGGAATCAGCTTCTTGATCTCGAGGATGGCAATGTTTTTCCCTAGACAAGTACGACGCCCCGACCCGAACTACGTCTGAGCGTCAGCAAGAAAGAGCATGTCTGATATGAACGGTGGAAGCTTAGACTCACGGTTAACACGCTCTGTTCCAGTCTCTTTCGGTCGTCTCGGCTCAGGCCCAGCCATCTCTCGGGCCTCCATTGGTCCGCATCATCGCCAAAGGTGTGTTTGTCCCGGTTTACCACGTACGGGCTCATCCCGACAACTGTCCCCCCCCGGGAGATATGTCTCACAAACTATCAAGCCACTATCAGGAACAACTCGCTCAAAAGGCAGACAGAATGGAGGATGCAGTCGTAAAGCCTCCAAGAGGCATGCGTCGAGGTAGGGCAACTCCCTAACTTCCTCCCACGAGGGACACGGCCGAGAAAGGCCAGTTCGGCTCTCAGCTGCAAGAAGCTCTTCGTGCAAACGGTTCATCGTGTCTCGATAAAGCAAGAGGTTGTACATAATCGTACACATAACATTTGCAGTCGAATCTGAACCAGCCATAATATTAGAGAAGGTCCAGGCTCTCGGTGCCCTAAACATGGTTTAGCCGGATATAGGGAGAAATACACAGAGAGGATGGGAGGCTTTCTTTACCAGGGCAGAACATCAGGGTTTAAAACCTGTATATTGAGAAATTGGGAGAGCATATCCTTCTCTTTCAAACTATCGTCCTCTTGACGACGGGCCATGCGCTGAGAAATAAACGTGTCGACGACCTTCAACACCCCAAACCCCGTCGGCCGCTTGAACAAGGTGATCAAGGCATTCTTGTTCCAAAGCTCGTCGAACCACGGAATTTGGCCCATCTGACAAGACAACCGTACACATTAGCAACCAGCTGTTTCGTGACTTGTAGCAGAGCGAGAACCCACCGGGGCAACTGTCTTCATAAATGTCCAGATCTCGCCCAGAATCCCATGGACATCGCGGCCTTGTTCCAGGAACCCGTATCGTCGAGAGAACGACAATGTACCCATCGAGTCAAACGCAAAATACTGCAGCCAGTTTCCGAGATCAAACGGCACACTGCTGCCCAGGTACCGGCCGTCGAGCTGTTTCAAGAGCACCGCGAGGGTTTGATCGACCAATGGTTCGAATTTTACCACGTTCGTCATGGAATATAGCGAAGCAATTGGGTTCCGGAGTCTTTTGTGCAGATCCTCATCTTGAGTGTTGAACACCGCTGGCATGGCGCCCTTATTCCGCGTGTAGGGTTTCTGCGTGCGGTAAAAGTCGCTCTAGGTTGGAGAGAAACGTTAGATGTTGAGATTCAATTGTCAATAAATGGAGGCAATGGCTCTGGCGCTGCCGGTACCGACCTTGGGGAACCCCGGTCTACTCGGGTAGATGGCCGGGATGGCTTGAGGATCTGAGATAGAGACCATGTTTGGTCCAAATCGGACGACAGGGCCGTACATGGCATGCATTTCACGGTGGTATTCATGAGCTCGTCCGGTCTTCACCCACCACACTCGCTGGAGGTTGGTGAACTTCGCAAAGAATGGACCTGAAACATGTTGGAGACGCCAGTATAGACCACACAAGTAACGGATGAGATAGAGCACCACAGGAATAGCTGTAATGTGGATTATACCTGGATAGTCCATGATAGGTCTGTCTGTCTCATAAATATACTTGTGCGAGAGCATTCACGGAGATGAACTTGAATCGGGAGCAATCGTCCAGCATCTACTCCGTACTTGCTGTCGTTTTTATAGAACAACAACACGAGTGCAACGAGCTGGGAGGGGAGCCCATCTGCACTACAACAACAAACCTTTTATGTCGAGCTAAGCGGTGGTACTTTATCGCCAGGAATGGGAGAATTCACAGGCGATCCAACGCCGCACTGTTTTTGTATGGTTAGGAGAAAATCCTCCGAATACCGGCGTCGTAACACGCTAAACCAGGCCTCTGGGCCATGAGACACCTTCAATGGGGCTCCCGTTTTGCCTTCAGAGCATCGTCCAATCCATTAATTCCTATGAGACATCCCCAGTACTCGTATGTGCAGTTTCCTGAGAGTCGACATTTACCTTACAATGGCCCAGCAGGATTCTATTGGTATCAATACATTTCATGAAACCTGGAAATTTCAAGACAAATTGAAATGTTCAATACTTTACGGAGTAGAGTTTACGCCAAACCCCCCCACCCAACAGCCTTCCATCTGGTGCGTAAAAGGGCCCATTTTTGCGCCTTGTTGCATATCAGGCCCCCAAAGCTTTATAACCCCACGCATAACCTTGTCCAGGTAATTACGTACATCTCGTGGGGCCCAATGATACATGAGTCCACAAAATGTGAAATAGAGTACTGGGGCTACGTAACATGTGTGTACGTGACTCTGCGAAACGTGTCTGGTCGGCGTTTTTCACCTTGGACCAGACGACTCGGCGAGTAAATCGAAATGCGCCGATAGCGAAACGGATTTTGAACTTAGGGGATCAAATTTGGCGGTTGGATAATTGGCGACCTGGGTTCATGAATCTACCTTTCGCAGTGGATATTTGACTGGAGCCGGAAATCTGGACAGCGCGATTATCGAAATCGAGAAGCATATGAAGGTCAAAAGAAGCAAGAAACGATGTCTGGAGAAGCGAAACTAGGGTACGCCCCTCCCGCGAAGGGTCTTGGAGCGATCCTGCCCTACGCAAGGTTTGCTTACATCGAGTTGGCTCTGCTGAACAAACCACACTGCATCTACATGGTCTACTATCCCCACGTCGTCGGTCTTGCCTATGCCTCCAGCATTTCATCTTCTCCAATGAGCCCCGAGACGATTGCGAACCGCATCGTCAACCTGCTCGTTTGGACCGTTCTGATGCGCAGTGCAATCTGTGCCTGGAATGACAACATTAATCAACACTACGACCGCCAAACCGCGCGGTGCTAGAACCGTCCTACCGCTCGGGGTGCTATTTTAACTCTGCAGGCCCATCTCCTCACCGCTGTACTTATTCCTCTGAGTTTGCTTCTTCTGCGAAGCCTTCCAGTGGAATGTAGAAAGGTTGCTAGTGTGACATATACGCTGCTCGGCATCTATCCCTTCAGAAAGCGGTTCACCAGCTTCCTCCAAGTTATCCTGGGCCAGTCGCTCGGCACATGTGTGGTCTTAGCCGTGCATTCGGTTAATGTTGGGGCCTTGCCTGCTGTGTACCGACTTCCCTCTCTATCTGGTTGGAGCAATCACGATGATGGTCGTCTTCTACGACGTGATGTACGCGCGCCAGGATGCCGCGGATGATATAAAACCGGGTGCCAAAGAGATGGCCGTGCGCTTTCGGAACAGTATCCCTGTACTTATGGCCAGGCTGGTGTGCAGTATAACCGCTTTGCTCACTGTCCTGGTACGTTCCACTAGTATGGGCTTTTGGTATTTTGTTTTGGCCGTCGCAGGCGTTTTCTTGGGCCTTGTGTTTATTATCAGTGTCAGTATAGTGGATCAGGACACGGACAAGCCCAGGCACTATGGCTGGAATTACGCCATGGTGATCTTCCTCCTGATCGGGGCTTTTGGGCTGAATACTATAGGGCAAATCTATCGGTGTGAGATATTATGAGATTTGCTGCTTAATGTTTGGCAACGATCAGGACAGCAGCAAGCTGTTGATTGATGAATTGTATGAGATATATGAATGAAATGGATTGATGGCAAATAGACGGCGGATCTCCAGTAAACTATGGGGGCGATAGATTCGATGCAATATAGTAAAAGCTCTGAGTGGCTATTCAAACGAATGATTGCAGAGAATTACCGCCGAAAGGTGCATCAATATGAGAAATGGTACAGGATACCCATAGAATACACACATTTGTCCTCTACAATTAAATCCTCAGCCTAGTCACCTTGTGAGATGCAAGGCCAAGGTGTGGCGGTCAGCACTGTCTGATAAAAGATGAGATTTAAGTTAGCCTACACAAGCAGACACTTCTTTAGATATGAGGACCAAAAAATGATTGTACCGTTTCGGAAGTGACCGGTACTCTAATCTCAAGCTACTGCATGGGCTCACGTACTAAGCCACGCTCGTCATCAAACCCAAGCTGCCACGTTTCAGGTTCGGCAGAAGACCATCGATGGCATCAGTACCGAAGGTTTCGAGGTTCATGGTATCCTCAGTACGCATCATCTGTCGAGCCCGAATATGCTTGACCGTTTGTTGCTCTTCAGCCGAGAGATCAGGTTGGAAGGCCTGCATCTTGCCAGCCTTGTCGACAGAGCTACTTCCGATCCTTTCCAGAACCTTTTCACGGACATCAGGCTGGGCCGGCTCGAAAGCATTAGCACAGAACTCAAGGGTCTTGTTCAGTTCCTCTTGCGTTAGTTTTCTCGGGACCACATCGGCAGTTCCCTGGATGACTGATATAAGTTAGTGTTTCTTCCAGTTGTTCCTAAGATGTTATAGGGAATAACTTGCCTGGTCGGAAAAAGGCAAATGCCCGGTCATAATTGTCCTCGTTGAAATCACTTAGCACCGGGTCTTCATGGCTGCGAATTTGGCGATAAGCGCTGAGCACAACCAGAAGGAAGCGAGTATAGCTGTCTGCAATCTTCTTGGAGTGCCAATTAGCCGCAGCCGGTTCCTCACAGTCTCCTCGTAGAGCGGCGCAGATCGTTGTGGCGGCCGAGAGACCGCCTACTAAGGCCAAATGAACCCCAGATGAGAAGTAAGGGTCGATGAAGCACCCTGCATCGCCGACGATACGAGCATAAGGAATAGCATACGATGATGCGTTGTATGAATAGTCCGAAGCCGACTTGACCGTAGAGCTAAGTTCCCCGTTCCCAAGCAGCTGTCGGATATCAGGAGCCACTTTGTTGAGTGTCTCCAGATAGAACTCTTTGAGGTCTAGTCCGGACTGAATCTTCCCGGCTGTTGCCAATTCCTGATTCCTCACGATCCCGACAGAGGCAGTGCCATTGTGCAAGGGGATAAACCATGCCCAACCACTCTCATCTGTGATGTAAGAAAGTCAGACGGGCTACGAGATGTACGTCTTGATGTCTCAAATACCTTGTAAAGCCTCAAAAAATGGCGAGTTCTCTCTCGGAGTGCCCTGTGCATATGGCGTGGCTCCACACCAGTACCCCCAGTGAGCGACGTTTTTCAGGCTTTGGTTATAGCGCCGATTCTTCAAATATTTGGTGCTAAGCATTCCCAATCGTCCACTCGCATCGACAATATAGTCAAACGCGATCACCCCGGTGACTTGGTCGCCGTTCGCTTCGACCTTTCGCACATATGACGCGGAGGCCGGCCGTCCCAGCTCCGAAGGGCCATCTGCGTCGAACTCGATACTCTTGACTTTGACGGCATCGAAAGTCTTTGCACCACATTTGGCAGCGTGCTGGAACATTAAGTTATCTGCTTCAGACCGCACAACGTTCCAAGCGTAATTTTCCGGGCCACCAGCGGCGATAAAGTCGGTATCTATGAAATTTGTTAGTACAGGGCATATTCCAGGATAGGGTGGTGCCTTCACATCCTGGTTCTTTGTTCTTGTTCAGCTTGAAAGCCGCTCCAACCTAGTAGTCTAAGTCAGATTTGGGAAGATTGGCACTGGGGCCGAACCGAGTCGTCCAACGTACCTTCTTGACGAACCCGTACTTGTCAAACGCTTCATCCAAGTCGATGAAGCGGAGCAAATGACGCATGGATGCAAGCATACTCTCTCCGATGTGATACCTCATTATGGCGTCAGCAATGAAACAACCCTCCTATATTTATCGCCTACATACCGAGGAAACATGTCTGCTTCAAGGAGCACTGTATTAACCCCCTCTCTTGCCAAAGCGGCGGCACAGTAGGAGCCCCCCGGACCTCCACCCACCACTAGGACCGTGCATTTCCCCGGGATCCCGGAAAGCATGTTGGCAAACAGATCTAATGTGATATAATCGAAAATTCGATGCTGCTGATATCGTCGGCGGTGCTGATGGGGGCGAGGTATGAGATTTGATACCTGAAGGGGCACTTCTTTATAAGTATACTAGGTAGAAATGCCTAATCATACCCGCCCATCTCCATTCTGAAAGCCAGTACTCAGCCTCGCGGACTGGCCGCTTTCCTCACCGGGATCTAGAGAAATTTGCCGAAACTTTGATCTTGTACAATATATTTCAAAAGTCGAAAGGCAATTAACAATCGAGTGATCGGCAGACACGACAAATATATCGTTGCGGGGCCAACTTAAAAATACGCCGAAGGTAGTATTTCCGTAGCCGCTGGGCGTATTTCTCGGCAATCTTGATAGAAACTCTAAATATACGCCGAACCTAGATATGTCTACAAGAATACTAATACTAGGAGATCCTTGGCTTTTGCAAACAGAAGATTAGCAGCCGTTTGTTCATGAAAATGACGAAGCTAGACGTTCATTCTTTGCCGACAGGGATCAGCTTGGATCCTGGTTCTCGAATCAACCAGGATTATGGATCTCAAAATCCGCCTATTTCGGCCCAGTATGAGCCAATTGCTATAATCGGCGCTGGTTGTCGGTTACCTGGAGCAAACTCTCTTGAAGAGTTATGGGAACTCGTCTCCAAAGGGGAGTCAAAGGTTCAGCCCCTTGGCGAGGATCGATTTCAAATACAACAATCTTTTCGATCGTCTCAGAATAAAGAATGGTTCGATCAACAAAACTTTCACGGCAACTTCGTCAATGACGTGGATAAATTTGACCACGGCTTCTTTGGGGTCAGTCTTCGCGAGGCGGCCCACATGGACCCCCAACAACGATTGCTGCTTATGGTTGCCTTCGAGGCCCTCGACTCCAGCGGTTATACTCATCATCACCGTCGGGAAGACGGAGATCCGGTGGGATGTTTCATTGGCGCCAGCTATACCGAATACCTAGAGAACACAAGCGCTTATTCCCCCTCAGCCTTCACAGCCACTGGCACGATTCGCGCGTTTCTCTCTGGTAAGATCAGCCATCACTTCGGCTGGACTGGACCATCTGAAGTGATTGACACTGCATGCTCGGCATCCCTGGTTGCGATCCATCGTGCTTGCCGTGCCATTCAAACTAAAGAGTGCTCGATGGCGCTAGCGGGAGGAGTAAACATCATCACTGGGGTCGACAATTACTTTGACTTGGCTAAAGCAGGCTTTCTCAGCGGCACTGGGCAGTGTAAGCCTTTTGACCATGGTGCTGATGGGTACTGTCGAGCAGATGGAGTGGGGTTGATTGTACTCAAGTCCCTACAGCAAGCCATCATTGATGGTGATCAGATACTCGGCGCGATTGAATCTTCCAGTACCAACCAGGGAGGCCTCAATTCGGCCTCAATCACAGTACCGGACTCGGCTGCTCAACAATCGCTGTACCAAAAAGCCCTCGATGAGGCTCATCTCGCGCCTGATCAAGTATCATACGTCGAGGCGCATGGTACTGGAACACTCGTTGGGGATCCAATCGAGATAAACAGCATTCGACAAGTTTTTGGTGGATCTCAAAGAGCAGATCCACTGTATATTGGATCCTTGAAAGCAAATTTGGGCCATAGCGAGACTGCTGCCGGTGTTGCAGGCCTCTTGAAAGTCCTGTCAATGTTTGCGAATAAAATTATCCCGCCATTGGCCGGATTCCACATGCTGAACCCGACGATATCTTCATTGGAGCCCGACCGCCTAGTCATCCCGTCAAGTATGGCACCATGGGAAATTGGCCAGCACCGGAAGAAACGAATTGCTTGTGTCAATGGATACGGTGCTTCGGGTAGTAACGCTGCACTCCTAGTGTCCGAGTACAATCACCCTCAGAAACAGCATTCCAGATCCTACATCCCGGCAGCTTTTCCTGTGCTACTAAGTGCTGCCTCTCTGGAGAGTCTGAAAGCATACGCAAATCGGTTGGCCTCATTCTTGCGACAAGCCCCCCCAAACGCCAGCTTGGCCGATGTGGCATTCACTCTCAGCGAACGCCGCAAACACCATCGTGTTCGCTGGTCCACTCAAGTAAGCGATTTATGCCAGCTCAGCCAGGAGCTGGATACCGGACTCAAGGATATATCGACGTTATCCAAGAGCCCGAAAAGTCTGGTGTTGGTTATATCCGGGCAAAGCAGAGCCACCATTGGACTGGATCCAGAAATGGTGCAGACATATCCGCTCTTCCAGAGCTACCTCAACCAGTGCAGTCAAATCCTCAAGGATCTTGGACATCCCGATATCCTGCCCGCTTTGAGTCAAACGGAGCCAATCGCGGATATCTTGGTTTTGCAGTGTGGAACATTTGCAGTACAGTATGCCTCTGCCAGGTGTTACATCGATACTGGGATGCCGGTTGATGCCGTTGTTGGACATTCTCTGGGTGAACTCACGGCTCTGGCTGTCTCTGGGGCTTTGTCACTGAAGGATGCTTTGAAATTGATATCTCAACGCACCTCTCTGATGAAAACGAAATGGAGCACCGAGCGTGGGATAATGCTGGCAGTCCATGCTGACTTGGTAACTGTTCAGGACATTCTGGCTGCAGTGGAGAATGCAAATGAAAAATTGGAGATTGCATGCTATAACAGTCAGAAGAGCCATGTTGTCGTAGGTACTGAAGGGGCTATCGCTACGGCGGAAGAGCTGATTAGTCACGATGCGAAATTCCGGCGCGTGCGGTACCGCCGCGTGGCTGTGAGCCATGGCTTCCATTCGCGATTCACTGAGGGTCTTCTCGCAGACCTGGTGGAGTTCGGCAAGTCTCTTGACTTCAAGCAACCTATCATTCCACTTGAAACCTGCACCAGATACTCACAGAGGGACGCTACTCAAGCTCCGAATTATTTGGCATCCCATTCCAGAGATCCGGTATACTTTTCGGAGGCCATACAGCGCATTGAGGCGCGCCTCGGCCCCTGCGTGTGGCTGGAGGCTGGATGGGGCACACCCATAGTGAACATGACCAAAAAGGCAGTTTTGGATCCAGAATCCCACACCTTCCAACCAGCTACATTTCCGGCCCAGCTGATGGCCGCTCTCTGGAGTGAGGGGATTCCAGGTACATTCTGGGCATTTCTTTCGCCAACAGAACTGGGTCTGAAGCCGGTCTCCCTCCCTCCATATCAATTCAACCTCTCTCGCCACTGGCTACCCCATGTTGACCGTGCGATAGAAGAGCAACAGGCAAAAGTTCAATCAAGTTGCACTCTGAAGGAAGGAGTGAAACCAACGTCGCTGGTGACTTACATAGCTGCGCCTAGCCCTGTTGACAAATCGCATCACTTTCGCATCCACACCGATACAGAACGATACACGAAGATTGTTAAAGGCCATGCAGTCTGCCAGAAGCCACTTTGTCCAGCCTCAATATATATGGAATGCGCAGTTTTGGGTGTCTCTCTAATTGGCGGCGACCTTCGTTCCCCAGCGCTCAGCTTCCAGAACATATGCTTCCATCGTGGTCTGGGATGCGATGAAAATATGGACGTTGAAATGGTCCTTGATGGCGAGCTGAATTCCCATTCCTCGCCATGGCACTTCATTGTCCGTTCATCGAAAGCCACGACTCATGTTGAAGGAGATCTCCGCCTTATCACACCTGCCGAGACTGACTTTGACCTCTATGGTCGGCTTGTCTCCGATCGGATCAAGGTCGTCAAGAATGACCCCACGCTGGACACACTCAAGAGTGACCGGGCATATGCGCTTTTCTCCCGGGTTGTGGAATATGGAGATATACTACGAGGTATATCGTGGATCGCTTTGGGCACCACCGAGGCGGTTGCTGAAATCAATGTTCCCAGCTTGACATGGACTCAGCCGGAGAGCTCGGTCTCGAATATCATTGAAGCCATCGCCATTGATACATTCATCCAAGTACTAGGGTTGCTAATCAACAGCAGTGGTGACCCGACGGGAGCCCGAGAGATTTGGGTGGCCACTGCCATTAACAAAATGGTTGTTCTCCCCTGCGATTTCAGCAAAAAGCAAACTTGGTCTGTTTATGCCAAGTTTAGAAACACGACAAGCCACCAGGTCAGCGGCGATTTATTTGTATTCTCCCAGACCGGTGAGCTTAAAATGATAGGGTCCGGGATCCAGTTTACAAAAGTCCAAGCGGCGAAACTGGAACGACTGCTAGAAGTAGCAAAGACGGTTCCATACCAGGGAAATATCGGGCCGCAAAGCCAGAGAGAACCCACGTTGTCTGAGAGTTGGAAAAAAGATGTTCTGTGTTCCAACCCGACAGGAAAAGACGAATTTGGAGCCAGATTTGAGAATGGATTGCGATCGCTCATCTCATCCTATACGGGAGTGGCTCTGGCAGAAATTTCAGACAGCGAAAGCATGACCAGCATGGGAATAGACTCACTAGGAGCCATTGAGCTTGCAGACGAACTCCAATCGAAGTTCGGGATCATCATCTCCACCGACGATCTGCTAAGCAGCAGCATGATCCAACTTCTAGGCTCTCTTTCTGGAAGTGATATCAATACACCATCCTCCAGAGCCAATTCTAACCCAGAGCCTTCGTCTTATCTGTCTCTAGACATAGATTTGACGACACCTCTCCGCCGATGGACGAGATATAAAGAAGATTCCAATTCACGTCACAGAGTGGAAACTTTGGTCTATAAAGAAGTTGAAGGCATCGAGATCCACGCCGACGTCATGGTCCCACTCAAACCACCATCGCACGCGATGCCCATAGGTATACCAACAGTTCACCCAGCACAAAAAGGATTGCATACTGACAATGCCCACAGCCTTGATGATCCACGGTGGCGGTCACATGACGCTATCCAGGAAGGCTGTGCGCCCAGCACAGACGGCCTGGTTACTCGCCAACGGCATTCTTCCCGTCAGCGTCGACTATCGACTTTGCCCGCAGGTCAATATCATTGATGGCCCGATGACGGATATCAGAGACGCGCTTTCATGGGCCCAGAAAATTCTGCCGTCAACAATTAGTGCTCAAGGGGTCTTAGTTGATCCAACGCGAACCGTCATTATCGGATGGTCGACCGGCGGTCACCTTGCTATGACCACCGCGTGGATGGCGCCCGCTATCGGACTACAGCCTCCTGTTGCTATTCTCTCATTCTACTGCCCCACCGACTATAAGCCATCAGGTATCGGCCCATTCCATATCTATATTCTATCCTAATTAGGAACTACGTACTGACTAAACCACAGCGTCGATGATGGGCAAGGAGTACCAAGCTCGGACAATGACAATGGCGGATATCAAGGCTTCAATTCCGTCTAGACCTGTAAGTGTGATGGACAGATCTCATCAATACAGCACGTATCATCAACTTTGCAGGACTGACGATGCTGCGGCGTGTGATAGGTCATAGGCCATGCGATTGGTACGAGCGACGGCTCCGGTTTAGGCTGGATCCAGCCAGGCGATCCCCGCTCGGAGCTCGTTCTCGCTCTTATCAAAGAGGAGAAAGGGAATAGTCTGCTTTTCCATGGGATACCAGACCATGACGACCTCATGGCATGCCCGGATGCAACTCAAGCCGCATCAATTAGCCCGCTTGCTCAACTTCAGGCGGGAAACTATCACATACCGACATTCCTAATCATCGGCGACCAGGACGAGATTGTGCCTTTCAATTCCGCCGTACGCTTTGCAGATGCGTTGCAGGAATCTGGAGTCAAAAGTGGATTCCTCCCAGTGCTAGGCGCTAGGCATGTCCATGATGTTGGGGTGACACCTGGGACAAAGGCATGGGAGCTTGGGGTGGGTCCCGGATACGAGTTTCTAATTCAACAGCTAGAGGCATGTTGATTGGTTTTCATCATCGTTTGCTATTGTCGGAATCCAACGCTCGGATAACGTGGTTCATCACCTCGCCGATCATATCACCTCGCCGACCACTTTCCCGACACAATACCACCTTCCACATTTTTCATGTAATATCTCCACAACGAATAATGCAGGCCCAATCAAAAGAAGCCAGAATTATTATTGCCATTCAATCTATCCGATCCTCCAGGAAATTAAGCATCCGTGCTGCTGCAAAGATCTACAATGTTCCTTATACCACACTCGCCGACAGAATGAAGGGCCGCACCCCTAAAACCGATTACCGGCCTGTCGCTCGGAGCCTGACTGAGATAGAAGAGGATGTCATAGTTCAACACATTTTAGACCTAGATTCACGAGGATTTCCGCCCGCAATCGAAGGTGTGCGCGAAATGGCCGATTACATTCTCGCGTCGCGGGGCGCGCCACGCGTCGGAAAGCAATGGCCATATCGCTTTATTAAGCGACGAGATGAGCTGCGCACGCGTTTTTCTCGCCCCTATGACTTTCAGAGAGCTCTCTGCGAAGATTCTGAACTTATTAGCGCGTGGTTCCGACTTGTGTTCAACATGCGCGCTAAGTACGGCATTCTGGACTGCGATTTATACAACTTCGACGAGACTGGGTTTATGATGGGTATGATCTGCCCTTCAATGGTCGTTACCCGATCCGATCGACGTGGGAAGGGCAAGGCAGTTCAACCTGGTAACCGAGAATGGGCGACGGCGATTACCTGCGTGAGTGGTGACGGCTTTGACGTGCCTCCTTTTCTACTAGCCCAAGGCCAATACCACCTCTCTAATTGGTACTCCGAAACCGGCCTTCCTCCTACCTGGGCTATCAAACCGACTTCAAATGGTTGGACCGATAATAACACCGGCCTAGATTGGATTCAACACTTTGATAGGAGTACCAGGGCGCGGACAATGGGTGTGTATCGGATGTTGGTATTGGACGGGCACGAGAGCCACCAGTCGGTGGAATTCGAGACTTATTGCAAAGACAACAACATCATTCCTGTCTGTCTACCGCCTCATTCTTCCCACCTGACCCAGCCACTCGATGTCGGACTTTTTGGCCCTTTAAAGAGGGCATACGGCAAGCAGATCGAGTCGTTCATCCGGGCCCATATTAACCACATCACTAAAGTCGAGTTCTTTTTGGCCTTTCACGCGGCATACAATGCTACAATGACCAAGGAAAACATTGCCAGTGGTTTTCGAGGTGCTGGACTCGTCCCATTTGACCCGCAAGCCGTCATCTCTAAGCTGGACATCAAGCTACGGACGCCAACACCCACCACCCCCCTGATACCCACTTGAACGCTTGGGTCTCTCAAACGCCACACAACCCGACCGAGGCCATTTCGCAGTCTACTTTTGTAAAATCTCGGATTGATGGTCATCAAGGAAGCTCACCAACACCAATTTTCTCGGCTGTCAAGCAATTAGCCAAGGGTATGGAAGCAATCACCCACCAGAACACCCTGCTGATAGAGGAAAACCGTATGATTCGGAAGGCGAACGAAGCCCTTAGTAAGCGCCGGAGGGCCAAAAAAGCACGTGTCTGCCATGGAGGTGTTTTGACTGGAGAGGATGTAAGCGATATTTTGGCCCAGAAGGAGATCGAGGAACAGTTAGCGCGGGATATACGTCGAAATCGGGATTACAACCAGGAGAGGCGGGCGACTACACGGCGATGTGGTAACTGCGGTGAGCCCGGGCATAATACACGAACATGCCAGGTCGAAGTAGAAATATCTGGAGTATGTGGTTCTGAGTAGGCTTAATTAATTTAAGTGAATTGGTTGTCTAATTGCTCTTTGTGATGGTGTTGTGTCGGAAAAGTGATCGGCGAGGTGATATGATCGGCGAGGTGATGAACCACGTTAAGCCAAATTCATTTCTCAAAGTGTGATGACTAGGAATACGGCGTATCGGTCTTTGCTAGGTGTCGATACTCTTGAGAACCTCTTGAATGGACGAGGAATGGACGAGTTCCGGTCATTCTCGTCGATCCGAAGTCGACTTTATGCCTTGATGCCTGAGATATGATGCGTATAGATTACTAAGCATATGGACTGACACCCTTGAAACTTGGGAGCGAGCAACTATCTGAGTAGTACTAGATATAAGAGGCTTTTGCAGACGAATCTTGGAAACGAAGCGGCAATGCATAACAAGCAATGGTCCGGCTATGCTGACCTGCCATCAAGCTTGTTGAGCTGCAGCTTCTCGAAGTCGAAATCGTCCAGCATGCGCGCCTGATTTCGATTAGCACGAATCCTCCGTGTCGAATCAACTCAACCTACATTGACGACTTGGATAGGCGGTGTACCGTCTGGCATAAGTCCAGGCAGGCCTTCATCAGGCAGACGAATGAAGCAACTACTTCCGCACTCTCCACAAAATTGATGCCAGACCATCCTGGCAGCAAATTGATACTCTTTCAGCACGTCTTGCCCACTTTGCAAGACAAAATCCTTGCGGAATGGGTAGACGAGCAGATAGCCATTTTTACTGCAGATCGAACAGTTGCAGCAATTTGTGGGATATTCTGAAAGTGGTGGGGACAAGGTGACCTTGAAGCGCACTGCGCCGCAATGGCACTGGCCAGTATGAGAGGAGGATTCGGAAGTTGGGGTCGGCGGGAAAGGCATGATGTCAATTCTGTTCACAGTTTTGTGTTCTAACAAGGTACTCACTCGAGAACTAACAAAGTATTTCAAAGAATTTGGGGTCATCCAGGTTTCTCATTTTCTACACAGCCTTGTGCCCCTCATTCAGCCACATTGGGGGCCAAAAGGCCGCCATTCCAGTCACATTGAGTCTAACAAAAAATATGTTGCAGCGGTACTAAATCTGAAACACGCCGCGGGAATATAAAGCTCCGAATCTCGCAGTAGCTCGAATTGAAGTACAACTTCCCATTCATGCTTTGATAAGTGTCGAGGATAGTGGGGTAGCACCCGAAATAGTTTAGTTCCGTTTGTGTCGTGATATCTTCATTTGTACTAGGGGATTCTCGACACTCCGAGATCGGGAGGTTCAACCCCTCACCCTACTCATGTAAGCAAGGACACCCTAACGTGTCCTCGCAGCGTCCGCTCTTTTCTTCTTTTCTTCAATCAATTCATCCTATCTTTTTGGATTGGTTCCCCTTGGTAGATTAGCCCCATTCTTGCATACAATGCCATACTGTATCAGCTAGCTGCGACAATAAGAAACAAAAGTGGAGATGATCTTACTACCGTATTCAATACCATACAAAATGAGATTATGTTACAATTCACGTTCAAGATCGATAATTTCGCCCGCTGCCCGACGAACGCAATCAACGATATACTCTGGGTTGCTCAAGAACGGCGAATGCCCTTCATCACATCGCTCAACTTGAAAAACACCATTTCCTTGCGCCACAATACGCTCTTGCACACAGACTGGCAACGCCTGGTCGTTCCGGCACACAATGTATGTACTCGGGATCTCGAGATAAGCCGTGTAAGTCACTGGCACGGCCAATGGTCCTGTCGGGAACGATCCCAGCCAAGAAACTGCCTCGGTCACATCCTTGGGATCGCAATCATTGTAAAGGGCCATGCGACAGGCAAATTCATCGAGGACCATCGATCCATCCTGAAGAAATCATTAGCATTCGGACTCGAATCGAACCTCAAGAAGGGCTCTGGGAAGGTCTGGAGATATCATACCGATCGGACATTGATGCCGCCGTATTTGGCTTGCATCTCTTTTCTCTGCTTGTCAAGCTCCTCCTCTTCGGGAGTTGCCGGCGCGATTTGGCCCGCATAGCTTTGGCCCTTGGGCAGAGCCATTGCGCACATATAGACCAACCGAAGGACTGAGCCTTTCTGGCCTTGTTTCTCCCGATCTTGCTTTCCAAGCCCTTGGACAGCCTCGGACATGGCAATGCCACCAAACGAATGGGCGAGCGGAATGACATCCCGGCCAGAGTCGAGATATTTCAAAATAACCCGGCGAACCTCTTGCGCATCTTGGTCCCAACTGGCAAGGGGCGGGCTCGAATTGAACGAGGGAAGGGCTACGCCCTCTGCTTCATAGCCCAGTTTCTTGAGTCCGTCGATGACATAGTGGTAGTGTTTCGGACTATGCCATGACCCGGGCACTATAATAATCACTGGTGTGGCCATTTCGATCAGGCAATAGAAAAGGTAGGATGAGGAGAAAGATGAGAGCAATGTCAGGTTTCAAAATCGGTCCAGACATGCAGGACATTAATACTGCGAATCTAGAGCCCCCTTTGACCATCGGCCCCGCCCTGCTTTGCCGCTGAAGAATGGGTGGACTCCATAAAAAGTCGCGGAGAGGAATCGCGATTGGCTCCAACATGCATCGGAGCCGATGCTCCTCGGCTCCGCTTTGTCAGCTCCACATCGGACAAGACGAGCAATGCAACATCCACGATATGTCCACATACAAATGGTGACCCGACTTCGAGAACATCTTGAAGCTTGAATTATTTGCTATGTATGATCCCAGGTTTGTGGGGAGCTCTCAATTTGTCAATTCCAGAAATTGTGCATTTTGGGCCTCTTGAGACGGAAAACTATACAATAACGGAAGGAGACGAAACATATTATCGCATTTTTTTAGAAGGGTGGCGGGTTCAGGTCGAGTCCCTCAACGGTCAGCTTGAATGCGTCGTTTCTGGAGTAGCTGCCGGCGACATCCAGGTCCAGCCGACCACGCTCACAGTCCTCCAAGTCGATCTCATGAATCAGAAGCCCATCCTTGCGAGATAAGTCGCTCGACCCCGATTCCAGCGCATCATCGACGCAAGTTTCCCAGACTGGGTCAGCGACAACCTCACCAAGAGGCCCAACGATGCAGGATCCACCGCGCGAAATATATCTTTCGCCTGTTTAAAGGAGATTGTTAGTATGTTTCTCTGACTTTTGAGCGAAGATGGCGGTGGGATGACTTACCATCTGCTTTGTCCCCGGGGTTGGCATAATCGGTGATCCAAGAAGGCAGCTCGTTATAGCGTACGCACTGATTTGCGGACAAGACGAATGTACGACCTTCGCCTCCGATGGTACGCATGAGTGGTAGCCAAGTGTCGCGGCTATCGGCCGTTGGGGCAAGGTAGATATTGATGTTTTGAGAATACAGACTCTGGCGGAGCATGGGCATGAAGCTTTCCCAGCAGATAGCGAGCCCGATGGTCAGCTTGACACCGTTCAGCTCGGTAGTGATGGCCTTGAGTGTAGAAGCCGAGCCTTGACCCCACACAAGACGCTCTGAAGCAGTCTGTCAACAGAGATCAGTATCTTTTCTGTATAGAAAAAAGGTAGCACAGCAAACCCAAGTACTTACAGGCATGACCTTGCGTCTCTTTCCAACGACACCAGATGTCGGATCAACATAGACGGCAGAACAATATAAAGTGCCACCGGCTCTCTCAATCAATCCAGTCGCAATAAAGACACCCGTTTCCCGAGAGACCTGCTCAATGAACTCCCTCGTACCGTCGCCGCGACGATCCGATCCCTTGGCCACGGGAAGCTTGCGATCGACCCAGTCATCGCCGGCTCCAGCAGGAGTATCGCCGAGGTCCACGGCAGACTTAAAATATTGAAGGAATTGCTCCCGACCATGAGGAGATCGTGCGCCGACAGCGGTGCCAAAATCACAGGTTCGAGGATATCCGCCGAGGTAGGCCTCGGGGAAAAGCAGAAGCTTTACACCCTTTGATGCCGCATGTTCGGTGATGCTCTTCAATGCGGCGAGTGTGGCCGACAGAGACGAAAGAGTGCGGGCTTGCGCCACCGCGACAGTCAGAATTTGAGACATTTTGTTGCACTGTTGAGGCTCTTAGGTATGGGCAAGATAAATTGAATGAATTTGGGGTTTAAATAATTTGAAGAAACTTTGCAGTTGGAGTGGTGAAAGTCATCGTCGGGGCAAGTGACTCCGATGTGGAGCCGTCGGGGCGGAATGTCCGAAAGATGACTCTCAACGTCTCCGACAACACTGAAGCAATACACATCTTGAACAGCATTTCTTATTTTGACTCGGATATAGCCCTAAAACTCGACCGAGCCAAATAAAGCAGGAAATATGAGGGTGTCATCGAATGCAGCATTATACTCTCCCGGAATGTCACCCGCGCTGGTTATGGGATTATGAAAAACTGTGCCGGGAAATAATGAGCAGTGCTCTGGACAAAGATGCTCTCCGGTATCATGTGCAAGGGTGCTTTCAATTGTTCGTCGTTCGGTTTGCTCGACGTGACTCGAAGGAAATTCCTCAGTGATCATCTCTTCAAGCATTCGTAGCACTCCCCGGTTCTTGACGACTGAGCGTATCCAGTCGATTTGAGAATTGATTTGAGCCACAGATTCTGGAGCCATAGGCCTGGGAAATGAGTCATCATGTATTGTCTCCTTCAGTGGTATCTCCTTGGCGAGAATCTCGAAGACGTCGCGTAAAGGCTCAGCTTGCACCCAGCGCTCGGCGAGAATTGCTAAGCTTATTGAGCATGCACGCAATGCCTCGGATGCCTCTCTTGTTTTGTATGCAGAAGTTCTGTATTGTACGGGGGTTGCCCAAAAGCAATATAGGAAAGTTAACCCGACGTTGAACTGGCTCAGAAGCTGAGATTTCTCCGTTAGTCACCAAGCTCTTCTCTCTAGTTTCACAAAAAGCTTACTCCGGGCCATAGTTGGGCTGTCTGTCGATCTTTTTGAAACTCCCTGAAAGTCAACATAATCTGCACGCTTGCTCGCACAGATCGATCTCCAAACATCCCGCAGACATTCTGCTTCGTGGGCTGATGTAGTAGAAGAATTGTATAATTATAGGCCATCCCGACCCATCTATCACTCAGATAACCACGGGAGGTTCGATGACTTAGGCGCTGCAGCTGGGTTCTCCAAGCCTCCAGCTCTTCCAGCATATGTTCTCTCCATGCAGGTGACGAGTTGATCTTGGAAAAGTCGGAGCGCATCATTGTGCTGACTATCCGTGACTGGATACATCTGCAGCGTATAAGATGCAGTGCTGGAGATATACGGGTTCTCTGAGGCAGGCTTGCTGCCACGTCCTGGTCCATTTCTGTCGTGTCGAGATAGAGATGCGTATCTTCGACATTTGAAAACATCTAACTCCGTTAACTAATGTTTTATTTTTTTGAAGTAACCCCAGACGTACCTCGACTGTGATGTGCTCGTCAATTAGATTATTTGGAATATGATAAATCCAGCTGATCAGACGATCTAAAGCATAAGCAGACCAAAAGACCCTTCGTCGAATCTGGACTTCGAGAGAGAACGATGGAAACGGAACCTTCGGCTCGTTTTCGGCAAGGTGTAGTTGATTGATGGCACAATGGCGCATGGTCGCTGATACCATGGAAACAATCATATGTGACGATGGAGAATGCAGAGCATGCAGAGTCAATAGCAGATATGCTTGAACACTCAATATCGGATCGGACTTTATAAAAATAAATGGCAAGAATTTCATAGCCATGTTGTACAAGGTCTGTATTGTTAGCTCTGTGTTTGCGGCATTCTTAGCGGGGCCATGAAACGCACTTGGGAAGTACATATGCTGCTTTGGGACACTTGTGGGGTAAGTAGGATGCTCACAGCTTGGACCTAGTATGCATGTTAGAATTTTGCAAGACAAATGTGAGAGACATTCATACCATGACCACGAAAAAGTCCATCCATCGATCTTTCTGATCCGCAGTGGGATCTTTAAACCTTATATTCTTCCATGATTTGTACCAGCCGATGAAGGTGTCGACATGGAGAAATGGATATCGTGGGTTGACTCTTTGAAGATAGATATCAATGAGCGCATCACCAATATCGTCGGAAAGGCAAAAGGTGCGCTTTAGCAGACCTGACGGCGCTGCTGTAGAGATTCTCACATCTCGAAGTGGTTCATCTGACGTAATAGGTATCCCGCACGGGTTGCCAGTCGTTAAAGCAGCTAAGATGTTAACGAAGAGACTCGAATGGCCGCATCTGTCATCAATGTCTAAAGACGTATTTGACATCGTGGCATCGAGAGGCGATGAAAATGGAATGTTCGAGTCCGCACACGTCGGAACGGCAAATCTCTCAGCCGTTCGATTCTCTACACCAGAAAGACCCTCATTGAGCTGGAATGAAGGAGGAATTATTCCAGGGGTGTTGGGGGTTGGAACGGAATGAGGATGGTGTTCGGGGCGTTCGCCGCGAGCCAAGGAGCTCTGCGGGGACGTTTGTCTTGCGAATGAGCCATTTTGTCCAGCATCGAGTGATTGAGCCTCAAGTTCCGCAACCTTATCTTCGAGCAATCGAGTATACCTGTAGAGATGAGTTCAGCAGACAGCTTCGGCAAAGAAAGGCCGGGGCCATTTACTCTGCACTAAAACGGTGCCTTCGAGATACCGGCTCACTTGAGACACACTCTGTCAAACAAATGGCTTAGTTGATACATCCATACAGTCGACTTCAAATTCTCGTACCTTTGTCGGCCTGCGTGCATTTCTCGCAAGGTCGCCTGTCGCTGCACTAGCGACATGTCAGAGAGATGTTTGAGGTATTTCTCCGGCATACTGCATACTCTTTGTTTCCGCGCTCGACATCTCTGACATGCTAATGTCTTCTTCCTTTTGCAGGCGTTTCCATATTGGCTTCATCATGCAATGGCATCAGCATCGGGCTCTCGGCTCCGATGGTCGGGGCGAAAGCGTCCGTCGGCTAAAATTGTGCCGATGACAAATGGGACCCACTCCGGCCGAGTTACCTCAATGGGGGCGTCACGGGATCAAGCCATTGTACTTGTGACAATTCGAGGACCAGTGCTCAATGATTGCCATTGTGGATTCGAACTCATTAGTTCCTGGGCCTAGCTCTGACGTCTCCCCACCGATCCGCTGCATGTCACCCAAATGAGAAATTTACCAGACCAAGAGAGTCAGTGGCAAAATGAAGACGATTGGTTGGTTCGAGGCGTATAGCCAGCTAGCCTCGCGGCGTCGAGGCTGGGGAGACACAACAAGGCTGCAGCGTGAACAAGATGATTGCAGATCCTTAGTGTCGGTGCACAGCCAGAGCACTGGACCGCTCGTCAGTTCCAGCTAGGAGACCCTTCCCAAGGCCATTCAAGCTGAAACCCATATCGCACGAGAGATGTCGCGAGCTCGGGCCCTTGGAGCTGCCGCAGTCCTAACAGTAAGGTTCCAGGAACCAGGGAGCTGGCTACGTGACACAACTGCGATCTGGGCGGGGCGGCTCCGACGGCGCGTGGACGCACGGCTATTGCGGTGTGGCAATAATTGCTTCTGCCGGTGGTCACTAAAATCGGTTTGGACGACAGCTGAGATCGGCTGGGAAAAACCAGATTAGGTCGGGACTAGAAGATTTTGCTTTTGGAAGAACAATGAAATTCATGATTCCGAAAAAGGATCGGTTTCGCGAGGCGCGAGACCTAAGAATAGCTGTGCTTGAATGTGTATGGTATCAAAATAAAGAACGTAAAACGCGAATCCCCAGGGCCGAAAAAGAAAGCAAAAAATCATCAAAACGTAAATCCGTGCAGTTTGAACCATGAGATAAAATCCGATAGTGAAAACGCCATACCCTGAACCATTCAGGTGCCAATACCAGCCCCCCTCTGAAATGACCATAGGCCGAAAGAAGAGAACGCCATTCCGGGAAATTATTCATCTGCCTCCTAGACAGTGACTCGCCCTTCAGGAGCCAGGCCAACCTGTGGCATATCGGCGCTTGACGGCAGCGGACGGGCGACAGGCGCCGAGGAAACATCGGGGCCGGGGAGGCGTGACAAAAGCGATGCGACCATTTCGCGGTACACATTCATCTGTGACAACTTATAGCGCTGAATCTTGCCACTTGGGGTGCGCGGGATCTCTTCGACGAAAATCACGCCGCCCTCCAAGGATTTGTAACTTGCCAACCGCTGTCGGGTGAAGTTGTAGACTTCTTCGGCAGTCAAACGGCTGACAGATGGATCGCGCGAACGCACGACGAATGCGCGAGGCACCTCGCTGCTGCGATCCCTGAGGTTGATGCCCGTCACAGCAGCATCGCTGATCCCAGGGTGCTGCAATAGAACGGCTTCAATCTCAGCGGGGGCGACTTGCCAGCTGCCAAGAATGTTAGTACATTTGATTCTGGTCCACATGACTGTCCTGACATGAAACAGAAATGAAACAGTATCATATTGACTTACCCTCGCACCTTGATGAGCTCCTTGCTCCGCCCCACGATAGTGTAAAAGCCATTCTTTTTGTAAGCGATATCACCGGTATGGAACCAACCCTCAGCATCCTTGGCATCGTTTCGGCCCTTGTAGGCCAAGAGCAATCCAGGGCCCCGTAGCTGCAGCTCGCCTTTTTGCTCGTCACCGCAGGCGGGTTGACCATCTTCATCGATTAGCCGCACTTCGTAGCCCGACAGTCGAGTACCAATGCTTCCTGGGTCGCCATGCTGACCATAGCGAGTTTGAAAGGCAACTCCAACCTCGGTCATACCCCAGAGCTGGCACGCAAATGCCATTGGGTTGAGATGACTGCGAAACTCGATCATGGAGGCTCCGTCGATAGGGGCCCCAGCGACGCCCACATAGTACAACGACTGGAGATAGTCCTTGACTGGGTACGAGGAACGGTTGATCGAGTGCACGATGGCCGGAACCAAGTAGGTCTCGGAGATTTGATACCGGCGAACAGTTGTGAGGAACTGCGTCATCTCGAAGCGTGGCAACACAAACAATGGGTGGCCATATCGAACTGGGAACAAATGGGTCCAGAGGGCGCCGAAGAGATGGAACATGGGCAACGACATGAGGCGACTTGTCGGGTACGGCACCTCGTATTGGATCGAGCGATGGTGAGAAACAATCGCGTGATGAGACAGGATAGCAGCTTTAGGCAGGCCACCCGTGCCACTGGTCGAGAACATCGCAGCAGGAGTGTTCTGCGCCACCACTGGATTATTGAACATGATCCAATTCCTCTCGCCGTGGTTCAACAGATGCGCGAAATTCAGGTGAGGTGCCTCGCCAAGGACAGCGACGGAATCGCGCCGCACCGGATATTGCAAAAACAGCCGGGAGCAATGATCCACAGCGCGCTCATCTACCAGGCACACGCGGCTGGAGTGTATACCACGCTCGGCCGCAACGTTCAATACCATAGGCAGCGCATCGCTTGTCGTGAGGATCAGCTTGGGCTCGGCGAGGCTCACGATATGGTCGAATTCCTGAGGCTGGCTGCGGGGGTTCGATCCCATGTAGACGCCACCGGCACCGATAATGCTGAAAAAGAGGGCCGGGTAGAGTATCTAAAAGACCCAGTCCACATTAGCATCTGCTTCGGAGAATTTGGAATTCGGGCCGGTTCCCGCCATAATCTTTCTTGAATATAGACATGGACTTACACTGTTCCCCAAATGCAGCAGCACGCAATCTCCCGGCTGTACGCCATGTGCCTTGAACCCGGCGATCAGAGTCCGGACCAGCTGGCGGAGCTGAGCGGCTGTGAACGAGCGCGAGATATCTTCAGCATCGATAAAGAGTGGTTGGTTCTGGTTGTAAGGCGTTGGGCCGAAGAAGGTGAACGTTAAGAGATCGGGATAGGTATGTTGATGCAGGAGGGGATCGGCGGTGCCAGTGGGCACTACGGTCTGGGGATTCCATAATCCCATCATGGTGGATGTGTGGAATGGACAAGAATGTAGTCGATCCGAAAGCAAGTAGATCCCAACAGTAACAGATGGTGGGAGAAGATCAGATGGAGATAGATCGTGAGATGAACAGAGTGAAGAGGTGGTGGGGGGAGGGATCCCTGCCGTGTAATATACATTTTTTCCTCAAGCGCAGCGCATCAACAGTATGATTTGATTTCCTGAAGCAAGCGCGATCCTGCCAGTCGGTGGAGGCAGGCGCGACGGTGCAATTTGGAATACTACTGCTTAGGTAAGGCGGCTCTGGGTCCACTCCTTTCCCTGGTTCCTCCTGCTCGCCCAAAAGTACATGACCTCAACTTCCTTAACGTAACCACCTCGATGTGAGCTCATGTCTGCACGGTGGATAGTTTCACGCGCAAGGCTTCGAGCACAAGCACCTCAGCTCCATCCAGCGCCCGCTTGCAGCTGGTATCCAGCCCCTACGATCGGGAGTGGTGATGTGATCGAACCGTCGAACCGGTTCCCAGACTCCACATGTTCGACGCTAACAACTAGTGGCGCAACTCATGCGGGAGCCACTAGCGACGACACCCCTTTCATATTTTTTGTGCCAGCTGAGCCACACGCTCGGATCACTCCTACAATGCTTACAAAGTGGCGACGGCTCCTTGACTAAGGCTGCTTTCCTTGGCACTGGCACGCCTGCTGGATCGGATCCGCGGCGATCGCCTGAGCCTGCCAGGTCTCCATAACCTAAATCTCCATTTTTGAGCTCTACTTTCCCCCCGCAGACTCGATCTATCACCCAATGACGATTGTCGATCTCGGTGGTCAAATCGAAACGTCTCCACGAGCTGAAAGTCTTCTGACAGTAGATCTGAGCGACAAGGATTCTACCTATGGTAGCGTGCGCCGGCGCGGCCCTGTCCCACTGCCACGATGATGTAGGCACGGGCTGGCGGTCCCCCTCCTCCCGGCTGTCTCTGCCAATCGTCACCCTGGCTCTGTCTTGCTCCAGCCCTTCTGGTCCGTCTCCACCCGGTGTCATGTATGCCTGACGTCCCGTCGACCGTACGCAAATGCATCCACAATGGCTGGCCACCTTCGTCCACCCCCTCGCCGTCCATAGGTTTGCAGGGTCGACGGGAATGGCCCCGCCTTGATAGTGTTGCGCTTGCAGGTTGATCCTAAGCTCGTCCCGCTTGCGCAAAGTGGGGAAAGACAACAGGCTGGAATGGGCGCTATCGAAACCCTTTCCCTCCCTTCCGTGTGACTCGGTCGACAATCATTGAGCTCTCATCGGTGGAGAGCAATTGCCGTGGACCTGAGACGTCGTATATGGAGACGCTCTAGATCGACTTGCAACTAGTGATAACGTGCGCCACCCCGATGCAGTGTGCACACCCCAGTCCAAGGCCGCGGATCACAGGAAGGATCCACTCCGGTTATCGGGAATCACCGTTTCCAAATGCATGGAGGTATGGAGACTCCCTGTGAGGGCTCGTAACCCCGCCACAAGAAATGATCGACTGCACAGGGCACGGAACAGCGCCGTGGGAAAAAGAAAAACAATCACCCAGCAGGAATGCAATGCCGGGAAACCATAGCCGCCCACGTTCCTGGAACCCGACCCCATTGCCTCGGTGCGTGATTTCTTCTGATATTCTTGGCTGAGGTGAAGGATCTCACCGACGGATATCCCTTGGCCCTCTGATCGGCCGAATATTGGTGTCTTTTCGGCTGGGTATGATGGCATTATTGGAAGGGCCCTCATGCGCCCTGTTCGCCCGGCCATCGCCGGGGCCTCGCTTGCATGCAACGTTTGCCCTGTATGATGGTGGCCCAATTCGATGATCGTGAGAACAACCATCTTTGATTGGGTTGCATTCCATGGCGGGGACGTGCTGGGTCTGTGTTGGCATCGTTCCCTTTCCGGCACATCCCGTCATCCGGGTCGAGTATTGACTGGTGTGGACACTATTTCCCAGACATGGCTCCATAATGACCCATCCGGAGATGTTCGCCTTGCTCTGCGTCGACGTAGGAGAGCTGAACGTAAGGGTGGAGGAGCTGGAGGGGTGGAAAGTGGACGTTCATTGGCGTCGAGCAGTCACTAGCAACGGGATCACAGCCCGGCTTGATAGTGTCATACACTGTCAAACCTTGGGAAGCCGGCGATGCATCCGCGAGCAAAACAAACGAGGTTGTGATCTCCCCAATGCAAGCAGACAAAAAAGGGCAGACGCCAGGGTGGGACGGAACCTTGGGTATTGCCTCATTGGGACGGACGATAATGACGGATGATGCAGAACGGGGAGCCGTGCTGGGCGCTGAGGACTGCGTGCTGCGAGGGCAGCAACCAAGGCCACCAATAATTGGACTGCGAGAAAGTGAGCTCGAGTCAGATAGGGAACTAGGCAGCAGAGGGGACATTTCCTGTTCGGGCCCTCCTGGGAACCTCGGGTCATTGAGGATTCTCATACCTCATGCCGGCCCTGGTCTAGTCTCGTCTTCCTCAAAAGCCCCCCAGCCCATGACCGTGGGATCCTGGTCGAATTACCAACACCTTTTTCCTTCCACCTCTCGGTCATCTTTTGAATTTGAACGGGCATCTAGTACGAACTGCCAGGCCTTTCCTAGCCATGTCGGCCTCGGAAGAAAACGTCGTTCCCAAGTCAATGCCATCTCCCATGGAGAAAGTGGTCACTAAATCACCCACTCTCAGCGAGGAGACTCTCGCCGATGGCACTGTCGAGGAGAAGTACCACTATCGGGCTAGCTCGATGGGCTCCACGATTATCCAGACACCCCCGGCGCAGCCAACAGATCTCGAGGCTCAGGCCATTCAAGGCAGACCCAAGCGACTTGCTAACTTGCGGTATGCCACCATGACTCTCTATCGCCGCCTGTTCTCGGTGGTGATCTTGGCCAATATAGGCGTCTTCGCCTGGGTCATGGTCGCAGACCGCAAGCTCGTCGCATTGGTAAATGCCACCGCCGCCAATTTGCTCGCCTGTGGCCTCGCGCGCCAGCCACTTGTGGTCAATGCCATCTTCTTCATTGTGTGTTGCATTCCTCGGTCTGCGCCGTTTCCTTTGCGCCGATGGGCAGCCAAGGCCTACCACTATGGTGGCGTGCATAGCGGCTGCGGGATCGCAGCCTTGGTGTGGTACCTTGGTTTCATTGGCTTGATGTCGCAACAGTACTGGACACCGTCTGCACCGACAGCTGCAGGCGCTGCAGGCGCTGCAACTGTCAGCTTTTCAGCCGCCCCGGTTATACTGGCTTACATCGTTCTCGTGCTGTTGGTGGCGATCCCGGTTGTGGCACACCCCACGTTTCGGGCAAAGCGGCACGATTATTTCGAACTCACCCACCGTTTCTCGGGGTGGCTGGTCGTAGCACTGTTCGTTGCGCTACTGTTGGTCTTTTCGCATGAGATCAGCCAAGCCGAGGGGGTCTCATTGGGCCGTTTCCTCGTCTCGCTTCCTGCTTTTTGGTTCCTGGTGGTGACTGTGGCGGCCATCGTTCATCCATGGTTGCTGTTGCGCAAGGTGCCGGTGCGGGCCGAAGTCCTCTCCACCCATGCTGTGAGGCTGCACTTCAATTATCGTCCCACCACTTTCGGTAAGGGTATCTCGCTTGCAAAAGCCCCCTGCGCGACTGGCATGGCTTCGCGACGTTTCCCGACCCTGCCCCCTCGGACAAGGATGGAGTCCCGAACTTTTCTTGTCTAGTGTCCAAGGCCGGCGACTGGACTGCTGATTGCATCCAGAACCCGCCCACCCATCTCTGGAAGCGTGGGGTGCGCATTACTGGCTTTGCATATGCCATGCGTGTCTTCCGACGAATCATTGTCGTCACAACGGGCTCTGGCATTGGACCTTGTCTGTCGTTCTTGGGTGACGACAACCGACCGGCCCTCCGGGTGGTCTGGCAAACTCGCGCACCACTCAAGACATACGGTCAGGATGTGTTGGACATGGTGCACCAGATGGATCCCAGTCCGATAGTCATGGACACCAACGAGTGTGGGCGTATCGACATGGTCCCGATGGTGCAGCGTCAGGTCAAGCAATTCGAGGCCGAAGCGGTGTGCGTGATCAGTAACCCCATGCTGACGCGCCGAATTGTGTATGAGCTCGAAGCGCGCGGGATCCCAGCATATGGTCCGATTTTCGATTCTTGAAGGTTCTTTCCGGTTTCTCGTTCGTCTGATTCTTGCCTGCAATTTCGTTTCATCCAGATCTTCTCGTAAGAATCTGGGGCGTCGGCGTTGATGATTTGTGTTTGCTATTTTCCGGGATTTGACTTACCTTGATACCACCAATATTCGGCGTTATTTATTATTCCAATATGATTTCGCTCAGGCTGAAGTCCTGGCTTCGTTTCCAAAGTCTCTGGCGGGGGGGTAGTACTGTCATTATGAGTTCAGGGGGAAAGGGCGGTTGCATTCCCCTAAAAATGAGTCCCATCTGTGATTTGGAATGTATGCAGGGAGGGGTACGCTAGACTCGTGTACGTTGGGCAACCCATGCAAACGATGGATCAGGCCCTCTCTGGTCCCGCAAACCCCGTGTGATACGTGATGCCCGTACATCGAAATTCCAAATCGCCCGGCTCCACAGCCGATGGAGGCGCCTGTTCATTGGCTGAAACCGCCCTCTTAATTCGCCCAAAATCAAAAGCTGGGGCATTTTGACACATCACGTGGGTGCAAAATTATACTCAATTCTTAAACCCATTCTGCTGTCTCACCAGGCTTGACACTTCTCAGGTTTAAGATGAGAAGTCCGTTGTTGTTGTGCTCAGGCCGTGTGGCTCATGCAAACCGTGGCAAACCGAAACCCCACCAGTGCACCAATTATGGTTGTGCTAGCGCCCGAATATCAAATTCTACCACCCTATGGTTAAGCTTCCGTTGTTTCGTGCTGATATTTCCGGGGAGTTCTTCAGTTCGGGAAGCTAATGACGAATGGATATATTTGGATCGATCCGGTAGAGTACGCAGCGACGCCCGTGAAGTTCAGGTTCTTGCCCCGCATGATGTTTGATCGCCGCAGGGGTTGATATATATGTATTCAAGTTATTAAGTGTTGGGGTCACAAATTCTGTAAAGCTATATTCAGACGTCACAGCCGGGACGTTGAAACTTATTTATGCACATTCCAGTGCCTGAGTTAGCGCTTCTTCTTTTCGGCCTCCCTGTCAATTTTCCGATCGTGGAGGAAAGCGCGCAGGAAGTTTTGGTTGTTTCTTCGTTTCCCGTACACCTTCCGCTAGGCAACCGTCCTGGTGCTCTATTGTTTGATTGACCATCCTCGTCCGGATCCTTCAAAGGCACATGGCTCCGATCAGTGATTACAGTATGAACTTTCACATTAATTTGATAAATGCATTTGGCCTCCAGTCGCGGCATAAGTCTACACTAGTGTGTTTTCATAAGACCGCACCAGGTGTATCGTTATACTGAAAGAGATATACATGGCATTATTATATGACAAGTCAAAAATACTGGCAATATCATGGAAGCGCACATGGGAATTACCTGTTCCATCTGCGACATGGTCTGCCGGCCTTCTGATGTTCTTGGTGGGAATTTAGCGTCGCGCAAGATTGACAAAATGAAACCCCCAGGATTCAAAGCTTGCCCGCGGGAGAAAAGTTCGAGCGAGCTCTTCTTGATGGGGTTCCAATTCACATTTTCTTCTCGTCGCCACCGTCAATGTTACTTGCTTTTGCAACGAATCTTTGATCCTTTGGTGAACTGAGAAGCCACGACAGAACTTCGATGAAATGCTGTGCTTTCACTTGCTGTGTGCACTTCGAGAAGAACACATGTGAACCTTCAATTTCTTGGAACGAAAAAAGCGAACCATATCAAACCCAGTTTATTAAATTGCATTTTCGGCATGCTGGGTTTTCACCACTGCTTAAATCGATCTTAGCACCGTTTCAGGTCCACCCTAAATAAAATTCGACAGCAAACTGATCTACTACCCTCAGGGTCTACATGGGCCTGGCAGGTCTGGGCATCGCGAATTAAAAATTATAATCTCAAGTATGTTTCACAATTTCTACTTCAGCTGCTAGCGCAGTGTGTAGTGCAGGTGATAAAGATTTAGATAGGTACATGGTGATTGTCATCATTTTCGTGGACAGACTCGTGTGATCGGCATTGTGATGGAGCAGTATGGCAGTCTGGATTGAACCATTAGAACGGAAGTTCTAAAAGGTCTATGCCAACATCAGCATACCTTTAAGAGGAGGTCAGGGTGAATTGCTCGTTAGGGCTCTGGTCCCAGGCAGCAAGCTGAAGAACCCGCTGCTCATTAACGCGCAGGAAGTAACTGGAGCCCTGAGAAACAAACTCATATTTGTTGTCGCCGGCAGACTCGAGAGTATAGATCTGGGGCTCTTCTCCAGCGAAGCAGAGGGAGCCCTCCTCGGTGCCGCAGTTGATATAGCCGCCGAGAGTGTTGTTGACGAAGAAATCACGGTTGCTTGAACCGCTGAGTTGGAGGAACCAAGTCTGACCAGGGTGGCCATTCCTAGGAGCGAATTCGAGGGGTCCACCATCTGTCCGAGTCTCACCCAGGACCAGAGAAGGGTCGAGAGCGGGAGATCCGATCATGTAGGTTCCCTCGCGAAGAGAAAAGGCAGACTGGGAAAGAGCTGCCAGGGCTCCGAGAGCGAAAGTAGCCTTCATGTTGACGGACGATTTGTGTTTGTATATTTTAAAATTGAAAATGCTTAGGGATTTGCGATTCTAATGGGGTTGAAAAGGTCAGTTTCTAGGAGAAATATCTTGCGATTTATATGTCCTCTTCTCTACCTGAAATATATGTATCTGGGACACGTGGTCCGATGAATCATGCATTGACTATTGATATGCACATTTCGATATATGCACACAGCCCCACCCTATAGGAAGCTAGAGTTACACAAAACTGCTCCAGCCACCAAGGGGTTGGATTACTTTGATTTTCTTCAGAACGAGGCAATTGTCCACAAGAAAGGCTTACTATCAATGTTTTTAACAGCATCAGAGATGGATGCTAATAGCTCGTGCTAAAATACTTCCAACTGAAATTGAGTTTTTCTCGTAGTTCGAAAATCGTGCAAAAAGCCTTTGGGATTTTTTGCGCATGTTACTCTAAACAAGCCACAATCGTCATGATCACTTGAATACCAGACATGGATAATCGGTGAGGGCCGCTCTAGAGAATCAACAAACGAAAGATCTACTTCTTCCAGCCAGCCCTGTTGATGTATGCAGATCCTTCTTGGCGATGATCTCCCAGATTGCTGTGAGACATGCATCTTCGATTTGGTAGCAGATCTACATAATGTAGGGGTGCGATTCATTAATGCCAGGGGCGCCTATTACTTGATGCGACCTGAATCTATGTCGTTATTCGTCTTCATGGAATACAAGAAGGAAACAGCCTTCAAGAAGTCATTAGAGTTATCGTTTGATAAACATAGCCAGCCTGTATATCATTGTGCGAGTAATGGCGGAAAAGGTTTCCCTCTTCCATTGCATTAATATTCTACTCGAAATACTAAGTTGTAGGGCACCGTGGGATCCTCGTTCAATCCCTGATTCCTAATTAAGTAGATGCCTAGAGCGACAAATATATATATCTAATAGTCGGCAGCATTGACTCACAATGCGACCGAACGGTGGTTAAAATAAAGCGAAACATAAGCTCAAGTTTTCCTCAGCTGAGTTCCTTGACCAGTTTCACCATTACTCGCGCCAGTTTAAACGATCTTGCTCTTGCCCCCGTGCAGCAGAATATCTGACATCACGGGACTCTTGTCTGCGCCGGCGTGCTCGATCACTAAAGCTAGTCGCAAATGATACCGCAAAATGAGGCAAATCGACTTACTTCTGCTTACCAGAATCTGACTTGATGAACTGTGTACTGACGGTCATCCAATAAAAATTTCTGAGGCTGACGGCGGCAGTTGCTTTTCGGGTTAGACTCCGCGGAGGCCGCGGGGTGTCCGGCGCGAAAGGAAGTATAACTATCAATCATCCACTGACACCTCAGTCTCACTCACCTCCAGAGATCAAAAGTCAGTCTGCCAATATGTCCTCTCAAAGAAAAGTACCGCTCCCAGTCTTGCCAGTTCCTGCCAACATTTCTCTTGCCTAACAACCTCCCAGGCTATCATCATCGGGGCCGGACCTGCCGGTCTCGCAGCCGCATTGCGCCTGCATCAGCAAACCGACATATCCTGCACGATTTACGAGTTGCGACCCGAGCCAACCACACTTGGTGGTGCAGTTGGTATTCTACCCAACGGTTTACGTCTCCTCTACCGACTGGGCGTCTATGAGAAGGCCCTCGCTCGAGGCTTCGGCGGCCCTAATCTGTCGCTCCACTCCCTCCAGGGCCATACGATCGGCTCACAAGATTGGGTTGGATGGGCACGAGAGAAGACTGGTTTTGGATATATGCGCATCAAGCGCACGGATCTGGTCGATGTCCTGCTCGAGGCAGTGAATGAGGCTAAAATCCCGATCCGTTTCAACAAGCGACTTGAACAGATCGATGACAATGCCGACGAAGTGAAAGTCATCTTCTCTGATAGCTCAACAGACTCGGCAGATATACTACTCGGGTGCGATGGTATCCATTCATTTGTTCGGCGGTCTTATGTCGACCCCGAGTACGCTCCGGAATACTCGGGCCTAGCGGGTCTGGGATCGGTTGTCCCTACTTCAGCCTTGACATCGACAACAACCGAACAGATCGTGGGTCTCGAAGCGACGATGACCGAGATGGGAATGCTTGCGGTGACCCGCTGTACGCCAGATACTGACGAGCTCTACTGGTTTTTCACGAAAGAAGTCGCACTGCCTGCTTCAGGAGACAGCCGTGATGGATGGGAAGTGCAGAGCAAAGAAGAGGTGGAGGGATTCAAAGCACCCCTCCTCGAGATTCTGGAGAATGCCCAAGGCGAATGGGGCAATTATCTAAGGGATATTGTCAGTAACACCTCTGTTGTCAAGTTCTATCCCATCTACCGTCTTCCCCCCGGTGGAACTTGGTCCAAAGGTCGTTGTATTCTGGTCGGCGATGCGGCACACGCAATGTCACCACACGCTGGACAGGGAGTGTCAATGGCCTTGGAAGATGTGTTCCTGCTCTCTCGCCTACTGGAGGATCCCTCTCGGCCTCTGGGTCAGATACGTGAAAAGTATGACGCGATTCGCAAGCCACGGGCAAATGAGATCTATGAAATCGCTGCTCAAAATGGGCAATTACGAAGGCGAACGGGACCATGGGGCTTGTGGTTCAAGGAGTTCGTTTTCTCCATGGCCATGAATCTCTCCTGGGCCTTCGGGCTGGAACGAGTGGGGTTCGGGCAAAAGCATTTGGTTTACGATATCGACGAGGTGGGCCTGTGAATGCCTATTTCTCTATTCGCATGGTGCTATTTAATGCCGCTCGTTTTGTGAAGCTATCTATCTCAATTTCATGAATCCTCGCATACATCTACAAACGGAAACCTGCGGAAGCCAAGCATGTCAAGCTTTAACTCGGAGACGCGCAGTCTCGTAAGAGTGGAATGATCGCCAACTTCGAAATTTTCGAACTCCACAAAGCAACATACGAAAAACCGTCCCTCATTTTGAACAGTTGGCAACCAGTAAACATAATGATGTTCTCGGTAGTCACTTCCTTCATTTCAGAATGTCCCATCGCGGTTCGACTCGCCGATGGGAACGGCCATGATGACTCTCACATCCTCGTTGAGCTGTTACAAAGATGATACCAAGTGTGCTGCACTATCCAGACATCAGCGGACGGAAGCAAGGTTCTGAGCGACTTTTCATGCTACAATTCACAGATATCTGTAGCCATTGATCCCGATTTTTTGTCCCAGGGGCCATTAATGAAGCCGTGCAGGGGTATTTCGACACTGTCTTCTACACCGCAAATCGTCGTCATTTGTGCATGGCACAGCACCAGACAACTGGGAATTCCTCAATACAGCCAGAAGAAGCATCTGAGGTATTTTGGCATCGATCCAGAGATATGCGCCCTTCGTGAAGAGACTGTTTTTCACTAGCTCCTGCGCCGCGGTGATTGATTATAATCGTCTGGCTTCAGGCGATATCTATTCGGAGGAAGACCTGGAATCAGTCTCCTTTGGAGAAGCATCATCTGGAGATAAGACGATGGGATATGATGCCAGAAAAAGGTTTGCCGAGTTAGCAGGCATGTTTTATCCAGGTTGCTGAGCTGACACGGGCTTGTGTTAATGTTTGTATAGCATAGAAATTTATGAAGGAGGAAGAACTAGACTTTGACTCGGTAGCGCTTTGTTCTTATTTTATACTGGGCCTATCGCGCTCTTTTATATATAACACCAAGAATTTGAACGAATTAATATTTGGACGTGGCGACTCTGCGCACAGTCCTCGGAACAAACACTTGTGCCATATCTCCCTATGCATACCTTTGTTGATATCAAGGTGCGTTTCTAATATGTAGAAGTCCATTGAATCCTAAATCTGATACCGATATAGGACCTTGCAAAAGTACAAATCCCAGCCATGCTCATTCCAGAAGCACGAAGCCAAAGATTCATAGTGTCTGCCGAGCACTTCAGCTTCCAGGAGGTTTGCGACAATTTACGAGTGCGTTTTTCTGGTATCTTGGATGATATTATTCCGCTAGGCCAAGCGGGGACAGCTTCCTTGTCCGATGGCGCTTACTCTATTGACAATTCAAAGGGCCAAGAGGATACTTGGTGTGCAATCGTGATCTGTGGGAGCTCATCTCCGCTCTTGGAAACTAGTGCTTGGAACTTGAAAGAGTCGAAGCAAAGCTATCTGAATTAGAATCCATGGATGGTTTGCATAGGGATCCCTTGTATATATTCTGGCTCGCCCTTGCGGCGGTTTTTTCGAGAAGAATCTTCTTGATCGCTGCTTTCATTATTAGCTCACTCCGAAGGTCCTTGCAAATATTCTTTGGACTTGATCCTCGAGCCTTTTTGGTAACCAGGGACCCTACACTCAGCGAATAGTATCGCGAGCCCAGCCATCGCCTCAACGCACATAAATTTCCACACCCTAATCAGGGTCCAGAATATTCTCATTCGGATCTTGGCCGTCCATGAAGTTTGCGAGCATCTGACACGTCCACGATGCCCTTTTTTCTCGGGAAGAATTTCCCCCTTATGAATCACAGCCAGGAACAGAGCCCATCCCTCTTCAAACGCCTTACGATCGGCGACAGCAAGCATGAGAGACTGGGATTTATCTGGCTCCGGTGGTATTTTGTATGATTCCGTGGGCCAGTCGCGAGCCGATAGACCATCCAGTATATCAGGTGCGTGCATGAGCGCCGTGAACATATACGATGACACTGAGCCTAGCGTCCCGTAGGCAATTCCATCCACGAAATCGGGATTTGTCTCCATCGGGTATAGTGATACTGCCAGGACCGAACTCCTCTTTCTTCTCAAAGATCCGCTCTTTCTCCAGAAAAGCAGTGTTTTCATCGTCATCTCTAATAGCAATTATGCGAAGATGCTCGTATCCAGCATTGGCGGCATCATGGCTTCTCTGATCATCTTTCCACCCGAACCATGTCCGGATCCAGAGCAGTCCTGTCGTTTGGTCGTCGGTGGTACGCTCTTCATCTGTCGTGAGATCTTGAGGCACATGTGGGGGGATTTCCTCGAGAAGCAGATCGTCACCGTCTGGTTATTTCTACTATCTCTTCAGCCAATATCTTCCAGCCCCTGACCAATATGACTATTAAGGTCGGCTTGACGGGCCCTTTTTGGAGCCTATTTTGCCATCATTTGGTTTTCCCATCGACCAGCCCAGGCCCCTCACCATGTCCTCCTCAGAATTGCGCCTGGGTAAACGAGTTGCGATCGTTGGGGGAGGACCTGGGGCCATCTCTACGGCTCTAGCATTTATCAAGCGAGGCTACGATGTTCGGGTCTATGAACGACAACCAGAATGCAAGGCGATCGGCGGCGCCGTGCTTTTATCGACAGCCATGTTAGCTATCCTCCGCTCCTGCGGCATGGACTCAGAAAACACCGACTCTTACACAGTAACCTACTTCAAAGACAAATCGGGCGCGGAGCGGGTTAAGTTACCTTTCAACCCCGAGGTTAAGAAGCGCATGGTATCAAGGGCTGCCATTATGGAGTTCTGCGCTCTTCCATCTTCCGAAATATGCTGGACCTTGTTCCACCAGGTGTGATCAATGGCCAGCGGGTCACGGCTGATTTCTTGGTCGGGGCAGATGTGATCGCAACAAGCATTTGGTGAACCGCATCTATTCCACACTGGCATCCGACTCTGGCTCGCGTGGTGTGACCATATCCCTGGAAACCCGGAGAATTACGGCTTCATCTCTCACGACTGGCAGCACCAGGCTAGTTCCTTCCCCATGCTTCACGATAGCAAGCCGGAATTCGAGTGGCGGGTTGTCGAGCCATCTTGAGATAGGAAGCCCGTCCCAGACGATCCAAAAGCACATCTACCGAAATCCTCAAGGATTGGGCGCAATCTATACCTCGCCTTTTGGATGTCATCAATTTCAACACACAGGTCTACCACTGGGAAATCTTCAATTGGCCATCTATGAAGTGGTCGAGTGGCCCTGTGGTGGGTGTTGGCGATGCAGTTCACCCTGTCTCGCCATATGCAGCGTATGGAATGGGCATAGCGCTCGAGAACGGCTCCTTCCTCGCTCGAGCATTAGATGGGGTTGATTTATGTGCTCAGAGGGCCGCCAATGCCAGATTTGAAATCTACGAGAAAGAGCGAGTCGACTATGCGAATCACAATTTCGAGTTCGCCCCGGTACCTGGGGAGGGTGTTCCATTCTACTTCCGCGATTTCTGGCCTATCTTCGCGATATGATATTCGACTACACTCCAGTGCTGAGTCGGTTCTTGAAAGTTGGATACGTCAAGAAATCGGAAGAGGTAACTCTCCAGCTGAAAAAGCTTCAGGTGGCGTAGCTGCTTTTTCGGGTAGTTTAGGAAATTGACAGTACTATTGCATCGCTGGATCGTGTTGTATTGTCCTAATTATTGTTTCAAATCTACGAAGTCCAAAAAAAAAAGAAAAAACATCAAAACATACCACTAATGCCAATTTGACATAGTCGCAAACCTGTTTAGCTATGAGGTGTTTAATTCCCGTAATAGACGATAGAAATGAGCGCAAAGTAGATCAGATGTGACTCAGTCCACAGGAACTCGTAAGAGCACTCAAAACAAGACCCACCACGATGACAAGCGTATCAGAAACAGACCGCTACTCCTTGTCAGGCTTCTAGAACGCATGGACTGTTTCGGGGAGTTCTCGGAAGCACATACTCCGTGCCACCTTCCTTGAGTTCCCATTTTGTAAGGCCAAACCGGGTGGAGGGCGGGGGGACTCCGTGTGGTCAGACCACCGGAGGCTCCCCTAAGGTACCAAGAGGACCTTAGGTACATCTCACTTAGCCGCATAAGGCTCGATCGGCAGGGTCCGCCTGGTGGCCGCGGTGGCTTGCTGGTGGGTCTATGTGTTCTCGGGGATTTGAGGGGTTTCCACGGGGGGCCAAATCGTGGAAGCTGATTCCCGGAAGGGCATGCTGGCTGTTTTTCTGAAGATATTACTATCATAATGTTACAATGCTATTGTTACTTCAGTGCTTGACATTGAAATGGACGTTGAGCCAACTTTTGAACTCGCTTGAAGCCGAAATGCTCAAAATGACACTATACTTCTCAGAATGACTCGGATCAGTGGTGCTACGAACACTATGAGCATCGTGGAATACGATACGATTGTACGATTGTTGTTTATTTTGTATGCGAAGGTTAGCCATTAGAGTAATGAAAAAGAGAGTATTAGGTATGACGAGATGAGATTCTCATAATGGGTTATAAGAATACTAAATAGAGAATAGACCAGCCATGAAGGTAATGAAAACGGAAAAGTATTATTCACGGGAGGGGAATTTTGGGTATATTGCGTAAGAAGTAATGAACCCCATCCGAATGAAATGATCCTGCTGGAAACGAAGTATTCATTTTTGTGTATGATCCTTGAATTTTCCGTCCGAGTGAACCATGAACGCCGCTGAAAAGAGAAGAGGAGAAGGAAATGAGAAGAGGATTGTAGGTTTAGGAGGTTCATGAATTGTCATCATCCTCCGTGAAGGTGATTATCGTGAATGAGTTGAACAGAATTGATAATTGTCTTTGGGAATCTTTGGTGTCGTTGAGGTCATGACGTCGTGGCGAAGAGCAGCAAAGAGAACCGTAAAAGTTGGGTCAGACTTGCCCAGAAGAATCGATCGACGCAGCGCGCGAAGGGGCGCGAGAGACAGGCTCGGAAGGAGGAGGGGTGTGATCGGTGATCAGGTCGTCGGCAGTGAAGCGCATGCGGCCGCGGATAGAGGGAGCAGACTGGTTGGAGGAGTGAGTTGAGTCACTGTCCAGACGCAAAGATTCCATGCGCTCCAAATCTTCATAATCCGGCAGGGGAAGCGGCGATCCATTGTAGTCTTCAATGACACTGCGGTTGTCGTCGGGCTTGGTGTAGCCGGGAGGGCTGGCGGGAACGTCCTCGTAAACGGGAGGCATTTCCTCGTCCCAGCTGATTCCCAGGCCACTACGCTCGGTGACGTGGAGGTTGAATTGCATGCGCAGCACACGGGCTGCGCCAGTTGGGGTGATGAGGCGGGTGTTGCGGTTGGGGCAGAACTCCTCGGCCACGATGAGCTCGATGACCAGGTTGTGCTTGACCTCGAGGCCGTTCGGGGCCTCCATATCGCAGACCACATTACCGGTGGGGCAGATGCTTGCGTCGAATTGCATAGAGATTTCACCGCCAGCAGTATCGAAATCGGTCTTCCAACCACTCTTCTCTTCGTTGTGGCCGATGATGCGGGTCTCTTGGTGGAGGACACCCTTACCCTCGCCACCAATCTTGTGAGAGTGCTTCTGGCAGGCAGTAGAGACAATCTTCTGGTGCTCCTCAATGCGCCACATCATCTTGCGCAGACGCCAGCGAGTCTGGGTCTCGTCACCCTTGTCCACCACTCCACTCAATGTCATTTCCACGGGGAACTTTCCGATGGGGTGAACGACGGACGGGAGCACGATGCGGCCGGTCAGGTTGGTGGGAGGGAAAATACGGATGGAGGACTTGTCGTTTCCGGGGATCAGAGCGCGGCGCACGTTGAGGGGCATCTGCAGTGTGAACTCCTCGCCGTGGATGGTTTGGGCGTGGGCCAGCAGGAAGTATTCGACTTGGCCGAGGGCACCATTGCAGGTGGCTGGGAGATGTCCGGGGAAGAGATAGCTGAAGGGGAAGTCGTGCTGGCCGGGTTTGAGGTGAAGGGATTCGGTAAGGAAGTTCCAGCGAGTGAGGTCCTCAGTGCGAGTCTGGCAGTTCGGGCAGTGGCTCGAGACGGGCTTCTTGGTGGTGTTCTTAGAAACCAAGCGGACGTCGAAGTGGTTCAGAATGACCTCGCCGGCGAAGTCAGCGACGTTCACACGCATGCGGCCGGAGAACAAAGCGCCAGTCGAGTTAGAAGGGTTGCCGTAGCAGACCAGTGGAGGCGATTCCACCAGCACGTCGAGCTTGACGGGTGGCACGGCGAGTTCCTCGCGGGTGATGCGCTCCTTGGATCGGCCAGCGCGTCCAAGGCTCTTGCGCTTTTCCTTGTCCTTGCTGTGGTCCCGGTGGGGGTGGATCAAATGGTCCATGGAGAACGACAGGCGACGTTCGGGGGAGCGAGCCCGGTCTGGGGTGCTGTGGCCATGCTTCTTGAGACCGGTTGCATGGGTGATGATCTCATTGACGGAGGTTGTCGAAGAAGCGTTAGAGTGGATGGGAGTTGAGGAGACGGAGGAGTGCAGGGAGCCCGAGCCCCGAACAAAGTTGGGGATGAGTCGGCCCGGCATCATGGATGTCGATGACGGATGATGGCGAGGTGGATGTGATCTGGTGGTGTCGAAGTAAGGTGCTTGCGTGGCAAGTGTTGATATGCGCGGTGGATCTCAGGACTCAGTGCGGTGGTGAAGCAAGGCAGAGGCGGTCGAGTCGCGCATAATCTAGATGAAGTCTCGTGGATGACAGAAGAGCGCAGTGGTCAATTGCGGAACCCGCTGCTTTTGAACTTGCGGCCACGATCATGTGCGATGGCCTAAAACGCCTCCGGATCCGTGGAAAACCTCGAAACTAAAAAATTTCTAGTAGGTTCCCACTCATTCACCCATGCGGTCGGTCAGGTACCGGCTTGTCATTCGCTGCTTTGAGGTCTAGCCATGAAAATAGTTCACAAAAAAAAGAAAAAAGAACAAGAAAAGACGAGTGGGGCGGTGCATAGCGTCATCGAGTGGGTGCGTATTGAGGGTACGCCGCGATTACGCTACGTTACAATACATACCCGCTCACACTATTTCTACAATACTCAGGCTGAACACACTCCAGTACCGCACCTTCCACTGCTAATGACTAAGACCTGCTCTCTAAGTATGAAGCATAACATCAACCTACATCGCGCCATGCCATTGAACATCTCACTCCGTGTCTCGTCTCACCCTGCCCGTCTGTGCGACCGGCAACTCGGCTCTGTGCCGGCCCCCCAAGACGGTCAAAACGGCTCTCGAATCCAATGGCGCCGGGAGAGGGACAGCTGTTGCGCAATAATGGAATACCCCACATTGCAAGATGTGGGCATCATCTTGCGATCAGAAGAACTAGACCATATCCAGGCATAACCACGCAGACCAGCTGATGCCATCCCCATCCTTGCAAGACCGTGCGCCCGCAATGACTCACGGTCGGCTATGCTTCCCGGTTCCTCGGGGGCTACGATCGTCTCTTACTCGGCCCAGCGCATGTGGTCTCGGTGACTACCCCGCCGCACCGATGCCAGTCGGCACCTTGGAGGGGTGATCTGCGACTGCAACTCCCCGGACGATTAGCAAGCACGCAGGCGCGCTGCGCGGAACGATGTCCGATCACCTGAGCCTGCGATGGCAGTTTTCCCCGTCCACCCCGGCTTCAGGTGCCGGACGATGCGACTCTGCCATCTTGCACGGCAAACAGAGTCGGGCCAGTCTACAAACGTACGCCGGAGCCGAGACAGTGATGCTGAAAATAGGACCGGCGGGCGACTAGTGCTAGGGAGAAGTCGGTATAGGGGCTAGGGGATACAAAGAAATGGCGGCGACAGCCACGTAGGAGACGGTCAGCTGCCTCGAGCCATCACGTGGCCCCGTCGAGGGCCAGCCAGCGCCGACAGTGCTGGCTACTCTTTGGGACCTCTTTTGAGCTGAGTGGGTATACAATGGACGACAACTGTCGACAGAGGGCGGCGGAGTGAGTACACGAAATACCGCCATCTGACAATACCATTCGCGCTTTCACTTAGTGGCAGATCTTTTCGGTCCTCCCCCCCCGCTTTTCCGCTTCGGGCAAAGAAAACGCGTGCAAAAGATGGACAGACCCTGGCGGGCCCACTTTCAAAATTTTTTCTTTTTTCTGCGCCGGCTTCGTCCAGCCGATTGCCCGCTTCGGGGCTAGCCTCACGGATCTCTCACCCCGCATGGCGCGATTTTGCGGGGCGCAGAGTTCTCGCTTGCACATGCATAGAGTCATCGCGATCGCCTGAACGAGAAGGCCCGCGGAGAGCGCAAGAGCAACCGAAGAAACAAACATCTCGAGATTTGCACGATGGGGCGATTCCAAGCTTCAGATCCGAAAGGTTCTGGACCCCCAAGGTGTCAAGATGCGCGCTGCGCTCGCTCGCCGCGCATCGGGCGAATCATCAATTCCCCTCGCCGCACTAATTACCTAACAGGATGGATGATGCTCCAGCATCCCTGACAGCCCAGGACAGCCCAGGACACCAGTTCCGGGACCACGCCCTACGCGCATGGGCCAACATGTATCAGGTACCTTTCTGACCTGCAGCGATGTTCGACGCTCACCGTCCATGCTCCTGCTCATCCCATGCAGGATTGGGCCCTGAAGAAGCGCGCGTTGGGGCTCGTGCGCCGAATGTTGGCTCTGCTGGCCCTGGTCGACGGATCGCATCCCCGCGGAGAGCAACTAAATTACCAATGTAGCACGGAGGGCGCGGGGTCATCTCCCTGCTGGAGGAAGATGGTGTCACGATCTCCGGCCGGCATGATTTCCTGCAGAGTATTATTTCCTGCGGTGTCGGTGTGGACTTGGTGTGGACACCAACACATAACACCCCCGATCACGCCATGAAGGTCGATGAGGAAATCGCAAGGCCATCTCGTGAATTGCATCGGGGTCGCCCGCGTGGCCCCCGCCTTGGCAGTGACGCCCTCTGGCACGCTGGCACGCTGGCACGCTGGTCTTTGTCGATCTCTATGTCCCAGCTCCCACCTTGTTTTGTAGCCCACCCTTCTCCCCACCGGACCGCATAGAGTAGCCGGTTCAAGGAGCCCGCCAGAGAAAGCATCATCTGAGCACGGAATCCAGATCCATCAGGTGTCGGGTAGTGTCAATCATCGCGAACCCAGCACGATCGGTGCCCGCGGCCAATCACAGGCCGTGGCATGCCGTGTAGGTCGGCCCTCCCGCGAACTTCCTGTTTCGGGACGATCTCGGCCAGCGCCTCCGAGGAGGACGGCCTTTGGGAGCCTTGATGGCCTTCGACGCCTTTGACGGCATTTCGCAAGGTCCTCCATGAAGTACCTTAGGGTACTTTGTTGTTGTTGCGCCTTTGAGCTTACTCATTTGCTCGTTTCATTCCCCCTCACCCTTATCTTGCCATTAGAGCCCGTCACTTCCAGCTTCCAGCTTCAATTACTACACACCGACTCCTCCTTTCACACGCCATCTGTCTCATCCTGCTTTCATCTTGCTTTATTTCCTTTGTCGAGCCTTGCCGATGGATCAGTAGATTTGCGACGGAAAACTCCCGGCCCGCCCAAAGCGGTCCAGCAGAATTTTTCTGCCTCGTCTTGGCCCACCTCAACTGGTCTCGACTCGGCCCGCAACGTGATACTTTGACTCAACCTCAGTGGTTGATGACATCGCGTTCCGGTCGATTTGGAGATGAAGTCGTTCTAATCGAGGAATTATGATTTCTGAAATTTCACAGTATTTTTTCGTTTATTTTACTTTCTCTGCATTTCTCTGTATTCTGCCAGATCGCATCTGTATTCACGCGGGTGGGTTCCTAGATTTACCCGCCCTGGACCCGCGCCGTCCAGGGACAAATCCCGTCGGGAATCGCGTGGGAGGATCCCGGTGTGTCACCTGTCCGCCGGGAAAGTATACGGCGTAAAGGCAGCGTTGGAGTCGTCGACCGGGCCGATTGGAGAAGGTCGGTCACGGTTGGAGAGGTGTTACGAGATCGCTGCGACGGTAGCCGGTCGTCGGTGGAGTTCCGATGGCTAGTGGCAAGAGTTTTCTCTGCGTTAAGGTTTCAGGTTTTTTTATATATCCATCTTTTGGATCTTTTATTTACAGCTAGATGTAAGTTAAAGGTCCTTCGTAGATCTCTACTGTATACTGTTGGAGGGGCGGTGTCGGTAGACTGATTCATTTGAAGGTGGTGGAAAGAGAATACCGGAGGGCAATGTGGCCATGACAGCTGAAATGGGTCCCAAGACATTTTTTGTCTTGGGCTATTTATACCCGGCTAAGGGATTAACCATTTTGGTGCTACGCATGCTGATCATTACATCCGATAGGCAATGTATGAGATGAGATGCTAGAGCCGAGAAAGTATTAAGTTGAAATCAGGGGAGTGGCCGATCTGACGCTCCCTATAATGACTTTCTTGGATAGGGCATAATTCATCCAAGAACCGGAGACCGATAACATTTTCCTGATTCTGAATGATTTCATCGCAGCCACAAGAGAAATATCAGGTTGGGATGGATGTGTAAGCGATCCAGATCGAATTGTCGAGATCTACTGCTTGTAGTGTAAACGGCGCCGAGATCTATACGCAGAGCCGCCACTGGGCATGCAGATCATGAAGCAACCTGACGGCAGCCCCGCTGACAAGGCCGCTTGGCTGTAAGACGGGACAGGCATCGACATTGCTAAAAGAATAGACCCGATCTTAAATCCCGGCGGGCATCGTTCGAATACCCTGTATTCATAGATAAGGTAGACTATGACAAGGATAAAGCGACAACCACCCCAACTTCGTTGCATTGTACCCCTGACACGTGACCAACGCCGGGGGATCGCCAGATGGCAGCCAGAGCTCCCCCTTTTCCGGATGGGCTTCCTGCCACCGTGTTCTTTAGTTACTTCATGGACTTATCCTCAGACTGACCCAGTTTCAAGTCATGGGCTTGTTGTCTGCTCGATCCACCCCCAACTGACCGACCGGCACATTCGCTCCGCATCCTGAAGCTTCCGCCCCGCCGTTGAGCTTGCACCGAATCACGCCCGAGAGGAGGGATGCCCGCTGCGCATTCCCCACCGCCATAGCTCTTGACTTTCTGCAGGCTTTGATCCACATCTCGACGAGCCTCTACCTCCATACCATACCTCCCGGTTGCCTCCGTTGCTGGGCTCCGAACGCTGCCTAGGATCCCCGGTCTCAACTGCAGTTGAGAACAGAGCTCCGTCGACTCGAACAGACGGAGTGGGGACCTACCCCGACATTCAATCGGCATATCAGCATCACCCCGCCTCCCCTCAACCGCGATGTCTTTCTCCTCGTTCAATTGGACAGCGCTCGCCGTGGCTGTTGCAGCGGTTGCCATTTTCTGGACCCTCTCATCCACGACATCCTCGCCGTTCACAAGCTCCTTCCCACGACTGCAGAATAAGCGGATTTGTCTGTTGATTGCCCATCCCGATGATGAGGCAATGTTCTTTGCGCCATCGGTCCTGGCCCTCACCAAGCCAGAGCTGGGTAATCACTTGAAAGTTCTCTGCTTTAGTACCGGTACGTTGATATAAATGCGGAGCAACACCCTCTCAGCTCAAGCCGGTCAGCGTCATCATATAATTTGGTGCTCGACTGTTTCTAAGGAGGCGAGCAGCAAATTAACTCAAAACCCTCGACATAGGCGACGCAGACGGACTCGGCGAAACCCGCAAAGAGGAGCTCAAAAAGTCTGCCCTACAACTCGGCGTCCGCGACGAAAACGACGTCTTCATCGTCGACGATCCTGCCCGATTCCCAGATAGTATGACAGCAAACTGGCCCGAGAAAGACGTAACCTCCCTCCTCGCCTCCGCCTTCGCACCCGACCTCGCCGCTACCCTAAACGGCACCGCAAAGAAGGATCCCAAGAAGGCACCAACCGCTACAATTGACATCCTTCTCACATTCGACCGCCACGGCGTCAGCAACCACCCCAACCACCGTTCTCTCTATCACGGTGCGGTGAACTTCCTTCGCGTCCTGATGAAGGATAAGGAAGGTTTTGCCTCTCCCGTTACGCTGTATACGTTGACCTCGCTTTCTATTTTCCGCAAATATGCGGGTGTTCTTGATGCGCCGGTCACGATGCTTCAGGGTGTGTGGGGTGATTTTCTCTCTGGCCTGCGTGGGAAGAGGAAGGATGGTTCGGATGCCGAACCCAGACGGTTGCTTTTTGTAAGCTCAATTCAGGAGTGGATGACGGCGCAATCAGCTATGGTTAAGGGACATCAGAGTCAAATGGTTTGGTTCCGATGGGGTTGGATTACGATTGGGAGATATATGACCGTGAATGATTTGCAGAGGGAGAAGGTTTAGACATTGGCCTTGGTGTTATAGGCAGCGTGATATGCCACACCGGGACATGGATACATTCTGCGTCTAATGCTTCTATAGGGCAGGTGCGACTTGCATGGAGCTGTGTCAGAATCTTCGTATATCCTCGCCTTACAGTTACTCATCAGTCCTGCATATACTCGTGAAACTAATGAACATAATTTAGATTTGAATGTTTTCAAGATCGATTCCTGTTACATTTGGTGTACATTGTATGATGATCTAGAGTAGAAAACAAAAGGAAATCTAGAAGAGGGTTTCATGGATACATTTGATAACAGGGGCATCACGACATGTCAACATGTCACAGGGGTTTCAAACCCAGACTCCATCATCAAGGAGATAGATGCCTCGTTCCCTCGTCTTCAGCATGCCTAACGCAGCCAGACGACCATAGAAACCAGCATTTGGATTGTTCTTGGTCGACAAAGCTGACGATTCGGGATATTCCACCCAGCTAGAGCGAAATTTCTCCAGGTTCTTCTCGAATTCTGGGGTCCGTGGTTTCTCAAAGTGGAAGAGTCTGTTCAGGGGAGCCAACTCCGTGTCTAGATACGGGTATCGCTCCTTGATCCGCGACCATACAGCTTTCTCAGAAAGGACACGCTCTTCCGTGGGAAAGAACAGCTCTTTCTGGTCAGTCATCCGTCGGACCGGGATGATGTCGGCGTCACTGACCCAGTGACGGGACCGGAACCGGGTTTCGCCCTTTGTATCCATGTGCCCCGTATTGTCGTCGTAGAATATTCTTCTAACCTGGGGTACGAAGTCTTGCCACTCTTCCAGCATCTTCGGTCGCTCTTGTAGAAACCATATTTTGTCCGGTGTGTCTTGCCAGTGATGAACTCGGGCTGCGACCCACAGACAACGATTGAGAAGGTAGGTCTGCTGATATACTTGGAGCCTGAGGATGTCGTATTCCTGAACTGCCTGTGCGAGCAGGGGAGACTGGAAAAGTATTGGATCGGGCTGAATAGCGCCGTTCTGGATCTGTTTCTCGGCAGTATCGAGGGCAGGCTGCAGACATCTCAGCACCACCTTCCGTGCCTCCCTTTCCTTCTCTCTAGTATCCCGCAAGAGACCATAGGCGCCTCGAAGATGCGCTTTACAATCTTCTAAGCTGCCGCAGTCGATACTGAGATTCATCATGAAGCGCCAGGTCTGGAGGGTCGGGGTGACATTGACTGGCGAAGAAGTCATGGTGTCGAACATCGATCTCACCAAGTCCACAGATACTTGGCCGAGGGCATTTGCCTGTATTGTGCGTTCGCCCTTCGAGGTTCTCGCTCTGCTCAACACGTAGGCTCGCTCGAGCAATTCGAGCCACACTTTTCCTGGGATGGGAATATTGTAGGAAGACGAGATAAACTGGACCACGCGCACTGCCCCCGAGATATCGTTATTCGTACCCAGTGCGTGAGCGACCGCGAAAAGGAGGTTCTCAGTTGGATAGAGGGCGGACCATGGGTCGTAAGGCGTGGCCGGGGGTAAACTTGCATCGTCGGGTACGCTTTGCGCCTTCATCGCGTCGAGATCTATGTTCCAGACTGTCTTGAGAATATATCTCATCCCCTTGTTGTGGCCCACGCGAGCTGATGCGATGAGCAAGTTGATGTAGGTGCGCTCATCGGCTAGATTTCCATCATCCAGCATGGTCTGAAACAGCCTCATGACAGACGCCCGAACACTCATCCTCGCTGTACCAAAGCCCTGCCAGCCCACGGCCCGTTGCTCACCTTCGTATTTTCGCTTCCGGTAATGATGCGGCAGTATTCGTAGGCGATACGCCTCCGGTCCGGTATAGCAATGGTCCCAGACCTGCACTTCCATGTAGTAGTTGTAGCATGTTGTGTCTGGGGCTATCCTGTTGTCCTCCATAGACTCCCACAATTGCTTCGCGAGAGGGAAATTGCCCATCGATCGCGCGCATTTTAGCAGATGGGTGTATTCACCCAGCTGCAACGGTTGGCCCGCGGCCGTTCGAAAGCGCACTATGGTGAGCAAGTTTCGCACAAAATCATCAAAGTATTCCTCTACTCGCTTCACACCACTGAGGAGGACCGACCAGGAATGCAAGGGGTGGTGGATGTCGCGAAAGGGTTCCACAAAATGGGTCGGGGAGAGTCGGTGGAGCGCCTCCAAGAAAGTTGTCTGGGGTAGCGACCCGACCAGCCCCGCCGACCGTGGGTCAGTCATGGCTATCATCACTTGGTCCGGCTGACCATCTTCAAGAACGCGATAGAAGTGGCCCGCGTACTCTGCCTCTTGCTCTGGATGATCCCAGACTGGCAGCGTCGTATTAGCTACTGCTGCTGGTTGTGCCATTGCACCGAGCGCTGGCGATTGTGTCGGCAGATCGGGCGTGGGGTGGTCTTGTGTTGAATGTGACTGTTGACGAACATCATATCGGGGAATTTCGAGCTTGGTGGAGGGAATCGATCTCTCAAGATGCTGAGCTTGGGAGGATCTTTTGGAGGAGATGTGCCTCGTGTGCCCGGTGCGATGAAGGACACTGCGTCGCTGAGAAGGGCAGTTCCAAGTAGACGACTCTGGAGAGCTCCTTCGCGGGCGATTGAGCCAGGGAGAGGCTAACCTCTCTCTGGCACTAGCAATTCTTTTCATGAGGACAAAGAGATGGATGAGGAGAGAGGCAGACGGGGAAGGAGACAAACGCTCAAGGGGGAGAAATGAGGGGGCGCGCATCGACTCCGGTTTGGGGAGGCACCTGCTCACGCGGTACCGGGTACTTCTGGCAGGGCATTGTTGTGGGCGGCAGAGCCGCTGCGCAGGCCTGCAGCACCAGGTAGCAGTGACCTGCACACCCTGGCCTAGTCGCGCTGTTAGTGCTACTCACACATCGTAGCTGCCGCTCTGACTTTACACTCGGACCTCACGGTCCACCGGCGACCGCATCCAAACTGACAAGTGGAGCGCGGCCCCCGTCCTTCAGGTGTCGAGGTGTCAAAAACCCGGGGTAGACGGCTGAAGTAAGCAGACTGCACGCTAGACCAGATCGGGCAACCGGCAGAGCTCGCTGAGATTGCCGTCCGCCTTTCGCTGCCCCTCGACTCCAAACTCCCACGTCCGCATTCCACCATGGCCGACAATGAGGACGCTGGCGCCACTGTGGCCGAGCCTCTCGACCTCGTCCGTCTCTCGCTCGATGAGATTGTTTTCGTGAAGCTGCGCGGTGACCGCGAGCTCAAGGGACGCCTCCACGTGAGTCCCTGCTGCCGTCCCACCAGCCCGTGAATCCGGCAACTGACCACCATGACTACCCAGGCATATGACAGCCATTGCAACCTAGTCCTAGGCGACGTGGAGGAGACCATCTACGTGGTCGAAGAGGATGAGAACGAAGAGGAGATTACAAGGGTAAGCTGGCCAGGCGTGCCGTGCGGAGCTCCAGGATCGCTAATAATAGGTCCTCGGGACCGATTGTATAGACGATTAAGAAGCAAGAAGAGATGCTCTTCGTCCGAGGTGAGTCCGCACTGACCACGATTTGCAATGGCCACCGCCGTTAACCCACTGTTCCAAGGTGATTCCGTCGTTTTGATCTCCCCCCAGGCTTGAAAGGCCATCGTCACGAATTGATAGAGGAAAAGGCGTCTGGCGAGAAGAATACATTCATGGGAGGAATGGAAGGAATAAGATACCATCCGCATGCACTTGTCGCATTGGTGTGCGTCCATGAAGCTCTTGGTTGCTTTGGTGACGCGAGGCGGAACCCCACCGTGCCATACGGCCGCCTCTCAATGTCATCCCCACGATATGCAAGAGAATACAACCCCAATTTTTTGATCTAATACTACCTCGGACCTGCTTGTACTGGACAATCTTGCGTTGTTGCGAAATTCCGCGACAGTTACAATCTCGAATCATATCTCCTCTTAGTATTAGGGATCGGCATTGAAACAGACGGCGGGCATACATCCTTCCTCCTTACCTTTGCATTTAGGCAGCCCTGGATCATAAACTTTTGTATTATGAGTTATGTCGTGAGCTTAGTGTAGTCGAGACGATCGGTTATGATGACACAGTACAATTCTACTGGCCATCAGATGATTGCGTAGTACATATCGCGTACTGATGGTGCAGTGTGATCGCAGTAACAGTGGGCCGTGGCTGGAATATATACCGGGCAAAACATTGCTTATCGCACCACTCGCAAGTGTTTTTAAAATAAATTCAACATCATAGAACTTCGAGTGTGCCTTTACCTTTATGATATATAGTCCATCTCAATCGTGCTACATCAGATTGCCAGCAAGTCTCATTGCAATTTAATTTCGGGAACATTGTCTTGTATCACGGCGGGCTTCCGCAGCCCCAGCAGAGCCGCAACACTAAAGAGGAGATTGTCCCGTAGCACACCCCACAGTTAGTCACGAAAAAGGAACCTCTGGTTTCTATTTGATTCTATAGTCCGGCGCGTAGTCGAGTCACCCGTGGCGCAGCGGTGACCGAACCACCTGATGTGGAGCGATGACTCAAGGTGCGATTTGCTAGGCCAAGCCGAGGGTGACTCCAGAACGCAACTTATCGATAAAGCTGGGCCTGTCCCCCAGGTCATGAACTTCTGTTTTCTTTTTTTTTCTCTCGGAACCTTCAGCATATTCCAAAATCACATTCTTCTTACTGTTCTTTCAATTCCACATTGCCAAGGACAGAGTAAAGCGATGATTCCCCGAATATAGCTTGAAACGCGCGCCAGAGCAACTGGCGATCCACCCCCATCCGCCGGCAACGTCACTACCCCAGCGGAGTGGTTCACTATCCTTCGACACATCCAACTCGATCACCAACCACCACCATGACCGCCAAAGGCACGCGGCCAATAAATCCCGAGGAGAGGAAGAGGGGCGAGATTGTAAGCATTGCTGGCATTGTGATGCGGACCTCAACTCACATAATCCCTAGGCCCTCAGCGAGTTCGCCGAGTACGCGGAGAAGCAACAAGCGCATCGCTCGGTCGCTGTCGCCCCGAGCGACAGTGGTTATTCCACCGGGGCCGCGAGCACGTCGCGCGATGTCGAAGACCATGCTGAGCTCGAGATTCTGGACCAACTCGGGCTGTCCGATACCCCGCGCACCATTAAACTGAAGGAGCTGCTGCTGGGAACGGGGGAAGCCACCGAGGCAAGCCTGCAGGACCTGGCGGGTGCCATTCAGAATCGCATTGACGAGGGCCATGGAGAGACCGTTTTCGACCTCGGCCTGGAAGATGGCGGCGAGACAATGGGCTTCGACCTTCCCCATTGGGAAACGGCCCTTCAGCGCCTGCGCGAGGCAGCGGAAACCATTCCCGCCCATTGTCGCATACTCCTCACCTACAACGTCGGCGGCCCCAAGGAATCCACCGTGAAGAATGACCGCATCAAGGGAGCATGGGGTAAAGTCCTTATCCGACAGGATTGGTCTAACGTGGAGGAGATGGGTGAGCTGCGCATCGCTGTAGTAGGCAATGTCGACGCAGGAAAGAGTACCATGCTTGGTGTCCTTGTCAAAGGCGGCCTTGACGATGGCCGTGGTCGCGCTCGAGTCAATCTCTTCCGCCACAAGCACGAAATCGAAAGTGGGCGGACCAGCTCCGTGGGGATGGAGATCATGGGCTTCGACAGCCGTGGCGATGTGGTCAGCCATGCGCAGGGCCGCAAACTGTCCTGGGAAGAGATTGGGAAGCGTGCAGCCAAGGTGATCACGTTCTCTGACCTGGCGGGCCACGAGAAGTATCTGCGCACCACCGTCTTTGGCATGCTGAGCAGCAGCCCCAACTACTGCCTACTGATGGTCGCGGCCAACAATGGCATGATCGGGATGAGCCGTGAACACCTTGGCCTTGCTCTGGCCCTCAATGTACCTGTCATGGTGATCGTCACCAAAATCGATATCTGCCCTCCTCAGGTTCTCCAGGAAACGCTGAACCAAATCACGAAGATCCTGAAGTCGCCTGGCGCGCGCAAGATCCCCATCTTTGTGAAGGATATGGAGGAAACCATCAATACTGCAACCCAGTTTGTCAGCCAGCGTATCTGCCCCGTCTTCCAAGTTTCCAATGTCACGGGCGAGAACCTGGAGCTTGTCCGGACTTTCCTCAACATCCTACCTCACCGGGGCCACTACAATCAGGATGGACCTTTCGAATTCCTCATCAACGATACATTCTCCGTCCCACACGTGGGTACTGTGGTCTCTGGTGTTGTCAAGTCTGGAGTGATCCATGCCGGTGACCAGGTTGTAGTTGGACCCGATTCGCTGGGCCAGTTCACGACGACAACGGTCAAGACTATCGAACGCAAGCGAATCCAGGTGAATGCTTGCTTTGCTGGCCAGTCTGGATCGTTCGCTCTCAAGCGGGTCCGCAGGAAGGAGGTGCGCAAGGGCATGGTGGTACTGATGAAGTCAGAAACAACTCCCAAGGTCTACCGCGAATTTGTTGCTGAGGGTAAGCTTTAACCGGATGATCTACTTCGATCACATACAATTGAATAGCCTCGCTAAACCACAGAAACCCTACAGTACTGATCCTGTCCCACGCAACCACCATCAAGCCGAAGTACCAGGCGATGCTGCACGTCGGAGCGGTCAGCCAGACTTGCTCCGTGATTGACATTGACCGCCCCTTCATCCGAACAGGAGACCGAGCTTTGGTTGCCTTCCGCTTTATCCAACGACCCGAGTTCCTCGCTCTTGGAGACAAGGTGCTGTTCCGTGAAGGCAAAACCAAAGGTTTGGGCATTGTCAAGAGCGTCGGGTACGATCCTAACCACCCGCTCGACCCCCGGGCCGAGTCCTCCCAGTCCACCGAAGGAGACACGAATTGAGGAACTATTGGCCCCCGTGCGGCCCCTGCCGGGCTTTTACAGGGTCTTTCATTATTTTCAGCATCCGTGATGGTCTACGTCGTAATGGATAGCTCTGTTGTTCCAACCACCTGTTTCTAATTTAGATTAAATTGATGTGATGTACACTCCCACGTGACATGACGTCAGATGATGAAATGCCGATCGGATCGTCCTTCGCGACGCAGTTTGCAATCTGCCCTCCATCAAACCATAGCCAATAATGAACGCGAGGGTGCTGCGGTGATCGTGTCACCATATGTCCCCTGCTCTCCACTGACGTAGTGAGCTTCGTGGGCGGCTTAAGAGAGAGCCCCCGTCCGGTGAGACCGTAGCTAGTAATCCATTGTGATAAGCCCCGACGCCTGACGTATTGACCTGCAGCAAAAGAACTCCCGTTCCCTGGGTCTTCCACTTCTCCTCTCGCTACTCCCCTTAAGACTTCCTTCTTCCCCGGACTCGACATTATCGATCCAGCACATTCTTACGCCAAGCAGCAGAGTGCTTATTGCCAATCCCACCCACGTTCCCGTCCGCCTTGGCATACAGCTGTAGCTCCGATATACCGCAGTCGAACATGGAGACCGTCAATAAAGTTGTCCACGCTGCCTCGACCGCCATTTGGGGTGAGGGAGACCAGAACCAGTCGACCGCGCCGCATGGCGACGAACCCATCTCTGGTGTGCAGGGCAAAGGTGTCTTCAATGACCCTTATGACGCTGGGAACCGCGATGGTAAGTGTCATGCAACATCTAGGGGGTTTGATTTCGACTCTTCGTCTCCCAATTCCACCGAACTACTTTGCCTTTCCTAAATACTCCTAAATTCCCTCGCCTGTCTCTTCCATGGTGTCGTCCATGTATACACACCTAATCTCTATATATTATCTGATGATGGGAGAGCCCTTGGTGCCTTGGATACACCGGCGGTTGAACTCCAAATGCACCGATAACTACATTGACCACGAACTCCAAACTAACTCGAATCTCCACAGATCAATACGCAGCACCGGCCACAGACCAAGATACTGCACCCAAAGAGCCCACGGCAGATTATAAGGCCCCAACGCTGAACGATACGACCAATGATATGCCAGCCAGTACAGCCGCAGCTGGCGTGGCTCTGAACCCGAAGGCCACCGCAGGTGGTAATGCTACAGAGAACAGCACCGCAGACACGGAGCAGCGCAGCACAGAGAAATCCAAGGATGCGGGAGGTAGCACTGAACCGGCTTCTGGCGCCTCTGGCTCTGTCCCGCGCAAACATGAAGTCAGCGAGGAAGCATTGAAGGGTCCCCAGGGCCCTGCGCCTCACCCGGCATCGGAGTTTGAGGATGAAGCCAAGCGGAAGAGACCTGCTTTTAAGGACCCCGGCTTTAAGGATCCGAAGGCGTGTACGTTACTCTCTATATGAAGGATTCCTTGCTCGATTGATGCTAACAGAACTGGTTTAGCCGAGACACACAATGACGCCGGCAAGAGCGGTAACTCCTCTTCGAAGAGTCCCGGCAAGGCTTCGACTGGCAGTGATAACAGCAATGGAAATGGAAAGCATAGCACCATGTCCAAGGTGAAAGAGGGCCTGAAGAAGGTTGCTCACCCCCGACACGGCAGCAAGTCTTCCTCCTCGTCTTGAAGGTCGCAGATAGGATGCGTGATGAATGTTTTGATGCTTTGCTGCCACATCTATCGTCATTTTTTATTCCCATTCTTGCCTGGTCATGCTTTGATATACGAACCCTTCCTGGATGTATTAGTACCCAATGGATTTCTCATGCACATTAATCATGATACCGAGTCTTTGCAGTACCGATTCATATGTCGAAACCAGCTCGAAATACTGGGAGTTAATCAAGTCTTTGCAAGAATTTGATTCCAACACTATTAATTATAGTTAACATGAAGTACTTCTAGTTTCCTACCACTCTAGTGTTCGTATCATCGCCGCCGACTCGTCAACGCCCACGTGCGCACATCGCTCGAGTCCGACGCGTGAGCTCAATTTACCGGCGAACCGGAATCGCAGAGTAGGAACACGAGTTTACAATGGAAAGCGCAAGAGAGCCATAATCTGCTTCTTTTGGGAATATAAATTCAAAAGGCACGAAAAAGCCGAATATACAAAAATCCATCAGACTTGCCCATGAACCAAAACACCCGAAAATGACGTCAGGGTTGAATATCATATAGCACACAAATATGCAAAACCATACTAAGTCGACTCTTACTCGAAGAGCAACTTCAGATCTGCCAGTTTGTCCTTCTTGTCCTCTTCCGGCTCGTCACCCCCCACACGCAATCCAAGTGTGCCGGCAATATTCATCTTGCGCTCTTGGACACGGAGTATACGGCCCTCGATGGAGTCCTTGACGACGAATCGCGTGACTGAAACATCCCGCATTTGGCCCATGCGATGCACACGGTCAATCGCTTGTGCCTCAATGGCAAAACTCCACCAGGGATCCATCATGAAGACATTGCTAGCAGCGGTCAAGTTAAGACCGACTCCACCAGCTTTGAGAGAGAGTAACAGGACGGTTGGTAGTGGTTTAGTCGGCGCTCCCTTTATGGTCGATTGTCCGCCCCCTGCAGGAGTGTCCTCCTCGGTGTCGATTATTTCGTCGGCGTAGGTTTCAGTCTTGGTGAACTCTGCCAGAACAGCAGCGCGCGCCTTTTGAGGCATTGATCCGTCTAAACGGAGATGCGAGACGCCAACACGAGAAAGCTGATCGCCGATAAGATCTAAGAATGATGTGAACTGGGAGACGACGATTGATTTCGTGTTGGGTGGGATTCGGCCAAGGTGGTTTATCAGCGCGTGAATTTTGGCTGATGTGTGTGCCGACGGAGAGAGCGGGTTGATGCGACGTAGAGAAATGCGAGGAGCTGGCTGAGAGCTGCCAAGCAGTGGTTTGTCCGAGGAGAATTCTTCCATGGGCGTGGCATGCGTGGATGGGTGCTTAATAACTTCGAAGATGTCTTTTGCATCGATTGGCGCGCGACAGGAGAAGCAACGCGCTTGTTCGCCGTTATTCATTTGATGTCGAACAAAATCCTGGAGACATTTCTTGCATGCGCTATGCCAACAAGCAGTGACAGCAGGCTCGATCATGATATCTTCGCAGCAGATCGGGCATTCACCACTGGACTCGGTCTGGATTTGTCGAAGAGCATGCGCTGTGAATATCATAGACCTATTTTCGGTCTCTGCATTTTCGGTGGAAGCTGTGAATTGATTAATCAACTCCTGCAGATCCATATCATCCTTTAACTCGCTTGTCGCATCAAGTGCAGCGGCGACAGTTTCTTCATCTGCAACGATCTCCTTCTTGCGTGTGAGAATGGGGTGACAGCAGGTTTGCCGAAGACGAAGAATCTGGGCGAAAATTGTCGAGTACGACGAAAGAAGAGTACCAGCAGCGACATTCTCGTTATACGTCCGTCTGGCACGAGTGTAGATACAGTCGTAGATCTCGCGTTCCTGTTGTGAGAGCTCCACTTCTTCGATGGTAACGGTTCGCTTGGGCAGGGGAACTAAAAGCTCGCCCTCGGGTGTTTTCATGGTCTTCGTCCGACGGAGAACAAGAGGCTCCAAAACGCTCTGCACCACGTTCAAAGCACGAACATATTCCTTGGATTCAAACGGAACCGTGATGAACGTTTTCCAGAAAGAGAAATTGCTCCATGGTTCCACCTTCAAGAATCGTACCAGGCTAAATAGATCCTCCAGGCGGTTGACAATAGGCGTACCAGTAAGGACCCATCTATGGAGCGACTGGAGTTCGTAACATGCCCGGGCAGATTTCGAGCGACGATTCTTAATCAAATGGGCTTCGTCAAGAATAATGCGGAAGAAATCGACCGAGAACAGACCATTCTGCGCTCCGGTAGTGATTGCAGACTGTAGGCTGAGTTGGCGGAACTCGGATAGGACAACACCGTAAGTAGTGACGATGATGTGAGGTGCGGAAGCCTGCTTCGACTCGCAACAGATGTCGCGGAGGTTCATAGCCTTATCCGAGCCGTAGTACGTAAGCACACGCATTGTCCCAGCGGCAGACGCTTTCATTGCCTCACTTTCCCACTGGGCAAGCAACGACGTGGGCGCGACTACCAATGTTGTGTATGGCGCAGACACGATACTGGTCGTCGAATTTGGGACTCTAGCTAAGTCATTAACGGAGCTGATTCCATTCGACGTCTCAGTACGAGGCTCGGTCTTGTTTGAATGGACTAGACTGAGCATCTCAATGGTTTTGCCGAGACCCATTTCATCGGCGAGAATCCCACCCAGGCAACGTTGTTCTTGTGCAGGGAAATCTACACTGAGGTCACCCGAATAAGGATTCACGTAGAAATGTTCGATGCCTTCAATTGTGGGCAGGTCTTTATCATCCACATCTTTGGTGGGCCAGTTGTACTCTTCCCATAGTGGGTGCATAGAGCGCTCGCGATGTTGCTGGTTGTCTCTTTCCTTCGCCAACATCCAATGTAGAGCTTGCTTTTGGTATTTGCGAAGGTTTAGAGCAAAGCTGGGAGGAGGTTGAGCCTCGGGCATATTGAAATCGAAGGACTGCGCCTTCCGATAAAGACTGTCGAGTTGATCCTCCTCTAATTCTTGCGTTTCATCCTCAGAGGATGATTCATCACCATTTTTATTGCTTGCTCTGGATTTTTCTTTTTTGACACCATCAAGCTTCTCTGCCATCTCAGCAGCTTGAAGAAGCCCCTCTCTTTTGTGCTGTTCAGTGGTCGGATTGATTGAAGTTGGCGAAAGGTTGATTTCATGGAAAAGCTTGACGAGGCCTACTTGTCGCAGTCGAAGGTTTTTCTCCTCGGTGCTTTCTTTCTCTTCAAACAGACCCATGGACCGATTGTCGTCATCACTGGAGCTGACGAAAGGCCCACGCTGAAAGGCCTCTTTTCGCAAGTAACACCGGAGTTGGAGGTAGATCGTATCATTGACACGGACTCTATCCGGCATGTAAACACACACCCCCTCGAAGTGGCAGATCTTCTGATCTATCAGAGTTGAGACCCATTCTGCCGTTTCGTGGGGAAGTCGACCAACTTCTTGTCCTTGGGTTGTTGTAAAACGGGTCAATACGTCGCTCTTCTGATTGACGATCGTTTTCCCATTTCGAGCCCGTTTAGTGACTGGTTGTGACCTCGCACGTTCGATATTGACAGGATCGCCATGCTTGAGAAGAGCCAGTCCACTCCTTGTTGCCCATCCGCCGACTCCAAATGCACCGATGTATCTCTTCGAGGGTTGCTTGCGTAGAACAGATGACGGTTCGAATGGTGTGTTGTTGTTTGCCGATTGGGATGTAGATGAATCGCCGGTGGGGTTCTGTTGAAGAGGTAGGGTCGTTTTGATCGTCTTCGATTTGGGTCCGCCGTTTGCTGTTACGACGGTCTTTGAGGGCTTCTTCCACGAGCCGTCAAAATAGATGTTCACAGCCTGCTCGACATTGTTGGAGGACGCGGATTGAATGATCTTCAAAGATTCAACCGGTAGTTTCTCCCCCACGATGCTGGTAAATAACTCGACATCGAAGCCATCCAGAACTGGATTCTGGGCCGGAGATTCGGCAATAGTTTCGGGTGGCTCGTCTTTTATCGTATGATTTTCTGCCGTGTTTGCGATTACCGGGGATTTAATCGGCGTGACTGGCACTCGACGTGAGGGGCTGTTGGCGTGCGTAAATGTCGTTTCTTCGTCCAAATCATCATCCGCGTCGGAGTCGCCTACAGGACAGTGACGGGGTAGGGACGCGTCAAGAGGCTTTCGGTCGGGGGTTTGCGGACAAGACGGTTCTTCCGCAAAGAAGCGCTGTCGTTTTGCTGGCCGCTGGTCCAGATCCTCGCTCATAGTCGTGGTTGCGGCATCGGCGCCATGGAGGAATGAAGAACTGAAAGCCGGGGAGACGCGCCTCGGAACGCGAAATGGGCGTGATCGACGTCAGCTATTAAAAAAAAAGATTTGACCACAGAAATTCGGTCACACTCGATCTCTCCATTCAATACGATGAGTTGAATGTTCAGGCTAATGTCTCAATCAATATTGCTTTCTAGAAGTAATAATTCAGAATAGCCTCGTTGTAGACTCTTCCCAATTGCCAGGCGATTGTCTGCGCTGACAAAGACGGATGGACCAATGCTGTTGGGCGCATTACATTCGATCCGTCGAAACCTACGCCTCTCCACCTCCCACTCGCCCTCCTCCCTCATGTTCCTCCTCACAGAGGTCGCTCGACCATGCCGGGCAAGCATCGCATGGAAGCTCTCATCGCGCGGTCTCTGCGCTCAACCTCCGAAAAGACTGTTCAGCCGCTCCAGGCCAGTCGGCGCACCCATCACCGCGGAAGAAGTCACCGGCGCTCACAAATACTGCGTTGCCCTACTCTCGTACGCCAACCCATAACTCCCCTGTTCGGTACAACTCTAGCTTCAACGGGACTGCTGTTAGCCTCTTCATGCAGACACTAATGGTCCAACTCGCCTTGCAGAAAATATGACCGACCATCTTATACCCTGAGCACTTTCATCCCATCCCACGCCCGAACCTTTTATGTCGCTTTGCGCGCATTGAATGTCTCCCTCTCCACAATCCCCGACACCACCTCGTCTCCGACTATTGGTCTGATGCGCCTGCAATTCTGGCGCGATGCCATAACTAAAATTCTCGCCGGCGCACCCCCCAAGGAACCAGTCGCCATCCTACTTGCCTCAGCCATCTCCGACCTCAACAAACGTACAAATGGCCGTACGAGAATCAGCAAAGGCTGGCTGACCAGACTCATTAATGCGCGCGAACAAACCCTTACCAACGACCCGTACCCCAACATCGCGGCGCTCGAATCTTATGCAGAAAACACTTACTCGACACTCATGTACTTGACTCTGGCCGCGCTGCCCATGACCTCGGTTACGGCTGATCATGTCGCGTCGCATATTGGAAAGGCCGTGGGGATTGCTGCGGTCTTGCGTGGGTTGCCACTAGTTGCATTCCCGCCGCCACCGAGCCAATCGCCCAGTGGAAGTGCCGGTAGTATCGGATTGAATGCCGGGGGAAGACAGGGTGCTGTCATGCTGCCGTTGGATATCATGGCACAGACAGGTGTCAGAGAGGAAGACGTATTCCGCCGGGGCGCGGATGCCGAGGGTCTGCGGGATGCAGTTTTCACCGTCGCTACGCGGGCGAGCGATCATTTGATTACTGTGGACCAAATGCTGAGCAATCTGCGTGCTGGCAAGGATGTCGGACACGAGTTCGAGCACGAGGGCGAAGAAGGCCATGAGTACGAGTCTGTTGATCTCACTGGTGGCAGAGAATCGCCCTTGGATGAAGTTAACCGCGCTTTTGGCGTCTTCATGCCTGCGATTGCTACGCGGATGTGGCTTGATCGGCTGCAGCAGTATGATTTTGATGTCTTCCAGCCGGAACTTCTTCGGTCGGATTGGAAACTTCCTTGGAAGGCATATATGGCGTTCCAACGAAAGAGGATCTAATTGGTGAATAAGCATTTGAAGCGCCATGTACAATCATTGAGCAAAAAGAACCACATGTATTATAGAAACCAAGACTTCGTCCAATGGGTCGGTTGACAAGAACAATGTACAAAGACGAATTTTCCCACTCCGAAAATATTCACCAGAGAATGTCACAAGAGTATGAATAGTGCTGCCCTACTTTTCTTTCTTCCTTTCTCGTCTCTGCTTTCTTGAACTGACAATGAGTCGCCTCTGGGCCAACATGACAACGTAGCGCTGAATCTTATCACGCCTAGAAAGTGATGTTAGTGCTGCCCGAAATATGCTGCTTGATCGTTGGTGGAAGGACTTACATGAGCAGAAGAGTCGTAACGACGACGAACGGGACTGCGATCTTCCAAAAGTACCTGTGGTGGGTTAGGATTCTCATAATCCACAAAAAGTAGATAAAAAGCAGGAGACTTACGAATCACTGTGTTCAATGCCGGCGAAGTCTGTGAAGTTCATGCCAAAATATCCCTGAAAAAGTGAGAAAAATTAGCGAATCGACGTTCTCTTCATAGACTTGGGTTAGGGGTTTGCATACCGTCAAGAATGTCATCGGGAGATACAAGCAAGTGACAATGGTCAACTGCTTCATGCTCTCGTTCTGATAGGCACCGATCGTGTTGAAAATAAGATCAATCATGTTATCAGCAGCGCGTCTCATCTGGTCATATCCTTCCACAATAGTGATACAATGATCCAAGGCATCACCCAGGTAGGTATGACACATGGAACTAATCGTGACGGTTGGGCCACCGAGATTTTTGAGGTTTGGAGTGATCGTGCCGATATGCGGCGGGGGTGGGTGAAGCTCGGAAGGTTCACTTGGCGTGGCAGTTGGGCTGAACGGACCACTGCGTAGTATACCAAGACCTGGGGTCCCGATAGGTTGTGAGCGGTGGTCGCGAAGTGCATTGATCACAGCCATCAAAGGTTGCATTGAGTTGCGAAGGACGGCGATTTCAGAGGTCAAAATGTACAGACTCTTCGACTGGTCGATATCGGGGTCTGTTAAGACCTCCAATTCCAGGTCTCCGATGGCATCCTGGTAGGCCATAGTGACCGGGATAGCGAGATCAATGACCGCGTCCAGGATTGCCTGAAGGAGCATACTGGCATCACACGATTGGCGGAGGATTGTCTCGGGTGAGCTGAGACGGCGAACAATAGGAGCCTCAATATCGTCGGCGCTTGTTTCAAAGAAGGAGGTCACCGTGTTGTCTGCATGCAGAAACATGGAGACCTGTTCCAATGTGACACACAAGCCCTTTGCTGATAGTGATGAATGCCGCTCCATGAATTCAATTCGGTCCTCGTTTGGTCCACCACGATAGCGCTGAATACTGCGAGCAGTGGCGTTCGAAGCGTTGGCTACATTGCCAAATTGAGATGACCGTTTCGAGGGACCATGGGGTCCGCCAGGACCAGGGCGTACACTGGACCCGACTGTAGCCTTTTCGCGGTGCTGACTGGTTGGCCGTTTGGATCGGAATATATCCTTCAGTGCTTCCCAAATCAGCTGTCTCTTGGTCGGGCGTCTCATGGTCACCGAACTTTTATCGCTCGAAAACGAGCTCTTCCTCCTGTCTTTGTTTTGCCACCCGCTTTGGTTATCCTCGTCGTCGGAATCGGAATCGCTCTGTTCATCCTGAAGCTTCACTAATTTCTGCAAAGTTAGGACGACAAAGGCGTGGTCCGAATACCAATCAGCCTTTGTTCGATTCGTCGTATGAACAAGATCTTCAATAGCCAACCTGTGTAGCCCTTTGTGATTACCGAGTATCTTGATCACGTCCCAGCTCAGCCCGTTTACATTGATCCATCGACATTGGACCCAGGGTTCTCGCTCGCGTGCCAGGAAGGCTTCGAGGCTCTCGTTGTCGAGTTCGTACTGACGCATTTCATTCTGAGAGAAGTCCACGACTGTGATCTCACAGTCCCGTTGGAGGTCACTTGGTAGATTGGATGCCCATTCCGAACTGTATGGAGGAAGTGGTTTGGTTGGATCAATACCCGGCTCTGTTCCCGGCTGCCAGTTGGGATCCTGCGCAAAGCCCTCGGGGTAATATGATCGTGCAGTGTTGGACCGCCGGGCTCGCCTTCTCGCTGTTTCGCTGGTGTTCACCCTGGCTGCTGGGGCGAACGAGTCGACGATAGAACCCTCTCTTCGTGTCGGGGAAATCTGGGAGGCGGGGGAATTGCGACCGGCTTCGATATCGATCGCATGAAGGGATTCGGAGGGGATTGGAGGCCGCTGGGCGTAGTCTAGCTCGTGGATGCTCATGGTGATCGATCAAAAGAGACGCGGGCGCCCTGTTGCACTCTTAAGACCATCGATGTCTCTTCATTAGTCCGGGAGCAGAATCGGCCATATATCCTTCCGACAAACTGAAAAGGCTAACGAGAAATCGAAGACCGATAGTAGACCGCACAGGTAGGGCCTGAGGCGAACTGGTCGGGTGAAGGTGGTCTTTACGAAGACGCAGCAATTGCGACCAAGGAGATGCAGGGCATGCCTGCGGGGAAATGACGTTGGAAGGCTGAAATGCGCACACTCGATGCGCAACGCCAGCTGATTGCAGAACGAATGAACCAAGGTGATCTGTTAACGGCCTCTGCAGCTCTTTCTGAGTTCTAACCCGGACGAGACTGCGAAAACAAGGCCCGAGTCGCGGGTTCCGAGACGCACAGGGCAACGGGCGAGCCTCGGCCCGCCTGCACCGCCTCGTTCCTTCCTTTGGGGACGCTGTCCAAGACAAGCTACTCCAGCCCACTTAAAAAAATCCAGCCATTCGATTCTATACAATTTAACCAATTGCCAAGCTTTGCTGTTATTGTTGACTAGCCCCCCACCGTGCATTGACAGTGGGGTCCGACGGTCTGGATATCCCGAAGGCAGCAGGATTTCCTGCATCAGAGCTCACTTGATTTGTTCACCGCTGCTGTCAACGCGCAAGGTCCTGCTATCTCGATCCACTGCAAAATTTGGCCCCATGGCCCGAGCATTGTTGATAACCTCATTCGGCATCGAGCATGGCATCAATGTTGACATTTGATCTTGAAGGTCCCGTTGACAGCAGGGCGACTGCGCTCTTAGAAAGTTCAAAGCCTTTGGTGGAAGCGTCAGACGGCATACTGCCAAAAATCCCATAAGACTTTATGCAGAGATCAAATAGGCTCATTTGTTCCTCGCGTGGCCTGCTAGGATGGGTACTTGCCAGTACCACCAGGGTCGCGGCCAAAACTCGGTGGTAATAGCAGGACCAAGACTCGTCATAGATGTTGTGATCTTGGACCAACACTTTGTATGAGAGAAGGATTGTTGCACGCGCTGCACCAAGACAAACGCCTCTGGCCATATCAGAGGAGTAGAACGGAGTTGAAAAGCTTGTACGGGCGAAGAAAGGCCGGTGCAATACCAGCATCACATGGTTAAAGCCTGGTCAAATGTAAGATATGGGTCATTATGAAGGCCACGGGGAATCATAAGTCATACGTAATTCGATATCAAAGCACTGCCGCTGTACCCATTGAACATCACTCCAGGCACGCGCACCCTCGCTGATAGCAGTGTCCTTGGCTGCAAGATGGGTCGGAAGTTCTCCTCTCCAGGTCATAAGCTCGGCTTGGTGATTCATCATCCGCCCGACAAAGGATTGCAAGGTGTGTCGCTCCTCGCCGATGTTCGAGACCTGTAGCATTGTGAATAGGTTTTCAGAATGGGCACCAACCAAGCAGACCTACTAGATCGATGACTTTGCGAACGATTCGGCTAAATTTGGCAATGGCGACTAGAAAACTGATTTTGCTGGCATTCGTTCCGGTATCCTGGGCGATAATCAATATCGGAAATACTGTAGAGCAATGGAGAGCATATGGACGCACAAGCACTTCTTGAGGATAAGGCGCTTTGGCATCGGTTTCACGGATACACAGTGATTTTCCGTATTCAAGGCAAATATCGGATTCCAAGCTATAAAGTGTCCACCAAGTGCGCAATGCAGACTGGGTATTAATGACATTGGCCATAGCATGACTAGGCTTCCCATTAAGACCTATCGAATAGGCCATTCGAATAGCAATTCCAAGGTAATTATAGGCCACTGCAAATGTTATTTAGCACAAGAGGCTTGGGATAGCAGGGTGCTGTGTTTCACTCAGATCGCTCCGCGATTCTTCAAACTCACAATCAGGGTTAGCCAGATGGTGTCCATAAATCGCCTATCTTCAGGTGAGCAAACGTTCGAAGATTCTTTCTGCAGATAAGCGAGTCGAACCATCAACATAGCAGCCTGGACACCTTCAACACTGTTCGTATGAAACAAACTTCCGAGCAGTTTCTCGGCTTCAGAAAAATAGAAGGCTGCCCAATTTGGACTAGACACTGCTGCTTTAGAGTTCAGGGTGCCCAATGCCATGACGCAGTAGAGCAAACACTGCCGCTGTTGGGCCCGAGAGTCATACCACTCCGACCGCGGGCTAGACCAAAACTGTTGATAAGTGGCCCGTAATTCTGTCGGGTCTAGGAATGGGATGATGTCGTGGACAGTCTCCAGAAAACAATTGAGAGCCACGTCAGTGTTATCCTGTTTTAGAAAGTAGCCACGTGGGTTCCCAACATTCCCCGAGGCATATACGAGATCATGGAGGGTGTTAACCGATGTTACTGAGTTCGACCCAGGCTGGTATCCGGATAGCTTCTGTATTTTGCTTGGCCGCTCATTTTCGTCTGCGCGCTCATCAAAAAAATACCACTCGATTGATGCGAGTATCGCCAATGTGGACGTCGATCCATAGAAGTTCAAGGATCCGGTGCGTGGATTATACACCGTAATCCCTGCTAGAGTTTGGTCCGATATCTGGCCGCTGTCTTTTCTTGTATTAGCTCCACATTCATAGTGTACAATGGAGGCAAATTAAACAGACCTGATATACTTGAAGTGTTTCTCGGTTGCAGTATTCTCTCGCCGAAAACCGCTCGCTCAAGCTCTACCACACGGGCATTAATGATATCGAGTCCACTAGCTCATTTGTAAGCGTTCGGTCAAGGTCAATACTAGCAGTACCCAAATTCACCCAGTCATCCTGTTCGCGGATGTTGATGGATCATAATGACATTGTGCTTTGGCTTTCTCACATGTTTTGCAAGGTAGCAGGCCGTCGCACTACAAGATGTTAGCGGTGACGCGTGAAGCGCTCGGCATCAAGAAGGCCCCACCTTTAGCTTCCGTGCTCGACAGGGATCACATGCTTCAGTTGTCTTCTTCCTGAATCCGGCAGATGTGCTGGGTCTGGGGCTTGATAGCGACATTGCTAGTTCATCTGGACATCTCCGAGGTTGTTGTGCAAGTTGGCTGGCAAGGAGCAAGAATCTCCACAGTTACTTAGTCATAAGACTCGGGATGTCCCCGAGCCAATCATTTGTAGTATAGATAGCTGTGAGCACCCCAAAAAAAACCTCAACCACGCAGAGAATTGGAAAAAGAAGAATGGAAAAGACCGTTTTGTGAGTTGTTCTAGATTATATTTATTTCATTCTAAGACTAGCGAAGCATGTCCCATAAAAGATAGACGTAAGACTCTATCCAAGCAAAGTTTATAGTGATCAGAAAAGCCACGCAAGACCCTTTCTATAAATTTTCTTCCAGCCAGAAAGGTTCTGGTTCTCAATAGCCAGTATAGCCTCGTACTCAGCCTCCTCGCGATCGATCTCAGACTTTCCGGTCCAGATATCGGCATTGTGGGGCTTGATCAGCTCGGTGCGCTTCCAGAACTTCCACCCAGTGAAAGCCATCACGTAGAGAGGGATTCCGAGGTACGAAGTAATGAAGGTCTTATAGTCGAAGTTACCGTACGTCTCAGGGTCGTGGATAAACACGCCGAAGCTGCGGGTGAAGGCAACCAAGACGCAGAAGAAGAGGGCGATGTAGGAGCCGATGATTCCCAGGGGAGCCTTATAAGCGAGGGTGGACTCGTCGACGCCCTGCGCGCGTCGGGCGCGAATGAAGAAAATGTGGGTGATCAGAAGGGAGATCCAGGTCAACACTGATAGTCGGTTAGTACCAGAACGCAGACAGCAATATACACGAGGCAGCCAGGGAAAGAACATACATCCGAAGATCGACACCATATCAGTGAAGTAACCGAACACCTCCTTCGAACCATTGGACACACTCATAAAGGCAAGCAGGCAGAAAGAAGCCGAGAGCACAAGCGAATAGATAGGAACACCGGCGTGGTTGGTGCGAGCGAAAATCTTGGGCGCCTTCTTTTCACGCGCAAGACCGTACAGGGTTCGAGTCGCAATGTACAGATCGGAGTTGGCAGCCGAAAGAACGAACACGAGGATACACGCGTTGATGATGTGAGGAAGGGCAGCGACTTGCTTCATCGCGACGACGAAAGGCGAGGCAGCTGCAGAGCTTTTCGCCTCGGTGGCAAAGGCCAGGTCCTCGGAGTCGTAAGGAACAAGCATGCCGACGAAGAGGACACTGAGGATGTAGAAGACGAGGATGCGCCAGAAGGTGAGCTTAATGGCCTTGGGGATGGTCTTGCGGGGATTCTGGGCTTCTCCGACGGTCACACCAATCAGTTCCGTACCTAAGAGATGATTGGTATTAGTAGAGCATCATAAGTGATAAATGGGCAGAGTTTGCATACCAAGGAAGGCAAAGGTGGCCTGCACCATGGTGGACCAGAAAGCGAGGAACTTTCCGAGAGAGCCGTCGACGTATTTGGTAGCAAAGGCACCGGGCTCATTCCAGTAGCGGAAACCTCGTCGGTCATGGTCGGGACCACCGCCGAGCGCGAAGATGAAGGAGCACAGAATGATTCCCAGGATGACAATCACTTTGAAGGATGACAACCAGAATTCCAGTTCACCAAAGATCTTCACACCAAAGTAATTGATCACGATGATGGCAACCATGAAGATGGCAATCCAAACACCCGGGTTGACATTTTCGGCGGAGGTCTTCGGCCAGTACGTGATGACCAGAGCGGCGGCGGTAAGTTGCGTGGGTGGTAGAATGATGTATTTCAGGTAGTAGCTGGACACAGGTCAGATTGTGATACTCCAACCTGGGTTGGGGGTTTACTCACCACCAGCCGAGAGTAAAGCCGAGAGCAGGGTCACAGAAACGACCGGCGTAACCAGTAAATCCAGAAGACAAGGGCAGCCAGGCCGCCATTTCACCCAAGCCACACATGACGGTCCAAACGACCAGTCCCATGAAGCAGTACGCAATAAGCAAAGAACCAGGCTGAGAGCGAACGTTAGCTAAGGCAAACATCTGAGATAGACTAGAAATCACGTACTCCGGCACTAGAATTTCATGATCAGTATGTTGATGTATCATAGGCAACTTATGACCGGGTAAAAAAGAAAGAAAGAAAGAAAACTCACGTCAAGGCACTTCCAGTGCCAACAATTAATCCAGTACCAATAGCACCACCGATAGCAATCATAGAAATGTGGCGAGCCTTGAGGTCTCTGTGAAGCGAAACCGGCTCATCCTGCTCGGTTTCCTTGAAATCTCCCGAGGCAACATTGTAATCGGGCTGTGCCTCGAGAGCGTTGATCTCATCGGGGTGACCCATTCTTGCAGTCGGCCGCGTTGACCAACGAAAACGAAGAGAAAAGGCTGCAGCACAAAGAGGAGTGAAGTGAAAAGACCAGGCTTCGGGGTTTTGCAGTGGGGAGGGCAGGGAAATAAATGCGCCAGCCCAGCACACAGTCTATACACTAAGCGAATTCCGGGGTCAAACTCTACGATTATCTATCTCTCCCCTCTTTCGCCCCAGCTAGTGGAGACCGATAGCCTGGGACCTGAAGAGACCGAGGGTCTAAGATAACAGTCGTACTTGGCTTCCACGTTTTGTCGGGCTCGGACAGGCTGGGCACTTGGCACTCCTTGGCAGTGGCTGACCGGAGATTCCGTCTCGCTCGCTCTGTTCCTGCACCGGGTGCGGCGCATCTTATATCGACGACTGGCCGATCATCCTGGCTCTCCAGTGCTTGTAAGATTCTCAGCAACAGGTGGAATCCCCTGCATCATGAGCTGTGCGATGTTTTACCCAGCGGCTCGTGATATGGATGAGCCGATAAGAACGACCCACCGAGCACCTGGGGATGCATTCCGGGGTGCACAGTGGTATGACACACAGAAACTGGGATTACTTGCCCCCCGGGTCGAAAACCCTGCACGGCGCGTGAATCCTTCCATTCCTGCCCAGACGGGGTCAGCGCAGGGATTGGCCGCAAGTAGCCCCGAGTAGCCGCGAGCTTGAAAAAGAAAAATCGGCTCGGCAGGCATCGCCCGAACCGGAAAGCTTGCGGCTGACGGGGACTTGGCATCTCTTGGCACGGCGGTGCTGATTCGCGAATGCCGGCGGTGGCCTTGGCAGCGCCCCCCATTCCAAGATAAGAAGCTGGCGCGGGGTATGCCACGCTGATGATTGGCGCATTGTCCTACGTAACTTATTTTGCACGCGGAGAAGTGGGGGCAAAATGTCAACGACTGACAGGCTGCGCGCACCGCTATACATGCTTCGGGCTCTTCGGGCCATTCGGGGCTCGACATGCAAGATTGAGTATTAGAGTTATCGTTTCTCCAACTCGTAAATCCCCGCAATATATTCCCCACAGATTGAAATGTATGACCGAAGAAAATTGACGCGCGTGGTGCTGTCTGTGGTTGGATTCGTCAATTCCGGGCGCCTCCAAAAGCTACGCTCCGGAAAGGGAGGTTGTCAACAGGGAACTCCCGGGTTGTTGCTATTTATGCAGCGTGCTGATAGGCCTCAATGGTTTGGGTGAGGCTAGATGCAGGCCTAACCTTGATCCTCAAATGAAGAGGACTGACCGTTTATTGGCCGTGGCATCCGAATGATGTCGAATTCGTTACGATTACGACACCTTGCGGGATATATATCACATATATCGTGGGTCGCCAAGTACTTGGTGCTCTGCCTCCAAAAACGTCAACCGCCATTCAAAATCGTTGTGACTTTCTGACCAGATGACACTTCAGTCGCAAAGAGGATGAGACAAATACGTAAGGGATCGGACGAAAAGAGAGAAAGCCAAGAAGATAAATAAAATCACTTGGCGACGCAAGTCGATTGAAACATAACTAACACGGTGTTGCAAGTTAGAACTGTAGATATAAGATCAGCAAAGCTGCGTCTTCTATTATGCTTCGCCGTAGACGCATCAGACGGTACAATATATCAGAATTGGACCAGATCCTTCACTTGCACGACCTGGCCGGTCCGAATGGCCTTGTTCGCAGCAATCCCTGTCAAAATTGAAATTGCCCCATCGACATGAGAGGCGGCGCGGTTGAGTCTGTCCGGGGTAGGCGTTCCGAACAAATCATTAAGCAGGATTGGGTCTCCACCCCCATGACCCCCCTCCCACTCGACAATCGGAATTTCGGACGGTGGGGCGAACATGGGATGAAGAGTGATTTTTGTATGAGCAACAGCGCCTTCTTTACTCTGTTCACCACCCGCATTGACATAAGACTGCTCAAGAACATCCATCTCAAGTCGGCCTCCGGTGCCGTTGAAAGAAACCCGGAAGCCTTCCCATGGGCAGTACGCAACTAGGTTGTAGGTCATAATTGCCCCAGATTGATACCTCACCAGCACGCCCATTGTATCTTCGATATTAATTCCGTCACCAAAAACACTTTGATCTCGATAATATCCATCTTCATGCTCAGCATCCAGATACATCGCCTTTAACTGGGGGTGTTCCTCCATGTGAAGCGCAAATGGATCATTCACCGCGGCGGCGCTGCCATGAGCGCGGGAATAGAACTGCGTCTCGCCTCTGAGCTCGGCATTCTCTTTCCCATAAAACTTCAGGTCACCTTGCGCAAAGACGGTAGTAGGGTAGCTTCCCAGCCAGAAGTTGATCAGGTCGAAATGGTGAGTGGATTTGTGCACAAGCAGCCCTCCGCTATTGCGCTTATCGCGATGCCAACGCCGGAAATAGTCAGCGCCGTGTTGGGTATTGAGCATCCACTCGAAGTGGACTGATGTCACTTTTCCAATAGCGCCGTCCATGAGTAGCTCCCGTAATTTGGTATTGTGAGGTGCGTATCGATAATTGAAAGTGACGCGCAGCTGTTGCTGGGTGGCTTTCACTTTGTCCAGAATTGCCTGGCATTTCACTTCATCCACGGTCATAGGCTTCTCACTCAGCACATTGCAGCCCATCTCCATCGCTCGGATGATATACCAGTGATGTGTTCGGTCAATTGTCGTGACGATCACAACATCGGGCTTGGTCTCTTCGACCATGCGATCGAAGTCGCTGGCTTTGTAGGTTGGGAGCGCTGCTGATCCGAGTTCTTGCACTCGACTATTGGCCACATTCATTCGAGTCTGATTGGTATCACAGAAAGCCACAAGAGTTGCGGTGGATTTGAAGTCGGTAACGATGGCGCTGTAAAAGAAAGCTGCTCGGCCACCGGTACCCACGACGGCGTACCTGGTTGGGGCCATCCTGTAATTGAAAATGAAACAGGGAAAATAAGAGCGTTAACTGGATCTAGTTTGAGGACCAATTGATGGATAGAAATGATAAATAAGAGAAAAAGGAATATCAAGGAATGTGCTTTGTTTCATAGACTTGACCTTCACGAGCTGTATATCTACCCCTCACCAATCACGAAAGGATCGCCCCGCATTGTCCTCGATACGATTTTCCATCAATGAGAGGTGCTTAGCCCCACGGGGTTAGTTGCGACGAGTAATTTCATATGCCGTAACGAAATTGAGTACGCAGCTTTAATTAGGAACAATCGGAGCTTCGATCATTGAATGAAAAACGTCCAGACCAGGACTAAGACACGGCGCTCCGTCTAATGGCTCTGCAAGAGAAGTAGCAATGCCAACGAAGTTGATTTATCTATTTTCCAAACCTACTAAGTCTCCTGTGGCCAAATAAACTTCCCAATATTCGCTAGGTTCGAGATAGCAGAAATTCCGTAGCGGGCTGTCTCATTAGTACTCACCCACTTCGCTTCCTCGCCACTAGTGAAATATTCTGGAGGTAAAGTTTTGACAACATCCCAATCTTGGTGAAATGTATATCCATCAGTGTAGAAAAACTGATCCCAAGCCATCTTTGCGAGAACACTACAGTTATCTTCCACGGCTGCGAAGGCCGTGAGGGTAGAATGACTTTGTCTCCAAGTTGCATGTTCAGGAAACTCGAAGCCAAATTCTTTGTGCTGGACATTTGGACCACCGTTATACGACCGACAGTAGGCGAGCCAGACTTTCATAAAAGACTTCACGGTAGCGGGGCTTTCTTCGCGGAGATAGTGACAAAGTTCCGCGACAATCTCGGGGAACCCGAACAACATAGATAGATGGGAAATGGCATAATCTGGTGTTGGAGGAGGGCATTCTCGAACTTCGCCAGTTTCGGGGTTTAGCAAAATCGCGTTGTTTCCGATTCCATGTTTCAGCCCAGAGATTCCATCGAGTACTTTGAGGAGAAGCTCTTGACAGTGGCCCCACTCATATCCTCGTTGCTCCCATGAAGTTAGCCAAGACGCGAAAAGAGGACCACAGTCCAAACCAATGTTGGTCATAGCAAAGCCGGCCGGAATCTTTGCGTGCTCCTGTACCTTGCGATGCGAATCTAATCCCAGAAGAGCATTTCCGCAGTTTTGAAGCTCCGAAATCAAATCACCAGTCCGCTCGTCTCCGGTGAGGTAGTAGTAGATGCGCCGGTATAACACGTTCGATATCCGAAGTTGCTTGGAGCTGTCGCTAAAGTGCTGAACGCCATGTCTTGTTCCAAACCCTTTGAATCTCCCAGTATGATAAACATCTACCTCTCCCGTATGACGCGTCATCGCTTCCGCCATCTTGAAGACATCTGCTCTCCCCGTGTGCAAGAAATACAGCCATAGCCATAAATCTGTTGAAAGCTCAGAGTTGTCCCAGGAAAAGCCTCCAACGTCATAACGCCAAGCATGCCGATGTATGTCGTAAGTATGCTGGACATCCCCGTGATCCCAGAATCCGTACCATCGGTTTTGCTCAACCTGTTTGTGGTAGTAGTTGAACAACATGTTGAGATTATTCTCAATAACCAGCTCCCTGGCTGAGGGTGTTCGGCCCAACGTGCGGAAATCAGGGGCCCAGCACCCGTGGAAAGCATTGGCTTCGTGCATATGTGTTGCAGTGGCTACCAGACGGGGTGGATTACGTACGATAGAGGAGAAAGAACTGAAGACAGAATTCGAAGGCACGTTTCGGAAAGGCCTTAGGAATATTTGATTGCTTCTTCCGATGCCATACGCTGTGGCAAATCCGGGTTCGTAGTCTTCGTAAGTCACGTTTAGAGCTTCGAGCTGCTCAGCATAGGTATCCAGGCCAAGGCTATCGTGATACGGCGTCGTATCCAACGGCTCCGCAGAGGGAGAGTACAGCCAAATTGTCGTGGATGCCTCATCCGAGGCTAGGTTATCCAAATCAAGTTGTGTCGGATAGCGCTCCCAGAAATCGGACATACCGATGGCGATTCCTCCTTGTTCAGTCGAGCCCACATATGCGGTTCCGTCGGCTCTTCCACCCCCATTGACCTTTACCCAAGAGCATCCAGGCTTTGTCCGCTTCTTGATGGTGAAACCGTCGGAAGACAACTGGCTGAGCGAATATGAGCTCCAAGATGGAATGTATGATAGGCCCCTCGAGAGATCAGTCCTGGACCAGTCTATGGAGTTTACAGTGAGATGTCTGCCAGCTACCTGGTCCATTCGGCTCTGATTTGTCGGTCCGTGTCGTAGTCCAGATAGACCTTTGACTTGCTCATTCAAGACGCCGCCATCTGGCCCTCCGAGGCGGATATGACGATTGTAATGCTCGGTGTCTTTCATTGGCACAAAAAATCGCAGGCCAAGAGATGTAAGAGGTTGATCGGAGTCGAGATCATGAACGAATGAATGAACAATCCTGACAGATGACGCGTCTGCGTAGACGTAGAATCGCATGTCGAACGGTAGATGGGCCTCCTTCTCTTCATTTTCCACAACCCCGGAAACTTTAATAACGACTCTCGTAGAGGTGGAAGTTTCCACATTGGTGGAATTCACGACCGTGTCGTATACTTCGCCATTGATTGTTGCGACCACAGTGGCCCCGGAACACACAACATCCCCATCAACGACGACACTTTGCAAGACCAACGACTTATCTTTAGGAGCATACCAAGGCACAAAATTGAGAACAAGACCTGTCGAGGTTTTCAAGGACATATTCGCGGCGTTTTGCACAATTCGAATCTCTTGTCTTGGCTCACTGGGCCACTGTGCTCCCTTGACGGTATACTCTCTGCTATAACCGATGTCGCCGCTGACGGAATGGGCAGTCCATTTGAGTGAGCCATCTGCCCAGTAAGCAAGCTCACGTGAATCCAGGGGCCACTGGGTCCCATCCCCCTCGATAACGAAAGTTTGGCCGGTCCGGTACAGGCCTCGGGACCAGGGCATCCCAAACGAGATCCCAGCATGTAGGGCATCAGGTCCCTCATTATTCAGCCACCGAAGATTGGGAGTCATCATGCTGGATGCTGTCGAGGAAAAGAATCCAAGATGGATGGATGATCATGAATGGAGGAACAGAGAAGAAGAAGCTGAGGCTGTCACGTAGATATGGCCGGTGTATATCATGTGACCGCGTGTTCGAAGTGATGGGTTTTTGCAATAGTGCCATTGCGCCCACATCGCTCGGAAACAAGCAAACCAAGCAATACGGGACAAGACAGGCAGCTTGGAGTAGATTTTGCCCGGCATTCTCCAGCGGGGGAGTCCTATACGCGACGCATCACTTGACAAGTCTTTAATTCCAGCAAGGCTATGCTTTACCGCTAAGCAAAAGGCAAATAGTATTTCCGCCAACGAGCAACCTTACCACTTCCTCTTCCCCTCTTTTTCTTCCCCTCCTTCTTCCAGCCTTTATGTCTAGGGCCCGGCTGTTGCTCACCCGGATCGCCCACAACTGTCAGCCTCGGTGGATCGATGACCCGCGGCCACCAAAACAAGCATGGAGGGCGCTCCGTGTGCGGAGCTTGGCTTTTCTGGGGAAGCTTCCCCGCGTCCCCAGCGTTGAGTCCGGGGTAGTGGAGCCGAAGGTGGGACCGCGTACAAAGCCAGCAATGTGCGCTAGACGTGTCATGCTGAGAATTTGACAGTGTCAATAGACCTCGGGTTCTTCTCTTTTGCCTGAACTTGCTCATTGCCCTTCGTCGCCGAGATGGCAGTACACCTGGACGACGTTCAGGATCGAACAACCGCGAATATCATCCACGGGAAGGATGAGGAGCAGCATGATTCTGCTGCGGAAATCTTGAAAGGAGCCCAGCGGGCTACCGAAGATGAGCATACCATGGGGCTCCGCGAGGGTATTCGCAAATACCCCAAAGCCGTGTTCTGGTCTATCTGGTTCTCCTCCGCGTTAATCATGGAAGGCTTCGACCACGCTTTCGTTAGCGGCTTCTTTGCTTTCCCTGCTTTCCAAGAGCGATACGGTGAGCTTCAGAGTGATGGAACATATCAGGTTCCCGCAGACCTCCAGTCAGCTGTCAGCAATGGTGTGAATGCCGGTGAGATTGTGGGTCTTCTGCTCAACGGCCTTCTCGCAGACTGGTTTGGATACCGATGGGTGATGATTAGCTGTCTCATTCTAATGGTCGCCTTCATCTTTTTGCAATTCTTCGCGACAAGCATCTACATGTATCTTGGCGCCGAGATCTTACTCGGGCTTCCATGGGGCGTCTTCCAGACGTTAACAACTACATATGCCGCCGAGGTCTGTCCGAATGTCCTGCGACCATATCTCACCATGTTGGTGTCCCTTTGCTGGAGTATTGGCTACCTGGTTGGTACAGGTGTCCTTCGCGCATTTCTTTCCTCGGAAGGACAGTGGGCCTATCGGATCCCGTTCGCACTCCAATGGGCGCTCCCTATCCCACTTGCCATCGGCATCTTTCTCGCACCCGAGTCTCCATGGTGGCTCATCCGGAAGGGACGCATTCAAGATGCCGGGAAGGTACTCCACCGACTTCGATCCAAGGATAGCTCTGAAGACGAAATATCGGACACACTTGCAATGATGGAGCAGACAGTTAAGATCGAGAATGAAATGAAATCTACCAGTAGCTACTGGGATCTGTTCAAAGGAGTCAATTTGCGCCGAACTGAGGTCACCGTCTTCACGTATCTCATTCAAGAGCTCTGTGCCCCTCTTGTCGCTTACATCGTTTACTTCCTGGAGCAAGCAGGTCTTCCCGCCACTGCATCCTTCAACTTCGGCATGGGGGAATATACTCTGGCTATAGTAGGCGTTTTTGTTGCATGGTACCTTGTCCCCAAGATCGGCCGACGGACACTGCTGCTGGCTGGCACTGCATTCATGACCGCCACGACTTTCGTGATAGGGTTCCTCGGTATTCCGAATATAAGCACGCACCCCAAAATTGGTTACGGGATCGGAACGATTTTGCTGATCGAATATTTTGTCTTCTTCATCACCATCGGCCCCATAATCTACACGATCGTGACCGAGATCCCATCCAACTATCTCCGCAACAAAAGTGTCGTACTTGCACGTGCAGTATACAATGTCGCAGTTCTGGTTTACGGCCAGTTGGTTCCGCATATGATGCAAAAGGCATCTTGGAACTGGGGAGCCAAATCTGGATTCTTTTATGGTGGCATCATGGGACTTGGCTTGATCTGGGCGTACTTCCGGCTGCCGGAAACGAAAAACAGAACCTTTGCTGAGATGGATATTCTATTTAGGAACGAGATAAAGGCACGAGACTTTGAGAAGACGAAGGTGGATATCGCTAGTGAGACTGTGTACCAAGATTGAGAAGTCTTCATTTGCCCAACATCGTCAAGATATGTGAGGCTGTGAATCCTTAGTCGTTCTAGTGTTTATTCAATTGCATTCCTTATTCAAACTCCCTGCGAAGTGCAATACCAAATCTGCAGACCGCTTCCCTGAGATCCTCGCATGAGGCCAAGGCATACGTAGTGCGAAAGAACATGCGGTCCTGAGGAGCATTGCCAGACCAGACCTGGGAGTGACAAAGACCTTTGCCTTGACCGCTCCTTTAAAGATGGCCTTTTGAAACTGCTGAAGGCCTTCGGATTTCCGAAAGGAGGGATGTCACTTCCAAAGGCTTTCAATCCATTGCTGTGGCAGTATAATGTTAGGAAGTTCTGAGATATCGGGAATGAATGGAAATACTGACAAACATTCCGGCTTGAGAGACATTCCATCGTGCGATGTGCCTTGGCAGAAATTTGTAACAGGCCTGAGCAAAGGTGTTCCTTCTCAACGTATAATTTGCTCGAATATTGTCAAGCCAGTCAAAGAAACGGTGTACGTGGTCCATCCGGGTGCTATGTATCGATCATTCTGCCTATGGAGAAGGCTGACAAATTTCGCAGACTGTTATGCCGAGGAAAAGCTAGCCAAGGTTGGTGGAGGCTGCGACAGGCCGTTCAGCTGGGGCAGGACATGGGCTTGTTTTTAGTCCCGAGAGCTGTCCATCAACTAGAAGAGAGCATATCACCTGTGATGGAACAAGTTCTTACCATCACGGCCTGGGGGATCTTTAGTTTGAATTTGTAAGTGGCGCTTGTTTGGCCAGAGGACATGACCTTATGAACCGGCTGCGCAGACAGATGTCGATGAAGATGCAAAAGATTGTCAACCTGGCGCTCCCTGTATCCAAGGTACATGTTGGAGGCGATCATGAACTCGACTGGACTCCATATCCGCGGTCAAATCAGATCTCTTATGTCACAAAGCCAGCACACCTTCCTCGAGTCCGACAGGGCCCCACCGAATTAACGTATATCATGCTGCATCTTCAAGAGTTTCTCTATGACAAGACTATGAGCTTTCAAACATTATTCGCAGAAGTGGAAAATCCATACAATCCTTTGCGATGGTGGCTGGCGGGCTGGCCAGATGCGTCAAAGACCGGGAAAGAGCCGATCCCACAATTTCTCGTTCTACGGTATGACAGTTGCCATAACCATCTCTCCTTGCAGGCCTCGCTCCATTTCGTTGTTTCCTATGCGGTGCTAACAATATGTTAAGCATCAAATTCCTCCAGGCGACCATGAACCTTCTCGAGATGCTAATGGAGCGTGATCAACAAAGCTCTATGATCAACCAATTGCGACAGACGTGGTGTCAGCAAGCCGAGGAAATGGCCCAATGCCTTCATATCTACCGTCAGTCCTTTGGCCTCAGACATATTCCCAGTCAGGTGGTCGACGCAGTACAAACTGCCCTCCCGGTCCTTGTGCATCGGCTAGAGGACGCCGATGACAACAGAGGCGTTTACCGAACTCTAGCGTTTTGGAATAGCCCTGAATTGGAAGATTCAACCAGCCGCAGAAATCATTTGCAAGATTCAATTGTTGTCACAAAGCGGGGTGGTGAGACTGCTCACTCAGGCTATCGCGATCCTTGACAGCCCGGAGCCGAAGAAAGGTCATTAGATATAACAGCGATAGCTCAGTCATGATGGCGCATGCCTAGATATCAGAACGGACATTGTGTTCGTGAAGGAATTATCGTCGACGCTTCGTGATTGGGTTTCGTGAGCCTGTTAGGTTAGGCAATGCTGGCTGGTGCGCGATGAGTTTCATCAAGATATTCAAGAGTTTCGTCCTGGGTGGTAGGAGCCCTTGATCTGTCCGATCAACCCCGGGCAACCTTTCTCCAAGGCTATCAACGATCAAAGCAATGCTGTTTGCCCGAGATTCCTACTCAGCAGGCTCTATATCCTGCCATGCCACTCCATGTTGTGTGAAATAGGGGGGAGAGTCAGAGTGAATCTCGTCTTGGGGGCTCCTGGCTCAAGATGGAGTATTTGCTAGGAGGCTGGGTACCGGTCCTTCCCTCGTACAGGCCAACGCGGGCTGGAAATCTTTTCCGTCTGTGTAACACTCTCCTCCCGATAAGTACGTCAAAGGGCTCCTTCTATGAGCGAGACCAGGAGTTGATTCACAGTTGAATTGGTTTGGAGGCACTTGAAAATCAGTCCTGTTGTGTTTTTATATCTATTTTCGTCCCTCACATCTGCCTCAATATCTACGCATTGATTTCAGAGTGGATGCAAGGTCGGCCGTTCCTCGTTTCTTGACAGGCTGCGCTGCGTCGCTTAGCGTCGACTGTCTGCCAAGTCCCTGCGCCTGGTGAGATGTTATTTCATTGGCTGTTGGTACCTCATATCCTGCTGGTCCACTGTTGCTTGCTGAGATTTCCATGGGAGTTTCACTCTAGCTTTTTGCGCTAATCAACAATGAGAGGCAGCTGGTAACTAATGATAGCATGGCTTAGCAGACCAGGTATTCTGGAACATTGTGGGCACCGTTGCACGTTGCAGTCGGAGTAAGTGTAGGGTCTCTGATTCAATCAGTCGGTGCCCACCTGGATTCTGGTCTCTTTCCACCTGGGCTCAGCCCAACCCTCCTCTCTTTCCCATCCATTATGATGAAACGCACGGCCGTGCTGAAGCCCATTTTCCCAGGGTATGTGGTCACCACCCACGACGCGCTCATCCTGTTCGAAGTCTGCTTGATCGGCGTTTTGCACCATATTTCCCGTCGCCCTTCGATAGGTTTTAAGTCTTTTGACTCATGTCGCTAGAATACATGATACCTCTGAAGGCCGACTGTTGGCGTTTCACTGGTCGATCACGATCGCTGTCACCTTGGAGCGCCCGCGTGATCGAATCCCGCAGATCAGATAGCCATCGATGCAACCGTCCGATAATCTCTTCGCTCCTCAGGACCCCATACAGCTCGGTACGACACGGAGAAAGACGAAAAGAGACATTTCAACAGCAGGGATTTGCATATGGTCACCCACCATTCTACTAACCTGCTGATGTGCGGCTAATGTTGGCTGTATATAACGTAATTCCCAAGCGACCCGCGCACCCCGCCCATTAACCCCTACCGATTTTGAATATTATTCAACCACCAATAAAGATATGAGATTGATAAATATACTAGACTAAACGTTACACATTGATCTTTTATGTCCAGTTGTGCCACAATTACCACAGCGCGGTGGTGCCCTCTAGTAGCTATATTGCCCTGCGGTACTGGGCTCTGCGGCAACTACGGCATTGGTGGTATTAGCCGATTCGGTCAAGATCGGCCAAATATAGAGCTCTGTCATACATAAACGCGTACCCTTTGCTAATTGTTCAATCTGCACTAGAGCTCTCTCAATATTACATAGATTTGACTGTTGTAATAGCTTGCTGATTGATCTTGCTTGACGCTGAATTTCAATGGGCTTCGGCGTACAGGGGATAAATCCCCTGCTACCACTATCGCCTGCTCTACTACCTGGCGGGGTAGTATTGACCTGAATATTCAATTTATCTAATTCCCGTTGCGCAGAGAGAGGTACAAGACGAGCGCCAGCGAATGCGCTCACTATAACTGATGGTGTATATGCCTCGCTACGCGCAAGAGGGTAATTCGATAAGAAATCAAGCTTGTAAATATGGCTAATACCATTAGCCATCATCGACTGAACTAATTGACCATATACCCGCTTGATAATAGAAAAGCGGCCTACATCAAGCGGTTGGAGCAAGTGTGACGAGTGTGGAGGCATGCAGATTGATATAATATCATTTTCCATGCATAATTGATCGAACTGGGCGGTCATATGGCTTCAATGCCCATCCAATACTAAGAGGCGCCATCTACCCTTCGTCCGACCATTAGTTAATGGTATAAAGTGGTTTCGTAGCCACCGAAGGCCAATCTCATTCGTCGTCCATCCGTTATTGCTAACTTCAAGAGACCAATCGTTCGGAAGATCAATTTGCGAGGAAAACCAGGCCGAATTGTAGGTTTTAGCTTTGAATATAATCATCGGCGGTAACGCCCATCCGGCCGCGCTGATTGATTCAATTGCTGTTACCCACTCACGATTTCCAGGTTGAATCTTAGCACTTTTCCCATAGTAACCAGCGCGCGTTACTACCTTAGCAGTACTGCAAAGACCCATTGCGAAGCCAGTTTCACCGAAATTGTATGTATCATCTTGATGGATACCGTGCTTGCAAATTACCTCTTGTACGAGGTTAAACCATTGTTGAATGAGCTTTGGGTCCTCACAGAGAGCGCGTTGATAGTATCTGCGGCGGGTATAGCGAATCTGCGGCGGGTATAGCCAGAATCAAGCTCTGGTGTACGCTCGATATAATTGGTAACCCAATTTTTACCTACTACTCCCGGAGGGCCTTTGCCGCGCTGGGAGAGTAGTAAATTGGCCATCTCTCGTACCAATTCGTGCCGGGGAGCAATTTCACAATCGTCCATAGAGAGTATCCAATTTTCTAGCGATTTCTCTTCCAATTCGGTCAATTTATGGTTGTTTGCGCGAGTAGTAGCGCGTTCGGTGATACCACTGCGGCGGTCGCCGAGGGTAGTCTCGGGGAATTCGAAAATGCGCGCGGCGCGTCGAACAGATAGATTTTCGTCATTTTTGAGAGCCTCTATAGCAAGTAATAGCCTGCGCTCCTGGTTCTCACGCGAATGGGTAGAAATAGTGCGAATTTGTGGCATAGTGAGCGGATGAATTGATTGGGATAGTAAAGAAGTACGCGTTTTTGGATGGGGTGCGCGGGTCGCTTGGGAATTACGTTATTCATCATAGCCAGGATTGGGTAGTTACATTTCCTATATTATATGACACTTATGCCGCCTTTTCACTCTATAGATTATAGGACAAAGCTCAATGCCACTATGGCAAGAGCCGGACAAACAAAGTTGGGTCGGATTGTAGTCGCCAAAGAATCAGAATCTTCCGACGAATCATCAGTTTCATCGGGCTTATCCTCATTTGAGGAGCTCGATGTGACAGATGAGTTGTTTGGATCATCTTGGTCGCTTGAGCCAGCAGCATGATCGTTCGCCTGTCGCGCTTCATCGGCATATTTCCATTCAACCTTGTCTCCTGATTCGATATCATCAAATGCAGAGGTGCATATTTCCATGTCGGTCTCCCCAGAAAGATATGATTCCACACACTTAATCTGGTCATCTTTCATCTTGGCATCGCACGGCCGAGGCTCGCTTTCGTCTTCGATCACTTCAGGACAGGTATCCGTCGCGGATTTAGCTGCGAAACTGCCTAAGTACCCAGGGCATTCTGAGAGACCATAATCCGTGCCACTCTTGTCGGCAACGACGGTGAAGTAGAGTGTTCCCGAAGCAACGTTGCTGGTTTCGATAATAGTCTCGGACCCCTCATGAGTACAATGTGATGTACTGAGCTCCCAAGAAAGGCTATAGTGGCCAGCGTCTAGTTCTTGGCCAAAGGGAGCGGAATCAAGAAGCACAGCAGTGTCGCCCGAGGTGTAATTGAACTTTTTCCCGAAGTTGTATGTGTTGAAAGTGCTGGATAAGTAGAAAAAGCTATCACTTTCGAGATTCCAGGACAGATCATAGTCAAAAAATGCAGCAGTTGGGGCGTTTTGCATCGCGAGAACAATCGGAGGTGTAGTCATCGTATTGTAGGTAGCGTTGCGAGGAAAAACAACGTCGAGCTCGATTCTGGCAGGGCTTAACGAGCCTGATACCGCAGCCATGGCCGCTGTGGCAAGCCACAGAAAAGAGAGTATTGAGAATAGCATTGGTTTTGCGGAGAGTGAATTTTCTGTAAATATCTCTAAAACGAAGAATTCGAGTTGCATGGGAGATCATTGTGTGCTCCTGAACTGAGCCTCCTTTTGTTCTAAAATTATGCGATGTTGATCAGTTTCCGCGAAAAGTGGATCGAGTCCGGAAATACGAGGCCCTCACCAATGACTCGGCCCAGTTTTCATGCCAAGCAGATCTACATCTTCTCGCCAAGAGTCTTGCGCCAACCGAGTGTAACTAATTCGTAGCTTTGGCGTGGGCCGAGTATCTTGTTACATAAACAATGGGCAATGTCACTTGATAACTGTTCGCGATATCCCTTTTTGGTTTCCTCCACTGACAAATTTAACAACAATGGGACACAACAAAGCAGTGAATTTGAAGGTTAGAGTGGATATCTACAAATACAGTGACCAATTGCACGTCTATAGGTTGCGCCGCCAGGACAAAACCACGACAACTCGATATATTTTTCACAATGTGTCCATGGAAGATGCCATTGTTGGCATGCGCGGCTTCTCTACCATCATTATCGCCTCAATGACTCAGTTCTCCAGAGTGCTTCTATTTCCAAACTCCGCCAAGGCGATTAAGGCCGAGCACGGGTCCACCAAGGTGAAGACATGGCCTCTCAGCCAGGCTCTTGCTCAGGGTGCTCTTCACAAAGAAGATACAGAGTTTGAATTACAGCCCAGCCTCAGGTCCAAGGATTTCCAGTTCGTGGAGACAATTGAGCGCGAAAACACCAGCATGGATGAGCTCGTCGGGATGTTTACCCTGCAGTTGTACAGAGAACCGTCCGTCTTCAAGGGAACCATTTACAAGATGGAGTGGAGCCCTAAGCTGACGCTTTTCTTCATCAACTTGCCTGCAACCATGGAGTTCATGCTGTTCTTCCTCAATCGGACGGATACGACCGTCAACGTACACTACGGCGCACCTTTCGACCTCGCTCCACGCCGGTTGCATGCTGCCAGTCTGCATGTCCTGCAAACCAAATCTCTCAAGGATATGCGTGTGGATGGCAGAAGTAAAAAGAGAAAACATTTTCCACCGGCCACCGCCGTTGATACTATCGAGTATACCAAACAGTCCTTTAACAAGGTTTTTGTTACGCGCGAAATTGCTGTCAAAGTCTTAAGGCAGTGCGCGGCCGGCGAGGACAGCAGCAGCATGAGGCTGACACCGGCTATGGCATCCTTTGTCTTCAGCCAAATCCTTCGCCCAGCACAATAGAAGTGGACATCTTGCGCTCAAGCTGACCATCTTTCACGTGTGGATGGCTCAAATCCGTGGCACTTACAGTGCCTATCAGCTGTTGCTGAACCAAAGCGGAAACTCTCTGGCCGACTATCTCCCCAACATATTTTTTGTCGCCCTTGAAATCCTCACTTAGAACCATAGCTGTTTGCGACAGGAGGTTTTCATTGACTTCGGGTATCATCGACCGAATCAGGCCCGAAGGCTCTCGGCTAGGGTGAATGAAAATAGCAGAGAGTAGTAGCGCGTGGTGCGGAACCTGGATTAGGAGGAAGGGCCAAATCGGTAATGGTGGCATAGTCCTCAACCAGGAATCAAGGAGTGTCGGTCTATACTTCTACGCCAAGCATGACATGTCGCCAAGACCTCTCGTTCAATGCAGACACAGATTGATTTTCGGATTGAATGGATTTCCTAGCAACTTCCTACGTAAATAGAGCCTGAAGTACGAGTTCACAAAGTGGTGTGGCTGAGAACTGCAATTATCTTAGCCGTCTAGTTCTGAATGAATCGTATACGGAGGGAGCGGCTTATCGCATCAACAGTTGGCCACATGTGGCACAAATTTGTCGCATCAGGGACTAATCACATCCTGCCGGTGCAATTGCCTCATACGGAGCTCGCTCAGGCTTTGCTCCCACCGATATCCGGTACTCGTCTTTCCTAGGCTAATGCACAAGAACCCTCCTCGTAGCATTCGCTGAACGAGTTGCCATGGCCTCTGGTGCGGGATCGCTTCGGGCAGACGGGACATTTATTTGATTCACAATCCTTGACAATTCTTCAAATTCCTCATTTTGGCTTCCAGGTATTATATCTGGACACTTTGATGTGTGCACCGCCAGGTGCCATGCTGAGCGTCTGGTTTCCGCACAACCAGATACATTCATGGCACTTCTCCGTGTGCTCACATGAAACCGAAATATCTGGCAACTTGAGCAACCGCAATGTTTTCCCTGTTGTAGGTAGACGGGCGCAAGAACGTAGGAAATCTTAGTCGTTCTGGATGTACATGTTAACCTTCACACATGCGTTGGTCTTGGGCGGAGAGAGTCGAATCCTGTCATAACTTCATGAGCGGGTAACGCTCGAATTTTGGACAATTTTTTCCTAATGTGCAAGTTATGCTGAGAGCTTCTAGCACAGTATAGAAGCCAGCGAGGCGCTGTGTCCTCGTTCCAGCAAACCTCAAGGCCATCAATGAGGAGCAGGTAGGGTAGAGATTGATTCTTCCTCGAACGTAGAAACATCGACCCACGTGCCGTGCATTTGCCTTGGGGTTGATATGGGCGGTGTGAGGTGCCTCTCATCCTTCAGTCTGGGTCCATTCACCATGGATTCACTGGCGTCCATGTTTGTGTCCTTCATTAGGTAACAAAGCATCCAACGCCCGGAGAGATGGGATCGCACTATGTTTGGAGAGGTCACTGTCACGGAAGCATGGATGGCCGGCCATGCGATCTGTATTCGTATCCATTTTAGGTACGATGAGCGTTATCGTATGGCACTGGCGAAGTCGGCTCTAGGTGCATTGGCGTTTGAATGTGGTGGGCATCGGGGGTGTTCGTTCACTGGACTACGCTTGCCACGGACAATTGAAATAGATACGATATTGAATGATCGTCCTTCATTTCGGTGGAACGCTGAGTATTGCAGTCGGTGCTGGAGTCATCGGGTGGTACCTGGTTCGCTGCATGTGGAGGTACTTGGGAGGCATACGCTGCTTATTTCGGTCTGTGTAGTCTGAATTAAATGCGCTGAGACCACCGTGGTCCGGTTGATGGCCCAGCCAAAGCCTCGTGAAGGTCCTTGGCTTACAGTCGATGGATACTGCCGCAGTCCTCCAAGGACGGATAGGGAAGCTGCTGAGACGTAACCACATCGGATCATGGAGGCTGCCATTTCTGGCTGCTGCACACTTGGGATCACCTAGGTTTCTGAAGCTCAGCCCGATACAGAACGATGCGTATACGATGTTGACGTCGCGGTTTCGCGCAGGATGCGGAAGGCCAACGATTATCTGCCCAATTCACAGCCCCCTCGGCCTCCTTATTGTAAGAGGACTTTGTTTCCCCGTAGCCGCGGGAGCAGGCGTTTCCGAACCCGACCGGCTCCACAGTCGAAGAAAGTCCCCCGGGAAAGGATCAATATCTCTTCCCCTGCGGCTCGTGCCACACTAGGTATGTAGAATAATGAGACAGACACAATAGAAAGCCCGTTGCGGAGAAGAGTGGCATGTTGCCATGATATACTACCGTCCACATATTCGCTATGCAAGTGGTGCCTTGGAAGCCAACAGCTCTGGTCTCAACCAGGAGTGACGGTCATGCGACAATTTGAGCCAACCAGATTTCTGCGTTGCGTTCATTCCTCCGGCTTGCGAATTATACTAGTGCTTCATGGCATTGTGATCCGTATACATAGCGCTGAGAAAAAAGATTTACCAAGAAGCGGATAGCTCTCTGCCACGAGGAGTGAAAATGCAATCATGGGCGCGAGTGCTTGGTGCTGGACTGAAGGTTGGCCTTTCTCACGCGCAATGACCGGTGACATCTATGTATGGCATAATGGTTTGGAGGTAGTCCCAGTGGTGATTCAAAAACCTGTATATCACCGCCTAGAAAAATCCACTTGGATGCTGAGATGAAGTTTCGTTCTGTCGAACAAACTTTTGAATGACCCGATGCGAGGCTGTCACCCATCCTATCCTTGCACCCGACGCAAGAATTTTGGATAAGGAGTTCATGCGAAGGACCCGTCCATCCACGTCAAGACTCAAGTTTGAGGGGATAAGCTCCTGGCCCTGAGGTGCATTCCTAAAACCCCTTTCTCGTATTCGAACAGCTGCAAATAATAGCACGACTCGTCTTCCACGATGAGCAAGTCGTACTTTTGTGCGACAGAGAAAATTTTCTTTCTTCTGTTAAGCGACTAAGTAGTACCCGCCAGGTTCTGAACATTGGGAACCATATACAGGAGAAGTAGACTTCGAGAACCTGTTTCGGCTTCATTCAGAGTCGAAAGAGAATGATCCGAGGGCTCGGGGATCAAGCCTTATTCGTCCATCTCCACGGATAGTATTTCGATACCGAGGGGCCATGCAGTATCGAGTGCGCTCGCAAATGTGTAATTCTCAACGATAATGTAGTCGCCTTATCGCATAACATTCGTAGAGTAAAATCCCATGCTGAAGTACTGCCTACCGTCAAGCAACACCCCAGTCGGCGTATGGTGGGTCGTGGAGAACCTAGAAGGGTTAGACCATGCTCAAACGTTCATTGGGTTATTCGTGCCTCAACATGCTCGGTAACAAAGCGTAGCATCTGCGCCAATACTGTGCCCAAGGCCACATCGAGACCTAATCCAAGGGGTGTCAGTAGATTATACCATACTGATGGAGTATGTATTTTTCCAATGTAGTCTCTGAGGCCAGATTCAAAGTAATTCTTGGCCATCTTGATCGTCGACTCGTCTTCCCCTGCGTGTGCACCCAGACCAGAGGGGTTTGAAACTCGGACTTGAAGCGATTGCAAAGGGCTATTGTCAAGTTGTTAGACGCATCGTACAAATGCTTTATAGAAGGTTTGCGGATACCTTCCGTCATTTGGTTTCGCCTGAGATATAATCGGCGCGATTTTGAGGAAAAATGTCTTGGTTTGACAGATTCGCACAGACGTCCTGTCCCATCTTTTCGCACTCGGCTTTCCAGTTGCCTTGAGGGCCATTTTGGTGTTGGCAAATCGATAGAGTCTCGGAAAATTAGTGCTAACTGAACTCTTGAATAAACTCGCTGTCACGTTTGGCCTCCATACAGCCAACAGGGAAGCATCGTCCTTTCGCCATATCGTGATGCCCAATGAGTCGAGATGTTTGGCTGCTGCTTAGGGCAGCATTTGGAACATCAGTAACACGGCCTGTTCGCGATCAAAATATCCAAAAACCTTGATCGGACAAAGTGTCAGAAAGCGCACGTGTGTATGTGGATGGACAACCCTTTATACTTGTGTGTCCGGTTGGGGAATGTTGCGGTCCAAGTTACGAGTAGTTCTTGAAACAGAAATTGCAACCTACTCGTCATCGATTTGGTGGGAAGTCCAGTCAAATTCGCATTCGTCTCTTCTTCATTGATCCACAAAAAGCAGGCTGGTCCAGGAATTTGGTGGGGGATTGGGGTGGGGTGGGAAGGGGTTTTGCGTCTTTCTCTCTTCGAGTGTGTCCACGGGTGGTGACCAATCGCGGAGATCCCGAGGGGTTTCATGTGGATACCTGCAATGCTGCACGCGACTCCACTCAATAAACCAACCCGTGGACCTGCATAGGAGAGTAGATACCATTTTAATACATTACTCACGCGGCGGGGCTGTAAACGTGCAGTCTTGGTGTCAAATCGCCAGACTTCACGCAGTAGCGAAGTATATCAGCTGGTGGCGACTCCGGTACCATTACTCTATGAAAATAAAAAAAATACAGTAATAAAAAAATATGTAGTAGTGCATGAAAATATACTACTACAGTGTAAGTCAAAGTTGCGGGTGACAAGTTGATCGGTCAATTTAGAGAGAGTGTGTGAAAGCAATCTGAATGACTTGAATGAAGCAAGTCTTTAGCCCAAGATCGTGAGCAAGCATACAGTTGATGAACACAAGGATGCGCACACTGGTGCAGTGCTCTCGAATTCGTATAAATATGAATAACGGAGGCAAGAGCTAGCAGAAAATGCTTAGCAATTTTTGTTCTGTACTGTTGCCATTGTAGTCCAAGACCCATCGCCAGGAGCTCATGCTCATAGGAACCTTATGGCAACCGGCAGTCCAGCCACTGCTTGCGCCGTCACCTTCCATGCAATCAGACTGGCAGGGACAATCCGTATCCTTAGAGGCAAGACGGGTAAAGAAGATTGGAACGTCTCCTTGGACTTCGAAGGATGGAGCGCTTCCCCGGTTGAGACAGCCTGAATTGCTCATGTCAACAAATTCACCGCAGTCCTCACTACAGTCGGTATCGGGGCAGAACAACCTCATTGGGAGAGCGGCCCTGAGTTCACGGTGGCGTTGCCCTGTCCAGCCGCATAGGACAGTTTGGCCAAATCGGCTAGGAGAAAAGTTCCGGAAAGGATGAAATGGCGCATTTCGAATACTGAAATCAATCCCCATCTATCAGTACTTGCAACTATACCAACTTTCCAAAGACAGAAGAGTACCTTACACCAGAAATGACTGGGATTATCTTAGGATTTTGATGCGGTTGTTTGAATGTGATTCACAACCGTTTCTCATGGAGATCAAGGCGGCCGTTATGGCCTTTATGTAGCTTTCCAATCTGTAGACTGCGGGATCGGGCTTTCCCTAAGCTGCGAGAATTTGTAATACGTCACATGAGGCATCTTTATTGATCCAAATCGAAGTACAATATGGATGTGAGGTGCTCAGGTTATAGATTTCCGTGTCCGTGAAGAGGGCCAAGGCCTGAAGGAAGGTTGATTCTTCCAGTATTTACCGTGCAGCCTAGAGTCGGATCCTACTGATCAGCATTAATGGGGCAACATGTCCATCCAATCAAGTACGATATGTACTTCATTTGGCATAGCTCTTGGGGCTACGGTCTGAAAATATAGTCGGACTTCCAAGACTCCTCGGAGCCGTAAGAGTCCGGTTAAAGGTCCGTACTACATGTGAATCTGTTCGCGGCTGAAGATATTATAGCAACAAAATACCAGAGGCTTATATTTCCACACTGTAGCTGAATAGGATGAATATGATGCGATTGGAGCATATCCATGCGTCCATGTCGGCTCATAGAGAATGAAGAGTCGAGTTTCACATCTTTATACATGCACAGGCGACTACTACCTATTTTCATTAATTCTTAGCCCATTCCCATATTTCGTGTAAGGTTGTATTTGCAAACTAGGCCAATATTTTTAAGTCCAACAGCCCTGTAATTGACCAACAATGAGCCTGAAAATGCATCGTCTGTGCGGCGTAATTTTCATGGTGGGCAGACTGGAACATCTTCCTTGACGGAGTCTCTACGAATAGTCCTCGGCAATACTAGTAGGTAATGTAGCATTAGCGTACGGGCGCCATAAATGGGGCCCTGACCTCGAATCCTTCCAATGACTAGTATCCCTAAGGCATAGGCATGGGCCGAGCTGACGGACTGCATATGTACGTAAAATGCGCCCCTTAAAAAAGCCAAGCTGGCATTTTTGGTGGAATAATTATTTGAGTATACCCGACATAGAGGCTGATTTGTCAGTTTCAAATCAGGTATGTTGCCAAGTTTGCGATAGGAGATGCAGCGCCAATCCACATCCAGTCCCGATGTGTTGGCCTGCCTTATTGTGACTACCGAGGAAGTATTAATCACACGTACTATACTAGCCGACTATTAGGCTTATCCTAAGATGCTCGATGTACCGTGCCAATCCTGGCTATTTTCAGTGGTGTGGTGCGAGATGCCCAGGTGGAATATTATGAACGGCTGTGGGGCCAGTGCGGTGCAGACTCCAGCTATTTTTGACGTTGCGGTGCGAAATAGGATATAATAAACGAGCCTGGGGTGGGGATGGGGCACTTATAAGATTGAAGAAACTCGCCAGACCTACGGGGTAGTGCAACTGATATTCGACCCATCCTGTATGGAATGCCCGTAGGCTAACAGAAATTCAGTCGACGATTTCCGTTCCGTACTGCACACATGGCTATATATATCCGAGATTTTCATGGTTGACATTGCTATCTATGATCAGCACCTCTGAGCCTACCAGTGCCCAACGAGAGACTTGATGCAATTCAGTATTGGTTGGGGACGAACACCGTCGAACCAAGTCCCACCACGTGACTGTATACTGCTGGGGCCGCTGATCGGTGTACAACGGGCGGTGAGAATGCTCTTTTTTTGCCGTGCGGGGAGAACGCGTCCCATCACGTGTATGAACCAGTCACGTGGATTCATCTGCCGCCACGGGTATATTTCCGCGCTGTGCCTTTGTCAGACAGGAGAATTGAACTACAGAACCAGAAAAAATATAGTGGGCTATGGTTCGCCCTATATTCATAGAATGCATACAGGCACGGACTAAGAATACTTACTCATGCTTTGCTCCGCAGGCTTTTTGGCATACACCACCCAGCGGAGCTGGAGTCCCCTGGAGAGGGGGGGGGAGTTCGCCAGCACCACTAGTAACTGCCCTCACGTCGCAACCTAACAACTGCTTTCACTTCCCTTAAAGAGATATTTGTAGACACAGCCTTAATTTGCCCTTGCCCATGACCATATGAAACATATCAGTGGACAATTGTAGAATGGTTGCAATCAATCACTGATGCCGCTCGCTGCCGACTTTGTGGGATCGTTGGGGCGGGGCCGTGGGCGGGATTCGGTTGGCTCGCGGAGATCCCGAGGCCCGCTCTTCCATGTCTCCTGCCGTTGCCTTCGCTTGCGACTGAAATTCGTATAACATCTCCCACCTCTGCTGATCTGAAACTAGAAAGCGACCTCGAATTATTCCACTTGAGATAACTGATTATGCCTCCCAACAAGCGCGCTCGCTATGATGATGATGTCGTTCAGAACGGCGAGCTGACAACCGCTGCAGAAGGCTTCTTCGAGGCCCTTGGTAGGGTCGATATCTTTCTTTACTGACGTTCGGAGACTAAATCTTCTTGATAGCCGAGGCGGGGGTGACGCACTGTTTTGTCAATTTGTATGTTCTTTCAACCAGCTCGCGATCGCAGCCCTTCTAACATGATTACTAGAGGGAGTGACCACCCTGCCTTACTTGAGGCGATGATCAAAGCGAAGCAAGGTGAGAAGTCTCGAGGAGAAGTGGGATGTTTGGATGCTGATGTGAAAATAGAGAAGCTGGCAAATTTCCCTAAAATAATTACCTGTCCTTCGGAGTTGGTTGCACTTTCCGCAGCTTTGGGGTATGCCCAGGTTACTGGAATTCCGGTAAGCTGACTCGTTTCTTAACTATTTGGCCTTAGTTGACATTCTCCAGCAATGCGTACTTGTTCATGTAGACTGTGGGACTCTTGCCCTCGGCCAATCGGTTCACAATGCATCAGTCGGCAGAGTGCCTGTCCTTTGCTTTGCGGGCCTAAGTCCTTTCACTCAACGAGGGGAGTTACTTGGCTCACGAACCGAGTAAGATACCCTTATTCCCTTGAATTGCTGTTTCTAACTTGCTGCAGATTCATTCACTGGCTACAGGATGTGCCGGACCAAGCGGCGATTGTTCGGCAATATTGCAGATACACAGGGGAGATCAAATCAGGACGCAATATCAAAGAAATGGTAAACAGAGCGTTACAGTTCACCCTGTCTGACCCGAAGGGCCCGGCATATCTCATGGCAGCACGAGAGGTTCTAGAGGAGGTAAGACCGGATGCACTACAATGGGTACGAAGCGCATTTCAACTAATTAACTGAGCTTCTAGGAAGTCGACAAGGTATTCCTCGAGGAAGAACTCCTCAGCCCAATTGTCGCGAGTGCACTACCCGAGTCCGGTAACTGCCTATCTGAAACCGACAGAATGCGATATGTTCTAACTTCGAATTCGGTTATCAGAGGTCCAATTGATCGCCAAAACTCTCATGAGTGCCAAAAAGCCACTCATCATCACGGGATATCTTGGCCGCAATCGCAATACACCCCCTTTGCTAGAAGAACTCTGTGATAAGCTCCCAGTGAGTGTCGTGGAAATGGTCGGTTCGGATTTGTGCATCCCCAGTGACCATGAGGCATATCTTGGCGTGACGGTGACTACGCACCCTGCAGTTCTAGAAGCCGATGTTATCCTGATACTAGATTGTGATGTACCCTGGATTCCAACTGCTGGAAAGCCGAAAAAAGGTGGGTTGCCTCTGCCCTGGAAGGTTTTGACGCTTCGACTGACCCTTTAAGGGACAAAAATATTCCACCTCGATGTCGATCCGTTGAAGCAGCAGATGCCACGTATGCTACCCAATCTCAACACTTGACTTTAATGGTGCACATTCTGACAGTTAGGAATCACAAAGTTTTCTCCATCAGTGCAACCCGTCGCCTTAAAGTCAGCGGTGAGCTTGCGCTGAGGCAGTTAAATGGATTTATCGACAGTCAGAATTTGGACAAGACCCAATACGCCGCAGAGTTTGAAGCTCGCCGAGTACGTTATAGTGAATGGCGAGCTGTTCTGGCAAGTTTAGCGTCACCTCCCTCAGATGGCACTGTCACTGTGCCCTATCTCGCTTCCCGGCTACGTCAACATCTTCCTCAAGACACCACTTTTGTGCTCGAAGCTGTCACAAATGCAGGCCACTTAATCCACCATTTGAACTTAACTACGGTAAGATCATTTCTCAATTCTGCAATATATACTCTGACACATCATATCAGCCTGGAAGCTTGGTTGGTAGTGGCGCAGGCGGTCTAGGATGGGGAGGTGGTGCAACCCTGGGTGTCAAGATGGCGAAACCCGGTTCCTTCGTTTGTGGAATGTGAGAGCCCTGAAACTGATCAGGTCAATTACAGCACTAATAGAGTCTTAGTGTTGGGGATGGAGTCTATCTCTTTTCCCAAATGGAGAGCGTTTATTGGATCGCGCGGCGCTACGATGTTCCATTTTTGCTTATTGTTCTGAACAATGGGGGCTGGAACGCGCCAAAGGTTTCGGCTTTGCTGGTTCACGAAAATGGACTATCATCCAAGTCAAACAGAAAAGGCTAGTTTAGTCTGAGAATCCTCGCCATAATCTGAGCTAACACCGCCCTCTATATAGATCTCAATATCTCATTCGAGCCCTCGCCTGATTACCCAGGAATTGCAACTGCCGCAGGCAATGCGTGGGGTGCCACAGTTAAAACACAAGACGATCTAGAGACCGCTATAAACAAGGGGAAGGAAATCGTGGACAGTGGAAAGTGCGCTGTGATTGAAGTCGCGTGAGTGTCCTTCTCATCTGCATATGTTCAAAAGCCTGACTTTCAAGCGTCCCACCTATTTGGACAGAGACTTAGGATTGGGTGGGTGGGCCAATTTTCAGACACTCAAGTCGTGAGCTTTCGCCTGATCAATGGGTTTCTATCAATTGTCCCACTCCCAAACTTCTTTGAGCAGTTTCTGGGCCTTTTTAGTAGACAAAGCATGGAGATGTTCCGTTTCAATCAACAAATTCAATAGAGCATTCTGCTCCGATCGCTCAGTAATCCGATCTCCATCTATTTCAACAATTAGCCTGCCCACTGCTGCACTTTATTGATGGACCCTTTATCAAAAAGGCTTACACATGGAATCACCCATGCACGCTGTGATTAGTCCCGGGGCTGTGCTATTTGAATAGGCAATACCACAGAGCCTTAAGACATTGCCCTTTATCTCAAGCTAAAGTGGGAGGAGTTGGTATAGTATAGCAAGGAAAGAAAAATACAGGATGGGAGTATCGTACATCCTTGTGCTCCGCTGCACACTTTTGGGTTGGGCCCATCTGAGGAATGTTGGGATCGAATGCCGCAAGCAAAATCTTTGCCAGGAGCCAATGCTGGATCGCAGTCACTGTAGCCATTTAGTATCGGCAGACATTTTGGGGGAATCAGATTTCAAATACCTTGACAGTCCCCAAGTAACCATACTTGGGGGAATAATTCATTCCTAGATCGCTCCGGCGCTTCATCGTAGATCGGATTAAATGTCGGCGGTTTGGATGAAAACCATTTTCCATTAAAGTCACAGAGGCGATCGTACGTTTCTTGATCATGACAATTATATCCATAACAGTATGTCAGAGCCTCCGCGCAGTGTAAAACTATGCGATTAGCCCACGTCGAGTCATCAGCTGGGGCAAGAGATCTGTATGCCGAAAAATCACAGCAGCTTAAATCGAAGCGAAAAGGACGCTGTTTTATGAATGCGCTATGGAACTCCTGACGGAATCCAACCCACAATGCAGCATTTTGAAGACCATGTCCTCTAACCGCAGGGTAGGCCTGAGCTTCGAGGAATACTTGGGTTCCGCGCAAATATGTTTCGTCGTCAACGCCTACCAATGGTGCTGCGTGGGTGTATGGATTAGATTCCAGGTAAGGTATTGATAAAGGATCATTACACTCTCTATATCACTTACCATCAATTTCTTCATAAAACCGAAGAGTCACAGCAGCAGCCAATAGGTTTTCGTCTTGAACTTCAGTAGCGTTTCCTGACAATGACATTAAATGATAGATGCACAGATTCTGATATTCCAGTGCGGTTTCAACTTCTATGGGAGGAGTGGGAAGGTTGGAAGACGAATGCGCGATGCGCTTGAGTCTCTGGCTTTGGCTAATGTGGCGAGCTGATGTCGAGAATATTGCGTATAAGAGTGCCGGGCAGCATGCTGCTCTGTGGGGCGCAACCAGAGCAAAGTGCCGTGTAACATCGCAAGAATCGAACTGAAAAGAAACATCAGTGGACGACCTTCGTCAACCTTCTGTGAATCATCTGAAAATTGGGTGTCGTATCAGACCGGTGTGCTGTACCCATTGTGCAAGTTCCTCGACAAAATAGCGCATCAAGAAGGCTTCTAGCAAAGTCTTCCAGGGCCAAAAAAATTGGATACCCCGATTCGGACTTTGCAGACTTGAGCTGCTATCATATGTGCTCGGAGGCGTATCATATTGTGATGCATTATCAGAGAAATTCGGGTGATGTGGGACATCATGATATGTAGAACCTGTTTCTGCAGGTTCGTAGCTCGTAGAGTGAATCGACTCCGGGCTGACTTTTGACGACGGAGCCCCGGAAGAGGGGTTTGACCCATAACTGTCGTTGGAAAGCCGGAAATTGGCAGGGGCACAGAATGGCCTTAAAAATGCGCAATATCTAAAGACTCGTCCACGTAGCGAATGTCTAAATTGATCGTAATGTCGATTTGGTCAGTGACTTATTTCCGAGGCTCATATTCGCCCCTGGGCAGAGGAAATCGAAATATCTAAGTTAGCGGGATATCACTCACTCTTTCCAGCTATACTTAGCCAGGGTTGATCGTTGGCAAACTTCAATCTATGCCCACTGTTTCGTATCACCGGACCTGGGAAGCTGCATTTTATATTCATTCGGCGACATCTTGAGCAAGAGGGCTTGAGTCCATCGCCTAGGTTGTCAATTCAGCAATGGGGATCTCTCCACGGGAGAAAAGAATCGACGCACATTTCAAATGGCGTTCTGTGGGGATGTTAATGGGAGAATTGGAGCTATTGAAAGGTACTTACTTCGACAATTGTGACTATGAGGCAAGGAGAGACCAACGATTAGTCATTGAGTATAAGAAGCCGCTGTTTCCGACAGAAGAGGTTAAAGCGGCATCTTACCAGGGAACCACGTTCAGGGTGGGCATTTGTGCTTGCTCTGCTGCCACCAGTGCCAGCCGAATCAAGTCAGCGATTTACATTCATCCAGGTAGGACTCGAATAAGTTAAACCCTCGAATATCGGCGATCCTGGACGAAAGCAATTGAAATGGGCACGAATATACCATCGATCGAACAATTCATTCTGCCCCGCATTGAGAGGGCGGGTTTTTTTGCCGGCGTTGACAGGAAAGGTCATTCTCCCCGGGCCGCTGGGGCTTCCCCGCAAATTTGGGGCAAAATCCAGTGCCGATCATTTCTGCCTCAGGCGTCGTAGGGAATGGACAGTGCGCAATGAAAGTGCGTCGTTGGCAATAAGAACGGTACCGCATCGGTGAATCATCTGTAGTACTATATCGTAGAAAGAAAAGCAATTTCACAGGTTTCATGATTTTTATACACTATCACGTCACAATTAAACACACTGACGCCGTCCCAATGCTGTTCCCTGGTCACTCCACATAATACATCCGTCAGAAGATGCAAGCAATATAAAAAAGAAATAAGGTACAAGAAAAAGAGACATCAAGGAAACAGAAGGTGGGAAAGAAAGGAAGGAGAGAGGCAGAAGTAAAAGAGTTATGCTCGAGCGGTGGGCCGTGGTTTCCAGGAAGCACGGTAGAGGCCTACTTGAGGCTTGTTCCCATGAGACGAAGTTCGGGGCGCATCACGGAAATTGGGGTACAGACCCGATTCCACATCCATCAGAACAGCACTTTGAGGTCGTGCAGAAGCCCAGTTATCGGTTTTCCGTCGGGTTTTGTTTGGATAAGAGGGCGGCGTCGAAGGCTTGGAGGTATTGGCTGTAGCTTGGGTCTTCTCTTTGATGATCTCGCGAAGCTCCTTGTCATCTTTTGTGATCTGAGCTTTGATGAAAGCCAAATCGTTCGATGCTTGAAGGGTGGACATGACCGACTCCCGGGGTGTATAGTTGTATTGCTGAGGGTTTGGCGCGGAGATGGGGCCTATGGATGGATCAAGGAAAGCAGCATCGTCCTTGGACAACAGCTGGGTAATATCCAGGGTTTCTCCGTGTGGGATCTTATGGGGATGTGAGGGTGTAATGCAGTCCATGTCAACCTCCTTCCGGAGTACGTGGTCGATATCGACTGCTGAGAAATAGGCACATGACTGCGGAAGATCGTCAATGCCAACTTGCTGTGAGAATATGGCGCGAGTCCAGACGTTTGCAATTTGAAGGGCCAGAGCTGAGCGGTATTTGTCTTCCTCTTTCACCAGGTATCGGATCTCATCATGAACAGTGATGGCCAAGCGAGCCTGGATGTTGAAGCGCCGAATCAAGAAGTCCATGCTGACGATCAATAGGTGGAGATAATCCACACCCGACGATTGAATAGCCCAATTGATGCGAGAAGTCATAAAACTACCCTTGTTGATGAATCGTCGCATGAGGGCTTCTGTGATTCCAGCACCGAGAGCTGGGGTTCTTGGCCTTTCCTGGTCTGCAAACTCCTCAAGCTTGTTGAACACAAAGGACTCAGTGCCACCTCGCCAGAAAGGAGTCTCGCTGAGGACACGACGAGAAGTCCGCGTACCCTTGGTCTCCTTGTAGAGGTTGGCCGCAGTGGCTTGTGTTTCCCTTTCTGTCAGAGACGGGTTGAACTGGCGAAGAAGGGTGGCAGCAAATTTCACGCCAGCTCCATAGATACGGCCATAATTGAACACTTTGGCGTCATTCCGTGAAATCCCCAAGATAGACGCACTTCGGGAATGCAGGTCAGTGCCCTCAGCTTTGGATCCCTCGAGAGTCATGAAACCAATTGCGTTACCGCCATGTAGTTGGAAAGGAGCATCGCCAACGAGACTGGCAATCCACAGTTCTTGGGAGTCAACATCGGCGCCGACAAAGACGTGGCCCGGTGGCGCTTTGATCATTGCCTTGAGTTCGGATCCAACGCGATTCGACTTCGCATTGCTGGCAGTGAGCCAGGTGTTTTCGACGGCTCGCCGAGTGATGGTACCCATGGGGATCACCTGGGGGAGAATGAATCCCACGCGATGTTCTGGAGTGCCGCTGGCAGAAGCCTTCTTGGGCACTTGATCTTCATAGACCACCATTTGACTCATGATGCGATCTCTAGCACTGATCCAATACGAGCATGAAGCATTCATGTCCAAGGCTTCCTTTGCAAGTTCGTACTGTGACGAGAGAATGCCACGCTCGAAATACCCCATGTACCCCTTGCCTAGCGGGTTGGTGCATCTTGCCTGGGGACCGTCTTTGTGGGGGATCTTGAAGTAGACGTGTTTTCTGTCATCTCGAAGTTGGTCGTTCTTCTCTTCGGCGGTCATATCGCACCGAATGACTGGCTGATTCTCATATTGTTTGACCTGATTGTGGGGAACTCGAAATGTCCACCCGTATTTGTCGGACCAGATGAGGGGATAGCCATCCCACGACAATTTCAGAAGAATTGGCGCGATCCGAGTCCGAACAGTGAGATTTATATCGGCGTTACTTGTTGGAAAAAGGTCCTTGTACCATTTTGGCATCCCTGGTTTCTTCTGTCGTGCTGCGGGGCGCGGAGGGTCTCCTTTTTTTGCCCTTCACCATCTTGATCTCCTGACCAGTCCAGTCCAGCTGGCGCAGCCAGGGGTCGTTTTCATAAAGGTCCGCTTGATCTTTGACTTTCAAGGCCTCATTGCACAATTCAACCAGTTTCCGCTGAACATCATCAAGCCGCTTATGATATGTTTTTTCAGCATTGGTAATATACTCCTCCCAGGTTTGGTTAACGGGGAGGATGACCGAGGACAGGTGTCGGAGAGCACCAAAGCTCACGGGGTGAGGACATGTTTCAAGAAAATTCGGGAAAACCTTCCGATAAACGCGATGAGTGATGGAAACGTCGGCGGCGCAGTAGTCAAGGAGCTCTTCCAGCTTAGTCAAGAGGGTCTCTCTATCGAGTTCGCCAAAAAAGTCTCGCTGTGCCTTGTCGATGGTTACATCACAATGAAACTTGGCGACATCTCTCAACGAGTTGACGGAGCTTCGACCGACCCACAGCTCTTCCTCCTCTTCCCTCAACATGTTGTTTTCGAGCAACGATGCCAACTCCACAGAATTATGCTCGCTTGCAATTTTGTCCCTGAGGTCCTTTGTGTTTTTTTATGTCGCATCCACGTCGGTCTTTGTTGCGAGCACATGCCATTGACGGCCACATGAAGGGACATTGTGTCAAGGAAAAAGTTCTTGGATTGTTTCAGGTCGTATTCTTCCAGAACTCGGGCGCGGTCATAACCAATATTGTGACCAACGACGATCCGAGGTTGAGATGGGTCTCCAAGGGGAATAAGGTGTGCCGTTTCGGTCGATTCGCCCAATAGCCAGGGAGAGATCCAGGCGTACCATGCCGTTGGGCTAGTGGCGCAAGCCATGACCGCGAAAGGATGCTCCTTGTACATGACTTCGGTGTCAAAAGTAAGATTCGATTCATTTGGCGCATCAACCGGTTCTGAAGATCCATCCGGATAGTATTTGGTCCACCCGCTGCGCTTCGCCCACTTTCGTGGTTTATCTGGACAAGTCACGGCTGCATACGATTTGGCGTAAGACAAATAAGGCTCTGACGCGTCCATCCCCAGTTTGTAGAAGTGTTCGTCTAAGGTCTTTCCTTGGAGTTCCGGCAAATCGAATGCCACTGGTTCGGCCCCCTTCTGTGATTTACCCAGAAGGTCATGTCTTGCCAGATGATCTCTTGATAGGGCAACGAGTTCTGGGTCGGGAACCCGACTTTGGTTCGGAAAGACTTGAGGGTGTACATAATCGCTTAGTTGTTGGACTCCGATTTCATTGAATCTAGGAGAAGCGGGGACTGGGTTCAAGTCAGTATCTACATTTTTGGTACCGGGAGATGCAGTAGTCCCAAGCAGCGTACCGGAGAGCGATCGCTTAGGTGAAGCTTTGTCATGAGCGGTTGCTGAAAAGCCCCGTTGGCTCTCTCCCACAACCCGTTGCCATGGCTGGCCATGGACAAAAAGTGCTGGGCGCAGTCGCAATCGCAAACGTGCTGACCTTGCGACACCCCTGGAATAAGGAGTGTAGGAAGAATTCCAAGATAACATTGTATGATTATCAGGATCGCGGGTATATCAGGTCATAGCGGATGCGACCGCAGCCTTGTCGGGACTGCACTTGAGGATTTCGACCGTGTAGCGAGGGATTTCGATGCAAACTGCAATATCTTTGATATCACTGCCTATCGCGGTATCTTGAGGCGTCATGCCGGAGCGGAGGAACCTGTCGCCGATCACCGACCGCCTTCTTGTTTTAGTCGCTCCTCCCTTATCAGCCAGCGATAGCGGGACCGCTCACCCAACCTGGGCAGATTCCGTATTCACTTCTCTTCCTAATGGTCCCATCTCTGTAAGTCAATATTTTCTCGTCGCTCTCGCATCGTTGCATGAACGACAGCTTCCAGCCCTTAGACGAGGTTCACGAAACGCTCTTCCCAAAGATCCTCCCGCTGCGATCATCTTCGGCGCCTCATTCCGTCTGGCACTGTCCCCCGATTTCCAGCGGTCCAGGACGACTTTGGTGTACTGGTCACCTTTGTTACTCTCGTTTTGAAGAGCCGTACAGTATCAATCTACCGAGATCTCGCCCTCGCCCTCGAAACACGGTTCGAATATGAGCCGCAGGGCTTCAATCGTCGATCTCACCTCAGCGTCGTTGCCCCGTCCCCATCCTCCCTTCTCCTCAACCACATCCATCCATCCCATATCGGTATCCCCAGAGCGTCAGACAAGTCCTATTTGGGGGGAATCAACACGGCCACGGAGATTGAAAAGACGCCGTGAGAACGATGATCCCCAGTCACCAGGGCCATCATCTCGGCGGCGAAGAGAAGAGCCCATCGATGCGATTGATTTGACCGAGGTTGACAGCTCGTCGGAGCTTGCGAAGTCATTATCTAAACAAAGGGAAGATGCCGTCAAGTCTCAACAAACTGGCAGTCATGACGAGGAGACGAAGGCCCGCTCTTTATTGGGCGCTTATAAGTGTCCGATATGCATGGACACACCAGAAGATGCAACAAGCACTGCATGCGGTATGTTTTCAAGTCTCAATAGCCCTTCAACTCTGATATGTTGAAACTTACAAGTATTTATGATGCAGGCCATCTTTTCTGTCACCGTTGTATCCTCGAGTGTTTGGCGACCGCGGATGCCAGAAACCAAGATTCGTCAAAAAATAAAGGAACATGCCCCGTCTGTCGAAAATCAATCACAAGGAATGAAAAGACGGGGCCTCGCAGAAGTCTCATTCCTTTGATGCTGAAGTTAACGACCAAGAAACGGAGCATAGTACCGCTGGCCCAAACCTGATATTGCACCTATTTATATTTCCCGTCAAGCGTGGCGGCATGAAGCATTTTATTGGCGCTTGGCCTGTGTATAATACTGAATCGCTAAGTCTGGCATACCCAGAATTTTATCATTTTCTATGCATCACATGAGTGGTCGGACCTTGGAAGGAGATTTTATCAGCCATACCAAATTTGAGCTCAAATTAGTATGAACCTGCTGAATGAAACGCTATGTTATTGTAAAGGTGAAAATTTTGATATTCAAATGAGCGCCAGATTCTCGGATTTCCGCGAGTCCAAACATATAGGACAAGGATACGGTATTGAAATTATGGACTTGCAACACACACCACGGATGTACACGAAATCATCATCATAATCAAATAAAGAATCGCAATATCAAAACGCCCCGAAATGCTAAGCATAGGCAGCCCAACCTGGAAAGTGTCAGTTTTCTGATTGGTATCTAAAAGAAAATTGCAGGATGACATACCGCAATAGAGAACAGCAAGATTTTTCTCATCCGTAGCCTGTTGAATGAGCTCGTTGACAGTGGCAGTGACACTCAATGTCTTGCCTAACTTCTTGGCTACAACTTTCAAGGCTCGATCAGCCTCACTGGGCTCATTCTCTGAGGGCTTTTCCGTAGTAGTCTCAGAAAGAACAGGCGGCCCATCGTTGCCTTCTTGGTTATCCTGCATCTTCTTCATGCGCAGAGGAGAGACAGTCCAGCTGTAGAGTGGATCGTAGCGGAGAACGTCCAGAATTGTCATTATGCTGTAAGACTCTTTTCGGAGAGCCTCCAGAGTAAATTCACAGCATCGTCTGAAGACGCCTTCAGTCTTGGTGATTCCGAAGCCGTCAACAAGGTCTCTGGTCAGGCGGAAAGGGACCACTTCAGGAATGGGGAGAATGCGACCTTGTTCAAATGCAACACCCAGATCAATGTGCACAACCTCTCCAGTCTTCTCGTCCAGGAGAATGTTATGACCATGTCGATCGCCGAGTCCAAGTACATGTCCGAGAATTGAAATCGCCGCCGTACTTCTTGTGTAGGAAAGTCGCCTGCTGAACCAGTCATCTGGATTATTGAACCTCTCCATGAAGAAGTATTTCATAACCGGGTGGAAGCTTTCTGTCACTTGGCGATATGTCCTCACTCGCTGTTCAAACGACTTGGTCTGCACCTCCGCAATTTGCTTCCGACAAGCGTTTGGCTTCATGTCCTTGGGGAAATACCGCTGGTGGGCAGGCATCAGGAAGTCACCTAATGGGACGGTGTTTGGAACGAATTCAATAATGCCGGCATTAAGCGTCAACGGGAGGACCTTGTAAGTTCGAATGCCCAGGTTTCGATGGCGAGTTGGCTGGTGATCTTTGAGCAAACTGCTGACTTGCTCAAACACTTGCTCCATGATGGCATCTTGGCGAAGATCATCATTTCCACCCTTGTACTACAATCCTGTTAGACTGAATTCAAATGACGTGGTGTAATGGATTATTATAAGTGATCGAGTAATAACATACCAGCTGCTTATAACGGACACCATCAGTTGCGACGGCTGTCACAATCTTTGGTGCACTGACGCCTGACGCAATTGTGAATTCGGGAAGGAAAGTAGCAGTTGAAGGCACATTGCTGTAGTCACGGTCGGGTCGAATATCGATTTTCATGGTAGGTGGTGGCAGCCTGTACGTGGTTACATCTTGCTCAAGACGCTTCCCCGTAGCCAGTTTATCCAAACGGATTTTGGCTCCACTCTTGTACTTGCCGTCGGGCTGATCGACGGCGAAGCGCACATAAGTGATGTTCATATTGTGGACAGCGACCCAGGTAGAGCCAACACTCTTGTCGTTCTTCAGGCGATCCACGAGCTTGTTTGCAGCGCGGAAACGAGAGTGAGAGGATTTATCTTTTCCTCCCTTTGACTTGCTGCTAGCAAAGATTTGATACATCCCGTGAAATGGATGCTCTGCACAAATTCTAAACACAAGCTCCGTGAGAAGCGATTGAAAATCATCTGTCACATCAAGAAGACGGGAAGAGAGCTGGTTCATAAGCGCTGCAAACTTCCAGCTGGGGACATCATTAACATATCGAGAGACGGCGGTATTAGCTGTTTTGCTATCCGATTTATCGAGCCAGAGCGCACAGAATCGCAGAGCGTCATTGTTGTATATGTCGCTCTCCCTTAGTGCGAGCAGGTAATTTTCAAGACACTGTTGCAGAAAGGCTTCCTGGCTTCGCAACAAACGTTGGTATTCCCGGTCATCGAGATCGAACCATCGTTTTGTATTCTTGGAGAATGCTTTCAAAGACTCTTTTTCACGGCCCTGTGACGTTTTAATCATTTCTTCGAGGCCAAGAAGTTCCTTCTCTTTGCGATCTCGAAGTTGTTTCACCCTCTTAAAGTCCTCCAGTACATCAGGATTCAGCAGTTGCTCATCACAGAATGTCGCAAATCCGTGATACACTCGTCCAGCCGCTTCTCCCTCCGAGGCTCCTTTCAGCTCTTTGACTGCCGGATACAAGTACTCCTGGAGGATTAATTCGGGCTTCTCCAATCGAGCCTCGGCGACATGATGGCCGAGAGTTACAAGCAACTCAGCACGGCTGAGTGGAATCGCTTGTTTGTTAAGATCTCCTTGGCCTTTGAGTTGCTGAAGCATGCGAATCGAGGCTGTCATTTCTCCTTGATCCCAGAGGACGTTTGCAAGATCGAACGTTGCGGCTCCTTCAATATTCATACCCAATTCACCACAAGGCACAGAGAGTTTGGAGAGGCTGATAGCGGACTTCAGGGACGCCTGTGAAATGCCGTGACTTCGGGTAACTTCCAACGACTGACGGAATACTTTTGCTTCCATCAGGCGAGAATCCTCCAGACTCAAGTTCTGCTTTGACCTTAGAAGCTCCTGTTTTCTGATTGACGAGGAAAGCCCCTCATGCCAGCTCAAGATCTCTCCGACTTCATTATAACTTTCAGTCTTGAGCCAGCTGCTGCGGTCAATAATTTTGTCCCATTCCCGTTGCATGTCCTCAGGGGAGGGTGATTGAATAACGTCTCCCATCTCCGCCAAGATTCCCATGGCGCGCATCGCAGTACGTAGCTGCAATTCAGATCGACCGTTTTCGATTGCACCGTCCAGGGTTGTTAAAATACAGTTATCGATGCAGTTGACAACTTCTGACAAACTTGAGGATGTGTGCAAACTCTGGAAAGCACGGAAAATTGTTGCTTGTGGTGACGAGTCTAAGGGTGAAACAGGAATATCCCATTGCTGAAGACTCATGGCTGCTTTCAAGGAGCTATCGGAAGGAATCTGCGTATCCTTTGATGTCCCTGAGGCGGTCAACATTGTATTGGAAATGCCTTGAAGATTTGTAGCGTTCAAAGCTTTCAGCACGCCGAAGGGGTTTCCATTATCCAACAGCTGGATCTCGCTATCATACTGAGCGCTTTGGAACAGCAGATTTTTGAAACCAGAGCCCTCGTATTCCAGCCTTTCCATGACAGTCTGCAACGATGAGCTCTGCTGAATTCCATAGAACAAGTCTGGATCATCAATGTTTTTGAATACGCTATGCACAAGTCCAACAGGGGGTTCGAATCTGGAGACAGAAGAACGACGAGATCCTGCGATGATCCTCGAGGCCTCGATCTCAAGGAATAAAAGAGAAGTTTTTTGAAGACCACAGAGATGCGCCGCGGATGATGCCTTGGCAAAGTCGATCTCAAGCCATTTGTCCCGTTGGGCTATCGTCGCTTCTTCCGGGAAAGGTTGGTTCCGCAGGTACAGGATGCAGTTTATGACTACTCGAGCATGCGACGTGGTCTTCTCGTGTACACTGCTCAACACTTCTCTGAAGGCAGAAGAGATGGCTTGTTTTAGAGGTCCCTCCACATCTCGTTCCGCCAACAGGGTATCATGAATGATATATGGCAATATCTGGACAGCCAAATCGGGGATCACATTGAGAGATTTGCGAAGAGGCCCAATCACCGGATCGTCTAGAACAGCACCTGAGAGAAAAAGAGAGATGTTTCGGGCCCATTCGGCAACAGTGAGACCCGTCGCACTTATGTCTGTTTTGCTGCATCGCTCCAGTTCCAGGGAGGAAAGTGTTATCTCGGGACAGGTGTAGGGATTCCAAAGAAGAGCTTTCATCAATGAGTCCGGAATAACCTCGGCGCAGGGCTGAACTTCAGGACAGTTGGTCGTGATATTATTCAGAATCGTTTGCAAAGTGTGTTCGATCAATCCGGCTTGTATGTTGTCCTGTGTCTGTAATTTGTCGCACAGCGCTTGGATTATCCGAGCTTTGGAGTGGCAGAAGACCGATTCTTCGTCCAAGCCAGCCCTCACAAATAGGGACAGGTCTTGCTCCCTCAGCAGGTTATCATCGATTTGCCCGTTCGACGCAAATGAACGCCCAATGACCGAGGCGGCCCACAGTCGGTAATCTTGCCCTCCGTCAAACTTGTGAAGTGTATGCCACAGTGGGACAACTAGGTGAGACGAGTCTAGGTGCTCCGCGGGAATTGCCCCTTTTGGATCCAGCGACCGCTCAAAATCAGAACACAGTAGAGACAGGGCAAGATCACACATCGGCTTTCCCAAGAGGGAATTGGCTGAACCTCGGTCGGTGAGAAGCTCAAGCATTAATATCTCTTGTAGTTTGAAACCTGATGTCTGCTCTCTGTGGGATATTTGCAGCGACAGATTGAACATTTTGAAGAACGACTCCTTCACAGTCAAGTTCCAGTTTGCAAAGTTCTCCTTTTCCACAAAATCGCAAAGCCATTGGTGAAATCTTTCAGCGTTTGTAAGAACGCTCCGGAACTGCCCCTCGTCTGTATTCTTTCCCGATTTCAATGAGAATAGGCTGCTAAGAGTTGCAAATGTGGTGATGCAAATTCCAGCCGTAAACCCAGGGTTTTCTGTCAAGTAGCGCTTTCCGGCTTCGAGGAGGTACCACATAATGCCCAAAGCATCCTCGGAACAGTGAATATCAGATATGAATGGCCGAAGAGAGTGAAGGAGCATCTCAAAGGGATAATCCTGGAGGACGATAGAACCGCACAAACAGACAAGGATTCTGATTTTCCGGATCACGGAGCACTTGTGAAGAGAACCAAGGGCAGGGTGTATTGATTCAAGCAGCGACCGGCACACGAATGTCGCGAGTGTGGGGGTCCACATGGACTCGAGGTCGAAGCCAGCTAACTTGCAAAGAAAGTCAAGCTCGTCAAGGAGATATCGGGCTCGGAAGGACGGCTGCTGGTTGGCAGGCAGAGAGCTTTGCGGAGCGCAATTTCCAACAATACGCGCTTGGATATCAGACGCATACTGAAATTTCGGTCGTTTTGAAAATGCGCGTTCAATTTGGTCGAATCGATCAAGTGATCTGAAGAAAGTAGTGATGACCCGTGGGAATTGGGCTTCAATTTCTGTGATGAACCCTTCCGCGCCGAGCAACTTTCGCAATCGAACCTCGACGCCCTTAGGTTGGCTTCCTTGCCCCGGTGGTGTGCTAATGTCGCGTGCAATGCTGTATGCTTCTGCCTTGGGGAATGAAGCCTTGATGAGATCGATATGTGGAATTTCCAGAAGGTCTGCAAACTCCTGTATCTCTGACTCTCTGCCTCGCATCATCATTTGCCCAACAATCTCATCCTGGACGTCTGCCAGCATTTCTTCAAGAGTCGCGTATTCAAATATGCTGAATGGCATTGCGGTGAAGCTTTGTGTCTCGGTCCAGGTGTACAGTATTTGGGATGCGAAGAGGCGGAACAATTCTCGAGAGTCACTCAGGCCAAGTGCATTAGAAGTTGACTTCATGCATTTTTGAGCATACCCAAGAGAAAGCGGAACATGAGCTGGAGTCTCAAACATATGATAGATGCTCCTGCGTAGCAAAGTGTGCCATTCTGAAGCCAGGCGAGACAGCACAAAGAGGCGTAGAGCAATGCCTTCGAGCCAGTCTGGATCTCTCGGCAAATTTTCCAACACGTCGTCAAATATGACGTCGTGATCCTTGAAAAGGAATCGTCCAAATAAACCAGGGAGCAGCTTGGCAGCACTGAACTTGACTTGGATGTCTCCTTCGTGAAGGATTTTGAGAAGACTTGTGCGTGGCGACGGCAGGGATTGATCACTGCCATAGGAGGGCCACGTATCAAGAACAGTCTGAAGAAGCTGGAGCAGGAGAACATAGATGTTTGGCGAGGCTCGTTTTTTGCTCAGTAGATCCTGGATAAACCAGTTATAAACATCCATGGCTGACTCATTGAGTGTGTCACTTTGGTCGTTGGCCCAGGAAGTAGCAAACCCAGTCATCATACAAATGCAAAGGCTGTTGGAAGCCTCGCACCGCTCCATTTCATATGACGATAGACACTTCTCTCCGAAATCCTCAAGAATTCGTAGAATATGTTCTCTCGGCATGTTTGACCAAGCGTGGAAGATTCCAGACAAATAGTGCGATGCCGAGAGCATATCCGCTGAGTTAAGCCCATTTAGATAGTCTACCAGCGCTGCTTGCTCCGGTGAGTTGTCCTCAGTATCACCTCGTAACAGTACTGACATTTGAACAGTCAAACAGCGCTGAAAAGTGGAAGCATCTGAGATCAAAGGACTCTGCTGCCGGTTCAGAGAAAGAATACTTTGGTCCGTCGATATTTGGTCATCACCGGTCGTGAGTCGATCGTCCATGTCCATAGCGTCACTGGCAACCGATGCGGCTGATTCCTGGCCTTGACGAATCCTTTCAAGAAGCTTTGCAAGTGGAGCAATAAGCGGAGAAAGAGCTTTCCAGAAAATATCATTGGTATTCGGCAGGGACGATGGAAGAAGGGGTGATAGAATCTCAAGGGATGGTACAATGAATCTCGGTCCATATGCTGCCATGCACTCAATAAGCCCACTCCACAGAACCTGGCAGTTCCGGTCAAGATCTTGCACCTGAGATCCAAGGCGCTCTGGCTGACATGCCACGAAGAGAGCAGATGTGATGCAAAACGAGGTCAAGATTTGCAGGATATCTGGAGTGACATGGAGTGATTTGTCCTCGCTTATTGCCCGCCATGTCTGGAGAAATGATTCGGATTTTGATCGCAACAGCTCCAGAATCACTGAATCATCAGTGTGCTGGCGATTCGATGAGCCCAAAACCCACGACACCAGTCCGTTCCATGGATTGGCATTGCGGACGACCTCGTCGATTCCAAAGAGATATTCCAGAAGTTCGCTATTTTCTTTCATGAAACACCAGGTTCCAGCCACAGAACCTGTGGTGCCCGGCCTAATATTGGGTGGCAGTTCGAATGGTCTTTCGGTGCATGCCAAAAAAGATTCAACAGATTCAACGGCCGTGCGAATCCGGCGATCTGTGCAGTTTGGATTCGTTCCGTGACAGTTCCTAGGGTTTGATTAGCGGAGTGGAATCATAGAACAGCGCTCGGAAAATATACCGATAGCCCAAGCCTCTCTCAGCCAGCTGCAAATTTGCTTGGACGCATTTTGAACGGACGCAAGATTCAATTGCGTTTTCCGTCGTGCTATCGAGGCCCATAGGCCTAAGGATGCGTCAGAGAGCGTAGAGGGACCATTCAAGCTTGCGGACGCCAATGTTGAACGAATGTATTCTGTGACAACCGAGTAATCCAACAAATCGGATTCGAGAATCAGGCTCATGAGGTTGCACGCAGCTCTTGACGTGGGAAACGAAGACACTGCACGAGATGTGAGATCCACAATCTTTACCCAGGAGTTCTTGAGTGGTGGCAGCTTAGCGGCAGAACAGCCAGTGAAACTGTTTTGATAACTGGGTCAGATTAATCAATGCGGTGAACGCAACTCCCATTTGACATACCTTGCCAATGCCACCATAGTCCATGATGAAGCAGCACTGTTATCATCGACGATGCTAGGGATGAGCCGCTGAATTAATTCCTCTTTTCTTTCGAAGCTAGTCCCATTTTCGAGGTGTCCATTCTCAAGAAAAGGGACCAGCTGCAATGCACAAATTCGCCGAGTTCCAGTTGCAGATACCGCATCTCGAAAGATATCATCAACCCCAGAATTGAAACGTCGTCTTTTGCTGGGGCCTTCCTGGGATGCATCATCGTCCGAAGTACGAAAGGCGATACGCTCTGACAACATCACAAGAGTCGCAATCGCCCATACTAGTGTCCAGCTCTGTTCTGAACGTTGATTTCCAAGACGAGGCCCATAGATCGGTCTATCGTTTTTCGCAGTGTCCTTGTGCAAGAGGATTTCGTCGATCTGAAGCATTTCCTTCTCCGGTCGTTTCAAGTACTCCGAATAAAGGGTATGTGTCAGTCCTTCAATTGACCGCGTTAGCATTTCAGATGGTTGCCCCTCGGTTGGTTCCTTGCGGACCGCATCGAGAAGGATTATTACGCAGAACATCACAGTCACAAGCAACTCGTCCCTGACCGTTTGCAGCTTCGTGGACCACAAACGCCGAAGTACTGGAATCAAACCTAGCAAGGTTGATCGAACTAGGTCTGACTGGTCGAATAAAACCTTCGAGACAAGCGCATTGATGCTACTGAACGCCAGTTGCTGGGTACTGCCTGCCAACGTGGATGACAACTTGACGAAACCGACTAGTCCCTGCAAGATGTTCTCTGCAGTGGCTTGGACTGGAGCATTCGGGCTTGTGACCAAAAGCTGGATACACTCTACAACCTCTCCGGTGACATTTCTATCACTCACGTATTTCTCCCTCAAGGCCGGCGCGGGTGTCATTCTTGACGGTGTGGAACGGCTGTCACTGACATCGGGTAGGTCTTCAGGGGCAGACCGCTGCCCATCGGTTCGGATGCTGAGCTGGCTTTCATCACTATCTTGGTTGCTGATGACTGCCAAGCAGAAATCTATGAGCTTTTCCCATTCAGCATCGCCTAGGTGCTCGATGTGGGGTGCGTAGCGAAGCAATGACGCCAGGCACTTGGTATAATCAACACTCAGAGGCTCCCACAGTCCTTCTCCTGGAGCGGATATGGTTTCGGTTATGTGGTCAATGATCGCGCGGACGGTTTTAAACCTCAAATTGCGCAGGAAAATATCAACTGTAGTCCGCAGCACAGACGCGCAAGTGGACAAACGTGCGGTGGAAGGGCTTCGGGAATTCGACCGTTGAGCTCGGTTGTAAATCAATCTTTCCACTGCGACAAATCGGAATAGCGACTCGAAAATCTTGTGACAGGCCTTGTCATTGAGGTCCGAACTAGACCAGCCGCAATTAGCATTACAGGCACCACCTGAAGGAAACAAATGGGGGTCGACCACTTACACTCTTGAGCTTCCTCTATATTGCTGTAGTATATGCTTAAGATCTTCGATGCCAGTCAGTACCATGAATCAAGCTCGGTCGTAAAATCGGGCCAACCAACCTGCGAGGCCATCCGAGCGCTCCTTCTGCTTCTCCGAGGTTAGCAGCTCGAGAGCTTTGTCAATGAGAAGAGTCCCCATTGTGACGGAGGAGCACCGGCGAAGACCTTCCGCACTAGCAGCTGTGGTGATCCTTTCACCCACGCGCAAACCTTTTCAGTCTACGATGGGCTTTGCATCGACCAGGGAATCCGCGGTGATTGTTGATGCGCCGAGTGGCAGGCGGCGCGGAGGTCACCGCCCTCCGATAGCTGACTACTGCTAGATTGAATCGCGCACACCCATGGCATTACATACTATGGTCTAGTTGGCATTTTCTTGATTCAAGCTGGGGATCTTACTTTCCAAGTAACAGTCGTAACTACTCAATGATTTTTTAAAAAGGGGTATGCGCTCAATTCGAGAAAGCAAAGTTGCGGAGTGGACACCACCAGTAATTGGTGAGGGCCAGGCACACCGCCCGGAATTTTGATCGCGTTCCGCAACAGAGCTCTGAGCTGCCCTTCCAAACTTTCTCACCCCGCGCGCCGCTATGGCAGAGCTTCACGATACCCTGGCAGGCTTGCGTGGCCTGTATCAGGATCTCTCTGCTGTGTCGGAATCCTCATTCATCAACATTGAACGGCTAGTTGTTGAACTGGAGTCGCATATCGAGGACTTCCGAAAACTCCTAGACAAGCCCGCCAAAAACAATGCCAGTCGCCAGAAAGTCCTGACAGGTGAGTGCCGGACGCCTCAGTTTTCCACTCCGCCCGGATACAAATCTCCTAACCGGTATCATAACCATACAGGAAAGATAACGGTTGCCGATATCGAGTACTCAATCAATCAAGATTTCCAGCAAGGCGCCCTCACGCTCGCTGATGCCCTGGACATCGATGAAATGGAGGCTGCGGCGATGTTTATCGCTGCCCAGGAAGACTCCCAAGTGCTCGATCGACCCCCTCTCATTGCAGCGATTATGCGCTTCCACGAACGCCGACACTTCGTCTTAGAATGTTTGCGCCTGGTTCTCCGCGAGTCCTTCGAGGTGGAGCATGAAGCGACCCATGTCATGATGCAAGAAACGGTTTCTTTTGTCCTGGATATCAAGAACGGGGCCCCGATGCACAATGCATCATTGTTCGCTCGGAAAGCTATGGATTCCATGGGAAGCATTGAGAAATGGCTAACGCTGCTAAGTGAGCAAGTCCAGAAGGCGTCGATCGTTGGCCAGGAAGGCGACGCGGATACCATGGAGGCGATTGAATATCAGCGCCGGAGCTTGCAGCAGCAGCACGAGTCTCTAGGCGCCATTATCTTCTACCTGTTCAAGTCGGCATATTTGAGCTCTGAGGATCTTCGCATTCTCGTCAACATTTTGAAGAAGATTGAGCGCTTCGACGGTTTGCTGATCCACTACGTTCCCGTCGCCATTGAGTCCTTTTCTCGCTACGGATCCCCTGAGAACACTGGTGTTCCGCGTGAGGAAGCGCGCAGCCTACACACAGCCGTCACAACAGCCAGGGATGGCCAGACATGGAAATTGCCCAACTTTCACGCTGCCATCACTGCGCTGTGGCTGTCAGTCTACAGCGGATGGTACTATGATGACAGTCCAAGCGCGCAGACATCCGGAGTCGATATCGAGGCTGAGTCGAAGCAGTGGCAAAAGCAGTTTCTCACCAGTCTTGACGAAGGGGCTCTCGATTTCCTGCTCGCAATCTGCTCTAATGTCAACAGTGAGGAGTGGGCTGATCCAGCTCGCAGCGAGCTGGTTGCATTGCTTCTGCGAGAAAGCGACATTGCCCTCCCCGAATCCGATCTTTGCAGCAGTTTCATGAAAGAGCTGTTGATGGAAAGCTTCCAAGGCTTTGTCGAGTCGTGCATCGCAAATATGCCGGACGCGATCCGAAAGCTTAAGTCAGAGGAAGATAGCCAGAGACTGGATCAGCTCACGGCCCTTAGGGAAGGTTTGAGCTCCAGCCTTCACCGTGGTTTGGTAGAGGCACGAACCCACCTTGAATCGTTGCTTATGGTCATTTCCTTTGCTTTCGAGCACCGCGAAGAAGCCGCCCAGGAATTCTGGAGTGATCCCGATAGCAACATGTACGGCTTTCTCCAATGGGCTTCCAAGCGTCAGACAGTGCCCCGTGTGAGTGCCTTTTGTGAGATGCTTTGCGCTATCTCCGAGGGTGAAGAAAACGCCTTAGCCGCACATAGATTTTTGTCTGAGGAAGACAAATTCATGGGTTCCAAACTCAAGCGGTCTTCTACCATGAACTGGACGCAGATGTTCGCCGAGTTACATCTTTATGCCACTCGGGTTAATGAGAAACCTTCTAGTGGCAACACCCAGCACTTGCGTGCACGCAAGCCAGACCCTGTTGATATGAACGAGCCTGAGAGCCCGGTCATGCTCACCTGCTACCTACGACTGATGGGGCACTTGTGCAAAAACAGCGCGGCTGTTCGAGACTGGATGCTGCAAAACCAAACATTCAAAGTTGTCGAAACCCTTCTGCACCTCTGCAGCGGACCGATTCCAACTCACTTGAGGGCAACCACTTTCACAGCACTCTCTGCTTTGATGGTCGACAAAAGCACCGTGTACGGCGAATCTATGTGGAATTCTATCGACAACTGGTTGTCAGCTGGGTCGTTAGCTGCATCAGCCATCGGCAAGGTCCCCGCTACTTCTGAAACCTCCGCCTCGAATCAGCAGCAATCTTTGCAGAAGATTGGCGAGAGCTTCGATCAGACGAATGCGTTCGTCATGCTTCTCAACTCACTGATTGCCCCCGCCAACTCGACTGAAAAATACCTTCCGCTCTCTTTCACTGACAATCTGGGGTCTACGTATCGCATGGCTGGGATTGAGCCTTACATCGACTTTGTTCTGGGACACGCCCTGACCCGCAAGCCCCAGGATGTCAAGGAATACCAATCGCGTTTGCTCAACTACAATTGCCTGGAATTCATTTTGTCGAGCCTGAGAACCTTCAACGAAGAATTTGTGACCGTCTTCAGTCAACCGACTCTTTCTGCGATTGGAGCAACTACACTTGTCGACTATGTTCGTTTGCATCCATTTACTCGTGTTATGGAATGGCTTTTCAATGAGGACGTGCTCAAAGTCTTGTTCTCGACCAGTCAGCAAGACATTTCCGAAGTCGCCCGCATGTCTTCTGACTCGGTCCTGGTTCTGTCCTTGCTCCGCAGCGTTGAGGTAATGAACCTGATTGTTGACCTTCAGTCCACCTATTTCAACATCGTGAAGCCTTTGCTCAGGTCCCATGTCACGGGTAATAAGGCAAACGTTGCCAATTCTTCACTTGCCTCGTTTGAGGACAGCGTCCTGAATAATTTGACACTGGTACCCGCACTCTGCCTTTATTGTGGTACTGGGCACCAGCAACTCACTGTCACTTCGTTGGCTTTGCTGGAGAAGTTTACGAGTTCCCGTAAGCTAAACAGAATGTCTTCACCAGAACTTACAAAGTGGCAATCTTCGAATAAGATTGTTGAGGTACTAGCTAGCGAAGTAGACGTCGACAGCGTCTCTCGCTCTCTTGTTTCCATGATGGACCCAGACCCAAGAGAGTTGGAACATGGCTCTGAAGCTGCCGGTTATGTCATTCGGGAAAGCTTGCTGGCCCTCTTGAACAGCTGCCTGAGCATGATCACGGATCGGCCTACTGTTGCTCATCTCCTTCTCGGGTTCAGTTCTATTAGCAATGTTCTTGACGTGCCATCGGAGGGCTTGTTCGCCAATCGGATGTCTTTGCTGCACGCCATCATTGGTTTTCTGCAGGTTTATCCAGACAATATGGAGGACAGCATCATGTCGTGGACAATTCATCTCAAGCGCATGGCCTTTGAGGTCTTGAAGCATCTCTGGTCCTCAAGGATTGCCAGTTACTTCACCCTCGGCGAACTGCGGGTTCACAGGTTTTTAGCAAACATGTTTGCCACCCAGCCTATTATTGGCCCTAATACTCTCTGGGATGGCTATCCCATAGCCTCCGATCAATTCTGGGTTACCCATGGTACTTCGGCCTTGACAGAGTTCCTGCTATACCGCAGCCATCTCTTTGCGTATGCTGCAACCGAAATCCGCTCAGCGGCCAAGATCGGATCACCGACGCTCCAAGCCGATATTATCGCGACCTTGCTCGGATCCTCCGTTCTCGACGATGGTCAAACAGTCAATAATCTGTCCGTATTTGACTTGTTTGACTTCGCGGATATAGACGTCAGTCGTCACTTCGAGGCCCCTCAACTGCCTATGCTTGCCAAGGTTGTATCCGAAGTGTGGACTAAACAAGAGGAAACGTCGACTATGTACAATGTCGCCGAGCTGGATCAACTGATTCAAGCCCACAAAGAGCATGTCTTCGGTGCAAACGCCCCTCGTCCCAATGAAGAGGAACAGTTCCAAATGGAGGCAGAGGCACTGAAATTAGTCGTTCTTGCGAGAAATCAGAGCCGTCAACTTCAACAGAACCGCCACCTCGCCCTGCGGTCCTGGACTGAGCTTATCACCACGATCGTTTCTTGCTCCATCATCGACGAAGCAAATAGGCCGACATTTGTTCTGCACGCCATTCAATTAGTCCTTCCCAAGCTCGAGGTCGCCATTGAGGGAGATTCTCCGGAGGCTATCGAGCTGGCGCGATTGGCCGAGACACTTATCAGCAGGCTTGCTTCCGATATTGCCGCCGGCCCTGCTTCTCAAAGCGGAGACATAATCGACGAGAAGCTCCTCCAGCTTTTCCAAGTCTCGGCGCGAGGAATCCTTTTGGCCTCGGGTAACGCCAACTTGCGGGAGGTGCTTTACAGTATAGCTGCACAGTACCTCACCCGCATCACGTCGCCCGACTCGGCACACGACAGCCTTAGACGTCACAGCCAGCAAGTCGTTAGAGCAGCAGGGCCAGGTCTTGTTGAAGTCATCTGCGATGATGCTTATACTGGTGATGAGACTTCTCGTGCGGCGGCTCTTCTACTGTTGAATTGTCTCGCATCTTTGGACAACCAGACAGAGTGCTCTCTGGCCGAAGTTGTCTCACAGTCGAACTATCTGAGTCTCTTTATGGACGCGATCCAGTCAATCTCCCTTGAGTTGCGGAACGCTCAGGCAGCCGGTGAGCTTCCAAATCCTTTGCCCCTTCTCTCCGTCTTCATTCCTCTAACTTGTTCATTCAGATACCCCTGCCTTGCTGGAATATTACGAATCACTGCTGGCACTTCTTCAACAGTTTGCTCAAACCAAGAATGGTGCCATTTCCGTTCTCAAATCAGGCCTTTTCGATTCTGTTCGCGAATCTCAGCTGTTTGCTGCTGATCCCGATATTGGCATTGGTAAGTCCCACGTGCACAGGCTCTTCTCCCAACATACCTTACTAACTTCCACTAGATATTGATGACCCTGATTCACTCCGCAAGTACTACGACCTTCTCTTGTCCCTGGTCCGCGTTATTGTGTCTGCCGTCTTTTCTCGAGGCGTGCACAACGAACAAATCAAGGTACAAACTCGTGTCTTCATCGCCGAGAACCGATCTTGCATGGTGGGTATTTTCAAGCGATTTGCAAAGATCGGTGGAAGCGGGGACGCTGGTCATCACGAAGCTCTTTGTGAATTGGTCAAGTCCTTCATGGCTCTCGTGACTGCCACTGAGTATTTGGAGGTAAGTGGTTATGAACATTGGTAAGACTTTATAAGTGCGAAAATGACCATCTTTTTAGTTCGAGGATCAAGAAGCGCGACAGACTAATCCACTTATGATGTCGTTCTCATGATGGATCGAGAATATTTCGTTTCCTGAGGATTGTGGTGGGAAACGGACAAGCATGGCGTGTACCATATCACAATGAACGGAGTGTGGGTTCCCTGACTTTTGAAGCTGAGCGATTCTGGAGTTATGATCATATTTGAAATGCATTTCCACATAAGCTTGTTCCTTTCATCTTCTTAGTGACATTGCTCGAGATCCTTCCCGTGGTTGACTACGGTGCTGTACCTAATGGGTAGATGACCAGCATCGGTAGGTAGATGTGATGGTGACATTTTCTCGCAATCACAAAGCACAATTCTACTAGCATCTACCTAGTATGTGTGCCTCAGATTCGTATGCTGAATGTCTCACAAGAGTCAGTAGAATGTAGCCATCGCATCACAGATTCGGATACAAAATCGGTGGTGTCTAAGGTTATTGTGGCACTCGGCAGAAACCACGTCGATAGGTATCGTACTGGTAGAAATGCGAGAAGAATCTTTTTGTTTTATATGTATTGTCGTCGATTTCTGTCCTTAGTGCTGAATCCTGAAGGCCACACATCAACTATTGTTGGTCTGGAAATACCTCAGACTGGAATACTGCAACGACCCAAGCTCCGTATCTTATCGTCGTGCGGAGCCCAGCTTGGTCGCAAGGAGCCAGGACGTCAATTCCCCTCAACAACACCCGACTCCGCTCCACTCCGCCCAGGTCTGCGCGCTGGACATGCTCGATCCTTCACCTCAACCCACCCCCCAGCTAAGAGCTCTTCCATAGAGTCGGACTGAACCGGGTAGATGCAGTGGAACTCGAGCGATATCGACCAGAGGAGCGGTAAGCGCACATCGACCGGCAAGAGGAAGCCTCCTGATCAAGGAGAGCCAACGCAGCCGCAGTCGCAAAGGACCATCTCTGAGCTCCTCTCAAACAACTCGCACGACCATTCCCAATCACGCCCTCCGTCGTCTAAGCGCTCCCGTTTCTCCGTCTCCCCCGCACGCTCGACTTCATCGCATCCGGTTTCGCCGAACAAGATGTACAACTTCGCCGGTTCCCCGCCCAAGAACAGCGCGGCCTTTCTTCGAGCCAACGCGAGCTCAAACGGGGCGCCATCCGTTAAACCACATGCGATTCCTCCGAACAATCGTCAGACTACCTTCAGTCCTCATGGAGGTGCCAAGAAGCTGGTCGTTAAGAACCTCCGCACCGGGCCTCGGGCGAGCCATGAGCCTTATTTCGAGAAGACATGGACCCAGCTCAACGCAGCTTTGACGGCAATCTTTGAGGGCAGGAAGCCGGAGGTATCTCTGGAGGAGCTTTACAAGGGCGCCGAGAACATCTGCCGACACGAGCGGGCGGCCTTGCTAGCCAAGAAGGTGGTTGACCGATGCAAAGAATATGTGTCTGGCACACTACGTGAAAATCTTGTGAAAGGAGCGGGTGGCGGAACGGATGTTGATACACTGCGCGCAGTGATCGAGGCATGGTCAACTTGGCATTCGAGACTCGTATGTTGAGCGACCCTGTAACCTGATCACCAGCGTCGTACTAACTGTTCTAGATCACGGTACGATGGATCTTCTACTATCTTGATCAATCATTCCTTCTACATTCCAAAGACTTTCCGGTTATCCAAGAAATGGGTCACATCCTATTCTACACTCACATCTTTGCCGATCCGAGTCTAAAACCTAGGATCACGCAAGGTGCTTGCAATCTTATCGCAGCTGACCGAGGCGCCGAAACTGCCGTTGTCGCTGATTCCACTCTTCTTCGGGATGGAATCAACTTGTTTCACAGTCTGGATGTTTACAACAGCGAATTCGAGCCATTGTTCATCGCTAAAACACAGAAATTTGTCTCTTCATGGGCTGAACGAGAATCACGATCGTATCTAGCTTCATATGTCGATAACAGTCACCACTTGATCGAACGTGAAGTGGAGCGATGCAATCTGTTTTCTCTCAACCGGAGCACCAAACAGAAGCTGTCTGATTTACTCGACGAGATTCTGGTTCTCGAACACGAGGATGTTCTGCTCGATCGAACGGAAATTCTTGGTCTGTTGAGATCGAAAAACAGCAGAGCTTTGAAACAGTTGTACGACCTTCTGTATCGACGAGATCTTAGTGCCAAGCTTAGTGCGGCTTTTGGTGTATTCATCGTTGAAGAAGGATCCAGCATCGTCTTCGATGAAGGAAAGGAGGCGGAGATGGTCAGTCGGTTGTTGGAGTTTAAACGCCAGCTAGACGAGACCTGGGCCAACTCCTTCGATCAGAACAGTGAACTCCTGGATACACTTCGTCAATGCTTCGGAAAGTTTATGAACCTGGGGAAGAAGAGTGACGCCACGGGCGGCACCGACAATCCAAAGACGGGCGAGATGATCGCAAAACATGTCGACCGTTTACTCAAGGGTGGATGGAAAATGCCATCCAGTCAACAAGGCGCGACGATGGCTGACGAAGATGCCGAGGTCGACCGACAGCTTGACCAGGCCTTGGATCTGTTCCGATTCGTACAAGGAAAGGCCGTCTTCGAGGCGTTTTACAAAAATGACCTCGCCCGACGCCTTTTGATGGGCCGAAGTGCCAGTAACGAGGCCGAGAAGAGTATGCTCATTCGGTTGAAGAAAGGTAAGTTAACTGCATTCTGGCCTTTGACAATGCGTTCTATTTTAACAATGCATTACCATAGAGTGCGGACCCAACTTCACACACAACCTTGAGTCCATGTTCAAAGACATGGAAGTGGCGCGTGACGAGATGAACGCATACAAGAACCTTCAGCGAGAGCGTAGCCGCAAAGATCGTGCCCCAGTGGATCTCGACGTTAATGTACTCTCCGCTGCATCGTGGCCTTCATACCCCGACGTCCCGGTCCGGATTCCGCCGAGCGTGGCCGCGTCGATCGGCGACTTTGAAACATTCTACTACAGCAAGCACACAGGCCGTAAGCTCAACTGGAAGCATCAGTTGGCGCACTGTCAGCTGCGAGCTCATTTCCCTAAGGGAGCCAAGGAGTTGGTGGTCAGTTCATTCCAAGCCACTGTGCTGGTTCTGTTCAACGACCTGTCTGATGGTGAAACTTTGGGATATGCGGCAATCCAGGAAGCCACAGGACTTTGTAAGTGCTCAGAAAGTTGATTGAATTGCGTCGAAGCACCGCTTACTGAATTTCCCCTATAGCGGACCCCGAGTTGCAGCGAACGCTGCAGTCCCTGGCCTGCGCCAAGTACCGCGTTCTTTCGAAATCCCCCAAGGGCAAGGATGTGAACAAGACAGATACCTTCTCATACAATGCGGAATTCACCGATGTCAAGATGCGTATCAAGATCAATCAAATCCAGCTGAAGGAGACCAAGGAAGAGAACAAGTCGACACACGAGCGGGTGGCAGCCGACCGACAATTCGAATCGCAGGCGGCCATTGTGCGAATCATGAAGAGCCGCAAGACAATCAAGCATCAGGAACTGATCGTCGAGGTGACGGAGGCTACGCGCAGCCGAGGCATGCTGCAGCCCGCAGAGATCAAAGCCAATATCGAAAAGTAGGTGCTGGACCTTGCCCTTCCTTGTTCTATGATGGATGCTAACTTGGTACAGATTGATCGAGAAGGACTACATGGAACGCGGCGACAACAATACGTACAACTATGTCGCATAAAGATGGGGACTCTCTCTACGATCAAGGCAGCACACTGACCACGATCTCGGACCCCTATGATTATTTCTTCGAATCTTGAGGCAAGCGTTCTTCCTGGTACTGGTACCGTGCAACAGCGATAATGTGGTACTCGCTCAGGCCCTGTGCTTTGTACTGGACGCATCGATAGTTTTATGACCAATTCAATTGATCTTCTTCAATATGCATGTTCTTCGATGCTTGTAAGACCGTCCTCAGGGGATCCTTTCACCCTATCTCGACTATTCAAGTCTAGTCTGGAGCGAGTCGGAGTAGCTCCGATCCCAGCTTGGGAAGCTCGGTCACTGCCGATGCGGAAAATCAACCGCCGTTGGTCGGGGGATCGATTCCCGGTGAAGTACTAATGATCGGAACAGTACAGGACTTCTCGGCAGGGATTAAGGTACTAATCTTTGAGAGCGTTGTTGATTGAGAGGTCCCTAACAAGCACCCGCAACCCGGGGTTTCAATTGCTGTACGTACCCAGCTCAGTTTGCGGGATGACGGGGTCCCCACCCGATCTGACGGCGCGGGACTCCCAAAGGGCTCGAGGACGACCGGCGAGGACTTTTTTTTTGGCCTCCTGATGCCGCCACGGTCCAGGCACTGCAGTAAGTATACTAATTTTCTATAATTGTATGAAGTTCGAAGTGCATCGTCCAATGATCTGATGCTAGTAGTTATATTCTACCCTAATTACGTACTGTCTCACGCTGCACGAGGCTAGAAAATTCCGGAATAAAGTGGTGGTAGGTGCGCGGGCCCTAACCTCCTCCCAGTTGACCAGAAAAAGCGAGCCCAGAACGACGAGCACAGCAGAATAAATGTGAACAGCTCAGGCACTCGGGCGAGTCTTGCATCAGCGGTGAGGTCGACTCGGTCGATACGTCGCCACCGCAGAGTACCTGGCGGGATCTCCGCAAAAAGTAAGCCGAAGCGCCCCGGCCAGAACCAATGTGGACGCGTGCGGTGGATGAGATGGAGATCGCTTCGTTCATGTGAGCAGAAAAATGGATCGATGGAAATGCACCGAATGCAAGCTCGTCGCATAAAGAGCTGGAGCTGTCCTCAGCGCTGCTGCTGTTGCCTTGCCTTTTTCCCTCTTTCTCATACTTCCCGAGTCCTCGACGCCGTATACTCCAAGCTCTATACTATACAACTATCCAGCTACCCCACGATACACCTCCGGTATCCTCAGGTAGCTAACCCGCTATTCTTCGCGGTCTAGCCCTCTCCTGTGAGTTCCCCGACCTTGCCAGTTTCTCCAGCTCGTGGCGAATACCTCCCTGAAGTCCCCTGTGACCGTAGCTAACCTGGCCAGTTTCGCTGTGTCGCTCCCCACTTTTTTCCCCGCCTTGACGTCGCCCGCATTGAAACCCTGCGCCCGACGACGCTGCGATTGCAGGTTCCCAGACACGAACAAGAAATTCTAAGACGCTGTCAGTTGGAACGGCTGACCCTGCGATCTTCGTGCAACGAGTGACGAGCTTCCCAAATCAAGATCCTCACGCAATTGCCGGGTATTCGCCATCGCAGCTAGCGGTTCACACGAATCCACCTCTCGGATTTCCTAAATCGAACATATCGACAGAGCCGATCCACCATGCAGAGTACGTCGCCCGCTTTCCTCCAGGTCCACCCGGATGTGAGGGTGTTCCACCCTTCCCCCACTCCGAATGTCCCTCAAAATTTGCCAACCAATCCACATCCATGTCTGCAAGGCACGGGTGGCAAGCACGAATGCAGCTGGCTGACCGTCTCGCACAGCCAAACACTTCTTCTCCGACCCGAACCACCTGGTTCTGACGGCGCTGAATTCCCTGACCCTCACCAACCCGTCCCTTGCGTTGGACCGGGAGAACAAGATCGTGTTCAAGCGCCCCGATGTGCCCCGCAAGAAGAACAAGGTGTCTATCGTAACCGGCGGTGGTTCCGGCCACGAGCCCGCCTTTGCCGGCTTCGTCGGCCACGGTTTATGTGACGCCGCCGTCGCCGGCACCATCTTTGCCTCGCCCTCCGCTGAGCAGATCCGCAGAACCGCCATTGACCGCGTCCCCACCGACGAGGGCGTCTTGATCATCCCCAACAACTATACCGGCGATGTGCTCAACTTTGGTATGGCGACCGAGAAGTGTCGTGCGGCTGGCATCAAGACCGAATTCTTTGCCATGGCCGATGACGTAGGTGTCGGTCGTCAGAAGAGTGGAAAGGTCGGCCGTCGCGGAATCGGTGGTGGTATTCTGATCCTGAAGCTGGTTGGAGCCCTGGCCGAAGCTGGGTATGTATCTTTTGTTGTCCTTTGTATGAAATGTGCAAGAGAATATAGATGCTGACGAAGTATTTCAGTGGCAACTTGGACCAGGTCTACGGCCTCGCCCAGCAGGTCAATGACAACTTGGTGTCCATCGGTTCTTCTCTGGAACATGTCCATGTTCCTGGTCGTGGCGCCCCCGAGGACTCGATTGCTCCCGATGAGGTCGAGGTCGGCATGGGTATTCACAACGAGCCCGGGTCCCACCGGACTAAGTTTGACCTGGTTCCCTTGGTGACGACTATGCTCCGTCAGCTGCTCGACCCCAACGACTCCGACCGTGCTTACATTAAATACACCCCCAAGGATGAATTCGTTCTGCTGATCAACAACCTGGGTGGTGTCAGCCCAATTGAGCTGTCTGGTATCACCGATGAGGTCCACCGTCAGGTCGAGGGCAACTACAAGATCAAGCCCCGCCGTGTGATTCAAGGCTCTTTCCTGACCAGTCTGAACGGTCTGGGCTTCAGCATCTCGCTGTTGAAGCTGGCTGACACCGGTCTGGGCGCTGGCAAGTCCATGCTCGAGCTCTTGGATGCTCCTGCCGAGGCCGTCGGCTGGGCAGCTCCCATTCCTACCTCCATCTGGGAGAACCGCAATGACAGCCCGGTGCAACTGAAGAACTCCAACCTGGCCCACGAGAACCCCAGCAATCTGAAGCGTAAGTCATGACCCAACAATCTAGTAACACCTCAAGACCCAGCTAACTCTTTTCGCAGTGGACTCCGCCGTCGTGAAGAAGATCCTTGGTGCCGGTCTCAAGCGCGTCATCGAAGCTGAACCCGAAGTCACTCGCTTCGACACCATTGTCGGTGACGGCGACTGCGGTATCGGCCTGAAACGGGGCGCCGAAGCTATCCAGGAGCTCCTGGACAGCGCCTCCCCGCCCCTCGGCGACGACATCGTCAACACCGTCAACCGCATCGTCACCGTCGTCGAGAACGTGATGGACGGTACCTCCGGAGCCATCTACGCCATCTTCCTTAACGCCCTGGCCCACGGCCTCCGCGACCAGGACACCGGTTCCCCGCTGCAGGCCTCGACCGAGGTCTGGGCGAAGGCGCTGAAGCACTCCGTAAATGCCCTGGCCAAGTACACCCCCGCCAAGCCCGGTGACCGAACCCTCATCGATGCCCTCGTTCCTTTCTGTGATACCCTATTCGAGACCAAGGATATTCGCGGTGCCGCTACTGCGGCGCAGAAGGGTACCGAGTCGACCAAGAGTATGAAGGCTAGCTTGGGTCGCTCGGTTTACGTCGGTAGTGAGGGCGAGTGGATCGGTAAGGTGCCTGATCCCGGTGCCTACGGTCTCACTGAGTTCCTGATTGGACTGGCGGAGGCGTTTTAAGTGCTCGCTCCTCCTATCTTCGTATAAACAGCTATATACCTGACACTCGGCTCTCCCGAGATGATCTTGTTCTAATATAATTTCATGACGGCGATGACAATGAAAATAACAGTCTCCCTGTATTGTGAATGTGCCTGTGGTGACGAAGATGGAGACACGGTGCTTGCAAAGAGACTCCACACCTCGAAGGCCCCTTTAGATACGAAGTTCGGTGCCATAACACTAGCAGTCGCGGCTACTTGGTATAATGGCTCGTATGATTTAGGATACCACGAAGACACTACACTATTGAGAGCTTGGTTAGATGACCTTGTAAATCGAATAGATGACTGGGAAGGGGGTCTACGAGGCATTCAGCTAGAAATATGAATTGCCCAAATAGTGTTCGCGAGAATGCAGCGGAGGTGGCAATTGATGTTGAAGCTACGCCCGGGTGAGCATCCATGATGCTGGACATTTATGGCCATTGGAAAATCCATTGCTACTAACCACCTCTGTTCGAGGTTAAGACGCCAGTCAATGCAACAGTTTCATCGAAAAGAAAAGAAAGGTGACCCATCTCTAGAACCACAAAACGCCGGGGAAACTTTTGCTGCCATATGACCGTCCACCTACGATCAAAGAACGAAGTGCATGAGCCTTGCTCACCGTTACATAAGGCACCAAGGTTACCTTACGAGACAATATGCGTTTATCAATCCAAGTTACCTTAGCGGTGAAGACCAGAAGCAAGGGAGCAGTGGGGGTGGAAAAATTCGTTAGGTATCAAGAAAAAAGTGAGAAGACGGGGTATCGAAATCGATCACGTGCGTGAGAAGTTGCCCCCACAAAAACACAGCAGAATCAGTCAGTCGGCACTGAATGTCGGCTCATGACTGTAGGAAAGAGAAACGGCCAGAGGTGCGTACGAGAGTCGCCCTGTGGAGAAACGAGGTGAGGCTGCTTAAGCAGCAACGACAATGATGACAGTGTCACCACGGAGGAACCTAGTTAAGAACCAATATTAGTAACCGAGCACGCAAGAAGAACCGCCGAGAGTGGATGTAATGAGGTGTGTGATAGGTGAAATCAAGACCGGGAATGCACATACAGCTTGCTGATGAAGCGATCCTTGTTGACGCCCTTGGACTTCCGGCCCTTGGGGTACTCGGTCCACATCTCCTTCACGTTCTCAAGGATCATGTTGAAATGACGGTCAAAAGCGCGGATCCGGGCGAGGAGCTTGCGGTTGTTGCGGCAAGAGATCAGGACCTGAGAGCCGTTGGAACAGGCGGTAGCAAGCAGAGACATGGGCCCCATAGTGAGCTCATATTCCTCGCGAACAGCATTCTCGTGTTCCCTGTTGAGACGCACGATTAGCTTTCTGTGTGCTTCTTGCATGCATTGGGATGTGGCGGAGGAGGGGCATGATAGCGGAGGATGCGGGATTGTTGCTGAAGATTTCTCCCCGCACAACTCCGACTAGACAGAAACCAGGGGTAATGATGTGGTATGGTGGAGAATATAGTCGCAAGCTATTCGCAATGAAGGGGGTCGGGGTTACTCACGTCGCCTCGGGGCGCGGCTTGCTGAGGATCTCACTGCAAAGATAGGTTAATAGAGGATGAGTTGACATGTATCAGGTTGTACGTACGCAGTCTTGGTATCGGGTGCCTTTCCGTTCAGAGAGGTCGCCATGATGACGGATTCCGTAGTAGTGTATAAGAGTAAGGTGTTGTAACAGAAGTGGGTGTAGACACGATGGGAAAGCGGATAGATGAAGATGTGAAGATGGAAGGGCCTGGTTTCGCGATCTCGCCAATGATGGTCGCGTTTGAGCTTTAAAGTCACGTGATATTATATTCACTAGTACCTCTTTTTGCCGGGCGGTGAAATTTTCTTTGCCTCGGAAATCGGGCCGCAAACTGCTAGCGTGTAAGCGGCGCGCCATTGGCTGCGTCACGTCGCGTACACGCTTGTTTGGCGATCGTCGGATAGCTTCAACCCGCGCATGCAAGGATTCTCTCTTAAACCCTCCCGGCCATCCTCGCCTTCTGCAGGTGCTGCAGCTCCCTTTCTATCTTCCCACTCTTCCCCTTCCTCACTTAGTCACCCTTGGTAAGAGCGGTCTATCCAGGCCACCATTTTCGAGGATTCTTCCCTGTCAATCAATGGCTAACATTCCAGACCTGCAGAGACTGCTCCACCCGCTCGCTGCATAACGTACCATTTCTCCCGGACGACGAGATATTTGCTAGCTTCTGGAGAGGGGACATTGGCTCGCTGACCCCCAAACTCTCTTCCGAATGCTACGTGAAGTGCATCGGAAATCGATTTTGTTCTTCGCCCTGTCGACCTCGCATCCCCACCTCCCTGCGAATTGCTTCGATCCCTGCCACCTTATACCTTCCTCCAACTCCCACCTTCTTCCCCTTTAATACAACTCTCTTTCGGAACCGTGTCGAAGTCGTGGATTCACCATTTTTACCTGCATGGTGGATGGGCCAAGTTGTGTGAGATGGAATCTCAGGACGGAATCACCGTCCGCCCCATGAGGCGTATGAAACCTATTTTTCGTGGGTTTGTGGGACGAAAGCTAAATTGCATGATCTGAACAGTGAAGGTCCTCTACACATTTGACAACGAGAACAAGACGAATTGTCTTGCGCGATGGCCTCACGTGCTCGATATCCAAACTGCCTACCTTGACGAAACAACTCCGATCGGTGTGATCGAGCTGAAGACATGCATACAAGCAATCGTGTCCGCTAGGTTCGGCTCCCTTTCCCTCGAAATGTCCCCGCCACTTGTATACTGACACTGCTTTTCAGCCCGGAATTGGTGGCACAACTGGGCAAGGACTACACTGTTTACGCATACGACTACTCCGAATATGAAACTCCACTGGTTGGACAGGGAATGCTCTCATGGGTTCTGGCTTCTGCCTCGCCGACTCCGGAGGCCCCCGCCCATCAGTCCAAAACCATGGTAACTGGTCGCGTGTGCAAAAATCCACTTGGCATTTTCTCTAAGGGCTCTGCTCAGGAGACTTTAGAAGTCAAGCTTCGTCTGGTTCCAGTCCCGACCGTTATGCAAAGCGAATACCTCGACAGTATGCAAAAATATCGTGAATTGAGCAACGTCATTCCCCACGACTTCGATGCTCAATCCTGGACCAACTTCATGCGCCAAAACCCAGCTCTGCTAGAGCGATCTCGAAGCCAACAATACGATTCGGCCTCGTCGCCCATGAACCAATCTGGAATTGAGCGTTTCCACCAGCTGTTGAGTGAGGGTGCCACCCCTCGAGAGTTTTCAAACTACCCTGGCAACGAATCTACCCGCTCTGCATCGCCTACGCACTCGTTCGGTCCCCCGAGTCGAATGTCCACTCCAGGTGGGACTCGCCCTTCAGCACAGCAGCAACAATCCCAATCTAAGGGCTTTGCTTCCAATGATATCATCCGCCCATCTTCGAGCGCCTCGATGCGTGACAGTGATTATCAATCTCAAAGCTATCATCAACAACGCAGAGGATCTATAATTTCCGGTTATGGAAGTGGAGGAGAGGAGTCCTCTGACCCTCAGCCTCGCAAGAGAGCCAAGCTCTACCAAGCAAATTGGCCTGGAAAGTCAGATATGAACATTGAAAGGCAGCCCAGCTCGCTCCGTGTGCAAGCTAGCACAGCTGCTTCTGTCCGCATCCACCGGCCCACCCCTGTGAACCCCCTTCTCGCCGGAGAACATTCGAATGAGGAGCCCGTTCGTCCGCCAACCCCTATTTCTGGCCCTAGTGACCTTCCACGCCGTGCAAGACCCTCATCTAGCCTCTTGCGAGAGTATTCCGCGCCCAGCTCCTCCTCCTACATGTCACCCTACACCCCCAGTGATGATATTGTGGGAACGGACCAGATAGCTACATCGCCCGAGGACTCGCACTACCAAGGCCTTTTTGAACCGTCATTCAGTATGCCATCGTCGCCGCCTGTTATGGACTGTCGATTCCCCTCCAAGTCCAGCCCCAACCTGCCTCCGATCTCCCTGGACACTGACCCGGGATTCATGAGCGGCGGTCTGGATGACTTAATAGACAACGGAGCAACGACTCCGGTCGAGGAGCCCCAGAGAGCTCAATCTCAAGCTAGTGAGCAAATGCGCCCTCGCTCTGTTCGTCCAGCCGTACAGGCTAGTTCTCCGGTCAGCATGATTGGCCCTGAGTCACAGAACACCCAGCAAGGCCCAGCGCCACAGCCTGCAAAGAAGCAGGACTCGCGCATGCCTCCACGGACAACGTCTGCCTCTTCTCGGCCCACTTCACGAGGCGGCGCCCAATACACCCCGAAATCAATTGCTCCGGCGCCGATATCCCAAAATGAACTCGAACGGCTAATTGCCACAATCCCTGCCAGTGACCCGGCCGGTCCTTCTCACCCCCCTCAGACATGGGCTGGCCCTATGAGTGATTGTTACGCGCAGACACCAGGAGCAGGAACCTTCGTTCCGGCACCTACTAGCGGCCGTCGCCGCAAAGCTGACGCCTCTCGTCGAGCCAAGCAAATCCAGACGCGCTTAGATACTGCTATCAGAGAGGGGCAAATGCCTCCCTACTGCGAGAATTGTGGTTGTATCGAAACGCCAACATGGCGAAGGGCGTGGTCTAAGGAGATCGAAGGCAATGAGCACACCGCCAAGGAAATGATGGGATTCGAACACTCGTTGTTCTGGGAGCCATTGGAAAAAGGTATCCATGCCGAAGTGACCAGATTCAAAATTTTTAAAAAGACTCTTAACGAGGATGAGGTCGACTTTGTCCAAGTCCTTCTCTGCAACCCTTGTGGCCTATGGCTCTTCAAGGCGAAGAGCATGCGCCCGGAGAACAAGTGGAACAAGCAACCCGCTGAAAAGATCGGGGAAAAGAGACAGCGACCCTCGCGGAAGCGCAAGCAAAGTGGTGGTCCCCTCTCGAAGCCTTCCACTCGCAATAAGGCCGGGACCGAGGCCGCGGCCTCCTCTCCCGCCCCCACAGAAGCTTCCTCCGTTCAAGCGGGTGAAGGTGCTACTCCCCAACTGGACAACCCTCAAGAGGATGCCGAGAATTTGTCTTTGAATGAAGCTCCCGAGGAGCCCGCTGCAAAACGTCGCCGCGCAAACAGCGCCGAGCCTCCGCGTTCTACCGACTCTGTCAAGGGCCGTTGGGAGGAGCAGGACGCTGTCGAAGCCCTCAAGCTTGCGATTCAATCCAGCCCGGCGAGGAATATGGAGTCTCGAAAAATCCCCTCAGATGAGACAAAATTGACTCCAAAGCCTGTGCGCCGCGCGCTCTTCCCAGCTTCCCAAAACGAAGGTGCTCTGAAGGAAGTAGATGCTTCCTTAATCAATGACTGCATCCCTCGTCGCAGTCCTCGTATTGCTTCCTCTTCTCGCGAGGATAAGCGATCCCGAGACAAGGAGAACCAGGATCCTACCAATAACCATGACCTCGATTATCTTTTTGAGAGCCCTGCGGATTTTGATCTGCCAGTCAGCCCAACACCTCGCCGACGCAACCCTCGCGTCAATGCAGTACACGAGAGACGACACTCCTTGCCTTCCAACTCCCCCACCGCCAATAGACAGAGAGATGTCATTTCCGCCACAAATGCAGCTCGTCTCACTGCCGCGCGTCTCCAGCATCTTCAACAAGAAGGTCAGGAAAGCACTACCTCATCACCTCGCCAGCAGCCATCTCCTCTCAAGAACGGCTTGGCGGCACTTTCCGACACAGGTCTGAACCCGGATGCCTTGAACTCTCTCGATGGGATGATGCTTGATATCTTCGACGACGCCAATCACCCCAACCTGCATCTGGGCGATGACTGGGCAAACTGGCTACCCACAGACTACGTCTCTCCGACCGGATCGGAGGGTCACGGTGCCTCGGATGAAATGCTCACTGCCCTACTCTCCGGCCCTGCTCTCATGAAGGAGAATCTCCAGGACTCCCAGTTCAGCATGTTTGATCTCGCGAACACCAATATTCCCGACTCGGGCTTTTTCAGCTCCGACGCTCTCCAAGGAGACGCTGCCAGTCTGCCATCAAAGGCTCAGCCTGCTCAGGAGCAATCTACCGGCCATGAGGCCAATTCCCCTACTGCCTAATTCACCACAATCTTGCTTGCTATTTTTGAATGTTTTTCTAGCGATGGCGTTTCGGTTGGGAGGCTTGATTGATTACATACCACATCCTTCATTACAGGTAGTCATGCTCTACTCTGATGATTATTATCCCCTTCCCATGTTCCAAGTGATGTCCTGATGTACCTGTATTGGACTTCGAACCCACTCGCTACACTGACGATGTTGCTCGCTTCCTGGAGTACTTCAATGCACTGGTTGCTGGTAACAATTTACGAAAAATGAAATCAAAATCAAAAGTCAAAAGGATTACTCGCAAAATGTAACTTATCTACTAGTAATTCGCGTAGATACAGCGACCATTGGACAAACACCCCGCGCTGGCCGGTCGCCTAGATGAGGCTCTGTAGTGTGAAGTCAGACGCTCAGCCACATCAAATGTAGGACAGTCCATCTGACCCGGTCGACCTCAGAGTCACCAGTCCCCCTCTGGGCATCTCTGTCGCAGTCCTTGCAAGTCGAAGGTCTCGGCTTGAGCAGTTTCAAGGTATGGCTTTGCATCTTGAACTGAGCCTCGACATCTGGCTCTTGATCAGCGACCTGCTGGATACGATATCCCTTAAGAGACTGATGCAGACATCAACAGCACTCTATGCGTCCTGCTTACCCATATTGTACTCAAAGGTCAATCTCAGCGTCCATCACACCAAGTACTACGATAAAATCGACATGCTGGGCGTTGTCATTCGCTGGACGAAAGACGAGGTCATATTCGGTGGCCGATCCCACTCCATGTATATCATATTCCATCTGCCTAACCTTGCTTTATTCGTTGGATCCTTCACCTGGAGCATGAGTCTGCATACAAGTTGCGCGCTGCCTGAATGGGCCGTTCCTGAATCATCGACGAACGATAATGACATTCCAGCCATCCAAAAACTCGAATATATATATATATATATGCCCTCTTCGAAGGCAAGGCCGAGTAATATCGGTCGATATTTTCGGCGGATACAGCCATGCCTACCCGTGCCAAAAATTACTATCTATTTTTCCAAGAGCGACTACTATTCAACGGAGCGGGCGAATATACCACGCCTTAGCTTCGGCGGTCCTCCTTGGACACGACAAAGCACAGCTTCAATCACTGTCAATCAACTACCTCCACGAAAGAGGCCATGATATCGATCAGGGGAATATAGCAGGTCAGGAAAGAGGGCAACCCTGCTGCGTCGTTGAAGCATGGGGAAGAGAACTGGAATTCAAACTCTCCAACAAAAGTGCATACTCGCGACATGATCAGCATCTTCACTCCGGCTTTGCAGACGCGCTGCAAGTATCTAGAAACCTCGAAGGTCCGCGCCATCAGTGTTCCTATTCATCTACTTTTTCATACACCACCAGACTGGCGCTGGCGAGGTACAGAGCTTCACGAAGAATTAGCAGCATTTCAAAGTTGTCAACCCGACAAACGTTTGCCTCATTTACGGAACCCTTGGCCCTACTGCCAGAAGAGACATCTACATGCGGTATCGTCAAAGAAGCTGTGTCAGGCGAGTAAGTTATCAAACACCCAAGAACATTCCAAGAACATTCTACTACCTGTTCTACTGGACGGATGGCCATCGCCAAAGAAGCTTGAAATTCGGAGTGGATATCCTTCACTCCTCTCAACACAAACGAAAGGAGTGCTTCCACTAGACCTGGAAAAGTTGGCAAATGTGGAGCTCGCAGTTAGCTTGCATTTCTGGGAATCATACGAAGGGCAGCCGCCGACTTGGGATCGATTTTACAAAACCCATGATGATCCGGAACCGAAATAGGTTTACGCTATTGAATAGCACACTGGCCAGAGAGACGAGAGGAACATGACATGTACCACTGGAGTTTGATCATAACATCGTGTGCTGTAGAGCCTGGCCGACAGAAAGAAATGGAGGATATAAAGCGTAACAACGCCCCACAAACAGGCTTCTCTTGTACTGAAATGCCCCCAAGCAAGACGTGGCCATCTTCCCACTAGCGAATTGCATAATAAGGTATCCAATAACGTAGTGTATTCATCCATCCTCCCAAGGTGTATCGATCATTCAGCATCATAGAAAATGGACTTGAAGCGGTGCGTGGCTTCGACGACTTGCTCATAGGTTCGGTAGTCTAGAAAGAACTATTGTCAGCTAAATTGGGTACCTTGATTGCACAATGGAAGCTCACCAGAATCAGCGGGGTTACCCCAGTCCGTCGTTCCCAAAACCCGAACACCAAGACCCTATTAGCCGTATAGTCAGCATTGTTTCAGCACAAGAGGAAACAAAAGCGCTTCGAAGCTATCACTTGATGACCTCAGACGCTTTATCGATGCCAGGCCATTCCCACGTACCTGTCCGTCATCCAGATCAGTAACCTTGCCAACAACTTCAATCAGCTTCCCCATTTGCAGGTGCGAATCCGGCTTCAGGATAAGTGTGACATCGCCATTCTTCCCACATGTGATAGTCGCGTGGTCGCCGCGGAGTGCGCTCACGGTGCCGAGAATGCGAATGGTGTGCGTTGAGCGCTGGCCGGAGCTGGAGGGGTGGAAGGCGTTCAGGTGGGAGGGGAGGATGCGGGGCGTTTGAAGAGACATTTTGGCGGTTGGATCTGTTCTGTGGTAGAGTTCGGGCTTCGATCGAAACTGAGATGGATTTCTTGAAGACTGGTGGGGTTGATCTGCTGCTTGGACTCTGACGAGATTAGACCGTTCCGCGGGCGACGCGGTGCGCGGGACGCGTGATCACGTGTACCCCGTTCTACATATCCAATCAATTGGTCACGTGATACTATATGACGTCGCAAGGTGTACAAAGTCTGACGATTACCTGTGGTACCTTAGGGTACGTTCGCTGTTTTCGAAGAAAAGTCGGGCAGAAATATTATCTGCGTTTCTGGTACCTATCGTCCGAACCTTTTCCGGAAATCTCAGACGGGGTGAAATGCCCCGAGTTCGATCGGGGCATTAATACTCCGCGAAAACGACCCAATAAGGCCTGGCATTTAATCAGAAAAAGAAGTTGATCCATATCTACAAATTGGACTCAAATATAAAGGTGAGATTTTGAGAGACCTGGAATCTATTTGTCACTATCAATCGCTCCACGATATCGGTCGGGATGGCAAAACCCGCAGTCTTGCTTTTGGGCAAAATCGAGTTGTAAGCGCACAAGCGAGACAATTAGCTGACTAGAGAATTCATATGGTGCTCATGATCCCTAGAGTTCGCTCGGCGACCTCTCCGATCATGCCTCAGCGAAACACACAGAATAAAACTGATTTCAGTTCAGAGTGCAAAAGTGGCCGGCTTGATGGAGTGAAGGTATCTGTGACCGAGCTTCTTCGAGTTTAGCCACGACCGGGCGGTATAATTAAGAACTGATAAATCCTTCGCCTCGAAGTGTAAAGTTTATCTGTCACAATGGTAATTTCATCTCTCAAAACAATCTCTATTCTTTGTGGGTCCATATGTTGATGATCTTGTATTTTTTCAACGAACAGGCGCTGGATATGACAATATCGACATATCTGCCTGTACCGCTCGTGAATTTTAGTATCCAACGCACCGAAAATTGTTGATGAGGCCACAGCAGATACGGCTATCTTTCTGATCCTTGCTGCTCTCTGTGGGTTCGACAATGGGATCATGGCAATTCGCAATGGCGCCTGGCCCGGAGCTATTTCACCGCCACCACTAGGATACAATTCCCAAGTTAAGATACTGGGATCCTCGGCCTTGGTGGAATAAGAAGAAATTTGAAGAAACAGGCAGAGGTTTTTAAGTTTTCAACATGAATGTCATTTATCACAATCGAGCAAAATCAACTGCCGACTTGGATGAGGGTGCCAAGTACGTTGAATTTGACGAGCTCTTGGCAAGAAGTGACGTTTTGAGTCCTCTCAATGTGAGTATCCCACCCTGGAAGACAAATCCACGATGACTAACGCGTTCAGGTAGTCGGCAACCCCTAATCGGATCTCAAGAACCGAGTTCGCCAAGATGAAGACAGCGTCGTGATTGTTCAATACTGCTCGCAAGGGTGTTCTGGATCAAGATGCGCTTGTTGAAGCAATCGCCGATGGAAGTGTCTGGTCTGCTGGGCTCGGTGTCTATCAAAAAAAGCTCGACATTCACCCGGGGCTAGTCTCGAAATCCCATGTTTGTCTTCTTCCTCACATGGGAATTTCTACTGTCGAGATAAGCTCTTCCCGATGTGTTTACCGATCCGAAAAGATCTATAAGCGTTGATAGGGAGCATAGAGACAAAATACGATATGGAGAATTTGACAATCAGCAATGTGCGACAGGCGCTAGAGAATGGTACTTTGAGGAATGTTGTTATCGAGCAAAGTGAACAAGCCGAGTGCCTGTGAAATGTGAAATAAAGTGTCGACGGCAATTCGATTTGTTTATAATCAGGAACACATCGGGTATAAGGAAGTGACCTCTGGGCCGTTATATCCCTTCGTAGATGCCTAGTGTACAGAATTTATTCAGATCAAAGCCACTCTTCACCGAGCACCGAGCTAAAGTTGGCATCATCCCAGGGGCCCTTCAGGTCCATGCCCAGGCCAGGTACATCGAGGAAATCGAAAAGAACGAGGCGAGAAGTCGGTAAATGAAGGAGACGATGCGGGTTTCAATCGTTTATGGAGTCCGTAAAAAGTCCTTTTGTCGTTAAAATTATCGAGAATGGTCGGACCCGCAGAACTAGTGTGTCCTTTCTTTCCAAAACCAGCTGTATAATGTCACTATATCTCTGAACGCATGGCCAGCGAACTGAAAGTTGTCGCAGGGCATTAAGTAGTATATCAAGGTCCGGTGGAAGCAATTTGTTGCTTGTTTCGTAACATGTAGCCCAAAGGATAATCAAGCTTCTGGAAGTCACCCAGACCACAAAGACAAACATGGGTCCCAGCCGGTCAAGATCCAAGGTCTTTATATCTAAATGGATCTGGGACACTCATGATCACGTGACAGTATCAATTTCATCCCGAAGCAGAGCTTCCTACGTCAGTCGACGCCGACAATTCACTAAGCGTCACGTCGACAACCGGTGAATCGATGGGTACTCCAATGACCGCCTGATTAAATTATTGACCTTGCGGCCTCCCTCCTCTATCCCAGCCGTCAGCACGAACCTCGAACTATCTCACAGCTATGCCGCCGCCTCCCAACCGCCGCGGCATGACCGCGAACCCGCTCAAGCCTGGACGATACAGACCTGGAAAAGCAGTCGCTGAGGCAGAATCATCTTCGGAAGAAGAGGAGGAAGAGGAAGATGAAGCGCAAAGAGAAGAAGAAATAAGGCGAGAAGCCGAGGCGCGGCGCCGGCGACAACAAGCTCCGAAAGCAAGCTCATTCCCTGTCCCGGCAGCTCGCAAGGTCGAAGAACCCGATGACGACGAGGAAGGATTCGTTACCGAAGACGAAGAGGACGAGGAACCCGCTCCCGCGCCGGCTTCGACAAAAGTTGCGCCGTCGCAAACCGCTCAACCCGAGACCTCATCACTGAAAGCTACCCCTGTAGCTGCGCCACAAGAAAGTGAAGAGGAGGAAGAAAGTGAAGAAGAGAGCTCGGAGGAGGAAAGCAGTTCGGAAGACGAAGCGCCGCGACGGATGCTGATTCGGCCTACATTCATCAAAAAGGACAAGAGAGGGCAAGACAATTCAGCTTCTGCCGCAGTCGATGAAGAAGCCGAGGAAGAGAAGCGCCGCGTGCAACGACAAGAGAAGGCAGACCAGCTGGTCCGGGATCAGCTCGAGAAGGACGCAATTGCCCGCTCAGCCAAAAACCGAGCTTGGGACGATGACGAAATCGTGGAAGCCGATGAGGAGGGCGCCATTGACGACCGGGACGACGTCGACCCAGAGGCTGAATATGCTGCATGGAAACTACGAGAATTGAAGCGCATCAAGCGCGAGCGCGAGGCGATCGAGGAGGCCGAGAAGGAACGCGAGGAAATCGAACGGCGTCGCAACCTCACGACCGAAGAGCGGGATGCCGAAGACCGCGAGTTCCTGGCGAAACAGAAGGAGGAGCGGGAGGCTACGCGTGGCGAGGGTGGATTTATGCAACGCTATTTCCACAAGGGTGCCTTCTTCCGCGACGATTTGGAGAAGGAAGGTCTCGATCAGCGCAATGTTATGGGACGTCGTTTCGTCGACGATGTCAATCGTGAGACTCTGCCTCAGTATATGCAGGTCCGTGATATGACCAAGCTCGGCAAAAAGGGTCGAACTCGCTACCGGGATCTGAAGTCCGAGGATACGGGTCGCTTTGGTGAGGGTTACCAGAACCGACGACGAGACAATGCTCCCCCGGTTGGTATTAGAGACGAACGATTCATGCCTGATCGTGGAGATGACCGCGGGCCGAAGGGACCGACAGGAGCCAATGCTAGTGCAGTCCGGCCGAGACGGAGATCGAGGTCTAGATCACGCTCTCCGCGACGAGATCGACATGAAAGAAGTCGCTCGAGAGAGCGGCGGAAGCGCAGCCCCTCGCCCTATGAAGACCGGGACAAGCGTCGACGTGTGGACAGTTCTTGATTATCAGCTATGACGGAAGAAGACGGTGCTTTCTTTCCTATCCCCTTTCTGGCGTTTGCATGGAGTTGAATACAAAACTTGCATGGGTGGCTTGGACTCTGTGATATACTGGCATTCATATTCGAGCAATTGATACTCCCTCCGTGTGCGGATCAAGTACAGAAATCTAAGGTTCCCTCGCCTGGAGGGCTTGTATTGTTGATATAATATTCAATCAGCCTATGGCCAACTGAGATTTTGTACATAAATCAGATTCCACAGCGAAAGGCTTTTCGAGGTTCTTCCGTGTATCGTTCAAACGCTGCCTTTCGGACATGCATAACGTCAAGCGCTTGGAATTGACATCCAGAATTCGGATAGAGTGGGCACTTCGGAGCGACACTTGGGCATCGTCAAGCAGCCCACCTTCAATTAACGCAGGTGCTCGAGACCCAGTCGCAAGCTGGCGGCGACCTCAGCGCCTGCTCCATTATAGCCGGGAAATGGATTATTGTAGCATCTCAGACCCCTTATTTGACTCCATTCCGCTCGAGCACCTTCTCTCTCTCCATAACGCTATCGCCGAACCGCAGCAGGAACACTGTACGGCTGGGCCACATCTCCGTCGGCTGGTTATGCGCTGAAACCTTAGCCTCGAAGCCGCAACCATCACACACTCCCTCAATGATACCCGCAATAAAAGCGGCACAATTGAGCATGTTCATCTCGCGGGGCACACTGATATAGGTGTTGACCAAGGGGTCATTGTCGGTAATCATGTATTCGTTGGGGGTATCCGGCGATACGGAATGCTCGAGCGCATCGGCGGAGCGCTGGAAGAGTAGCCGCCACAGCGGGCCGTGGATGAGGTGAAGGAGAGGGAGGATTCGGAGAGGACGGTTTGGCGGAGACGAGGAAGTAGACGAACTGGAGAGGGCGGATGATGAGGTTGAGGTAGAGCGGTAGAAGAGAAGGTCCAGGAGACGAAGACCAAGAGGGTACCCTTGTTCGTTTAGTCTGGTCATTCGTTAATTTCCTGTCTGTGGTGTATGGTGCATGGCAACAACTCGTGTTGAACCGGCGATCTTGCGCGGGCACAGATCCCAGGCAGGCGTGTACTAGAAAAACTCACCGTTTCTCCAGGTCTTGAATGCCCGTTACCCTCCGCTGGGCATATGTGACCATCTCCGCGAATAGATACGCGAAGCTTGCCCGGCTGAGCTCCGCATTGCGACTGCGGTTGAGGTGTCGGTCGTAGATGGTCTTGCGATTCGAAGGCACTCGGAGGCCAGACGTCGGCTGTGGGGATGGTGATGGCTGCGGAGTCTGTGGCTTGTCGCTTGAGGCGGACTGAGGGGCGCCAGTGTTGCTGTTGCTGATGGACAGCATGGAGACGTGCCTGGGCGGAGCAGCCATGGCGGGCGGAGGGGCGGACGAAGGAGAGATGATTTGTTTCGGAGGAATTGAAGTGGTGCGTCTGGAACGGAAGGGTTGGCAGCAACGGTCTGATCAGGACTGGGGGTTCATGGTATCGTGCTCGACTGTTGACGGAGCAGGGGTCGACTGTCGAGGCGGATGCAATCTACGGTGGAGCACAACGGCCTCGGATGCAGCCAGCAAGCAGATGGCCCAGCACTGGGAATTTGGACTAGGCAGCTTTTCAAGCAGCTTCATACTTTACGTAATTACGGTTTACAGATGATCAGATAGCTTTCAGCAATTGTTCTTCATTGACTCTAGAATATGGAGACGACATGACATGCCCTCACGCAATCCTACGCAATACTCTCAGCGAAGACAAAATTTCCTCGCCCCAGAGCAGAACATCGAGACCAGCAAGCGACAGTGACAGGGACAGTCCCGGGTATTTCTTAATGTAAAATAGCGCGATGTGTTCACGGGTGTGCGAGAGATAATTCTGTCCTGAAGAACCAGCAATGTTAGCAAAGTTCAGCAACCAATATGGTAGATAAAAAATCCATAAATGACCAGCACATTCAATCAGACATCCAAGGAAGATATTGCGCACAGTGCCGTCTTTGATGGGTTCAAGCGACGACTAGCGTGGAAACTGCGAATGTAGGAAAAAATTTTCATCATAGAAGGGCCGAAGCCCGGCTGGTACATGTGGTGCAAAAGCGAAAGAACAAAAATAAAAAATCGAAACATACCTTGTTAGTGGGTGAGAAGGCGAGGCGGTCGTGTTGTTTTGCTCCTTACTCCTGACAATTGGAGAGCTGCATCAAGCTCTGAATCTTTGGGTGAAGGAGATGTGGAAAGGAAAAAAAAAATTTCGGGGCGCGGCCCGGGTTTTTATAGCCGCCGCAGCTGCCCCGGAAACCAAAATCAAAACCAGGAGGACCCAGTGGGAAGCTTCTAGAGGCATATCCACTCGGAAAATTCGGAAAGCTTGCTCAACGCGGCGTAAAAACATAGAACAATGACCTAGCTATCTCTATTCGATTCTAAAAGAAAGTTAATGAAATCTCTAGGAAGTTGTTCACGGGTATGGCACTGAGCCAATCGGACTAGGCCGAGCTAGAAAATCTCTCTACGCGTGCACTCCATGCGTGCCAAACAAAAGTTGTGTTCCCTTAGAAAATACCTGCCCATATGTACACCCAGTCTTGGCCATCCAGTTGCCGCTGCAGCCCAAAAGAAAGCGGACATTGAACTCGATATGCCAGAAAAAAAAATCGCAGATCATGAAAGTGGGTCTGCTACTTGAAGCTCTTCTGCTTCTGGCGCGAATTCCAGTTCAGAGTTTTGGAGATGCTATGCACCCAGTCTTCGCCTCGTCGTCCTTGAGGCAGGACATTAGCGAACGGGTACCTGGACGCCGATACTGTAACGTAGTCGCCAGGAAGCAATTCAACCCTGAAATGTGTTATTAGCTGACCGTTGTCGAAGACACCAGCTGGTATATGCGAAGAGCTCACCTCTCTCGGCCGTCGAAACTCGCCCAAGAACTCGTTCGCGCGTCGTAGGGTACGCCCATTCGGAGCACAATCGTGTCGGGCAGGATAATGGGTCGGAAGGATAAAGTGTGAGCGCAAATGGCTGTAACGAGAATAACCGGGTTTTCAGGATGTGACAGAGAACCACCGGCTGCAAGATTGTACGCTGTCGAGCCCGTCGGAGTCGCAATGCAGATTCCATCGGCGAGAAGAGTGGTGAAATGCTCGTCGTCACCGAACAGTTCAATTTGAGACATGGCTAGTCGATGTGGTTAGTTACGCATCAAAGCTGACAAAAGCAGATGGGGAGACATACTCGGGTTTGGCCCACGGTCAAGTACCACATCGTTCAGGATCTCATACACGCGATCAGGCGTGTGGGTTAATGTGTCTTCGCCTTCTTCGCCGATCAACTCTTCCACCAAATCCCGGTTTGTCAGGGATCTAGAGTGCGGGTCTTTCAGTCGCGCTTTGCTTCTCATGATCGTACACTCAAACCGGAGCCGAAGGCTGACGACAACGCCATCACGGAAGGCATTTTCGAGGATGTGTTGATGATCGGCGAAGTCGAAGTTCGTCAAGAATCCCAGCGAGCCCAGTGAGAAGGACAGAACCGGGGGTACAATGCGCTGGAACAACCAGCTTGTGTAGAGAACCGTACCATCGCCACCCAGTGTGACCACAAAATCAAACAAATGTGGCTGTTCTTGTGCCAGCTTCGGATCCCAGAATTTGAGTCGTTCCTTGGCCGACGGGTTCTCCTGCAGCAGCTGCAAGGTCCCAAAGTCCGGGTGTGTCTCCATCCGTCGCTCAACATAGACATTGTACAGAGAATCGCGGTCGCTGGACAGGAGCCAGCGGGTAACATTTCGCGTGAGGCTGACAAGAGATTCGTCGTGAGCCTTACTTACCACGAAGACATTCTTGACCGTAAGCTTCAGCTTGATGCTACCAAGCTTCTTAGAGAGCTTGCGGACGTTCCAGGCCATGTCGGATAGCTGGCGTTTTGTCAAGTGACGGGATTGTATGATCGTAGGGACTGGCTTCATGGACTGGCCTTCACCATCAACCATATCCACGAGATGGTCATCGTCAAGGGCGGTGGTATCGACTGTCGGCTCCTCTTCATTGAGCGTACGAATCACATCCTGTGCCTCTTCGGCCTGTGCATCTTCGGCATCCTTGGGAGGTGCTGCCCATTCTCCTGCAATCAGAGAGTGCACATAGCAAGCCGTCGTTTTATCATGTTGGTCGAAATGGCGGCGAATCCGGGGTTTCTCCATCGTCACGAGAGAGGATTTGCGGCGGTGGCTTGAGTCGGGATAGAAGACAACCTGCAGCGAAAGGGAAGTTTAAGATACGATCTGTAGACAAACTACTCAGAATTCTCTCTTTCAAATCACATACCTCCAGGTGGTTCTGATTCTCGATGTCACTGGCACCCCCGTGGCTCTAAGATGCATCGGTCAGCTTGTCTGCAGCAACCCCGCGCGTCCAGGACATACCTCGTCCACGGCGGCCGAGGACGCCTTCCAATCAGGATCCATTGCGCATGAGGTATAGCCTGTTCCTCAGGTTGATCAAGATTTCATTGTGGATTGTGGGTAACGGCGATAGAAACTTGCTGGTGAAGTGGTGGGATGCAAGCGGCGTGGTTGAAGGGGAAAGTGGGTATGACGTCGGTCCGTCCATCCCTCGCGACTCCCGCCGGGCGACGCATTTTTCCAGCTGCGTAATCGACTACTTGTCGCACTCACTGGGCGTATTCTTTGTTTATGGAAAAGAGTCTCCAGCATTGGAAATTCGATAGTTCTAGTGAGGCCCGAGTACTCGGTCTTGGCTGCTGGGGCTTTTTACCTCGGATAAGGTTGTTTTCGGTGCGAGACGAAGATCCCCCGGAATGAATAGATCTCGCGGTCTAGAACGTTACACTTGGATTGCTTCGCTACAACTACTACATAGCGTTCTTCATCTCTCTCAGGGCAGACATCACATCTACCGGCTTGGTCTTGCCTGTGGCCTTTTGGATTTCAGGGTCCTGCATTTCGGATTAGCATTGTTGCTCTGGATGGAAAGTTTTTGAGGACTTACATGAACGCGCATGAATACGTTGTGAAGCTATATCAATCATCGGTCAGTTTCATCGTCCACGGTGATTGACAGAAAGGCTGTTGAGAATCACGTACCTTTTCATCACCAATGGTGAACCTGCCCTGCGTCTGCTTGTTGTTCTCGGCAAACTCCTGGAGCTTCAGGATGGGCTCAGTCTGGGACACCTTGACGCAGAACTTGACGTTTGCCTTGGTGTATTCGTGACCAGGCTATAGGGAATTAGCAAAAGCATCCCACGGCGATGGCATATCCCAACTCACATAAACCTTGGTGTCATTGGGGAGAGCTGCCAATGTCTCGTTCAACGCCTTGTGCATCTCCTCGGCATTTCCTTCAAAGAAACGACCGCAGCCTATTGAAGTCAGTTTCGGGACTAGCAGGTCGAAACAATGAAAACCTACCCCCGATAAACAGAGTGTCACCAGTGAAAACAACACGCTGGTCTCCGTCCTGCATGAAATAGCAGATGCTATCTTGAGTATGACACGGCGTGTGCAGAGCCTTGACCGAGATTCGATCGCCAATCTTGAACTCCTCGCCGTGCGCAGGGGTCTGGGTCACTGACTGGCAGTTCTTGCCGCCGATAACAGAGAGTTTGCCGAATTGGCTCAGCTAGAAGGTGTTAGTGAATAAATCAGGCCGTTAAATTCTGGTAAAGTCAACATACCATGTCATCGTTACCTCCGGCATGATCCCAATGGCTAGAAAGATCAGTCAGCGGTCTGTTGGGACATTACTAGAAAGGACAAAAGTAGCCATAACATACTGGTGGGTGTTGACGATAGCCGTCAGATTGATCTTCCCAGACTCAATCTGCGACTTCAGCTCTGGGGCAACCCTGGTAATTCACAAAGCCACGTTAGTAGGTAGCTTACGCGCAGCTGCCATCAACCACAGAAGGACTCACTCAGGCGGATTAGCCGGGTCGATAATAACAGAATGTTTAGTAGGCTCATCGGTCACGAGGTAGGCATAGTTATTGCCTTTCCCCGTCCCTAAAATAAGAGATAAAGTGAGCAAGACACATCCCAGCAATCAGGCCATGTACTTGCTGAACCGGCGGGAGCATCGACGTACACATAGGAATCGACTGGACATGCATGTTTCTGGCAGATGAATAGCGAAAAGGTCGAGAAACGAAAAACCGCGTTGCTCTTGCAAAACTCATTACCAACGATGGCAGATGCGGGGAGGGGGGGAAGCCGGACCTTTGATATCGCGCTCGCTTTGAGCTAAACGCCGGATTACATAGCAACGTCATGCGGATTAACTGTTCTACCGACGTCAGGCCGAGGTCCTTAGTAATGGCACGCAGTATGATTGGTCGAGTTTTAACTTGATGAGACTGAACACTCGCAGTGAGGGATATCAATGCAATTCTTTTTTGTCGTTGCTGCCAGCAGCAATTTATACGGTTTCTATACATTACATACAGCTTATTTGGTCGGAGCAACCCCCAAAGGCCGACTGTCCCATCTCTCAACTGGCCCCCATCCATGTGCACGGAGCTTTTCCATTTTACCAGGCGAGGCATCTTTAGAGCCTTTCAGTAAAGCTCTCTTCTTGGAAGAGCCATTCTGCGCACTAGGTGCCACGGAGACGACATCACCCTTCTTTCGTAGCTCATTGCTTAGCGCCTTGGTCCAGTTATTAGAGTTCTGATCACAAGCACATAGGACGTAGCTGCGCGGAAAGAATGGCTGGTATGTTTTCCATGTCGACGTTGTTGACAAGTGACTGAGCCACAAAGAGAGAGCTTCTGCCGAGGCATCCCTGGGAGAGTCATTTTCGGGGCGGAAGGCCAATCTGTCCACCAGCTCTTCGGTCAAGTAGGTCAAGAACGAAGGGCTGTTCTCGGTCATTTTGAGCAGGACAGGGTCATACTTGTCGAACGTCTCTTTCAACGAGTCTCCAAGCCTATCGATGTTGTTAGCATTTACTTCTCTGTGGAATATAATCCCAAGTGCAAATATTTACGGATACTCACTTCCGGTCAGAATCAATCAAATTGGATTCATCCAAAAGCAGAGCAGGAAGTAATTTCAACCCTTCACTCGAAGCATGACAGATTGAGACAAGCTGAATAGCAACAGACTCCCCTTGATCCCGTTTCCTCTTCTTCGGCGCCGGTTCCGACCACTTCGCGAATTTGCGCAGGGTATCGCGCACAGCCGACCCGATAGCGGCAGTGTCATCATATTCGATAGCAGGGGCATCGCCCAATTCCTCAATACCGGCCCAGTAGTTGTCCCAAAGCCACTCAAGGGACCGCTGCGATGCTTTCCGCAGCACAACTAGTGACGGTGGCTCACGGTGAGTTGCCTCGTGACGCAGCTCGACGAATGAGGCGGGAAGGCCTAGGTCCACGGCACGCTGGAACATGGTCTTGCGCTGGCCATGGATCTTGGAGTCTACAAGGCCCGTCACGAATCTGAGAGGTCATTAGTCAAGTCCGAGCATGGAATGCTGGTCATTTGGAGAGACGAATTTCATACCGACAAAAGGCTGCCGAGTAGGTTGCCCGAATCGAGAAAATCGAATTCTGCTGCGCATCGTCGTGAAGAATCGCATCCGTCAACAGCGCCGTCGCCTCCACATGATGCGGGACATTTCCACGCAGTTTCCATGCCTCAACCTTTGTCGAAGTTAGCTCGACTAGAAATTAAGATGTATGGACGAGAGTACATACCGTGGCGCAAGCGTGAGAGCGCAGATCCGGGCCCTCGTAGGAAGGCAATGGATAAAACTCGTTCCGCACGTCAAGTAATTGCGATTTATCCTTCCATGCTGTGAAGATTACCTTGGCCATTTTTGCGAGCAGGTCAATCAAGTGATTTAATTTGCACCGGATTCTGGCGTGGGCAATAGATGGGCTTGCGGTCGTCATTTTCCGCAAAGAAATATTTTCGGCGGATGGTTGTTCCTTCTGGAATGTTTTGCCGAGGCTGGCCACACCGGCCTCACTAGCAATCAGCACAACCTCCCATATACGACGGCATGGGACTGAGGCATGTTCTATTTCCGAGTCGATTAGAAAAGAAAGCTATTTAACTGCTTTGACGTACACTGCTAGCTCTTAATTCAGAATGACATCCATCCTCTTTTTCTTCAGATCTTTAAATAACTAATCAGGAAGCGTCCATAAATTGGAGCAAATCTGCAGAATCATCATGCTCATCATACAAAGCTACTGACAGACCTGGCTTTTTTATAAAAAGACCACTCCAATTTTTCAGGAAAGAATCTAGCGTACTCCCAATCAATGATAGCACGGATTTTCAACGTTCAAGGATCGACAATGATATTATGCAGGGGAAGATCTTTGTGGCAGAAGACACATTTACCCTCTTCATCTTTGGACATTTCCGTGGCCATTAATCTCTGTCCGAGGGCCTCATTACTCGATATGGCGGGAGCACTATCCCTGAGGGGCCACCAATAGTATCTGATTTGATCCCACGGAGAGTAGCGATGTTTTGCTCAACTTCAGTGCGAACGACGCTTTTCTCGTCTTCCGATAACACCTTCAAAACCACGCCGCCGATATCTGTGATTAACATGAACGAGTCGTCGACCTTGAAAGCCCCGTATAAAATTGGAACGGGGATGTTGCTAATGCGTCGAATGAAGCGCAGCGCCGCGGCCTCGTTTTGGAGCCGTTCTTTCCCTAATTGGGAAATGTGCTTGGTGCCTCGCATGGTGGTGATATATTCGCTTGGCCGAAGGTTTCGCTTGATGAAGAAATTACCGCAATGGTACTAGGCTCTTTCGGCGGTTGTCGCAGTTGACGTAGCAAGCGATTCGCCCCCTAGTGATCTTCAAGGCTTCTAGGTGCGCTAGGATTGAGAGTCTCCTCGCTATGGCAGTTCTCCGCCATGATGGAAACTCGCACTTCGATCGAAACTTTACACAGTGTTGATCGGATCCCAATCGAACAAGCCTGCTCTGGGGAAGCAAGCGGAGCGCGGCCCTGTAGTCATTGGGAATTCACGAACCCAGGTTAGCATATTGCATCCTAATTTCCACCCTTCAGCCTCACCCCTTTCTTTTTCTCCCAAGTCTTAGCCCCTTACCCACTATGACCCCGACTTGGTATAACCGATCCATCCCTCAAGAATGCATCCCATTTCCTCACACCTCCTTGCGCGGCTTCTGTGGGGTACGATGCAACCGCATTCCCATGCAGTTCCAACTTGATATCCTTGCAGAAGACGGAGTTTGTCTGCAACAGGGATAAGGTTGCATCCTGGGCTGTTCATGCAGGCTCTGCGGCTGCGGGTCTCGTTGCTGATGTTGGGAGGTGTGCAGGTGACATTGGGACCGAACTAGGTTCATTCATGTTTGCGGTGGGTTGGCGGGGCGAGGATTTCTATCCCGTATTTGTGTCTATTACGATTACGATGCAGTGTACGCGATGCGTGTCTGCTGACCGATCGGCAGAATTGTCTGCTCTGGTTAGAGACACCGGATGCTATCATCAGCAGCTGAAGGGGATGGCAGCCGACCTTAGCTTCTACTGTGAGACCTGCTGAGAGTCCGCTAGTGGAAGAGTGTGGGGTGTACTGCGCGGTGGATAGGACCTCGGTGTAGCTGTGGCGCATGGTTTGATAGAGCCAGTTTGAATGAATGTGCTGATGGGGTTAATTTTTAAATTTTTCTTTTTTTTTTTTTTTTTTCTTTTCGAACTCTCGATCTCCTCCAGGTCTACCTGTGGGCAGCATCATTGAGGATGTAAGATATCGCCTTGTCTTGACGAGGATGCGGGAATGACAAGCAAACAGAAAGCACATAGTTAGGAAATGGTCCCTAAAACCTGTTATGGAAAGCATGACTGTGGACTGCTCGCCTGGCCATTTCAAGCTGGGCAGATTTTGCCGAGGTTAAGGCGAGCCGTGGCCAATCAACCGTCGGATGCTCAGCCTCACCACTGTAGATTGTAAAAGCGAACAACTGCATAGCATCAGAATAATGTGTAGTAGTGGTTGTAATGCATTGTTTCATGGTACGTTAAAAAATAGGTGAGATAATTTATCTTGTTGCAGACACTGGCATTTTGCCAGGTCTCGATATCAGCGCGGTTAAGCCGCGCCTTCAAAAAGCTATGGGAAGTAGTTCGTTCCCTGGGTATCCATCCATGTATGCCACAACTCCAGCAATAAATATAGCAAACAAACAATAAACTCCTCGCTATGCCGCTGTCGTACCAAACAATTAAAGAAATGCACAATAGGAAAGAAGATTCAAGTGATTGTCTTCAGATCCAGCCGTACCCGTAGCTCATGCACGACTGGTTCAAATTGGCGAAAGGCTGCGCCGCATTCATCATCATCGACTGCTGATCGAGATCATCGTGGTCGAGGAAGAAGGATTTGTGGAGCAGGTTCAGGCCCGATTTGGACGGTTGCTTCGGGATCGTCATCTGCGGTTGCGCATGTGGTTGGGTCATGGTCGCAAGCTGCTCGGGCGCGGTTTGCTGGGGGACCGATTGCAGGTCGTTCTCCTCTTCCGCATCCTGAACACTCTCGTCCTTCTCGTCGTCTGAGGGTGAAAAGGTTTCCTCCAGCTTCAGGCCCTTGCCGAGGGTTCCTTGCTGTATTTGAGCGAGAGATCCGTCGGGTTGATTGTACAGGCCCATGCCGACCAGTTCCTCCTCGACTTTTCCGTCTTTCTTCGGTTGCGTCGTGGCCGACACATCGTCGAACTGTTGAATTGGCAAGAAATCCGGGGTTGAAGGTCCGCTCAATTCGCCGGGTGAAGGGACACTGGCGTAGCTGGGGCACGTCGTCTCCGCAGGCGGAATGTTGGCCATGGACAGCATATCCAACGACCAGCCATCGGAGGTGGTCTGCGTGATGTTCGTATAATCACCGTTGCTTGCGGCCACGTCCCACGTCATCGGGTCGACCTGCGAGCCGGGCATCGAAAGAGCGGGCGTCGGTTGCGACATGGGCATGGCCTCGTGAATGGGATCCGAATACACCGGCAGGTAGCCCGGGGAATAGGCAGGGCCCGCCGACATGGGAAACGACACCATGCTGTCGGTGCCGTAGACCGAGAGGGCATTCATTTGCTCCGGGACGCCGGCCATGCTGGGGTACATTTCCGAAGCGAGGTCGGGGGTGTAGGACGGGTTGGAAAGTCCACGGGCCCGGCCAGAGGATGGATGCCAACTGATCGGACGTGAGTTCGGGGTCGCGGAGGCGAGAAGGACGGCCTCCAGAGACGATTGATACTGGTTGGGCATTCCGTGCATGGCACTCTGGGCGACCGTCGTGCGTCGTCGACCGACAGAGGAGGGACTGTTCCCCGCACTACGGGGCTTCATGACTCGAGTGTGTCGCGGACGCGGGAAGGCGTTGATCCATTCTTGCATGCTGGTGGGCTGGTTATAACCATTTTGCGGAAGCCATTGGGAGCCTGTCGCAGAGGCTGGTTGTTGGTAGCAGTAATGGGCCATAAAAGAGAAGTGACTGCGGAGGTTGTTAATGGAGTTCGTAGAACGTGAATGGTGTTTGGCTTTGGGGGATGGACGAACATAAAAAAGTAAGCCGGTCGAGCAGGGCAGTAATGTCAAAATGGAGTAGATGCAGGGAGATGAGGTGGCAGTTGCAGGGCCAAAGTTCCTGGGAAGGAACGGCCAGGAGCTGATGTATACTTGTAACCAGGCACGCTTCAGTAGTCTACTGGAGTAGGAGGAGGCACCTGGTATTATAGGAATCCAGGGCGATCTCCCACCCGCCCCAGCTCCACGATCCCACCGCACATGCTGAGATGACACGACGTTGACACTAACGAAACGAGCCTAGTGCCAGAACCAAATAAAGGGCCGGACCCATGATGAATCAGAGTTCCACCGTTTCGGCCAGGGGACCCAGCGAGGGGGAATCTTCCGTGCCAGTGCCTCACATAGTGCTACTGCATACAGTACATACATACTACATACATAGTGTTACTGGTACGAAGGCTGCCGTGGGGAACCCTCCACTCGACCCTCTCACACGGGCCCAGCAAGTCTGGGGCGACGGTTTTTACTTTTTTTTTTTACTTTTCTTTTCTGTCTGGTCTCTTACTGGTTTTGAATTTAATTTAGATTTTTTCCTTTCCATTCTAAATCTCAGGAACTCCAGTCCTTAACCGCCCATGGAATGCTGCTTGGCCCACGATCCGTCCCGATCGGCAGCCAGCACTTCCCTCCTCAGCCGCCGGCCACTGATTTTTCGTCCGTTTCACTATGATCTGCCTGAATGTACATACCGCCGTGGTCGTACTCGTCTTTGTCGTGATGGTGCTCCATGCTCCATGCTTATGCTCGGAACCACGTCCCCTCCCCTCCCTGGACGGTCTGCGCCGTCGCTCCGTTACGCAAGGGTGACAATGTGATGGGGCTCCACGATCGACTCGCACATCCTTGTGTCCTGCCCAGATATGCCACCATGGACAAGGGATGGAGTGGAGTCCCCCTCCGGGACTAGTGTCGACAAGAACATGACTCCGTCATGTCTCGATGGTCGTTCCCGGAGCCTTTCCCAAGTCTTACTAGCCTCAACTCCCTCGCCCTGAGGACAAAGTATGGTTCCGTGACCACGACTAGTGGCTTGTCTGCGCCCTTGTCACTCTCGAAACTCGAGCACCGGTCTCGCAATGGCGGCGCCGTGGTTGGCCGTGGCAGGATTGGAGTGCGCCAATCATGCCGTCTCTATGCTTACCAGTAGTAGGACTCGTCGCCTGCGTTTCTCCGCTGCATGCGCCGTCTTCCATCCGGAGTACAGGATACATGATGCAGGAGGCGCATCATCGCCACCGCGATCTGCTGTGATTTTCTTTTCTTCCGATCCATCCCACCTCCGCAGGACGTGGCCAATGAGGCGGCGGGAACTATGCTCCGTCGGGGGCTTCATTGATCAAATACTTAATACTTGACAGTAGTGTCCAATAAGTAAGTGTTTGATGGACAGGTTGGATATCGTCACCTGAGCTGCATGGAGTCGACCTGCATTACCCGAGGAGGGCGTTGTACGGGCTGGTGGACCTGTTTCATTGCGGGAGTCGTACCGCCAGCGTTCGTGTTCAACCTGGGCGGGAAGCTCGGCAATTCTGATGAACGTGGAGCGGTTGCGAATTTTTCATGATTGCTCTCAGTAGAGTTCGCCCAACCTTTCCAAGACAACCGTCGAGTCCAGTGCGACCGATGGATAACCTACAGTCGGTACAGGGGCCTGTCGGATGGATTCGAATGTGATTCATCCGCTGCACCTACCTTACACCTTGCCCTACACCCTACACTCCCACATGTATACATTATTCATTACTCCGGCACTCTTGTCCATCAAATCACTGGATAGTTCGCATGGCCGAATCCAGTTTCCAGCTGCAGTCACTGGGGACTACTAACGTGGCACTAGGTCGGGATCGATAGATATGGCCCGCGTGGTCTGTGAGCAGATTTAAGAAACTAGTGGCCTAAAAAAACAAAAAAGGCTCAAACGGGACACGTACAGATGGGGCGGTCGCCCGATGCGGAAACGGGCGGTAGAGCCACCATTCACAACGTGGCCGGGCGGATCTGATCGTGCTTAGCGCTGAACTGCCAAACCAGCCCTGCTCGGGCCAGAACAGGTTTGCTCTTTCTGTATCCTTGAAACTAGATCAGTGTATGAGTTTAGTCTGCCGCTTAGTGCGTCGATGGTGAGTCAGTCCTCTCCTAACCATCGAGGATAGTACCCCCAAGGTATACTACCTTAGGCTATACTCCATCTCCAAGGTAGGTAGGTATACGATCACGGAAATGTGATGCAAACGATGTCATGGGGCCGGGATGCGGCGCTCAGGGGACCAATGCAAAATGCAAAACACCGCAAGCGATCCAAGCCCGCCTCGGAACGCATTTGCAGGACTCCACTTCTGCACTGCAGGGGCCACATTGGCAAAGTGAAAAATTGGAGACGCCATTTCCAGAAGCTCAGGGGCCCGGCGGTTCCCTTTGAGGTGGGCCCTGACACCATCCGACTTGCCGATCTCTGGAGTACACCGCAGTGGCCATTCTGTACTACTGTTCCAATTGCCAGGACTGGGTGTCCTGTCGAATGCCGAGGCCAAGAAGTTTCTTGAGAGGTGGGTTTACCAAGGCCTCTGGATACCGTGTCTGTATAGTGCGCTTCCTGCGGTGGGTTTCGGGGTACTTGTTCGAGGTTGTACCTTGGGGTATGGATCTCAGCACATTGCCATTCCAAGTTTCCAGGTGTTACATGCAAGCGCTCATCTTTTAGTCCATTTAGTCTTGTTACCTGAGGGTCGACTCGACACTATCACTCGATGACTCCCTAAGGTACCTAAGGGAGTCACTGCATAGATCCAGGTGATAGTCTCGCAGGTGACGGTCACTCTCCGAGACCCGATGTCAGATCGGGGCGGGATCAGCTCTTTTGTCGCGAGCCTCTTTTTTCCTCACCTCCCCACTCCTCGACGCGTGGGTAAGTTCCTGGCTTCATTCCACTTTCACGGGCGGAGCCGATCCAGCCTTCCTTCGTCTTCCAGACCTTCCATCGTGCCCCTCTGATGCCCCATTGATGGCTCCCCCTGGCCTCTGACTGGCCCATCCACCCTCCTTCCCCTCCCCCTCGTCTCCCCTCCCTCCCCTTTCCAGCGTAGTCGAGTCCTTCCTTTCGCCAGTGGCCGTATGCCAGTGGGACCGGGAACAGCTGCGGACTAAGATCAATTTGGCTTGCTTTAGTGGCATGTCATCAGCCTTTTTACGGTGTAGCACCGGCCCTCCGGGGGCCCAGGGGCCCTCCCCTGCCTATACGCCAGCTGAGAGCTCCGGTGCTCCACGATGATATAAAAGAAAATCTCCCAAGGAGGTCCGAGAGAGGGGGTTGGAAGGAGCTACATTTTTGCCCCCTCCCCTCTCTCGTCCGTCGAATGCCCCTAGACCCGGTCGCTTGGATTGGCCCCTCTCCTGGCGCGCCCGGATGACTCGACGATCGTCCACTCCGTTCCCTACTGACAGGACTAGCAGGGTAGCGAATAGACAGAATGTTGCCTCCTGAGTTGTTGGGAGAGGGGCCGATGGGGACCCATTATCCTCCGAGTGCCCGGTACGGTACTTACAGTACTACTGTAGTCAACAGTCAACCGCGTCCCGGTCCCAACGGCATGCAGCTGGCCCGTTGTCTCGATGTGATGTGCACAGGTTGGCTGAAACCGCTCTGCCGTTCCCCGGTACCCTAGAATATCCTAGGATAGGCTGCAACGCAGTGCTTCAGAATCGAACCATTTGCCCGGGGTCGGCCAATGACCACCCTTGGGCCCTTTAGACAGCGGTCGTCCTCGATCTGCCTGTGTCCAGACCCCTCGATTTCGGTGACAGGGCGCATCGCGAGGGTCTAAGACCAGCCTCCTCCCCGGTGCATCAGGTGTACACACACTAGTACCCTCAGCATGCACAATCAGATGCACCACGGTTTTGTCATGTGTGCCAGGGCGTCTACCCGTCCGGCCAGGGAAATGCCTTCAGGGAGGCCCTGACGCCTGAGGCGAGACGCCACACATGGCCCAGGTGCCGGTGGGGCGAAGGACGATCGACATTTTGGGATCGGAGCCTAAGTACTTGCGGTCGTCAAGGTCAGACATGCGTGGCGGAGGGAAGCGGTCAAGCAAAGGTTCATTCTGCTAGTCTGCGCTAGTATAGTACTGTGCCCTACCGTAGGGTAGTAAAGAGAAGAACGTGACGGGGCCTAGGGTGGCCTCAGTCTACAACAAACGTGCTATTACTAGTACATACTGTATTCACAGTAGGTGGGCGAAGTTCTAAGAGTAATTGATCAATACGGACCTACATTGGAGGGTACCATGTATTGAAGTGTATGTTGATGCTGAGCGAACCCCCGGGTTTAGGCGTGGCCCATGCACGGTATGCTTATCCTGCTCCAATTTTCAGTCTCCGGGCCTACCAGCATCCTACCAGCATCCGACCAGCTCCCTCCACCTCCGCCTGCAGGGGCCGATCCTGCTTCGCCCTGCTCTTTCGTGACACTCAGACATGCCTCATCTCCGTCCTCTCCACCGGGGCCTCTGACCGTGCCTCGCGACGATCCATCCCAGCTGAGCGTCTGCAGTGAGATGGCACACACATGCCCAGCCGGCGCCGATTATCGATGCGGGTGATCCTCACTGTGCCCGTTGCCCCTACACGACGGAACAATGTCCCTCCTGCAGATAGTGGCCAACGGAGGGGGGAAGGCATCTCTAGCGCCGGGCCTGGGGGCCATGCTGACCAGACGATGCTCGAGTCAGCGGCCGAACGGCCAGGATCCGTCACCATTCGATCCTCTGCCATTGCTTCTATTCTTACGCTTCGTGGGTGCCTGTCGTTCGTACTTGCTGACGACTGCATGCGCCCCTATCCGGAGGCAGTGTCTACAGCAGTCTGAGTCCCACCGGGGAACCGTGTACGTATGCTCGTGAGCTCCGGTCGTGGCCCTCTCATCTCCCGTCTGATGGCCACTGCACTTGCGAGCTACATCTCCTGAGTATCAGTGTATACTTCGTGATCTCCCCCACCGTCCACTTCGACCAGATAGACTAGTCATCATGTCTGTCACGGCCGAGAGAGGATCATCATCTGCAGCCCATTTAAGTGGAAACACCCTCCCGAGTCCTCCAACCCTCGACTCCACCAGCCCGCCCATCCCTTCCCAACGCGCACCGCACACCACTGCCCAAGGCGAAAGGTGAAGGGTCCCTCGTGCCAGTTTTCCGCGATATGCATCGCAACCCTGGTCGGACGGCTAGTGCGCGCGCTGGTGCAGAGGTTAGGGTGCCACAAAAGCCACCACTGGATCGCCTTATTGAACAGGGTCCCGCGAATGGAGACACTTCCTCCACTCGCTGCGCCCGGAATCGCTGAGTTTTCTAGTGACAATAATTCCCAAAAGATACTTACCGACGGTGAGGACGCCCGCTCGTAAATGGTCTTCATTGAAGATCGAGTGGAGTCCGGAGCGTCCCATCTCATCTCGTCGCTAACTTTTCAGCCCGTGCGGCACCGCGCGTTTCGGCTTTGCGCGAACGAAGAAGCTGCGGATCCATTTTTGCTCTGTTAGCTTTGCGAATGCGAGATTGGGCTGCAGCGGTGAGCCTGGTGATTTGTTGCTGCTGCTCTGCCGGCCGATCGCTGAGTCATGTGCTCTCCACCGTTGGGCTCGTTCTTCCGACTTCTCCGTGGGCCTAGGAGGTACTATAGAGTTGGCCCTTCGGGCTCTGAAAACGGCGGAGAAAGTCTGTATAAACGCGGGAGGGTATGGACTCCAGTAAGTAGAGTGGCAAAAATGGTTGAACTCGTATTGGTATTGCTCATCTGGTGGGACAGTTTGGGGTACTGAAGTATACGTACAGGATTCGGTACAAGCCACAATGACATATCATTGCTGACACCGGTAGTGGTTGGAACGAGGTACAAGGCAAACGTGGCCATCAATTGTGATTGCTCCCAGTTCCAACCCAGCAGAAACATTTACGTCGTGGAGCTGTACAGTTCCAATAATGCGACCAGCAAGGATGTAAGATCTGACACGTACAATCGGCGTGTTGTAATGCGGTAAAGGCTATCATATTCATGGCTAGAGATCTGTGCGGTGTTTGCCTCCCTCTCTCCGCTGCCCTCGGCAGATGAAACTCGGCAATGATCTCGATTTGCTTCTGTGCGAGTCCGACGTGCGATCATCCCAGCAAAGCTCTTGTCGGGCACCGATCAACTGTAGTACAACGTCCTCGATAACGCACCCAATCGATAAATGATAGATGATAAATCAGGGTTTTTCCTTTTGTCGAGTCGACTGCGACTTTGACTCGATATCCCTTACGTGGTCGAGTTTGGGCTTTGGTCTGATCGTGATGCCGGTGTCGGAATGCGCCTTGCAGATGACTCTCATCAAAGCCAGGCAGCGAAGAAGCGTGCGGCATCATCCGATAAATCATTGGACCGGGATAGAATTGAGCACAGGTGGAGTTGTAGTATTGATCTGTGATCTTGAGAGGTAGGTTGTATTTCTGGCAAGGTTCTGTTGGTAGTACCTAGAATGTGCTTGGGGAGAGGTGCCTAGGTAGCGGCTTAGGCGGGCCAACGGGCCACGCAGAAATACCACACGAGATGCCACCTGTCGCTGGTACGTTATAAACAGGACAATCATGACAATTGTATGGCCATCTGATCCAAAGGCCATTTGAAAAGCTGTGTAATATCTAGAACTCGTATACAATCCAGAGCCTATCTAACCTGCGGTCATTGTGACGTCAAAACTATCATGATGGGCCACCACGAGATTCAACCCGCAAACTCCTAGACTTCATATGTTCGACATCAATCGAGATCTGCGCAAAATTATAATAGTCACTCTGCAACTATTTTATACTCGTCTCGAATCGAATCCTCTGCTTTAACATTCCCGCCCAGCAAGAAACTCAGATATATATCGAGAGATAAACATGTCAGCCTGTGCACGAAACTCCAGGCCCGAACTCAGCGGCATCCCAGGCGACCCTCAAACAACAAAGAGCAAAGTGCTCGAGACTGGCGCATCCATGGTCCAAAACTTCACGCCCGTCAAGCAAATTTGTGCCCATCTAAATGCATTTCACGTCTACGCCAACGATCCGACCAGATGCGTCGAAGCAAACCACTACTGCGCACATCTTACAGAGGGTATGTACAATAGCCGATAAGAGACTGATTTGATAGAGGTTGTTTCTATTGTGGAAAAGAACCCGCTGACAAAGGGCTGTGATCTCCGGATATAGACGTCCGCCAATGCCTAATCTACGACTCACCAGAAACCAACGCCCGTCTCATTGGCGTTGAATACATGGTCACACCGCGCATCTTCAGGACCCTACCCACCGAAGAACGCAAGCTTTGGCACACGCACGAATATGAAGTGAAGAGCGGAATGCTCATTATGCCGGCGCCAGTCGGAGCGGCAGCCCCGGCCTGGGACGTGGCCGAGACGGCTGAGATGGAGGATATTGTGCCGCTGTACGGTAAGACGTATCATATGTGGCAGGTTGATCGGGGAGATGTTGTGCCTATGGGACCGCCGCAGTTGATGGGGAGTTTCACGTCGCCTGAGAGCGTGGAGAGGGCGAAGGAGGGAGGCTTAGATGCGCTGGTGAAGGAGAGGGATGAGCGGTTTGGTGCGAATTATCGGGAGAAGGCGAGGAAGAGGGAGGGGATTGCTACTGTTAAGAAGGATCCAGGTATGTTGTTCCTAATATTTGACAGTGAAGGCCGCGCTTGCAAGAGTTCATGTTGCTGAGAAGAAATTTAGATGCCGATTCGATGTGCAAGGGCTCTAAAGAGAAAGATCAATAGGTATTCAAAATGTCAAAAGTGTAAGGTTGAGTAGCGTCTCTACGGCAGAAATTGGATGGATGCTTCAGAAAATGTCATATGAATTCTTGTATAACTGCAAGTTTCTAGGAGGGTGTCTCCCCACTGCACAAGCCTTGAAAGACCCAGTCCCATAATCAAATGGGGTCAAATCCAAGACAGATAGGGGGATGGCCTGTGATATACACGGACCGGTCGTATTAATCTTGCTTCATTGTCCACACTTGCGCGTCCTGGTGCTGAATTTCGGCGACGACAAGCTCTAGCATTTGTAGAAGCGATATATTCCAACGGCAATGAGACGAGAGAATAGTAAGGCCCAATTCAATTGGGTTCTGTGTGCTGTGGCATCTCGATTTGATTGAAATTCTGCTTCCGAGGAACTAACAGCTGCTCAATTCGGCGCTCACATATGAATGAGGCAACAAATTGAGTAGCAGAAGTTGCTCGAAAGGAGAATAGCATGGTAATCACCATCGACAAATGCATCATTCCCTCTAGAATCGAGGGGCGCTCTGTGCTTTTCACACAGGTGTCGGAGAAGAAGAAGAACGCTGGGCAGAATCGATCCGATTTTTAAGCACCGAGTCACGTGGCCGATGCGGTCTCTCCGCGATGGCCGATAAGTTGATAGCATGAGCTCCGCAGCTGGAATCCAGTGAAAATTCAAGGCCTGTTCGCCTCTCCTCCTAATGGAGTCATTCCTGAGGACCGCACTGAGACTCCAGCCGGGCAAAGTCGCCCGCTTCCTCGTCAATGGCGCCGGCATCTTCTGCGCTTCCACATTGATCTGGGAGCACCTGGTGACGATCCAATCCAGCGAAGGACCATCGATGTATCCGACCTTCAACCCGCGAGGCGATTGGCTTTTGATTTCGCGACTGCATAGCAATGGGAAGGGAATCCAGGTTGGCGATGTTGTCCGGTTCAATCACCCGACTTTTCTGGGTGTTCATGGCGCAAAGAGGGTGATTGGTATGCCCGGGGACTTTGTTTGTCGCGATCAGCCGTACAGTACTGAGGTTGGGAAACAACCAGATATGATTCAGGTATTTTTGTCTTTTCTAGGTTCTTATTCATCTCAGCAATTTACTAACACCCTGCCGAAATAGGTCCCTGAAGGCCATGCATTCCTTGTCGGCGATAACCTCCCCTGGTCGCGAGATTCGAGAAACTTTGGACCCGTACCGCTGGGTTTGATCAATGGCAAAATTGTCGCACGAGTCTGGCCACCGTCAAAGATGGAATGGGTCAAGAATACTATGCAGCCGGCGCAACTAGACGATCAGATCTGAGGTGGACAAGATACCCCCAGCCGGGCATGGTTTGATGAGCATCTATCTACTTGGAGTTTGGTGTATTCCAAAAGGAAATGGTCTGCTGTGCATATTCATACATATTCAATTGTACAATACAAATCTATACTCAAAGTACGCCTGGACAGGAGATATACTAAACACTGGAGAAGGATCACCTGAACGAGGCAGGGTTTCTGCGCTTGTAAGGAAGAGGCTCGACCTTCTTGCGGCGCAGCTCCACATCCGCTCCGTTGAAGCCTATCTGCTTCATGACCTCCAGGGTGGTCTCGTCCCACTTGGTACGGAACAGGTGGGCACCAATGGCCTTGAGATGATAACGTGCCTGGATGGTGCGGAGGAGTGTATTTTCCCGGTCAGCCTCCTTGGCCTTCACGGCGGCAAAGTCGAGAGGCTGAGAATCCTTCTGCTCCATGATGAGAATGGAGAGACGGTGGTAAGGACTACCCTTCTGGGCAACGGGCGGCAACCAGGGAAGAACAACCTGGGACTCAGCGGAGAGCTGAGAGAGGTCAACCTTGGTGTTGACGGCCGAGATGGGCACGTTGACAGCGAGGTAGTGGGTCTTATAGTCGAAGCTGTCGGTTTCCACGTTGGGAACATCGGAGTCGACGACGGCAATAGTCACAAGCTTCTCTCCGCGCTCGAACATCTGCACATCCAGCTTCGGGGCGGTCGTACTGGCATTGGCGAGAACGTAGTCACCGGGCTGGACCTGTCGTTTGCCGAAGTACAGCTTAGTGTCGACGGTGGGATCACAATGAGGCAGGACATCGGGAACGACCTTCATCTGTGTAATGCGCTGCACGAGAATCTTGCGGCGGTATTCCCGCCATTTCCGGTCAGCCAGGAAGCGGTAAATGGGCTTGCTCATGTCGCCTATCAAGTCGCAGAGCAGGTTAGCATTGTCCCATCTCAGCACATTGAGGCAAAATGAACATACCTTGACCATCTTCGAATTTACGCTTAACAAGCGGGTCATTAATATCGGCATGGATCTTAAGCTGCTCCAAGTGCAGTTGCATGGCTCCCAAACGAGACTTTCGTGACTGCTCGCCCCCGGCCTCTTCGGTTGAGAGAGCCTCGACCCGCGCAATTCTCTGTCTCATCTTCTCAATCTCCTCCAGCTTCTCTGCCCGGTCGGCGAGGAGGAGGTTTCGCGCTTCTTGAAAGCATTGGTAGGGCAGCTGCTCAAAGGGAATGTTGGGGGAGCCCTGCAGCGCGGCACGGCGACGGCGAGAACCAATGGGGGTGGTACCCTGTCGCATCAATCGTCTCTCCAGTCGGGGGCTCGTAACAAGCGACGGATCGGGGTTCTTATGGAAAGGTTGGGTCTGTTCGGATTGAGCCTCTGCGACGCCGGCTGTCGACTGGAAGCCACGTGCCTGGACCTGGAGGCCCGTCAGGCTTCTAGCGTAAGAGCTGCGAAGGCATTGGAGCAGCGGCTTGGATGCCCGCTCGCAATGAGCCATTTTGTGAGAGTCCCGCGGGTGGGTTGTGGGGATTGGGAGGGCAATGAGTTGGCGATGTTGTTGTCCTCGGGGGAACTTTTTCTGCTCGAAGCCAAGACTTTTGCTGGCGCCCACCGCCCTCCCCGGAAATCAACTTTTGCTCCTCCCATCCAAAAACTTAAGGCAGCACATCATCAAACCACATAGCCCAATCCCTGTCGTGATCTTCACAATGCCTGGCAGTGAGGCTTTTCGGGCCTTGAGGCTGCTTTCGCGCACCTCAGGCGGACTTCTGTCGGGGTCGGAGGGTGTCACGGTTCGTCCACATTTTTGCCCGCGCGATTGTGATCGCCTGATTGCATGACATGACTGACTATAACTGATATAGCGACGATGCCTTACGCGTTCAATGGTCACTGAGGCTCAGGCCCAGGCTTCCTCCACATCCAATCCCTCGACATCCGCGCCCGTCGCGCCATGGGACCGTCCCGTCCAAGTCATGACATACGCCTTCCCTTCTATGGAGCCTGCTCGTCTCGTCGAATACTCCCAGAAACAATTACAGATGCCTCTCCGGAAAGACATCCTCCACCGTGCAGTCGTCTACGAGGGTGACATGTCCCGACAAGGAACGGCCAGTACCAAGTGGAGGGGAGAGGTTCACGGTAGTCACCGCAAGCTCATGCCGCAGAAGGGCTCTGGCCGCGCTCGTGTGGGCAACAAGCAGTCACCAATTCGAGTGGGTGGAGGTGTTGCTCACGGTCCCCATCCTCGCGACTTCTCGACCGAACTGCCCGCCAAGATCTACGACCAAGCCTGGCGCATTGCCCTCAGCTACCGCTACGCCCGCGGAGAGTTGATCGTTTTGGACAACGAAATTGCCCTCCCTAAGAACTCAACACCGTTCCTCATGGAGCGTATTCTCAAGGACCACGGCTGGAGCACCAAGAAGGGCCGGTCGACTCTGATCACGGCGGATTTCGACGAGAACTTGTTTGACACGATGGAGAAGCTCAAGCAATACGCAACCATTAAGGACTGCAGCGAGGTGGATGTGAAGAACCTGCTGGAGACGGAGAGACTCGTCATTGAGAGGACGGCGCTGAATCGGTTCTTCAAGTGGCACTCGCGTGATTTGACGAGTAAGCCGGCGAAGGCACGATACCTGTGATTGTCTTGATTGGAGCGGACGTTTGCATTTATTTCTCTTTCTTCGTCTTTGTATTCTGGCCCATATGTACAAATAGAATATGATCTACCTGGGTTACTTACCCTAGGTACTATACTACCTACCACTTTTCTGATGGAACGTCTGGCTCGAATGAGAGCTGTCGAATTGTGTTTGCCAGCCATTGGTGTGCGCATTTGAAATGGGCGCAATTCTAGCTGAAAACCCCCTAAGTTCTCATGCTCGGTAATAAATGCTATAGCACGCAGCATAGCAATGAGCGGCTAGTTGCGGACGTGGACGGTCGCAGTTGCAGTCGCGGCGCAGGCGGAGAAGTGGCCCTCGGACCGGAGAAAATCCCGTCCAAAAAACTCCCGAGGTCGACGGTAAAGCGGAGAACATCTGATTGCCTTTTGTAAACCAACCTCCCTCCGTTCTCTCTTCGTCATCAGTCTTCATGCTGCTTCGACACTCCTTCTCACGATTACCCTCGCCGCCGAGCTGGATCTCGCGGTTCCCTTCGCCAGCCATGCCTCTGCGCGCCAAGGTGACCAACCCTGCCTTTCGGGCGACAGCTTCGGTAAGACCCTTCGCAGAACCCCGAGATACCGAGTGGAATGCTGATCGTATTGTTGGAAGATATCCACATCCCCTGATATCCCCAAGGAACTCCCCGGTGACGAGCCCGACGATGTTCTGTTCAACTCTATTTACGGTCTCCGCAGCGTCGAGCTCAACCGTCCCAAGAAGCTTAACTCTCTCAATGGCTCTATGGCCCGCAAAATCTTCCCTCGCCTGAAGGTTCGTTCATGCTCGGCATGCATATTCAATTGGATGCGTATGCTAATGTATTGGGGGTTATAGGAGTGGGAAAAGTCTCAGATCGCAAACATTATCCTCATTTCGGGCGCCGGACCCAAGGCGCTCTGCGCAGGAGGCGATGTCGCCGCTCTTGCGCTTCAGAATGAGCAGGGACCGGAGGGACAACAAGCGTCGACAGATTTCTTTGGTCTCGAATTCCGCCTCGATCACACGATTGCTACATACTCGAAGCCCGTCATCTCTTTCATGGACGGAATCACCATGGGCGGCGGTGTCGGTCTCAGCATGCACGCCCCCTTCCGAATTGCTACCGAGCGTACCGTTTTTGCTATGCCCGAGACAACCATTGGCTACTTCCCCGACGTGGGTGGCTCGTTCTTCCTGCCGCGACTGGATGGTGAAACGGGCACCTACCTGGCCCTGACCTCTGAGCGCCTGAACGGTGTCCAGGCTCTGTATGCCGGAATTGCGACACACTACCTGCACTCCAGCGTCCTGAGCAATGTTACCCAGCGTCTTTCCGAGCTCGTCTTCCCTGACCACGTTGGTCTCCCCGAGCGACTGCACACCGTGAACAAGACCATGGCCGAATTCTCTCTCGGTCTTCCCTCTTTGCAGGAGGAGCCCATCCTTCTGGCCGGCGAGCTCCGCAAGGCCATTGACCGTTGCTTCCAGTTCAACAGCGTGGAGGAGATCTTCACCGCGCTAGAGAACGAGACTGAGCAGAAGGAGTGGGCCCAGAAGACCCTGAAGACCCTCTCTAGCCGCTCTCCGACTTCTCTGAAGGTTACTCTGCGCCAGATGCGTCTGGGCAAGAAATGGAGTATCTCCGAGACCTTCCAGCGTGAGTACCAGGTTGCCGCAAACTTCATGCGCCACCCCGACTTCGTGGAGGGCGTGAAGGCCCGCCTGATGTCCAAGCCCCCTCGCCAGGCTGAGTGGCAGCCCGCCACTCTGGGAGAGGTGTCGAACGAGGCCGTCGAGGCCTTCTTCTCCATTCCCGAAGACCAGGCCCGCCTGCACCTAGAGAGTGGAAACGACTACAGGAGTTACCCTCACGAGCAGCTTGCTCTGCCCTCCGAGCGCGAGATTGAGAAGTTCGTCCGCAACCACGGCACCTCCGTTCCCCAGGTTGTCAACGAGTTCGACCAGCGATGGAACCAGAAGGAGGGTGTGCGCGAGAAGGTGCTTGAGGTGCTGAGCCGCCGTTCGAAGAGGACTGAGAAGGGCATTGAGTGGGTGTAAAGAGCGAGAGTTTATATCTAACAGCATGTAATTTATGCCGATGGCGAATAGCTTGGATGCCATCCGTATGTATTAGGATTTACCCCGGTTTTTGGTCTACATTTGGAGTATTTGCATAGATATTACAATCCACTGCGTATTACTCGCTCACTTTATTTTAGAGTGATGTTAGGGTGGCTCCCAAGGTACTCGGTCATGACTTGCACACAAGATGATATTATCAGCCCACCGGGCATTACTGGACCGCGCCCCATCGTCACCCGACATTTTCCATCTAACCTTACCTTAGCCTTCCATCTTTAAAACTCGGCACATTCCACGATTCCAAGAAAACCAGTATGATTGAGAGTCGCACAACTGAACATTCCACATAATGGCAGCAGAACGACGATCTTCAACGGCCTGGCGGGTATCATCAAACGACGATGATTCGGACCTGCGCGCTGAATTACTCCCCACCTCCACTTCATCCGAGGATGTTCTATCCCCGCCACTACCCACTGGTCCCAAGCCGGAAGCACGCACGGTACTGATGCGACTCTATGTGTCGCATACTCTTTCGGCATGGAATTCTCGCATGTTCGAGTTCGGAGCAGTCCTCTTCCTAGCCGCGATCTTTCCAGGAACATTGCTCTATGCCTCCATCTATGCTCTGGTCAGAGCCTTTTCGGCCGTTGCTCTTTCACCTTGGATGGGTGAGAAAGTCGACAAGTCAGACCGGTTAGTTGCATTGAGGCATTCGATCGGTGAGTGACCCACTGGTAGATTTTGGCGGCTTGAGTTGGCTGCTCCTCAATTGTAACAGCGCTAATTCCATCTTCCACAGTTTGGCAACGAGTCCCCGTTGCGGCATCATGCTTGAGTTTCGTGGCACTATCGAAGTTTTCTGACTCTCAGCTCCTTTCTTCATCTTTGTTTGTCCTGGTTGGCTTATTAGCTTGTCTTGAAAAGCTGGCGGCCTCTGCAAATACGGTGGCCGTCGAGCGCGATTGGGTATGTCGAGGCGATCTATGTTGAATTCAATATTTTAACCTGGGGTCTTACTGATACTCTGCTATGGACAGGCTATTGTCATATCCGAAAGCATCAATGTTCCCCGACAAGGTAATACAGCAATGCATTCTCTTCGCGGTTTCGAGTCAATTAACATTGGCATCATGCAGACTTAAATGCCTCGATGCGCCGCATCGATCTTTTCTGCAAACTCATTGCCCCTGTGTTCATCTCCCTGGTGGACAGCTTCTCGACGCGAGTCGCTATCTGGACCGTCCTGGGACTGAACATGGCATCCGTACTGGTCGAGTACGTGGCCATCGCACAGGTGTACCGGTCAGTTCCCGAGCTGAAAAAGCATGCTGCTACTACGACCCTTGCCACGAGTCCGAATAATGCTGCTACACAAATCCCAGGTCGGCCATGCCAGGGTATCGTGAGCTACTTGCGCGAAACGTTAGCCCCCTGGCAGGATTTTGTAACCAACCGAGTTTTCATAGCCTCGTTCGCACTGAGCCTGATCTACCTCACAGTTCTGTCTTTTGGAGCTACTATGGTCACTTACCTACTCCATAGCGGATTCGACTCACTGGAGGTCAGTTGCATGCGTATCGGCTCTGTGGCTGCCGAGCTTGCGGGAACCTGGATCGCACCTCTCATCATGAACCGGATTGGTCCCATCCGCTCTGGGTTGTGGTTCCTGAACTGGCAATTCTGCTGTGTGGCTGGCGCAGCGGCGGCATATGTTCCATGGGACTCGAATTCGCGGTTAGTTGCGGGATGTCTTGTTATCGGGGTGGCTCTAAGTCGGATCGGACTCTGGGGCTTTGATCTGTCGGTGCAATTCCTCGTGCAGGAGGTGGGTTCTATAACCTGATTGTCTTGAGATGCCAAATGGTCATTTGCTAATTGCGTATAGAACGTCGAAGAGCATGCCAGAACCCGCTTCTCGGCTACTGAGACGGCACTGCAGAACATCTTTGAAATGCTCTCGTTTGCATCTACGATTGTCTTTTCTCGTCCCGAGCAATTTGAGTACCCGGTGATGATTAGCTCTGGGGCTGTTGCTGTTGCAGCGATCTGCTTTGCGACATACGTGCGCAAGGAGCGCGGGCATCTGCTGCACCGGTCGAAGTGCATGGGAGGAGACAAGGTGCTGTACCGGGCCGTCCCATCGCCCGCATAGATCTAAGTGGATAGAGCGGATACTATCAAAAGCACGTACATTCGGTTCTATCCTGATGTATAATAGTAATTCCAAGAATTAAAAAGTACACTGTCTACATACATCAGAGTCATATTCCAAGAATATAAGGTATGAAATGATCGCCATGTGCAGTCCCAAATGGCACGCTCAGGCACAGGCACGACCACGTGGAGTCTGAGCGCCGTGCATATCATTGCTGCTTGTTGCTGCTGAATTTCCCTTCGTCGAGTTCAGTTCGATCGTGTGACATTGCTCATTCAAGTCTCTTGGCATCGCCCGCTCTGCCCACTGCCGTCGCCCCGTCTGACGAAGGCCGCGAACCTCGTGGCGCCATCGAGCTCGTCATCCACGCCGTGGGACCGAATTGCGGGGAAAGCGGCCACCGCCGTCCCTGACACTCATCACCATGTCTCTGGTGCCCACCCCGGGACTGTTCGTTCCATCATGGAGGTACCGCTTCTCGAAAAACGATACCATCGCGCATCTCGACTAACGCAAGCGCTCGGCTCACAGGTGCCCAAAGCCCGGGGAGCTGGCCGGTCAGGCCCGCGCCGTCGCACCGGCTGTTTGACATGCAGGGCTCGCAAAGTGCGCTGCGACGAGTCCAAACCCAGCTGCGCCAACTGCGATCGACTGCGCCTGCGCTGTGTCTATAAGCCTCCAATCGCCTTCGGGAACACCTCGACCCGCCACTCTCGCGACTCGATCGTCGTGGCGCAGACCGCTCCTCAGACGGCTCCGACCCCGGCCATCGGCTCTGCCTCTGCTGCGGCGGCTGTCGCTGCAGCAGCGAGTGCATCGCAGCGCTCGCCGGATCTGACTTTCTTCAATACTGTGTTGCGACCGGACGACCACCACCGAACGATCCCCGCGATGGCGGCGCCGATGCGACGAACCCCCGCCAATCCAGAACCATATCCGCCAGAACTGGGAGGACCGTTTGATATGCTTGGTTTTATGGGCGGGATTACGTCTGAGCTAGAACAAAAACACCTTGACCTGACAAGCGGTCTTCCAGCTTTCACCAATAGCCCGCCTCCGCAATCCATAACTGCCGGGTTGACCACAAACGGAGCGGAAGAAGCACAGGCACAAGCGCAAGCACAATTTGGAACAGAACAGCGATCGCCACTGAGCCCAGACGGGACTTCTTCATTAGTGGATGGAGCCTCGATCGGCGATACTTCCGATGCAGCCACAAGGCGCAGCTGGTCCGACCCAGGGACCACTTCGTACGAAGAACAACTGCTCCAGCACTTTCTAGCTATTGATCCGCCCGCCGTCATCTTTGGGCCTGTGAATATGGAGTGGAAATATGTACGACCATCTGTTTTGGCTTACGCTCGAGACTTTAGCCCACTGCTGAACGCACTCTATTGTTATTCGGATGTCCACAAAGCAGCAACGGAGGGCAAGCAGTGGCGCTGGGCGCCCACATACTACCGAGTAGCGAGCTCGGAGATCCAAGCCTGTTTGCTCGGGGATGTGGCCGAGCCAACATTGATCAAGATCTTTGCTGCGGTTTTCTTCTTGATGTTATCCGAGGTATGTTTGATCTGTCTGGCCGTGAGCTTTTTGAAGTGTCGTGATTGACAGGAGATATACAGCTGTTTTCATCGCCCGAAATTTATGCAGCGGGCACTTCATATCTGCACTCCTCCTATCTACTCTTGCAACGATTTAATGACCGGACTCGAGAATGGACTGGACTCGGCCATCTGCTGGTCTCCTGGATGTCTCTTCTCGATGTCAAATCTCTAATCGCAGGCCGTGATGGCGACCTGTTGATCGAACTGGGAAACTTACCAAATGACCGACCAAAACCTAAACCATCAGACATACAGAGCTCACGAGAGTCTCGCATGGCAGGTTCGACCGAAGAGCGCAGGGAGGAAGATCCGAATGAAGACCTATTCCGCAGCCCGAGCTATCTCGTCTACGAAGCCATCGTGGGCCCGGCATTCGAGTTTTTCGTACAAGCACAGCAAGTCGTCCGACGAATTGTCTGCATTGATTTACATCATCGCAGCCGCGGGACACTAAGCGATGAATTCGAAGTTCTCCAGATTGCGCACAAAGTTGGTGCGGATCTGGAGACACTTTGGCACCGACGGCCTTCCGTAATCGACATCTACGGACAACCAGAAGCCCTGCACGATACACTCTGTGCACCAGTTGCTCTCGAGGTCTGCCGCACATTCCGACAATATGTTGCGAATTTTCTAGCAAATTTCATCTACCTCCACCGAGTCGCATTTGCAATTTACCCTCGCACAGATCGTGTGAACGGCGCCGTCGACAAAATCATACAGCTAGCCACCATCGAATCTGCCGGCTCTTTACCGGGCCACCTCCCAGTCAGTTTCATGTGGCCAATATTTGTGGCCGGCCTCGAAGGCTCGCACGACCAGCGTCAATGGATTGTGCAGGAAATGCAGCGGATGGCAGCTGCGCGTGAAAATGAACCCGCCACTTCGATTGCCCGACATCCATCCGCTGACAAAGTCCTTCTTTTGTTAGAAGAGATGACTCGCAGACAGGATGTGTCGAGGTCATGGGCCGACTCGCGATGCGTGCGACGAGAACTTTTCTCGAACCCTTTCGTCATGATTTGAACTTCGCTCTGTTTGACGCAATGTACATACCATATATACCGCTTAGACGACTATGCATTCTCCACAGCGATCAATCAGCAGATATTCATGAATGAGAAAAGGAGCTCAGGTGTTTTTTTCACTGTTCGACTGACACCATGATGTGCGTATCTACGATTCTAGGAGAGCACTTTCAAGATAGATCGTATTAGGGACTACTAGCTTCCGGAACAGATGATACCAAAATATGTCTCGAGATTTTTGAGTTATCTAGGATACTAATAAGATGTTCTAAGACATCAAACTGACAAGATTCTCCAGGTAGATGTACACGAAGCATGACCAAACGGTAATGACTGGATCTTCCATCTCAGGAATCCGAAAACATCAAGTGCGCTTCCTACTAAGCCTTGGCCGATTGTCAAGCTTAGTGGTGGAAGACCTCTCTCATGGAGGCGTACACCTTGACCTTCAGGTCGGACGACCAGACAGGAGTCTGTCCCTGGTTGACACTGTACGAGATGGACTGGGCGGTCTTACCCTCGGCACGCTTCTCGAAGAACAGAACGTGGCGCCAGTCGATGAAGACCTCATAACCATCGCCCTGGTCGTGGATCAGGATCGACGGGGTCTTGCCCTTGAAGCGGTTCTCGAGCGAGACACGGACTTCCTTGCCGAACTTGTCGTCGATCTTGGTGTTGAAGACAATCTGGTTCTCAGCCCGACGCATGGAGATGAGGAACAGGGTGTTGCCGTCGCCATTCTTGCCCTCGTGCAAGGAGAGTTGGGTGTTGTCAATGCCCGAGCCCTTCCATGGGGTGAGGTTCAGGCCGCTAGAGTCGACGATTACCACACCGTCGGCCTTGAGGGTCTCCTTGAATGGCAGGTGCGAGCCGACTCGGAGACCGGCCTTGGGGATGGCGGGCACAGCAGGAGGAGCGACGGTGACGGGCTGCTGCAGGCTGGGGTTCAGGGCACCACCAGGACCTCCGGAGATGGTGGGCTCCTTCTTGAAGTTCTCAAGTTTGGGCGGCTTGGTGGCATCGTTGTAGACGGTGGAGTCGTTGGTGCTACCGATGATCTCCAGATCCAGCTTGTCGACCTCGTACGAGGGGACCTCCTTGCCGGCACGGAAGACACGCCAGTAGGCGCGCTCGCGGATGTACTTCAGGACATCGTCCTTGGCCAGACTGGCCAGGTCCTTGCCGGACTTGAGCAGGGTGATCAGGATGGGGGTCAGGGAGATGCTGGCGGTGGACTTGATGTTCGCCTTCTGCTGGCCCTTGCAGTTGCCGCAAGCCAGCTTGCCTGAATTGGTCTCGGGGCGCTGACTGAAGTTGTACACTTCGGTGATCAGGTCCTTGGTCGGGTTCTGCTTGTTGATATCGTCGGATAGGTAGATGCGGATCCAGAAGGGGTCACCACCCAGACCGTACTTGCGGTAGCGAACGCTGAAGGAGTAGTCGGAGGACTTGGAGCCATCCTCCAGGTACTCGACACCCTTGATGTTGTGGGTGGCGTCGATCAGCTGCTGGCGGGACATACCGTACAGCTCGTTGACGGTCTTGCGCAGCTCGGACTGGAAGGTACTCGAGGTGTAGCCCTCGGGCTTGTATTTCCAGGTCTGCAGCTCGGGGTAGTTGTAGCCGAGCTTGTACGGCCAGCGGACATCCTTGGGGGTCATCACGGCACCGGCAGTGTCCTTGTGGAATGGGCGGAGCTTAGTGTCGGGAGTGATATCGGAGCCCTCAGGAAGACCGATGGTCTCCTGGAAGAACTTGTTGACCTTGGCCTTCTCGAACCACTTGTCGGGGTTCAGGGCTTGCCACAGGGCAAAGATGCGATCAATGTTACTGCAAATTGATCAGCATTGACTTGAATTGTATTCTCATACGAGATATCGACCTACCAGTGGTGAAGCCAGAAGAGGGGATCGAATGTGGCAACAGGAATTTGAGACATGTGTCCGTTGAGAGGTCCTCCGACCCAACCGTGAATGTTGTTGTGAACTGAAGAGAGATTGTTAGACAACAGGTCATCACAGTTCGAAAGTTCAGGAACACATACTGTACTCCAAGTTGATATCGTTGGTGATATCTTGTTGGTCGGTAAGCTGGGCGGTGGTAGCGAAGGTCGAGTACTCCATGGGAGTGGTGAGCAGACGGTAGACCATCTCGGCCGGCTGGCCATATTTGGATTCGTTAAGCCAGACGGGAGCCTTGAGAGTCTCCTGGACCTTGAGGTTGTTCACGACACCATACTTCCAGGTGTTGGTTCCCGAGGCATTCTCACCCTCATCGGGCCAACGGCTGGTTCCGATACATTCACCGAACTATATCTCGGTTAGCAGGACTCTCTGATGATAAAGAGAAGAAGCACATAACATACAAACAGCATCTCGCCATTGTCGACCCACGGGTCCTTAAAGCTGTCCATGCCAGCAGTGGACATGGGCTGGTTGTTGGGCATGACGAATTGGAAGAGTGGGTTGGGAATGCGCTCCTCGCCGGTGCCATCGGCGGTTGGCACCAAGGTGTAGGGGTACTTGGCCAGGTCAGGCACTGAGGTACTCACACCCCAGTCCCAGAAGGGCAGACGCCATTCCTCGGCGGCCTCCTTCCACTGCGGACGCAGTTCCTTGGCAAAGTTGGGGACAATTTCTTGAATCATGATCTCGTAAAGGCGTTGCTGAGAATGTATTAGCATCGACCCGATCTGTCATTAAGCGGCTGGGAGGAATTCGATACCTCATAAAGTGCCAGGTAGGCACGATGCCAGATGGGGAAGAGGATGTTGTTGTGCGTGCAGTATCCAAGTCCCTCGGCATCCTTCTTGTCGATGGGCTCGTCCCAGGGGACATTGGGCTGACCGTGAATACCAGCAATCTGGAAGTACGAGTCACGCTCCAAGGGGTCGATCTTCTGGAAACGAGCGAGGGCCATCACGAACAGCTTCACCTGCTTCTCGTTGACGGGATCCTTGCTCCAGGAGTCAATCTCATGACGGATGGGCACCTGGACTTCGGGACCAAGCTGGGAAGCCTCGACGTTGTTCACGGGAATACCGTTGATGGGATAGTACTTGTGGTCGGATGTAGACATCGTTGCTCGTGATCCCCTGGATCGAAGTTTTCTTTCTTGTTGATTGGTATGGACAAAGTGTTTGAGAACAAACATCTGGAAGATCAGGCTACCTGGACTAGATCTAATATTTATATTCAGCAGCTGAGCAAGAATTGAGAATCATATTGCATTTGGACTATCGTCAGGTCGGTCAGAGCTGCAGCTGGGGAGCATGCCGGAGTGGGCTAGAGTGGGCTGGGGCGAGACGGCCCCCTCTTGATCAGGTAGTACACGCATGCATACACACTATGTGAAACTGTACGTAGCTGTTGCTTTTCATCATTCTTTCACTTTTCTCACCACAGGCGGGAAACCTCGCTGAAAAACACCTTAGAGGTAATCTAAAGGACCAATTAATATCAGAAATACCTGTGACATACTGGTTTTTAGTGTCTTAAAAGGCGTACGTTTACCAGAGTTCTCGGAAACCAGGTTTTTTGGAACAGGCAATCTTTGAGAGGCTCACTGGTGCGGAGAAGCCGACAGAGCTTCAGCTGCGTGCATGTTCTATAGCTCTTTGCTTTTGTTACCGTGGCTGCCGCCGATCAATGTCTCTCTGCACTTCAGCTCGCCATTACTGAGTATGTACTGGGGTGGAGCCGATGGGGTAGCTGGATGTAGCCGGGTGACACGATCCACATCATGCAGGATCGTCGATGCAAGGGCTTGTGCTCAATCTATACGATGATGTGCTTGTGTAACATGACGAGTATTCGTAAAACCATGGCGTAAAAAAATATGGCGGACGCAGCTGAGGTAGCGGATCTCTCATCTTGCGATCCGGTTAGTGTGACCCCCCTTTGCTTATGTCGACCTACAGACGGGTCCAGCGCATTCGCAACAGTGCGTCTTGTACATATATGTATGATGTTGAATGGAGCTGAAATAAGGGAATAGTCCTATTTAATCTATCCCTTGCTATAAGGGTGTTTCACGTCCATTTCTTCATTATCGCCATTGCTTTGCTTTGATCCAATGTCTTTTGTGTCATACTCAAAAATGGAGTGTAAACCTGCCATCACGACTGTCTCCCTGGGAGCTGCAAAATACCACAGTATCTTCGACAAGATTGAGGAAGCCGCAAAAAATGGCTTCAAGGCGATCGAGTTGTTTATCGACGATCTCGAGACTCTTGCCCGCGGCATCCGCTCCTCACCTGCCTCCGTCACCCCTCCTCGCGATGCAGTCCTCGCTGCCGCCACCCAGATCCGAGGACACTGCGACAAGCTGGGAGTCACTGTTCTCAACCTCCAGCCGCTGCGCTTCTACGAGGGCCTGGTAAATCGCAAGAAGCGCAACCAGATCCTGGACGAGGTGGTGCCCATTTGGATGGATGCGCTCACCATTCTTGGCGCCGACACCATCCTGGTCCCTTCCAACTTCCTCCCCGAGGACCCGGCCACTGAACTGCCTCAAACCGTCGGTGATTTCGATATCATCGTCGACGATCTCCGCGAACTGGCCGCACGAGGTGCCCAGCACCAACCGATCATCAAGTTTGCTTACGAGGCGCTGGCCTGGGGCACGCACGTCAACACCTGGGAAAAGTCCTGGAAGATCGTTCAGGCCGTCGATCGCCCCAATCTAGGCATCGCTCTTGACACCTTCAACATCGCCGGCGCCGTCTTCGCCGACCCCACCACTGCTGATGGCCGTGTGGCAGGCACGGCCGAGGCCGATCTACGCAGCTCGCTGGATCGGATGGCCTCGACTCTCGACCTCAGCAAGCTGTTTATTGTCCAGATAGCCGACGCCGAACGTCTCAGCCAGCCTCTCCTTCCGGGACACCCATTCTATGTCGCGGGCCAGCCCAGTCGACTGAGCTGGTCGCGCAACTGTCGCCTCTTCCTTTGCGAGTCCGACCGGGGCGGCTTCTTGCCCGTCCTCAGCATCCTGAAGGCCATCATCGACCTCGGCTGGTCGGGATACCTCGCATACGAGATCTTTTCACGATCACTGGCCTCCACAGACCACCAGACACCCGCGCAACATGCGGAACGGGCCAAGCGGTCCTGGCAGCAGCTGTGCCAGGTTGGCTCGACCAAGGACACTCCGTCAAAAACATTAGACTCCGCAAAGGAGCCGACAAAAGAACCTACCAAGGAGCAAAAGCCCCCACACGGGACAGAGTCCCACAGCCACAGGATGGGTCTGATAGAGACAGTGGTTCATGGGGTGGAGACGGAGGTGGACCGGGGCATCTCATTTGGAGGGGGTGTGCTGTCAATGATTGCCTCTCGCGCGGAGGCCCTGTAATACAACGCATTAAGCTCTTGTCAGATTTAGAGGTTCGGGTAATTGATTTTGTCGTTGAGCCAATCATGGGACCTGTCAACAAGACGTGGACGCCCCCGCCTCGTAATTGCCAATAGGCAAACTACTTGTACTACCGCTGCGAACATGGCCTCGACGCCTTCGAGGTCGGGAAACTCAGAAGGGAAATTCCATTAGTCACTACGTGTTGAGAGTTTCCATATTTCCAGATGAAGCGGTTTGCAGGTTGACGCTATTCCTGCCACCGATGTCTGGGTAACGCAGAAACCCACCTATCCCTTTACTGGACAATGAACAGTTCCTCCGGAGGTCCAAGCTGACCGCTGGCTGGCGCCTAAAGTTTCCGAATCCTTCTAACAAATATAGCGCACCTGGGCTTCGTCGCGCATGTGGCGCGCATAGCTTGCCGCAAGTCCCCAAGGAACTTGCAGGATAGGTCTAGCAAGGCAATTGTCCTGTCAAACGTCATGAACCGTGATCGCCGAAGTTCGGCAAACCATCAAGTGCGGAGATTGTGATTTCTTTTTGCAGAAATTGAAAAGAACGATGTTTAATAATTTTCGATGGCGAATAATTACAGCCAAATGGACACTAGGTGCAAGCTGTGATTGATTTGAAAATGGGCTGGTTTCTGCAAGCCTCGTTACACAGCCTACCGATCTAGTCTTTCCACTCACCTGCATCTGCATAGATTAGCGCCGACGGGCAAGATTCTACAATGTGCACGTGGAAGACCGAGGTGGTCCGGTGTTTCCTCTTTATATTATTCTATAAAGCGGCTGGGCTCTCCAAGTAGGGGATTATGTAGCACCTGACGACTGACATTCCAGGAGAATCAAACCTGTAGGCGAATGGGTTAGCTGGGTGTAGCGTCGATCGGGTTCTTTGGTCGGATGCACTGCATCCTTGCGATGACATCTCCCCGGAGATCAATCCTCGGTACACCCGGTACTTCTGGCGAAGTACATGACAAGACTCGCCATCGATGGTCACACAAAGGGCCAATAGACGCGCGTGGGTTGTTTATGTGTCCAGGCCGTGGCTGGCTGAGATTGGTGATCTCCCGACCGCGCAGCTTGAGTGGAGCTCCAGCTACTCCCTAGTCCGGCTAGTAGCTAGTACCTGTACCTCTAGTGGTACCAGCTGAAACCAAGAATGAAGGGCCTGCGGAGACGTAAGGACCCCGCAGGTTTGACCAAAAAGGTCATCCGGGGGACCCACTGTCACCTATGGCGAATCGGCTAGATCGACCTCCGATGAACACGGGTTCGTTTCTGCAGGCTTAGTCCCATTATTGTACACTGAACATTGGAGAGTACATGCTGAGGGCCAATACCCCACTCCTGGTTACACGGGCCAGAGCGCGCAGCCCGCGAAGGCGTTCATGCAGTCGAGTGGGTGAAGGTCTGTGGTTTGACAGGATTCAAAAGTAACTTGCCACTAGCTGTATGTACTCCTAGAGCATGCCTTAGGGTAATGACTTGGGATTGCTAGGCAGATGATGGCCTACACGTTACGATCAACTAAATAAAGGGTCGGACATGGCAAAACAGACTTTCGTCAACCCGCGTCCCGACCCGCAATTTTGCGCCCCGCATGGATTTACTTGCGCTAGTTGGAGCCGAGCCGAGCTCAGATGTATACGACGATACAATACTCGAATAATTTCGTCGAGGGATTAAATTGATGAAAAAAGAAAATTTGAATAAAATATAAATAATACACTGCACTTTTAGAAGCTATGATAATACTAGTATGTTCAGGCAGTCTAACATAGCCATTGAGTCAGTAAACCTGCGCGAAAGGGTATGCCCCCACTTCGCTTTCATTCACTCAAACTTAAGCCTCACAACAATCCATTTCATCCTCTGCCTTTTCCGTAGGCGGCTCGGGTGAGATGGAGAAGAGTGAAGACACCGCCGCGACTAAACAGAGAGCCCCAAGAAACAGCGTCATAACGCTCCATCCCAGTCCGTGCTTGATGTACCCTCCAGCAATCGGCCCGACCGCCTGGCCTGCAGCAAACGCCATGTTGCAGAGTGCATAGCCCCTCCCTTGGCCGCTGCTTTTCTCGTCTGCAATTCCGTACATGCGCTCGATTCGACGGACGGCATTCGAGACATCGCCCATGATGATCGCCTGTACCGAAGCAAGGCAGACCCCGATAATGAAAAGCAGGGTGACTAGAATAGTCTCGTGACGAGCGGTATTGGCCTGCGTCCACCGCAAGCAAATCATCGGAATGGTCATGACGACGAAGCCGGTCACGACAACCACGCGTGGTTTCAAGCGTCGCACAAAGTGGGCAATGGGAATGCTTAACACGGACGGGATCGTTAATGGGAGGAATACGAATCCTGCACCCATGCTGGACCAGCGGTATGTTTGGATCACGTAAAGAGGGAGAGTCTGCGTTTTGTTAGCCCGGTCGCTGCATTGTAGCCAGAGATTTTCTAGATCGAGTTACCGTCTCAAACGCAGATAGGATAGAGGATACGGCCAGCACGGTGAAGATAACACCGAGGAGAATGGGATGCAAGAAATGATAGAATTTCAAGGAATCCTCCTCCGCGGGCTCGTCGTTCAAAAGAGGAGAATTCTCTTGCGGGTCGTCTTTGGCGAAAGCCTCGGGGCTCTTGCCTTTACCTGAAGGTCATTGGTAAGCGTAGAACAACGAGACGATCATCAATTGACACACCTTCATCCCCTTGCACCATCATCAGCCGGAGAACAATATCCACCACCAAAAGCGCTACCGGAACCCCAAAGGCACCCATGGTGCCATATTTCGCGAACCTAGTCGAACCACGTCAGACGCCAGGTCCTCAATGAGGGGTCCTCAATGAGGGGTAAGAGTCCATACAGAAAGCCGCCAGCCATCGGTCCACAAAGCATTCCCCAGGTCAATGCTGTGGATCCACACGCCATGTACGCCCCCAAATTCTGGGGACTGGCTGTCTCAGCGATCATGCTCAGTCCTAGAACCCCTACAACTGCACCCGAGAGACCCTGGCAGACTCGCGCTACGAGTAGGAGCCAGGCACTACGTGCAGAGACGAAGAGGATTGTCGCGAGGGCGATGGCGACAAAGCCGGAGATCAGCGGTGCTTTGCGGGCGCGATATTTGTCGCTGAGGTATCCGGCCACGGCTATGCGATGTTGTTGTCAGTAGACGAAAGTTGATTCAAGATTGAAATACCCACGGGAGCCGACGAGAAGGGCACCGCCGTAGCTTGCCAACAACAGGGATGTCCATTGCTGAACTAGGGGCAATTGGTCAGTGAAGTTCATCCAGAGTAGTGAAGACTCGGGCTCCGGTTACCATTTTCCTCAGTCGTATGGCCATGGTCCATCAACAGGAAAGGCAGAATAGGGACAATCTGAAAATTGGTGAGTAATTGTGTCTCGTTTGCATGCAAGTCGGCAGAAAACACTCACAATGCCATAAACAAAAGTATCCTATGGTCGGAAATTTGCGAGGTTAGCCGGCACGAGCGCGAGACTTCATCGCGGAAAAGGCACGTACTGTAAACAATGCAAAGCAGAGGGCTACTAGTATAAATGTATCAGACGATCTCGCCTTGCGAGAAAACACATATTGAACACCCATAATTGCTGTTAAAGAAAATTGAGTGTTCAAGGTTGAAGAGCAGAACAAATCTGAGTCGAAATGAGGGGCAAGATGGCGAGAATGGTCTACGCTTTGAGGAGCTGAACCGACCCAGCCACGCCAGGTGGACAGATCCAAAAAATTTATGGCAGAAGCAAAAAAATAGATTACAAAACGAAACGATCGGGGTAAGGCCCCACCGAGGTTGCACAGTCCCTTACGACAAAAATCCCAGCTGCAGTGTAGATCGCCACATGCGGGCTCGGTAGCTCCTATTGGACTTTGATCCCAATAATATGCATGCACAGCAGAACCCACCACGAATGCAAGAGCAAGCTGAAATTCTGTAACCCCCCTAGTATAGCTGTGTGCACCCCTTGAATAACTGCCCTATTTATTGGGCCTAGGAATTGGATATTTCTCCTATCCATTTTTGACATTGAACCTCGATACTATAGCTGCGGCGGAACCTGGACCTCTTCTCTCAGATTTTAGATGAACCATTTCATTCTTTTCCATCTTCCTTCATCATGGTGCCCTCGATTACAACCCTCGATCATGATGCTGCGCATATCTCCATCAGCGCCCTAAAGCTCCCCAAGAAGGCGACCACCCAGCTCCCCCGCGAAGTCGTCGACCTGCCTCTGACCCTCTGCGAATCCCACATCCTGGACGCTGCCAATTCCCAATATCTAGAATATTTGGACGAGCACTTGGCCTCAAGTCTGGACATCGAGTCGGTCCTTACCATCTGTTGGCTCCTTGTCGTGAATGGCTTCTCTCCCGTGAGAACCATGTACCTGGAGTTCCACCCTGGCTCAAATTTATGCTATGTAGACGACAAGTTCCAGCCAGGAACCAACTCTCGTGCAATTGAATTCTCCTCGGAACGTCCGTTGAAGGATCTCGTCCGTGACTTCTGTCTCATCAAGGCGGGCTTGAGCTCGGTTGACCCCGACGACGTGCCTGCCTCCGACAAGCAGAAGCACTTCCTCACTTCTGCCATCCGCTATGCAGGCGACCTGCCAAACTTGCAAGAGGCTCCTCCATTTGCTAACTCAAATGTATTGTTTTGCGACGACTCCTGCTGGTTGTCTTAAGAAGCTAATTTTTTTTTTTCTCTTCTCTAGATCTCCGAGCCCAAGTTGATGCTCAACGTGACAAACAACAAGGACAAACTCCACGCAAGCCTCGCTTTCTCCTCGCCGGAGATGTCCAAAGAATTCGCTACAAGCCTTCTGCACTCCCTAAACAAGGTCGTCGCCTCCATCTACCGCTCCCCCACAATTGCCCTCGAGGCCCTGGACCTGTGCTCCGACCTGGATCTTATCCTGCTGCAAAAGTACACAAAGGAAGTCTCCGACTCCCATGAGGTTCTCCTTCACGATATGGCGTTGGAACACGCCAAACTGACTCCCGACGCTCCTGCCATCTGCTCTTGGGACGGAAACTTCACATACAAAGAATTGGACGATCTCACCTCTCGTCTCGCTCTGCACTTGACCACCATTGGTGTTGGCCCGGAGACCTTTGTGCTAAGTTGCTTTGAAAAGTCCGCCTATGCAATTATTGCTCGCCTGGCTATCATGAAGGCCGGGGGTGCGTACATATCCATTGATGCCAGTGACCCTCCCATCTTCCTCGACTCCGTCATTAGCCGTGTCGGCGCTAAGATCATGCTCACATCCCCCGAATACGCGTCAAAATACTCATCTCTGATCACAAATATCATCTCAATTACTGGCGATATGTTGAAGGAGCTGCCTGAGGCGAGTGGCCCGGCATGCACCACCGTTCAACCCTCAAATGCTTGTCTGATTTTGTTTACCTCCGGGAGTACGGGTCAACCCAAGGGTATTATCCAGGAGCATCGCTCCTACGCCACCGCTGTCCGTGACTATAACAAGGTCCTCGGTCTCGGTCGCCACAGCCGTGTCTTCCAGTTTGATGACTATGCCTTCGACATCAGCAACAACGATTATCTCACTGCTCTCGCAGCCGGTGGTTGCTGCTGTGTCCCGACTCCCGAAAAGACCATCGCCGGTCTAATAGAGAATGTGAACAAGATGAAGGCCAACATGAGCTTCATGACCCCCACAATCGCCATCCAGCTCGCTCCCCAGGATGTCCCTTCATTAGAACTGCTCTGTGTCGGTGGTGAGCCCATGTCAAATGATCTCTTAATGAAATGGGGTCCGCATGTCAAGCTCGTGAATCAATACGGAATGGGTGAAGCAGCCACATTCTGCGCCTACAATGACAACCCCAAGGCAGGCCACAACGCAGTCGTCGGGAAATCTGGCAGCGGTGCCATTTGGATTGCCAATCCTGCTTCCCCCGAGCGACCAGTGCCAGTCGGTGCTGTTGGTGAAATCCTTATTGAGGGACCTCATCTTTCTCGCGGCTACCTCGATGAGCTCTGCCAAAAACCCGATGTCGGATTCCTGAAGACCGTCCCTCAGTGGATTGCGGACCTGCACCCGTCGCGCGCGGCGAATACTCGAATTTATCGATCTGGCGATCTTGGTCGATACCGTCATGATGGCACGGTCGAGCACATGGGTCGTAAAGACACCCTGCTCAAGCTTAACGGCGGTCGTGTCGAGTCAACCGAAGTTGAGTACGTCCTTCGCAAGACCCTCTCGCCTGGCGACTTTACCGTCGTCGACATGCTCGGCGAGATCGACGGTGTCGATGACCCGATCCTGGTGGCCTTTGTGTTCCTCAGCGACAACCCAGCAAATCTCCTCCCAAGCATCTCCGACCAAGAAATGTCCTTCCTCCCCATCACAAATCGATTCCGCGTGAACAGCCTTGTGGAGGCAATGCAGCAAGAAGTCGACATCACGCTGCCCAAACACATGATGCCGAGCATGTTCATTCTCGTCGACCGCATCCCCCGCACAAGATCCAACAAGCTTGATCGCAGAAAGTTGCATCAGATCGCTCAAAAGTGGTATATGGGGACCCGAAACACCTAACTTGGGGCTTGTCGAGAATTCTCGTGAATCCATGTCCTTTGGTTTTCGGGTTGTGTTTTTTTCGTCCTCGATTCAGGGATGGCAACAGATTGTTGAGGTCCCTTGGATCCATGCCATGTATTTCAGTTAAGGGTTCTTGTTCGTCATTGTAATCGTATATAGCAGTCTGTATAAGTTACAAACCGTGAGTGGGTACGAGATGTGTATTACCTCGCAACCTGGCTACGCACACAAGTGTCCGGTATACTCCAAATCGCATCAGATGCGAATGCAATAAAAACACTGAAACCAATTAATCACTCTTTCTCCATATTCTCAGTGATCGTAGATCGAAGGTATCCTTCAAGTAGTGGATTTCGACACAAATGCGGGACTTGCAGTCTTTGCGCCTTGGCCCAGCCTTTCATCTCGACGCCCGCAATCATAGAATCCAAATCCTCAGAGTCTACAGTTCCAGCCTGTGAAAGTCGCTTCAGTGCAAACTGCCATTCAGCCCCGAGAAAATCAGCAACGCCGCTAGCAACCTACTCCGCCCAGCCGTGCAGCAGCCAGTGCTTCGAATTCCGAAAGACGGGCACAAACCACGATAACCAATGCCAACGAATGCCTCTGTTGAATAAGCCCTAGAAACTCCTCTGACAGCAAGACAGGCCATGTGAATAGGACCGGCCAGGTGAGAGGCTCGAGGACGGCCTCTGCGAAGAAAGTATATAGCTGCGCCAGCGCAGTGTAGCAGAGTTTTTGTTCCCAGTTCGGGATATCAAGATCCAAACTCTCGATCTCGAAAATAGAAGCGGGAGATAACCCGAAGAATATTCGGGTTTGTAAACTCAGATGGTGGGTTTGACGGAGAACATGCGCATCCAGGCGCTCAAAACCGGATCTGTAATAAGAGGACGATTCACAGACTGTAGATGGTAGAATCCACGAATAGCGACAATAAGCTCATAGATGCTATCGATGATATCCGGCGATTTGGTCTTGCCATGGCTCAGGGAAAGGGGAAATTCGAGACAGAGGATGACTTGAATCGCGGCAAAGTCAAGATACCCGTTGCGTTTTCAGGCGTGACTTCTGATACCGTCAAGCGGAATTCTTCTATTGATGCAGCTCGGCTTCCGCAGACAGTCTTAATATGGCGCTGTGAGTCATCGGGAAGAAGTTGCGCACTATGTAGAGAGGTAATGTCGTTGACGGAGTTCATGACGAATGGAAATGCCTTCGCATCCTCGATTGTGAGGCCAGTCCAGAGAGGACGGAATGCGGTGGGTCAGGTCTTTGAGGGTATTGGCTGTGTGGTCGAGGTAGTGATGTATATTTGCCGACATTTGAAAGGAAAGCTCTGGATTGAGACGGGATCGTGGCTGGGCACACGCTGCACGGAAAATATCTAGAAAGAATTCAATGTGGCTGTCCACGGTAAATACCGATGCATTGTGATAGGACGGTTTTCGGTTATTCATGACAGTATGGCCTTTCTCGCCGTTTGCACTTATGTTCTCGGGGGATTCCCCGTCCGTCTCTTTTGGCCAGGTACACTCGAGTTTATTGCGCTGACAGGCGACACATACTGGTTTTTGCTCATCACACTTCTTGCGATGGCGTCGACAACATAGGCAGCTCTTGCGAGAACGCACCCGTCGAGGACGCAGTTCAAAGGATCCTGGCGCCATTGCCATATTTTAGCTTTTTAGAATGTTGGTTGATGGGGAGATAGACGATGGCAAGCATTGTGGTATTTAAAGCGTTGACAGACCTGATGATGCCAGCGAAAGTACTTCGTACTGGAGAGAGATACCGACGAGGATAAAAAAAGAACATTCGAATTGAGGAATTCAAGGAGTCCACGGGACTCTGGCTGGCCCTGCTGGCGTCGGGGGCTGGTGTCGATCCTGCCAGCTTCGCGTTAGGCGGGATACTTTAATTCGGGAGTCAAGTTCTCACTCTTCCAGCTACAATGCCCCGGTCTTGTCCCGCACTGGGCCTGTCGCTCCCACGTACTGTGTACAAGTCGTGACTAGGCAACGCCGTCGGACTTGGTCGCTTCGTTGGTGACATCCGGCGCGGTGTGATGTCAGACTCTTCAGCTGTCCATATTACGTTCGACGAGTCAAATCGACAAGCGGACACAGCCACGCGCGAAGCTCGTTGCGATGGAGTGGGGATCGAATTACGAGGTGGGTTGGGGCTATTTGCGCAGTCTGGCAGTGGTTTGGTAGATCGCAAGTCAGATCGAGAAGGCGTTGGGAGGGCTCGGCGAAATCAAGCAATTCGAAGTGATTTTCGTCTTGGGACGGTAATTGACTAGTTCACCAGACTTTACCAGTCAGTTATTATTAGCGCGGGTTTTATCTTGCCACAAAAGCCAGGAACCCAGACCCGGTCGGATAGAGTAATAATCACAGGATCGCGTTGAGATGATCATTCCGAGTCAGTTCTCTCCTTTTTTAGAATCATTTTCCGCGTAAATAAACCTCCATAATTGAAGTCCGTAACCCAATTAAGTCATGTCAGATGGGATATATATAACGGTTGGGGCCAGGGCAGCTAACATAAACTACCATCAGACCCGTCAAGAGCAACTATAGAGACAAAACGATTTCAAAATCACGGCTCCTACCTGAAGACCACTTTATATTCTATTCTTATTATGCTGTCTCATTTAAAGTACTGGAAATATCATAATGAGGCGTACCATGTCCCACAATCAATCGTGTTGTCACGACAAAGCTTCTAATTGTTAGGCTACCTCGACGCTAGGCTGCCCATCGCCTTATCTAACCGCACTTCGCCGCTTACAGCTACAATGTATAGAAAATCTTACCAAGAGGTTTCAATGTCTGTGGTGGAAGTCGTGTTAGTCGGCCCGACGAGATCATTTCAAAAAAGGCTGATTTCTACAATCGTCTATAAACGTCATGGTATCCCAATCATCGTATTCAATCTATTTTCATATCATCATCAAGCAAGGTATCATTACAATCAAACTACCAATGCACCCCTCAGAACGGCTTCACAGTCCGCTGGAAACGGGGCGGCTGGCGCGTGAACTTCTCCGGCGTATCACGCGCACCCTCCTTCCAGTAATCGAACTCCATCCACGCATTCTCAGGCATCTGTGCCTCCGTCGCCTCCAAGAAGTCACCCAGATCAGGGCAGAGGGGGATCACACCAGTCTCCAGAACATACTGATCCCAGAGCTTGAGGAGAGTCTTGAGCTTCTCAGGCTCTTGGTCGGCCAGGTCGTGAATTTCGCCTGGGTCATTGACAAGGTTGTACAGCTGCCACTTCTCGGGGCCCTTTGGCTTGGGGATAAAGACGATCTTCCAGTCTGCGCAACGCAGGGCAGCTCGGCCGCAGGTCTCCCAGCCCTGAATGAAGTCCTTCGGGTGGATGCGCTCGGCTTCGCCGATGGCCCAGGGGTGGAAACTGCGGCCGCGCATGGAGACGACTTCACGGCCCTGGTAGTTTGGTGCCGGGTGCTTGATACCGGCCATGTCGAGGATGGAGGGGGCCAGGTCCATGACCGTCGCGAATTGATCCGTGATCCCACCGGCTGCCACATTGCTGGCCTTAATGTTGGTGTTCTTGGGGAATCGGCAGGTGAAGGGGACGCGGACGCCGCCCTCGGTGGTGTAGGCTTTGTACAGACGCGAGGGAGCAGTGGCGGCCTGCGCCCAGCGCGGACCATACCAAATGAAAGAGTTGCCGTTGCCCAGATTCTCCAGGCTGTTGTCGTAGTACTTTTGCAGGTGAGGCATCACGCCGTTCTGCACCATTGGGTAGGCTTCGTAGGCGGCGCCCTCGGCACCGTTGTCGGACATGAAGCAGACAAAGGTGTTATCCAGCTCGTCGATGGATCGCAGGTACTCGACGACCTTGCCGACGTTGTAATCAATGCACTCGACCATACCAGCGAACACCTCCATGGCCGTCGCAGACTTCTTCTTCTCATCAGGGGTGAACTCGTCCCAGGGCTTGACCTCTTCGGCGTTGACAGGGTGAGCCTCGACATCGTCACGAATCATACCCAGCTCCTTCAGGCGTTGCAGACGCTTCTGGCGCAGTACATCGGGACCCTCGTCATATACACCACGGTAGTGATCAATGTATTCGCGAGGGGCCTGCAGAGGCCAGTGAGGTGCTGTGAAGGGAAGGTATCCGAAGAAGGGCCGGTCACCCTTGCCGTCAGGTCCATCACTGCCTCCACTCTCCTTCCACTCTCGCAGGTAGTCGATCATTTTATCACCATATCCATCAGAGGAGTACCAGCCCTCAGGTAGCTTCCGTACATACTCGCCATCCTCCATGTGCAAAGCGATGTACGAGGCCTCAATGAAGGTGGGGATCTGGTCCTTGTCCCGCAGCTCGGGCTCGTAGGCATAGTGGTTGGAGCAGGCCGGCAGATGGGCGAAGGAGCGCACGAAACCGCGCTTATGGGGGGATCGTTCGGGGGTCAGACCAAGATGCCATTTGCCCGACATAATCGTATGATATCCGCCGTCTCGGAGCAACTCCGGGAGAGCGACCACCCGCTCGTTTAGGTACCCCTCATATCCGGGCATGCCACGCTGGGGCGCCGTGCTCATGGCAGAGCCCTTGGGGCCATTCTGCCCGGAGATGTTGGTCCATTCGATCAGGTTTCCGAGACCCGCGATGTGGTGGTCTGTACCGGTCATGATCATTGCCCTTGTGGGACTAGTCGAGAGAGTAATGATTAGCTTCGGATTTTGATCCAAATTGACGCCGCGCTCAAGAAAACTCACGAGCATGCTGCCGCAGCATGGAAGTCTGTAAACCGAAGGCCCTCCTTTGCAATCTGGTCGATGTTGGGGGTGCGAATTTCGCCGCCGAAACAGCCCACGTCGGAGAAGCCGAGATCGTCGGCGACGACAACGAGGAAATTGGGGCGCTTGGTCATGGTCGCGTTGGATGATACGAGTCGAGAGAGTTTAGTGGAAGTTCATACACGATCGTTGCAGAGGTCAGTGACTGGCGAGAGCGAGAGAGACAGCCAAGTCCGAGTAAAAAAAAAAAATGAGAGGCAGCCTGCATATGCAGTCTTATAGCACCGGAACAAGCCTAAAAAAGGCCAAGTCATCGCCTCTCCACAGGCACTCGGCATTAAGGCCAATCGGCCCCTGGCGTGCCCCTCGTTCCCTCGCCATTGCGGCGGCGCATTTCGTGCTCGGCTGCGGTCAATCGCCAGTCGGCCATCGGCTGGGAAAAGGAGAGAAGATCGCGTGTAATCGGCTGTTTTGTGACATGCGGGGGAAGCTTATCTCCCGCAATCTGGGCGGGTCACGTTGGTTCGGGGCCGTATTGATACGCCGCATCCACTTGGACTCCATTCGTACTATGTAGTATGGGGTGGACGACGGACTCCGTTCGGTGGTCATTTTGACGACGTCGCTACCATAGACAATGACATACATGGTCATTATTCAAGATAAATGCAATGTCGATCGTCGTTCCAGCGGTGTACTCTGTACAGCCGCGATCGTCAGGTGATCTGATTGCGTGCGCGTCGGCCGTCGGCAGTCCATGACATAAGACACGCCGATCCGGAGAAGCAGCAACCGGCCAGATGCAGCAACGCACACCCGACCCTAACTTGAGCTCTCACCGATCTTGTTCACTCCCTCGAGCTCCGATGCCTTCTTCTCCGCACCATGTCCGACCATGTAACTCCTATATCAAGCCCCCCAACCGCCCCGTCCTCTCCTGACTCCATTGTCGCTGCCGTGCGGTGTCGTCTGTCCAGCTGGTGGAACGAGTTCTACAATACCACATTGACCTCGTACTCCCAGCTCCCGCAACAGCCAGACCATATCCACGAGAACGAGTCGGATCTCGACCACGCCTCGCCCCAATTGCAGCTCCAAGACGACGAATATCAAGCGATGGAAGCCTTACGGCTCACCAAGGCCCGATGGCGCACCTACTGGCTGGCTACTGTGCTATGCTGCGGTGGAGCGCTGTTTGGATACGACTCGGGTGTCATTGGTATGGGATATCTCCTTTGGTTGCTGCCCATTGTGTCATTGGGTCACCAGCTAACGTTCTCAGGGGGCGTCCTCACCTTCTCATCCTTTCAGAACTCCTTTAATATCACTTCCGCTCAGGAGACACGGGTCAGCGCCATTGCCGTTGGAATCCAACAAGCAGGTGCTTTAGCGGGATGTTTCTTTATTTGGCCTATAACCAATCGGTACGGACGCAAGATAGCAATGATGGCCTGCTCCATCGTCTTTTGCATCGGTGTCGTTCTGGAAGTAATCGATACACACTCGCTACCAGCCTTCTATGTCGGCCGTGTCATCTGCGGGCTCGGGGTTGGTGGTTCAGCGACCGTTATTCCGATCTACATGTCCGAGATGAGCCCCAAGGAGATTCGTGGTCAACTCGGTTCCTGCTACCAGCTCACCTACACTATTGGCATTTTGGTTTCGTACTGGATTGACTATGCTGTCAAGGCGATGCCGAGCACTGCAAGACAGTGGCAGTTGCCTATCGGTCTGCAACTTGTTCCCGGTGTGCTGATGGGACTGGGCATGTTCTCATTGGATGAGAGTGTGCGCTGGCTCCTGGCACACGGGAAAACGGCCGAGGCATGGCGCAGTCTTGTTTGGATCCGGGCAGGCGATGGCCTTGCTGTCAATGAAGAATTCGGCGAGATGTGTCGTGGTCTGGAAGAAGAGCGCCATGCCACGGCTGGGTTCCGTCTGCGCGAGCTCTTGGAGGGCCCGAATCTGCATCGTCTGTTTATTGGTGGTGGTCTCTTCCTGGCGCAGCAGTCGACGGGTTCGACTGCGTTAGCCTACTTCGGCCCGCAGTTCTTCTCCTTGCTCGTTGGACCGGGCGATAAGAATCTCCTGTTGACCGGCGTCTTCGGTGCGATCAAGGTCGTCGCTTGTTTGATTTTTGTCATTTTCATGTCCGATCGCTTTGGACGGCGCCCTGTGCTGACTGTCGGTGCGGCATTCATGGCCATTTGCATGCTCGCAACTGCCGGTGTTGTCAAGAACTATCCACCGGAAAACGGAGTCGTTTCTTCCGCAGGTATCGCCACCGTGGCCCTGATTTACCTCGACATCATCGCGTACAATTTCAGTTGGGGTCCACTCCCCTGGCCATGCGCAAGTGAGATCTTCCCGTCGCGTATCCGCGAGCCAGGCGTGGCATTCGGTGTCGGCTCGCAGTGGCTCTTCAACTTTGTGTGGAGCTTCTCCACACCGTATATCATGTCCGGAATTGGATGGGGCACCTTCCTCCTGTTCGGAGTGCTTGATGTTGTCATTGTGGCGTTCACCTACTTCTGCCTCAAGGAAACGGCCGGGAAGACGCTCGAGGAGATCAACGAGATGTTTGACGGGGTGGACCCGGATGCTGAGCATGGCTGGAAAGGCGATACCTTCAATGAGGTGGAAATCCCGAACGGGGACGAGAATCGACAGTACTTGGACCGTACAGAGACGTATGATACGGCCAAAACTGATCTGTCGAAACAGCGCCCTACGCATGTCGAGTCAACCGCGGGCCGGGCTTGATTGCGTGAGCGGTAACTAGTATTTCCTTGTATATGCAGCGATTTAGATTGTATACCACTATACCTCATAGACAACATGATGTCTGGCAGATAGATGCCATTTTTCTATCTTAACTACTGGCGCGTTTATTGATAGCGCTCTGCCTGAGGCATACCGAGTAGAAGTCAGAAATCCTGATTCCGACTACCAAAACTAGACCACAGCCCCTGAAGATATTCCTCCGTCCAGTCCCGACTATTATCTGGGGCTTCTGCTTCTTTTCCCAAAGCTGAGAGTGCAGGAAGGAAAGGTACATCTAGAAACCGGGTATATGCTCTAAAACGATATTTATAACGCACACCTTTGGAGAGTTGGCCGTTGAGATGTGGGTCAGTGGCGGGTGAGCGGGGAGGTCTTCAGTGGGACGTGGATATTTTAAAGCTTAGTATAGCTAGCTGCCTGAGGCTTACCGAGTCATAAACTTGGGTGGCAACCTGACTGAGGGTCTACTTGAGAATCTACTTCCCTACTGATAGAATGAAGGATCCAAAGTAAGCACTTGAAAAACTAGGGTGGAAAATGTGCTTGCAGTTCCTTCCAAACTGGTTATGTGTGGGCATGAATGCATTGTGTCATTCACGGAACAAGATACGGGGATTCCTGTCCAAAGTAGAAACAAATATCCTCCAAGCCAGTACAGCCTTCCTAATGATGAACGGTAACATATTCAAGCATGGAAGCAAAGAGCAGGAAAGGACAGGTCAGGCACAGCATGAATTGAAACCTGCTGCATTGCCTAAAAGACACACCAACTCCAGACACCCTCCGGCTGAAATACAGAAGCAGACAAAATCGGCACAAGTTTTTGTTTTGAGAAAAAGGAAAGATCCATCAATCCATCAACGCCGCATCCGACAGACCTGCTGCCCCCGTGCCCTGAAGAAAATCGCCACCAATGAAATTGTAGAGAACACCCTTTGGGATTTTGGTCGCCGAGGAGAATCGGTTGATCTTTATCAATCAAGGAACATTGATGAGGTCTTCAAAAGAATCCTCTGTCGAAAATGCGTACGACGATTCTGAAGCCAAGGTGGCCTCGGAGCTCCGGCGCATCTGCTGCTCAAAGGCTTCCGTTGCAGCCGCATCTAGTTGCATGGGATCGTCAAAACCAAAGGACATAGCCGAAGCGCCCGGGGCCGAAATCGAGAACGAGGTCGATGTTGGCATCGCTGCAATCGGAGTGGGAGGGCCGTCTGATGACGAGGTGGGAATATTCTCGACCAGATCGGCAGAAGGCTCAATCGGCGCTGAAGGCTGGCCATCGGTATCGGTGATCCTTTTCACCATTTGAGCCAGATGCAGCTTGATGGGTTCGTCGCCACACTGTGCATGTTTCAGAACCTCGTTCTTAAGGCTGAGGATCTCGGAGCGCAGACTGGCAATCTCCGCGTTCAGCCGTTCCTTTTTCTCGGACTGCTCCTTGTACCGAAACTCCAATTGTTGTGTATGCTCTTTCTTCTTCTGTCGACACTTGCTGGCAGCCAGGCGATTGCGTTCGAGGAACTTGGCCCGCTTTGCTCGTTCCTGCTGCGGGCTCTCGTCGAGTTCCGGGCTGAGGCTGGTGGCAGCTGTCTTGTACTCGCGGGCTCGACGTCGTCGACCGGCCGTTTCGATTTCGAAACCGGAGCACTCGCGTGCGTGTTGATCGTCGTACGGCGGAGGCGTTGGCTGGCCGTTGCGGACCTGGGCGTTTTTGAGATCTCGTTCCAGCGCCGAGCCGGCGAATGCAGCGGGATCTGCTTTGGCATCCCAGCCAGTGCCCATGGTCGGTGAGACAGGGCTGATCGCCCAGAGTTGATCTTCGTCAGGGATCGAGAGGCTTAGAAATTCACCGGCGAAGGCGTTGGGTGCAGCGAACGATGAAGGCCCGACGGGGGGAAGGCCGGAGGGAATCGGAGGGATGTTGAGGTTTCCGGTAGACATCTTTTCGAATATTTCTTTATCTGAGGAAAGTTCCAGGCGGGTGTCGCAAGGTAAGCGCCGCTGCTCGATCCGTGATGGCGGTTGCTGTTTTGGTCGTCGGAGGAGTTCTTTACGGCCGCGGACTGCTGTTGTTGCGCTGGGAGCGAATGAAGCGAATGGTCCAGGCACCCACTTCAGACATGCACCGGCCGCAACACCGAGTCTCGGGCGTCAAGACTGGCAGCTAGGACAGAGGTGTGGGAGCAGTTGGAGGGCTCAGGTGTTCGAGAACCACGGGAGCCACGCCGGCCGGTGCCTGAAGAAGAGGCCCAGGTGTTGGTCGACCGGTTGCAGCCACGGTCGGACAGGACTTCCAGCGGTCTAGCAGATCCGAGCGAATGCCGTGGCAGAGGTGAGAGTGGGACAGACCAGGATGGCAGCAGCAAGGTGGCAGAGCGATGCTCGAACGGGGGACAAACGCAGTGCCATGGTCTGCCCTGGCACAATGAACTCTCCGCAGTCTTTGACATCACCCCTCTTCGCGACTAGTGTAGCTCCCCCGGCCAGGGCAGGGTTGTTTGGACTTTGACCCAGAGTGGGAGGTACTACAATTGAATTCATTCAGGGAAGAATAGTTCCATTCGGGATCTTAGGCCGCCCAATCGCAGCTGGGTCGGGAGTGGGTACTTGCCAGTGTTTATGACAGCAGAGTACAGACACAAGGTTGAGTAACTATACATCGTGAACAAACAACACCCACACACAGTACGAGAGGAGAGTGCTAAAACATACATAGACATCCACAGAGCACGCCGGAAGTAATTCTCGTTCCTGTTCATCAACTCTGTCTTCCACAAACACCACAAAAACGCCCAAGTATCATCCTCCAACCTTCAACGTCCCATCATTCGAGTTTGACCACCGTAGCCCACCCTCGCAATTGGCGATTCACAGAGCGCCAATTGTCAATCAGCAGTTGCGCCACCCGTTCATCGGCAACCTCTCGCTCTTCATCCGTCATGTCAGCCAGGCCGCGGTCTTGTCGAGAAACTCCCAACAGCATCGGTCCAAATACCCGCGCGAACCCGCCCGACTTGTCCAGGCTCGCCACTGTCCGGAGCGCAGTCCCGGGATCGGGCTCTTCGGGCAAGGCGGGCTCGTCCATCTGTTGTAGTAAGCTGGTCAACAGGCCAAAGATGGCGCAGATCAGGGCTCGTTCCATCTCGCTGGTCAGAGCGATGATGGCGAGCGTGATGAGCTGAACTCGCTGGGTGTTGGGCAGCGCGGCAAGATAGATATCCTTGAGAATCCGGTAGAGACGGGGAGAGCCGAGAATGCCGAAAGGCAGGCCGGTCAAAATAACTCGCAGTGTCCACCCCACGCTCAGCGTGTGGGCATTGTCCGCTTCGCCCTCCCACTGCGGCATGGCGATCGTCCGCAAAGTCATCGAGATATGGGACGCTTCCTTCTCGGCATCCAGCACTTGGGAGGCAAAATAGTCGTACAGGCGGTGGACCTCCTTGACGTCGCCCGGCTCCACGAAAAGACCATTAACGTTAGCCCCTGCAGGAACCCGGGATCAGCAATGAACATGACGTAGGGGGAGGGGACGGGGGAAGGGGATGCACAAACCATATTTCCGCAGATATACGGCCATCGCCACAATACATGCCGGCAGCTGGAGTGGTGCAGGAAGGATGCCAGATCCCCAGACCAAATAGCTGTGTCCACCCAAACGAGCGATATGCTCGAGAGACTTCCCTTTCAAGGTGCTCATGGGGCTGGGACGTCGAGTAAGATTGGCAAAGGTCTTCGTGCGCCGCAGCTTGGAAACGGGCGTCTGGAAGGAAGAGGATGTATCAAGATCCAGGTTAGACTGCACTGGGCGAACTCGGCGGGTCAGTCGGAGTCGTCGTCGCGAATTGCTCTCTACATCGGTAGCTCTACCTCTTGTTTCTTCGGCTGCAAGAATTGATTAGCTCCAGCTCAAGAAAAGCAGACGGATACACTTACATTCAAAGTTCGAAGTTTCCTCAGCCGTGATGCTAAGAGGGAGGTTCAGCTGACCCGCAAGGTAGTTGAACCCCTCAACCGCCTTATTTGGATCAAGCCGGGTCGACGAAACAGAGCCAGTGGTGGCTGCAGAAGGAGTTCGATGACCTGATACCTGGCGCGAGCTGCGAGCACTGGGAACTTTGGAAGATCTCGGCGGTGCGATCTCGAACGCGTCGTTTTCTTGAACACTCTCAGCTGGTCTCTTGCCCTTGGAGCTCCTTGATGAGTGCGAATGCTTCGAAGACGCACATGCAACCTGTGCTATACTGACCTCTGCTGTCTTGCTATCGGAAAACGGATCGGATGCTTCTGCAAAATGTCTTGTCTCGCTAGAACACTGCGCCAATACCGTCGCAAACCAGTCAGCGGGCAATTCAATGTCCATGGGTGGATGACGGATGGTGGTCAGTGATGTTTCCTTTGAGTTGTGAGATTCAGCCGTCTGGGCACTAACATTTCGTTGCTGGTTCCCAGTCGGTTCGGCTGGGGATGGGTTGTGTGAGAGAGGAGGATCTCTCTGAGCGAGATCAGTTGTTGTCGTCACCTCTGCTCCTACTTCCTTGCCTGTAACCTGAAGTTCCGAGGGCGCTGGAGACTCCGTGTCTTGTGCCTCCTCTGAACCATCAGTTGGCTCATGAGACTTGCTGCGCCGAAAACGTGCCATGATCTCCTTGAAGCGTTTCGAACGGTTGGGCCGAGAAACACTAGAGGCGGCGCTTCTGCTACCGGGCCCTGTATGCTCCCCATGTTGCGTGCTATCGTTGTCTGATTGTATCTCCTCTGTAATAGCCCGAGCCTCGGTCACAGATGCCGCTTTAGACAGGTTAACTGCCTCGGGTAATTCTGAAACGACGTCATCTGGTTGGTTCAACGGTGTCAGAGACCCGGTGCGACGCAGGCGAGACAAGGTGTTACGAGATCGCGGGGGTGGGTCGGCCGACTTGGAAGGTCGAAAGATATTTCGAAGAGAGGGTGGCATTTTGCTGCATATCCTAAGAGGCGTCAACAAGGCATGCAAATTGGGGGTATCGAAGAAAAGTGGTGGAGGGAAGAGAGAGACGCGTCCTTGGCAGCGGAGGAGTGTTGATGACCTGCTCCCAGGGAAGGTACCACACACGGAAAGTGCACTCTACTCTCGCCGCCGGCTTCACTGAGAGAGAACATCGAAGAGTCAAACTTACAGTCTGGGTGACAGATATCAATACAGAGGACACTGAAAGCTGAAGGAAATCTATTTCTGCCAAAATCCAACGGTTGCGCCTCGGCCGAATTCGAGCACATAAGAACATCGTATTACCTTTGTACATTCATCAAGCCCGGATGTGAAAAACGAGGAGATCCATCTGTCAATCGCACCCCCAAGTCATATCCCGAAAACAACAACAAAAGATACGAGGAGGTAAGTAATCAAACGCCAATTATATGCAAGTAAAGAGGTACTGTATGTATAGGGTCGAGGGTGACATCAACTCAAACCCATTCATGCTTCGTCAATTTCTCCCTCAAGGAGAATATAGTGGAGAATGTCACTTAAGGTGATGACTCCCTTGAGCTTGAAGTGTTCATCCACAACCACCAAGCGGTGGACGCGAGACTTGCGGATAGTGTCGAAAATGGTATCCAGTCCGTCATTCGGCGAACAAGTATAGATACCCGGGAATTCCTAAAAAATGCGTCAGTATCTTAAGTGTCATAACCATTGATTCCTGATCCATGTCATACCGGCGAACGTTTCTTGAGCACCTCGCCTACCGTCAAGCCCAGATCATCGTAAACACCACCCCGAATCAGGGCAATGACATCGACAGACTCGAAAACATTATACACAACACCTAAAGAAAGGTCATCAGAGTTGTCTCGTAAAAGTCGGGAGAACCGGATCTGGAAACATACCCTCAGAATTCAAGATCGGCACACTGGATATACTGCGCTCAACCAGGATATGAATCACGTCGATAACAGGGGTATCCATCGACGCCGTCGCAATATTTTCATATGTCCCAAGGAGGAGCTCTCCCAGCGGGCGGCGCAATTTCTGAGTATCACTGACATTCACGGCGACGAATTTCAGGATGCGATACTGCGTAATAACACTAAGCACATGGGACCGATCAGTCTGGCTGTCGTTGGTAACAAGAGGGATACGGCGCGCGCGTGATTCGAGCATGCGTCGGCAGGCTTCGTAGAGGGGGCGTTCAGGGTCGATGGAGACGGTCTCAGGCGGCGCGACTCCCAATGCCTTTTCGACTTCTGTACATAGCCGGTCCGGGTTAACATGTCTCCATGGAGGATGGAGGATGGGGCAGAGGAACGCGGGAGGGACACAACGCACCCCGGAGACTATCTAGCCGGAATTGGTCAATCTGGTCCAGCGCGGCCGGGTTCTGGAAATAGTATTGGATAACGTTAATGTAGTCGGACGTGGTAAGAAGACCTGCAAACTTGGAGGCCTTGGAGTCCCACAACGGGGCTGAAACGATGCCTGTACTTCCCGATAGCATTCCCAGTCAGCCAATGTCCCTTATTTCCTCGTGGTGCTTTGTTTCGTGGGACCGATTGCGGGGGAGGGAGCGCAGCAAGCGACTTGCCATTTTGGATGAGAATATTCAAGCTCTCCTTCACGGAGAGGGAGGTGTCAAAGATGATGAGTCGGAAGCTCAGAGGGAGGACATCGTAGCTGGTGCGGACCTTCAGGAAGTTGCGAATGGCACGCTGTTTGACGCCGCGTTAGTCAAGATCTGGATGCGAGCTGGTCACCCGCAACGAACGGGGGCGAGGTTTGCAATTCCGGGACCCCGTTCGATCACACAGCCCCGTTGGCCCCCCCTTGCCCCGATTTGTGTCTCGTCCCGTCAGATCCTTATTAAAGGCGTGTCGGGGGGTTGGGGGAGCAAGTCGGCTCCCTTTCCTCGATTCTCGAGGTTGGAGGGGCCGAGCAAAAGCAATGGCGGGGCGGGAGGGCCGATCGAGGAGGGCAAAAAAAAAAGAAAGGCGCAAACTTACCAGGCCTTGTCGCTCTTCCCGATCGATTGGTCTCTCGGAGTGGGAGGTCATTGGAGGGCGAAGGTACGAGGATGGCTGCACGAAAGGCGCGTGACCGAGAGAGGTGAAGGTCCCGGAGAGGTGAGGCCGGGTGTCCGCCTTCGTCATGAGTGCAAGTGGGGGTTGGGTGGAGTGCTGGGGGAAGGAGGGAATCGTCGGAGCATTTGGTATCGAATCTACGAGCTGGGCCTCCGTTTTCTTTTGCAGCCCTCCTACGCGTGCATCATGGGGCAATGCGAGGCACAGAAAAGAGAAATGCGCCCTCGTCTTCCCCCGCCCGGTCCATGCTATTTTGTGCCTCAGGCACCATCGCCCAATGCAGGAAATCCCGAAGTATCTAGTTTTACAGAGAACCGAAAGGAGAAGATGGAGAGATGGTGGAAACGCGCTTTATTTTACGGAATCCCAAAAAGTATGGCATACATTCATTTGGCACCCAAACTATGAACCTTTGCTCTCAAAACGCCATTAATTATATGCTACGCGCTAAATTCAAGGTATCATTGCGCCACAGAACAAGAAGTCCTCTCCGAATCGACTCCGACAGAGCACCCAGAAATCCCAGAAAAGACAGGAAAATCAGAAAAAGCAAAGAAGCGCACATCGTAAATACCATAGTGCGGAGACATTGGCAAGAACCGAAAGCAGGTCCCTATTATGGGTGCCCGTGAAGCTTGAATCTATAGATGCATGTCCGATCCCCACCCCAGTTCTCCTTGACCCGGAAAACGACCTTATCAACGCGAACCGTCGGGACGTCGATGACAGTGGCGAGAGGGAATGTCTGTATATAGTCCGGGTCGTGGATGTTGTAGTACATACGCCCAATCCGATAGTAATTCGGTCCGAGTAGGCTATCGTTCGAGTACTCGTCTGTTCCTTCCCAGGGGTTGGACAGCTTGAGGGCACTGAGGATAACCTCGTCCAGCGACTTCGAGCCGGGCAAGTTGAAGTTTCCGAGACCTTTCTCTTGCGACGAAGGTGGATCGGTGGATTGGCGGCGGTTTTTTCCACGTCCCCAGGGCGATCTCCAGGAAAAAGAGTCAGACGCGCTGGGAGCGAAATCATTCTCTGCTTCCACAATAACAAATCGAGCCCAGACTTCGACCACTTTTGGTGCCGAAAGAGGGTCCAGAGTAGCTGCCACGGGGATGTGCTCGATGACAACCTCTTCGGGTACGATGCCACGGCCGAGAAAAACGGATAGTTGGGTCTCTCCGACACTGCACCAGCAATCTCCGGCCTCATCCCAGGGGAGAAGTGCCGACAAACTGGAATGAGGGTTTTTTATAGGAGGCGGCAAGGCACCAGATGGTGAGAAGATCTTCCACATGTTCCACCAGCCCTTGAGCTGATTCCAGTCCGGCAGTGGGGCTGTAGCATGGCCGTAATCAGCTGTGGGCGAGGTTTGGTCGGGGTCAATCAAAGCACCATGAGCCGGAGACAGGAAATTGATCCGGGGAGTCAGCTCCTGCAAAGGATAGTTCGGCATGGGGACATTGGTAGGTCCGAGGATGTACGACCGCTCCTCCCGGGCAGATTTTAGTTCGGCAGTCAGCGAGGAAAGGTGTAGGTCCATTTGCGATACCCGTCCTTGAAGGGCACGAAATTCAGCGTTCGATGTGTTTGACGGATGCGGTGAATTGTCACCAAATAATGACGAGCCATCGAAGTTGAGGAGACCGACTTGATATGCAAAGACAAGAAGCAGGGGGAGGAGAAAGAGGAAGACAGTTTTGGCCCAGGAAGCGGGATCCGAGAAGACTTTGAAAAATCCACTTGCATAGTTTCCAAGAATGTCAGGTGATTGTGTGAGCCATCGAGCCCTGTTAGTCTGTGCTTCTGGAACCAGACGATTCAAGTCGGGCACGGGTTCATTCGAGGATACCTCTGAAGGAGGCTCGGACTGGAAACGTGACGGTAGCACTGTCCTCGCTTCCGCTGACCAAGATTGATCGGCGAGGTTTTCGTACTCCGACTCAGGCGCCTGCTCCGAGCCTGACTCATCCTCTTCCATAATAGTCGAGTGAATCTGAACCCCAGAAGGCCGACGAGGGGCTTTGGAGAGGTTGGTTCCGTGGTCACTGGGTCTTGTTCGCTGCAGTCCATCGTCATGAATTCCGCGCTCCAACTCGAATGAAAGCTCGGAGGCATTGTCAACAGAGCTAAAACGACTTGACATGGACGTGTTGTCAAGATTGTCCTCGTCCGGGAACATGTAATTCCCTAGTCTTCGTAGTGGTGCAGGATACATCGGAGAATTTGTGATCAAGGACATAATGCTGTTTTTTCTTGCGGGCGGTGGCATGTCAGGGCTCGAGTCAGTAGAGACTTCTCGCTGGATTGGTGGCGTCGGGGTCCTGTCCGACTGCGTTTCTCGCACGGGCGACTGGGTGGCCTCACGGAGCGATTGAAGAAGTTGGTCTTGGTCGGGCGTCGGCTCTCGTTTAACACGCCGCGTAGTAGGAGCTAAAGCAGGCAGGTCGAAATTTGTTGTCGCTTTGCTTAAGCCTGTTCGCTGTTCGCTGAAATCGAGTCCGGTCTCGATCCTTTGAGCAACACCACGGATACTTTGTATCGGCTCCTGTTCTACCCGTTTCGGCAGAGCTGTTGGTCCTGTCGCGCCATAATTGTGTGATGTTCCAACTGCGACAGGGGGTAGGATAGGATTATGCCCGATCTCAAGCAATGTCTGGGACTGCCGCGGTGGATGTGACTCTCCCTCGGATGGGCCACCTCGGCGCGGTGAAGTGCGTCTTGGCATGCTACACCTATTTCTTTCAGCATCGAAACAAATTATCGCGTGGGTAAGAAACTCGACAAGTGAAATGAAACAGATGAAACAACAACGAAACGAAGCAGACAACAAACCATCCCCCAATATGCCGATGGTTAGGGTAGGAGGGTACCTGCATATGGGATGGATCTCGAATATTGGAGTAGTGGGCTTTTGGAGATTTTGGATTGATCATGGAAGCGATATGAAGACACAGTTACACAAACACTTGATACAAATGATGGAAAAGGTCTTGCAGGCCGGACAAAAACAGAAAGATAAAGAAACATGACTTACGATGGCAGTTATAGAATGGTGAACACTTGAGACAGGTCGATCTCCAAGACCAGATTCTTCACGATCAAGTCTCGACGCCGTCACTCTTATGACGCAGAGGATAGTCAATCCCACCTTGTCCACGCGTGGATCTGGAAAGTGGCGATGGTGGGGAGGTATAGCCGGCAGGGATTGCGCAGGCACTCAGGGCGTCGCGGACAAGGGCGCCGCAGGATCCCCGGGGATTAAGTAGAGCAAAGCTGCACAGGGTGACTCGGACTCGCGAATTCGATGCCGTGCACCTGGAATCCGATCACGCGCGGCGTTGCTGGTTATGTCGATCGCGACCCCGGACTTTCTGAAGAGTCAAGACGCGCAGTCGCGCGACGGAACGTGACTGCGGCGGCGGCAGGGGTGGAGCCGCGAGCTAAAGGACGATCGTCTCAGAGAGCCCGCCGAAATGCGATTGTGAAACCAGTGTCTTCGGTGTCGCAGACGGGATGGGAAAATCTGGGGAGGAATGGATTTTGAAAGAAGTGAAGAACAAATGGGGTACTGATTAGGTGAGGAAGCGACTCGGCCAGCCGGGTCAATGGTTGGGTTGTCTTTGTCGCCGTCTTCTTTTGACACGCTCTTTGTACTTCTACACTAGTGTACTTCGACTATTCTTTAAATAAAATTTTCTGTCTACAAACAGTACCGATGCCATTTCAAATTGGCTTTCGCGTCTGGTCCTCCTACGAGAATCTAGGCTGCAAAATTCGCCAAAGAATGAATTTGAATTGAAAGGCGCGATGCTACTTTACGTACAGAACTAGCATAGCAATTGATATCATGGTCCTGCCATTCCAGAAGCGCCGGATCGCTGCACCAGCTTTAGACATGGGTGTAGTACTATACAACGCAAGGAAGAAGGCATAGGAGGAGGGAGGAGCCCCGGCCAAAAGAGAGTATTAGACGGGGAGTATGTGAGAGAAGGAGAACTATACAGCTAGGAGGTCGGCGTTTTAGCAGGTCCAAGCGGCCATCGTGCCGTCTTTACGACCCTCGACAAGGTAACCATCCTTGAGTCGCACACGCTCGACGGTTGCCGGGGAGGGCCCCTGGTCGTCGTCGTCGATACCAACACCAGGGCCGCAGTCCCAGTGATGGGCGTCGGCCTTGTCGTAGACTTTAACGACGTTTTCGCCCGCAGCGGCAACAATGCGCTTAGCGTCAAACATCATACTGGTGATGGGTCGGTCATAGGCGTAGGCATCGAAAATAGAACCCATACGCAGATCCCAAATCTGTGAAAATGTTAGGAATAGTTTCGAAAACACCACGTCTTTCAATCAAAGAAAAAGCTTACCCGAATACTGCGGTCGAGACTGCCCGTCACCACATGCTGATCATCGAATTGCAGACATGTAACAGGGCCAGTATGTCCAACGAGACTCCGGTGGACTTGGCCACTACGAAGATCCCAAAGGCGAATCATACCATCAGCTGTACCGCACGCCAGTGCCGCGTCGAAGCATTGAATGGCACCAACAAAGTCGGCAGAGGCGTCTGGAAGACGGCCAGATGGGCGCCAATTCCCTTCGCCCGTCATCGTCGAAGACGCCTGGGCAGCCGCCCACATCACATCCAATGTTTGGACGCAGCGTCCCTTGACCAAATCCCATTGACGCAAGGTCTTGTCTGCGGAACCGGAGATGAGGGTGTTGCCCTTGAAGTGAAGGGCAGTCACCTCGTCGACGTGTGCATCGAGTGTGAAGACATGGCAGTCCTCCAAATTCGAGGACGGAGGCACAGGGGAGAAGTGCGTCTCGGCATCTTCAGTATCGCGCTCATGCTTGTTCAGTCGGTTGTCTCGAGTCGCGGGCCGAGCACGGCTCAAGTCCCATAGCCGAACAGACGCATCCATGGATCCAGTGGCAACAATGTTGTCTTCCACCTGCAAGCATCGGACGGAGGCGTTGTGGCCTTCCAACAATCCCGAGCATCGGCCAACATTCATGTCCCAGACCCGCACAGTATCATCTAAAGCGGCACTGATCATGGTACCAAATGGATAGTCAAAGTCAATCGCAGTGACCATGTCGGTGTGAGCTTCAATCTCTTTGATCAGGGAGCCTGGTGCGAAATGCTCGTGGAGAATCGGCATCGATCGTTTGCCTAGAGCATATGGTCAGTCTCTTGTCGGTCCGCAATCAATTAGCCAGGGTTCATACGTATGGAGCGATGTCGCAAGCTTCTGGGTGATGGTGTTGGGATCTTCTCATAGATCGATTCCGACATGAACGACGCATCCATGGCTGGGTCACCTGAGGATGCAATGGAATCATCCTGGACTTCTGAGGAATCGGAGGTTTCGGCTGCGACAGAAGCATCTGGCGTTTCTTCTTCTGCTTCTGCTTCTTCTTCTTCTTGCAGGTCGTCAAGCTTGTTATCAAGTTCCGTAACTGTATTGTACCTCCCAGGTTAGAGACGCATCCCATAGTCGACATGCAGAAGTATGATACCCACGTTCGTGTTCTAATGACGCCTCGTCCATTTCTAGGCCAGCCAACCGATCCAAGACAATCTGTCGCATTTTGTGTAAGTTGGCAATTTTGTTGTCGATCTCGTGAATCTCGGCGCTGCACATGTTCTTGCGGACGCCCATGGTCTCGAGTCGGCGATTGAGCACCCTTCGCTCTTCCTTCAGCGCACCCGGGCCAGTTGTCAAAAGCCCGCCTTTCTCACTGTCCTTGAGCAGCTTGCCTCCCTTAGAGGTGCGCCTTCGGTGTTTCTTATGTGCATGATGGTCTTCGGGGAGCGAGGCCTGGAAACCTTGGAATAGGGAGTAGGAGCTGGTGTCTTCGGGGAGGTTATCGAGGAGGTCGTCTGGGAGCGATGAAACGGCACGCGACTGGATTTCCGCTGTTGACAGCTTCGACCTGACCAAGTCGGTCGGAGTTGTCTGGGTCAAAGTGAAGACCTTGCGCTGGGCTGTCGGCCGGCGCAGCTCACGGTGGATGTCCGTCAGAGCATTATGATAGTGACTGCCGTGGCCCTGTTCGCCGGGTCCCATTAGATGTCCTGCGGTCGTCGTGACTTTTCGCCCGAATGCTTCGATATGCCGAGTCTATTTTCCAGGGAGTCTCTTGCGTTAGTTTGGCTGCATTGTTGGAGGGGCATCTGCTCGCGAGCGCAAAAAAGAAAAAACGCTTACCGTGAGGCCGGTGCCCAGCAGGCCGTCGCCCTCGACAATATCGGACAAACCGGACGGCGAATCATCACGGCGGTGGTTGTTCTCCATAGCCGGAGATATTCTTGGGGCTCAACCAAGCATGCGCGTTGGGAAAAGGTGGGAGATCGGAGGTTGCAGGAGAGATTGTCGTCACGCGCAGGCTTACCGCGTTCCCCGGCTGTGGCTTCGCCCGCCCAGTCACCCTTCGCAACCTCCCAGGCCCAAAACCAGCCTGCGACCGGTCAGTTGCAGCCTTCCTGCAGCCGTCTCAGACTAGCGATCTGGCTGCAAGGCATCCCCTGCTGGTGTCTCTTCTACTTGGTGGTACGGCCACTCCTGCCTATTCCATATGCTGGCCTCGGTACTGGGTCGGTACCGAGTACCCAGCATATACCCAACAGCTACGGTACTATAACAGGCACGAGTTCCTTAATATGAGCTGTATGGTTATATTTGCATGGCATAAGCAACAATTCGACTTAGCTGTGAAAAGCGACCAGCAAGACCCTGTTCCTTGTAGCCAGCCCCCTTAGCAAGACATCCAGCATAAATAGAGGCTCGCCTTCCGGCCAGAAAAACTGTCGATCCCGACTTCGGCAGCTCCGATAGTCCTTCACCTCACCACTTCACTCGTCATGGACACAGCAATTGATCTGTCTGATGCCTCCAAGGCACTGGACCTCGCCAATATCCGTTTCCAGCTGATGTGAGCCCTTGCAACCCCCTCCAACCCTCCACCACCTTACAAGGCCTCGCGTCGCAAATATGGCACCCCGCGGCCCCGCCATGAACAAAACACACACGCGAGAAGCGTCACCAAACAGGGTGGCAGTCGCGCCGCAATGTTAAAAACGGTTGCTGACATCGCAGGCCTCCAGTCGGCTTGAGGACACCATTACCTTTCACTTCATCGAGCGAGTCCAGTTCCCGCTCAACAAGACCATTTATGTCCCCGGCGGCGTGAAGATCCCCAACAGCGAACTCAGTCTCATGGATTACTTGCTCCGTGAGCAGGAACGAATCCAATCGCGCGTGCGCCGCTTCCAGTCCCCCGACGAGTATCCTTTCTTCCCCGACGTGCTGGAGGAACCGATCCTGCAGCCGTTGCAGTACCCTCGCATCTTGCACGACAACGACGTGAACGTCAACGATATCATCAAGGAACGGTACATCACTGAGGTTCTTCCTGCTGTGTGCCCGCAATTTGGACGTGAAGACCGCGGTGAGGCCCAGGAGAACTACGGCTCTGCGGCTACGTGTGACGTTTCCTGTCTGCAGGCGCTCTCGCGTCGCATCCACTTTGGCAAATTTGTGGCGGAGTCCAAGTTCCAGAAGGACCCGGAGACTTTTGTTCGCTTGATCAAGGCTGAGGACCGAGCTGGTATCGATGCGGCCATTACCGATTCCAAGGTTGAACAGAAGGTGCTGGAGCGCTTGGGTCTGAAGGCCAAGACTTATGGTACCGATCCTGCTTTCCCGGATGAGAAGGGCCAGAAGATCAATGTAGATGCTGTGGTTGCCATGTACAAGGTACGTGATACACTGAAAGCCTTCAACTTGCTAGTGGCCATTACTAATTTGATTACACTCTAGGAATGTGTGATTCCTCTTACGAAGGTGGTCGAAGTTGAATACCTTATGCAGCGCCTGAAGGGTACCCAATGGGAGTAGAAAGGGACGTTATGGTCATGAAGTTATGAACTTTGGTTCTTTGGATGGTCTCTATGGAATCATGCCTCTGGCACTCATGGTCGGAGGGAACTATAGAAGCCAATTAAAAAGTACAACATGAATCAACATAGAAAATATTTCGTAAATGGGACATGAAGTGAAATGACTACCTAGGTATATCATTTGTCTGCTCTTGATGTTCGGGCTTAGGACAAGTACTCGCCCACGGCCTTGACGGCGGTCTCGAATTTAGGCCCGTCGATAAGGATCAAGCTACCGTTGGTCTTAATACCATGTTCCTGGAAGGCCCGCTTGGAATCGGAATGGCCTTCGTCATGCTCGTGCGTGTACTCAAGGGTTCCAGAGCACAGAGCATGACGCTGCAGAACCTCATCCTCGGGGTGGAAAAAGTACCGCTGGGTCTCGAGGGCGCCCTTCTTTGACTTCTTCTGCGGCCGCGACTCCTCCATATCGAGCTTCGACTCCACCTCTTCGTATCCCTTCGAAATAATCAGGTAGTGGGTGAAGCTGTAAGGCTCCTTGTCCTGGATGGCCCAGGCCATCTCTTCCAGAAGCATGTTATACATCGGCGGGACAATTTGACCAGGCATGTTGATCACACGCTCGGTCAGAATCAGGCCAATAGGCGGCACGGGTTGCTGGGACAGAAGGTCCTTGAGGAGGGCGAGAGAGGGGTTGGCGGCGGATTTGGTCTTCATGTATTGAATCAGGTCCTTGATCACGGGTTTGTCCTGTACCGAAGCTCGTCAGCCCTGTTTAGCTTGTCCCAATGCGCATTCGAATATACCTTGTGCTCCTGCAGGTTGATAACCGACAAGAAAGCATACGGGTCCGACTCGTTTCCATCCGTCTTAACCGTCGAGCCCAACGTGGGCTGCGACAAAATCAAGTCGGCCAGTGCGGACAGGTCGAAGATCTGGGCGTCAATGTCGAACAATTGTCGGAGCAGGTTCTTGAGACCGTGGAAATCGACGGCGGGCTGCGGGTCAAACCATTCGAAGTCGACATTGACCATGTCAACGTCCTTTGTAGACTGTTAGATGGTGTCCGGCGCAGAGCTGTCGAAGGTGGGGTGGATGCTCACGTCGTCTGAGTCGTCCTCGCCCTGGGCATTGGCGCCGCCCATGGGCACATCGCCGAGATCTTGCTTGCGCTTTCCCATGGTGTTCTAATTTTGTGGTATTTGGAGAGAAGTCGAAGTTGGAGACGGCGTGAGGTCACTCCACCCCTTAGCCAGGGCGTCTGCGAACTTTTTCCTTATCGGTTATCGGCCGCCTGAGGCGTCGGGCCGCCAACCAACAAAGGATGTTGAAGGGCAACGCCAGGAACAGTTCGAGTCGTGCACCGAATGATATTCGCTAGATAATCTTATTCAATCTATGTTACCATAGGAGGCTTGTACATGGCATTGGCTCTAAATTTTTATTAATCCCAAGGTTGGGAGTTCTGTTGATGCTCGGAGGTCTTGGCTAAAATATATCGTGATGGACCCCTCAAAACAATTACAGAACCAAGTACACTAATATAGTGCGACCCTGGATTTGGATCCACACTGGTGCACTAACAATGCTATGAAAAAACACCAATGACCCCGGCGATATTTGTATACCAGAAAAAGTGCACCTCGTGAATAATGAGGAATACATTCCACGCTCCGAGCTATGCTATATGCTATCTAAACATCGTACTCCACCTGCTCAACAGTGGGCACCTTATTCAACTTGACATCAAAGAACTGCGAAACCAGCTGCACGCAATCCCAAATAACCTGGACCTCCTCCTTCGGCAGACCCAGACGTCTCGTTCCACGAATATGCCAGTGAGTCTCATTCGGCAAGTTCTGGCTCATAATCCCAGGCAGCACAACCAGCTGGGTATCCACGTCGTCCAGAACCTGGCGATCGGACAGAAACAGGCCATAAGTAATCTCCTCAGACAGCCAGGAGAAATCCTTATGGGCACTAAACAAGTTCAATGTCCCGCTGGTATTGCGCGAGTACAGTTTCTGCATCCACTCTGCGCCGCGATCGTGGTTGGCTTGATCGCACTGCCACCCTTCACGAGTGAACGTGTAATCCTTGTCCTCGTCGCGCTCGACCTTGCTGATCGATAGAATCGCCTCGATGGGCTTGCACACTCCCACAATCGGCACCGACTTGATGAGTGCTTCGCGCAGACGGCGGACCAGCGCCTGCCGCGCGGCGGGGGTGGCATAAGCCGCCTGCGAACAGATATGTTGGTACAGCATGTCGGCGCGCTCGGGGTCCGGGCTAGCGGCCAGCGTGGACGTCGCAAGGATATACCATTTATCGCTGCCCAGCGAGGTGGACTGGAATCGCTTCTCGAGCTCGGTGAAGAGCTGCTGGAAGCGGGGTTGCACGTCCGGAGTGGTTGCGGGGGCTGCAGAAGAGCTCATGGTGCGGCGGGTGCTTGGCTGCAGGGGTGTTAGGGGGAATTGGGAGGTGGTCGGGCTGGGACGCGTGATTAGATATCGATCTTAGCCAAGGTCGAATTGAGGTTGAAGAGAAGATGGCGGCGGGATTGGATGGCGCTCACAGCTGCGAAGTGCAGAAACGAATCCGATGGCCAGAGTGGGTCGCGGTGACCAGGGCGATTCTGTGCAGCATTGAGGCCAGATGGGAGGGCCCGGGCCTCAATGCCGGAGGGAGCATGTCGGACGAAGCTTCAGCTAAGCGTGTACGGAATTCTAGAAGAAATTGGCCAGGATTGCACGCCCCCGAGCTGCGCCTAGACCGGAAGCGGTATGCTGATATCGTCCGCGGCCGGCGGGCCGCTTGAGCCGCAGTCATCGACAAGTATACAATTGCCTACGCAGGAGTATAAGGTTGAGCTGGCCATATCACCGATGAAGCCATTTGTAGCTGCATAGTCAACTGATAAAACGGAGAAAAGAAAAAACAGTCAAATCAGTCACATAGCTAGAATATTCTGCAATGCGTTTGTTCAGAGCGTGGTGGAGTCTGCGGTGGAGCGCGAGCGTAAATCGACGCCGTGGCCGTGCATCATCGATGTCACCGCACCACCCTGGACACGCTGCCTTGGTCGAGCTCCCTGAATCGATGTAAGCCCGCAAAGCGAACTGGTACGGCACCAGCACCGCACGCGATCGAATACTCTGTGGCTTTCCAAACAAGTCCAACTGGGACCCACAAGTATGACCTCAGTGATCCCAGCATGACATCACCCGTGTCCAGAGCAAGGTATAAGACCAAGCAACCATGAACACCATCTCCGCTATTCATCAAGCATCTCTTCAATTATCTTGAATACTTTCTCTAATTCAACGTCTACCACCTATCCTCTCTACACCACATCAAAATGTCTGCCGGACAATCCAGTGTTGGCCACGCCCCCTTCTACGAGGCTGGTGACCAGCGCAACCCTCCCCAGTCGGAGATCCGCGAGCACGAGCGCTACAAGGAAGGCCAGACACACAGCCACAAGAACCTGGACTCCAAGGACCAGCGTTCCATTGCCAACAAGCTAAGCGCTCAGGAGAGCAAGCCCAACCCTTCGCACCACCACAACAACGAGTTCAACCCCGAGGCCGAGCTCAGCAAGCAGGACCCAACCAAGCCTGTATGTGATCCATGAAAAGAAACCTGAGATGTTTGAAAAAGTACTAACGGTATTCTAGGCTAAGATGCACGGTCACGAGCCGTCCAAGGGCGCGAAGATCGACGCCGACCTCCAGGCCGAGGACGAGCAGCGCCTGCGTGAGAAGGGCATTAAGAAATAAATGACTTCGTCACGATGTTATGAATGATCATTATATCTTGGGGTATGGGATTTACTTGTGTTGAAGCGAGATGTGGGGATATCACTTATGTACGATATGACGAATATTTCAATTCTCGCCTTGATGGTTGAGAGATATTAAATGAAGCATATAAAGAAGCATTGAGTTGTGTGTCCAATCGTGGATTGAATTTGAAGTATCATAAATCGTTCCATGTATTAAGGGTATGTGCAAAAGATCTAGACCGTAGTTCGGGTGATGCCGCTAGTGTACAGCGAGACAATGCTCGGTATGGTACAAGTTGGTATGCATGATGTTAGGAGAGGTGCCATAGTCGACTGGATGCGACCGGACAGCAAAGGCGTGAATCATGTTTGACATGTTTCAGCACGGGTCGAGATAGCTATCCAACCAAAATGATAGACTATCATATGCCCTGCAATGAACCTTGCTGGTAATGTTAATCTGGCTTTGCGAAAGCTCCAGACCTTGAACCGTGGTCTCGACTCAAATCAACTGTCTTGAGTGAACTTGGGGTCATCGTTGTGTGTTTCGGCAAATACATTGTGCCAGTATTCTTCGACTCGGCGACAGAGACCTGCCTTGTGCTCCCAGGATTTGAAGGAACCTTCCAGGTTGCAGGTCACCCATTTAATTTCTTCCCAGTAGGCTCTCTCCACGTCGTACCCGAAGCGTTTCAGGGTATCCGAGGGAGCAGTCCATGCTCGTCCATCGGATCCATCTTGCTTCAACGTGGGCGTTGTCTCCCATCCCTGACCAAAGAGGTTGTCGCCAGGGTTGAACTTGGGGTAGTTCGCATGGACAAAGAAGATCCGAGGAGGCAAAGCAACAGCCGGGTCTTTGGTTCGCCATTTGCCCTGGGAAGTGAGGGCAAAGTCTTCGCGAGGGTCGGACTGGGCCATGGCAGAGCCTGACAGGCCATCATCTTTCGAATGTCCGATAGCTTGCACCCTCTCGCTAACTGCATAGAACGAGGCGCCGACGGCCGTGGCAGCCTGGAGGAATGTCTCCTTGTCCCCTTCTCCGGGGCCGCCCTGAGTCAAGAGTCGGAAGTAATGCGACGGGCCGTAGTAGTTATAGTAGGCGGCAAGCAAGAGCGGGAGGAGGTGTGTTTTTTTCGATACCAGGAAGATGCCCGTCTCGGAAGACTGACGCGCCGTCATGGGTGGCACCTCTTGCCGCGAAACTCGGTAGTATAAGGGAGATGCGGAAGAGCCCCAGAAATCGGGCCAGGTCACCAAACCATTGGACGTGAAAGGCTCCGAGTCAAGAAGCTCTTCGGGTTTGCCCAGTGGAAAGCAGTCTGCATCCATCCACATGATTTCCTCGAAAGATGAGAACAGCACGGCGAAAATTTTGAGCTGATAATGCTCAATCACACTCTTTCCCACCACGTCACCCAATACCAGGCATCGCGCATCGAGCATAGGGAGCACCTCATTACAGACCCGTTTCTCGTATTCACCGGCATCCTTCATGTACACCTCCACTGGCAATGTCGACCCGGCCCGACGAAGCATGCGGAGCGACGAGACGAAGACCGGCAGGTACTTGGCACCGGCCGTCGACACCAACCCGCGCTTCCCGGGGGTATGGACGGGCTTGAGGTTTTTACCGGCATTCTTTACATCCTCTAGGAAACTCGCATGGGCATCCTCCATGGCCTTCACACCTTCCTCGCTCATGCCTGTTACATCGGGCCGGGGCTGGTCTTTCGTGGGGTCGAAATGGGCGGCGCTGGCATCGGCCAGTTTATCCGGCGAGGGACAATTGGGATTGTGACGTTCGATTATGGGCTGCAGAGCTTTCCAGAAATCTTTCTGGCGCTCTGCCAAGGGTACCTCGAAGGCTGTGCTCGGGACAACGGAGACGGTGGATGAGGCGGTGATTGGACTCCAATACAGATAGACCGTGCACACGAGGATCAGAGCGAGCATGGAGAGGACCAGAGACCTCGCCCGACCCGGACGAAACATTCCCATGGTGCTGGACTGCGAATCGAATCGGGCTCCAAAGGAGGTGGTGGTTGGCGGCTTTCGCGCGACGCCGTCTAGGTACAAGGGGGGTTCGAGCGAGCCGACAGGCGCACGGGCGTGCCGATCGACAAGGACCCGAGAGTTCAGGCAATCGAATTGGCGAGTGGTTGCCTCGGTCGCGGTGCGGGCATTTGGGGGGGGAGGGGTTTTGGTTTGCGGTGCCTCAGCAATGGCGTGGAGTGGGGAGGAGTGGATGCCTCCAATGTGTTGTTTGGTGGTTTGCGGAAGAGACGAGACGATCAGGAGAAACTTCCTCTAACGGGCCGCGATGCTTGGCACCAGCCATGTGTCGCGCTGCTCACAGCCAGCGCTCCAGCAGCCCCGCGACTGCAAGTCCCAAGTCCCTGGACGATCAGGGATCAGGATTTGGGACTATTGACAAGTCAAACGGAGATCATCAACGAGGATCGTTCTGCGTGCACGAGTTAACCGCGGCGGCTCGGGATGAAACAGGCTGCGGTCTAGTGGCTTCTGCCGGGCTTCTAGTGCCCCTCGAACCGGTAAACCCTCCGAATTGCCGGTCCCTCAAGGATGAGAATCCCTGAAATCGCCGGGGCTGATGTGGCAGCCATGCTGATGCTCAAACAGGTCGATCGGGGTGGGGACCAAGGCGTTTCTCACGCAAGCGAGACCCGTCGTCAGTTCTCTCAAGTTCGACTAGAGCGCGGATCATCCTCCACCGGGAAGATCCCATATCCACCCCCCAACACCTCCGTCTTCTCGCCTCCCACTTTAAATCTGCCCGTCCCCCCATCCGCTCCTCCCTTCGCTCTGCCACCCCTGACCACGCGACCATTTCCGCCCGCGATGGCCTCAGATTGAATCTCTCCAGCCCCTCCGATCTCGCATGATCTTTGTTCTTTCAGGGCCCACTCGGAACGTCACCCCGGTGCTCAGATCCTCCCCCGGACACGACTCTGTCGGACGTTCCTGGAGGGCATGACCGACGACTGCCCCCGGCCCTCCCTTGATCATTGACGGTAGTCACTCGTACACTAGTCGACCATAATGGCCGAGAATGCAGGCCGGCCGGCCCGAGAACCGACCAAAGCAAAATCTCGCAAGACCGATCCGAACGCTCCGATTCGGAAACGCCGCAAGAGAACAGTGGTGAGCGGAGCGCCCGACGACTGCTTTACCTGCTCCAAACGAGGAGCCCGATGCGACCGACGGCGTCCATACTGCTCCCAGTGCCTCGAACTCGGCCGCGAATGTTCCGGATACAAAACGACGCTGACATGGGGAGTGGGTGTGGCAAGTCGAGGGAAGCTGCGCGGTCAGAAGCTGCCAGTGATGGACTCGGCGGAGGAAGCAGGAGGCAGTGCTGCGAAGGACCAACAGCCATTGCCGTCTAGCAGCCAGAGTCAGCCCTCGTCGCAATCAATACCTACCACCATCCCAGGCCCAGTGCCGACTCCGATGCCCCCAACCGGGACCGCAGCGCCAGTAATAGATGTCGGGGGATTACAAACGGTCGAAGCAGAGGACCGACGAGCATCGGATATGTCGAATATGTCGGATATGTCGAGAACTATGGCGTGGACGATGGACATGCCGGACCCGCACACATGGTCAAGCGTATCTGCGGCGCCACCTCAAATATCGGGACTCCCGTTGCCCAGCCGGCCAGTGACTTCAAATCGCCTGAGCCCAAGCATATCAGAAGCATCAATGCACTATGCACCGACACTAAGCCCCGAGGCCTCATTCTCTACACCAGTGTGGCCCGTCGCAAGGAACTGGACCGCCAATAATAATGTGACGCCGCCGCTACAAGATGCCGACGAGGAGTTGGAAAGAACAGAGCGCAAGCAGTTTATGCTGTGGAATGCCGGCCATTCACCTTCATACTCTCAATTGCTTTTGGCTCGGTCGATAGGCCGCACGCCTCGACTCCGGTATCTAATTAGTTACTTTACCGAAGTCATTGCTCCTATGATTGTCGCCTTTGACACGCCGACAAACCCGTTTAAGACTCACATTCTCCGCCTGGCTCTAGAGAGTGAGGCTCTCCAGGAGGCAATTGCGACATTGTCAACAAGCAATCTGCGCCAGCGCCGCGAGAAGAACCACCACTCCACCGAGAGAACCTTGCCCGCTCGCATGTCAGGATTAGCGCATCGAGCTCTCACGGATGAGGCGTTCCAGGATACATATGGTATTTCAATGACCGAGGGCTACATGCGCGAGGAAAACTACCATCGAGGAATGGCTGTGAAAGCATTGAATGCCGACTTGGCCGACCCCCGTCGCAGGTTATCGGATTCGGTGTTGGGAACACTGCTCATTCTGTGCTTGTTCCATGGCTGTGACACCGGCGTGGCCGAGTTCCGTGCTCAATTTGCGGGCGTCACAAGACTGCTCGCCATCCGCATGCGACATTCGCGGGTTATGACGGATGATCTCAAATGGTTCATTCGGATGTTCTCATGGTTCGACACTCTGACCGCCACCACCAATGACCGCGATGTCCAACTGCGCGGAAAGTGCTTAGAGATCAGCTCGACGACAGATGGAGAATGGGGATTGGAGAACCTGGCAGGTTGTGATGGTCGACTATTCAAATTGATTTCTCAGCTGGGCCGTCTTAATCTTCTCAGCCAGGATCAAGAGCCCAATCTTTCCAAGCCAGCTGATGTCAGTGTACCGACCGCGTCTCTGCCTCCCAATATGCTGTTCCCGGGCTGGGACACAGTCACTCCCACTACGGTTCCGGGATCCATAGCAGGCCCTGACTTTGGATTTGCCATGCCAACGCCCCCGCAGAGCAGTGATCAGTCCCGTAAACCCTCATCGCCAGCCTTCTGGACGGAATGGTTCTCATTACGGCAACGCCTCGAGTCCTGGCGATTCGACCCGCCGGCAGAGGCCTCCTTCCCCACGCCTCCTCCCTCCGCTTCCGACAACTTTCCTCCTAGTTCATCTTCCAACTTCACCCCTACCTTTACACCTGCTCCTGCACCGAAATCCGGGTCATATTATGTGGCCCATGAAAACCTCCAGGATGTCTACCAGATCTCCGAATGCTTCCGCCATGCCGCATTGCTCTATTGTGAGCGGCTAGCAGAGCCGAGTCTCCCATCCCGACACCCACGCATTCAGCATCTTGTTCATCTCGCCATGCACTGTCTGTGTGCTGTACAATCGGATGTATATCTGCTGTGGCCACTGTTCATCGTAGGCTCCGAGTGCGTTCAAGCCAACCACCGGGAAGCCATTCGTCACCGTTGCAAGGACATATCCAAAGACTCTGGGTTTGTGAACAATCTCTCTTGTCTGGAACTGCTGGAACGGATCTGGGCGGACCATTCTGACGAGTCCTCATTCCCTATCTACCCCTCTGAACTGGGCCCTCCGCCACCGCTGGATGGCAGTGAAGCGACCAGCACTCATGCTTTCCGCTGGTCCCGTGTCATGCAGGCTAAAAGGGGCGACGGAGAGTACATGGTTGCATAATCCTTTTGGATTTCTGGATCTATATCCGCATTTGGAATTGCACATATAATCTCTGGCACATTTGCCAGCGGCGGCTAGCATTTTATTTCTTTCGCATTCTTTTGGTCGTTTGGGTGGACTCGGGCGGTGTTTTCCTATTTCTGAGCAAGTGGGAGCCTTGCACTTTGAATTTGATACCATTGTGCCGTGATATTTTCTTTGATATCCCTCGCCGGCACCGATCGGCATTTGCTGGGTACATATCAAGCGAGGGAAGAGTTTCTGTACATTTTGATACCTCGGGCCAATCGTTGACTCTTACCTGAACGAGATGATCTCCTCCCGGCTCCCTAAGACTATACTATACCCAAGACAATAGACAGGCAGCGCAATCCGCTCAATCTACCAGTCCTATTCCACTTATTCTAGCCTTCACAAAATGTAATACCCAAGAGCATGTTCCAGCTCTCGTGGAGCATGTCAACCCCGGGATATGATCCCGGACGATTTATCTGTGGCTTTGGTACTGACTCTTCCGTCCAACCTATCCGTTCCCCGTCTATTGCGCAAGTTAAGCCACGCCACTTAATCTCTGAGCTCCAACAGCCATCTACCCCTGACCCAACACGGGAAGTATATTCACCGCCCCCCTCCCCCCCCTATATTTCTCTTCCGCAAAGGAATGCACTATCATCTCTCAGCGTAAGCAAAGAAACTAGGGCTCAGGGCAAGGGCATCCCTTGACCCCATAGTGATCCATGCGCCCACATTACGCACAACATACCTCGCCTCGGCGCAAAAAGCAAAAGTGCTGCAGAGCTTGAGGTATCGGTATCGATACACAGAAAATTCTGACCAGTCCAGTTCCTGAGATATCTGCCCTCTCCCGCGGCAGACGAAGAGGGCTGGGCCAATCATGCGCGGAGCAGCGCGTGTGCATGGGATGTCTGTTTTGATCTGGCCTCAGATCCAGCAAGGGATGCGGGAGTCGTGATTCATCATATTCAGGTTCCGGGCGGAGCCACAGCTCATTGGGTGCGGAGTTCGAGACATTGAAATCGCCGCGGTTTGATGTTTGGTGAATTTCATTTCCGACAATTGTTATTACTGCACCTGTGTGTTATTATGATCTGGAATCATTGATACAGTATTCTATGTTGGACCCAGTCTTTTGGTTAAGGGCCCCTGAAAAAACTGTTGTTTCTTTTCCTTGATGGCTGACTAGTGCCGTCCGAGCAAAGCCATCATCTCCGCGATCAGCCCCTATCAATTAGTGTGAGTTATTACCCTAGTGTAGGGTCGTCGCTAGAGCTGAACACAAAGTAAAAAGTGTTACCTAGGTAGCCTCTAGGTCAGCCGGCCTGGCTAGAGTAAGCTGACTGTTCGTTGTGAGTGCTAACGTTTGTGGTGGAAGGTACAGTAAGAATCTGACCGCGTCGCCTGTGCGCGGCAAGGTTATGTTCCTACTTTAGTACTTTGTTCCTACTGATGGATGTATTGATGTACGGCACAGCGACACCACCCCGTTGGCCCCACACCCCCTTTGCTGCGGGCCGCGCCCACGGTACGCCCTGCGAGTGGCCTGCACCGCGGCCGGCTGGGTCGCTGCTGGGTCTGCGCCCTAAACCCCGTTCCAGAAGCGAAGGCGAACACTGACGTCGAGGTTCTTGATCGGTACCCCGGCTATGGAGTCGGTTCAGCTGGTGGCAAACCGATCTTCAGGAGCTGTCAGCTGATCGAGAGCTTTAGATGACTACAGTACGTAGTAGAAGTGGTGGCGGCTGGGAAGACCTGTTTGCTGTAGGGATATGCATTTTTGATTTTCGATTTTCGTCCAAGGGGTTAGGTTATCAACGCCATGTGCGACCCTGGAGGATCGGCGCTGCCTTTGGGTGGCGCAGGATTGCGCTCCGTTTGGCTGCCTAGACTGGGAACTGGGGAACGCTGGAACTAAGGGGCTGATATGTAATTTCTCAATTTCGAGCTGGGGCCCGTTGACTCATCTGGTGAATCACTGGAATCAAGGATGAGCCCTGAATTTTTCTGTAAGGATGTGGCTGGGGACGTTGACGGCCATCCCTGCGGTTGGTGCGTGAGCGTAACAGAGGTCGGTTGGACGTTGGGATGTTGGATGGTTGCTCCGTCCGTCACAGCAGTAGAATGGAGATGACTCTTTGTAAGTAAATAATAAATTGCTGGAATATCACATGGCCGAGTTCAGCGTTATCGTGAGTCAATCTCCATCGAGCCAATTTAGGGCTCGCGGTCGCACTATGGCTTCCCCACATGAACAATGGGATTCATGTTGGCAACAAAGCTGCGAACGAATCGAATAAACGGTCTGGTCAAGTTTCGTGTTGAGACAAGTCGCTGCCTGTAATTCCAACGCCGCTGCGCCTCTTTAGAATTAGAAACTCTGGACACAGCCGCGCCATTCATCAGCTGGCCCTCCCCAACGACATGCGATATACCCTGGGGATGCCTCGCTAATGGGCCAGCCCTCGTCCACACAGAAGGTAGGGGCTTTTCCTTGCCTTCGACTGGTGCAGTTGGAGGGTGTCAATGCAAGTTGCGGTCTGCGAGCCCTTTCTCAACCAACCCCATTTCCGCCCAAACTGGTGGTTGCTGCCCAGCGACCACCACAGCGGTAAAGCCCATGCATGGTCTGTGAAGTGCCCAACAGGTCGGAGGGCGTCCGCTGTGTGTGTAAATAAGAGAGATACCGTCAGTTAGTGCTCCTGGCCCTGGTCTTCGATGGGTCGGTATCGCCGTCTTGCCATGGCAACTGGATTTCCGGTGGGTTTGGGTGGGTTTGTAGTTTGAAGCTGGGTCTGTGGAGATGGAACCGCTGGACGAGACGGGATCAGCCGTGCGAAAGTCCGGCAGTGCGATCGCACAGCCGCGGACCAACCATGGATCGCTCGTGGATTTATCATACAGAAGCTCTCTTGCGGTTCGATTCGGTTGTTCGTAGGGCCATATCGCAATGGTCAAAACGGGACCCTTAAACCCATTGCGGCATCGACGGGCTGCACCTGGGCGATTTCGAGGGTTCATGCAGAACAAGTGGATGTACCTCTGTCGAGGCAAAGCATGGCACTGTGACAGTTCTGGAAGCCTTGCACATGGCGGCCGGCCAACGGAGGCCTGACACGCCGCAACGACGATGCCAGGAGCTGAGCGGAGATTAATCTATAACTTTTGGGCTATTCGGCTGGGCCAGTGGCGAGAAAGGGCCATCCCACCATCTTTCGACTCACCATGATCCGATGGGCGATGACTCGGTTTCCATGACTCGTTTTTCTCGTTTGCGCGTCATCTGGCTCTGCGCACTCGCATTCGCCCAACGAGGGACACAACGCAGTTGTCCGGTGCCCGAGGAGGGGAAGGAGGGGGCCGTCAGCAGTGGTTGCATCGTCAAAGGTCTCCATCCGGGCTAGTTTGAGGGGTAGTCGCGGCGCAGGGCTGCGTCTGGATTGGAATTGTGGACGCGGTGGCAACTGGAAGCCGGATCTATATGGGAGCGTCCGACATGAATCAAAATGATGCTCATGCTCGATTCTGCTTAATTTATATACTCATAGGTTCATATCATAGGATAGCATTGCATGTACGAGGCCCTGCGAGGCCTGCGCACGATCTACTGTACCGTACCGTACTGTATACTGTATAATACGCCCCACAAACGCCACGGCCCACTGCCAACTCGCACGGCCTCTCCACTCCCTAAAAGTACCACACCTCGCCCTTGGGTTGAAAATTTCCCATCTCCACTCGCTTCGGCTCAAAAACATCGGAGACCTCTCTCGCTCCTCATCTCTCGGGACTCTTTGCTCGGAGTCTGTTGGGTCCATCATCGCCAGGATCCCAAGTCCACAAACCCCCCGGGTCCGCCTCGTTCATCGTTCAAATGCACTCTCAGCACATCCAGCTTCAACCCTCCTCTCTCCGATCGGAAACCGTACCACGGTGACGGTCCTATACTCGATCCTATTGTTTTTGGGAATCTCATTCTCGGCGTCGATTTGCTCATTGTGATATCCTGTATAATATACTCGGGTGCCTTTTTTTTCTCTTTCCTCCTTTCCTCGCTTTTGTTGTTTGTTTCGGTTTATTTGGGAAACCCTTGCAGAGCACTTGAAGTTCCAAGAGTCTGCGAATAATCTCGCCGACCCTGCCATACGCGCCAACAGCACACCACCACACGGTTGACCGGTCTCTGCCCATGCTCATTCGATAATGTATCATTACTCCAGTCCACCACCCGGGTGGTCTGCCTACGACTACACTCAGTCGCCGCCGACCTCGCCGTACTACGCCCAATACGCCTCGCAATATGCCAACACCTATGCCTCGCCGCGAGGCACCACGCGACGATCCCACACTCGCAAGGCCAGCTACACGGCCACCAAGGAGCCGGGCTGGTATTCGGCCTACCCGCAAAGCTACTACGAAGCGACGCCCGACTACGGCATTCCGTCGCGCAAGCACGATCATGTAAGTGCTTCCTTTGCGGGTTCGCCCAAACACCGTCGCACCTATACGACCGGTCATCCTGCGGGGGATGGCTGCGGCTACGGATTCGGATTCGGATTCGACTCGCAATCGCAGCAACGGCCCAACATCTATGTCGATGTGGCCGACGATGCATTCGATGTTCACCTTCCGCGCAACGCCTTTCGCGAAGCCCGATCTCGCCCCGGCCGTCCCCCGGCCTCGACCGCCAGACCAGCCAACACCTCGGCGCGGGCCTATCCCAGTCAACCTGGTGGGCCCAGCCCAGGCCAGCACCGTCGCACCGCCTCGGCCTCGCACCGCAAAGCAAACCCTGTCGCTGATTCTCACTTTTACTTCAATCAGGCTCCCAACTACGAGGACATCGAATCAGCTCGTCGCTCCCGCACACGTCGTCAATCGACCTCGACGCGCACCCCCAACAAGCCCAAGCCGCCACCCGCGTCCAAGCCGCCACCCACCGCCACTGAAGAAGATGCCGAGCGCGCAGGCATCCCGCCCGGATATAGCATCAAGAACTGGGACCCAACCGAGGCTCCCATCATCCTGCTGGGCAGTGTCTTCGACGCCAACTCCCTCGGCAAGTGGATCTACGACTGGACGGTGTTCCATCATGGCGCATCGACCCCTATGGCGGACGTGGCAGGGGATCTGTGGCTGCTGCTGATCAAGTTGGCGGGCAAGGTGAAGCGGGCGGACGAGTGTCTTCCGCGCATCAAGCACATCGAGGCGCAGGAAGTGGTCGAGGACTTTCTCGAGAGTGGCGACCGTCTCTGGAACCGATTCAAGAAGCTGCTCAAGGCCTGTGAGCTGTACATGTGGAAGGCGGCTAAGCGGGAAAGTGGTGGCAAAGGCGGGCCCGTCTCGATGGGGCGCAATGCCGGCTGTGAATTTGTCGAGTCCATCTTTGGACGCGATCGCGAGCTGGAGAATACGGAGAAGCTGATGAATAGTATTCGGCTGTGGAATATGCGGTTCGACGCCAACTGCGAGGATATCTTGCGCCGTCCCTCCGCCAAATAGACCCAACTAAACAACAACACATTCGATGAAGACAACACAATACCCCGAGAGATATACGAGGATATCCAAGGAGCGACCCCGAGAGATATCAGATATCCATTATTTCCTTTGTTTCTTCCCTTTGTTCACTTTCCTTTGTCTGCGATTTTCGTTCTCTTTACAGGAGCATTTGACATTCTTGTTAAATCGCATTTGCAGCGCGTTGGGTTTGGCTTCGGCTGTCCTTTACTCGTTCCTCCTCTACTCGGCAGCTTTGTCCCACGTTGGGACGACCCCCAAAAGAATTCATGGTTTCGGCGCCTTTGTTGTTTTGCCTTTTTTTTTTGTTGCCTTTTGCGTTCCGTTGCGTTCTCCTTCCTGGGGCGGCGTCTTCTCCTTCCTGATTCCCGGCATGCTCGCCATCGCCTTGTTGTTCGGCCGTCGAACATGTGTTTTCCGTTGCTGTCGTCGATGTTTGTGTCATTCTGCTTTGATGATACCATCCTGCGATTCCTATTTGGTTCCTGATTTTGTGTTTGCGTCTGCGTCTGCGTTTTCCAGCGATCGGCCTTGGCCGTCGTGCTCTATGCCTATGCTCTATTGTTCATTCACTCCGGGGATGTTGGGTCCGAGGAGGAACCGGTTGTACATAGAACCACGACCTAACATCCAATAGACCTAAAACACTCGTTATCACACTTTCAGTATTTCCGGTCTACCTACTAGACCTGTTCACCATCTCATATCACATTATTTCCACGTAGTCCCACCGAGGTCAAAAAGAGAATAGACTTGCATCCCCCCGCCTTTCCCGAAGCGGCAGGGATGTGATGAGCTCCCGGCGGCAAGCGCTGCAACGCCGTGCGGCGCGGCCTGCAGGAGGGATGGGCGCGCTGACTTGTTCTAGAATATGCTTTGGGGCGAGAAGCAGGTACCTTTCGTGCCAATGACGACGTCGGGGCGGGCCTCATGCAGGCGCTGCGGGTGATGACGCTCGCCACTGGTTCGCGCAACCCTGGTGGCGGTTGGGAGGGTGGCGATCCTATCGGTGTTGGGTGGTGGACTGCAGGTGGATTGGAGGGTGCGGGGTGAGGCGTGGAGGGGTTGGACAGCTGTTGCGACTCCGGTTGGAGGATGAGCTGTGCCCTGCTTAAAGCCTGCGAGATGATCGTTGGGGTTGTGCCACATGGACTTCCCTGCACCTAGACTACATACGATGTATGTAGGGTATGTACATACAAGCTGGAGTGGTCAGGTGTCGGGTGAGGGCGATGCTCATTCGCAGTGCCGTCACCAATCATATTAAATCCTGACTGATCAATCCTGACTGGTTTGTTCGTACATGCGTTGCCTGCGACGTTGAGCATGCTGGACTGGTCGCATCCAAGGCTCCAGGGCTGATCGCCTGGTAGCACCTTGACCGCGCAGGTATGTGCCACGATCAGCTGCTGTACGTCACGAACGATGCACCCTCGATACCAGAACTTGCCCACGGTAGGATACAATATACGAAATGCAGTGTCATGATGATGTATTATATCTCGCCCAAGACCTTTCCATCTCATACTACAGTATTGTAGATGCTAGACTAGTAGACTAGACACAAGGAATATTGCACTATACAAGATATGAAGAGGACGGTGAAGCTGAATGCAACCAGGCCAACCCTAACCGGCTAGCATCGTCCTTCCCCGGATCTTCTCTACTCTTCTTGGCTTTTTCCGCTGTATACTCCCTCTCAATCACTTCATCCATATCCCTTCCTTCGCCATGTTGACATTTCTCCCGTTTCGCCCATTTCGCACCTCGCGAACCACGGACGGCGGGTCACGGGATTGCCGATCGACGCTTGACGCGCGACGTTGACATCACCGGCCTGGCCATGGGACTCACCTCCGCTCGCAGGTCCTCAGCACCTCCACCATCGAGTTCGAGCAAGCAACGCAGGCTACCCCCAAGAGCAGAAGGAGGAGGAAAAGCCACCGCATGCACCATCGACGCGGCGCATCCAGCCCGGCTAATATTGCGATCTACCGGCTAACCGGGGAGGCGGATGGGGAGAGCTGGGGTTAAGCAAAATTTCCCGCCGAGATTCACGAAAAGTTCAATCTTTCCCCTTCAATATTATCTCTTTTTGGACTGCTGTCTGCATGAGCGATTCCAGCATCCCAAGTTTCCTTTGTCCGCCGCCTCCTTCCGACCCTCACTTCGACAGACGAGTGAAGTATGAAGAATGGATCTCCGACACGCCAGACCCCCATGGACGATGCCCCCGCACGCTCGTCGTTATGGGACCGCTTGGCCAGCCAGTTCCATATGAGGCCTCCCGAAGACGATGAGCCGCAGTCGTGGTGGATTGCCTCGACGGCCATCCCGCTGGTGGCGGCTGCGGCAGGCCCGTTGGCCAACGTCATGTCGATTGTTGCGCTGGTTATGCCCTGGCGAAATCAAATCCTTTCGAGGAAGGACGGACCTGCTGGGAACTGGATTCAGGTGGGCTATGATGATCCGCTTTGGTGAGTGCTGTACATGGTAGTGAAATGTTGAAACTCTGGCTGACTGTTTTGCCAGGGTTACTGCGGTGAATGCTATTTCATTGGTTTGTGGCATCGTTGGCAATATCTTCTTGCTTCTGAACTTCACGCAGGCCGTGCGGTACATTATTGCTTTACCGGTGACCATTATTCTATGGTTTTTGGCCACGGGCATGGTACGTGACAACCCCATTTTGATTTGGTTGATTGTATACTGACCAGGTTGCTAGTTGAGCGGGCTGACTGCGGCCTTGTCCATATACAGTCCACCGATAGGTCCGACAGACATCTATTCCCAGGCCTACTGGAGTGCTGTCATAGCCGCCATTCTTTACTTTATTCTGAGTCTCATCTTGATGATCAATATGCTGGGCTATTTCTTGGGACGATATCCCCAGCATTTCTCCCTCACCGATGAGCAGCGTACGCTTATCTTGCAAATGACCGCATTTGTGGTCTGGCTACTCATCGGTGCTGCGATCTTTCAACGGGTACTTGGAATCTCTTTCGCAGACGGGCTGTACTTCTGCGACGTCACCGTTCTCACACTAGGATTTGGTGATGTCACGGCCGAGACCTCTGTTGGAAGAGGTCTCATCTGGCCGTACGCAGTGCTCGGCATCATACAACTGGGTCTGGTGGTTGGAAGCATCCATCAGTTCGCCCGGGAGGTCCACTACGATAATGTGGTTCGCAAGCATATCGAGCAGAAGCGACAATCCACTTTCGAGCGATCAATTCCATTCAACGAGGTCCATCGAGAGGACCAGGCCCAAGCAAAGGAACTGCCTCCAGCGGCACTGACCCGCGAGCAGACCAATATCTCTTTTCACCGGAAGCATCACCATCAACCAATCCGCAACACGATTCAAGCGTTGGCGGGCGGAGGCCATCGACCTAGACTCTTGGTGATGAGAGAGGAGAAAGACAGATTCGATGCTATGCGAGCGATTCAGTATGATACGATGCGCTTTCGACGTTGGAATGACTTGTTCATTAGTATCATTGCATTCGGTATCGTATGGACATGCGGAGCCGTTGTTTTCTGGAAGTTGGAGGAGATGACTTATTTTGAGAGTCTGTATTTCTGTTTCTGCTCTCTCATCACCATCGGCTATGGCGACTTCACCCCCCAGTCGAACGCAGGTCGACCTTTCTTCGTGATGTGGTCGCTTATCGCCATCCCGACCATGACGATGCTCATTTCTCAAATGAGCGATACCATTGTCGCCGCTATTAAGAAGTCTACCGAGAAGCTCAGTGACTACACTGTCATGCCTCGCTCCGGGGCATACAAGTCTTTCCTTGGCCACTTCCCCTTCATCATGAGATTCTTCCAAAACCGCGAAGAAAAGAAACGGATCAAGCGCGGTTTTCAAGTAGGGACTGGTGCAGATGTAACCGGCGAACCCGACGAAGGACCATCGACAGCACAAACCGACAAGGATGTAGAACAATCCGGACCAGCATGCAGCCCACCACCCACCGACCACCCCCACCGAACACTCGAAGAGCTCGCCCGAGACCGAAATCCCTCGCCTTACGAGCTCGCCCAACAACTAGCCTTCGCAATCCGGCGCACAAGCCATGACGTGCGGGAGGGTAAACGCAAGCGATACTCGTACGAGGAGTGGGTCGAGTACACCGGTCTCATCCAATTCACAAGTCCGCAATCTCGACCGACTTCATCAGGGGCGGCCCAGGGACAAGACCGGAGTACCTCCGTGGATGAGGATGAATTCGGCGTGTTGAATTGGGACTGGATTGGTGATAATAGTCCCATGTTGGCGCAGCAGACTGAGCCGGAGTGGATTCTTGATCGGCTGTGTGAGAGTTTGGTGAGGTATGTCTCGACGCAGGAACAGGCGAGGGCGGACGCGCAGGAGGAGGCTACTTTGACGAAGGAGAGGGATCTTGGGATCGAGGATTCGTGACTTGAAGTGTGATAATCTTGTTTATTTGCCTTTAAAATTGGAAGTGCATTTGGAAGCGTTGTATATACCCTCTCTTTTTGTAAATTATCTTTGAATTCCGATGTACATAGCCGATGCCTACGGGATTGATTCAAAGAATTAAAGAAAATGGCAAAACGGAGAGTACAAGCGAATTTTATTCCACAAGTATCTTCTCAGATGTATTCGAAAGCCTATCAGTAGTGTATCTGCAAGTACCAGAACATTGTCTATGATCAAAGCACAACGACCGCATTGGCGCGCCAATATGCAACGAGAACAAGATGAGCAATATAATCAGATGCAGAAAGGGTATGTACGTAGCCAAAATTCCAGAGTAGCGTGGGTTAACACGATGGGTATTATATGATGAAGAAGCGAGCCTTTCAATCAAGGCCGCAGGCCCAACTGATCATTTAGTTCTCCTTGGCCTGGGAGACGGAGAGGATGTCCTCGCCCTTCAAGAAGTTCTCGAATTCACCGATTTGCTTGCCGCCTTGGATCCAGCGTGCGCGATAAGTCTCGCGCCGCTGTTCAGCCAGTTGGTTCAGGGCAGGCCAGTAGGTGGAGTGGTCATATTTGAATTCAACTTCACCGCCAACAGACTTCATCAGATGGGTGGGAGGAACGTGCTTGCGCAGATCCTCATTGAACTTGAGCTTCTCCCGAGTCAACGGGTCAATGAAAGGAGTGATGACCTTGAAGAAACCCCAGATCAGGAATGGAACTAGAGGAACGAGTAAGCACAGTGGTAAATGAACATGATGGGTAAATTCATTTACCATTGATCACGAGGGCACGGCCCAGTCGCTCGGGGTAGTGGTTCTGCAGAATGCTAAGAGTCTCCCTCGCCTGGCCGATGGAGGCATTCTGTCCGGACTTGGTCTCGTTGAAATTGACCAGCAAGGCAAGCGTCTCCTGGTCGGGGCCCATGAGATCGATGACACGCTCCAGCATGAAGACAAGGTGCTGGATTTGACGCTCGCTCTTCTCCGTGTTCTGATTGGAGGGCAGGAGGTAAAGACACGGCCGGCCATGAATGTCATAACCCAAAATCACCTGCTTGCCAGTCTCGTTCTCAACCGAGATATAGTCGGCGGTCAATTTCTCCATGCCGTACTCGCGGCGCCAGGTAAGGGTGGCCTTGAGTCGAGTCTCGGCTTCGGCAACGTTCCACTTAGTGGCACGCAGGTATCGAAGCAGGCATTCGCGAGTCAACCACATCCGCTCATCGTCGGTGACTGGGGCTGTCGAGGCGTCCTTTGCAGCCGTGTTCGGAATGGCCTCCAATGACGAGACAGTCTTCAGGAGAGCGTCATACTTGGACTGCTGGTCCACGGAGAGCTTTGCAGGCGGCTGGGGCTTGCTGGATTCGAGCGGCTTCGGGAATGGCTTCTGGATCAGACCATCGGCGGCGGAGGTCGGAAGCTGAAGATCGACGGCGGGCTTCTGGTCGACATTGGGAGACGCGGTCGGCTCGGTTTCCGCGGAGGTCGAAACAACCTCTGTGTTCGTTAGACTTCCATTGTTGGCTGGTGAGACGGCAGCGGCCACCTCGGCGGAGTCATTGGCAGTCATAGTGATCGAGCAATGGTTTGCAATGTGTCAATGCGTGCCACATGGGGGACTGCAGCGAGGGCCAGCGAGTTTCGGTCAACTGCGCGAGACCCACCGCGATCCATCTTGCCATTCTGGGCGTGCTGACTAACATTCACGGGGGCGCGTCGCGCGTCGCGGACTCGACAGGCTGCGGCGAGTTGGACATTCAACACCCCTAAAGACCTCATCCCACCACCCCGCACACAATGGCCGACGTGACGGCGGAGCTCAATGAGCTTTTCGCGGCCTCCTATCCAGATGGCCTTCCCAAGGATATCCTGTTGGAGCTCCAGTCTATACTGCGAGTGCACTCGATCACCGCCGAGGAACTTTTCTATAAATGGGAATCATACAGCATGAAGATGGGAGAGGAGACCAAATTGACTCTTGCGGCTGTGCGCGGGTTCAAGCAGGATGTCCAGGAGACCCTTGAACGTGAAAGTCGGGCCAAAACGGGGCGTCAGGCGGACAGGAGGACTGCTGCCACTGGAACCCCGCGTGCTGCAGCTGGCACTGATATGTTTGGAATGTATGTACCTGGCATCAGCTAAGAAATTCTGAGCTCGGAGCTAACAGTTGAAATCAGGCTGGATGGATTGACGCCAAATGGTTCGAGTGGCCGGTTGAATGGCGGTTCGGTGAAACGCAAATCCAACTTCTCTTCGCCTGCTGCGCCGAAATTCGGGCGAGTCGAGAGCAACGGATCACCCATGGGGGCAAAAGCACCCGTTCCTAGTCCCATGGCCAACGGCGCTGGGGCGGCAAATGGAATGGCGTAAGTGGGAGTGGGACCCCGCTGCACAATGATTCCAAGTAGCATGCGGGCACATGGGAATGCGCTAATTCAAGACATAGATCTGTTTCCTTTGCCGACCGACCGAACCCTGGACAGACACTCGAATCACTCAACTCGCATCTTGCGCCACCCGATACACCCATGGCCCCTTTCTCCGAGGCGCGCATCAAGCCCACGGCCAATACGGACTTGAAGAAGTTCGGATATAAGCCCATGGGCATGCGTCTATCAGAAGCGTCTGAGATCCTGGATGACCGGATCGATGAGTTTGCCGCTATCTATCAAAAACACTACGACTCGGACGACCTTACATTCGGAAGCGCGGCTACGCAGAGTACTTCTGAGATCATTGCGGTTGGTCGTATCGCCTCAGATTCTCTAGAGGGAAAGCTGAATCCCGCTTCTTTGGTGCTTGAAACCTCTCGCCGAACTGGGGCTGGTAGACGGGTTCCCCTCAAGGTCGACTCTGTACCTGGCTTGAATTTCTTTCCTGGTCAGATTGTTGCGCTTCGAGGAATCAATCCCTCTGGCGAATATTTCACTGTCAAGGAAATTCTTCCAATCCCCCTCTTACCACCTGCTGCGTCGTCAGCAGTTACCCTTGAGACCATCAATGAACGCCTAGAGAACGGGGATGCCAACCCTCCTCTGAATGTCATGGTGGTGGCTGGTCCGTACACAGCAGACGATAACTTGGATTTTGAGCCATTGCAAGAACTGTGTCAAAAAGCAGCAGATAACTATGCTGACAGTCTCGTCTTGATGGGTCCGTTCCTAGATATTGAACACCCTTTGATTGCATCGGGAGACTTTGATTTTCCTGAGATCAAGGGCATTGACCCCGACACTGTCACTCTTTCTACAGTCTTCCGACACTTCATCTCATCAGCATTGGCGCGTCTTGCGGCGGCTGTTCCCAGCATTACGATCGTGGTTGTGCCCTCTGTGCGAGATGCTCTGAGCCGGCACGTTTCATGGCCGCAGGAACAACTACTTAAGAAAGAGCTCGGTCTGCCGAAACAAGTCCGCATGGTTTCCAATCCCGTTACGCTGTCATTTAACGAGATCGTTTTTGGAATGTGTTCACACGATGTTCTTTCTGATTTGCGGCGCGAGGAGGTTCTCCACGGCCGTCCCGCCGAAGGAAACCTACTGACTCGACTGCCCAAATATCTCGTTGAGCAACGTCACTTCTCTCCACTATTCCCTCCTTCCAGTCGCGCAAGTCTCCCCAAGCCAGGGACCGAGGGTGCTTTGGCCACTGGTGCCATGCTCGACCTGCCCTATACGAAGCTTGGCGAATGGTGGAACGTCCGCCCAGATGTACTACTTGTTCCCAGCATGCTTCCGCCCTTTGTCAAGGTTCGTCGATTTCTCGATAAGTCCCCTTTTATTGGATCGTTCATCATGCTAACCTTGACATTTCAGGTCGTCGACAGCGTTCTAGTCATCAACCCCGGCACTCTGTCCAAGCGCCGCGGCGCTGGCTCATATGCCCAAATGGCCATCCACCAGCGGTCTATTTCTGAAGAAGAACGCGAGCAAAAGCAGCTCGACCATAAGCTATACGAGCGAGCCCGGGTGGACATTAACCGAATTTAGGGGCTAATCTGCTGTATACATATCGCATTACACGGGGCGTTGAGGCGTGCAGTCAATTCGTGATGGAAGGACGGTCCCTGCCGTGACGGCCCAAAGCTAGGACAAGGACCTTGAAGTTTAAAAAATATTCTCATTAGGCAATATCAATGCAACGAATCAATGCCATACCAAACATTATACCGTGCGGCCAAACGTAATTATTCAATGGGTATCAGGTACTCCCGCAATGCAAAACTCAAATCCATGCTTCTCAATCCCAACACCATCCCTCTCACCGCAAAGAGACAATCCTGCGACCACCCATCCTCCTACCAGCACCGCGGACCCTAACAGCAGCACTAGCAGCGGATGCCGCACCACCCCCATTCCCACGAAGCGTCGCCCCAGGCCCCGATCCAACCTGACCACCCCCAGCCCCAGAAGCCGCCGCAAGCGCACCACTACCATGTCCTTGCCCACTAACAAGCTCATGGAGTCCGAGATCCCGCCAAACGGCCTCCCGCCTGCGCTCCATGGCGCGAGTGATTCCAAACGCCGCATGCTGGTCCGGAACGACGTCATCTTCGTCTTCGGGGTTTGTGGGCTGGTGCTGCGGCGCGACGTAGATGTCTTCGACTGGGAGGAAGGAGGAGAGGTTCGTTTGGGTTGTGGAGCCGTACGTTACGACGTTCGAGGCGCCGGTCGGGTTGCTGCTTGACATTTGGGGGCTGGTGGATTGGGGGTTTGTGATTGATGCGTATGGTCGTGTGAATTCTTCGAAGGAGTCGGCTAGACGTGGGTGGTGCATGTGGATGTATGTTGCGGAGGAGTCTTTGCTCTGTTGTTGTTAGTGGAGTTGTTGAGTGGTGAAATTGAGGATAAGACGGACCATTTTGCTGTAGGAGAGACCTGTGGTCACTTTGTAGGTTATTATGCAATTTTGAGCACCTTTGGACGTGGTGGGCTTAGAGATATGAGGTTGATGTCGATAGAAGTGTGTCATCCGGACCTGAAGCTTGTTGAAGGAGCGGCAGAATATTGTGCGAACACACCGCCTTGGCGGAGTTACGGAATGCATGATGATTTATACCATTGGCCCTCAGTAACTATTTTACGGTTTTAATGTATGGCTATGTGGGTGTACCGCTAAATTCCAAGTTCTTCGGGACATATGCATTCGTTTCATGTAAAAAATCTATCAATACTTTCCAGACACCGAAAACAAAAGATCAGGCACCATGATCAGACATAATCCCACCACAGCTCGAGCATGACTCGGAAATAAAAGTCCCAGAAAAATGAGCCTTGACGGAAACCAAAAATCAAGACCATTTCAACTTTTGCAATATGATGACATTTGAGCATAAGCATAATAAAGTTTCATATCTCAGACATTCGTGCTCATCCGATGCACAATAGGCACCGCGCTAGGCGGCAAGCTACCCATCTCTGTAATTACCATATCCACATACTCCGCCGGTGTCACGTCGTACATGATATTCAACAACTGGAGGTTGGGCGTGTCCTTCCAGTTGGCAAGAGGCGATGGAGACGGAGCGCGAGCGGATGCAGACGGATCGGGGATGGGAGCAGAAGAAGCCTTGCCGCCCTTCTTGGGCTCCACGGGAGGGGTGGTAAACGCACCCGGGTCAGGCAGGCCGGTTACTTGCTGTGGGGGGTTGCCGGGGACAAGTTCATCGGCATCGGCGATTTCGTTTACGACGATGCTGTCGAGGGCAACGCGGTCGGAGAATTTCACGGTCTCACAGCACACGATGACAGGAACCTCGACGCCACCAGCGCGCTCTTTGGCGGACATGGCGACCAAAGCGGTGCCAACACGAGAATAGAGACGGCCATTGCTTGTCATTCCATGGGCACCGAGGAAGACCTTGGTGGCATCCTTGATGGCGTGGCTAATCGCATGCACAAGGGAGTACTGGACATCCAGACCAGCGTCGGCCAGAGTTCGAGCAAGACTCTTTCCTTCGAACAGAGGGCGCGAATCAATGATCGATACGCGGAATCGCTTCCCTTCCTTGTGTGCTTGCAGAAGAGTCTGCTTGACAATGTTGCTGCCGGCGAAGGTCACAATCACGTCGCCGTTCTCAATCTTTTCCACCGCACTTCCCGCAATCACCTGGTCAGCCACAGTAATTTTCTCGCGAATAAAGTTGTCAATAAAGTCGCACAAGGTCGCCTTCGCGGTTGCTTCCGGGGTGGATGGGTCAATACCCGCAATCGCCAGCTTCAGGGCCCGAATCGCATTACCCTGGCTAACGGCGAGCGGTCGACATGTCGAGAGGTAGCTGATTTGGTGGCTGAGATGGGTCGTCAAATGGCGCGCCAATGATGTACCGAGCGGCGTAGTATAGGATTCGATAACCTGGGCGATTGCAATGAGTAAACCGTGACATGATCAGAATGGAGAGTTGGAACTTACCCGCTTGAAGGCGAGCAGAGTCGCAACGCATCGCGCACTGCTGCCACAGACCACATAGTCTCGCAGCTGTAAGCCAAGCGCAAGAACGGCAGGGTGTACCTCCTTTGCGGCACCATTCACCGTAGTCCTTCGCTGCTGGCCGTAAAGGTGGCCGAATACAGCAACACTCTTGTCTTCCTTCTTCTTCTTCGGCTCGGCAGCCGCACTAGCCTGGGTCACAGGGCCTGATCCACGGCGCGGAGGCGCACCCTTCGATCCCTTCTGCGAAGCACTTCCGCCTGCAGCATCCTTCTTTGGTGTGTGGGGAGGACGAGACTGGCCGCCAGCACCGGGAACTGAACCGCCCGCAGCACCAGCTCCGCCGTCCCTATCGGCCTTTTCCTTCGCGCGTCGAGCAGCCTTCTCTGCCTTGGCCTTCTTCTTAAGTTCCGCCGGGGTGAGCGGCTTGTCACTGGCGCCATCGCCGCCGACAGCAGGAGGTGCGGGGACATCCTTGGGCTTTGCGCTCTTGGAGTCGCGGATGGGAAGGGACTGCGAAGGAGGGGTTTCGGTCGTGGGTTGGGGCGCTGCTGTGGGCGCTGCGGAGGAGGAGGAGGTCAGAGCCGGATCAACGGAGTCCGCCATCTTGGATGACTCAATCGCGGTATTTGAGAGCGTCGGGCGAGACCTTGAAGTCCTTGGTGGGGAGGGAGGGTTGACTCACGGAAAAAGTGATGCCATAAGCGGCCCACCGAACGCCGCAGCCCTAATTTCCGGCGCTGCTCCGCCATGAGACTCGATGTTTACAGTGAATGGAGACACTGGGGGAGGTGATTTTTGAATGGGATGTTTAGAAAACGTTCATATCATCCGAACGATCATACTTAAGAGTAGTCATAATTGGGAGGGCAAATGGATTGGCTTAGAAGAGCGGCCAGGTCAGGTCAATTAGTACTACAAGTACGGAACAGACCAACACCGGGCAGTCACTTTTGAAATGTGCATAACTCATAATTCGTCGAAGGGGTCTCTCGCTGCTGTTTAAAGGGACAAAGAAGATACACAAGGGTCCAAACGCTGCCTAAACATGACCGGCCACTGCCCGAAGGCATGGCGTCGGCCTAAACAAAGACCAGAACAAAGATTGCGCCACCAACACCAACCTCTTTATAGAAATGTCGAGTAATACCGTGACACTATTCAAGTTCGCTGGAGCTAGCGATTGTTCGCAGCAATCACCCGCAGGGCACGGCGTTTGCTGGTCGCGGCCCGCTCGTTATGGCGCCAGCGCTCATGGTCGGTAGCAAGCTTGCGTTTGAATACACTCAGGTCACCGAGGAGATCCTGCATGTGGCTCTGCATCTGGTAGGCTTCCTGCTCACTGGCATCCATATCCTCATCATCCTCGTCCTCCCATACGTCGGCTTCGCTTTCAGATTCTGACGGATATGCGGGGGAGGCCTCGCGGTCATGGTTCTCCTTCTCTCGGGTGGGCGTGGGAGAAGGAGTCTTCTCCACTTCTGCCAGTGACCCGAGGCTCGGCTGACGCTGGGAAATGTTGACTGGCGGGATAGGGTTCTTGAGGCTATCCAAGGCAAGCTTCAGATGCATTCGCAGAGCTTCGTTTTCTGTCTGCAGTTGTCGGATCTTGCATTCGCTGACCATCTTGGTTTCCTCCATGAGACGCTGCATTTTCTCCACCTTCTGTTGGTATTCATCGAGCTTTTCGTCTTGGATCTGGCTCGCGCGCTGGTTTTCATTCGCTTGGCTGACGCTGAGCTGAAGAGCTCGAATGGTTTCCGTCATCTCCGCAATCTGCTGATCACGTTCAGCAGCTGATACGTGATCTTGGTTGACACGAGCACGAGTGCGAATATGCTTCGCCTGGTCTGCATAACGTAGGGTCGAGAGCGTCTCCTCATAGTCTGCTGGCGCAATGCATGCAATCATTGCGGTCTTGGAATTGCCACCCAGACTATCCTTCAGAAGCCATGTGAGAATGGAGTCCCGATACGGCACCAATTCCTTGCCTTTCCTGCCACCGCGAGTCTTCTTCGGGTCAGCCAGAGCCGCGATCACTCGGCCAAGTGTTGTCAGGGACTTATTGATATTCGATCCTTCACGTAGACGAGCACCTGTTGCTTCGGTCGATTTGGCGCGCTCCGAACCTGCGAGGTCGACCAACCGAATGCGAGCAGTGCGCTCCGTCGTTTCATCCGTAGACAGATCGTGGTGGATTTGTTTCAGTGTGATTGTAAAAACCGCGTGTGACCGTGAAGAGGTATCGTTCATCTTAGTGCTGGCTGTAGTTCGTGATACATCACCCTTGCGCATAAACTTCATCAACTCCGCATAATTCCTGGCCGTCACCTCTGTTAGGTCTTTTACATAAGGGCCTTCGGAAGGTGATTCACGAATGCGAAGGTAGTGCGGGGGATCCGTTCGAGGTACCAGGAGGTCTCGTACATGTTCGTTGTATACCTCGAAATAGGACACACGAACGTTGTAACTAATGTCGGGGGATGGCGATGACTCGATGCGCTGAAACAAGTCTTCACAAGTTCGAGGGATCAATCCCGGCTGTTCTGGAGTGCCCATCATGGTGTAACTCTTTCCAGACCCGGTCTGTCCGTAGGCGAAAATGCAGGTATGGTAGCCCTCGAAGTTGTGGTCCAGGAACTCCTCACCAAGCGCGTTGTACACGTCCTCCTGATGGGCGTAATGGTCATCCTCTTCGTCGTGCGACCAGAAGGAATTATCGAATGTGAAGGACTTATCTTCGAGGACTTTGCCGCGGGCCTGGGATTTCGGTTTGCCTCGATCGTAGGGACTCCGCTTCGGTGCTTGCAGGCGCGTCATTTGCGTGTGGGGATCCATCGAGATCAGACATTCAGTCTGATTTTGAATTTCTATTGATCATTGTCAGCGATAAGTCTTCAGACCTTGGTTATGCTCATGCTCATGCGCGCCTTTTCGGCTCACTCGAGCGCATCGCATTCGGCAGCGTACCTCTGGGGAGAAACTTCCGAACTCGCACCACGACGCGCACATTTCCTCCGGGTGATGGACTGCCGACTCCATCCTGGCGCGCGATCTGAGCGGGCACTCCTTCTCGAGCGCGAAGAGAGGGGCTGGAAGCAGTGGATCGGAGAGTCGCGGCGGATGCGGAGGTTGAGATGATACTGGGCGACGTGATTCCTGTGGCGGCCGATAGTTCGGAGGAAGAGGCGGATGAGACCGAGCCAGGGCCGACCTGGTCGATGTGGCTGAAGAAGCGCGGATCCAGCGCCATTTCCCTGCTGCGATCCCTCAATAACTGAACACACGTGTTGACGGCCTCGCGTCGTCTTTCGTTGAGATGATGGTACATGCAATGAATCGGGTAAAGAAAAGGTGGGGAATGAATGTCGAGGGGTGGGGGTATGAGGTGAGGGAGAGAAAGAATGAAAGGGAGGTCGGTACAGTTGTGCGTTGTTTCCTTGAAGGTTGCCAGCGTTGGCAGTTTCAAGTCCAGTACGGCGGTTCCAGCTTCCAGTTGGGGCCCCGCGTTGTAAACAATGGATCAGACCGCGGGCATGTCGCGGTCGCAATGCAAGAAAGAAAAAAGGGCAAAAGAGAGGATGAGTTCGAGAACAGACAAATAAAAGCCAAGGCGATGATTATTTGCAATGCTTGAATACAGGCTTGGAAGATGAGAGCTTGGGGTACGCGGTGGCCGCGGCGTGTTGGCGGTTGCCACGGCAATGCCCAACTAGTTCAATATTTGTAGTCTAGCCACTGGAAGTATACAAGAGCTCCACTTAATCGTTCATTGGATTTCCGAGTGAGTGTAACAATCTGAAAAGCACTTCAATGTGGACAGTTACATTTGTGTTTTTTGCCATTTTTTCTCCACCTAATCAAAGTCCGCGGTCTCGGCACTCATCGCCTCAAACACATCGACATCGTCGTCAAAGACGTCCTTCTTGCCCTTCATGCCACCACCGCTCACGGGGTCAGGCACAAGGTGGCCCTGCGCATCCATGTGGCTACTCAGTGATTGTGTGGGGCCCCAGTTGGACTCATCCTGCTTCTGGTCGGACTGCGTCTGCGATTGCAGTGGCTTGGCTGCAAACTTGGGGTCGGTGCTTCCGGGGAAGCGCAGGATATTTTCACTTTTCGTGTTCGAAGACATATTGGTTCTCTTATCTAGTTTACCGGAGATCCAAGGTTAACACAACAAAGCTTGACTTCTCAAATGTGAACGATCAACTCCAACTGCCGCCTCCTCCACTCCTCTCCAGCATGGGCGGGTAGAAGGGATGAAGCAGGGAAGGCATACCGAGTGTTCGAGGTTGCTGTTGGTCAAGATTTCATCTGTTTGTAGTCTGTACTAACTATGAAATTCTATGGGTGTCTCCTCCATATTTATGGGGGAAAGGTGTGGGGGAGGGTGGCGGAGGCCATGCGATGACCCGACGATGACGACGACATTTACCACCACCATGGTCGCTTCTCCGCACTCGCCATTGGGATATTTGCATCAGTGCCACCGATTCTCTTTCTTTCTCGAAGCTGGTCTAGAGCTGGTTAGCCAGTCAATACGAGGACAGGAGCTGTCGTCGATTGTGGTTGGGTTGTGAACAATCCATGGGCTCGGGTCGACAAACCTAATGAAAACAATACTCGCCACAAAGCTCTCGTGTTTGGTCCTGACTCGGTAACCAAACGCATGATGTCCGATTCTGGCAAGCACCTGGTGGCGAGTGTAGCTCGAAAGCAGCCTTTCTATCGCCGGAACGATCCGGCCAGGTTTGAGATATATTTTGAGGGGTCTAGTGATGATATCAACAGCATCATGCAGGGAGCTTCGGAGAAAACATGAAACAGCCCAAGACCTATCACAAGAAAAACCCAATTTGCAATGAAATTTATGTGTCAACTATTTGACAAGTGGATTTCGGAGATGCCTTTGGTGTAACCCTTTACCTCAAATATGATATGCTTGTGTGCTAAGACGGAAACCACCTTGAGACATGCACGAGTCGCGAACCAACTGCCTAGGCAAATTTCCAAAAAAAATAGAACGGCAAATTTCAAAAAAAAATTAGAACAGATAAAGAATACGAGATGGATGAAAAGTATAAGATGAAAAAAGATAGGAAAATAGTAAACATAAGGTATATGTAACATGAGACAAATGAGACATGGGGTGAATGTGAAATAAGACGAATGCATAGTTTGTAGCTTCCTTATTGCTCGACCAAAACCGCCCCTACAACCCTGCAGTGCTGTTGGGTTTTATGGGAACCCCGCTGCTGTCATTAACTCCTCAAACCTGAAAACCATGAGCGACCGCTGCACCACAGGCTTTTGCTGAGATGGAAATCCCAAGGGTCGGGAAACAACAGTTGCCAGTAATGCCACCTACATGATAGGATCGAACAGCGACGTCGCTATCTTGGTGATCCACGACTTGTTCGGATGGACCTTCCCCAACATCCGTCTGCTGGCCGATGCGTATGCAGAGGAGGTCAACGCCACAGTCTATGTGCCAGACTTGTAAGACTTACAACAAAAAGAATAGCATCCTCCATGACTAACGCCACCTCCAGCTTTGGCGGGGAAGTCCTCCCATCCGATATCCTGAGCAAGAACCCCTCCGAATGGGGCTCACTGGATCTACCAGCTTTCACCGCACGCAACAGCAAAGATATCCGGAAAGCCTGAAATAGTCGCCTTTGCACAAAACTTACGCGAGAAGTATAAACACGTCGGAGCAATCGGGTTTTGCTATGGTGGCTGGGCAGTTTTTCGCATGGGGGATAAAGCCAAGAATGGACTGGTAGATTGCATCTCAACTGCGCATCCATCGTGACTTACTCGAAGTGAGATCGAATGTATTGGTGTTCCTGTGCAGACCTTGGCGCCTGAGATTGAACCCATATTTACTCCCGAGTTGACAGAATTCAGTAACCGGGTGATTCCTTCTCTGGAAGTGGCGTACGATTACCAGCACTTCCCCGGGCTCGAGCATGCTTTCGCAGTTCGGGAAAATCGCGCCAACGAGGCGGAGATGAAGGGATTGGTGAGAGCGAAGGATGCGGCTGTGTATTGATTTAAGCAGTGGTTACGTTAAGTGGAGAGGAAGAGGATCGGCATTGTTTGAATAGTGCAGACTTAGAGCAGTGTGTTAAACTAGTTCAGACATGACGTAGTCGACTGATGCATCGAGAATGGTATTATGTTGCTTTTCATCCCTAACTGATGTTGATCATTCTGGAAAGACTCACTGTTTTTAAAAAACCGCATCAGAGAAAGACTGTTCATTTCACATAGTAGATTTGTAAGAGTAGATTCGTAAACTCGCGCCGAGGAAAGCGACTGCAGAAAAGAGCCGAATGCAATGGCACATGTATTAGAGTAGCTAGTAATCGGGCCTGGCGGATGTACGAATGTACTTGGGATGAACAAGCTCAAACCGAGCTGGTTATTTCTCAGCGCAACCTTAGTGCCCGAAGAAAGTGTTGGTACGTCAGTATCCAACCGTGCACTATACAATATTGGTAAATGCGCAAGAACAGTTCTGATTCGACATCTAATTCATCTGAACCCGTTGCCGAATCGTGAAATTACTCCAAATCCAATTTCCTACATATACTGAATCTGCCATTGCGACCATGTCGTCTATGAAGGTCGCTGTTGCCGGAGCTAGCGGTGCTGCTGGGATCCCTATTATCCAGGAGCTCCTCGCCGCCGGCCACTTTGTCATAGCCTTGACTCGAGTTGGAAGTCCAGGCTCCAGGCTCCCCAAACATCCACACCTGGGTATTGCCGAGGTTGATTACGACTCTATTTCTTCGCTCACAGAGACCCTCAAAGGCCACACAGCCGTTGTGGCCTGTGGCCTGCTTTTGTGTCGCCGATCGGCAGCCAGGATAATCTCATCGATGCCTCCATTGCCGCAGGAGTGACTCGGTTCTTCCCAGCGAAATTCGGCACAGACACGGATAACCCCAAGGCTGCACAACTCCCGGTATTCGCGAACAAGATCCACGCTTTCGATTACCTCAAGGACAAAGTCGCCGCGAACCCAGAATTCAGCTATACCGCTTTCTGCCCCGGGATGTTTCTCGACTGGGGGTTGGAACATGGCTTCTTGGTCGATCGAAAACACACTGCCACTGTGTATGATGGCGGCGGCCTTCCCTTCAGCACGACAACCTTGCCGACCATCAGCAACGCGGTTGTTAGCATTCGTTCTCAGCTTGAGGAGACCAAAAACCGGCACGTGTATATTCACGATGCGCTGGTAACTCAAAATCAGCTCATCGCCATCGCCAAGAAAATCGATGGGAAGGAATGGGACCTCACCCACACCACCACTGCTTCTACGGAAACCAGTGCGTATGAGGAGCTCCAGAAGGGCCAGCAGGACATCGCGAAGAAAATCTTCCCGCGCTGCACCTCTTCATCCTGGCTGAGGGATACGGCGGAGACTTTTCAGGCCGTCTAGACAATGAGCTTCGCGGCATCAAGGGTATGGACGAAAACGAGCTTGCCAGTGTGATGAGAAAATACCTGTGAATTCATTAGGAACAAGTTTTGGAAAGACTTTACGCTGAAAAATTCTGGCCCCGATAACTCTCAGTGCCGGTGGGGAAGGGACGAGAAGAATATGCCAAGGAAGTAGATATGTCGAGCAGGGCCTATCCCACGCCAGCAATTGACAATCGTATCCGCAACAAGATTCCGACCCCGTGAAAGTGGCAGCTGGACCGAGAATTCCACCGACCCTCTTGCCTCGCAGGGGCCGGCGTAGTCCATCAATAACGTCTGTTTATCAATCATTGATCTTCGCAGGGACAACAGCACTTGCACGGGGCGGACCGGCATTGGAATGTGGCAACGGGCGAGGGCCTGTTGCAAGGACATCAGATAACTGTCTTTAACTTTCTTATTGTTTCCGGTAAGGGGTCCAGTGTCTGCACGACAGATGGCGATTTTTAAGGTATGCGCGGTTAGCGAGGTGAAGCCTCAGTGGCATTTCCGAGCAGGCGATCCCTACCTGTACGGGACGGGCTAGAACGGATCGGTTTATTTCGATGCTGCTCTGGAATTTAAGGGCTTGCGTTAGGTTTCATGATTTCTGGGGAAATGGAGGGGGATGGGCATATTTGGGATTGACTCCGGCGCAGTGTGCACCTCAAGTACCCTGTGTACTTAAAGTGAATCATACCCCAGATGTAGTAGGTTTCGAGAGTGCTTGAACATCCTGTGGAGTAAATACACTGCACCTTTTTTTTTTTTTTTTTTTTCATATTGCTTAATAGACGACACTCCATTTCCATTCGTCCCTTGAGAGTGCACCCACCATGACTTTACAATTCCCCATCATCTCCTTCGACTATTTCCAACTAAGCCCTGCAAAACGATTTCTCGCCTTGACCAGACACCCCGGTTTCCTGGATTCCGAATTAATCGACAACATCTTCCGTGACCTCAAGCCGATCCACCCTGATCGGTTGATTGGGGAATGGGACGGCTTCGTCCTGTCAACGAGTCATCCATTCCAGAAAGAGCTCGAAGAGTTGAACTGGCTCGGCAACACATTTGATTCTACCGAGGATGTAGCTCCGCTCATAGTCGCGAAAAACGGAAATCGAGTACGTTTTGACGATTGGGGAAGTGCTTTGGTGCGTATCCATCTGATAGTTGGCATTTTCCTTCGGCTAAAGCACGCTGACTCTTGTTGCTTTCTAGCTACGTGAAATGAAATATCAAGGTGTCGTTTCCGCTGCTCTGGTTTACGACGAACGGCCCGTCATCGTCCATTATCGAGCTGTACGATCAAACCTAGTTGCAGGTGTCATGGAGAGCAAAAGCTTTGGTTCAGCAGGGAAATTCTTCTTTTATCTAACAAGGTGACGAATGTACATTAATACATATTTAGTAGGAGCTGCTCGAAGGTAAAGATGACTTGGACATACACACATAATGCATATCTCTTCACTCGTTGCGAGATTCAGCCTCTACTTCGCCCCCTTCCAAGTAGCAGTGACTTCATCGCAAACCTTCTCAATTTTATCCCACTCCAGACTACCCCATACTTGAGGCTGTTCAACTGACTCGGCAAACTGCTTCAAAGCAGTCACAGTCTGCGCCGCCCATCGCTCCTTACTCACCCTCCCAGCACCCGCAGCAAACGGCGTCATCAGAATAGTCTGAATCTTCTTATCCGATTTCCGGCGATTATGGCCCTCAATTTGACACAGTAGACTCCACGTGCATTCGTACACAACCTCGCGATCCCAGTTGACGTCGCTCGGTTCTCGCATCGTCGGACAGAGCGCCAGCCAGCGACATCCGCGCGGGTTAGTTGCGAGCGTCAGCCCCCACTCTACCAGCGTACACGATCCCGGCGGAGCAAATCCGCGCCATCGGTCGTAGAGCACGGCTTGCGCGGAGCGGGTCACGGCGTGGTAGTCGTCGTGCGGACTGAATGTTTTGGAAATGGCGTGGTCGAAGGCACCGTCGAGGCGACCGTATGAATTTGCCGGGGAGACGATGAGGTCGAAATTATAGCTCTCGGGGAGACTGTTGAGGCGCTCGTTGATTGTTGTGATCTTTACTTTGTCGGGAGTGTATGTGGGCCAGCGAGTGAGCATGGCCTCTTGGAACGCCTGGATGAAGGCCTTGTCCTGGCACAAGAGAAGGATGGCGGGGATGTTGGCCGTCATGTTGCGCGTCGACTCGAAGTTGGGTGTTGTTGTTGCGGCTGAAACTCGGCGGAGGTCGAAGCTTGGGGGTCTGGTCAGATCGTCACACGCTGGCCCGATCTTCTCTCCCCCACTTGCCAGCATTTACAAGCCACAGAAGTCTATTGCGGCCAAGGCTAAATTTTGAATTTCAGTTTATGGGATTGCTGCTTGAGTTGTAAGGATTTGAACCTCAGTCTGGCCGCCCTACATACAAATGGCCATCAAAATAGTCGCCCACAGTCATCTGAAAAAGTAGTCGCCTAACATCACCACTCCTAATCTTGTACCGTCGAGGAGGCTTTAACCAATGTATTGTATTTATATTAAACTCTTTGGTATTTTTGGTAATTTTTCGTCTGTCGGTGTTGGAGCGGCCATCAATCGAAAACAGGCATTAACACGAGCGAAAAAAGGAAAGTGAGCTCTGGCCATTACATCGCCCCATACCAAACATGTCGGTTGATGGTCAGAATTGAAACGACATCTGTGATCTACTTTTAAACAAAAAGAATGTCTTGCATTGCGGCTGGATAACCCACGTAGGTAAGCTCCTTGTGTGACAACTCAAACTTCTGGGCTATCACAGCCATCCATGCGGTTGAATGCTTTTCGTACTTCCTCCTGCCAATCAGTCAAGGAGACGATCATCCACTCTAAAAGCCCTGCACACCAGAGTGCCAAGCAGTTGCCCATCCAGAGACCTGCGAGTCCCCAGCCATGGAAGGCAAGATAGATACCCAGCGGGAGGGCAAAGCAGTAGTAGCTGATGATGTTGACAGCGGCACCTAAATGCTGTCGTCCCATGCCTCGGAGAGTACCACCACAGCTTCCATTGATTCCGTCCGCAATTTGAAACAAGGCCACAAAGGGCATGATCTTCGAAGTCAATTCCACCACCCTCGGATCATCATTGAAGATCTTGGCAAAATGGTTTCGTGAGCCCATGAGAATAGCCAAGACGATGATGCCAAATGAGACAGAGAGAAGGGCAGACATATGAGCTGTGTAGTAAACACCTCTTGCGTCACGTTTCCCTAGTTTATTGCCGACTCTGGATGAAGTGGCGACGCCAAGACCGAAGGGTATGGTGTTGAGGATTTGGTCGGCAGTCATAATGACACTCTGAGCAGCCAAGGAGATCCTTCCTAGATTGCCGGCTACAAGAGCGACGATTTCAAATGCCCACCACTCAGTTCCGATGTGGAGGATACCCAGGAGAGCCAGCCTGGCGAAAGTCCCTAAGTTTTGGAAGGCTGATCGAGACCATCCTCCCCAGCATTCAGACCCGTCGACGAAGCGGCTGTACAGAACAAGAAGTATGAATGATACCCAGTAGGATATACTGGCCGCGATAGGGGCCCCGAGCATCCCAATCTTGAAGGTATAGCAAAAAAGGTAGCATAATCCAGCATTGAGAGGGGAGGTAATAGCAAGGACATAGGTTCCAGCTCTCATTATGCCTAATATTGTATTTTAGTCAGGCTTCGATAAAGAGTAAGGCTTCAATAAAGATTAGAATCAAGTCCTGTTCATACCTTGTGCTTGAAGGTACTTTTTCATGACTTCAAAATAGATATAGCCGAGTCCGCCAGGGATGAGAACAGTCAAAAACCGAGAGCTTTGGTAGGATAGCTCAGGATCCTGTCCCAATGCCCGAAATATAGGATCCGAATAGGTCCAGACAAGAGCAACCGGGATGTAGTAGAGGCCCAGAATAAAGAAGGCGCGTTGCAGGAGGACCCCGGGGGCATGTTTATCCACACTACCGGTAAAAGTGGACGAGGCAAGAGTATCCAAAGCCGTGGTTCCCCCGAGCGCAATAATTCCTCCCGTGGCCATCGCAAACATCAGAGAAAATGCGCTCGTCGCGAGGTTCTCTGGAGATGACCGACCGACGACAATCACAGTGACAGTTTGTAGACTCATTTGGAGCATATAAGCCACGATGACAGGCACGGCATCCTGCAACAGCTTCCAGAACTCGACTAGAACTGGTTTAGGCTCCGCGATCCCACTTATCTCATCGTCGTGCCCGCCATCTGGTGTCCGTCTCCGGAGAGAGTTGGGAAGAAGCGTGGTGTATTCGTCTGGGGGCGAGTCATCAGGACCGAATCTGCTGTCGCCGTTGCCGGAGACCGCTTTGCTATCCACATAGTCCATTTTTTGCCCTTGAATATGAAAAAAGCGCGATCGAACCGGGGAAGGAGGGATAAGGAGGGAAATTTGAGTTGGGTTGCAGAGGACTACAGGTCACAAAATGTTCACGCACTGTAGTCCATGCCCACAATAAGAGCCTGCTGCGTGATCTGGTCGGGATAGAGAGCTGGATGGAATACTGTGAATCGATCAGTCTTGGAGTTTCAGTGTAGCATCGCCTTCTAAATGCCTCTGCTGGGATCGACCACAGGGATCAGCAGTGGGGAGATCTCGATGTGTGGCAAAAGTTCAGCTCGAACTGCAGCATGGTGGATGCCTCGTGCATCGATACATCGACTTTTGCAGCCTCCTTGCCTATCACGCCATGGAAGCTTCTGCTTCGTGCTTGATAGCCAATTTCGAAGCTGAGAAGACCCCTGTTCTGATCTTTGTGGGAAAGAGTCCATCGCAATCTGACAATTTCGAGGGTGCAGAAGATGGTGTGTTGTCCCGCAGGAACGAGGAAAAGCAAAGTAGGAGCCAAAAACACGCAATAGCTTCGTCGATCTTAGGGCCGCAGACGCTTCCCCACTCCTGCGGGGTTTGGCATTCCGTCTGCAAGCCGCTCTCCAAGCTCCAGATGGTGGTGGATAGCGCGCCCTCAATTTTGCCCGCAATAACCCTCAACGATCTCTGTGGCAGGCGCGACCTCTTGTTCCTTGCGTGCGTATCCTTGCTTCGAAAAGCTCCATTCCGATCGGCGGCGATGATACATACCGAAATTCGAAGTGACAGGTGGATCGAGGCTTGACAAAATTGGATCGGCTTATCTTTTCAGATGGTCTTCCCCCGAGATGGATCGGCGTTTGTGCACGAACGACATTCCGCCCTGTCAAGAATGGAAGGAATGCTTCCAAGTGCCGGGAAGAGCAATACACTCTCGGCCAAACAATATCCCTCGACTCGAGCAACCACGTGGCGTACGCCATGGCGCATGGACGATGTGCTTAATTCGGGTTGGTAATACGGAATGCGATGTGATGGCAGCAGTTCCACGGCCCGAATCAAAGCTTCGCCCACCCATCCCATACTATTGCCACCGGTAGTGTCAGATACTAGTATGTAAATTGTGCGGATAGTCAGAGTTATCTTAAGGATATACGACACACACATTGAGTTCAATGATGAGCTGGATGAATGTGTTGTTTTCAAGCCTGCATTGGACAAAACAATGCCTTTAGAACCATTCGACCTGGCTGAGTGTTAGGATTCTACTGTCATGCTGCTTTTTCAGTCTCTGTTTCTGTTCGAGCCCTGGAGGGTTCTAGTGTGGCAAGGCTGATACTAAGATTTCATTGCTAGTCAGTTTGGTTATGCATATTTTTCAGTACAAACATAGTGTTTATTGTGTCATTCCAAAATATTTCTATTTGTTCTGTTTATATTTCTGCTCTTGAGAGGTGTTGACATCGTGATGATATTAACTGGCAAACACATTCTAAATGTTTCTTACAGGTGACGGGCTGGTTGATTCATATATTATCATACACTAGGGCAGCTAAGTCCTCTGGGGGCGTGGGTGTGTAACAGGTACGACAATGATCGAAGGCGTGCCAGTATACCCGGGATATGGTGACTCTATGTAGCGCGGCGCGCTGATGGATATTCACTGGGGAGGGTTGCCGGGTTGCCAATTGACGGCTCTAATCAACAGGAATTCATGGATATCAGGCTTTCGATGGAAACTTAGGCTAGGTACTTCAAGCTGAAGGTTGTGGGGAAGTGGGAATCATTGATGTGTGCCTTGGAAGGGTGTCGGGTTAGATGTTCCAAATGACGTCTCGGTTGTCGTAAACATGAAAGTCGCTGTTCTTAGGAAGGTACGATGCAGCACGCCTCCCGGCAACAACACATCTGGGTCGCTCCTTCCCAACGTTCTGCCTGGCGGTGGTGTCGCGTCCACAACCAAAACAAAGTCACTGCATCTTGGGAAACTTCTTCTTGTTAACACTCCGAGAGTCGCGTCTGCTTCGACAAATTTCCTTTTCGTGGCATCCAGTGTTTTTCCATCTTCATCCTGCACCGTATCTTTTAAACACCAAAAGCTTCAAAGATGCAAACCACAACTACCGTTCGTGCCATCCTTCCACTCAGATTGTTGATGATACTGACTCGCGAGAAACAGACCACCTCTATCGACCACCTCCTCCGTCCCGCCCAGTTTGACTGGGCGGATGACGTCGAGGAGGAACTGAGCATGAAGCGTGACAACTTTGATTGGGCCGAAGAAGTTGAGCAACAGCTGGCTCAGGACATGGCGTTCGACAATGTGAGTCCCTCCTTCCCTATTGGTGCTTATTTATTGCAATTGTTAACATGCTCTTGACCGCATAGGCGAGCAACGACCAGGTCATCACTGGCTCGGACGATGATGACTATACAAACTACTCAGACTACACTGAGTACAGCGATGACCTCGAAGAGTCTTTCGCCCCCGCTGAGGAGGACTTCGGTGGCACCGCGGCCTACGGTAGCAGCCAAGACTATTACTGCGAAACCGAGGCGGCGGTGCTGAACCGACTCGAAGGGCTGCAGGAGGATCCCGAGCGCCTCCTGCCTGTCCTCCTGTTGGAGGTCCGAAGTCCTCCTGGGGGAGAAGACCTTCGGAAGCTGGCCCTGCGTAAGAGGACTCACCAGCACATCGACCCCGATACTTGGTCGATGGCGTATGAGCTGAGCGCATTCAGTTTCGACGACGAGGAGAAGGGGCCCGGATATTCTGAACCACGAAAACTGACGTGGAAACCTTCGGTTTCCTCGTTGCGGCGTCAGGCTTTTGTTGATGAGGATGAGTCCCGAGGTGCGGAATCCCCCGATGAGAGTACTCAACTTGATGCGGAGAGCTCGCCTGATCCCCAGGATGTGGATCTGGAGTCCTCTCACACAGAGGACGGTATAGTACTCGAACTGAGGGACCGCGACACCACCATCATGTGGGCCTCCGTTCTGCCAAAGGCAGAGCGTTCTCTTTCTCCGCCAGCTGAAAAGGGTCAACGGTCGGTCCGTGGCAAGCTGCTCAAGATCTGGAAGCGCCTGACGAAGCCGGTTGACAATAAGTTGCGGAAAAAGCACCCTCCGTGGTGGGGGCCTCGTTGGGGGCCGTGACCTCCGCAACTTAGTCATCCGGTCCTTCGCCAGGCCGTCTTCCACCTTGCTGCGGACAGCTAGTAGTTGTCCACGCCATGTCCAGCCTCGCGAAATCAAACATCACAATTATCCACCCCGATCTAGGCATCGGTGGTGCGGAGCGTCTCATAATCGACGTAGCGCTCGCCCTCCAAAACCGTGGCCACCGGGTCACCATCTACACATCTCATTGCGACAGAAAACATTGCTTCGAGGAAGCGCGCGATGGCACCCTCGACGTGCGCGTTCGCGGGAACACAATTTTTCCAGCGCATGTGTTTGGACGCTTGCACATTCTTATGGCATCGTTACGCCAACTCCATCTAACGGCATCTTTACTTTCGGAGCTTGGGTCAGGAGATGATTCCAAGCGGGACGATATCTTCATTGTCGATCAACTGCCCGCATGCCTTCCCATTTTGAAGACCTTCAGCCAGCTCGGGAACTCTCGTACTCGGCGTATTCTCTTTTACTGCCATTTCCCGGACCAATTGCTCGCACGACGCGACGAAGGCGGCTCGCTTCTCCGCCTTGCTAAGCTCTGTTATCGGATCCCTTTTGACTATTTCGAAGGATGGGCGCTCAGCGCGTCGGACCGTGTTGTCGCGAATTCGAATTTCTCGCGAGGAGTTGTCCGGGACGTGTTCGGGCCGGACAAGCTGGGGGACATCGAGGTTGTCTACCCTTGCGTCGATACAGATGTAAAGGCCGCGCCAGCAAAGACAGACGATGATCCACTCTGGGGAGGAAAGAAGATTTTGCTCAGCATCAATCGCTTTGAGCGTAAGAAAGATATGGCTCTCGCCATCCGTGCGTATCATGGACTGGGCCAGGAAAAGAGGAAGGGGACGCGATTGGTAGTTGCTGGCGGCTACGACAATCGTGTCCAAGAAAACGTCCAATACCACCAAGAGCTTGAAGATCTTGCAACAGGACTCGGCTTGGAGACCGCAACCTCCAAGACCGTTGTCTCTGCCCTGTCGATTCCTGACCATATCGATGTGCTCTTTCTTCTGTCTGTGCCAACGGCATTTAAGGACACACTCCTCGCACAAGCAAAGCTTCTTCTTTACACTCCCGTCAACGAGCACTTTGGCATCGTACCGGTCGAGGCGATGCATGCAGGCCTTCCCGTACTAGCCTCAAATACGGGCGGCCCGTTGGAAAGTATTGTCGAGGGTATTACAGGCTGGCTCCGAGATGCAACTGAGATTGAAGAGTGGACGAAAGTTATGGACAAGGTCCTCTATGACATGAGCGAAGACGAAACGGCAAAGATGGCAAGGGCAGGCAAAGAGAGAACTGAAAAAGAATTTTCTCTCACTGCCATGGGCAACCGATTGGAAAGTGAGATCTCGGTGATGTTGTCGGCGGAGAGTCGTCCTTTCCGCGGATGGCAACAGGTATGGGTCGTGCTTGCGCTGCTCGGGGCGCTCCTTGCCGTGACAGTCGCCGTTTTGCTCCGAATTGTGTAACTACCGTTTTGACTACCCGCTTATTTCTTCACGGGTAAACCTCACTTCATTCCTCCTCGACACCGACCACATTTTTTTTCTACCTACACAATTGTGTTGCTGTCTTCCTGTGAGATCGTCGGCTGTCAATCGGCGATAAGGTCACCTGACTTCGTGACGTCGCGTTAACTCCGCGTTGTCCACTTTCTCTCCCGGACATATACCACCATGCCAGATGTCATCGACTTGATCTCCTCAGACCCCCCACTGCCCGAAAAATTGCGCCCTCAAAATGAGCACCAAGCGACGCGTCAAATCCCCCCACGAGGCCCTCACAACTTAACCACGGTGTCATCGGACTCCATCGACGTTTCGTTGTTTGACTACGACAGCTTTGACAAGCCAGCAAAGAAGCGGCGAGTCAGCGACGAGAAGCGATCGCCCCTCAGACAGACCACAACGGCACCTGAACCAACGATCCCCGACCGAATTCCGCCTTTCTTGTTTTCCGATGACGATCCTCACCTGCCGCCCGCAAATCTTGCGACGCGACGACGACCGGGACGCGACGTGGAGGATTCGGATCCCATTGTGTGGGACTCCTCTCAGCCCACATCCAAATCGAAACCTCCGGAGCGACCACATGACCCCATTCGCGAGTTTTCGGATACCATTACCTTGGACGATGGCGATGATGATCTCGTCAACACGACTACAAAATATGCCCCGGGTCGAGCGAGACAGGAGAAAATAGACGAATTTAGTGATCCATTTTCGCTTCCCGACCTCGCGGATGTCATCGAGGTATCGCACACGGAAACACCCATGTCAAGTGGATTATTTTCCAGCAAAACCGCCGGACTGTTGTCTAGCCTAAACGCTACAGGAAAGGGCAGCAGAAGTCGCTCTCAAGCGAAACCAGGCGCAAGATCCCGATCACACCAGGATGTCGATCTAGGTCCTTTCCATCTTTCTGATGATATGGATGAGCCGGCTCCACCGAAACGAGCCCCCAAAAAGTCAGCCAAGCTTTCAACGGAAGAAAAGGAGGCCAAAGCAAAGGCCAGAGTGGAGGCTAAGGCTCAGCGCGAACAAGAACGCCAAGCAGAAAGAAACCGAAAGCAGCAGCTCAAAGAAGAAAAGGCCAAAAAGAAGCAATTGGAGGCAGACATTGCGGAAGTCAACAAGCTGAAAGTGGATAAGAAGGATTCTACGCCCGAAATGATCATTGATATGGCATCATCGTTTGAGGGAGGCGCTATAGCCAATCAGACTGTTGAGTTTATGAAACGCCTTGGGGTTGATCATCATTTCTTCACCAGCCCCATTCCAAATGTGGTCAAATGGCGCCGAAAGTTGAACGCTCGATACAACGAAGAAGCGGGTCATTGGGAGCCATGTCCGTTCCATATTCAGAATGAGAAGCATATTCTGTGTTCGGTGTCTGCACAGGACTTTGTGGACATGGTGATCCCATCCCGGGATGACGAGGAGAAAGAAGCTCTGGAATTCCATATTCTCAGACTGAAGAGAGCCCATCCGGACTGTGCCGTGATCTATCTCATTGAGGGACTTACGAGTTGGATGCGCAAGAATCGAAATTCACGAAACCGGGCGTACCAAGCAGAGGTGTTACGCCAATATGAGCCAGCCAGCACTGAGACATCGACCACGTCGTCTCGTGGTCAGAAAAAGAAAAACAAGCCAGAGACCACCCCACCGGTCAACGACGATACGATTGAGGATGCCCTATTGGAATTACAGGTCGCTCATGCGTGTCTCATTCATCATACAAACACTGCTGCCGAAACTGCTGAATGGATTAAAAATTTCACCGAAAATATTTCCACGATTCCATACCGACGTCAACAATCTGAAGGAAATGATGCTGCATTCTGCATGGACGTCGGACAGGTCAAGACAGGCGACGATAAACAAGACACATTTGTCAAAATGCTCCAAGAAGTGAATCGCGTCACTGCTTCGATGGCATACGGTATTGCGACGCAGTACCCCTGCGTAACCGACCTGGTCAAGGGCATGCGCACGCATGGGCCCACGATGCTGCAAGATGTTAGGGTATGTTACCTCTTTTCTTCGAGTTTCCCTGCACCCTTTACACTCCAACTCCACTCCAGTCCCCACGCGGGCCAGTATCCCTTTAATTTGCATATCACTAATGGCTCTAGAAATCTGCCAACAAGAACGGAGGCCTGGCAGACTCCCGCGTCGGTCCCGCAGCCAGCAAGCGATTGTACAAAGTTTTTACCGGACTAGATCCCACGTCAACGGACGTCTAGTGTCGGGGCGAGGGTTCGGCCTCGCTTGGATATGGATTTGCTCGACACTTTGGGGGGGTTATAGATAGTTTTGTTTTTCTGGACTCGTCCTTTGAGCATGATGAATATCAATGACAACTTCACTTTCCGGATTTCTTGCTTTTCCCACTTCCCCACCAATCCTTCGTTCTCATTACTGCTATCGCAAACCTGGACGTAATTGTGGTGCCTGCCTGGCTGGATCATCCGAGTCCTCATTGTGGAGCCGAGACCCAGTTTCGTCATTAGCGCCGGTGTTATCTGCCGAGCAATCGGCACCAAATCTCCTGGCAAAGCTTAGCCCCCCCCCGGGGCTTGCATGTACTAAGGCTGGCCCTAGTGCCGCTCCTCCCACGGGAAAATTGCGCCGATCTCGTTTCTTGCGTAGAGCACGTATTCCGATGGAGAACCTGGAATCCTCCAACCTTCAGCCAGTCACATACGAAAAGGGACCGTTGTTGCTCTTGGGCTATTACTACGTTTTCACCCGTCCACCCGCTCATGATCAGATTTTATCTGATTGATTTGATTCGATTGATTTGATCGATTTGATTGATAAATCGCCACCGCAACCTTCATTTTTCGAAGATTCCGGTCCTTTCTTCTCATTTATGCAAGTGTCAATATGCTACTCGAGAGGCGGGCTGTGAGCCCCATGCTGCTATTTTCAACTAGCCTGTTGGCTGTCTCGGCCTACAACTATGGCTTCAGTGACCAGGCCTTTGCCTCGTGCCAGGCAATGGACTCGTTTACCCGCCAATTTGGTGTCTACAGCGAAAGCAAGGACGAGTGGAAATTAGAACCTCTTTTCACGTCTCTATATAACTGTCTCAAGGCTGGTGGTCAAATCATCGGTGGGTCGCACCCTCGAAAGGCCCGGTTTGAGCAAAAGTTTGGATGCTAATTTCTCGTCTTTTCCAGGCGTTTTTTTGGTGGATGAGTGAGCAACACATATGGACGTCGAATGTGTATCTTCGTTATGAGCATCTATGCACTGGGCAGTGCTTCGGTTGTGATCAGCTCTCAGACCCGGGCACAGATTCAGACGGGGCGAGCTTTACACTGTAATGATTCCGACTCCACCTTGGTCGATACGATTGAAGCTGACTATTTCATCTGAAGATGTCTATCTCGGCATGCAACTAGCTGTCATCCCAACAACTCTCTCCGAACTTGCCCCAGCCAAGAACCGCGGTGGAGTGGGTGTACAATACTGGCTTGCTATCAAGGTTGGAGGACTCGTCGTGACCTCCATCACACGAGGGACGGAAAAAATCGAAACAAATGCAGCATGGCGAATTCCAGTCGGGCTGCTGCTCATTGCCCCTGCAATTGTGCCTGGTGTGGTTCATGGCCGAATCACCACGTTGGCTACTTCTGCGAGGACGTGAACCGGAAGCTTTACAAGCTCTCACTCATTTCAAGCCGAAAAATACACCCGATGAAGATATACGGGCCGAATTCGACGTCCTGTCTTTGAAGGTTTCCGAGCAGCTTCAGAAGAAAAGCTTCAGCGACCTGTTTACCAAAACCAATCGTTTACGTACATTCGTCGTTGTGTTATCCAATTTTTTCCAGCAGGCTACCGGTCAGGCATTTGCCTCGCAATATGGTACGCTTTTTGTCAAGCAGTTAATGTCAATTGACCCATTCAGTGTTAATTTGGGTACAAATGCTGTTGATATCGGCGCCATCATTATTTTGGCGTGCTTGATTGTTGTGATCGGTCGCAGGTAAGAGATTGACCCATTCATCCTTCGGGATCGGCCAGTCTTGAGACTAACTGAACATCAAGAACGCTATTCCATACTAGCTCAATCGTCCAAATGGGCTCTTTGATGACTATGGGCGGTCTTGGTACCGCGGAAGCTGGCAATGTGGCAGCTAAACAAGGAATTATTGCCATGCTGATGATATTCAGCTTCAGTTGGTCTCTCGGTTGGGCACCATTGACTTATGTTATTGGTGCCGAGCTACCTTCCTCTCCTCTGCGAGAAATGACCCTCCAAATTGCCTATTTCGTGAAACTGGTTACAGAGTATGTCATGACTTAGTTGCTGCTACATGGCTCCCCTTCTAACTATTGCTGATTTGCTGTGACTTTCTCGTACCCTTACATGGAGACAAATACACCGGAACATTTTTATCTCGGCGGGAAACTCGGATTCATCTATGGATCCATCTTGGCAGTGGCGATTCTATTTTCATATTATTTTATTCCAGAATCTCGTCGCCTGGAGCTGGAGGAGATTGATGCTCACTTTGATTCTCCAGCTAATGGGGAGTCTAAGATGGCGGAAGGCCAGACTGAGGAAGAAAGGTACACTGTGACTGAACTTGTTAAATAGATTTTCGAAAATTATTTTAGAAAAAATCAGCGTCATGGGTTATAGATAAACTTGGATTGGAGATCTGATTCCGAGCCGTTAAATGGGCTTGTATACCTTCCGTGGTAAAAAACCGAACATATGCAGTATGAACCCATGCAAATTTCTAGATGGACCGAAAGAAAACATAAAAAAAAATTCTATACGACGACTCCTCGGCGTTTCCATCCTCGCCAGGCAGCCAATAGAGCCACGACGGCAACCCAAACACTGACAGTACAACCCGTCGCCCAATAACCAAAACAACGCCAGCCATGGCACTGACCATCAGGTGATCCAGAGCCATCATTCAGCGCGTTTTGGTAGGCGCTGGAGTAAACCACACCCCAAAGTGCTGCACCAAGAGCAGGCATCATGGCAACGATACCCCAATTTGTGGCAAAGTTCTCAACCCCCCAGACGACGGAGATTAATATCGGAGTGAGAGAAAAGGCACTCCCATACCCAAATCCGACGAGGGCAGTGGTAAGGTGAAAAATGGACGGCTCTTTCAGGGGAATAGGAGTAGAGAGAATGAGGAATCCGAGAGAGAGCAAGAGTGCTGAAGGGAGGAGAAATGCCATTCGCGAGAGCGTTGGGCGTGATTCACCATCTGCGGCGGCCACAGATCGATGCCGGTGATCTTCTGGGATCGGAGGGAATAGATGTGTTGCTGCAGGTGCAAAGAAGTCGGACAAAGATCCGGTGAGCAACCGGGCAATTGTTGATGTCAATGCAATTGTGCTGACATGTGTTGATGGAAGGCCCGCGGGTGGAACAGATTCCGGTGCGTAGTTTCTGGGCGTAAGGGTTGGAATGACAGTACCAACCTGCCAGTGACTTGGTTAGGTCTCGAGCAGGAACCGAGGATGATTCAATATACTCACGTTGTTAATATAAGATTCGCCTGGACCCGTCACAAGGAAGAATCCAGCAGCCAGCCACCACATTGTTGGGTCCTGAAGAAAGATGCGTGTTTCATAGTTAAGAAGCCAATTCTTCTTGCGGCGTTCTTCTTCCTCGCGTTCTTTTTCGCGTCTTCTTTCTTCTCGCTCTTCTTCTGATAGTGTCATTGAGCCTTGCTCGCCAGCACCAGCGTTGAATGTGCCATATTCAACAGCAGATCTCACTTCGTTATGAGGTCGGAAGAAATCGCTCTCTTCAAGTAGACCGCTGCGCTCCAACTCTTCCACGGTCTCATCGATATATTTATCTTCTTCGTCGTCCACTATGCGTAGAGCAAATGTGCCGACGATCCCGATGACCAAGAGCATCACTCCTAGGAAGAGAAAATACCGAAAGACATCCACGTCGCCACAGTTGCCATCAGAATTTCGCTCGCAGAGAACATAAGATCCAATTTGGCTCTGCCACATTCCACTCAGGCCAAATGCAGCAATAGGCATGGCCAGCATAATTCCCTTATGCTTTCCGCGGCCATAGTTCTTTGCGCATGTCGCCACGGCAGCGAGATACATACAGCTTGTCCCCATACCGACGAGGATGAATGACACAACCATCACCCAGAATGGCAATCCTGTGCCTCCAATATCCTGTGGCGGGCCATTTCGATAGGTTATCGCAGCGAGAAGATAACCCAGACCAAACACAAATCCAGATCCCAAGGCCAAAGGCGATGGACTATATCGATCGCATAGGAATCCGAACAGAGGGACAGGGAGATACATCGCAATCTCGGCTGCGATGGAGACCGCGTTGACCTGGAGTTGGGAGTAGTGAAGTCGGGTAAGAAATAGATGTCCGTAAAGAGAAAATGCGGTGATGCTCCCTGCGCCTAGGCTATAAAGAAGGGGGTCAGCGTCAAACAAACCAACTTGAAGCTTCGGAGATATCAAGGCTATGTCCTACCAGGTTATTATCCCCCAGACGAAGCTCGTCACCCGCACTGCTTCTTTATGCATCTTCTGACGGTCGCGCTCGACAATGCCCTCAACAACATTACTCAGTAGGCCATCATTACTGGCAGAGCCCTGGCTGGCACCTGAAGCTCGAGAACGGTGCGACACTGTTCGCGAATGTCTATTCCAAGGGCATTGCTGTCCGTGTTCACTCTCGTGTCCATCTTGAAGCAATGGCCGGTTCGCATCGAAGTCCCGCTTATCGATGCCCGGATCGGCGTGGCCGTCGGAGGTCGCCATCGTCGTGCGCACCGCGCGATCGGTGGTGCGTGGTCTATGTCTCTCGCTCAGCGAAGGGGTATCGGGGTGTTGAAACTGAAGCTTTGGGAGGTGTCGTTCGGCAAGATTGAATCGCGGCCTGACTCACGGCCTGGCGGGGCCCCGGAGGTTCCTCGGCCGCGGCAGCTCTCTCCGCAGGAAGCTCGAATGATAAGCGGTCGGGTCAGGTGGGTGGATCATTTATGTGCTGTCGTGACTCCACCCCGCCTCATTGGGTTGGGGCACGGGTTCCTGGTAATGCGGACAGGGCGAGGGGAGTGTCGGGCGGTCCCTGAATACTTCACAGGTGTTGAAGTGTCCCTGTGCCGGCGTCCGCATGGCCGAGATGACGTGGTGCAGCCTAAGGTGTGATTGGTTTGCGGCCTCAGGCTGGACTTCGGAAAATCCAATTTTCCAGGTCCAAGGGCACAACAAGCAGCACTGAGCCTTCCTGCTGATTTGGCTAGACTAATATTGCATGAACGCGGTTCATGTATACCTTCAGGCGATCTAGATAGAAGTTCTCTCTAATGTCTCCATACAATGTGTAGTACATGTTATTGTATTGTGGCATTCTTATAAAGATGGCGCATCGTAAGCAGCCTCATATATTTTCGGTTGAGTCTGGCGTCTCACACTGGTGCATTTCACCTGGGCGGTGTTTGCATGCACATCAGCACGGCAGAAATTGATGTTGGAAGAGCGTAAAAGGGGATTCTGCGCGACCTTCATTTCCTGCTACTGAACCATAGATACAGGAGTATTGACTGAATCCAAGATATGTGACTGTTCATATTGTTGTAGTGCATTGTGGTGTACTCCCGGGAACTGTGGTCGCATCAATATCGCATCAAATCAGATTTAATCTCATATTGGACTATGTCACGAAATTCGGTGCAGTCCTATTGCTGTTAGAAATTGAGATGTAGCTTGCAAACACATTTGCTTTTTGTTTTTTACATCTCTGGCCTACAGTATAGCCCACGAATTATTGGCATATGGGTCACAACCATGCATTTTACGTGCTGACTCAACTACTGGAACATGAACACAAAACAAAAGCGTTATTCCTAACTGAGGCAGTTTGGCCGAGTGGTCTAAGGCGATTGACTCGAAATCAATTCTCTTCGGAGGCGGCGGTTCGAATCCGCCAGCTGTCGATTTCTTTTTTCATCTTTAACATTATCATCTGCCTAGATCATCCTAGTAAAAAGCAGTAGTCTTTTTTTATTTTTAGTGGTGGTGTATCCTAAGTAGCATCCAAATAATGATATTGTATCTCTTTGCTCTGTAAAAAGATTGGATGGCATCACTATCGTCCCAGGCTATAAATAGCTCTCAGTGTGCGATATCTTTCGTCTTTTCCCTTCGGCCACTACCGTCTGAGTCTTAAACCTCAGCCCTGCGCCCTGCGCCACATAGGCTTGAACCTCAACCACGGAGACTGATGCTGGTAGTGGTGGTGGGCCTCTGGCAGACGTGCTCATGGTCCAGTGTCAGGAAATGATCAACCATGATGGTGGGGGGGGGGAGGATGCAGCCAAAAAAAAGAAAAAGAAAAGAGTAAATCACCATAACACGTATAAGAAGTGTGAAGTTGACATAGCCTTAGAATTGGTATTTACCGTGCGTTTGTACATATGACTCAGACTTCACAACCCCTCTTACTGTAAAACATGAACAATGAATAAAGATGTCACAGCAGCTGTGTTATTTCTCGATAAGCTTTCATTCCACTAACTAGAACTTCAGGGAAATGTCCACTATAGACTTCCTCCAAGCTCAATGAATTTAACGGTAGCTTACGGATGCGAAGCACTGATGAATATCGTTATTAGCGCCGAAGTACTCACTAGCATTGAATTTGCTTACCTTTAACGGTTCCAGGAGTTATTGAAAGTCGAGATGCCTCGGCCCTCATTGTCATTTTGCAATTGGAAAATGAGCTTGTTCATAAACTGAGGAGCTTCAGCACCAGGCATGGTGCTTCTTCCGAGGTTCAACTTGTTTCGATCGAACACGTAGAAATCCTCGGAGACGCGCCAGAAAACATTTTCAGCAACCCGAGCTCTCACAGCATCATACCACTGGTTGAGAACTTCATAAGAGGGGGCAATAATAACGTAGCGCCACGACCAGTCGTCATTGCTCTGTTTTGCATTGTGTGAGTATTGTGTCGTTTAAATGCAGGTAGACGTCCCAGGGCCCCTTACGTTCTTTGCGTAGGCGTAGTACACCATGGCTCAGTATTGGCTTCTGAAAAAGTAAAAGAGACTGAATTTTTCAAAATTCTTGGTCGAGGTTGAAGAATAAATCTCAGACAAGGAGGAATTCATCTCCTTTATAGGCTATACTTGTGGACCAGAAGAGCAAAATATAGAAAAGGATCTTCCGGAGGCCAAAACTTGAGGCACTAATGTAGCAAGCCGAATTTGGATAGATAAATCAAGGTAAAGACCCGTCTACGGTCCGTATATGGGTCTATGAAACTCAATCTTGGAAAGATATGTCTCTCATTCATGGAATGGCTGTCATGGAATGGCTGGCTATTGCCACGACAGCGGCCCTCAGTGTAACGGTCAGGCCATCGATTGCCCAGGCCAAGCCTGTACAATGTGATCTATCAGATCCCCCAGGGTATTTACTCACCGCTGGCCACCACTATTTTTGCACTCCCCTAAGCCTTAGATAAACTGCATGTTGGCACCGCTCGATTGAATCAATTCGGCTGTGGCCCTCCACGCTCAGGGACCCATCTATGGACCGGTAGTCGTCTACTTAGGTATCATCTGACAACACTTGTTGGTAGAGGGCCGAATCCACGGTGGAGATTTCAGCCAGCCCCTTCGCGGTGGCTTCTCTATCAGTTTAGCTTCCCAACTCCGAGTAGTAAGATCTGAAATAGAGGCATATAGATCATCTAATTGTGAGATAAATCGTTCGCTATCATTGGTTCAAGTACTGATGCTATAACTGACTGCTTTTTTCTCCAGTATTATCGTCATTCAGATTTGATTTGTTGTTTCTTATAGTAGAAATGAAGAATCGGCAATCGGTGCTAAAACGCGGGATCGCGATCTTCCAAGATCCACCATGTCAAAGTCCCCACCTGGTTCAGCCGATGCTGTAATGCTGCATGAGAATGATAACTCAACTTGACGATCTCGGCAGCGATAACGTAAAATTTGCTTAAATTGTGACGTTTCTCTTCTGGCGATTGCTCCTATCTGCATCAATGGCGTCGATGCTAAGGGGTCAGAGGGAATGGAATTAGACTGACGCCTACCTCTAAGCAAGCTGCAAGACTTTGAACGCAACCAAAAGTTGCTGAGGTACTAGAGAGTTTGTGACACAAAGTATGTGAACTCCGCACTATTATTCAAAGCACACCGGCCAAATGAGACTCGGCTAGATTAGTTACCCGCAATAGATGTTATTCTGCCAGGTGGAGATATGCTGAGTTGGCATTTCCCCACAACTACCCACAAAAAATACGACTCCCATCTGCAGTATGTACGTGTACAAAGTCGTATAGCGGTTGGCTGTACGTATGTCTCCATGGAGACGAATTTGTGGCGGATCTCCACAGTTTCCACTCATGCAGTTGTTACGATATGCTGTGTAACGCAATCGAACCCAAGAGGGGGTGTGAAGTCCAAATCACGCTGGTGTCGACTCGTGGTAATTTGCCAATTCCAGGTTCGACGTCAATTCGCACTTTCAACATTGTTTTTATAATCAAGTGATATTGAATACAATGAGACTGTCTGATGGGTACACACACAGTCACACAGTCAATCACCTTAGACGACTTGTGTCGGCCAAACTGACCTAAGCTAGGAAGTTTCTCCAAATTTTGAGTTCAAGAAGTTTGTTTGGATTTCGACATGTCTCAAGCTCGTCAGAACTGACCGAATGTCCCACCGCTTCGAGCTGCAAACACCACGAACACTTTTAATACTGATGTCACGGTGTACACGCTATGTCACGTGACAGAGGGCCCTCATCAAGCATAGGTAGCAGTGTACTAGCTTAGCCAGAAGAATATCACTACCTTACTGGCCTATGACGTCCCAGTAGGTAACAACTGAACACTGTTTTGAAAGGATTTTCATTGATTGCAAGGCTCAAGAAGCCCTATTTCTGTCATATCCACTTAGTTAGCATGTCCAATATCCATCGAGAGGCTACGGGCCCAAAAGGGCATTCAGTTATACTCGGTGCACACATGAAATAGGGTCGTGACTCGTGACTCCATGACGATCATTTATCATGTTTCACTCGTATTACCCCCTCTCTCCCCCGAAAGGCCACCCAATATCTCACGATTTCCACCTTTCTTAGCTCTCTGCAGGGGCTAACAGCCACTTATAATTTATGAATTATGAATTTGAATCGCCCTACCAGCTATGCCCAGCAAACGGCTCACGCAAACAATCCCCCTGTCGATCCGGAGCCCCTTATACCCGAGCGTATATTGGGCCGATATTGGATTCTACGAGAGCCCATTTCTGGATGACCTGCTCTCATCTACTGTGATTCTATTTGGCATACTAACCAGGAGATGTAGACACTTAGCCATACTTTTCGTGCTTGTTCTTATACGATGACTGTGTCGCCAATACTGCGCGCCTGGGAAATTTCATTTTACGCCAAGATCGTTCATAACTTGATACTGGCGATGGTGTTCATATTTACTGTGTAAGCAAAAACCAGACATGAAAAAAAAGTGGATGCGGCGTCAAGCAAGACTTGTTCGTTAAACCTGAATCAAAGAAAATCCAACACGATAGCGAACTTAAGATAGCCTATTCGAAAGCCAAAAATGAGACATGCAAAGATCAAATGTGTTTTCAAGGTGTAAAATAAGCTCCTTGGTTAATGAGCACTCGACTCACATGGTTTCTTAACCTCATCACACCGGCAATGAAAAAGTCGGTTGAGGCGCTCGCGCTCGCCGGTGGATATTTCTTGTCTCGGGAGTTCTCCAAGTCTTCAACTGCCGATTAACTTGGGATGAATGACAACAAAAATGGCAGGTTGCCCGTAGAAGGGGGTATCGCTCGAGCAGTTATAAAGTAAGGTTAAAAATAAATTAGAAGAAAAAGTATGTATCGGTCTGAGTTTCTCCGCAAACTCTCGGCCTCGTAACAATCTGGGGCAATTTGATCTGATAACCGGCTGTGGATATTCAATAATCCCGCAGAGACATGCCGCGATTGCCGACATCCCCAACATCCCGACTTGGAGTTCTCGCGAGGCTCGGAATAATCCCTTCTTCTCACGCGTGATTGTCTGATGAGGCAATCTCAAAGGACAAAATATGGGAGATGATGCGGCCAGCAGCGCAGAAGGCGAGGGCAAGCATGGTGCCCAGCCCAGCCCCTTAGCAGGCGAAGATGATTCGCCGCCCAAACCCACGAAGCTGTAAGTTTTGCTTCTTGCAGAATGTGTCGATCGAAGATTCCATCGACTGTTAAGCTTGCATATCCACACTGCTGCAGCTCGGACAAGGGCCAATTTACACACAGGATATACTAATACGTTGAACCCAGTCGCCAAGCATTCATCGTCGCAGCAGGCTTCATGACAATGTTCATGACCTGCGCTATCATATTTACCTATGGAGTTTACCAAGCAATTTACGAAGAAATGGCGAAAGAACCCAACACCCCTTTCACGGGGACCTCTTCATCCGTCATCAGTCTGATCGGTACGCTTTCTATAGCAATAATGTCCATGGGCGGCCCTTGTATTATGACTTGGGCAAAGCTATATGGTCCGCAGCGAGTTATCATGTCCGGTGGCGTGGTTTTTGGCCTTGGATGCATCCTCGCCAGTTTGAGTCAGTACGTATGGGAATTCGCACTGACACAAGGCCTGCTGGTGGGACTTGGTACATGCATGGCGTATGTACCGACGATGTCTGTCGCCCCGACATGGTTCGATAAACGTCGTGGTCTCGCTATGGGAATTGTGATTTCAGGCTCCGCATGTGGCGGTATGATTTGGCCGCCTGTGCTGCGGGCAATTACGTCCCATCTCGGATTTCGCAACGCATTACGGATCTCTGGATGTTTAGTGATCCTCTTTGTGCCTCTTTCTGGGTATACCTTGATCTGGGAGCCGAACTTCAAGGCCAAGGTTCGAGGTCAGATGGTTGGATTGTCCAAGACTACAGGTTGGATGAAGGTGCCTTTAGTCAACTGGGAAGTGGCCAAGACGAAGAAATTTGTTGCGCAGGCCTTGGGGTGCTTCATCCAATCTGCTGGCTATTCAACACCACTTTTTTCCATGCGGCCTTTGCGAGATCGCTTGGATACAGCGCCACTATGGCTGACAACTTTATCACAATCAGCAACGCAGCCAACTTTGTTTCCCGAATCGTGATCGGATACGCAGCGGACAAGCTCGGTCGACTGAATGTGTTATTCCTGACAACCATCATAAGTTCAGTCTCCGTTTTTGCATTTTGGTTACCGGCAACATTCGCTGGCGACACCGTATCTTACAATGCTGCTGACGTCTTATTCATCTTGTTTGCAATCTTATATGGCTGCTTCGGCAGCGCTTACATCTCACTGTTTCCCACCAGTCTGATTGAATTGTTCGGTGTTCAGCAATTTACCTCAGTCAATGGGGCCCTGTACCTCATACGAGGTATAGGCGCGCTTCTGGGAACACCGCTAACGGGATTGTTATTACCTGGACAGTCCGCACTGTCAGCACCTTCGAATTACAGAAGAGCCACAATCACAACCGGCATTTTACTTTTCGCTGCGAGCATGGCAACCCTCTGGGTGAGAATTGAAGGCTCCGCGGGGAAGACTTGGACTTGGAAATTGTGATCATAATGTATTTATATTATTGACGAAGATAATGTGTTGAGGCTAATTTCGACCGGCACATCTTTAACAAGATGATGACCCCTTCCTAAAGATACGTATCAAAATAGCTTAAAGGACTGACTTTGAAATTATCCACGGAAGTTATCAACGAACGGATAGAAAAGAAGTGTAAGGGGGAATAATTTAATAATAACGAGCTGAGACCAAGGGCCTCCTAATGGTGGACCTCTTCTAACGGTCAATTTAAGAAACAGCCAACGGGAAATGTACAGAGGTGATGTCTGAAGATTTTCAGAATCTACCAGATCATAAGGGGTTGTGTTCGTGCGCAGGCCAGAAGTGTAATAATATGTAAAAAAGAACAGAAGCTCAATGTGCATCCAGAGAGAGACTGGCAGAATGCGAGAAAGGCAGAAGAGGTATCGAAAAATCGACGACGAAATGAAGCAAGATGTCATAATACAGGGGATTTGGGGTAACCTGGGGGGCGTAAATCAGTTAAAGACAGGGGATTTGAAGAGGGAGAAAGGGTATGAACAAGTGAGGAAACAATGTTAAGTGTGCATCCAGAAACGGTAGCGACAGGTGTAACAGAAGCGCTTTTGGAAAGGGTAGGAATTATCAAGAAGAAAAGTCTTTAGAAGCAGTTCAGCGTGCTCTTCTTCTTTTTCTTGTTGAGTGCGTTCATTCGCTCCTCCAACTGGGCACGCGCAGCCTCGGCCTCCTTTCGAGCACTGCGCTCTTCCTCGACAGCCTGGAGTGAAAGACGGGCGGAATTGCGCTCCTTGCGAAGAGTGGCCAATTCATCTTCGAGACCCCAGGCCTTTTTCTTCCAACCCTCGCAGTCGGACTTCACCTTGCTGCTTTGGGCTTCGAGGTCGCCAAGGGCCTCTTCGAGGGTAGCAGTCAGCTGTTTCTCCGCATAGAGATGCTTCTCGATGGTTCGAATGCGAGCTTCTTGGTCCTCGACGAGCTGGGCGTTCACGAGCTCCTTACTGGCATGGCGGGAGCTTGGAGGAGACACGCTGCCATTGCTCTGAGAAGCAATAGTGGGGAGAGGGGGAGAGGAATAGCCGGAGGAGGAGGGGAAGGGAGAGATGCGGCAGATGAGCTCTTTCGAAGGTTGGAGGTGAGAGAGCTACTGCGGTCATGAGAGCCATCTTGAGTGCCGCTGTTCTTGACTTGGAGCTCCAGCTGTTCAATGCGGACTTGGTAGGTCTCGATTTCTTTTTCGAGAACAACAATCCGGGTCTTGGCATCCTCCAGGGCCTGGTCGCGTTCTTGTTGGATGACAGACAAGCGGTTGTGGTGCTGGTCGAAGCTGTTGGTAATCTGCTCCTCAAGTTCTTCCACCAGGCGCACACTCTTTTCCTTTTCAGCCGTGATCTCTTCGACCAATGCCTCCTTCTTCTTGACCTGTTCATCCTTCTGGCGAAGAGTATCCTCCAGTGTGGCAACCAAGAGAGCCAGCTCATTAACCTTGGCATCCTGGGCGGAGCTCTTCTTCGTCATCTCCTCAATGTTCACACCGTCGATCTGTTTGCGAAGATCCTCGTTGGTGTCCATCAACTCAGCATACTTGTCAGAGAAATGCTGCTTCTGGGCAAGAACATCTTGGATCTGATCGGCCATAGTCTCGGCCGTGACGTCCGAGTTGAGTAGGCTCGAGACAGATTTGATGAGTTTAACTAGCTCATCGCGCGAGTCGGCAATGTCTTTCTGCAAGGCTTCCATGGACTTATCATGCTCGGCATCTTTCTCAGCGATGCGGAACTCGTGCTCGGCCAGTACCGCGGCTTTGGTTCGCTCTTCGAGTTCAGCCAGTTCCTTCTTGTGAGAATACTGCAGAGATTCCAGGTCAGACCTGTGAGATTCGATAACGGACTTATGCCCAGAAATCTCTTTCTCAAGCTCGGTAATCCGTGCTTCCTGAACGTCGGCTAGGCCGCCGTCAGCTCCCTTGGCTACAGATAGCTGATCCTGAGCAGAAGCATGCGACTTTTCGAGTTCGGCAATAGTTGCAAGCTGGGTGGCGATGGTGGACTTGTGCTCGTCGATGTCCTTCTTGAGACCTTCCACAAGCTCCTGCTGTTTGGCTCGCTCGGCTTCCAGAGCCTGTGCAGTGGCATCCTTATCAGCCGCACCGTCAGGGACAGTACGCTCGGAACGCATCGTCTCCACGGAGGCAAGCGCAGTTTCAAGCTCGGCGAGAGTAGTAGCGAGTTGTTTCTCAGAGGATTCAAGAGATTGGAGAGCGTTCTGGTGCTTGCCTTTCCACTCAGTAAGCTCACCCTCCAGTGCACCAATTCTCTTGTCCTGTTCCTCAGCACCAGCATCCATGGCCTTGGTGGCAACCTCCTGACTTTTCAGAAGACCAGTTAGAGTCTCCATCTCGGCCAACAGTTGCTTTTCGCGAGCCTCATGGGCCTGTCGGAGGTCATTGATTTGGTTCTCCTGGGCAACAATCTGGTCACGGAGCTGGCCCACTAGACCCATGTCGACAGAAGAACCACCACCCTGCAAACTGGAGCGCTCCCGCGTAAGACCGGAAATTATTGTGGACTTCATCTCCATCTCCTTCTTGACACTTTGGTTCTCGGCTTCCAGGGACTGGAGCCGCTCCATGCGGGTAGCCAGCTCGTGCATGGTAGCATCCAAGTGGACTTCGAAATTTTGTAGGGTTTCAGGCTTGCTAGAAAACTCCTCGTTGGCAAGGGTTCGAAGCGAGCTAAGAGAACGGTGAGCGCGGTCTACGCCGGACAGAAGGTTCTGGCTGGTCATGCGGCGGATCATCTTGAAGCCAGGTGTGGTGGGAGAGCTTGTCTTGGCTCGCTGCGCCTCGGCCTCGGCCTTGAGCTTCTCAACAAGCGCAAGAATCTCCTCGTGCTCAGTTTGAAGTTCAGCATACTTCTGGGTCATCAGGTCCGCCCCTTCCTGGTGCTCAGCAAGGACCTTGCGCATGCGCTCAATATCTTCAGCGTCCGATGGTGCAATGGTAGATGCTGCCATGGGAGTGACTGGAGTCTCGGGATTCTCAAGCTTAGACCCGTTAGATGAGTCGCGCAATACAGCCGAGCCCTCGGCCGATGACAATTCCGAGGAGAGCGATTGCGAGAATGAGTGTTGTGCTCCAGACTTCGAGGTCGGAGCGGCGCCATCCTCTAAAAAAGAAACCGGCCGAGAAGTCTCATTTTGAACACTCGGGGCCGGGTGACGGGCTTCGTCAAGTTTGTCCTGGCGGAGCGCAGCCAGGGCCTTCATCGCATCTTCATACTTGGACTCGAGCAGCTCATAGTCGGTGATGGTACTCTCATGGGTGAGACGTAGGTCGAAGAGCTCCTGTGTAACAGTTTCCAGCTTGTCGGCAACAAACTGAGATTGGGCAGGACTAGAGACAGGCTCCTCGCGCAGAGCATCGTTGCGACGTGCGTCCAATTTGCTAGTGACACTTTCGAGGACTTTCAGATCATCCGCAGACTCAGCAGGCTGCTCAGGTTCTGCAGCAGAGTCCTCGTCGACCTCTGGAATGGGCTCGGCGAAATCTTCGTCGGATTCAGGGATGGCAGTCTCAGCAGCCTCGTTGAGAACATCCAAGGACGGAGTATGCCGATGGAATTGATTGGACTTCGTGGGAGTGGGGGCATAGGAAGAATCGACACCATTGGTGCCATTGTTGTGCTGCCCACCCTGGTGGTGACGAGAGTCGAGGTCCTGAAGTAGATGGTCTAATTGACCAAGGCCTCTCTGGCGCTGGATGACATGCTCCAGGCGAATGACCTCGCGCTGCATCAGCTCCATATCCTGGTCTGCCTCAGCAAGGCGATCTTCCAACGTGGAAATGTATTCCTCACAGCCGGCCTCATTCTCCCGGGCCCGGCTGATCTCCTTGCGCAACTCAGCCACGATGGCCGCATGCTTCTCTTCTCCAGTAGAAGCGCCGTCAAGCTTGGATTCCAGTTCATGGAGGTAGCTTTCAGTGCTAGCCTCCCGGTCCAAGAACTTCTGAATACGGGATTGCAGTTGAGCGTTTACCGTCTCAACGTAAGTGCACTTGGTCTCTCGCTCAAGCAAAGTACTCTCCGTGGTTGCCAAAGAGGATCGGGTATCAGACAAAGAAGACTCCAGAGCTTGAATGGTCTTCTCATATTCGAGAACAACTTGCTCCACGGATTCAGCGAATGAGCGCGAGCGCTGCATTCGCTCCACAGAGGTCTCCCCGATATCCGAGGCCATTTCATCTGGCTCTCCATTGGCCTTTTCCGAGTCATTGGCCAGATGCGAAATGAGATTGGTATGGCGCTGACTCAAGGCATTGTAGCTCTCCTGAACATCCAGTAATTGGTTCTGCAGCTGGATTTCCCGCTCATTCTTGCGTTCACTGCGCTCTGTTGACGATGCGTCCCTGCGTTCAGATCCTTCGGAATTGCGGATCTGTTGTCGAAGAAAAGCGACCTCAGCCTTGAGGCGCTCAATCAGCGCATGCTTGTCTCCCTCCTCGGCGACCTGCTGAATTCGGGGCTTGCTCTGGATAGCCCGAGCGCGCTGCGCATATTGGACTGTGTTGAGGGTTTCGCTCAGATGAAATTCGGCAGGGGTAACGCAAGCAATCATATAGGTGAAGGCATTGCCGCCCAAAGAGTCCTGGAGAAGACGGGTGAGTTTGGAGTCACGATATGATACGTGCGAGCCCGACTGGCGCGAAGAAAGTTGCGAAATGACTTTTCCGAGAGCCGCAAGTCCTGCGTTGATCGAAATTCCCTCCTTAGCACGCTCCCCAGAGGCGCCGGTATTCTTCAGACGTTCGCTACCCGCCAGATCCACGAAGTGCAGTTTGCTGTCGACGGTAATCGAGTCGCCCCCACCAGAGAACGAATCGACGGGCATCGACATGCGCTTTTCCTTCGGCGAAGCGGCCGCTTGGTTGCCCCCAGATTTTCGTTGAACGAGGTTCAAGCTAAAAACGGCGTGCGATCGTGACGATTTGGCGTTGATAGCAGTGGAATCGGTTTGGCGGATGGCCGAGCCGAAATTCAGAGCGCCAATCAAATCATCGAATGAGTTGATGGTGACTTGGTGCAGACCGGTGAGGATGATGCGCCCCTTGGCATCTTCGCGAATAGTCACAGTGCTGCGATCGCTGGTGGGAGTAGAGTCGGGAAGGAGTAAATCGCGGAGATGTTCGTTGTAGATCTATCGATATCATGTTAGACCCCGGCCTATAGAAGGGGTTTCAATGTAGTCCATACCTCGACATAAGTTGCCTTCAACTGCCAGTTCTTCTCAACATTGACCTTTCCAAAGCTCGAGGCCGAGCTCATTGAGTACCGTTGCGGAGTTCGAAGTCCAGTGGAGCTGGAGCTATTGCGAGTGTGTTTGGACGGTCCGTCAAGCTTTTCAAACAAGGCCTGTGCAGCACGGGGGATAATACCTGTATGTAAATTGATGTTAGCTCTGTTTTTCACTAACTATTGTCACTGGGACCAGACTCACCCATTGCCTCTGCATTGCTCTGTTCATTGGGACCCGAGGTGCCCATTGTGTATGATTTTCCTGCTCCGGATTGGCCGTATGCTAGCAGGGAAACATTGTATCCCTGAACGAAAGAGTTCACGCTATCATTCAAGTATTCCCAAACGCCATCCTGGTCCACCGTCTCTGGGAAAACACGATCGAAAACAAAGAGCTTTCGGCCCTGCGGCACATCCACCGCCAAGCTCGTCGGAGCCGTGACGTGCACCATGGAGCGCTGGAATCTCTGGGGAATCAATTCATATCCGGGATCGGTGGGCTTGAGAGGCGGTCGCACTCGGACAGCTACATAGCGCGCATATTGTTAGTCAAATTGTTCCTCCGATTCTGTGTCATGCGGTTTTCCATTCCCATATCCGCACATAGTGTGTGGCCTTGTCGCTGCGGTGCGCGCATAGCGACTGGTTTGGCTGTTTGAGGGAGGGAACTCTGAGTACTTACCGACTTTGACGGCAGTCTTGCCATCCTCATCTGATGCCCGACTTCCACCTTGCCTGCTGCTCATGCTCAATCGACTACTGCTGCGCGGCGTGCGCATCACCGTGCTGATGGGCCGCGGGGTGGCCCCCGTTGGCGACGCTGGCGGTGAGACCGTCATCGCCCCAGTCGAAACCACGCCGGGCGGGAGAAAAGGGGGAGTGGGATGTGGGGATTATTCTGCGAAAGGAGGAGTTGCGACCATGAGGCGTGAACAAGATCAGGACGTTGTCTGGAATGTGGAGAGATCGCGATCGTTAGCAAACCCCTTAGTTTTTTTTTGAAGAAAAGAGAGAAAGGTATCAGAACGCAATGGGATGGGCAGGGTGCAGGCTGAAACGGGCACATTCGTAGCCAGTGCATCTGGGACGACTCACCTGAGAAGGCGTGGACGGTACTCCCCGACACAGGAAGATCTCTGATGACAACAAGTCCCCTGGAGAAGAAGGGGGTTAAGGGTGTAAAAAGCGCAACGTCTGGAGAAGACCGTGCACGGGCTAAGCTGCAGGTGGTTTAGCTCCGATTAAGATGAAGGAGGATTCGGTGCGCTGCTGTCGTTGGTGGAGACGGGGCAAGCGAGGCCTTGCAGATGAGCAGTCAGGGGCATCCAGGTGTCGAGAGATGTGTCTGGCCGGTTGATGAGGAGTACACAAAGCGAACCACGGGACTCTCCACGCGGCTCGGGCATTTCCAAGGTTGTTCGGTTTTGCCGCCTTTGCCCTCTTTTCTTCTTCCCGGCGCTACCTACAGACTACGAGCAGCGTCCCCCACGGTACAGCACATCTACAGTACACCGACAACGGCGACCGGTTCGTACTTTCTCGCTCAGTCAACCTCGGCCTGTCGAGACCCTCCTGAGCCGCAGCCGTTCGTTTCAGATGCGCCTTTAGGTTATCATGGGCCGCTGCCGGGATGAACCCCCCAATTTCCACCTGTCCACCGTCACGTTCAAAGGGATTCCAGATCTGCTCATTTTAATTTGGCTCGGCTGGCCAGGCGTGCAATCAACCGGTCTGTCGATCGCTGCCCTCTCCCTCTTCCGATGGAGACGCGAAGCCCAAAAAGACGGGCCAGCCAGACCAATCCGGAAGTTTCTCCTGCCATTCGGCTCCACCGTCCAGCCCGAGCTCGACACGCACGAGTGGACTCACAAGTACAATGGAGCACTCAGGACTCCGCTTGAGGCGACAGTATGAGAGAGACCGCCTGGAAATGCACAGCGAACGAGAACGAGAGCCGCACAGCGCGGTCGAAGATTCAATAATCCATAAACTACAGGTGTTGCGGACTTATAAGTCGCCCCCTATTGTCAATTTCTGGTCGATCCTGATGCCCTTACCTCTTTTCACATGGCCCATTCCCCAAAACTGGGCGCGCGTCCATTTGGCTCTGAACTGCTCGACGCCGTTCGAATCCCGCCCATCCTGTTCACAGATCCAGGCCTAGTGAGCTAATTGAGCTCGTGCCAGTTCGGGCTGGCTGCTGCATGATCGACAGGTTCGTGATTTAAAAACGGTTGCACAGCGCCGCCCCCACGACATCATGAAACACCGATGTCTGCTGTCATGGGTCTAATCAGACACCCTTGAAAGCTATGACTCTCCAAAACTCTACACGTTCACGAGGCCCCAGCGATGGGGCTCTCGAGCTGCCACGAGACAAAAGGACGTAACAATGTCTATCCTGGGTCCACTTCCTGATAAGGCAATACCTACCTGTACAAAGAACCGCCTGCACTCAATTTTACTGACGCTTCCACAGCACACGGACGCCCCTAAACAAAATAAACAAAATAAACATTAAATCCCGATACGTCTTCCAGCACAATTGGCACTACACTGCACAAAGTACGGGTCTGGACTACCTACAGAAACACCTCGTCGACGGACATGAAGGTCCGTGTGGAGATAAGAATCTCATCCACCAGCCCTTCCAAGGTCACGACAGCGACCGTGATTCAACGCCTCCATTGTCTCTGGCTGGTGCGAATGCTGGTCGGCAAGGCCGGGTCCTCGCCGGTCCGCAATGGCCAGTGGCCCACCGGTTTCAAGCTTGGGTCTGCTCCACACAAAGAGGCTGGCAAAGCCGACCTCGAACCTTTGGATTCCATGTGCCGAACGTTATTCCTTTAGTTTCGAAGTAAAAATCCCCGGCCATGACTCTTTCTCGAGGTCGTACCCTGGCGAAACCTGACCGTTACTGCTGGACCCACTTCCTTTGGCAGGTTGACACACGGTTGGCATTTCAACGTCAACCATAACTGGCGGCAGGTCAATCTTTGTAATCCCCTCAGCCTCTACCAAAACACACACCCCTCCTAAATCAAAAGTGTGAAGCCCATCCACACAGAAAGTGGTCTCTAAGCACCAGAACTGAGGGCAACTCAGCCAAGCTGGCATTTGCATTCCTTGCAACTTGGGATGAAGATGTTCCGCCTGCCCCCTTCCCGCTCGTACGCCTCCACCAGCTGATCAGCCGGGTGAAGCAGCGAAGCCAGGGGAGTAAGCGGAAGCCATTTCTGCGGCATCTCGATGGGATATTCACCATTGTCGTCTTAGTCACCAAAATAGAACGTGGACATGCTAATACAGTGCTCCAATCTATGGATGTCGAATGGTAAGGGCGCAGACATGCTCCATGTATCGTAGATCAAGTCCCAGCGTTTATTGGTATTTATTTCACGCAGAATTGGAACGAAGAACAAGGGTTCCCGGATTGTATGCTGTCGGCAACTTGCCATTAACGTCCTTGAGTGCTCGGAGCAGGTTTCATTGACATCTTCAAGGAGTTGTTCAACAGATATTCTGTATCCTCCTGAAACTTGCATATGTCCTTAAGTGCCAGCCGTTTTCCACTCTTGATCAACGAGCCAATAATGATCTTGGCGATATTCCCCCCGACGCATGTCGATACCGATCCAGCTTTGAAGAAATCCTTGGAGAGTACAGCCGCAATGACCTCGACTACGCCACCTTGGATGAAATGTCGCGAAGTGAATGTAATGAGGATTTGTTCATGGAAAAGACAAGTACTTTCTGTAAAAGAGAGGAGGCACACAAAAGCCGACGAAGTGTTTCGCAGTCAGGAATAGTCTTCGATATCTTCAAACGTAGCTCCATAGGGAGATATTCCGGCATTGCGGTGTTTTGTAAGTAGGCCATTTTCCTTTTCTTGCCCCTTGCACAGAAAATGCACTCGAAATCTATGAGCTCTCTCGTTTGATGTCCAATTACCTAGTAGTTTCAGGGGATGGTGAGGCGTAGCAGGTGGTACCAACAGGGAATTTGCCCTCAAGAAAGGGGGAGCTGGTGCCGCTGATAATTTCTTTCGCTGCCACGCAAGGATAGGATTCACGGCGGCATACCAAAAGCCATGGGAGAAAAAGGAAGAGAAGAAGAAAAGGGAGACAGGAGAAAGAGAAAAGGTGAAAGATAACTCTAAGTAGGACCTTTGCCCTATTCTTAATGAGGACTTCACATTGATACATGCATCAGTAGTGGGTATCTGCATGTTTGACAAACAACTTTTGCCAGTGTCTCAGGCTCGCCTTAGGATAAAAGTCGAAGTGAAAAAGGATACCAGCTCATTCAAAAACAAAATGCAGCTCTTTTCCTCATCTCCACGCGTATTTCTGCTGATTCACGCCTAGAAAAAATTCTCTTTCCTTCATCGAAGGTCTTTCCATGTCAGTATTTCCTCATTTCATCCTATATTTCAACTTGTTGGAAACTCTTATATTATTGAATATTGTAGTTTTCAGCAATCAGAAGTCAAAAAAGCTTAAGTGGACTAAGTAAGTGACTAGTCAGCTGACGGGTTAGATGACTGGGTAGGTGACAAGGTAAATGATGAAGTAGATGATATGCTTTAATATCCGCATATTCACGCGGTATTAATGAATTTATGTGCGTTCACATCTTATTGGAGGTGCCCTATGTCTCGAGTTCCTATCATGAATCATCGCATCAGTTCACTCATCCCATTCAGGGCACTCATCGCATGTTTTTGCGCTATAAATACAAATTCCTGCCCCGTTCTCTCTTTCCTTCTTCACATATCTCACATCATCAGAGATTACAAAACCGAGACCAAGCCGAGCGACCTCGACGATGCAGCATGAGGCAGTCTATGTAGGTCAAGAAACGAACAGGTCAGTTATAAAATGACCCTCCTCCCGCCATCAGAACATCTCACCATCTATTACGATCTTGGCACATCAATATGCCAGAGTGATCCCGCTGTTCAAGTCCTCACGACCTTTCGACGCTTCTAACCTTTTTACAGACTCGAAGACTCACAGAAACGAATGCTCACTTTGAGATTTGTTTGCTCCTTGAACTCGCAATTGTTGATGATTCTAATTCATACGTCGCAGAATCTCAGAATCGATGACTCCTTAATGTAGAAGACTTGCGGAAGCTGGCCCTGCGCAAGGGGCTCACCGGCACATCGACCCCGAAACTTGGTCGATGGCGAACGAGCTGAGAGTATTCAGTTACGATGATGAGGAGAAGGGGTCCGAATACTCTGAACCCATGAAAGCTGACGTGGAAACCGTCGGTTTCCTTGTTGCGGCGTTTAGTTTTCACTTCGACTCATCTTTAGCCTTCACGGTATTTTCCCCAATCTTCTGATTTCTAAAATGCAGACCCCCACATACTGTCCATGCTATCCTTTCACCTTGAACTGTTGATAATAATGACTTGCGAGCAGAATCTCACCATCGAATACTCCCGCTCTGCCCAGTTCGACTGGGCGGAGGACGTCGAGGAGGAACTGAACATGAAGCCTGAAAACTTTGATTGGGCCGAAGATGTCGAGCAACAGATGGCTCAGGACATGGCGTTCGACAATGTGAGTCCCTCCTTCCCTATTGGTGCTTATTTATTGCAATTGTTAACATGCTCTTGACCGCATAGGCGAGCAACGACCAGGTCATCACTGGCTCGGACGATGATGACTATACAAACTACTCAGACTACACTGAGTACAGCGATGACCTCGAAGAGTCTTTCGCCCCCGCTGAGGAGGACTTCGGTGGCACCGCGGCCTACGGTAGCAGCCAAGACTATTACTGCGAAACCGAGGCGGCGGTGCTGAACCGACTCGAAGGGCTGCAGGAGGATCCCGAGCGCCTCCTGCCTGTCCTCCTGGGGAGAGGATCTTCGCAAGCTTGTCCTGCGCAAGAGGAAACAACTGCGCATCGACCCAGATACCTGAGCGATGGCGCATAATCTGAGCGCCTACAGTTACGACGGTGCCGAGAAGAGACTTTTTTGAAACAAGTCCTTCTGCCTTTGGAAACTTCTTGTCAACACTCCCAGAGTTGCGTCTGAATTAGAAAAACTGGCTTTTCTGTTTACTCCATACCTTTCCAACCCGCGGCATTGCGAGTTAATTCGAAAGACTTTCAAATGCAGACCTCGACACTGTTCGTGCCATCCTTCAACTCAGATTTGTTGATGAGATGATACCGGCTCGCGTACTGCAGGACCCCACCGTTGACGACCTCCTCCGGCCGTCCCAATTCGACTGGGCGGACGACATGAAGGAGGAACTGAGCATGAAGCCCGACAATTTTGACTAGGCCGAAGATGTCGAGGAACAGATGGCTCAAGGCATGGCGTTGGACAACGTGAGTCCCTCGGTCCCTACTGGAGTTTATGTATTGACAATGATAAAATGTTCTTGAATCCATAGGAAGGCAACGACCAAGTCATCAATGAAACTTACGACTCAACTGGCTCGACCTGGCCGGACCACACTGAGTACACCGAGCTCACTGATTTTACCAATGACACCGATGAGTCTTTCTTCCCGATGAGGACTTTGGTCGTACCCCGAACTATGATTACGGTGGTTCATACCATCGCGAAACTGAGACAGATGCTGCGCTCATTGTGTAAATATCTTTGTGCTAGTGTTTTCGCCTCTGCCTAGTGTTCGCAGCCCCAAAAAAGTTTTGCCACGGAATTTACCAGTTCTTTCTACTCCACTACTCGGTAACGTACTAAGAAAGAATTGTCCATTTACATCACCATAAAGCATATTGCCACAACAAATTGAAGAACAGACTTGAAAGAATCAACCCAGTGGGGTATTATCAATAAAACAAGACCGAGAAGTGAACCGGGAGGGAATCAAAAATGACTAATCTCATACACGCCGTGAGAAAGATAAAGGGAAATGAAGAAATGAGCACGAATAGCCAAAAAAAAGAACAAATCCGCCAGGTTCTAAATGCATCCAGGCGTTGATCAGGGTCATAGAAACATCCGTGGAGGTCGTTAGTCGTACCACCCTTGCGACAAGGGCAGCTCGGAGGTAGGAAAGGAAAAGGAAGAGGAAGAAGAAGGTTCAAAATGACGCGGAATGACAGAGCAATGCCGATGTGGAAGAAATTGTCTATCCTCAAACGCCATGATGTCGGTCTCCAGCCGAATGTTGAGCGAAGAGAAAGAGATAGAAGAAGAATCACATTAGAAACTGACCTCCCCTGTATCAGTCTCCACGCTCTCATCCCAGTATTGGTCAGAGGGCATTTCGCGGACGGCAGGTTGGGAGCCAAGGGCAATTGCCTCGCCCTCTCCGCGCTCCACAAACTCGTCCTGCGTGATCTCTTTCATTATGCGTTGAAAGTACATCCGGAGAGTCCGAAGACCACGAAGATAGCCGCGGTCAATGTCCATTGGGTGGTGGGGAGGGCATGGTGTGTCAGGAGGAAGCTCATCTTCGCCAGTGACACAGTTGGCGAAATCGACGATCTTCAATTGGACGTTGGCATTGTTGTGGCCGTCTTCGGAGTTCCGGCGTTGCGGTCCCGGTCGTTCGCCAGTCGGAGCATCAGGTTTTTGAGAAGGGCTTGACTGATCTCCGTCGTAGAGTATCAACAAACTACTAGCGTATAGCCGGTAGCGGTCCAGTTTTCGGATCATGTTTTCAAGCAGAGACAGTTTCTCCAAAATGACCGGGATCTTTTTTGCTACACTAGTGTAGCTGACGCCGTCATAGAGGAACCGCGTGAGGGCATCTTGGAATTCACGGCCAGATTTCAAATCCCGACCGAAGTACTTGTCCTCAAAGATGTACTCCTGCTTTTTAACATTCCAAGCCTGCATACCACAAAGACGAACGCCCAGCTGCTGAGAGGTCGTCGACTGGCATTTGCGTCGCTGTGATTTCTTCTTCTTTTCGTTCGCCTCAATGCCATATTGTCGAGTACCCATTTTGAGGTCAAGAACACAAGGCTTGTTCATGCCTGCTGTCAGATCCTCCAGGAGTAGGAAAAACTGAACCCGTTCGTCTTTCCTCAGCTGGGCATCCTTGGGGTTACTAGGCAAGTGGGCATCGATACTGTCTTGGGAATGCAGTGCGGCTGCTGCGTTCAGAACTTTGCTTGGCGATGTGAAAGCACCGAAATCATGTTCACGAGCTGGAGCTTCGATGGGTGTTGGGGAGACAGGTGCGGTAATTGAAGAGACCGGAGCATCTCCTTCCATGGAGAAGATTTCATCTTCCTTGTCGCCGCCGTAGCCCTCGTCATCGAAAAATAGGAGTTCACCGTTGTTGCGCGAATTGATGCTGCCTCGCCTCTGAAGCCCACCGCCCGAGTGCCGCCTTCTTGAGTGTGCGACACGGTTGAGAGAAGCCGATCTATTGAGTTGGTCATCGGTTTTGACTTGTTCAACTCGGGTGCGGTTGTCTTCAAAGGCAGTTGACGCAGAGGAAGAGAGTGGCATGCTGTCTGTGGTTGCAGGTTCGATATCCAAAGCCGAACTTTCCGTCGTACACACTCTGGTCAACGCAGATGGACGACTGGATGAAGTGTGGTCCTCTGACAGGTTTCCACGTCGATAAGGGATATCTGAAGCCGCTCTCGGCAGACGCAGATGGCCTCGGGGGTGTCGACGGTGATGATGAATTGCAGGAGGACTGAATACCTCCCGGAGAACTTGTTCCTGGAGCTTTCGGTTCACAGTCGTAGCACCCCAGATCTTATTGTTTCGCCGTCTGACGGATGCCGGGTCAGAGTCGGTAGCCACATTATCAAGGCCATCGGCTGAACGTGGCCGACTCATTAAAGCATCATCCGCAATCTTCAATCGCTGGGGACGACCGAAAAGGTCAGCGGGGATGATGTGTCGGTTATTTTCGAGGATCACTTTGGGGATTACGCCAGTAATCTGTTTCTGGCTCACAATCCGCTGCGGCTCCGGAGCTTCAAGAACATGGGAGTTGTTGTTTGCTATACCATTCGTATGGTTCGCCTCGGGCAATGCTGCACTTGCATTATCGAGCACGCCTTTTGACCGTTTAGCTGTCTTCGAGAAAGTCACATTGAGAACTCCGATGTATCTGTTTTGAAGTTAGTAAATAAACAGATCATAAACTTCAGGGTCCCGTGCTTTGTGATGAGGCAGTAAAGGGCCAAGGCAGTATCTTCTTAGGAATTCTGGAATCTTGGAAGGAGATACGCACCTCGGCAGAAATAGCAACATGTCAGGATGCCTTCGTTCGATACGCTCATAAAATTCGTTTTCACGGTTGTTGAGCTGTTTGCATACTGCACGTCTAGAAAAACGGAATACAGTCGTGTGACCCCCAACCTGATGCCGGTAGGGTTTCAACTCCACTGCACCGAGAGGACCCGTAGACTTGCGCCTTGGAGTAAAGTGTGGTCGTTGCGTTGGCGTCGCGGTTGGGGTTTCGGCATCGGCATCGTCGGTCAGGCTAGACTCATCGGGCACGGAGTGCACGCTCTCGTCTGCAGAGACGGACTCAGAGTCACAAGTAGAATCATAGCCCCGCTCGATAATCGTACTCAGAGTCTTCTCTGGGGCGCGTTCTGTCGGGGATCGGAGACCCGAAAGATCGCCGTGGAGGATCTTACTTTCATTTTTAGATCGAAAAGATATATCCACATGCCCAACTTCCTGCTCAGACACACTACGCTCTTGGGGTACCAACATCAGCTCATGGCCTTTCTCTGCGGCAGATATCTGAACTGTTTGCACACTATGTGGATCTGCTGCCAACGGCTCTTTCCCCTGCGTCTCCTCTGGCACAGCAACCCGTTCATGAGGGAAGTAGACAGCGGACTTAATTTGCTCGTTTTCCTCCTCATCTTCGAATTGCGGCGAACCGTGAGCTTCCTCCTCCTCATCGAGGGAGCCCAGGGACTCGGGGAACCGCTCCACATGTGGTTCGGCTTGGAAATAATCACGGCTGCGTTCCGCGTACTGGGTTGGGATGCTCTTAGAGAAAGAAGAGCCTCGAGCTCCACCGGGGGTGAGGTGGAAGTTTCGAATCTCCTCCAAAAGACTGCGAGGCAAAGTTGGAGGACGACGCTTGAAGGGATCTTCATGCTCTGGCTGTTGGGATTGCTCGGCGGATGTTGGAGGGCCGAATGTTTGTCCGTCGCTCAGGGACGGGAGGGAGATACTCTTGCGAAGCAATCCATCCTCATCGGATGGCAGCTCCAGGGTCTGATGATCATGGTCCATAGTGGAGCTCAAATCAGCATGCCCATGCCCATCGTGCAGCCGGGCTCGATCACGGTCCTCCCAACGCTTGCGGTCCGGGGAAGTCGTATTCTCCTTGAAAAGACCCAGATAGTGGCTGGACTTTCGGCTGCGCACATTAGAGGCAGGCTCGGCGTTGGTCAGATTAGCTTCGATAGAATTGTCCACACGCCCTCGGCGCCCTCGGCTCGAACTCCGCTCCAGCGTGACGCCGCGACCGGTCTCAGTGTACGGAGGGAAAGGTACAGCTTCAGAGCCGACCGACGGCCGGTCGTAGCCTGCAGGCGGTGTCAACGACCCGGGAGAATGAGAGACATTGTCTATTGCCGAAGGAAGGAGACTGCTTTCAGTGCGGGTATCAGAGAAACCATCGGTGTTCAAGTTCGTACCTGGTTCATTCGATGGCACTGGGGACACCTGCTGAACATTGACCTCCGCTTCTTGGCCCTTGCGCTGATCAGCCGACGAGATTGATGAGCGGAGTAGAGAGACACGAGGGTAATCAGAAGCTGAAAAGAGTGAGGTGGAGCGCAATGGGTAATGTCTGCGGACGTCAACTTCCATGTGGGAAGAGTCGACGTGAGAACGGAGGGGAGAGACCTTGGAGGCAGGAGTTGGAGATCCGGGCACATCATCGAGGCCGGGTATCAGGTTGACCTGACTGTCATTCTCCGCGGCCTTGTCAGGCGGCAATTGGGGGGTGTTGGCGCCGCTCTCGGACGGCAGGTAGTGTGTTGCAAAGATGCTGTCTCGTTCGGACAATTGAGGACTGTGGAAGAATTCGGGGCGGGAGGGTTTTTCCAGCGGTAAGGTCTGCGTTCTTTTGAGGGCGAAGGTTGATGCGGGCTGGGACCATTGTTGGACGGTGTGGACGGTGGGGGACTCGGCGCGCGATGGAGACTGGGCCTCCTGTTGAGCCCCCTGGGGCAACAACTGTTGGTCCTGCGACAAGTGGTGGCGTGGGTTGACCGGCGAGGGCTCGGCCGCCGAGCAATCATGTTGGGCTGGCGCAGCAGGTGTTACCAGGGGGGCAGGCAAGGAGTCTTCGGGAGCGGGCGGCGGATTTGACATGGAGAGGACATTGGTCAGGGCTGCACGGTCGGAATGAAAGGGACAGCGGGAAATGGCGATTCGAGGAGCTGAGGAAATGGGTTCAGAATTGGGGAAAGCCGCGGGCGATACGGAGACACGAGGTGGCCGGGGGGAAGGCGGCCAGGAAGTGGCAGATAGCGGTGGACCGCGGTGGACACAGCGAGACAGAGGGGAGTCTAGCGTCACGGCGAGCAGAAAAGACCAGTCAGTGGATGAACGTCGCCGGGGATGGCGATGGGCCACGTTGGGCGAGGACGAGTTCTTACAGGTTGTGCTGACGGCAGAATGGGGACGGATGGCCGGGATCAGAAGGAAAGTCAGAGACACTGGCCGGTCTGAGCTTCACGAGATAAAGGATCAAACTGCGGTTTGAGGCCTGGTTCGCAGTGTAGGACAGTGACGCCGATCGTCCGTCACCGCCTTGGACGCGGTGGAGCCGATCTGAATCTCGAACTTCTCCAGATGCTTCTGGATGCGGCGGGTTGCGGGATGGCTTGGGCTGGCGTGGGTGAGATCTCCAGGTGAGGTCGAGGTCGAAGGTTGCAGAGTTGCGGAGTTGCGGGTTTGGCTGTGGGAAGAGACAGACAATGGCGGAGAGAGGATGAAGTCACCGCAAAATCGGACTTGCCTCACCGTCTGGCTCCCGCCCGGTTTTGCTCTTCGTCAACTCCTGTTGACGGCGGCTCGTCTCCGAACAATCGCCCAGCCCAATCTTTGCGATTACTCTGTGGATGCAGCTTAATCTCCATTCCAGTGCCCATTTCTACTGGGCTCGCATGGCATGGGGGTGCGATCGGCATTCTGCAGGACCTCGACTCTCTCTGCTGGGTCCTGATTCGTGCCAGCGACACAGTCCAAATCTCGCAAGGGCTTTCTCCGTGACGAACCTCTCCCACCTCCCCCCCGGCCCTTTCAACCTTTCCAGCACGGGACTGCCATCCAGATACCGGGGATCGCGGAATGCAGCAGGGGCAACACCATCGACCGTTCTCTTCGCATCCTGGGCCATTGTCCCAAACCCAAACAGGGAGCTCACGATCCTTGGTCTGGCTCGCAACGGGTAACTCCAGGTGTGGGGGGCAAGGGATAGCTGAGTTCTCGGGTCGATCCATCGTTTCTTGGGACGCTCTGCTGCGTTGCCTTGCGCCAATCACCATCGATTCTGTGTGGCGTGCGGCCACTGTGGTTGGCCATAGGTGTCAGCTCTCCATTCCTCGACCGAGCAGGATGATCCGGTGCTTGCAATTGGATCTGGTGTGGGCATTCAAAGCAGTGGGCCGAACCCAGGAATGTTGGGCCTTCCCCAGCCTCGAAGCAGCAATCAGGTCAGGTGTCAGGGGCAGCTGACTCGGTCCGAAGTTTGTTTTCCAGGCTTGTGCAAGTTTGCTGCCTTGCACCGCCATCGCGGCGTAGTCTTCCCAGGTTTTCGAGCCAAACACCATACTCGTCAGCCCTGAGGACTTGCTTCTGCGCTTAGGTGCTCCAATAGATTACCCTGTAGATATCCGTAAGCGATATTCCTATCCCAGTAGGCGAGGTACCTACCTAATGGGTACTAGTATCCGACCGTGCAGTCAACTGTTCAAACACTGTGGGATCAGACACCAGCACTATACTCAGGCTCTGGTCTGTCAAGAACTACTGCCTTATTTGGGAAAAGCAGCAACGGCTTCTGAACCAGACTCCAGACACGCATCTGGTTACCTTGCATAGCTGGGAATTCCAGGTACTATATGATTCTGGAGTTGAGACAACGGCGGATGTGTCGCTGGTTGGGACGATTGATATCATATATGGAATGAATGAAGCACTGGTCCGCGGAACCGTCAAGTCGTTGCGCATCATAGTCAAATATGTTTCTCTTCTATACAAGTTCGTAGCGGGCAACGTTCATATATCCGCGGGTACCTATCGTGGGCCAACTCTATCTGTAACATGATGGCATTCGTGCACTTGGGCAGCAATCTGCTGGGGCCAAAATTTAGGACCAAAAAAGCAAAGGGAGGCAGTCCGCCGATCATCCCAGTTTCCGAAGTATGCCCGGCCAGGATAAATACGGGACGACCAGTCACGCGAGTTGCGACTGAATACACGTTACTACTAAATAACCTACAGTATTTGACTGAGTGCTGTTTGACGACTCGTGGCTCGGTTTGCTACATCAGAATAGAGCCTAAGAATGGGGGCGTTCGCCGAGGGCCGGCCCGCAGGACCCCAGTTTACTACGGGAGTCACTTGTGTGCTTCGGATGTACTTCTGTTCTTCCACTCAGGACCAAGTGCTCCCTGGCGCTCACTCATCACCTTAATTGCAGCTGTGACGTAGCGGGCTGTGATGGCGCTTCTATCACCAACAGAGACACACGGCGCCCGCATCCTCGTCCCTATGGGGTCTTGTTCTGCGACCAGAGTCGGCATTTGAATGGATTGGTACCTGGCCACGTTTCATCTCAGAGACACGCGATTTGAATCGCTGTTCGTCGGGCAATCCCTATTCCCAGGGCTCTACGAAGCTCATCTTAAACCGAGTCCAACAGTTACACGCGAGTCACACTCGCCGCTTGGCTCGGCGTGTGATGAGGCCCGCCCTAACGCCCAACGGGGGATACCGGGCGGGTCCTTGATCCAACCAGCGCGGGCGACTGTGTGAAGAAGATGCAGTAGGGTGCAAGGACCGCTGGGGCGACCAGGCAAGTCGCGAATCTGGAGCTTCCAGACCACTCAGAGCGTCCAAACCCCGCGGAGCTCTGACTTAGCCCCCTCCAGCCCATCGTGATCTCCACTCCAGCGGTTTTAACTGCGGACAACCCCCATCACGCGCGTTTTTCAACAGTTGCTATGCTCTTTTTTCTCTGTCGATCTGCTGTCGCATGTCGTGTAACAGCGAGCCGACGAGTCATCTGTTAGCGGAGCTCATGTTCAGGGGAAGCTGTTGAGATGCGGCGTCTGTCGAAGCGACACACTTGACGAACTACGACCTCCCAAGTCGCAAATCGCTCAATTTTAAGGGTTTAGCGATTGTACGCTTGTACCAAAGGAGCTTTTGCAGCTAGACTTGAAGCTCAATTAAGCACATTGAGAGTACTCTGCGATCGTTCCTATCAAAATGAGTCGCCCATTGCAGCTCGACACCCAGGTGGGCCAGAGTCAGAGATATTCCTTCATCGAAACACCTCTGGAGATGCACTCATCGTCACTGCATCGTGATCTCGAAGGCCACCCTCCATTTCCGGCTGAACCTCATCCACCGCATCCACCTCTCCAGCATCAACAACAGCAACAACATCAACAGAAGCAGCATCAACAGCAGCAGTATCAATATCAACAACACCAACAAGAGCAGCAACGGCAACAGCAACAGCAGCCACCACCACCGCTCCAAGAGACTATAATCTCGCCATCGCTCCAACAACCCGAGCAGGCCTCAGGCGTATATCAACAAGGCGGGAGGGTGTCACCTTTAGAAGAAGGCAGTGTACCAACCTATTCGAGATACCCGCAATTTGACCAGCATCCCATTCATTTCGCGCCTGTGATCGAGTCTGCAAAACCGCAGCAACAGGCCGTTCGATCACCGCAGTATGCATACAATCCGCCGCCCAGCTCCCCCGGTCCTTTACCGATAAAGACCAACCCGGAAGCCCCCAGACGAGCCGACACCTTCACCATTACCCCCGATGCGAATCCTCTGCAGTCGCCCAAATCTCCATACTTCTCCCCTCCGTCGGCTGCGACACCATCCCAGGCACCGACGATAGATGACTTGGCCTCATACCACCAACCGGGGCAGATCATGCATCCCAACCAAGAAGTAAACGGCGGGTCATGGAATCATGGGCTGTGCGAATGCTCGAATCTTGGGACCTGTTGTCTGGGCTTGCTGGGCCCCTGCATTCTGTACGGGAAAACGCAGCACCGTCTATACAGGAAATCGAAGAAAGAGGACCCGACAAATATGCTGGGATATGAGACGTGTAATGGATCTTGTACGGCAATGGCCCTGTTGTGTGGGTGTCAATGTAAGTCAAGGATGAAGCAACCCCACAAGTAAAAAAGACCAAATTGATAAAAATACTCACCCGTCGACAACAGGGCTGCTGGCTACGATACAACATACCCGAACGAGAAAGGCATATGGAATCGAGGGCAACATTGCATCAGACTGTGTGCGCGCCACATGCTGCACCTGCTGCACCCTCATCCAAGATGAGAAGGAAATCCAACAGCGAGAGAAACAGCGCGGGCGTGCCGTCCTGGAGCGAGGCGCAACCCTGCTCTCCCCATATACAGCCCCGGGGCCAATGTCGTATCCCCCGCCACCAAAATGACCACAGCACAGCCACTAGTAGTTGCTTTGAAATGCCTTGAATGCGCAGCATACTGTACCTATAACCAAGCGATGTTACAATATGATCAACCATCAGATGCAAGAGCATGTACGCGATGGGGCAACCGAACACCCGGGCTCATCCATCCGGTCTGGATGGGCGAGATGGGGACACCTGCATGATTCCGCATGCCCATCAAAATTTTCACAAGTAGAATTACACAGAAGCTTGCATAAGAGGAATTGCATTCATGCTCAGCCCTGTGACAAGGTGGGAAGTGCACCATTCCCAACACGCATTATCGATCTTCAGCCGCGCGGAACCCGGTTGTTGGGAGACGAACCGACCTGTCAGATCGCCACGAACTGCAACGGACCTATGATGTCAAGCCGTTCGCTTCTGCCATGCGAGATGAAGGCCATTTTTCATTGTCGTGTGGAATCAAGTGGAACGTTTTCGTTTCTTTTGCCGGGCAAATGCGTACGTATGATAGAGGAGGTGGAAGTGGGTGCAGCACAAGGTAGAAGGCACCACCACTCCACCGTGGCCAATTGGTCTCGTCGCACTGGGAAATTTGTAGCCATCATGCGTGGGAGTGTGAAGTAAATAATCTCCTAGATCAATCTACCAGCCAATTCGATACCATGTCGACTCCGCAGTAAATTTCGAGACTTCGGAATGGGAACACGTCTCAGCCCCCCAAAACTGGAGCATGCATCCTTTTCTGTTCGGAGGGTGGCCGTTGAGCAGCGCCGTGGAGACATTGCCTCTCAGGCACTTTTCGCCTCATGATCGAAGAGCCCCGATGTAGGCGACGGTGCTGCCCGTCAAGTGTTAGCCTCGTTAACGATCACGGGCTTGGACGTAAGGGTGCGACACATCTATTACTTCCACTATCGAGTGGCACGGGTAACACTGCAACAGCCGGAGAAGTCAGTTCTCGTCCTCGAAATGGACCGGATCGCTATAATGAGACCTGTTAGCCACGGCTGAACCCTCTCGATGGTGTTGCATCGCTGAAGGTATTTCTGTTTCGACAGTTGAACGGTTGAGTGTTCTTCTAATATCTGTATAGACACTCTTCACCGGCTCCCTCCCTCATCTACACCTGCTGCATTGGCTGCATCAAACTCTCCATCCCAATGCTCTACAAGCGTCTCTCTCCCGTCAAGAGCATGAACGTTATGGTCTGGATCGTGTCCGCCATCGTGGTCCACTTGGCGTTCGGGGGCATCCTTGTCGGCTGCTTCACTTGCATTCCGACCGAGAAGCTGTAGCACCCCACCAGCCCCGGTGGCTGCCTCAGAATGGGTGAATTCTACTACAGTCTGCAAATTCCGAACATCTTCACTGACGCCATGATCTTGTTCATGCCCATGCACACCGTCTGGGGCCTGCCCATCCAAAAGCCCAGAAGGTCAGTCTGTCTGGTATCTTCGACGTCGGATTCTTGTAAGTTGCCCGCCGTCAACAGCATGTTGCCGCGCATACCCTCGAACCAAAAGTCACAATCCACAGGACCCTGGTCTTTGACATCGTCCGTCTCGTCTCCCTCATCGACCTCTCCCGCTCCGGCGAGGACATCACCTACAACCAAGTCAACCTCAGCGTCTAGACCTGCTTCGAGCCCGCCATCGGCATCGTCGTCGCCTGCCTCTCCAACATGCGTCCATAGTTCAAGGTTATGCACGAGCGGGTCTGGTCGTGATACGTCTCAACAAACGCCAGCAACAAGAACAACTTCATGGGCAAGAACGAGAAGTCCGAATGGACTCGTGATACCCCCAGACCCAACGGCGACACCATGCATACGACCACCATGCACTCTTCTGATACTCGGACCTTCGACAGCCCTGCATGAAGCAGGTTGACAAAAGAAAGATACCCACTCCCGCAGGCGTCTATAGTACCCGGAGTTTTCTAGCAGTTTGATCAATGTTGGTTTTATGCTTGCATTCTAAGGCTCTCTGCCTAATCACTCATTTCGGTTGATATACTTTTTACGATCGGTTACTGTCGTCCATGCATTGAGTCGTTTGGAATTTCAATTATTTAGTCTTGGTATACTCCATACACATTATGCACCTGCTGAGTGTTGTTCTTTCGCCAACCTTAGCGATCACCTATCTGAGTCCATACATTCAAAGTGTTTCACATCTATAAATGCGATGGTGTCATGTTTCACCGCATATTTTTTGCGGCTGGCGGGGACATACCTAGCCAAAATCTAATCCTCTCGCTAGAACTTGAGCCTTCCAACACTCACATATCAACAACATCATCTCACTGGCAGCATAACCCCCAAGACTCGTGATCTGCACAAGATACAGCGATAGCAGAATGTCGATCCAACCCCTCCACAGGCAGATCTCAAGATTTGCGCAAACCCCAGTCCCGATTGGCGAGCGTGAAGCATCTCAGATGCCCTCCCCTCATTGCCAAGCGGGCCCCCATCGACGCCCGTCCCGCCCGCGACGCCCACATGACCGCGCGGCCTGCGCAATGACGAAGCCCCCAACCCTCCCATGCCGATCGGAGGATCATTCAAAGACCCAAACCCCCCGCGAGTCGCGAGGTATCACAAGCCCCATCCGTCGCACAATGCGTGGGCTCGACGAAAGTACCGACGTGCTGATCCGGGTTGGCCAGACGGCCGGCGAGCAGGTCAAGCATGGCTGGGACGCCTTTGTCAATTTTGCGGCTCGCGATAACGTGCTTGAGGTGGCACTGGGTTTGATGTAGGAGTTCCCTGCTTCTATAGTGGTGCTGGCTGAATTGCGCAGGGACTGGGCTGACCCAGGTCTATAGAATTGCTAATGCCTTTACGAAAGTCGTGACGTCCTTCGTGTCCGATATGGTCTTGCCGGTTATTTCAATGCTACCGTTCTTGAATCGGAATATGGGTCAGAAGTTCGCGGTGCTGTCGAAGGGGCCTCATTATGTTCAGGGGCAAGGGTACAATACTGTCAAGCAAGCTCGGGATGATGGGGCCTTGGTACTTGCGTGGGGGTATGTGAGATGCTAAAAGCAAGATCCCCACATATCGAAGTACCCAGTTCAATGATTTGCTGACTATTTCGTGTCACAGGAGTTTTATTGAGAATATGGTCAGCTTCATGGGGGTGAGCTTGACTCTGTTTGCGGTCGCTCACTTGTACATGGCCATCTCTCACAACAAGATCATCAAACCCACCGTCAGGTGCAGGTATTGCAAGAAATACATTAGTATCGAGGTGCGAATATATCCAGAACTACATTCCAGCTGGAGGGGATTCGTCACTAACTAGGCTTAGGCAAAACGCTGTCTGAACTGCTCAAGCTGGCAAGATGGTCGAGAGGACCTGCCTGGAGAGCACGAAGACCATGAAGACGAGGAGCTGACCGGTGATAGATCATGAGCTTGTCGGGTCTGATTTCTTTCAACCTTTTTCCTTTCTGTTTCCGATCTCGCATGACTACTAGAAATGCCTAAACCGATTATCTAAGAATATCAAATACACCGTTCCTTCCTACACTATATCTTACTCAAACGACCCTCCACAGAACGCCTCATCGAGGCTCGGCAGATATCATGAACTCCCACAGCCCCAGACAGCGACATTGTCCGACTAAGCTCTCGCTCCAGAATATTAATCACCGTCTCAACGCCCTCACTCCCATTATGCGCCAGTCCCCACAACGCCGGCCGACCGACCATAACGAAATCAGCCCCAAGAGCCATGGCCGTGAAGACATCGCTTCCACGTCGGACTCCGCCATCCAATATAACCGGAATACGACCCTTAACAGCCGCAACAATCTCAGGCAATGCTTGAATGGTCGAGGGCGCACAATCGAGCTGGCGACCGCCGTGATTCGACACAATGATCGCATCGGCCCCATACTCGATAGCAAGGAGCGCGTCTTCGGGAGCCATGACGCCCTTCAGAATAAGCTTCATCTTCGAATGCTCCCTCAAGAACCCGATCGTCTTTTCCATGTCAATGAGGCGCTACTTGCTCCATCGCCGATTGCCCGACGGATCTCGCGCGCGTGTCTGGCTGAGCGCGCGTCCATGAGCGTTCGATTCGACGTTGGCTTGTCGGACTTTTTTCCATAGTCCTTCCCGATATTAGCTAGTTGGAGACCTGGGGGTAGAATGAGCGGAGATTGGCGGTCGTTGATGCGGTTTCCCAGCATCGGCGTGTCGACGGTGAGGACGAGCGCTTTGTACCCCGTAGCTGGGCGATATTAGCAATCGTCGGGGTGCTGGATACCGAGGTACGATAGAAGGACCATTGTGTCGAGCATACCTTCCGCCCTCTTGATTAAAGGAATGCTGAGCTCCAATTTGCTTGCGAGGTATAACTGGAACCAAAAGGGCGTCCTGGATCCTATCTGCTGGTTTACGGACATCACATCTTCCAGCGAAGTGATCGAGTTGGAAGAGAGCGTCAGACTTAAGCCCATAGAGGCGGCTGCGCGAGAAACGTCCGTTTCCCCGTCGCCACCCGCTAGCCTTTGCATGGCGCTGGGTGCAATGCCGATGGGTATGGCGTACCCGTGGCCGAGCAGTTCGGTTGAGGTGTCTACCTTGGAGACATCGCGCAGGTTTCGAGGCCATGCTTACCCCGCACAAGAACATCGGAGTATGCAGAAAAGCCGATGGCACAAGCTCACAATGGGAAGTTCATAAGAGAGCTGTTAGGATTTACCACCTTTGATACGTTGCTGACAGTGGGGACAATGGTGTGAGCGTCGGAGTAAACCCCCTTGAGCAATTTTCTCACCAACTCTTCATACCAATTTTTCAACAACTCAGAAACTTGATTATACTAGCCATTTTCTCAATTTGTTACTTCAATGTCCCCCTTCAACATCCCCCTTCAGCAAATTCATCCGACGACTTAAACGATTCCACCGACAATTCCCTAAAGGTGAACCGTCCAGCGGTTCTTTTAATTATTAATCCTATAAAACAAATTCTGCTAACAAACCCCTCCTTTGATACCTTCCACGATCACCTAAAATTATTTCTTCAACGACCCTTCAACGACCCCCTCCAGTTAGTTCCAATGGCTTCTTACATGATGATGAATTCATTTGCCCGATGTAGCTTGCTCTAAATATATGCTGCTATGCGGGAATGCTGTCAGGCCTGCCGACAGCTTGAAGGTGGTCGCCAGCCCACTGAACGATTGTTTCCATGGGTTGCAACGCAAGCCCCTGATTGGTCGCCCGAGAATGTATGCAACCATGACAAAATAGACAAAATAAAGAAAAGAAATCCAAAACGAACGTCGCTTCCCCTCTACCCACTCTCCTTTCCACAATCAGACTTCATTCTCTGATCTACTTCATCCCCCACCGCCTTCATCTGCGCAGCCCTCTGGGCCGTCGGCTGCCGCTCCTGCGCTCGCTTGCATCAAGGGAGTACAGTGGACCTGGCACTGCACTCCTAACGGGCACCATCCTTCTCCTTCCGTCACACTGTCCTGAGGGGTCATCCTTTTTCGTCGCCTTTTTCCGTGCCGAGAGCCAATGGGTCGACTGCTTGAAACTGGTTTAAGAGACCTGTCCGGACCATGAATTCGGCCACAATTATGCGAGCCTCTGGCCGCGTCAGGAGCTCGTCGCGTCGCAGAGCAACTCCGCGGTTGGACAGAGCGTTTCTCATCCAGTTACGCTCATCTTGGAGTAGCGGGCATTCAAGCAAGATATGATCGACGGTCTGGTTCCCCAGATTGCAACCACATCTCGCTGACTCGCGCCGATTGATGCGAGTCAAGTAGGCAGCAAGGCCAATTCCAATTCGTCCAGTACGAAGCTGCATCAGAATGGACGCTGTCGCTTTCCGCAGGTCGGACCAGTATTCCAGGGTCTTCTTTGTTGGTCGTTCGACTAAGCGTTTCGTCGGTCGACCTGTTCTCTCTATAGACCATGACCTTTCCCACTCGATTTTTGCCTCGCGGCGAATGCGGCTTTTAGCTGCAGCTGCAAGGCGAATATAACGATTGTTTGGGTTTTGTGGTCCTTCTGGTTCCTGGGCCGCCTCCTTTGCGTGTCGGTCGACACGTTCATTGCCGGCCACTCCTTGATGAGCAGGTATCCACCTGAGGTGGATTTGACGGCCATTGGCTGCGTGTTGCCTTACCAGGTGGAGGCATTCTTCCAGGTAGACCTGTCCTGATGGCATCCGTGGTTGGCGGAGCGCCTTCAATGCCCCTTGGCTGTCTGCAAAGATGACAAGCCCGTTTCTCGCCTGTGCCGCCCACGGTTCTGTGGTCTCCAAGATTAATTTGAGTGCCATTTCGATGGCACTGAGCTCGGCAGCGTATACAGTGGACGTTTCTTCGCCGCCCATTTGGCTGTGAGCGTGGTGATCCTCGAGATCAACGACTACTGCTGCTCCAATTTTTCCCTCGATCCCACTCCCGTCGGTGTAGAGAATCAAGGGTCTTTCTCTTCGGTCTTTGGATAGAATGTGGTCGTGAGTTTTCACTGCCATCTCTCTGTCCTCGATGAACACTTCTGGCGGCGCTTGTCATGGTGCCTGGACGAATGCCTTCCGACTCTCCCAGTCTCTCGCCAAAGTTCCCGGGGGAGCCGTAAGGCATCCGCTCGTTTTCCAGGCTTGCGCCTCCATCGGTGTCCATCCAGACCAGTCTCTCTCGTCTACCGGTCGGCGTCGTAGCATTGTTGGTGGGGCAGCGAATACTGGTCCAGTCCGTAACCGTAAAGCCGTTTCTTTTACGAGGCGGTTCACGTCGGTGGGAGAATGTAAAGACACCATACAGTCTTTCTCGATAACGTAACCCACAAGCGAACCGCCCACACAAGCGAACCGCCCACCCCATCAATTTTGATCTGAGTACTATAACCTCTCTTTTATAACCATCCACCATGCCACCAAATCGATCTAGTTCTGCCCGATTTTCGCAGGATAGGCAGGGCAGAATCTCATTAGCCCTGCATGCCATTCAAAATGGTCAAATTACCTCTATTCGCAAAGCAGCACGCCAATTCGACGTCCCCTGGTCCACTCTACGCGATCGCGTCAACGGTCAACAAAGTCGCTCAGAAACACGCGCCAACAACCATAAATTGACAGAAGACGAGGAGAGATCACTTCTACAATGGGTGCTCTCTATGGATTCACGTGGATCAGCTCCTCGGCCTGCTATGGTGGCAGAAATGGCCAATCTTCTATTAGCCGAACGCTGTACGCAGACTGTTGGCGTCAACTGGGTCTACAACTTTGTTAATCGCCATGATGATCTTAAATCTCGGTTCTCTCGAAAGTACAACTACCAACGAGCAAAATGCGAGGATCCAAAGGTCATACGAGAGTGGTTCGACTTGGTTCAACGCACGATTAATGAGAACGGCATCCAACCTGACGATATATATAACTTTGATGAGACTGGCTTCGCAATGGGTCTTATTGCTACTGCAAAAGTCGTCACCCGTGCTGAATACTACGGTCGGAGATCTCTTAAACAACCTGGAAATCGTGAATGGGTCACATCTATCGAGTGTATTGGTGCGTCGGGCTTCAAATTACCACCTTGTCTTATCTTCAAATCCAAGACACATCACCAGGCTTGGTACGAAGATAAAGGGGTAGGACCGGACTGGAGGATCGAAATCAGTGATAATGGATGGACAACTGATGCTATTGGCCTTCGCTGGCTGAAAGATCTCTTTATTCCGAGTACGGCGAGCCGTACAAAGGGTAAATATCGTCTTCTAGTCCTTGATGGTCATGGTAGCCATTTGACACCTCAATTCGACCGACTTTGCGCTGAACATGATATTATACCAATTTGCATGCCAGCGCATTCATCTCATTTGCTACAACCACTAGATGTCGGGTGTTTTGCGAACCTAAAGCGCGCATATGGTGGCTTGGTTGAGCGAAAAGCTCGATGCAATATCAACCATATTGACAAGCTTGATTTCCTTGCCGCCTACCCGCACGCTCGCGAGATCTCATATCACTCGGATATAATTCAGAGCGCATTCGAATCTGCTGGTTTAATACCCTTTGATCCCGATCGGGTTATATCGAAGCTTAATATTCAGCTTCGAACACCAACCCCCCCAGGAAGCCGACCAGGAAGCCGATCAAGTGAGTGGAGCCCTACAACACCACTCAACACAAAACAATTATATCGGCAAGAATCTTCAGTCAAAGCTCTACTCAAATATCGATCCGTGAGCCCTCCAACGCCTACAAAGCATGTGGTAGAGCAGACTCTTAAAGGCTTCCATGTCACGCTTCAAAGGCTAGCGATGTTGGAGAAAGAAATCCGGGATTTGCGCGCTGCCAATGAGGTTCGGAAACAAAAACGCAAGAGGTCTAATAAACGCATCGACCGTACTGAAGGCATGTCAATTCAGGAGGGAAGAGACGTAATATTCAGTTCGAACCAAGCCGTTGAATCTCTGGATCCTGTTCATCCAGAACTAGCTCCGGTCGCAAATGAGACTAATACACCACGACAACGGGCGCCACCAAGATGCAGTGGTTGTGGAGGGATAGGGCATAAGATAAATAGATGTCCGAAGCAGTGATATCAATAATTTAATGGCGTTGTGGTTATTTTATATGCAAATCAAAATTATAGGTTGAGATGGGTGGGCGGTTCGCTTATGTGGGCGGTTCGCTTGTGGGTTACGTTATCGCCTTGACCAACACACACTTAATAACTCTTTCTGGACCCACCGCCAAGGTCTTAGCGCGAGTAAATTATTGAACGGGCCTCACTATACCAATCGCCTATATGTGTAGTTGTAACCGTGGGAATATCTGTTGTGATATATCATATTGTACCGGAAACAATTCCAGACCTCACGGAATTACCAGCTATGATTGGAAATCAATCTGGAGGCAGCATGCTGTATATAAGTCGTGAAGTTTCTTGTCTCTAGAATAAGAAGCAATCTTCCTCTGAATTACAACAATACCAACACAAATCCACTTGGTTTGCCGAAATAATCTAATGTCTTTATAAATTCCTACCTAAACCAAATTTGCAAATTAATGAAAGATATATAACTAGCTACTACATAATTTTTTAATTTGTCTAGACGAGGACTATAACAAGGCCAAAAATATAAGGACCTCGGTCTCACAAGCAAATGTGGTACCTCGGCTTGTCGCCAAGAAAACTGCTTAATCATGAGAGGCGGAACATCCATGGATGGATTGGCCATAACTTCAATTGCTCCGTATATCCAAACACCTATTTCATTTCATCCTGTGTCTGGTCTGGTCTCCACAGATTCTTGGATATGTCAATTTCGACTTCGGCGTGCTTTCTGCTGGGTTCGCTACCCTTACTGGTTTTCTCGGAATGGAAATCCAGATCACACATGGGCACGGCGGTATTCAAAATGCTCTCTTCAGTTGCTTTCCTTAGCAGCCCATTGCTCTTACCATCCACAGAGTGGTCAGACTATCGCCGTCTCATCACCATCGGTCTTAGCTTTTCCTTGCTGGGCGACTTTTTCTTATTCCTTCACGGCGTGAATTCCATGGCTTGGACAGTAAAAACCCGACCTCCGGCAAATCGGAAGCGCCAGGAAAAGTATCGATATCTTTCCAACTCGGTATCGTCGCCTTCGCAGCAGCTCATATAGCCTACACTGTAGCCTTCCTGCAAGATTCCTACGAGACCTCCTGGACAGCCTTTGCCGCCACGTTCGTAGGGGCAGTGGGCGCTGCAAAATGGTTGGGTGTTATATATCCCCGGCCACGTTCCTCACTCCAGAACAATGTACTGGACCTCGGTATTGCTCCGGATATGAAGCCATTGGTTTCTGTTTATGCCGTTATCATTGGTACAATGTTTGCTGCCGCTACATCCACGTCCCCGTTGATCGTTCCAACCAGCTGGTTGCACTCGCGAGCCCTGGGGGCTGCTATGTTTGTTGTCAGCGACCTTTTTGTTGCGAAGAATGCATTCGGGAGATCTTCTGAGCCGAAAAGCCGTGGGTGGCTCTGGATCTTTGTGGGTTATGCGCTTTATTTCTGGGCCCAAATGGTGATCGCTGGAACAGTGGGAGCATAATGATGAAATTACTGTAATTTATGGGGATTTATCATCCAATATACATGGGTAAATGTAAGGCCGACGGAAAGATATCCTCATACGGACATGTTCGCTTGAGGCGGGGCTTTGGGAAATAAAGAGAGAGAATGGAGGTAAAACTGATTTCGAATATCGCTGTATCACTAAATTATCTGTTACACTGGGACAGTTCTAAGCTCCCTCGGTGTCCCAAACCAGCTTGTCACCAGCCAGTACTTGATATTCCCCATCATGGGCAAAAGGAGAACTCAACACCCTCTATCTCACACATTTTCCTTATATCCTCGAATCCTTCCTTCGTGCTGTGTGGCACCCGATAGTCACCCTCGTTATTGGCACTGTGTCCACGAGGAGGCGCGGAGAACATTCTTACCCCAGTCGAACACGCAGAATGGGAACGACTGAGAGGTAGACTAAATGTCTGAAACCGTGTGTACGTCCGACTTGTATTTCCAGCCACCGCCAACCATCATAGAATTCGAACTTTGCTAAATCTCGAGGTCAACTAGGTACGGCATTTGGTGCGCTGGAGGATGTTTAATGTTAAGGTAAAGGGATGTTGAATGGATCGGCCAGTGAATTTGGTTGTTGCAGGACATTAAGCATATACTAGACAGAGTAGAAAGCCTGAATGGAGGAAATAATGGGCCTTTGCATTCACATAATGATAAGGGGAAAGAAAACCCTTGGAATTATCGGAACCCCCACATTAAGGCTCCAGAAAAACACTATCGGTGTGTATCAACCGTAGTCTATTCTATTGGCCTTGAACCGGAACCCGTTGATTCTGCAATTTATTTACCTATTTTAGCCAGTAAAATCATTTCGTTTCAGGGTACGACTACTATATATTGAAGAGGGGAACGCTCGATGGCTGCACGCGCTGAGACGTGCGGGTCGATTCAGCAGAAAAACCATCACAAAACACACGCGTATCAATCAGGAAATAGCGAGAAGCCCAAATGTAGGGGTCAGGTCGGGAAGGTGTAAGGTGTATTCTAGAACTAGCTATCCGGCCGCTGTATACTGCCGGTTATGTCACATAGCCTGGATGGCACCCATGTACTAGGGGGAAGGGGTCTCCCCACTACAATATATATATCCCTGTACGTACAAAGTTGTGTCGGGCTTCCTGAAAACGAACTTAGAGCCTCGTCAAGGCCTCTCATGGCCAAAGTGCCATTTCCAACGTTAGGTTGCCCCCGTGGCGCGCGACCCTTGAACCGTTGTGACGCCTCGGCGAAGTCTACAGTAAACTCCCGTCTTCGGCATGACCAGGTTAGGCACACATTTCCATTAGGCACCAAAATTCCGTGGATGGACCCACTTCTTAGAGTTTTATCATATATAAGGAAGACCAACTGGCACACTCTTATCTGGCACAAAAAATTCTCTTTTATTCTGCTTAGTCATATCAACACAGCCAATCAGAATGCTGGGTTCTATCCCTTCCACCCCATCTTCGGTCGCCCTGTAAGCCAAGCTACCAATACCAAAACAGCCTAACAAAGACATATCCGACGCTCAGAAAAAAGCACTCCGTGTCTATGCATCTGAGACACGCCCTAAACCTACTCAGAGAGCATGTGCTGAGTGGTTTGCATCTAAATTCAGGCGTCATATCAACCGTGCAACCGTCTTAAAGATCCTTTCATCTAAATACGAGTACCTTGATACGGGTTTTGCTGGCCAGAACAAACGCCCGTTAGCACCTCGATGGCCTCTGTTAGACGAGGCCCTACATATCTGGCAACAACGTCACGAGGCTGCCGGCTTTCCCATAACATGGCCATTGATTCAGAGCAAGGCCGTCGAATTTTGGAGGAAAATACCCTAGTATAAAGACCGCGACCCGCCGCTCTTCTCTGAAGGGTGACTTTCCCGGTTCAAACAGCGCCATTCGATCCGATATTATACCTCCTACAGCGAATCTGCATTAGTCCCGACCTCAATATATACTGAGATAGAAGCTATTCAGGCTATCTGCGACCAATATCAGCCAAATAATATCTATAATATAGATGAAACTGGTCTATTCTGGCGTCGAATGCCAAATAGAGGTCTATCAAGTAAGGGTAGTCCTGGATACAAAAAAGATAAGACCAGGATTACTCTCGCAGTGACGACTAATGCCACTGGTTCAGACCGAATGCCTCTATGGTTAATAGGCACTGCAAAAATGCCTTATGCTCTACGAAAACTTAATATCTTAGCACTTAGATGTGTCTGGCGGTGGAACAAGAACGCATGGATGCGCGGTGATGTTATGGAAGAATGGTTCCGCTCGTTTTATAGGCATATTGGCTCACAAAGACGAGTTGTTCTATTACAGATTCAAATCGGAAGTTATGGTTGAGAATGGATACTCTTACTACCCTAGGGTATCTCCATCTCTTATACTGCACTTCCTCGACTAGCGAAGGAATAAAAATAAACTGATTTTCCGGAATGCTCTACCGTCGAGGCTCACTCTGAATCACGATATAAAGACCTCTAGGAGACGAATAAAGAGACGAGAATACATGAGGCTATACTCGATGAATGAAATAAGTCGGTCATCTCAAACATCTGATCTAGATAATGGGAGTCACGTGGCTGCTTTGTGTCCTTTGCGCCGCCTGCGGGGTTCCGCGGTTTCGTTTCCGAGCACCTCGAAACACGAGCCCATCTGCATCCACCTTGCGCCTCCCAACTTTCTTATTGTTGAGTCCGTGCAAACAGTCCCAGGCAGCACCATGTCGATTGTCCACATTGTTCTGTTCCAGTTCAAAGCCGGCCTTGATGCGAAAGTGATCAATGAGGTATGATGACTGAACCCCAGTTTCGTGGAACTAGATGCCAAGGACGTTTTGCCTCAGACATGCCAACGGTTAGTCGGGCTGAAAGACAATTGTCTCCATCCTTCATCCCAAAAGCCCTACATGAAGGTATCCTCGGGAGGAGCTGATAATTCGCCGGAGGGAATTCAGGTGAGTTGACATCGAGGAATCTCATATGGACTCATGATGTACAATTCTTCAGTCTTCGCAAGACACTGACATGAAACTATCGTTTCCAGAATGGCATCACACATGCTTTTGTTATGGAATTTGCTAGCGCAGCAGACCGAGACTATTATTGCAAGGAGGACCCCGTGCATCTGGAATTCGTCCGCAGCCTGAGCGGCCTGCTGGAAAAAGCCCAGGTGATCGACTACAGCCCTGGGGTATTTTAGCTGCCTGCTGCACCGCCATACTACCATTTTAGAAGACAATATACTGCCATCTCGGAAGACGGCACCAGCAAGCGTGCAAGCATTTGAACTGGCGCTGCCAAGCAACGGAAACCCAGCCTGCGTGGTCTTGGCAACCAGTTCTGACGTCACCGGAGCTAAGGGTCTGTACATAGATCAGAGACTAGATGCATTTCTGGACCTAGTGCTAAGCAATATTAGCACCCGCGAACTACCGTGTAAATCTACCCCGCAGGCCAATTCCAAACCTTGCTATTTTTAACGCCCTCTGTGTGGAGTGCGAATCCTGGTGCCTTGAATGATCATCATGATCTGGGCGGGAGTCGGAAGCTGAGAGGGGGCCGATGAATGCCGGGATGTGTCAAACGCGGAGACTTCCCGAAACCCTTTCTTGGTTTATAAAAGCGCGACCCCGTTCAACAAATTCAACAATTGAACGCATCAAACTTGTCATTCTCATCAACGCCAAATTTAACAACCGTTGCTATTTACATTTACTGATATCCGTCCCTCGATTCATCATGCGCGCCTCACCTCTGCTGTATGCTTTTGCTCTGGCATCATATGTCGTCGCTGGAGACATCGATGCCAATGACCTTCCATCAGAGTGCAAGGACGTGTGTGCTTCGGTTGTTAGCCTGACCTCGTCCTGCGACAAGAAAACAAATAACGATGACACTGCCGAGCTGGATTGCATCTGCAAGGATCCCCGTGCAGCCAAGAGTCTTCCCGAATGTGATGCCTGTATTACTAAATACAGCAAAGACGGGCGTGACAATGGTACGGTGTCAGGCCTCGAAACAAATTGCCAAGATAGCTAATGTAGGAATAGATGCCAACGACCTTGTTCGATCCTGCTCATTCACTACCACCGAATACTCAGCCACAGCTACCTCTGCCTCGGGAAGTCCTGAGAAGTCTATTATGACTACTACGGTGTCAGGATCTTCTACTGTCATGACGATGACGGGGTCCAAATCTGCGACAGGCAGCTCGACTGCTTCCAATACCGCTGCCACCACCTCCAACGCGGCACTTGCGTCTTTCGAAACAAGCGGCAGTGTGATGGGTGCACTATTCGTTAGCTTGATGGCGCTTGTTGGAGTCTAACGATATGAGCGGGGATCATGGGCTGTTGATTATCTCAATATGTACTGTACAATTGGATATGGATTCAGGGAATAGCATGCAAATCTAGTCTTTAGTGCAATGATGTTATCATGATCATGGTCTAGCCCGGAATAGAAACTATTTTTCTTTTCACAACATGATATCGGACACTGAGATAACCTCGTGATGTGTTGCAAAATGTGATGATGTGGCTGCCAACCCGTCCGAGTTGATTGGGTGGGTGAGACCTTGAAACATTGTAATAGACACAACTGAATGGATAAATATCAGGGGCTTCAAAAAATGAGTAACAGAACCAGACAGCCTGTAAAACGTGGAACACACACTACTTCCACTGATAGATGAAGGGGATATGGCCGCATCAAACCCAACACTTAGTCAATCGGTCAAGACGCGATATCCTACGGAGCAGACACGGAGCAAGCTTGAATTTTTATCCCAGGATTATATTGTTTTGATGGTATCCAATGGTCATTTCAAGGCTGTCAGGCGAACGAAAACCCAATCATTAGAAATAGTGATAAAGATACAGCCTGCAAAATTGCCTTCGCCTTGATCACCATGGGACCGTGTGATCTATAACCAGCCAAATTTACATGCATTCTTTCCGCCGAGAAAAGCAAAAGCACACCCTTCTATCAAAAAAAAGGTCAAAATAAAAGGAGAAAAATGTTACTGAAAATAATGGTAAGCTGTACTGTGGCACGCTGGAGGTAATTCGGTGCAGGTTCAGCGAGTGCCTAGCCCTTGGTCACAGCTTCCGTTGTCGGTGGTTCCTTAGTTGGTCACCTTGGCGGCAGAGGGAGCACCAGTGTAGAGAACCAGCAGGATGATGGTCAGAGCAACACCGGCCATGATACCCTTAGCCTGGGCAGGATTGGCGCGACGGTACTCACCAACCTGCAGGCGGACATCAGTGGTGAGAGCCTGGATCTTCTCGGCACCCAGCTTGTAGTAGACCAGTCCGACCAGAGCGATGGAGTAGCCGAAGAACTGCAGGGGAGTGACGGGGTCACGGAAGATGACCATAGAGGCGACAACCAAAAGAATGTCCTTCAGGATACCAGCCATGGTCAGGACAACAGCAGAAGTCTTGCCAATCTGTGAAGGAGTTAGCGAAGGTCCTTCTGGTCTAATCACATCCAGGGTATGCTTACCAGGAGCACGACGGAAGCGTTCAGCAGGAAGGCGACCAGGGCGTTGGCGATAAGAGTCATAATACCAAGGCCGTAAATGTCATTCATAGTCATGCGGGGAAGGTCGGTGAAGAGAGTGATGACACCGTTGGTGACGGCGCAGGCGGGGGCGTAGTAGTACAGGGAGACAAGTGGATCCATCTTGAACTCGGCGGAGCTGAGGAGACGCTGGACCATGACCAGACGCAGGGCCTCGAAGATGATACCACCGACCTGGATGAGAAAACCGAGGAGGTCGAACTTGATCTCACCGACGGAGGCAATCATGACACCGATGACAATGATACCGACGTTGGCCAGAGTCTTCATGCTGGTGGGGGCGATGCCGAAAGCCCAGGTGGCAACCAAGGTCACAACGACGTTGGTAGCCTACAGAAGAGAAAACAGTTAGCTCCTATCGCATTACGATGGAGCAATTTTTGGTTTTGGGAAATTTATTTACCTTCAGCATCTGGATGAAGGACACACTCAGGTAGAGGTAGGCCAGGTTACCACAGATCAGAGATAGGGAGAACATGATGCCAATGGGGACAATGGCACGGCTGTTGAAGTGCGCAGTTAGCAACCGTTCATCGGGAATATATCCGAAGATTCGCATCTGGGTTCAATACGACAGGTACTTACGTGTAGGTGGCAGGGGTCATGGGAACCTTGTGGCGAGAATCCAGGACGGTGGTGAACTTGGCCAGGATCTGGGTCATGGCGGTCGCGAACAGCATGTGCCATGTCGTCAGGAACAGGGCTGGAAGGGATGTTGTTAGTAGGGTCTTCGATGCGAAAGGGCGATGCCGGGATGCCGATGGCTGGATGAAGGCGACTCACGGAATTCTAGAAGCAATTTCGAGTTAGTTGTGAAATTCCTATTTCCACTTCATCCGCAGGGCGAGTGGTATTTTTCCCTCTCCCCCAGGACTCGGAACCGCGACTTACCGAACTTGGCAGTGTGCAGGACCCATTTATTGAACAGAATGACGCTGGAACTCAGGGCAATCCACAGGCTGATGAATGTTTAGCGATTGCCATTGCGAGCAAGGGGAGTGAGAACGCACGCAATGTAGAAGGCGGGGTGAATGCCATTGCTTTGAGGGGCGGTAGCGCCGTTCTCGAGCTTGCGTTCGTCCTTGTTGTTGGCAGCCATTGCGAGAAGTCGTAAAAGAGTGACTGAGGTGAGTGAGTGTAGATGGAAAAATGCCGGAAGGGGGTCTTTAGGGGCAAAGAAACCCAGCCAGGATCCGCATGGGGCGGTGACCCATTGGGGGATTGTGATTGGCGGGCCCCTTTGGGGGACACGTCGACGAGTGGAGCCCGGCCGGTTTCAGGATTTGCCTGCTTGCGGCGTCCGTCAGGGTCTCCCGCTTGCTCGCTGCAGGGCCCGCGTTGCTTGTTCCGGTGGACCCTGCTGACCTATTCGGCCTCGACCTATCGCGCCATATTAGATCCAGCGTGTCGAACCCCTTTTCCGGGCTGTGTGCTTTTGTGCTCGACCCGTTGCGACGATCAGGGGCACAAGGCAAAGGACAGATGGTGCAAACAAGTACTCACTCTGCAGGACCTTCTTATTGAAAACGATGCTAGCAACGATGATTAGACGGCATTTGATACAGCCTGCTCCACTCCTAGCCCTCGCCTATTCAACCCGAAGTGTGTGATTCGCCCTCTCCAGATTACCATACTGCGGAATGAAGCACAGGCCCGATGCCACCCACGCCAGTCACGAACCCCCGAAGCATCCTGTTGCTGGATATCCAGCAAATTCCCGTCGAGATTTACGATCAGGAGAACGTTTATGGAAGCCAATCAGACCCTGTGACTTCATAGTCGCCTTTTACGCGGCGATATGCTTGTCAGCAGCATACTTGCCCAAACCATATCATACTACTCTATGCGTTCGGCATGGGCTCGACCAACTCGGTGATGTGGTCTCCCACTCTCTTGATAATTTAAGCACCCTTTCCCTCAACGCGCTGGATAGGGTCAGCTTGATGAGACCAGATAGTGATTCTTATCGCGCGCGATTTTGGCACCACTCCGGAATCCAGGGCCGCTTCGTTGGTCCTGCGCAAAGCCCACATAGGTCACAGAAAATTCGGGTGTCAAATATAGGCGTCGAAGAGGAGCCGACTACCCACGAATTTGATATCAGAGCTCTAGGGCGAGTTGGAGGGATCCTATGCCAACTATAGCCTTTCTTGAGATGGCCCCCATCCAAGCTTGTCTAACCTTAGCACACTTACTCTGGGAGCCTCGTCGAGGTGCTAGCAGCCATCATTTAGCCCTTCAATGGCTGAATGAGGATCTTTCATTCCTGCAAGACAAAGACAATGCAATAACCACAAATTCTGCCTGTGCTGGATTTGACTTAATCCGGCATGAGACGGACACTGCCAGTGACAATGCCAGCGTTTGGGTTGAATAACTATAGTATTCTACTGAATCATGCTCGTGTGGGTCTGTCTTGAAGCAGGAATTAATCACCCCCCCAATCAGCATTCAACTGTCATGCCTACTATCTCGCTTACTCATGCAAAGTACTCGGCCGTTTACGCTTAGGGGCTTGCGAAGTATGGAAACGTCCTTAATTTATTTTTACTTTTCCTTTTTCGTTGCATGAATGAAACAAACAGTAAATTTTCGAAACTTCGGAGAGCAGCCGTCGTTAAGGCTCGGCTGCACGGTACATGCTGGCGCACCTGGTGTAACTCTGGAAGAGACGGCCTTATCGCCCACCCCGCATTGAATCGCTCGGTGGGACGAACTCATCACATCCTGCAAGAATGATGTATATTTTCACGTCCTTTCAAAGTGCCTTTCACTTTCTCTCCAAGAAGTGATAATGAATACAGTACTAGCAGACACATCTCAAGCAGCCAACTGCGACCATATCCCGGTCATCGATCTATCTCATATCGATAGTCCGTACTTCGAGCAACGCCAGGAACTTTCCCGAACAGTCTACGATGCCTATACCCAGGTCTGTTTCTTCCACATCAGGGTACTGTAAGGTCTCTTCTTGGATCCTGTTATGATACCACTTTCTCACATCGGATTTGTAATAGAATCATGGTATCCCTGAAAGCATGATCACCCGGATTCACGACGTAGCAGCGAAATTCTTTAGTGTTGCCGACGAACAAAAGATGAAATTCTATGTCGGAAATTCCAAGGTCAGTTCACTGTCACCTTTGTGAGCTTCTAGTAATTTATGAGAAGCCCCAAACTCATTTAACCACAGAAATTCCACGGCTATAGCCCTATCGGAGCTGAACAGGCCACGGGAACAGACGACCACCCGATTTCCGAAGAAGAAGCCATGGGGGTTCTCTCTGAGAACTTCGTCATTGACTATGGAACCCAAATGGATTCACAGAGATCGGAAGGTGACCCTCTCCCTCCGGATACATATGGACTTTATGGCGACAACCAATGACCCGACGACGAGACTCTCGCTGGTTTCTCTAAAAAATACATCCAATACTGTTCCGCAGTCCTCAACCTCTGTCGAAAGATGATGCGCATATTTGCATTGGCTTTGGATGTCCCCGGGACGTTTTTTGACTCGAAAATCCGAAATCCGGGAATCACATCGAGGATGATGCACTATCCACCCCAGCCCGTGGGGGAGAGGCGCGAAGGACTCGGGGCTCATACAGTTTGTCTATGACCTTGATACCACTGACCAATTGATCACTGCTAGAATCATGCTTTTGTCTAGGACTTCGAGTGCTTTACTATTCTTTCCCAGGGCAAAGCACCTGGACTGCAGGTTCTTAATTACGGCGGCGAGTGGGTCCTGGCACCCCCTATCCCGGGTACATTAGTTGTGAACATTGCAGATTGTTTGTCGACCTGGTAAGACACCATCGTGCAGATACCAAGCTGTACAATTGCAGTTACATATTCACAGGACAAACAAAAACTTCAAGTCTACGATCCATCGAGTAGCCAATCTATCGGGCGAGGAGCGATATTCAATCCCATTCTTTTTGGAATTGACTACTATGCCACCGTGTCTGTCCTGGAAAATCACACATCGAAAGACAACCCACCATGCAGAGCCCCTTTCAAAGCTGGCGAGGTAGACTTCACCCCGAGGACACCTGGAATAAGACATTATCAAAGGATCCTACTGACTCTCTGCAGTGGATACGCGAGAAGATATCCAAGGCTTATGTTGGGTATGAAGGGTAGACAGCCACAAGACTCGAGCTCATCAACACGATTTCTCATTTCTTCTGTCCTAATAATGTCGCCACCGACAGTCGAAGCTTCTGCCGAATGGTCTTGAAAATGTTCAAAATAGCATCGGCAGATTCATGATGACGCGCCCAAGGCTCCGTTTTCAATATCACCATATCGATCAACTCATTGAAATCCGGCACAAGGAAACTGAGAGAGGGCGTGGCTTTGGCCATGGTGATAACAAACACAGCAGCCAGCAGACTTGCATTCAGAAACATCAGCACAGACACCTCGAGGTCAGAATGCAAGTATTCTTACGCTTGTAGACGCAACCAGGTGGAATGGGTTCTCCTTTCAAGGAGCGGCATGGTTGCACGCAAAAACATCCGACAACTGTCTACACAGGACTCACAGTTTGCTTTGACGTATTCTGATAAATGTGTTTCCTTTGAAACGGCAGCGAAAACAAGACAGGGTCGACAGATTATATGTTTTGCCGCATAGTACCTTGTGCGCATCTGACTATCTTGCAGGTCCTGAGGGTTTGGATCTCGGAGATCAGGTTTGATTGAATCAGGGAGAGAGTCGATCCAAACCTTGAGCTGTCGTCTGAGTTCAATATTGACTGTTTCCAATGATTCTATCGAGGGCTCGTAGTTAAGTCGGGACTGGCCTGTTGTATTTCCTCGTGGAAGACCCTTGTCCGGACTGCCAGCCTCAGTTGAATACATCGTATTATGGATCCTATTCAACAGTTTCCGAATCGAACACATAGATAGAAATATGAGGTTGCTTCTTTCGGTCGGGTTCGAAAATTCGGGGAAGGGTAGCCTTTCAACGAGGACCTCGATTCCACTACGAGGAAAGTGGAATTCGGCAAGATCGTCACTGGAGGTTCGAAGTTTTATTTAGCTGAGAAGAAAGTGTAGGGAGCATAGTCATTACCATTCGAGGATATAACAGCCCCAGGCAATTCGATTCAGTAAGGCGCTTTGCTCTGGCGGCACAATCCCATCATTCAGGCTAAACTTGTTAGGTCGCTCTACCTTGAGCCAAACAAGCAGGGTTGCAAAGGACTCACTATGAGAGAATAAGCTGAACACTCGTAGAAGCACTGTGTATCATTTTCCATGATAGGAGTGGGCGTCCACTATAGCGGAAATACAATGATGCAAAGTAGAATGTCAAAGGAACATTCGGGTCTCTCGAAAACATTGCATTTTCTTGGGCCAGTATTATCTGGTACGCATGTGCAAAATAATCCGCACCCTTATTATTCATCGAGAACTCCATATCAAAAATATCTCCTGGACCGGAGCATATCTCCCCAAGAGCTAGCACCGTGAGACACAATGCAGCATCAATATCATTTGTCTGGCCATTTGCCAGAAATTTCTCAAACCGTTCCAAGAAGGGCCCCCTTTCTAGAACAGGGTGCTGGGAGTGGACGTGAGTGAAAAAGCTCATGATCAAACAGTCTGTGGCCTCTCGCTGTTGTACCAGCTCCTCGTGAATCATGTCTCTGGGCGTCTGCGACATCAAGATAGGCGGTTTGCGCTCGAACTCGAGAAACAAGAAGAAATCATGCGGGTAATGACCGATAAGCTTCTTTATGGGGTCAAGCCCCAGCAGGTTGGCTGTTGGCGTCTGGTGTCCTAGTGGAATGAGAATCGGATCATTTTCCATATATCCATACCCGATACTAGTATTCGCCAATATTGAAGTATCAGCCGGCAGGAAGCTTGTCGTCGAATGAAGGCTTTGCCTTCGCACTTGTGAAGAGACCGAAGGACTGGCTTGTGAGTAGTTGATCGCATCGGAATTCGAAGCGATGGACAAAAATCGATCCGATAAGGCGGTGATCACCGCTGTCTGATGCTGGACAAGGCTCTCTAGCCGATCCAGGCGATGCAAGAGCTCTGCCGATCCATCTCCTACAGTTCTGTCCAGAATGTGAGTATGGTTAACCGATCTTACACAGCCCGGTTGTCTGACTTTTCACTCTGATTTTCTTGGTACTCGCATTGGGCGCCTGCACTCTCGCAAAATCCACAGGATGGCCTCTGGCCATCACACTTTCGTTTTCTAGGGAGAGGTTATGACAATGCGCAAAGACAAACGTGCATGATGCTACTTACCGGTGCCTGCAGAAGATGCATGCGACCAGAGCGCGTTTCCGAGGGAAATCCATTAGATTGCGCGGCGCTGTGAGTGGCAGCGAAGGTCTGGGGAAAGGTGGGGCGTCGGTTTGGCGGGGAGTCGCGTTTACAACGAACGCCCTTAATAATCACCGCCGTCAGCACGCCTTCCTTCTGCGCTAGGGCCAACACTTCGATATCAGACATTGAACATCGTTGTAAATTCCGTATCGCTCTAACCTAAAACTCGCTATTTACTCCGCCTCCGACTCCAATCAATACCCCTTTACCCCCGCCAACTGAAGCAAGCGTTCAGAGTATTCGGGCTTCTCTAAAGGCAGAGGTCGATTGCGAGGGTCCACGCTTCCATCAGAGAAACATGCTTCTCTCTCACGAATGACAACGTTATCGTGCGCCCAGTGAGTCGTCGCAAGAAATGAGTCGAAGGCCTCTCTCTTTCGTTCAAGGGTCTCGGTCGTAGCCAAGTTCGCGGGCGAATAAGACGCATAGATTACGGTCCTGATGGTATTACTTTCAGGGGTGGGCTCACCACCCCAATGCACCGTACGAGAGTCCCAAACGATCAAATCACCGGGCTCCGCGAGTACCTTGATGGGCTTCATCCCCCGGGACCCGAACCACTCCATCTCGTCTTCGCTGATGAAGCGAAAGTCCTTCTTCTCCCACGTCGTTGAGTCGGTTTCCGCATCGAAGAATCCCTCGATAGCAGTATTCGACTTTGGGAGCACAATAAGCGATCCATCCTCAGGACCGGCATGACTGAGGTTGATGATCCCCTGGACACAGTGCATACCGCGGCGCATAGGTGACTGGTCAACATGAGGCCAGGGCTTCAGAGCCGATTTGTCCTCCCTGTTTGGCAGAGTCACGTTCAGGGCATCGAAAGAGACAAGCAACTCGTCTGTACCCCAGAGTTTTGCAAATACATCCAGTATTCTGGGTTCCATGCGAGCTTCCCACATGAACTTCTCGTGGACGACTGAATAGTGTTTGAAGGTATTTACATTGCTCTGGATGGGCAGGTTCTCTGATGTCCAGGTCGAGCGATCTTGAAGATCAAGGGGAGTGTCAAATGACTGAAGCCAATCAAGGGCCTTTTGTTGGTAATAGCGGGCTTTCTCGGTGTCGATTGCATTCTTGACGACAGCGTATCCCTGCGACTGGAGATCATCGCGCCAATCCCCGTATGGGCCGCTCAGCCTGGAGAGATGTTAGCTTTTGGAGAATTGCTCGCACAGGCCTTGAGACTCACTTGAACGTTGATTTCTTAAGTGTCACGGCCGAGATGGTGGTGAACGACATGATTCCGAGTCAGATGAATCCTGGAGTGTTCAACAGTTTCAAGCTTGGTTTGATCTGAAGACCAAAGTGACGTATTTATAGCATGAGGAGATCCTCTTCCCCGCTCGCTGAATTCCTAAGCGAGAGTTCACACCACATCGATTGCATATTACAAGTTACCATCGCGAATTTCTGACTGGCGAGTCTACTAAGACAAGATCCCCGCCGCGGGTATACGGGCCACCATCCCGCTCACGCCCTGAGGCCGCCTCTCACTGGCCATCGGCAAAAGCGGATCAAGTTCCCCGCCAACACAGCATGGGCGCGGTTCACCTGAATCAAAATATCACGAATCTATGAAGATCCTTGCATTTGATTCTCATGTGCCCCAGAAACTAGTCAGAAAAAGCAATGCTGTACTAAATTACTAACGGCTCCATGACCCTGACTTTGCCATCAGAATCATTCCCAGCAATCGAACGGTATGGAGTATGGGGCTGATATCTACAGCATAAAAGTGAACCGAAACGCATTGCTATCTGGCCACTCGTTCAAATCACCGCAAATTAGTCATGGTGCAATAATAACTAGTGATTGTGTCCATCTTTTGAATACTATCCAACCGTCTATTTGGCACGGCGAGATTTGGAACTCTGCACAACCGTAGCAGATATGAGGTACCCCTTAAGGTATTTCAGCTCAAAGCTGCGAATCCATTGTTTGAGAAGAGCTTTTCTTGGTTCAATCTAATAGCATGGCAGGTTCTTAAGAGGATTTTTGCTTTTAATTTCGAAGTAGCATGCATTTCTAGAGTCGACGACCCACTCATGGCTAGCCTCTTGCTTTTTCCAGAATTTGTGATATCCTATGTATAGAACGGCCCACGCGATCTTTCGAATCGGCTCGATCCAATGAGACGCTCACTACCATCCAAATTCATTCTCCACTCATTTCTCAATTCCATCGCATCAAAACCATCTCGGGATTCGACCTGAAAAGGGATGAAGCCATGTCCCCACATAGTCAGCCAAAGTATATGGAGTTGGATCAAAACTCCAGATGTGGAGTAAATATACCTCCTTAATGTACGCGTCTGCCTATGCCTCAATCCGAACTGACGAATAGAATGATCCGGTGTCTGGGGACGAGGGAGATTGATTAATTTGATCCTTATTTTTAGGACACTAACTGATCCTAGCGGCCGATAGTGGCGCCTTTTTCCGTGCGTATTCGGATTTGGGTCTCCACTTTTCCAATCTAGGCCTGTCTGCGTTCCAGAATCTCTTGGACCTGGGCTGTCAAAACATTGGCATTCAATATTACCTGCGGCTCCGCGCCCTTTTCGATTCCAACCTTCCATTGACATCGTTCTCCATGGCCGGTCGACACAATGCAGTCCGGCAACGTGGGAGTGGTCAACACCACGTCTGCCCCTATCCAGGCCTTTTCTAAAAACCGAGCCAGCGCCCGCGTTGCGTACATGAAGACGGCGCTGTCGACCCACAATCACAGGCAATACATTGAACTTGACGATTTTCATGCGCCCACGAGCCCCGTTCAAAGGCGCAATCGCCACGCCGTCCGCAAGAAGCGTCTCTACAATTTTTACTTTCCGGACACTTTCTGGACTCGATCATTCGCTGTCGTCGGGATAGTTGAGACACTTTTCACGGTGGGAATCGAGAGGTATCTCCAACCCCTTCACGGCTCCTTCCAGCACTCTATTCTGACATTAGCCTTACGTCTAGCTGGATCATCTTCAGCATTTCCAAGGAATTCTCTAATGACAAAACGAGCGACGGGATATTGCGGCTTCGATCCTTCCTCGGCCTCTACATATTCGCCCTTTTCTACGAACTTGCCCTCTCCTACGATGCATTACGACGCAAGAACACATTCCAGCTGACCGGGCTTTGCATTTGCAACTTCGGGCTCTTTCTCTACGGAGGAATTCAAATGAAGGAAATTCATGAGACCATCAGCAACTTGTCAGGGACCGCGAGATCGGGAAGTCGGCTATGGCGAACCTATCTCATTGAATTGATTCTAGTTCCGGTATTTCTGGGTGTTTGCACGGTCATCATGGCTTTTGTGACGTGGAAATTGCGTGCTGAATTTTCTTGGACTATTTACAAGAGTATCAACGCCGACCTGCAGATGAGTCGTCGATATTTTACATACCAGGTTTGTTTGATATGGCGGTAGAGGGAGAGGACCGTCGTTAATGGGTATAGGTATTCATCGCACTACTCAAATTCGACTTCTTCTTCGTCTTCGGCACACAACTACAGATCTTACTGGCAATGAACGACTTCACAGCCAACGAATTCATCATCCAAGCTGCAATGATTCCTCTCGCCATTCTAAGCTTGACATTGGGAGCACGCTTCTGTCGACTAGAGAAGCGAAAGTCCCTCATTTGCATTATGGTGGGCACATGTGTCCAAATTTCCTGGCACTTGTGAGAAGCTAACTCTCGATCCAGTTCCTCATTCTCGTCGTCATAGCCAGCTTCGTCAATACCTTATTCCAAATATATGGGCCGTCAAACCAGGCCGGCTTGAAAAGTTTCAAGTTCTCTTTGACACTGTTTTCTATTCTAGCAATATTGCTTCTCACTGTGACGTTAGTAAACGCAATCTTGTGTATCGTCAATTTTAAGAAGGGACTGAAGGAGCATATTGATATCTCGCGAAGGAAGAAACCCGCCGCACATGCGGAGGACTCCTGGGCTGGCGATAATAAATCACGCTTTGTGCTCAATTAGACAGTCTGGGCTGATGATTCGTCATGTCAATTTGCACCTACATACACAGTATAATGTCTGTTAAATGAGAGCTCCCTAATAAAACTGCCGCTGCTTCTATGAGGGTGCTCCAGGTAAAGCTCATTGAGTATATGTCAGAATAGACTCAGACTCAGTGAACAGATCAAGATGGTCATATGACTGATGACTATGATCAGCGACCAGTAACTAACTAATGTAGCGGGGAGACCCCTCCCCCTACTACATGGGTGCCATCCATGCTATGTGACATAGCCTGCAGTATACGGTGGCCGGTTAGCTAGTTCTAGAATACACCTTCTTACACCTCCCCGACCGGACCCCTACATTTGGGTTTCTCGCTATTTCCTGACAGCTACGCGTGTGTTTTGTGGTGGTTTTCTGCTGAATCGACCCGCACGTCTCAGCGCGTGCTGCCATCGAGCGTTCACTCCTTCACTAACTAGTTAACTAGTTGGTTAGCTAAGCTCAAGAATATAACAGCCAATTGTGGACTTGGATGGAGGCCCTGGGCTCGACAAATAGGGGTTCGAATAGTACAGGTTCGGGAGGGGACGCCGGCCAGCAGATCGCCATTGCGTCGTATATTAACCCTCTCGGAGACCCGGCTTCGTGGGAACGACTCTTAGCATACGACACTGAGAAGGTCAGCGTATTGGTTGCCAATGTTATGAACGATCCAGATTATGCGGTCGATAAAGACTGGGAATCGGTGATTGATCAAGCTGCGAGTCAAGGCAAAAAGATCCTTGGTTATGTTCGGACTGGATATCTTGGCGTGAGCCAATAACAATTTACCACTCGGCTTGGCTCGCATAACCTCGCAGACTGGGCTTCGCAAATTGAACAAGATATCGACAAGTGGTTCGAGCTATATGGCACCAGTCTCGGCGGTATCTTTTTCGATGAAGGCTGGCCAGAGTGTGGTCCCGACAATATTTACGCCGATCTGTACGCATACATCAACAATTATACGAAGTGCAAACACCCCGGCGCATAACTATACAGTGCTCAATCCTGGCTCGCCAATAGCTCAATGCTATGAAGACACTATGGATACGCTGTTGACGTTCGAGAGCAGCTATGAGACTTATACAAACTCATTCGTACCTAATGATTGGACGCCAAAGGATCCCCGAAAGATATGGCATATTATCTACAAAGTATCACAGGAACAGGTTGCGGGTGTTGCTGCGCTGGCCCGGAGCCGTCATGCAGGGTTACTGGAAATTAGCGATGATGGCCAACCTAATCCTTACGATACTTTACCCAGCGAGGCTTATATGAAAGCAGTCATGGACGAAGTATCAGGTGGCAAGCCTAGCATTGGTGACCCAGCTAAAGTTACTGGCTCCTACGTTGCTGGTCTTCCAAGCAACGCGGTCGTCTCCTCTTCGGACTATAGCTCCGTCACACTCACCTGGTCATCAGTCGCAAATGCTCTTGGCTACGCAGTGTATAAGGATGGTGAACAGGTGCTGGAGCTGCCAGCCTCATTGACCCGAGCTACGATTGGCATGCTCGACCCCGGATCCTCTGGTATCACCTTCGAGGTACGGACGATCTTAGCTTCAAGCAGTGGAGGTAGCTCCCGGTTGATCTCGGCGAGCACGAAAAGCCTACCAGCCAATGGTACAATCGTCAATACTGGCTTTACAGGGGATGGCGACACCGTTATCTACAAAGCCGATATCCTGGTGCCATACGCATTTGTGCGGCTATTCATCGGCATCAAACAAGAGTTAAAAGTAGGATTTCGCCTACCCGTCCACGGGTGGCCGATTGACAAGGCAGGCGTGGACGATCTAGGTACCCAGTGGCACCAGGTCGTCAACTACCTTGTCGAAGGCAATGTCTTTTACTCTGGGTTTTACGAATACACTGGCACTTGGAATTCTGAATCCAAAGCCAATACGGAGTGGTCGTGGTCTATCGGTGTCGCGCCTCAATCTCAGAGTGGTTACACGTATATGTGGAACGTCCCGTTGGCTGGCACCGATGCTGTAGCCAGCGAATATCTAATCCAAGGCCAAGGATACGCCCCGATAAACAAAGTTTGTATGGGAACCCTTTATATGTATAGTACATTTTAATATCACAGTTCGGCCCTTCTGCCTGAGGCACAAACACGAGTTAGCAATCCAAGCCTCTTTGATCCCTCTTACGAATGTGTACTTGGTCCACAATATAAAGCAGCATAGGAGAGTAAGAGATACATTGTCCATGGTCTATTGATTCTGTAGAATAAGAAAATGACATAGACTAAGATATCAAATAGCCAGATTCCTTCACCTTGATAAGAGGGATAGCAAGGCCCAAAGCAAGAACTAACTTAATAGGTCTTCCTAATCGAGGCATAGCTTTAGATTGCGAATCTCTCCACTTTGTTCTTGAGCTACAGTACGCAAGACATGTAATATGGAAAGTTTCAAAAAGTCCCTAGTGGGTTGTGACGAACTGAGGAAGTGGTCAAATACCACTAGGACCCTTCAGGATCGGCTTATTCATCGTTCACCCAATTTCCACCTAGTATGGTGTCATAACACGCCATAGTTCAAATATAGAGACCCCTGAGATCGCTCAACCGATCTTAACACCTTCAATCTGTTACCCGCCGTTCGAAAGAAACAGATTCATTCGGTGCCTACAGACGAGAATCTCGAAGATGAAGAAGGAAGGAGAAAGAAAGAAAGTCCGCCAGAAAAAGAGGGCTTAAGTACCCAGCAAACGCGCACCAGCAAACGCGTAGTGCAAACGACCCAAAATTATGCCTCAGGCACCCTTCCACGAGATGAGGCTATTCCCAGGTTCATCCGTCACATAATCAATCATCTGATTCTATTGGACATGCTCAGTACTAGCCAGTTCATAAATTCCTCATCCTGACAGGTTGGGACCACTAGATAGCGATTCAAGTCCTCGTAAATACATATTGTGCAGTGCCTGTGAATTACGCGATGCGGTTTAGCGCTCCTGGTCCTGTTTAGCGTCATGAATCGTCGTGCGTCCTCGTGCGTGGTTCTATAAATGACCCCATTCTCCCTTCTGGAGTTTCTTTCGTTTTTGTTAAGCTCGCTTCATCTCTGTACACGCTGTGTTGGAGACGCATTTTTGCTATTGATCCGGATCACCGAACTCCGCCATCATGTTGTCCCTGACGCTTTGCTCGCCAGGCATCATTCTCCCTCAGTTTCCACGACGACGCCGAAGGTATCTAAATATGCCTCATGCTGCAAAGGTCGAGCGAGCACCTTTCGAGACTGGGCTGACAGTACTCGCATGACTTGCAACCGAGGACATCTGGTATTTACCAGATCTCCCGATCCCTACGCCGAATTTCGGATCAGTTTTAGGATCAGAAAAGCTGCCAGGTGATCCAACTCGGACTGTATGCAAGCATCTACCCCTCGAGCTCTACATCAGTTTTGGGAATGTGTCCGTTAACGCTCGTTGATCTACGCATCTGTGGCCATTGCCGCTGAGCGTGCCTTGTCGTCTCCGAACCCCTGTGAGCTTCATGGACGATTGGTTGTGATCAGAAGATAGATGCACTCGATATGTGACAGATTTTAGAGACGCGAAGGCCACAGCAACAGTGATGGGCTGAAGGCGGAGCAGGGCGGGTTCCGAATCTGGCACGCCGGCGCTTCGGGGCGTGGAAAGCATTCCAGTAGTAAAATAGTGTGGCGCCAAGGCGTTTAAGTAGACTGGCCAAAGGGCTGCAGAACGCAGCATAACAGGGCACTTACATATGCCAGTCACCCACCTACTGGTCGATATGTGGCTTGTGTGCTGTCAGTAATAGTGTGGGTGTCGTCTGGGAGAGAAAAGGTGACCCGCCGCACCGACCTTTTCCAGGCGAAGGTCGAGTTGAACATCATTGGGCCACGGATCCCGATTCTAAAATAGTTAACCTCTTGGCATTTGCCCACATCTCCACGGTGGAATGACCTCCAGCTGGTCTCAGGGTGATTTTCTTTTTCCCGCTTTGCCAGGTTTAAGCTTCTCATCTCAGCAGAGCAGACTACGATGCTGAATTGGCTTGAGGTCAGGCAATACAATAGTGCCCCTCGGCCGTCTTCTCTCGAATAGCACGCATGTCAGACCCTGCGATACGTGGTGGGCTGGATTTGTGCCATAGCCACGGAATATGTTGCAGCGCAAGAGCTTCTTGATGAAGAGCACGAAGGGCCGAATTTTGTATCACCATATGATACAAATGACTACACATTGGGCAAAATGGGACAACACAATGTCGTCATCGGCGTGGCCCCAGATGCCAGGCTGAAGGTAGCTGTAGACAGATCTGTAGATCTCTTGCTGCTGCCTTTCACACTCTGGCCAGGGTTCTGATCGCGTCAGACAGTATTTTCCAGTGAGGTCGGGTACCTTTCCGGTAGTGGATTTCGAGGGGGCCTCAGATCTCAGCGGTTGGGAGAGTCCGTTGTGGCAATGGCGTATAGATTCCAAGATTTTATTTTTATTCCATTCTCTCCCTCTCGTAGGTAAAGCGCCATGTAATCTGAGAGCTATCTTCCACCAAGTCGCTGTAAGATACGAGCTAATAAAGACCAGAAAGAGAGCACCCACCGCCTGGTCTATTCGGCTTATCAGCTGATCAAAAGCTTCAACAGTTCCCTTAGCAGCGCAGATAACTATAGAGTTCTCAATCCTCTCAAACCCTTCTTCTGAAAGGAGATCCGAAAAGATACGAGGACTAAAATATAATTTAAGACAGTACTGCTTGATAATAGAATCTATAAGCAAACTCTGCCATTTTTGCACCCAAGTGTGATTTTTGACCGTGAAATGGATGCGGTCAATAAGGCTCCCTGCAGCTTGGACCGCAGTTCCTTCGCATGTCTTATGATCGAATAGAGTATGAGACGAACTTTCTGAAAGGTATACCTCCCTCCTCATCAGCAGCAAGTGACGATGTGGCTAGTAGTACACTGTCAACAATGCGGCCATAAAGGCCACCAAAACCCCAGCAAGTGACGTTCGAGTCAGGGTAGCTAAGTTTTCATTGTTCTCCTCTTCACCAGCTGTATCGCCCCCCGCCCCGTCCCCCGAGTTATTATCTTCAGCCCTCACACATACAAGTTCGAGCTGAATTCCATCGAGAGTTGTGTTTCTCCCTCCCTCGTATTGCTCGGAAGTCGGATCATATTCAGGCTCAAGAGTGATTGGGAAACGGACAACAATACCAACGCCGATTTTGCGGACTTGCTCCTCGTAAGACCTCTCTCTATCAACCGGGGTCGTGTAAGTGAAGGAAGAGTTTCCAGATGGTAGAAACTCCGGCTCGAAAGTATAGCCCGTATCGTCGTAGACAGCTTCGACAGCCAGCGCTGGGAAATCTCAGTAAATAAAAACTCTCTCCACCTTTCCAACACGAGAGGTCCATGTAGACTTACCCTTTTCCAGTGTAAGCGCAGAATCGTCAAATATATCGTGTGGACACGATAGATTATACAAAGGCCTGGATTCAAGCTCACTAAGGACATTGTGCAGGACCTTTTCGTCTTCAGAGGATCCGTCCACTTCCTCTAAGAGCATCCACTTCAATACATCCTTGAGATTCTCGGCACATTGTTGGCCCAGAATACCATCGCAGCCATTGTTACCTCCTCCTAATTCTCCTGTCACGTTTGTAAACAGCATCCCGATCTGTGACAAAGTGAAGGCCTCATTGGTGGTATTAATGACGGGATACTCTAACCAGAAGGAGATTCGCTGGGCTTCATCAGGCTGCCACAATGGGTCCTTGTCGGTTTCTATCTGAATCTCGGTTGAGGTCAATTCATCAATGGCGTAAACGAGAGTGGGATTTTCGGGGAAAAGCGGTTTGAATTCAAATGACTGTGAGCCTTCGGATTGGACGTTTATGCAATTGCCTAGATTGTAGTAATCGCACGTATCGGCAACGACCATTCTCGAACACAAGAAGAAAAGAGAAAACAGCACACTGCCTAGACCCATCTTGAAGAGGCTTCGGTGGCTTCAGTCTGTGAAAAGAGGAGGAAGTGGCCTTTCGGGTTGCCTTTTTTTCTCATTCCCGTTTGGGGCGGGGCCTCTTAAATTTGACGCACTCTCGTACGAGCGCAGGGTTCCTTTCATAATGTTCCTTGATCTGGATACGAGGTCTAAGTATGATCTACATACTTGGCACTTAGAAATCCATGTCACGATTGGACGAGATCGTAAGCGGGAAGGGCACCGTTTCAAGACATTTTTGGTGGTGCTGAACTGTTCCGGGATTGTCAAACGAGTCAGCCACAATTTAATGCCGTTCTAGGATAGGGGTCCGAAATCACATCAACTCGTACAGTCCGGTCCGGGGAGAAAGTTGGCTGAGGAGGCCTAAGCGGCGCAAAAGCTGTCTTGGAAGGAGCCGTAGTCTCGTAGAGCGTTTCGATAACTAAATAACTAATGTAACCCATTAGCGAGTGGGTCGCAGATACGAGCAGGTCACCCACCCAAGTACCCATGCATATAAACTAATATTATTCAACAACCAACGCCTATATACAAATGAAACTATTCACATGCTCATTAGGGGTGGATTCGAATGAGGATTTTCCTTATTCAAATTCAAAAACACGTTGCGACGTCATAATTCGCATTCAAAATTCGAATATATTAGAAAAGTTATTCGAAAGCCTGCCAAGAAACTGGCTAGGTAAAGTGATTGGCTGACGCCCCAACAAATTCGTGATTTAGCGTGGTCTTGTCGCATACGTTTTGTTTACCACATCCTCCCTTTACATTAGAACTCGCCATATTGCTTTTTTGGGTACCCTACGGGTACCCGCGAACCCGCCAAGAACCCATCAGCCCGTATATTACGGAATACCAGTTGTAATACTACCTGTAACGCATATAAATATGTGTAATATGGTATATATTACCTGTATTCAAATCTCTTGGCGGGTTTTAGGTCAAGGGTAGAAACCCAACCCGCGATTTTGGCGAGGTCTACTTTACATACATATGGATCTCGTGAATTGAGACTCAAGCCTGTAAATCTTCACACAATGGTTGATAGCAGTGTTTGCTCTCCACCTGCAATGAATAATGACTCCTCTTGCATTCCAAGTCACTCTGCACGGGGTAATAATGAGACGGCTGATGCTACTGTGGGATATATATGAATCGGAGGGTTTGGCGATAAGCACCGTTGAATATTCCATTGGCTGAAATAATATGGTAGGGGCTGGGAGCATGTGCATATATGAGGCTGTCAGTCCACTTATATCTAAAACAACTACACTTCTCCACAAGCACGAGCTAGGTTTTCGAATTTTTCCAATAACTTTTCGAATAAATGGATTTGTATTTCGAAAATATATCTGTTGATTTATAAGTGATGCTTCAGTGTTCATGTTGTTTAGGGGAGTTAATGGTGTAAGATACAGGTAGACTGGTGAACAGATATTGAAGAGGGGAACGCTCGATGGCTGCACGCGCTGAGACGTGCGGGTCGATTCAGCAGAAAAACCACCACAAAACACACGCGTAGCAATCAGGAAACAGCGAGAAGCCCAAATGTAGGGGTCAGGTCGGGGAGGTGTAAGAAGGTGTATTCTAGAACTAGCTATCCGGCCACTGTATACTGCCGGCTATGTCACATAGTCTGGATGGCACCCATGTAGTAGGGGAGGGGGTCTCCCCACTACATACCAGCACACCCAAGTCTCTGGCTGTCCCCAGCCAGACGACATAAAAAAATCAAAATCAACACCAAAACCAAAACACAAACCGAAATGACGACCAATTCTGAATCTAGGGCGGCCCTCCCAACGGGTACAACTGTCAATCAAAAACGCAATCGAGAATGGCAAGGCGGCAAGGCAAATGACTGCGAGTATCAAAAGATGACAGTAGGGGAATGGTCGAATCAGAGATCGGTCGAGGAATTAAACATCAAAAATCAAGCATCACCAACCATCAAATAGCACATCAAGATAGATCCACGTCTCTGAGTCAATATGACCACATCGACATCCTTGTGATTAATGTCGACATCGAAATCAGCTTCTCTAGCCGTCGTCGTCAAAGACTAACATCAGAATTTTCGGCCGAAATAATTTGAGGTGTTGAACCACCAAAGAAGCTGCCACGGCAGTCAACACTTGCCACGGCAGTGCTGAAAACATGAAGAAAATCAAAGAAAAGAAAGCATCAACGAAAACGAAAGACATAAAAGAAAACCGATCAAAATAGCAAATCACGAAAGAATCAAAGGCCTCAGAGGGTGGCTGAGAGACACACCCCAGCACACCCAAGAACTTGGCCGAGGACGGCCAAGATTGAAAATCAAAGAAAATGCAAAATCAAACATCAAAGAAAAAAACCAAACAACATCGCATCAAACATCAAATCAACAGAAATAGACAAGACAATGGAAAAGAAAGAACACTAGCAACACTAGCAACCTCAACCAGCACACCCACGAGTGTGGCTAATCTCCATCATTCACATCGTCCCCAGAGACGTCATCTTCAACGCTAGCATCGGCATGCCGCTGTCGGCTGAGATCTAGACCTCTATTGTCCATCTCAACTGCCACTGGCGGAAATGACTGTTCTCGAACGCCAGCATCACGATGTAGCCAGAATCTTTTCAAACGATCGCCATTAACGGCACGATGTCGCATTCCATCTCCAGCCGAGAATCCATGGAACATTGGCGTTCCATCTAATTCTTCTAATGCATAGGCGCCATTGCCTAGCACTTCACGTATGCGGTAAGGCCCATGCCACCGATAACGCAGCTTCTGCACGGCTGTCATATTCTCCTTCATTTGCGTGTCGTGTAAGAGCACCAGGTTTCCGACCTCCAAAGGTGAAGATCGGACACTTTTCTGGCTATCAAAATAGGCCTTATTGTTCTCTCGCATCCTCTCATATCGGTGAATGGCCTCTTCCACATCGGCATCTCGCTGTAAGATCTGGCGTCCTCGGAGACTAATCAAATCTTCCCGTGTTGTGATCGTCTCCCATGGTAATGTAGACCATGTAGGCACTTCTGCCTCAAGTGGCAGAATGGCATCCCTTCCAAATAGAAATCGAAATGGCGTCATACCAGTAGTGGCACACACTGTCATACGATCAGCTAATAGCGCAGCATAGAAACATGCTCGCCAGGAAGGTGGGGGAATGCGAACTGATCGTGAACGCTGGGAAGCTGTTGTGGTTCCAGCAGCATTTTCTGCTGAATAGCCATGTGTCATCTTCGAGATGGCATCCTTAAATGTTCGCATGCTGCGCTCAATGGCACCATTCGAACCGGCATTATAGGGTGCAATTGCCACTCTCTTGATGCCCTTAGCCTGCAGAAAAAGCTGCACTTCCGAACGAAACTCAGGGCCCTTATCCATCACGATACGAAGTGGCCATCCATAGCGGCAAATGATGTCCTGCCATATGAAATCACAAACTGCCTTGCCGGTCGCTTTCCCTTTCAGCGGCTTCGCCTCCACCCATCCACTTAACGCCTCTCTTGCCTGAACCATGCATCTGTAACCATCTTCGTCAGGCAATGCTGCAGTGTCAATGAACACCTGGTCCCACACATTCTGCACTCGATTTGGAAGTAGCGGTTCTTCCACGCGAATGGGGTTCCGAAACTGGCAATTTGGGCATCCTCGGACGTATTCAGCGACCTGGGTGTACATCCCCTCCCACCAGTATCGAATCTTCAACAGTGCATATGTCGCCTCACGACCTTTATGCCCCATTCCATCATGTGCTTCAGATACGACACGCTTTCGATCATCTTCACCATCTAGAACACGACGCAGTGGCATATTCAGGCCCTTCCCCCTATAGAAAAGGTGCTCTCCCTGAACCACGAAATTGCTGGCGTGCTTCTTGAAGTGGTTGTATTGGCGAGGGGACATGCCACTAGGCCTCCTGATCGAAACGCACCACTGCGCAATCTTTTCTGATTCATCTGAATATGAATCATCCAACATTCTCATCCTCATTTTCTCACCAACATGAACATCAACGTTCCCCACATCATCCTCAACACTGTCCATTAATTGTCCACCGATAGACGTCTCCACTGGATTCATCATCACCCTGAGGGTGCTTATTTCGGCCAAAATAAATTCATCAACATCCTCTTCGTTCTTTTGTTCGGCAATCTCCTCAGCAGAATATGGCCGTCTTGAAAGAGCATCAGCAGCGCCGTGTTTCCGGCCAGGAACATGATGGACATCGAAATCAAACAGGCGAATCCAAGCAATCCAGCTAGTCACCAATGCGCCAGGCAGGTCCGTTGCTGATCTGTTCAACTGCGCCACCAACGTCTTCGCATCAATCTCGAGAGTGAAATGGACACCATACAGCCAGTGTCTGAACTTCTTCAACGCCTTCAGAACACCTCGGCACTCTCGCTTCCCCGCGTCATAAAATCTTTCAGTTTCAGACCACATGCCTGATTCATAACGTGCTGGCTTCCTAACAGCACTCCGCACTTGCATCATCACACTTCCCCATCCACTGGCTGATGAATCAACTGCCACCACTATGACTAGTGGGTCGTATTCATAATCAATTGGCAGGACAACCGGAAATGTCGACAATATCCGCTTCGTCTCATCAAATGACTGCTGCTGCTCCTTGCCCCATTGGAAATGGGCACCCGACTTCATCAGTTTATAAAGCGGGGCTATGATCATAGCGAAACCAGCGATCACAACGCGAAAGTAAACAGCGAGACCAACGAATGACCTCACCTCTGAGACGCATGTTGGCGTTGGCCAATCAACCAACTTAGCCACCTTAATTTCATCAGGGCGACGCCCACTGGCGTCACATATCCAACCAACGACAGCAACACCTTGCATCACAAACTGCGATTTTTCGGCCGAAATAACCATCCCGGCCAACTCCAGCAGATACAGAGTATGATCCAGATTCTGGAGGTGCTCGAGCACATAGCGCCGAACGCCTGGTAGCGCCATCTCGCCATTATAGTCTGTCTTTGGCCCCTTGATACCGAAATCATCAAGATAGGCCTCAACCACTGAACCATAAATCTCTGAAAGCACGAATTGAACCACTCTCTGGCACTGGGGAACCGAATTTGCGGCACCTTGCAGGATAGTGGTCGCACGGAGAAGACCGAGTGGCGTCATGATTGCTGTCAGATCCCGGCAACGCTCATCCAATGTGATCTGATCATATCCTGAAAATAGATCAACAACTGAGCAAAGCTGCATCCCTGCGAAATCTTCTGCGAATTCATCAATGTTAGGTGGCATATTCGCATCACGAATAGTGACACTATTCAATTTCATCGCCGCAATCACCAATCTGAACTTCTTCGCAGCCTTCTTTTTCACCAAGAACCATGGATTTCGATATGCGCCATGGCAAGGCTCCAAGGTGCCCTTCTTCAATCGATCTTCCAGCATCTCGATCACCGTCTTATGTAGCGCCCGTGGAACCATGAATCCTGGCTCTTGCCACGCTTCGTGCTCCACTGTCCTAATCACCTGAGGCCCATAGACCTCTTCTCGCACTCTTCCCATATGCTCCCAAGACCAGGCAAGCGCACCCTCGCGCTTGAACAACAGCTCTCGAAGCATTTCCTTCTCCTCTGGCATCAAATCCTTCCCCACAATCATAGCACCTTCTCTCTCTGGCGTCAATCTCGCACCACGCGCGAACTCCGCTATTCGAGGTTTCAGGTACTTATCAAACCTAGTCCTGACATCAGGGGCTCGAAAGCGCGTGTGGTACTTTTCCAAGCAGATCCTCTGCCAATCAGGCCTACCCTCAGGCACTGACCCATCCTTCAATGGCACATTCATCGGCAAAACCTTATCTGCCTTTCTCTTATACAGCGTGTTCAACGGAACACCAAGAGAACGCCATGATTTTGGCCGAATAAACCCATCACCATGATCACGACACGGTGGCAAAGAGTCAACATCCTTCGTGGTTGAACGATAATGCACACCCCGCATATCGCCAAACCCAACATTTCTAAGACCGTCAACATCCACAACCTTCCATTCAGGCGGAAGGTAGTGATCATCCAAATCACTCACACTTCCTGCTGACACATCTATCAGGTTCATAGGCACATGGCCAGACAGCGGTGTCGGCACCCCCATGCCTGCCTTTGCGCCATGAATATCAGTCAACACACCGAGGTCAGAACAGTCAAAACAATCAACAGAACAATCAAAACAATCAACAGAACAATCAAAACAATCAACAAAACAATCAAAACAATCAACAAAACAATCAAAACCATCAACAGAATCGGCAGAACTAGTCAAATCGTCGAAATTTACAATTCTCTGGACATTAGTAATAGCAGGTGTCGTACCAGAATTCATACACCTGCTCAGGAGTTTAAAGGACCCTCAACAAACGGGGCATTCTCACCAATCATCTCATTAGGCCACAGCCTCGAGGCCCTAATGATCTTCTTTTCTTCAGGGGAATAGACAGGAAAAACAATCTTCCTCGTCCTTGCATCATTATACACCGTGCACTCAACCTTCCCGTCAGGCTGCTGCGCCAGCGCCATCATCGTCGCTTCCATGAATGGTCTTCCAAGAATCAACCCTCCAGGACATTCCGAGATCACAAACACATTTACGTGAGTGGTGATGTCGCCAATGGAAACAGGCATGTTTTGAATACAGCCAAGGCACTTGACATGTACACCATTTACGGGCACCACATGAATCTTCGGATCTTGTTTGATCGGCAACCCTAGTGTCTCTGCTTGCTTTCTGCCCATCACATCGACGCCACTGCCAGAATCAATCATGCCACGCAGCATATAACCTGCCACGATCACTTCAGAGTATAGAAGGCCAAGTGAATACACATCACGATGTGTTTCTACCCGATCTTCCGCCACTGTCGATCGGCGATCGTCACGGTACGTACTTGGGTGAACATTGCCGACAGCCACCTGCAAATGATCGTCGCCGCCATAACCTGATGGCGTTAACTGCGTCACATTCGTCACATTCGCAGATTGTGAAGTAGGTTGTGGAATAGCAGGACGAAGGCCCTCAGTGTCGCGGAACAGATTAGTCTTGAGCCTCGGAATAATCCTGCCCATTTCCTCAACTGTTAGGTCCACCTTAGTGTCCAACACCCTTCTCTTAACCAACGCTTCTAATGCTGCCGTCGATGTCATATAGGGCGCTGTCTTCTTCACCTGGCTAACGGGCACTGATTTTCTCTGGCTGACGGTCACATTTGATCTTCCGCTGGTAGCAGGCACTGGTATATGCTGCGTGCGTGGCTCAGTCTGATTGTCTGGGGGTCGATCCATCATCACGTCATCATTATCAATATTTTCCACTCTTGCCTGTCGATTAGGCTGCATATATTGACCACTTTGCCATGTCTTGGTGGAAGCGATGCCATTTGCACGGCGCTTTGCCCGTACAGGATCCTGCTGTTGACTACCACGCGTTTCAACAGCATTGATGCCAGCACTCTCATATCCCGCATCAATGATCTCATCATCGCAATCAATCTCCTGATTTTCCTCAGGGCTAATTCCAAGGCTGACGCCAATGTAGTTCCCAGGAACCTGGATGTCACCCCTATCATAGGCTGACCTATCATAGACAGACTGCCCATCATAATGTGGAATCTGCCTAGGCAGCGGAGCAGGATCAGCAGTCGGCTGTGACACCGGCATTAACTGCTGAGCTGGCGCCCTCAGCGCACTGCGCCGCCATTCTCGCAGCTGGGAGGGCAGTCCTTCCAAAGAAGGCCTTCCTGAGACAAACTGCATAGTCGGGCCACCTTCACCAGCACGGCCAATGTATGATTTGCCATCATTACCAACGTGCATGTCACCCTTGCTAATCGCGTCAGACATTGCCTGACAAGACGTCGGTTTCGAAATATGGCCAACAATGCCACAGAAGTAACAAATCGGAGGGCTTCTGCCATCAGCAGGCCTTGACCGCTGTCCTTGATAGGCCAATCTTGAAGCATCAGCAGGGACGTAAGCAGGATCATTTCTCATATCCTTCTTCACCATGCCTGACTGTAGCATATTGACCGTTAACTTCATATCGTTGTATTGACGGCGCATCTCTTCCACCTGTTCTTCCAAATTATTCTCTTGACGCCCTGAAGAAATGGCAGGTTTTTCGGCCGAAAAACCACCTTCCCAGGCGACACTCTTCCTTTCCTTCGTCGACGTCAGCTTTGTCGACGTCACCTCTTGACTGCTAGGTCGATCAGTCGTTTTGATCACCCTCTCATACTTATCCTGCGCTGCCATCGTGCTGGACACCTCATCGGCAATCCAGTCTAGCCGCATAGGCCTAGACGGCCGATCGAAGTCGATAATGCCCTTTTTTGCAACTCGATGCCGTAGCCAATTAGGCAACCCGGTTATTAACCACTCACATCTCTGGATCTCCTGAATGACCTCATTGGCCACTAGCACATCAGACACAGTCTTGAACTCCGTCATAAACTGGCGAACCTCATCAATGGTGTCTCTTGGTTGATTCACTAACTCCATCAATGATGCCCTCGAAAACCTCTGGCGCTCAGAGTCATAATCTCTGTATCGATCACAGAGCATGTCCTTAAACGCTTCCCAATCGCGAGATCTCCACAGCGGGTCATACTCTACCCACGATTGGATAGAGTCCTCACAATAATCGGCAAACAGCTCACACTGCCTAGCAGGGTCGCTGATACCACGCCTTTCACATAACTTCTCAAAGTTCCGAAGGAACTTTCTCGCATCTTTCTTATTGAATAACGGCGCACCAGGTGTACCAGGATCTGGCATCAGGGCATTGCCCTGGCGGTTCATCATCAATTGAAACATATCACTTGGTATCCACATCCCTCCTGGCGGTGGCATTGCCTGATAGGCAGAGGACGGGAAGGGTGGTAGTGGTCGCGACTGTTGCTCACTCGCGTCTGGCACATCGTTTCTTTGTGTCTGGCTGGCAGACGCTTCGCTCTCTGGGCGAGGAGGCTCTCGGTAGCCTTCAAAGGGTGAGGGAACATCGGCCTGGACGACGGGCTGGACATAGCTCTGGCCATCGCCAACATTAACATTAGTGCTGTCACCCATTGTGACAGCCTTCCGATCAACAGAATCAACAGAGGAGATTGAAACAAAATCAGGAAACATAGACTGCTCCGGCTTGCTCGCACGAGAAATGCCGGTAGTAGGAAAACAGAACTCTCCCTGGTCTTCAGGCTGACCAGGGGGAAACAAACAATCCGAAAACCTCGATATTTTCGGCCCAAAAGCACAATTCTGAAGTAAAAAATGAACGACAACTTGGGTGAAAACTGTATTCACACCCGAAATCCAGAGGTTGTAGATGCCTGGCCAGATCTTCTCTGCCAGGTTGTGTAAGTCAATCGGTCTCATACACAGTACTGACTGAAGGTCAGTTCTCCTGTGTAGCCGGTCTGCAAGCAGCATTCGCAATAGCTGCTGGTACTCATCCTGCCGGAATCCCATCTTGAATTCCTGGCCAATCATATCGACCTAGAAAATGTTCTCCCCCCAGAACAATGTAGGGGATTAATCACAAATGCCAAGGGGTACCTCTTCTCATACAAGGCCCCAATGAGCATCAAATGCTCAAAAACCAATAATACGTACCACTAATACCAGCAATTGCCGGAATTCGAATGGTTTTCAGGGTTAACGCGATCGCCCACCCTGGACACAACTTTCCTTTCGACGTTTCTCGCGATTTCCACACTCTGCGCCCGTCGTGTTGTTTATCTGCGTGTTCAGCCACCCAGAAAATCAATCCCCCCTGCGTCGGTCACCATATGAAGAGGGGAACGCTCGATGGCTGCACGCGCTGAGACGTGCGGGTCGATTCAGCAGAAAAACCACCACAAAACACACGCGTAGCAATCAGGAAACAGCGAGAAGCCCAAATGTAGGGGTCAGGTCGGGGAGGTGTAAGAAGGTGTATTCTAGAACTAGCTATCCGGCCACTGTATACTGCCGGCTATGTCACATAGTCTGGATGGCACCCATGTAGTAGGGGAGGGGGTCTCCCCACTACAATATATAGGCATGCACGTGATCCCAGCCCCCATGATTATCCTAGTAACCGTGATATTTCAACAATATCAATCATCAGGAATTTCCAGATTATTCGAATTCGAAATTCAATACTTTCAGAATATTCGACTGATCGATATTCGATATCCACCCCTGCTGCTAGTTAGGGCAGTAGTTTCTTCTATGTCCTATGATACCACCTTTCGTACACTTAGGTGGTGTCCTCCGATGGGTCGAATTGGGCGCAGAGCTTGGTCCTGCATTAGCTCTCTCTCCTCATTCCAAGCCATTTATTTCTTCATGAAAACGCTGTTCCGATTTGTCACCATTCATTCCTCTATTGTTTGCTATTTTCCTAGTAGGCAGTGTGTTACGGACCCTGCAACATCGCACCTAGTTGAGGGGCAGCAACTTACTGATGCGCCACCGAGAGCCAATCGTTCTGAGGGAACGGTACTTTAGCACCAAAGTCACGTGTGTCCCCGAATAGTCAGGCACACCCCAGGCAAATAGCCGCGAACCATTTCAACAAAGAACGCCAAATACGGGGTCGTCAGGAAACCAGTTGATTACAAAACGGAGCGCCCAGACTGGCGTCACTTCTACCATCACTTACACCGTGTTCCATCGTGAGGCCGAATTTGCGACCTGTCACAAAGATGTATCCCTGCCCAGCGGCTGGAAATTCACCCAACGCTGACTGTTTTTGAAGTATACGGTGATGGGGAAGGTGTGACGGGTCCGAGTTGAACTGTTGTAAACAGTGGTCTGGAGGGTAGACAGGATCTCGAGTTACGGTTGCGAGCTCCTATTCCCGTAATCGCCCTGACGCACGGATGAATTTAGGACGCTCGCTTTGAAGCTGAAATAGAACCTCACTTGACGACGGCTGCGGACTTCATATCCACTGGATATCCTCAAATATCCAGAGAATATTGGGTGACATACCATATCCGCAATTTGCGGAAGGATATGTGGATATCCATGGATATTGAGAATGTTGCCGCAGCCTAATTTTCATCGTTCGAGTAGTCGCAGTTTCTCTCCTACTTCCCGTCGGTGATGTAGTCATCCGAAGCGTGAGATATATATCGTGGCAGGAGGTTGGTGTTGTGGTTTCTGACAGCTGCCAACACCACCCTATCACCGAAGAATACCTGGCGAGGATCAAACCCAGAAAACTCTGCCCAGAAAACTCTGCCCAGAAAAACGACTAGAATAGAAACTATGGTTTACGTGGTCTAGGTCCGAACATATGCCATGTCCCGGGTTCGAGGTCTCAAGCTCGCCGTCTTGAGTGCGCCCCCCGGGAAAAAGCGCGACTCCGGTTTGGCGCAGGTGACGGTCCAACGTTGGGACTCGATCGAATTTTAGACGCTAGGGATTGGGCAGGATTTGTTCGACGGTTGATGCAGAGGTAATGGAGCGACCGCAGAAACAGGACTGTTGATCAATGTGGGAATGGTGTTGCCACACCCAACGACACGAGCCTAGCATGGCTGCCCACCGAGGAACAAGAACTGGTGACACTGCGGAAAGCAGCTCAGAATCGATGAAGTGGTTCAACTGGCCACCACATGAGGGCCACCTTGCTGGTACCCTCACAACCCCCAACGATGATGCAGCTGTGCAAGCAACAAGGCAGGCCACAATACTATACATAACCCCTGATCTCTCGCCAGCGCTAGGGTCAATCTCGGAACATATACACGTCAGCCTGTTGTACCGACATGATTGAACATCTCGTGCCTGGTTACCCACTCACTGCCTTGCGGTCACACGAGACACTGCAAGACATACAGATTTACTTTTGGGATATATATGCATTGGGCCTACATTCACATACATTCCCTCTGGCACGGACTAATCCTGGACCCTCATATGTACTTGTGATCGCACTGAAGCCTGCTGCCCCGTCTCTAGCTTGTCTATGCTCGATGACGAACTACGAGTATGGCAGGTAAACTAAGGTATGCGTACCTGCTTAGTCACTTGAACCCACGCTAACGTGGAAGATACTTTGTATTAACCCTGTTTCTGCTGTTCTCCTACGAATTCAGAGTATATTAAAGCGCAACGGCTCCCCCAAAGCTCGTAATCCAGTTTAGCTTTCGCTATTACAGGGTTCTGAAAATGCCGAGATTTCCTCGTGAAATCCTGGACATGATTACCAATTTGATGAACCCCAGCCCCTTTCACGCAAAAGCTATGATAAACTCACTGGGCTTCGTTGACGGAAATGCAACGAATCGGCTTTGGCGATCTATAGTCAAAGATGAAATATGGTTCAAAGCAGCGACTGAACTTGGTGCCGAGTTAGTGCTTATTGGTGCTGATCTAGATGAGGGTGTCAGCGGTCAACCGAGAAAGAAAAAGTCGGTATACATGATCCTACATGCCAACGATTTCTCGGGAGACTTTTTCCATCATGGTGTGGGATGTTTGCGCAAAAGCCTATGCGAAGATCACCAGTATGATGAGGAGTGCCCTGAAATGGTTTTGCCCTCCAAAAAATGGCGAAATACTTCCAAGCAGAAACTAAGGACCCAAAAATCATTTTGAATATACGCGACATTATAAAGGGAGCCGAATTTTGGAGCTCGACTGAGGGAAGACTCGAAGATTATTTCCCAAAGACTTTTTCCACACAAAATTCTCTTTCTGGAGAGGAACTAGAATTCAGAACTTGGAGGGCTGTGATATAATTGGTATTGGAGGGACCATATCCGATCGAGATGGTCTCACGCCAGTTGGTACACTGAAACTTCAAGGAAAGATCAAGAAATGGCAAGTAATCATCCAAGAGCCTAGTTTTTTGGGGGTTCGTGCGATTTATATAGGAGAGTTTAGGCCACACAATATAATTGGATAGGAATTCAGCTGAAAATGATGCGTGGCTTTTGATCTGGATTTCTTGAAAGGTACCACAATATTGAAAGGGAGGAATGCGCGGTTGCAGCCAGGAGGCCTGGCGTATCGATGGAAGCAAGAGAAACCAACCACCAAACAGGACTAGGAAGCCTGCGGTGGTGATGGCTGTGATAGATTGATGGCAGATATCGATGTGGAGCGCATAATAAGTAGGAGGGGCCAACAATTCTCCATTTCGTCAGGGTTTTGTAAGATCTAAGTCCAGTACTATCGAGATGAACTAGTTACATCCACTCGCTTTGTTCTGACAAGCCATATTCTTTAGGCACAAAGGCAGAACTTCCTCTTTAGGAAATACCAAAGTTGGATGGCATCCCTCACTACACTAGTTACGAATACAAAGGATGGCAGTACTGGCGCTCCACCGCTTTCAACAAATATTTCGGGATCGGCAGCCTACACGAGGATGAGTCTACGGTCGGCATACGTTCATATCACGAAGCAGGTATATATTCTCGTATTCAGGCAGTAAGATTATGCGAGTACCTCAGTGTTTGCAAAGTGTTAACAGTCAGGGTCAACTGGATACAGATTGTATATGAGTGCATTTAGGGTATGAATTCCTTTACCAGCCTCACCAACAGCGTCACAAAGAGAATGATGCCCAATTTACCGGAGAAGGTGCAGCCTACAGATACGTTAAATCCTTAATACGAACTCGTATATACCCACCATCTTACACTCCAAGTCGTTCCAACATGTTAATGGGGAATCGGGCTGTGCTGCGGATCTACAGACGGAATAACCTTCTGAGTGGCTCCCTCCGACACTTCGTTGCGGGGAAATACGACTAGCTGCATTGCATGCTACTTGACCATCTGGTTGTGCTAAAAACGCAGAGAAACTTTCAGCTTTTCGCCAGCGACCGTTCTGGTTGTGTGTTTCATCCATCCGCAGATCTAGATCCTGATAATCGCTAGGCGGTCCAGATAGCAGTTAGCAAGCGACTCATTACATGAGAATCTGTTGGGCAATTAATTCAAGGAGGTGGTGACCATAATTTGACGGAGGACTTGCAATTCAGAATCTCTTTCAGCCGCAATGATCGACACGCCCCGCGCTGTCTTAAAGGTGTTCTGTAATAGCCAGGTGTCTCCAGGATTCTATGTTTCTCTAAAAATGGTATCAATTGACGAGGTGCGCCTCGTATATTACGCAGCACTCTATTTTGAGATACGAGACTCTGGTCAGGATGAAATGATTTGATATTTGACGAAACAGATTATTTAAGGGTTCCTCATCTCCCTAGCTACAACAGCTTAAATCACAAATCTCTACAAACGAAGAAACATTTATCAAAGAACTTTTTATACAGTTCACCAACGTCCACAAAAACAAAGTCCATTATGAAGGCCTTCATTCCCGTTGTTTTGACCGTCCTCGGGTAAACACCCCCACCTCAACAATATGTTCAACAAAACCTTGATGCTAACTTGCTCCCAGTCTGACCGTTCAGGGTGTGTATACCCAATAGCCACCGTAGATTGTCAGCTAATCTTCTTCCAGGTTATGCGGTCTCCTGCCAGTCGCAAGGCGGCAGCTGCCACCCCGGCGGCGAAAGTGACTGCCCAGCAGGAACGCACAGTGTGTTTTGGGACACTGGCTGCGACGCGTCAGACTGGCCTTGGACAGATGATGACAGGTGCTGCGTTCCCAATTAAGCGGCACGCTGTTATTATCGGAACTGGATTTCGATGAGGAAAGTTGGTGATTATGATGGGGACTGAAATTCGCTGTACTCGCTGGGACGATGTCATTGACCTTGTTCATGGCTTCTTTCCCTTACTTCAGACAAGATCATAGCAATTCATGTCAATTACCCTCTCTGTCACATCACCGCGCTGTAGCTAATTCCCGATAGGGAGTCTACACATTATCACCATCTTGATAAGACTGTCACTCCCTGCTTGTCTTAATTCCCGGATAATGCTTCGAGATTAATTTCTTGTATGTATCCTTTGATAGGAGTTTTGTTTGCGCAGGGCCTCTTTTGTGCTTTATTGCAAGATTAATCGCGCCGTCAATATCAGTACTAAATTATGGCTCACGGCAGTTCCCACTGGTTGCTCTGGGGCGTGATTACAGGGATTGGATTGGTTCGAGCTAGTATTAAATCTCCCTCAACGTTGGTAGTTGTTCATGGCTTCAAGTTGTGAATCAAACCGATTGTCAGCATGATTTTCATCTCAATTCCAGAGACTTCTAGACCAAACTGATGTCTACACCACAACCGCCCTCCGCTGTCAATTTTCATGATAGCGGTTATCAAACACAATATTTGGCAATGAGCATCCTCACTCCCTTATCTCGTACGCATAAGGCAATAGCTCCTCGATGTACATAGATATCAGCTCCCCTCCTTTCTGAATGACAATGCGAATACCAGGGTGTAGGTCACTTAGAATCTGTCGGCACCGGCCACAAGGTGCTAGCACGGTACCCCCCACGACCATCTTCCCCGATGGCAACAATATTAGAGAGCTTCTGTGCACCAGCACTGGCAGCAACACCGAGAACAACAAGCTCGGCGCAAGGACCCCCTGTGAAATGGAAAACATTCACACCTTTGAAGACTCGACCGTCGTCTGAGAGGGCGGCGCTGGCCACGCTGTAGGTATCTGATGGTGGGATCGAGTTGATTGTTCTTCTTGCAACCTCGACGATGTTGAATTCATCTGGGGTCATTTTCATTGAGGGAGGAGGGAGTAAAACACGTTTGATTTGAGCGGTGATTTCTTCGCAGTGGTTGATACCTTAAGTAGAAGACAACAATACGACGAACAAAGACTTGCTCCCCAATATCTGGCTTGAATGAGACCTGGATATGACTGAAGGGACAGACAAAGAAGAAATGTCCACAGAAATAGCAATCAAACCCAGGAGCTCAGCCCCGCATCCCAGAAGCAGCGTAGCATCGGAGTTCTTGGAATTGCAAAGTGGAGAACGGAGAACCAGCCGACGGCCGTGGCTAGACCTGGGCACAACCCATTTGGGCCCACTCGACCCATTTTAGGGCTAAAACTAGTGTACATGTTATTTTCATAATTTATATACTTTACGCGTGCTCTTGGCTGTAATGCCTTGGTAACAAGATTGATTGATTGCTCTTAGATATTGTAGTGGGGAGACCCCCTCCCCTCTACATGGGTGCCATCCATGTTATGTGACATAGCCGGCAGTATACGGTGGCCGGATAGCTAGTTCTAAAATACACCTTCTTACACCTCCCCGACCTGACCCCTACATTTGGGATTCTCGCTATTTCCTGATTGCTACGCGTGTGTTTTGTGGTGGTTTTTCTGCTCAATCGACCCGCACGTCTCAGCGCGTGCTGCCATCGAGCGTTCCCCTCTTCAATATGTATGTTTACCTCAATCACATCGTACTTTGGCGTTTGGGTGACAAGGGTCGTCATGTATAGTATAGGATAGAAGATGTTCTTGATCAGTTATGTACTTCGTAGCCAGGCCCAGCCGGTCAAAAAGCGCATATGTAAGAAGGGGTTACTGAGACCCCCATTGTATAAGGCCAATCACATGAACCACCCAAGTCTAGTTAGCCCATCGCTCTATGTAGTCAAACTTTACCCCTGCAAATCAAAATCCCCCAAATAACCCCAAACACCAACTATTCCATGAACTCCTGATTGTCGCTGAAATGTGAATCACATGGCACGTACAGCCGGAGCCAGAATTTAAATCTCTTGCGCATCGAGTGCCCAAATCTCCCAGTGCTGCAATACCTCCCATCCCACTCGCCGCATCCGTCGCCTCATGACCTGTCCATCATTTGTCATGACGGGTGGAAAACAACCCGTTTTGGCAGCAAATGGGTGAGTACACTCGGATGTATCACGGGTGTCGGAAATATGCGAAGCCTGGCGGCTTCTGCTTTCATTATCTTCATCGTCATCTCGTGTACGCTTGCCTAATGTCGAAGGAGGGGCATTGGTTCCGGGCGTAGCAAAAGGTCGGGATGTATCGGTGCCATTCGTGTGCGCAGGGTTTGGTGTTGAGTTGACACCACCATTTTTCTCCGCCGAATTATCAAAAGCCGGGTCAGGCGATTGTGCTGCAGAGTCATCATATACCGGCACCGGCGCTTTGTAGAAGTCACGGAGCTCGAAGGACTTCCAGCCCATTCCAACAACCTTGACATTGCCAAAGACATTCTTGTCCGCCAGGTCGTAACTCATCATCTGCATGAGGAGCTCGTCATCCAGATCGACGATGTCCGCTAAGCTGCGGGCACTGTCAGCTGCTCGCTCAATTTCTCTTAACATTTTAATTGACGGTGTCTCTGAAAACGCAAGGCTTTTGGCAGCCCTGGTAAATTTCCCCAGTCCCTCGCCAGCGACACCACTGGATGTGGTGGATGTTGCAGAATTCGGAGCATTGCTAGGGGAAGGAGATCCCGCAGGAATCAGCAGGCGGAGGGCCACCAATTTCCGAAGGAATGGTACCAGCATGCCAAGCGACTCCATGCTCGAAAATTCGGTGGCGAGAGCGAGTTGCTCTAGGTTGGGGCAGCTGTGAACGAGCCGTGCAATCATCCCGGTCGACAAAGGCCATTTAGAACTAAGGAGTAAATGACGAAGGGTGGAGCCATGGTTTGTGGCAATGTTAGACATGTAACTATCCCGAACGCTTGTAGCCATGCTCAACTGGCTGGCTGGAGAGGCGGCAGCCGGCGAGTTCACCGCTCCATTCTGAGCTTCTGTAACCGGAGGTGTCATTGCTGATGAGGCGGGACCATATCCCGGTCGAGGAGAATTGAGATAGTCGGAAGAATCAGCTGTCACGTTCACAAAGTATAGTCGCTCGAGGCCCGTGAAGTTGCCCAAAAACTCCGAATTTCGCTTTGAAATCGCATCCATTCGAATTGACTTGATCCTCAATTTCCGATGAGGTACCACGGTCGGCCAACTGTTCTCGACGAATGTATTGACGAAGCCCGTATTGTCCGTCCCGCTGAGAAAAGTAACGTCTTCGACGGTGGTAGGATCGAACGCGATATTGAATTCTTCGCTGTGGAAAGCGTACATATTTTGGAAAGAGAGTTTTTTGACCGAGAGGGGCTGTTTAGCCGCAATGCATTTGCGGAAGTAATCGTGGAGGGATACACTAGGCTCCTGTGCAATTCGCATGCGGGGCGACCAATGGAGCTTGAGCTCTCGCAATTTCCTGCTTTTAAAAAGCATTGTGGCAATATCATCGGGGTAGCAGAGCGGATCGATGTCGGTGATCTTCAGACATCGCAAATGCGGCATACCCGGAAGCACATAGGTTGGTTGTGGGTGGCGGGTGGAGGGGAAGCGGATCGTTAACGAGGTGAGTTTGGGTAGCTGTGTTAATCCTTGATAGACCGTCTCGAGCATTTTGGTGTTGAGCTCCCAGCTGAAGCTTTCTAAATTCGTCATGCGATCGACCGCCGCCCGCACCGCAATGTTCAGCAGCATTGACGAGTCCGGCACGCGCCCGACCTGGGCATGCTCCTCCAGCTCGCTCTCCTTCCAATCTCCGCGCAGCGTTATTGATTGGACGAGCTTTGCATATGGTCGAGTGATCACTGCATTGAGACCCATCGTGAAGGGACTCGCGCTTCCGATTCCTTCAGGTTGTTCACCGCGATAGCGGATTTTATCGTAGGAGGTGAGGGTCAGGCTGCGGTAGAGCTGCGGCAGCGCCATGTAGTTGAGCACGCGACATGTTCGGCACAGTCGGGCAAGATCACCGGTATCCTCGACCTGCTCGTTGTCAGTTTTAGTCCGGATCAACGGTGGGACGGGGGTGTTCGGAGCTGACATTAGACACGATTTGGGCGATCAGATTCAGCGGCAACCTCATCAGCGACGCACCACCGGGCCGATCGATGGTGATGCTGGCATCAAACATGTTCTGATTGACGGCCGCCATGATGCGACAAGCGACATCTGGTCCGTTCACGGCATGGGAAGGTAGCAGGGGAAAGTTCGAGGATCGCGCTGGAGGAATATGGGGAAGCGTCCGGAGCAAAAAGTTCCCGAGCGCAGCCTGCTCCACTTGAACCAGTCAGCGTCCACCTGATGTTGCCTCTTCCATCGGCCAGGCTGCGATGCATCACACGCGTGGCTCAGGCATGCCTAAGGGTACTTTAGGACACACGTTGCGCATGGACAAACCGCATAGTAGGCAGGGATAGACGGAATAGACGTAGCGTTCAAGAGTGGAGCTGTCAACCACGAGATGCCAGTACGCATCGCCCAAAGTTATGTACTCCAGAATGTACTATCAGATAATATTCTCAATAGCCTACAGCATTAGACACATAAGAGGAATCAGTTCAATATCATATAGTAGTGGTATTATGTATATGTTCCCAGGGTATCTTTAACATGGGCCAGTTCACCATGCTGTTAAATCCAAATCCAAAATACAATCATATGTCGAAAAATATCAACTATTCAATGCGCCACCTCAATCCGTATATTTAGTATCGCCAAAGAACACCATGAAATGTCGGTCAAAGGCCAAAGTCTCGACCGCTCAGTCCGAGTGCGCCGTGCAGCATGCATGCAACGCCCTTGCAGAAAAGGCCGATTGTACCGTAACAGTGAAATCAACCTCAGGACGATGCCTGGCGATGGGCGGGTTGATGCAACTCAGCATGTGGAGAGCGTGCATTGTCCCGGTCCTCGGAGACGGTTGTCTCCGTCCAGCTGGCGTGATCGGCAATGACAGTCTGCTCATTGCGATGAGAGCCAGGGCCCACATCCTCGTCAATCAAGGCTGCCGCTTCAGGGTCGTATCGCAAAGTGTAGTCTCCATCTCCATTCTCCAGGTCCGCATCGCTCCATGGAGCAGAGGCCTGTGGCTGAGAAGGAATGACCCGCACCGGCAGGTCGGGGCGGGTGATTCGGGGCTCGTGACTGACTTGACTGGCCTGGCTAGCGCGCGGCTCATGATGGGTGCTACTTGAGTCTAGCAGTCGGTTCTGAGGGGACCAGGTATGCTGACCACGCCGACGAGCTGGGATAACTGTGACAGGAAGCGGGGCAACTCCACTCTGCTGTCCAGAGCTTTGGAAACCTTTCCGATGACGCGAGAAAAAATTGTGTCCTCTCTGTTGCTGCTGGGCTTGTGCTTCTGGCTCATGTCCATCATCATCAGATGATGATGATTCGGACTCATTCTGAGCGACGTCCTCCTCGCCAGCTTGTGCGAAAGCAACTTCTTTTGGTAACGATGCACGTCTTCGCTTGAAGGGATTGAACAGAGCTCGCCAGCGTGGATCGTTGTGAACAATCGGAGGTGATTGTTCTCTGGGATCCGCTGAAGGGTTGTGTTCTGCGCCGCTGGTACTCTGTCTGCCTTCGACTTCAAGTTCCTTGGCTTCGTCCATTTCATCTTCTTCCGCCATATGTGGCATCGCCACTGGAGGCGTAGGGCTGGAGACTGGGTGGTATCGAACATTATACACTGTGCTCGCCGCACTAGTGGTGTCAGCCCGGCTAACCGGAGTCATGACAGCGGGTGGTGGAGTAGGACGGTTGTGACTTGCACGAGGAGCGGCATTGTTTGCGTTTGGCAATAAGCCACCAGCGTTGCGATTGCGGTTTCCACGAGGGATGCCGACTCGAGTTCGTAGTGGCCGATGGCCCAGGCCCATGACTCCACCCCATCCTGATGATGCGCCGTGTCCGCCTCCTTTGTCGTGCCCGTGCGATGAGTAGCGCGGCCAGTCAACTTCCTCTGACGGAGTCACCTCCAGCATTTCGTCGCCATCGAATACCTCTCTGCCGAGGATCCCATCCTTCGTTTCGTCACGTTCAAGCGCTTCTATGCGTTCCACCCACTCCCATACCACTACACTGGCCGCGGCGGATCCCACCCAACGAATGTATGTACCCCACCCAGCAATTTCCGGTCTCGCGATATCCAAGACGAAAAAGACGACAGGTATCAAGATGGCGCAGTAGGATAATAGGGCCACAAGGGCGATATTGCGCATCTTGGGGTGGAAAAATGCAAACCTGTGTTTCGAAATCGAGTAGAAGATCACCCAGGCAGCGTAGAGTAGATTGAGGGCCAGTTCGAATAGATAGCTCAGTGCAGGAATCGCGTCGTCGTATAATCGGGGATGTGTCGAGGTGTTCCGGAACCAGAAATTCTCCAGGATACTGAATGTCGTGTCCAACACAATCAGTGCAAACCCAGCCCACTTGATCATGACTTTCTCCTTGTGTCGCGGAAACAATCGAATCAACGTTTGGACCTGCGCCAGCCACAGAAAGGTGCTCGAGATAACGCGGACAATCCGAATCTCCAAGCCATCAATCACTTCTTCGGAAAGTGCCTCGGCATCTGAGTATCCATACTCATACTGGCGCTCTGCAACCTTGAACGAATCCACTGTCGCAATCGTCAGAGAGATCGCAACGAGAATAGCAGCCACTTTCTGCAGCCAGGGACGGCCGCCAACTCCAACAACCGAGGAATTCCCGCTGTATGAGCCACTGATCATCCCATGGCGACCAAGGAAGTTAGCCCCGCCGCCAGGGCCGCCAACGTAGAATGTACGCGGGGTGATTAGGAGTATTATGACAAGGACATAACTGACGACTGTTGCACAGCCGATGGCGTAGAGCTGTGGCGTAACGGAGGAATAGAACGGATCGCGAGTATCAAGAACAGCGGAGACATGGGCGTAATCTTGCGGATCGCCGGTGCAAACGGGTTCGTAGACGGCGTTTTCGGTCAGCGTCATGGTATATGAATTATTCACATGCAAAATCCCTGCGACAGGTCACAAAGGCCCAAATGTCAGTTTTTAAGTCTCCAAAAGGGGTGATGAAGTGTCGGATCACAAGTCGCAAGGACATACCATCGCTGGGCAGGACAAATGGCGTACATCCCGACGCATATGTTTGAGTCGATGTCGTCGTCGGGTTCGCCCAAATCTGGCGGGGAGTCACACGGGGTGGCTCATCGCCCATCGTCGGTCAGACCAGGCGGCTGCAGGCTCGACCCGGCCGCCGCAGTTCACATAGGCAAAAGTGCAGCAAGTCTCCTTTCAAGTAGCAAGTTGAGGTATCAAAATACGATCCTTTATACAGCCATTCTCAAATGGCTTCGCGCCGCGCGTACAGGGCCGGTCCGAAAGGGAGGCAGAAGCGCAGGTGTCGGGAATCGGAAACCGGTCGGGCGACGACTAGCGGCCGAGAGCAAGGAGCAAACGATGGTGTATCGCAATCGGAGACGGCGTGCTCAAATACTCGAGGAAGAGACGCCTGGTCGAGAGACAGGCCGGGGAACGCGCGGGACGGTTGGAAGTCGAGAAGAGTCTGGAGACTTGGGGTTGAGATGATCCGCCACTCGGTCCACACTCGGCATTTCTCCACACTTTTGCCATTCTTCATCCGCGCCTGAGAGGGATTTAGGCGCGATTCCATAATTTTTAGCTCAAAGCTCGATTTACTAGTCTTAATTTCTTCCCTTTACTTGAACCCCATCTTAATTCCTTACGTGACAATGTCCGTAGCTTGGTTCAAGGAGCAGAGCAGAGACCTGTCAATTTGGAATGGATTGGTCCTCACCTGTACGACGGGGGTCCTGCAGGCTTTTCGTGTCTAGGGTTCATTCTGGACAATGTCACCAGAATAGTGGCGAAATGATGACCTATTTCAGAAGATTCTGAAACCCCAGTGTATCTTTGGTTAGTCGAATTCTGGTAGACTCTAAAACTAAACCTGGTGGACCCAACGCTCAAAATATATTCCACTTCATGCTAGAGTACCTTGCAGTTTATTCGTCCGATATATGTAGCTGCAACAACACTTAAATGAGATGAGATCAAGTAATGCACCTGTCTCCTACAGATGAAAAGTACAACTTTACAAAAGGAAATGTCTCAACCAAATGCGCATTGTTTATTTATGTGCGGTACGCATTATCAGACACCATGTACAAGCCAAGCCGCGTCAAGACTTAAGGCGCAAGGTCAGATATTGTCACATAGATCATCTCAACATCCTCCGAATAAAGCTAGCCTGCTAGCCATAGCCAGCCTGCCAAAGCAAAAAGAAAGAAAAAAGATTGGTTTCCTCTTCCACGTCCATTAAGGGGAAGGAAGAGTACTCGGCTCATTAGGGAGTGACTCTTTTAGAATCACTTAAGCCTGGGCAGCGAAGCCAAGGCGGGGACCGTTGGAGTCGAAAACGGTGTACTGGCTCTTCAGGAAGATGTCGCCGAAGATGGAGAAACCCAGGCCGGAGTTGCTCTGGATACCGCCGAAGCAGGTGGAGCTGCCGTCGGTGATGGGGGCGTAGTTGATCAGGTTGCCAGGGACGACGGCGTCGTAGCTGCCGATGGTGACGGTGAAGTCAGGAAGCTTGGAGGAGCAAGCGAAGGTATAGCCACCGGCGGACTGGTCCTCCTTGGCACCGTCGACCTGCTTGTAGTAGGCGGAGACAACGTCATCGGGAAGCATCAGCAGGGTGGTGCCGGTGTCTATGGTAATATTGTGAGTCAATCGATCTATAGTGAGAGGTCTAGAAACAGTGTCAAGTGACTTACCAGCAATACCCTTGATGGAACCACCAGAGGTGCTGCCAACCTTGTATCCGTCGGCAGTGAACATCCAGAAGCCCTGAGAGCTATCGACATCAGTGTAGGCGAGCTCGCCGGTGTACTTGGACTTGTCAATGAAGCCGAAGTCGTAGCTGCCGGGCTTGTTGTGCTTCAGGGTGACGGCGAATAGAGGCTGGTCGAGATGACCCTTGACAGTGTCAAAGAAGGTCTTCTGCGACTGGGGCTTGACGGTGTTGATAGAACTGAAAGCCAGGCCCAGCAGGCCATCGTTGTTCTTGTCCTGCACGAACTGCTGGCTGATCTGCTTGGCGGCCTCAACGGCCTGACCAGAGGCCTTGACACCACCAACGATCACGGTGTCCTTGTAGACATCACCGCTGGCCGAGCTCTGGTCACCGTAAGAGATGGACCACGAAGCGCCAGAGAGCTTGGTGCCGTTGTTGGGCTTGTAGATGGCGTGGCCAGACTTCTCGGAAGCGGGAAGTTCTCCGGAGAAAACCCAACTATATTGGAGATTAGCACATCAAATCTTTTGATGCTGTCAACTGCAATTGTCACTTACAGATCGGCCGAGCCAGTGTCAAAGTCCAGGTTCAGAGTGGTGCCACCGACGTTGACGGGAGTCAGATACTCAATATCGTTGTCCTCCGGGGTGGTAGTGGCGGAGCCGCTATCAGCAGCGGCCTTGACACCGGTGGGAATAGTGGCTCCGTACTTGGAGAGAGCGTTGGCGTACATGCCGGGCAAGTTGATCGTGCGAGCCTTAGTGACCGGGCGAACAGACTGGTTGATCGTGAACTTGTTCTTTCCTCCCATCGGCACAGCCGAAGTGACGGAGGCAATACCGGCCAGGACCGCCGTGACCTTGCTGAAGACAACCATAGTGAATGGAAATTCAAAGAAAGAACGATACTCTAAAAAGAACGGAGAGTGATCGAAGGATGTTGAGAGGATGATTCTGTCCAACTGGGCCGGAGACCAGGACTCCTTTATAGGATGGGAGGTGTTTCGCCATTGCTAGGTTTCCTTTGACCAAGAGATTCAGTGGACGGCACCCATCGCCAGGTCCAGGAGAAGGAGAAGTTTCTCTTCCAGGAAGCTTCTGGTGCCGATCTAGCACCTGCAGGGACTCGGGGCTTCAAACTACACGATCGACGCGGACTCCATCGGCCAGCCAGAGTACCACGACGGACTCCGCCAAGAGTGGCCCGGCGAGGCGGGGAACCAAAGAGACCATGAGACGGCATCTCGTGAGGCCGGACAGGTCTGATAGCGTTAGGGTGACTGATGGGGCCTTGATGGCGGGGGATTCGCCTGGTGACTGGGGCTGCGAGGCACGGAGGCTTAGTTGCGACAAGCTACAGTTGTCCCAGAACGGCGAAGTCCGGCCAAGACCAACACGAGCATGTAGGAAGCGTCATATCCATTCGGCGGAGCCCTGACGATCTCCATTCGCCTTTTTGTTCGGAGTTCAGGCGAGGGGACCGTCCAGGGCCAAGCGATAGAATGCGAGTGGAGCGCGGAAAGTGATCAGGGACCATGCGAGGGTCACTGCCAAGCTTGGTGCAGCATGCAGCCCAGTGGCAGTCCAGGGCTAGCCCAGCAGTGTCGTGAATGTTGAGAACTGCAGTGTCGAAGTTGAGGCGATCGAGAAAGGGCCCTGACGATCACCGCCCGTTATCTCCACGCGCGGCCAATCACTTGCCCAAACGGGCACTTCGTAGACTTTCGCCTCCAATCGAGGTCACATCGTGCCAGAAGTTCCATGGGAATAGGCGGCTGTCATTGGCGGGGCGCGTCCATGGGTGAAGCAGTCGCTTGGATCCTTCGACGGAGTCCAATTGTGACCCCAGACTGGACGAAACGCGACTGGGCATTACTACAAGTAGATTGCCCTAGGTACTAGGGGACCCCGCGATCGGATTGGATCCATAGCAAACAAGCAAACAAGCCTAACGCTGGGGGAATACACCGCAGCATCGGGGAGAAGTGTCAGTCCGTCATGTCGAATGTAGATTGACTCTACTATAGAATACAATAATATCGCGCGGAGTCCGAGTCGCGATCGGCCCTGCACGTACGTTGAGCCCTGCATGCTCACAAGATGCATACAAGCATTCACGGCCAAGAGTGCCCAGGAAACAGATCGGCCGGACGATGTGACCCTTGACGGAGAGAATAGAGAGCACGAAAGGCTTCGAGATGCTTATCGCCTGCAGAACCCAGCCCTGAGAGCGACCATAGTTATCCCGGCTGTGAGATCTTTCGGCGATCCACCTCGATTAGACTTCCGCAATAACCCAACTGGGTATGCGATCGTCCGAGCTGGATTGACGAGATAGAGGGCTGGCCTCAGTGATGAACTTGCCATCACATCTGCGTGGATGGTCGAGCGTGATAGGTGCAGCTGCCGGCCCTAGACGGGGTGAGAAGATGCATCTTACCGGGGAGGCCAAGTCCGCTGTCCCGGCCCGTTGATATGATGGCTACCCTTCGGCCTCGCCGATTATCAAATCCCGATCTTTGCCTGCTAGTGCGTCTACATAGTATCCAACATGGTTCAGTGCTAGTTCTAGATACGTCCGATGCAATACGACATGCATGAGGAGGTCATTACAGGCGAACACCATTCAACCTCACGCAAGCTTAGTCCATCATGGCTCCATCGGCGTCATATTTACCTTCCCACCTCTGAATACCACCCTGGTCCAAGGAAATCAGAGACATTCCAAACTCAAGCCACCCGCTGGCCTTATTCTGCGAGGCTGAAAACACAAGCTCAAGCGCTCAGCATGTGAAAGTTCTGCCATCATGCGATGAAACGAGGGCTCCGCAATCTTGAGACCGTCGGAGGCCCGGAACACCGTCAATCTCCAGGAACTACGGCATGTCCAATTACAGAAAAAACCACGATGCAGCAAAAAAGCAAAAAGGGTTCTACAGTTGATGGTAGGTACGGAGGGAGTTACCATGGAAAAGGCAGGAGAGAGTGTCATGTTTCAACCAAATTGCGACATTGACCAATCACGGCCGAATACTTGCATAGTCACGAAGACGCCAGGCGGGGGGTCCGCAGGGGTATCTAGTTAAACGGGTAAAGGGGCAAAGAAAGAGCAAAACATAGTACGTGTCTCATCAAATCCGAGGTGTCATCGTGGAGCTGTCACTGTCAGGGCTGTCAGGGCAGAAACTGAGACGCGAGCGCCCCACCTCCAGACTCGCCCTCGCCGTTGGCATTGCCATCATATCCCTCGTTGAGCAGCACCTCAAGCATATCGAACTCGCCTAGCATCGGCCCAGTTCCACCTAAACCTTGGTCGACCACCCCGGTGGAGCTGTTAAAGAATTGATCTAGTGGCAAGGCAAACCAGTCCAGAGTGCCCGACGTACTGCCCGCCCCGTTCGTGTCTCCAACCGTCTGCGACGAGACAACATGGTTTGGTGAGGACCGTCCCATATCATTCGTCGGCATGGTGGCATTGGAATCATAGTAGTTGTAGTACACGGATGGCGGAGGTGGCATGAAAGAGACGTTCAGGTTGGAAGAGTTAATGGGCTGTGAAGGGATACTGGCCAAAGGATCGTGACCCGACCCAATGGCGCCGTTACTCTCCACATATCCCAATCCACTTCCGCTCGGAGTTGCATCTTGGCCGTGGGCGGATGACCAAGGGGTTTGTGGGCCATCACGGCGACCCGATACGGCCTCGCGCGGCGGGGACTGGGCTCGTGAAACTGGTGCTGAACCGCGGTCGTGTGCCTCACCATCGGCACCACGGTCATGCGGTGCGAAACGCAAGAAGCGCGTTCGAATGCTACTGGTCAAAAGCTCGAGCAACCGTGCGACAGTGTTGCTAATGTGCACATCATCCACGACAAAGGTCCGCAACGCCTCCACGGTCCGGTCTTGAAGATCCAAAGAGACTCGCACATCGTCTTCTCGAGCACCCAATGTGAAAGCCTAATAGGTGGAGTCAGTTAATCAAAGCCCTTTGCCCACTCGACATAGCAGGAGAGAACGTACTTTCAAAATAAAAATCATGCCAGATAATATGCGGAAGAAAGTCCGAATCGGGGCATGCTTCAGACGGCCCCCGGGAACGAGTCCGTCCAAAACGGTCTGGAGGATTCGCCGGGAAGCATCCACGACCTCTTGAATATATTGCTCATTGACACGATAGAGCTCCATCAGGGTCCGGAACCAACCACTGCTGCCTGCCGACGGCCCCATACCTGGACGTCCAGCCTGACCAGACTCGTTGGACATGGTAGTCCAACGGTCGACAACCGCTTGCAAAGCCAGAGAATTGACGTAGAGGCCTGTTTTCCATTAGTGCCACGATTCCAAAAAGAAATGCCATATTTATCAACTCACGTGTATACTCATATTCAATGATCAAGACGCTTCGCATGGCGGGTGTCACTAACGATTTGCTGTTAATAATGTGATATAACTTTTCTGGTCATTGAGAGTAGAAAACTCACAGTTAACTCGGTCTAGGTTCTGTCGGAACTCGCGCAACTGAGGCTGAAACCAGTCTATGCGCTCTCGGTACTTCCCACTTCGAATCAATTCAGAGGTCTGCTCTGTCGAAGCAAAAAGCTGGTGGTTGGCCTGATATACAATCTTAGAGATACCCATCCAACAATCTTGCATCCGGTCCAAATCCGAGTCGCCTTCGTTGGTATCCGGGGTGGTCGAAGCAGGGTCCTGGCCCCATTCGGGCAACGGGAGCATGGATGGAATCCCAAGACGTCCACTGCTGTGCGTGATGAAAACGAGAATCAACCGTCGTAGTCTACGTTTCCTTGCTTGCTCGGTTGGGGTCTCGGGAGCGCCTTTGGGCTCACTCTTTTGGTCAAAAACACCGAGTTCGAAAGCCAAGGCTTGCGCGGTACTGAGCAGCATCCACGACATTCGATCCGATCGCCACGCAGGCTCCAGCCACTTTTGGAACGCCAGTCTTCCTTCTGCAGAGGCAGCGGGTCCTTTAACACCCGCATGGTCATCACCATCCAGATTGTCATGACCATGCGCCTGCGCCTCTGTGTCTAGAAGCGTATTCTCATCATCACCCGGCGGGAAATGGAGGTTCCTTGGGTGCCAGTCCGTGAGAATCAAGAGGGCTTCCACAGTCCCAAGAGCTCTCAAGTTACCTTTCACATTGGGTCTTCCCGAAGTTGGCGCCAAATCCAATCCTCGAGGTCCCCGAACCCCAGGCCCGCTTGCATCAAACTTCTCTTGGCCCCAAAAGAGCCTTTCAATCATACCGCGAAGATATGACCAGAGACGGTCGTGAATATAAAATGCCCGAGTGCTCGCCCCGTCCCCCTGGGGCTTCAAATGCCGAGAAGCAATGGTGAGAATAGTCACCGCTAGCACTGGCTCTTCTGTGAGCAATGTTCGATGCGTAGAAGGCTGTGAGTAGTCCGGTGTTACAACAGGGCTCATGGGAGCAAGGTTCTCGTAGTAATATGCCACATAATCCATGCCTTCTTCCACTGTCATCCAACCAGCACGAACGAACCGCAGCCGAGACCAAGCCCGAACTGCATCGATATACCCCGGGTCTTGAGTTTGGGCGGGACCCTCCTGTTGATCAACAGCTTCAGATATCTGGGAGTCCATGATACCTGATCCACCACCATGGAAATAGCCATTGTTACCAGCAACAGACAAGCCGGATCGCGGAGTCCGTGAGAATGATCCGCTCACATTCCCGGGCGAGTTCCCATGTGGTAATGGAGAAGGACCAGAGTTGAAAGATGAGACAGACTGTCTGGCATTGTAGCGGTTCTCAAGGCTTTGGCGGTTGAGGTCTTCAGTTCTGCCCGCCGCCTCTGAAAGTAGATGTAGCGCGTCATGGGTGTTTGTGATGGCTGGCGACAAGAGCTCCACCGCAGTCCGATTCATCATCGGTTGCCCGCCATACACGGGTACCGAGTTGCGATCTCCAGCACTATATTGTGGCAGGCGCGGGGTTCTGGTTTCCACGAAGGGCCGGGTTGTGGAGGAGCTTGGAGCGCTGGGGGTATACCGTTGGGCTGCAGCTGCGGGGGTTGTCTCTGGCCATCTCTGGCGCGCGCGAAAGGCCTCGGCGTCGAATGAGGGCTCCGATGAGGGGAACGGCGATCCTTCAGTCGGCTGGTCTTTTACAGAGACCTCCCCGATCATCATACGCTTGTCGCGTTGGAGGACGGGGCCGGGGCCCTCGGTGTCTTCGGCCGCTTCAGACAGCTTGCGCTTGCGGCGCGTGGCCGAGAATTCACATCGCTTGCTCTCGCGACGACATCGTACACAGGGCGGGGGACGAGGATTATCGACGCCTGCATAATATTTGGTTAGTTAGAGGAGATAGCCAGTCACAGCGGGGGGATTGATCATACTGCCCAAGTCACACTTCACCTTGCGCTTGCGACACGGATCGCAAGCCTGATAGCCGCGCCTATGCTGCGGGGCAGCGGAGGGTGACAGCGACTTGCCGACATCCGCGTCGAGTCCCATGTTGTGAGCAGTCTGTTGCAGGTGGGTTTAGCGGGCGCTGGAGGGTGCCTGGGGAAAGCCGATGCAAAGCGAAGATAAGCTGGAAGGCGGTGGGCCGCGCTTGGAGGAGGCCTGGTTAGGAGCGGCTGGACGGGGCCATTGGACTAGAGGGAAATGCGACAATTCACGACTGGGCAGTGCGATGAGGACAAAGGGAGAGGAATATCCAAAGAAAAATTTTGCATCCGGAAAAAAAAATATCTGCCGTCGTCCACGTCGCCAGGGCCAGCCACCGATTTCGATTGTATAATGGAATAGCCCCTGCGGGGTAGCAGAAAGTGTAAGAGTTACATCGCCAAACCCTCGAGTGGATTGCACCCGCTCGCTTCTGCTGGAGGCGCCAATGAACCCCCGGCGACAAGAACCATAACTAATATAAACATAAACACCACCGATCGCGAAAATCCAGATCGCCATGACGTTGGGCCACGTTAAGGTCGATCCCGAGGGTTCGGACTCGGCCTCGGGACCGCTCAATCTATGAGCCCGATCGGTTTGAGACATCCGCCAATCTCACCTCGGCCCAGACATACTATCATGATGGTATACACCTAAGCATACTAGTACAATTATACACATCCACGTGAACGGTTTCACTGCTCATGATGCCCAGGACCTATAATTGACTCGAGAGTAACCTCAGTGGTTGAAAGAAATCCCATTCGCTAATGCAATCCAGCGGTGAATGTACCGTACGCCTTTACAGAAGCTAATGTACAGGCCAAAGAACAAATCAAAGTATCCACGCCACACCGAAAATGACCCAGCATGCTAATATCGAACCAAAAAAAGGGGGCATAGATGGACAGAAATACAAGCATGCCCATCCAGCGGACAAGTACAAGAATGGGATATGTGGTCGCAAGGTTTAAGCTCGCGTTGACAAAGAAGGCCCCGCAACGGCCGTTGGGGTTTTGGCCGTATCGTTCAGAGTGAGTCCACTCATGCGACTGACCACGTCCGCAGCTCTGCGTGGCTGGACAAGCTCACCCGAGGCAGCACTGTCCGTGCTGTTGCGGCGGGAAAGAGTGGGCGTATATCTGCCCGTGAAAAGCCCCCGAATGCCACCAGACTTCCGGGCCGGAAGGTCTTGCGTAACAGCGGTCAGTACGTAGATGAGATATTTGAGGTTCGGGAGAGTGTGGCGAATGTCCAGTACGCGGACGCCTTGCTTGTTGAGCAAGAATTCAATGTCCTTGTTCAGGAGAAACACGCCGTACCCAAATTTGTAATCTCCACCGACTGGGTAGAGAGGATAAGTGCGCTGCGCGAGGTCCCTGGACACGGGATCCTGGATCAAGGAGGTCGAACTGTGTGGAACAATTGGGTAGGGAATCACCATCGAAAGATAAAATGACAGCAGGTACACCAGGTGGGCGGCATATCCCAGAGCTGCCGCAATCACCGTGGGATTTGCATCTCCGAACTCGGCGGAGCTCGAATTGGGAAGCGGCAGGCCCCGGATGGTAAACCCCAAGGTCTGTTCAGGAATAGGGTCAATGGGATAGATGTTGGCCAAGTCCTCTGCAATGCGTCGAATCTGGCCCTTGGTCTCCTCATGGGCCTGGTTGAGTAATTCCTCGCTTTGGATCATGTTCCCCCGGGCATCGGGAAGATGACTTCGTTCCTTGTCCATGATAGCCCATCCATGTTCCATGGCTTTCCGGCGGTAGGAGATACTCGCTTGCAGATCATCCCTGCGCTTCGATGTTCGTTGATTCGTCTTCCGCTGGGCATCGACCAAGCCCCGGATATATTCAAGCCTTTGCTCTGCAGTCGCATCCTCGGTGACGAGCGATAACGTTTTCTCGTTTCTTGTGACGATACCACCAATCTGAGCCTCGATATTTCTGGTTGTTGCCAATGTATCCTGGAGCACCACATCTAGATTGACCATTTTCATCAACTGATCGTAGGAAGACGTTGGAAGAGCTCGTCCATCGGCAATGGCCCGAGGAGCTACCATGTCAAAAGGCTTCTCTACCGGTGGTATATCCGTTAAATTGGCATATACACCATCCGTGAGATGGAAAACAAGGCAATTGGCAGGCAACGGCTGATGGAAGCTGTCAAGGCTCTTCCCCAAAAATTGCAAATATCGTAGGTTCTGCTTCAATTCGACCAGCCAGATGAACTCAGACATAGTCTCTGTTTTTGCCCAAACTCTGATGGTAATGGTATCACGGCGACACACCAATGGCCATGATGCGTTTAAGTCAAAGAACTGAAAACTGGGGTTTGTCGTCTTCGAGACCGTTTCACTGATGTACAGGGGATCTTCAATTCCATCGCAATGGATAGAGAAAAATGAATCCGCCATACGGTTCTTGACAATCTCATCGAGTTTCGCTTGTCGTGACCTTGGGTTGGGATCGTTCCAAGGCAGGCTGCGCCGGCGAGCTGATTCAACTAACTGAGACCGCTTTTGCTTCATGTTCTCTTGGTAATCCGGTTCGCCTCGCGATTTGAGATCAGAAAACGATCGGGACGGGTGTAAGGCATGGCTGTCTTTCTGTGCTAGGATTTTGGACGGCGATTTCATGGTGTTGGGGATATCGTCGTCGTCGATCGTCTTTCCGCGAGCTCGGCTCGCAGGCGGAGTCACATCCAAGTTGCGCACCCAGATGCCCATCAGATTGCGCAGCCTACGATTCTGAAGTTGGTTAGGACACCGATCAGCGTCGATTCGGTGGGAAACATACCCATGGGTACAGGAACGGGCCTCCCCTACGCGCGCCTGCGTCATGTCCCGTAGCTGCGTCCATGTCGCCCGCAACCTCCGTCGCGGAGGTTCGGATCGACAGGAACGAACAGGGTATTTAGTATGTGTGCGATGGGTGATCGAGAGTATGCATCCTCGCAGGGAGACGTGGGATTCGAGGGAGTCGACGCGTGAGAGCAATGGGGGGCGGGTTGTAGAACGATAAGGCGATGCGGAGACCTGCAGACGGCGCCAAGACCACGGCTGCCCCGTCAAAAAATCCACCTCCGTCCTCGCCTCCCGTCAACACCGACGACGACCCTCGCCCCAATCGCCCCGATCGATGCGATAGAACCCGCGGAATCGCTCCTGACTGTCCTTTTCGAGTGACTGCACACAATCTCCGGCCACAATGGCCTCCTCTAGCACGGCCTCGAGACCGATCCAGAAGTTCCTGGACTCAACCAAAGTCGCGGCCTTGTCGAAATTTGTCCGCAGGCCACCAGTCGATCCAAAACAGCCTATACAAGGAAAGCCCCGAGAGGCCAACTCGAATGCATTCAAGGAACACGCCAAGAGGGAAGGTGTGCGGTTGCAGAAGGCCTTGAATTCGGTCGCTCACGGCAAGCACATCTTTGCCTACCATAATGTTCGGACGAAACAGGTCGTGTATTCCCTGACTCGGTATTTGGAGGTGAGTCTTCGTCCTGATTCTCGGTGGCTAAGGCTTTGATCACTTCAGATGAAATCGTTGCCTGTCTCATGTCCAGTCACTCCCTTTCTTTCGGAATTATGACCGCAGCGGACTAACAATTCAATCCGTGTCGTAGAAAAACAACCTCCTGCGCCAAATGGTTTACCACGGGAAGAAGACCGTGCCCGCTGATTTCCGCCGAGACATGTGGGTGCCGTACTATTCCGTCCACTTCGGCGACTCGCGCCTCGGCCTGCGCGCGTACCAGCTGCTTCGCGAATTCTCGATGCAGCGCCAGCTTGCCCCGCCCGAGGAGCTTATCACTGTGACAGAAGATTTCCTGGCACTGAAGCGGCCGCGCGACCCAGTGGCTGCGGAGGAATTCGACAAGATGAACAAGAAGCGAATTGGCAAGCCCATGGAGAAGAAGGAACGTGCGCGCGCCCTCATGGACCAAAAGGCCACCTCCGTGGCGGATATTGCTGCAGTTCTGGCTATTCAGGAGAAGGAGATCGAAAACGGTTTCCTGGATCGATCATCCAAGCGTGGATATTTGACTCGTAAAGCTCGTCAACGCCGCCGTGAGGCTTTCCAGCGCCAAATTGCCCAGGCGGAGTCAAATGAAGAGCGCATTGCCGCGCTTGAGAAGCACCTGAGTGATATCTCCGGCGATGAGATCAAGATTGGCGAGGTTGACGGCGAATATCCCGAGGGCGCGGAGGATGTGAAGATCCTCTGGCGGGACGTGCATGATGCCTTCTATGCTGCGGAGTGGCCCTCTGCTGTGCAGCACGGCGAGCTGGAGCTCAAGCGCAGCGCCATCATTGGCACCGAGAACCGCGGTGAGGGCTCAGAAGGAATCATTACTGAGCACCAATTCAACGAGAGAGTGCAGCAGTGAGCGGCTAATCGCCGTTCAGATGATGCCGTTCTGTCTTTGCTTCGTTGTCATTGTGTTTGTTGTTGCTGGGCCGCATTGAGCGATACTCTACTGTCGATATCTTCCCCGTTCTCCTTTCAGACTCAGGCGATGGGTGATACTTTGTATTTCACTTTGATCATGTGTTTCAACCATCTGGGGGCTCTTTTACTGCATAAATTGTATTTTTAGACAATTCCAATATCACAATTGTGACGGATAATCGTAACTGCCCTACTAGTTTTCCTAGACAATCTATCTTAAAAGTCGACTATCAAAGCACCTGTGAGTGTGGCTAACGCCCCTGTGATGTCGAAGCTCTTCTCAAAACAGTACTCGACAATCGCCTGTTCCTCGGGATATAAATGGAATAAAACCAGCAGCCTCTCCAACTGCTATATCAAGTTTCGACTCTTACTACTACTCCGATTTCCTCAATCATACATGCGCTGCATCAACTCTGGCACAGAAAAAAACCAGCTCTGTCAGAAATAGAACGACCGGGCCTCAGTTTACATTGTGTAATAAAATAGCCATACATACAGATATCACAACAAAGTGATTGGAAAGAACACTGAAGGGGGGGCAATAAGGTCTTAACTCGTAAGTCCAAATGGCAGGCAAAGGGTCCAAGGTTTGGATATGTGCCAGTACCAGGACACCATGGTAGCCAGGCCCAACTTCTTCGTAGGTGGCAACACAAAAAAAGCAGGATGTGAATGGTAGAAATCATAAATCGAGCGCCGATGTGCAAAATATAATCAATAGGGGAAGAAGAGGCGGAGAAAGGCAGTAAGGACGGAGGAAACTTCAGACCCCAAGGCGAACAATGAAGCCATACGGAAGCATCAAAAAATGATCGACCAAAGACAGGTAAACGCGAGTTATGCACGCTTTCTATCTGTTTGCTACTACTTCAGAGCCTTCTGGGGATCTGGGCCTCGTAACGAAACCCCGGGTAAGCTAATTGTTATCCCGGGGCGCGTTACTTGAGCTCAAAATGTCCACGTTGGGCAGCTCAGCATTTTCACTTAAACTCAACTCGGGTCCCGGCTCTTGGTCGTTGTTTTTGGCCATCTTTTCCAGAATCTCCTCGCCAGCCTTCTCTGCTGCCTCGGGGTTATCGGTGAGTCCGGCACTGGCCATGCTTCTCCGAGCACCCTCCACGATTTTGTCGGCTTCGCTCACACCGTGAGGCACATTGGCTGATGGGTCCCCGTCCACGCCGATCGGGTCTGCCTTATTGCTGACTACGTCCTTGACACGGTTCGCATCAAGGCGAATAACCATACAAGACAGATTGTCGGTGCTAAAACGGGCAAGGGCATGATCGACCAGGATCTTGGAAGCGTGTTGGGCATCTTGCACATTGCGGACAAGATCGACAGCCTCTTGGTCACTGCAGACATCCCATAACTAGAGAAGAGAAATTTAAGTTAGCTTGGTATTGCACTGAAGGGGTTCCTTTGGGAGGGAGGAGAAGAGGGGGGAAGTCAAATCTTACCCCGTCGCAAGCCAGGATAATGAATTCATCGACACCGGGCTGAATTACAGTCTCGGTAGTGTATGGGTGCCCGGTCACCAAGTCCTTGAGATAGGTGTCGCCCAGAGCACGAGTGACTGCCAGAACGCCATTGACACGGTTGTTGAGTATTAGTCCACCGGCGTTGGCAATTCTCTTTCCTTCGTTCTCATCACTTCCTTTGTGGTCGTATGATAACCGAAGTGCTTTTCCATTGCGGCATAATACGATGCGGGCATCACCGACATTAGCGGTATACAGAACCCGCTGACGAACCGCCTTTTCTTGCAATTTGGGGACAGACGCGCCAGAGGCAGTATCTTGGGTTGGAGTTTCGATGGAGCTGGCATCACCCTTTACTGCTGCAGCCGCAGGAGCGAGAGCAGTAGATCCGGTAGCTGAATGTGAGCTGGGCACGCGATCTTCCCAGCGGAGCACTGCGGTGACGGCAGTACAGCCGCTATTCTTGAGCGGTAGCTTCTCCAATTGTTGATCCACGCTGGTGAACGTTTGGTCAAGAAGCTCTGGCACGGGCGTACTGGGGCTCTTGCGCATGATCTCTTCCAGAATCAAATGCAGCTTCTTGCCACACCACTCCGCGGCGAAGTTACCCGCATGCCCGTCGAAAATTGCAAAGTAGCCATTGTCTGTTTCCACTGCATTTGACGAATCGTCGGATATCTGGGACTCGCTGGCGCCTCCCGGAGGATCATTGCCATTTATGTCGAAATTTGTTGGGGCGGGAGTGCCGAGAAAGTTGTACAGGTATGCATGTGTATCTTCCATTGTGCGCCGACATTTTCGATTGCGATCTTCTGTTACACCCACGCGGAAGGAGGAGCGAGCAGTGGGGACCGATTCTCCAGCTGAATTGTTGAAGGACCCTTGCGGGACGCTCAGGGCCGGGTCCATTTTTCCAAGTTTCGAAAAAGGACTCTCCGAGATCTGTGGACTGGTGCTGAACGAGGAGCCTTCGCGGGTGCCGTTCAGGCTGAGGGAGTTTTTGGCGTTGCTAAAGAAGCTCGCCGCCTTGGTGACGGTGCTGCTCCTGCGCTTCTTTTCGCCCGCGGGACCCTGGTCGTCGCTCTGTCGACGAAAAAATCCGGTGCCGGGCGGGGAGAAGCGCTTCTCGCGAGGGCTGGCGTTCTCGGGCTGGAGGCTGAGGGAGCTCGTGTCGATGCCGGGTACGACGGCTTCTGTCTTATCTTTCGGTGGGCTCGAGGAGCCACTGAACATTCTGTTCAGCAACCCACCCTGAGAAGAAAAGCTACGGCGCTTATTTCCTGCCAGCTTGATTGTATCCCTCGAAAAGGATGGCGGTGATTCGACGAAGGTGTTGGTGCTAGCGGCGGGGGGGGAGGAGGCGATGATGGTACCGCGGACTGACGTAGCAGCAGTAGAACGGTGACGAACGGAAGTGGCAGTTCTAAATGAGGATCGGGTGATTAATATCGGATTTCGAAAGTCACGGTTGATGCGAATCGTAGGAGGTTCAAAGAAATAAAAACAAAAACAAAAAAAAAAAGCGATTTAAAGGCAGGTTGGGTGCAAGAAATGGGAACAGGTCAATCTGGGGACACCTGGAGGGCAAAGAGGGCCGGCGTCTCGACTCGTTTGGGACTTTGCAAAGCTCAGACACCAGCGAAATAGGCCCATTGGACATGGACGAGGTTGCTGAGATGAGGTCGAGCTCTGCAATGCAGTCGGCCAGTGTAGCCAGTGCGGCCAGCGCGCGCTATCGCCCGTGTTGGCCCAACCCCGCCTCCGGAAGACCCGGGCAACTGTATCGACGAGGAGCAGATGAAACGACACACTTACTGTAACTGGATGCAGGCGCGGTCGTCCTGGGATGGCTGGGAAGTAAGTGAGGATTCGGGCGTGAAAGGTGAGTGATGCGATCCGGAGGAAGTGACCTGAACTCCGCCCCGTTGCGCGGCACTGGGCGGAGGAGCAGCCAAGACCGGAGGAGTGGAGCAGCGCTATTGGGAGAGAGGGGGAAGCGATGGGTTCAGCGTATGGTCGAAGGTGTCATGCTCGCGGGCGGGATTCAGGGGCCACGAGCTTACCTGAGGGAGCTCTGAGGGCACTGATCTGCCGGGCGATCCCTGCCCGTCGCGCCTCGTGTGATTTGTGCATCATCCTGGATGTCGTATAGTACCCTAAATATTACCCATACCACAACACCTGACTATGCGATGCGACCATACGAGGTCCGCTCACTGAAAGATGAGAACACGCCCCAATCGTCTTTAAGAAATTTGTTACCGTGTCCCAGATGCACTAGGAAGAACCTATGTATGCCCCCGCGGCATCGAAATATTTGAATAATTTGTTTCATTGACCGTGTGGGAGATCTCCGACCTGAGGCTGTCCCCAGATCTCACGATACCCCAATCCGGCATAGGTAGTGCATAGCTCATATTTTGTCCCGGTGATCCAAATGCCCCCCTGAACTCCACCTAATAGCGCCAAATAATTCTCATGATCATAATCAAAGAAGAGAAGATGGACAAGAAAGCCCGCCAAGTGGGAACCCGGAGGAAATGAAGAGCCATTAGTTACCACGAACTAAAGTCTCCGAAGCCCCCTGTCCTTTTCGCCTTCTTGGGCGCAGGCTCAGGCTCGTCGTCTACAAACTCCACAATCTCGTCCTCCTCGCCGTCGCGACCGGCCGTCGAAGCCTGGAGATACTTACCAACGCCCGTCGAGCCGCCTTCACTGGCGCCCGCGCCAGGGCCACGCACACGCTTGCCGGTCCAGGTGACTTGGTCGTCGTCCGCACGACGAGAATTCTCGGCTTCCTCCTCGGCCTTCTCGCCAGCTGTCCCTTGTTGGCCCTCTGCGTGTTTCTGCTGAAGGAAATCTTCGAAGGGGTCCACAAAAACAGTTATGTCTTTGATGCGGACCTCGGGAGTGGGCCGGTTGGTAGAGGTCTCCACCGGATGGAGTTCAAGCGAGTTGAGTGTCGTCGACGAAGGGCTGGGGTCGTCAATAAGACGGCCAAAGACGGTGTGTTTGTGATCGAGATGCGGTAGAGCTCGGTAAGCAAAGAAGCTGAGCGAGTGTTAGCAAATATTGCGGATTGTACCGGAGACCAGGATCCATATGCGCCGTGGAGCAAACTCACAATTGACTGCTGTTGGTATTCTTGCCCTTGTTGGCCATACTCAATGTGCCTCGACCATCATGCTTCAAGGGTCCCTCAAACTCGTCCGCAAAGTACTTGCCCCAGACACTCTCTCCACCCCGTCCAGTGCCGCTAGGGTCACCACCTTGAATCATGAAACCCTTGATATTGCGGTGGAAAGTGACATCTTTATAGTACCCCTTCTTGGCAAGCTGAATGAAGTTCCACACAGCTTTGGGAGCATATTCAGCATAGAGTTCCACATTCAGGTGCCCAGCGGTCGTGTCAAGGCGAGCGTAACCCTTGCCCTTGACCCGGCCACGTTTCAACATGTACTCTTCTTCTGATAGGAGTGCCAGCTCAGCTGAGGTGTGAGGGGTCAATCCGGTACTGGTGAAAGATGCAGCAGCCTTGCCGGTCGTGAATCGCGCGGCGTTGTACGGCGTGGGCTTTCCTGGCTGGGATACCCCTGCTTTCGAGGCATTCGTGCCTGCAGAGCCACTTTTGGAAAGTGCCTTTGAAGCCGCAGAGCCACTTTGTTTCTGTGCTCGCTCGGTCCGCGCCTTGGCCACGGCCTCCTTCGCCTTCAGGATTTTGGCCGAACTACCGAGCGCGTCGGCATTGACACTTCCCGAAGCCTGCTGCTCTTCCATGATAGCCGTCTCGCCATCCTTGAGATAGTTGAAGGAGCTGAGGTTGCGCGACTCGATGTTTTGCGGGTCTTGCAACGTTATGATATCCTTGCGACTGAACTCGGCATCCGTAACCAGGTCACGCCAAAGTTTCCCCTTAATGTTCAATCGCTCCACGGTATCCCAGGCAAATACATTTCCAGTGTTTCGCAGTGCGACGATGTGGGTGTTGTTTGTCAAAATCTTATATGTCACCGGGTCGACATACTCGTTGTCATCATTCTTCGCGATAGTGAGCTTGATCAGGTCTGAGCTTTTCAGAGGTGACCCGTCCACTGGGTTCGTCCCATGCTTCTTGATCCAAGGAAGAATGTTGGTGAGGTCGAAAATAGTGCCTGTTGGCGTACAGACCGGGTGCGCAAAAGGTTGTAGGGAAAGGGAGCAGAAGTTGAAGGGGAGGCGTTTGAAGGGCGCATGACCACCTCCCCCTTTAGCCTTAGCGACGCCCGCGCCCGCACTGGCTGAGAAGGCATCTTCCGACGCCCACTCGGAATGTGTGATCTAAATCGGTGCGATTGTCAGCGGAAGTTCGAAGATGCGACAGCGGCCAGTAATGAAACGAAGAAGGGAGAAGGGTAGTCGCATACATAAAGCTTGTCCGTTCCTAAGTACCAGTCAGCATATTAGTATATATACCCTCTCGGTCTTTTGGATGATTACTTACCTTTGCCCATGGTGCACGAAGCTCGAGCTTTGGAGAGACTCGGTCTTCACTCTGAACTCAAACGGCCACGAGAATGACGCAGGAAGAGCTAGCCTGTTCGGGTTAGCTCATTTCAAACTGATACCTTGTTTGTAAGGCTTACTTTCCGCTTTGCCTACGTGCGTGATTATTAAAGGCAAGGTTTTTATTGAATCTGGGTTCGATAACCTTCCGGATGATTGGAAATTCGAAGTTAGCCCGAACGGCTGGACGTCCGATGAGATCGGCCTTCGTTGGCTTGAAAAACTCTTTATTCCGTCGACTTCTTCGCGAGTGAAGGGCCGGTATCGACTTTGATCCTCGACGGTCACGGAAGCCATTTGACCCCAAAATTCGATCAAATTTGTGAGCACAATAATATCATTCCAATATGTATGCCCGCACACTCGTCGCACCTTTTACAGCCGCTCGATATCGGTTGTTTTGCGGTGTTAAAGCGCTCGTACACTCGGATGGTTGAAATGAAGATGCGTCTCGGGATCAACCATATCGACAAACTTGATTTCCTCGAGGCATATCCCCTCATTCGAATCGAGGCATTTAAATCAGAGACGGTCAAAAATAGCTTCGCAGCCGCTGGTTTAGTGCCTTTTTCCCCCGATCGGGTACTCTTAAAGCTCAATATTTGCCTTCGAACCCCGACACCCCCGGCGAGCCGGGGTAGCGAATCAAGCCAGAATTTTACACCAAAAACCCCTTTTACCGATAAACAAGTACGTCGGCAAGCTTCAGCACAAAGCTTTACTTCGTACGGGGTCTCGAAGTCCACCAAGCCCATCAGATCGAGCGTTAAACCAGCTTATTAAAGGCTGCCAACTTTCGATGCAGAGCGCTACTTTACTAGCGGAGGAAGTCAAAGGATTACGGGCGGAAAACGAGAAGAAGAAACAAAAACGCACTAGATCTCGCAGGCAGATGCCTTCCACTGAGGGCCTCTCAGTTTTCGAGGCCTCTGCATTAACAATGCAGTCGCAGCAAGCAATTGAACCCGCTCCCCCCACCGGGGATGGAAGGCCTTCGGAGGGTTTACAGCCACCTACGCGGGCCCAGCGAGGATGTGGAATATGTAGGCGCCCGGGACATAGAAGGGAGACATGCCCAGATAGAGCAGCAAGTTAGCTGAATTAGATTAATAGCGTTTTTGTTGAAATAAATGCATTTAAAATTAATAGGTTGCTTAAGGTGCGCGACTGGCTTACATGCGCGGCTCGCTTACCGATTACGTTAGTTAACTAGTTAGTTAGTTAGCTCTCGGTTCCAGCTGAACAACGAAATCCACACCTCGGTTAAAGATACACATGGACAGGTAACTCACGTCTTTGTATTTTCACTTTTTAGAAGTGAGTTCCACTACAAATAGTGCACCATACTAGTAATATGGGGGTATGCTACTACGTAGGGTATTCAAAGCCCTTGAATACTCGCAATAAAGCCGAGATCATAGACGCAGGCACCGCTATACTACAATCTACATGGGTCGAAGCGCTGGGCAGGAGCAGAAAACTGGAACTAAAAGTGTAGATCCCTCGCTAAAGATACATGTGCAGAGATATTCTCCAGCATTCAAAAAAGGGTTGTAGGGGTAGAAACGCCGATAGCACGAAACCTGTGCCTTATGTTTTCCTGACCTCGTAAAAGCGCCGGTGATGGACGATTTCATAATGATACATGGCAAATTGACAGTCAGATTTACTGAGTCGAGGGGTGGTACTGCAGTGGAACCACCCAGCGATTGCCAAAGTCGATTCCGTGTCGACGTCGGGTGCCGTACTTGCGCCATACGATCTGCGGGATGCCAATGTCGGCAACGGTAAGAAGATTCCAGCCGAGAGTGCTACCGGAAGCCAGGGCATTGAGAACACCAGTCTTGGGCGCGCCGAGACACACCAATGACGATGCAGAGATGCACAGCCGATTGCCTTCAACCATTGTCACTTCTCCTGCTTGTTTCGTTGGTTAATCCCAAGGCATGGAGAGAGGAAAATAGAAAGAACCACGTGACGCGGCCTTGAGTGCTAGAAAGTACTTACCATTAGAGGCAGACATGCCGGAGGGGATGTCAACTGACAGTACATCCACGTTGCTTCGGTTCACCCAGGATATCATTTCAAAAGCCACGGCTTGGTCGTCAGTTCGAAGATCATCAAAGGCCAGGTGCATCCCGAACAGAGCATCGATCACTAGATCCGGGGATAACTCAGATGAAGCAAGTCGAGTGGAAAGATCCTCCCATTTAGAGACTCGTCCCCCAATTTTCCGAAATATCTCAAGTTGTTTGCGGCAGTTCTCCAGTAGCTCCGCCTCGTGTTCCAGTCCGAGCACACACACAGTTACACGGTGGCCACGATTGCGCAAATGACGAGCTCCCGAGATAGCCCTGGCCCCAGTGCGGTGATTGCCTGTGAGTATCAAGATGGTGGGCGCTGCGACATCACTGGCTAGAAGGGCAACTGCTGCTTCGGCAATGCCTCGGCCAGCATTCTCTGTAATGATATTCTCGGTCAGGCCAAACTCAGCCACGGCAATTTGCTCAACTTCGAGCGTCTGCAGTGGGCTCACGGTCGGGCAGCTTCGGTTGGTTGTAGTGAGTCGTAGCGAGGCTCCAGACGTGCTGCCAACCATTGGCGACACAGATGACCGGCCTGGCCGAGGGCTGGAAGTGCGGGAGTGACTTAGCTGACCTTGGCTAAGAGTGCTGATCTGTGGCACCATGGGCTGTGCCAGAATCGCGCTGCTCTTGCGAGATGATTGCCCGCGACCGGAAGGTCGTGATGACTCGCGTCCAGTGATGTTTTCACTGCCATGTCTAGTATCGTTGATAGGCTCAACATAATCTCCGGTGTCGCTGTTCTCGGGACTATCGAGAACATTTTCCGTCCAGTGAAGATTCTTGCCGCCGTTGGTTCCTGGCTTTGCTTTCCGGTTGAAACTGACCAGCCGGGCCTCGTCGGCGGTTGTGTCATCGTTTCGAATCTGCTCGAAAACACTCCGCTTGTCAAATTTCGACAGGTTGCTTTGAAAATCAAATTCGGGCAGATCTTGAATATCGGTGGCGTCCTCCGTAGCCCATCCACTGGCGTTTTCGGCATAAGAACGACGCGCGGGCTTCTTCTTCCGAATCTTCGCACCAGGTTGAGAGATATTGGCTTCAGGTGATTCTTGGGTGGCCGGAACGGCCGGTTCGACAAATGCTGTTTGCCGCCAGCCTTTGCTCTTCGGGTTGGTACTTGCCGCGGCGCCGTGTTTTCTCGTAGGTCCGTCATTGTTGCTGCGATCTTTGCGCCTTGGCGTCTGCTTGGTGGAAATCATGCTTTGTGCGACGTGAGCTTCTTCTGATTGGGAGGGGCGCTGGAAGCCACCACTACCCACGTTGAGTGCATAATCAGAAAATGGCTTGGAAAGCGATGCTGCGACGGTTGCCGGTGCTTCTTTGGCAGCTTGCTGGGTTTGAGATTGTGGGATGGCGGGCTTAGCGTAGCTCACGATGGCAGGATCCACAAACGGCTGTTGAGCAGGCGGCTGAGATGAGACAGGTGCAGCTCCAGGGCGATTTTCTTGTGCGTGTGGAGGTTGGGGAGAGACGGTGTCATTCGATTCCAGAGACAGATCGGTTATAGCGCTTGCATCAATAGCATACTCGGGAACGCGTTGGCCGGTCCATAAAAGAGTCACTGAAGGAGGTTTAATCAGGAACATGTCAGGTCATGAACATGTGAGCTTGCTTGACTCACCATTTCGAAGCATCAGACTATGACCGACCACATTAGCAACCTGGCCTTGGAGCTTGGCGCCCGGGGGCGTGTGCAAGCTCACCAGTACATTGTAGCCAATGAACTGCGCGGCCATGGTCACTGATTTCCACTGGGCAGTTGCAGTGACTGGGCGAGAGTGAGAGGGGGAGGCGGTTGCGAGTAGGGAAGATTGGAGAGCTGAAGGTAAGTCGCGGGCGAGGGGTGCTCGAGCACCGTGAAACGAAGTCACGTGTCGATAAAGAGTGTGGGGAGCTATTTGACCCTGGTAAGCCCCGGGCCATTTCCTACTGTTGAGTGCGCGTCTCCGCGACTCGGAGAATTTAGAACCCTTCAGATCTGATTGGCCATTCGCGGTAATTATACTAGTGTTCTTTGGGTAGGAAGTGTATTAAAGGAAATTGATGAGTGACCATCGTTTTAAGCAAATACAAGGGGTATACTCTTCAAACTCCAACAAATCAAGTAATAGGATCCCATTTTCATGTTTACCTAAAGAAAATCCAAGGCAGAGTCTCCCTCGAAATCGTCATCATCGCCGGGGTCTTTGGGCTTGTTGATCTGGTTTATGGACACCAGTTGGTTGTAGAAATCTACCACCTTCGGGTGTACCATGACCTTGCGCGGATCAAACCGAAGAACCTGCAAGCCAGCCTGAGTTGTTGCTCGACTGAGAGCCACATATGCCTGGCCTTTCTCGAAAACGCGGCCGAGATCAACTTTCACTCGCTGCAGGGTCTGGCCTTGAGCCTTGTGGATGGACAGAGCCCAAGCAAGAATCAGCGGCACTTGTGAGCGCTGGGCTTGAACCTCACCATTGGGAAGCTCAATTTTCCAGGTCTCCGGTTGGCAAAGTAGATGTCTCTCTGTGCCGTCAGGCAGTGCAAATCTCACAAGCGGCCACTTCCGTGTAATGGCAATGCCTCCTTCGTTGTGGGCCATGGGTTTCAGTTTTTTCTTGGCCCGCATGGCCGCATCATCGTCGGGGTCAATTTTGCCCGCACCACTGCCAAATTCGTCTTCGTTCTCTCGATAGTAATCGAAGGTGCCCTCGTCCATGAACGCCACCACTCGCCCGATTGACCCGTTGACGAGCGAATCTTCCATGTTTTTGATGAGCATTACTTGAGCTCCTTTCTTGAGGTGTATCAATGGCGGAGCCATGCAATTGGACAGCAGCTTCTCCCGGAATTGAGGATCAGTGACAGTTCCCGAATCTATTGCGTTGAATGGCATCAGTTCACCCGAGAGTCTCTCCATGCGCAAAGAATTAGATTTTTCGACCTCGGCGCGTGTAGGAAACCTAGTAACGAAGGATTATTAGTTTCTGGAACTTCACGTGATTAGGGAAATTTCCATACAGCTCTGTTGCTTCGAGATCATCGTGAAATTCCAATTTGCGAGAGAGTTTTCGGAAGGCCTCAGTTGTCCGTGGACTAATCTTGCCCAGCCTCATCTCATTCAACATTGCCGCGAAATCGGGGTCACGCTGACGGAAAACATGCGTCAAAAGAATGGTATGTTGGATTGTGGTGTTCCAGGCAGCCGCAGAAAACGCAAACCTGGTCTCGCGGTTGGCGCCTTCCGGAACTGGAGGCAATTGGAAGAAGTCGCCAGTAACGACCAGTTGGATGCCTCCAAACGGGCGCCCGTTGTTGCGGATACGTCGAGCTATCTCCTCAAGTTTGTCAAATAGGTCACCATCGACCATTGACACCTCATCAACCACCAGGACTTTTGTTCGCAACCAGCGGTTTCTGGCTTTCTGGTTCCTTTTGATCTGTTAGATGTTAGTTTGGGGGTGGGGGGGTCGTTTATTAGTCTGTGGTGAACACTCACCTTCTTCACCAATTCCGGAACGGCTTCTTTTCCCAGTCCGATTCCAGCAAAACTGTGAAGAGTAACTCCCTCAATATTACAGGCCGCAAGTCCAGTGGACGCGGTCACAGCAACACGATCCGGTTCTCTTCTGTATTTGACCCGTAAACTTTTGATGATTTCTCTCATCAGAACAGACTTTCCGGTACCTGCAGAGCCAGTGAAAAAGAGGCTTTTCCCTTTATCAACAACTGCGTCCAGGACAGCGCGCTGTTCCTCGCTGAGGAAGACAGTAGGAACTTTGGGAGGAATGGAACCAGATTTCGAAGCTGTATCACTCTTTTGACTCTTCTTGGATTCCCGTCTCAGCTCTTTCTGTTCTTCCTTAATAGCGCTGGCACTCTTGTTCCAAAAGTCGGCAGGTTTTGACCGCTTCGGAGTGGCCAAGCTCTTTCTATCCTCAGTCTCCTCTTCCTTGACTCCCTGGAGCCAGGGAAGCGTGCGCGGTTTAGAAGGGGGTTGAAAGTGGGACGGTGGCGAAGATGACCATGGTAATGGGATGCTGCTCGGCGGGGCTGCATATTCTTGGGAGTTCGGAGGCAATTCTGGGTATTTGATATCTGACTGCGGCATGTCTTGCACTGAAACAGACTCGCTGGGTTTCGTCGGCAGGTCGTTGATTTTGGGATAGGGGACCGGCTCTGGCTTCACGGTCGTGCTTGTGGTGGTTGGTGCGACAAAAGGCAATGGTTCATCAAAGTCATCAAAATCGAGGTCATCGTCGAAGTCATTCTCGTCGAAATAGACCCCACTATGGAGGGAGCCCAGCGCAGACTGCCCACTATTGGTCATCTCGATTTTTCGCTTGACACCAGTCGGCTGAGTGGGCGGGAGTTTGGAGGAATTGGCCGAGTTTGCGCGCAGGAGATTGGACTGCAAAGCCTGGGGTTTAGATGTCCCTCCTGGGTGTTCCTTCACGGCTTTCTTGAACATCGCGCCTTCCGCGGAGACCAGCGGTCGAGCCGCCGATGAGTAAGGAGATGACGTGAGTCGTTTGGAGCAAGTAGACGATAATGATCGTAATAGTTCTTTAGTCCGTGCCCCAGACCGAACAGCATGCATAAACAAAAAAACCTTGGTGCGAGAGGGGGCAATGCTCGACGGTGTTGAGATTGATGGTTTTCCCGACGCGCGTGAGACGCGCCGATCCGTTAGCGCGGGCGCTCCAATTCCCCCCGTGACTTAGTAAGCCAATCCAGTTTCCTAAGTTACCCCCGGCAAAACTTGGAAAGGAAATTGATGAATCAATTCGGAGTAGTTTTGCTTCTTTCTCGTCTCATTTATTGTGCATGTAGGTCGCCAGTATTGACCTCTTCGAAGTAAAGGGGTTGATTAAGGTCAACCTCAATCTGCTCTACCCTAGGTTGACACGTACATTGCATAGTTCCCACCTAGGATAAATATAGATCCATGGTGTCAGGCTATACACCACTGATGTATCGGGATCCCGAAGGAAGGCTATGAAACCCTTCAGAGTAGTGCAGTGTATTTGCGAACTGGTTCATAGTGGATTCAATCTGACCTATTAGTTGGACAAAACTCGGGGAATTCTATCATGTTGCTACGCTGCAGTAGGAAGTTGACTGTCAATGGTGAATATGTTAACACTGTGGACGCACTCGGAACTTCGAGGGGCATGTCGCCGCCCCGTTCAAGAAATATATAAGATGGCACCCCACGCTTCCCCGAAATATCTATGGACAGTGCTTACTTTATACGTACATTGATGAGAGCATACCCTAGTGTTAAATCACACATTTATGAATTAGGATATCCTATTCCAGCAAATGATAGAACATGGATTCTTGGATGACTCACAGGATAAATCTAAGCCTTTACCCCCAAACGTGACAATTGGAAAGCCTCCCACTGCTTGTGTTGTCATATCATTCCGAACCGAATTGGTTTATTATAATTCGCGGTGGGTCTAAATGCTTATCAACACGTGATGCATACTTTATCCGCGAGAGCGTCGCGACCCTCACTTGAACGCGAATTGGCACCTGTGATTTTACACCACGCGAGATACCGGGGTGATCGATCTGGAATCCTCGCCGGAAAGAAGGCTGTGAAGAGCTGTGGGCCATGCAGGATGGCGGGGACAACAGTGGGTGAGTCGAAATTTGCTTTCTTCAAAGCGTGCTGTCACAGTGGGCAACATGCTAACCATCGAGACCACAGACAAGGAGCACCCGCTCATGGGCGCAGTCATTTGCTTTACTTCAGTTTCTCCAGAGCAAAGAGTGTGTATTTCGCCACACGATGGCCTCTCTTGAATGTCTTCCAGACTAACGTGCAACTCCACACCCCAGACACGACTGGCCGACTTTGCGAGAGAAATGGGCGCAATTGAACAGCCAGACCTTACTTCGGACGTTACTCATCTCCTAGTTGGAGCGACTGACTCGCCAAAGTACAAGTTTGTCGCACGTGAACGAAATGACGTGCTGGTGCTAAAGCCCGAGTGGATTGAAGCCGTACGGGAATCGTGGATGCAGGGAGAGGATACGGATACTCGAGAACTGGAGGAGAAGTACAAATTCCCAGCTTTCTTTGATCTCACGATCTGTATTACTGGCTTTTCAGACAGTGAGCTGCTCTTCGTTCGAATTCAATTATGGATCAAAAACTAACAGCATCGTGCCTAGTGGCCTTTCGAACTCAGATGCATGACTTGGCCGTAGCGAATGGAGCGGAATTCCGCAAAGACTTGACGAAGAGTGTCACCCATCTTGTCGCGCGTAACGCCGAGGGTGAGAAGTACAAGTTTGCGACACAATGGAACATCAAAGTTGTCACAGTGAAGTGGTTCCACGATTGCATCGAACGCGGAATGATTCTAGACGAAGAAAAATACCATCCCATGTTGCCACTCTCAGAGCAAGGCGTAGGGGCATGGAATATGTCACTTCCAGCTACCAAAGAAAGAGCAAAGGAGAGAACCGGTGATGATGATGGGTCTCTGAATCCGCGGCCAAGGAAAAAGCTTCGCAGAACTGCCAGTACCAAATTGGTGGGCCAAAATGAAAATATATGGGGGGACATTATTGGCATGGGTTTCACAAATACTGAATCTACCGGATCCAAGCATGACCAGTGGAAGGAAAATGATCTGGAAAAGCCGAAGCCACCCGTCATCCAAGCTGCGAAATCGTTTGCAAGCGAGTCGACATTTTCCGAGACAATGCAGAATCTCCAGCAGCCCGAGACTATATCTAAAAGTGATGGTTTCCTTGCCGGCTCTTATTTCTTCATCCATGGCTTTTCTCCTAAACAGGTAAGTACCAGGGCTCGCCAACCATTTATCCCTAATCGTGACTAACTTCAACAAGATTGGAGTTTTGCGAGACCACCTTGGCTACAATGGGGCTCAATGTGTGAATTCTATGAACGAGTTCTCCAGTCCTAGCATCCCAAAAACAGGACAAGGATTGTACATGATAGTCCCTTATCGAACCCCTAGATCGGAAATTCCATCCACAGATGATTTGGCTTTCGAGTGCGAGGTTGTGACAGATATGTGGCTGGAGCGATGCCTTGATACAAAAGCCTTGGTGCCGCCAGAATCTCACGTTGCAAGCACACCCTTCCCCAAGTTTCCTCTGCTAGGTAAGAATCTCTCAGTCAAATGCACGTCTTGTTTCTAAAGTTTATCAGGATTTCCTGGAATGCGAATATGCTCGACTGGCTTCGCGCGGATCGATCTACTTCACCTCTCCAAACTTGTCAATCTGATGGGTGCTACCTACGAGGAGTACCTAACACCCAAGGCGTCTGTTCTGATCTGTAATGACACACAAACTGCAAGTCGTGACAAGCTCCGTCATACAAGTGAATGGGGGGTCCCAGCCGTATCCGCTGATTGGTTTTGGATATCCATTCAATCTGGCCACAAGAAGCCATTTGAGCCGTACCTGATTCGCAGACAAGCCTCTCAACACCCCAGTAGCGTGGAGAAACCTGGTGATGGATTCACACGTGAGAACCGACGGAACTGTTCAAGTGACCAGGAACGAGACGGAAAGTCTAATACATCAGCCGAGTCAACCAACAAGACCAGAATCGCAGAGCGCATTTCCGACAAAAGGGACAAATCACGAATTTTGCCGATTATGGACGATGGATTCGCAAAAGATGAGACGGAAGCTCCACCCAAACCAACAGTCCCCGAATCACGATCTGGGTCACCTTCCAGAACAACAGACCAACCACAGTCAGGAGAAGCTCCCGCAAACAATCCAGATCAGGATAAAGCTGTTTCAGCTGCTGGGCCATCTGCGTTAGATACTGCTTTGAAGGGGCTCCTTCAACAAGCCCAAGCGGCCAAGACCCGTCAGCAGTCGGATAGCTCAACCAATGCCGACGATGGTAGCTACCCTGCCCGACGAAAACGCAAGCCTCTGCTAGGCCGAGCAACATCCCATTCGTCTAGTCGCAAGCTCGAGACAACACGCACAGTGTCCCGTGCAAGTTCCGTCGATACACTGAACGACGATGGCCTCGGCAGTGTAGTCGAGAGTGGAGATCCAACCCGTGAAAATTCTCTATCTCGCACTAACAGCCGTGTTGAACCAAACTTATCATCGATATTCAGCGGTGGGAAATTCGACTTCATGGTCGAGAAGACGCTCGCCCCTGCCGATAACGAAGATGAAGAAAACCAAGAACCGCAAATGACACAACTTGACTATGAGGACCCAGATGCAGCAGCCATGAGAGCGGAATTCTTGCGGGATGCAGGTAAACTAACTGGAAAGGCAAAGAAGCCCGACCATGTAGCTCTGGGAGAAATCAGGGAGTTGGAGGATACTGGCTGGGGGTCTGGACGGAGAACGAGGAAGCAGCCTGTTAAAGAGGATGATTGATATGTTAATTTCTCTGATGTTTGCATTGGTTCACAAGTGTTGCTGGAGAGGCCCTTGCCTTGGAAAAGGAAAGTTGGTATTGCATTGCGAACGGCGCCATTCCGGGCAAAGTTGGGAGGTTTTATGCGGTTCAATTATTCCAGGGTTGGCACAAGAATTGAAGATGAAATCTTGATTCATTGATGCAAATCCATTCATTCGGAATCTACTACCCTAAGGTAGTTCTCATTATGTTTTGATTTGTCCGGACCTACAGTATCACGTAGAGGAGTCTTCTTCAGTTTTCCATTTTACCCGACAACACGAGCAAAATCTCTAATATTCGTGTAGGAAAGGGTGATAAATCGCTTCAGAAGTCAAATTGGGATGGGAATCTTGGGCTAAACTTGGAATGACCTCCGATGCACGCCAGAACACGCCACGTAACGAAAGAGAAAAAGATTCTGAAGAACCGCTGTACCCAGCCGGAAATAGTGAAACCACCGGCGTTGGAAATACGATACAAAGAGAAGGGATATCAGAAAAGAAAGGGGAAAAGGCGAGATAAATGTACACTTTCAGGTTGTTGGAGAGAATGATGGGGTGGGAGAAGCTGGAGAAAAGAAAACCTTGGGGACTCGGTCCTCCGAGAAGATTCCTGCCCGTAGAAACGCGGGCCTTGGAATAGAGAGATAATGCTCATGCCTCGTAAGCACCCATGCCACCAGGAAGCGGGCCGTCAAGGTCAAGATCCTCCACAGAGCGACGGTTCTCGCCACTTTCACGGAAAAGGTTTGCGAAGTACTTAAGAGCAACATCGCTTTCCTGCTTTACCTTGCCGACCTCCTGCTTGCGCCGGGCAAGGTCCTCGATATCTTGAGCCAGACTGGCCTGCAAATTGTTTGCGGGCAGGCGGAGAATACGTCTGACCTCAGAGGAAATTCGGTTGGCATTTGAATGAACATAGTCCATATCAGAAAGAGTTGCTGCGATCTTGTGGGATAAACGTGGAGGCAAAGTCGTAGGGATGGATGACAGCACGTAGGCTGTGGTCAAGATAGCTGTTTCTCAAGTTAGTACAACGTAGTCTTCAAGGAATGTGTAACAAAACTTTAGGAGACTCACCAGCGGCAAAGAGACCAGGAAGGACTAGACGGCGCAAGTTTTTCGGACCGAGGAACTTGACCGCACTGAATGCACTGTCAACCCAGCTAAAGCCACTGAGGGCCCGACCACCCAGCATAGTCACTGCAGTCATGGCAACGCCCGTCCCTGCCATCTTTTCTTGGCGTTCCCAGAGACCTGCGATATCGAAGAAATCCCAGAAGTCGACTTCAGTGTCGACCTGTCGGCCAAAGGTGTGGCGACGACCCCGGCGGAACATAAGATCCGCACGGAAATTGAGAGGGGAGAATTTGTCCTCCCCAACATGCAAAAGTCCAATGTTTTGAATGAAGCCAACCCCCTTAACAGTCTTGTCACGAGCGTAATCCTCACAGCCAGCGACAGCTGCGGAAATCTGATCCAGCATCGCGAGTTTCAAGTCCTCTGCATACTGGAAAACCGCAAAGAGACCAGGGTATTCGACACCAAGGTCAGCTTCAGAGACCCGCGCAATGGTGTTAGACAGAGTGGATCGAGTGTGATTATACACATCCGCGCACGAATCGTCAATAGCTTTGTCCACGCCGTCAGAAAGTTCGCTCTTCTTCTTTTTGCCGTTTTCATAAGCGGGCTCAAGCTCAGCAAGCTCGTCCGTCACCCGCCTGAGCTCCGACTCAGCAACATCACGGTTGACGGTAGCAAGGGAATTGAGATCGGCAAGAAGGTTAAGCAGATAAGTTCGAGCTGGAGCAAGCTTGGACCGAGACCGCTTCTCAAGAACGAATCGCCTGAGAGCCCCTTCCAGTTTTTCAAAATCTTGGATCTTTTCCTTCTCCTTGGCCTTACCTTTGTCCTTACGAGAATTGGGCTTGTCGTCATTGTCATCGTCATCACCGTCATCGTGAGGGTCAGAACTACCACCGTCACCACCTCCACCAGAGCCAGATTGCGAGACAACGACGGGAGGAGCAACAGGAATCGCATTACTCGAAACGAAATGGACCAACTCGGCAGACTCTTTGTATGTGCGAGGGCTGAGTTTGGCCACTTGATCAAGGATCATGCGCTCGCATCGTTGTTTATCACGGATTTGATCAAATCCGTTTACAACCATAAAAATGTAAGCCTTCTCATGCGCGGCGTTGAGAATAAACTCCTTAGCCGAGAGAGTAAAGTGGTTTGCGGCAGAGACCACGAAAACGACGACATCGATCTCTTCCTGTCGAGCAAAAACGGCCGTTGTCTTGAGAGAATCGGAATTGAGACCGGGTGCATCGATCAATGCAATATCGACCACGCCGTTGTTGAGGAGAGACTCGTCAATAGTTCGAACATCCTTGACATAGACTTTGCACTGCATATACTTGGAGTTATCCACAACGATGTTTTCGAGCTCGCTCATCGAATAGACGTCGTATGTGGTTTCATCGTTGCGGTTATACTGGACATTCTTGTGCACAGCATGTACCTCCTCAATACCGTTGTTCTCTCGAGCGTCCAGGACTTCACAGAAAATGCTGGTACAAGGTTGCTGGTCTTCGGGGAGAACCTTCTTGCGAAGAAGAGCGTTGCAAAATGTTGATTTGCCGGCATTCAAATCTCCTGTGATCAAGACTTTGCTCGAAGTATCTTCGATACGGTCTCGTAGGGAAAGTAGGTGCTTAATGCTCTGGTTGATTTTCCCATCCAACAACGAGGCGATCGAACCTTTCTCCAACGAGTGTACCAGCTCCGCCTGCGACAGAGCACCCAGTTTCAGATCCAACTTGAGAATCGAGAATTCCTGAGCGATCTGAGGGGTAATCAATCTGGGCTCAGGTGGTGCACGGCGCTCGGCAGTGGCGCTAGACTCTCCAAGATCATCCCCAGTTGTGGTTGCAGCACGTTTAAGCGACCCAGGACGAGGTGGCGTTGAGGACCTGCTTTCGTTCTGTCCAATATCCGACTGTGCATGGTGTAGCTGGGGGCGTTCTGAGGGGGACAGAGGGTTGTTTTGGGCGTTTTGCACGGAAGGGTAGTGGGCAGGCCACTGGCGGTTCATATCCTGAAGCTCCTTCAAAGTTTCGACTGTCCGAGAGATTGCGCGACCTAGTTTAGTTCGGTTCGAGTTGCTATAGGTGTAGATGTTAGCAGTTGACAGGCTGCTGACCATAGAGAGGGGTTCTAACGTACTAAAGAAGCTGATGCACGTGGTTTGCGACAACTTGTCTCTCGTGATCAGCTGCAGCAGAAGAGGTCAGCCCTGGAATCTCCCAAATAGAACCGCTGTCACACCCTCAACTCGAGTCACTCACTTGCGGGATTCCACTCGCCGGGGCGCGTCGGAGTATGCGCGGGAGTTGGTCTATCTTGCCTCAGCTCTGCGCGCCAAGCTGCACTCGCATCGGTCTCTTGGGTGCTATCGCCAGCAATGCTGCCTCCATATCCGGAATCGTTATTCAGTGAAGACATCAGTGCTGTAGCGCTTTCCGAAGTTGATCCATTGCCCACAGTCATGTATGCTGGCGGGGGTTGAAAAGGACTCATTTCTTCCTCCTCGCCCGGAAAACGGGAAGAGCCAGCCTTCGAGGAGCCCTCACTAGGGAAATATTCCTGACTCATGACGGATAGACACAGCACTGGGCAGCCATCGAAGATTTTCCGAGTGTTTGTTTCCTCGGATAGGGAAGTTTTCCAAGGTGACGTTCGTAGCCTGAAGGAGTTTAGCGCCGGCATGTGACCTGTAACTTACCGCGCTGTAATGCGGCGGTCTCGATTGATGTCACCGTCGTTGTGTAAATAGGCCTCGTCGATTTCCCCCTCTTATCTCCAGACGTACCCCCGCCAGTCACCATGAATGTGCGTTGTTTTGAACCGGCAGCTGGATAACTTTCGTCACCTTCTTACTAATTCAGTCTTAGATCGTCGAATGGGCATTCGGCAAGCGTATGACGCCCGCCGAGCGCCTGCGCAAACACCAACGAGCCCTCGACCGGACACAGCGCGAGCTGGATCGAGAGCGGACCAAACTGGAGAATCAAGAGAAAAAGCTAGTCCAGGATATTAAGAAGAGCGCCAAAAATGGCCAGGTCGGGGCTTGCAAGATTCAGGCTAAGGACCTCGTCCGAACTCGCAGGTAAGTGGCCTATATTCAAGCTTGTACTGCTTCGTCGCGGAAATGACTGACGATATGGCAATACAACAGATATATCCAGAAGTTCTACCAGATGCGCACACAGTTACAGGCGATCTCACTTCGCATCCAGGTATGAAAAGAAACGATATTGCGGCCTCCCTCGCATCCAGCTGCTTACTGTTTTACCCCCCAGACGGTCCGGAGCAACGAGCAGATGATGCAGTCCATGAAAGGTGCAACGAAGCTTCTGGGTGGTATGAACCGACAGATGAATCTTCCAGGACTGCAGCGTATTGCGATGGAATTTGAACGCGAGAACGAGATCATGGATGAACGACAAGAAATGATGGACGATGCTATCGACGAAGCTACTGGGATGGAGGGAGAAGAAGAGGAGGGGGAGGATATTGTCAAGGAAGTGCTGGATGAGATTGGTGTCGATCTGGGCCAGGCGGTTCGTTTCAGTGATAATCGAACACGAGAATATGCATGGGATGCTGACTATTCAAAAAACAGCTGGGCGAGACGCCTTCGGATATCCAGAAAGCACCCGCAGAAGATAATCGGGTTGCGCAGGCTATAGGCGGCGGAGGCCACACGGACGACGATGACCTTCAAGCCAGACTGGATAGTCTTCGACGATGACGACATTATCTTTTTTTTGCTTTCGTATTTTCTGCTTTATTATTAGGATCTGCAAATGGGCTGATTTTTGGCGCAAGCCTTTTCTGATTTCATGTTGCCTCACTTTACTTGGCGTTTCATTCGTCGATTTTGAAGCCACAGCTGCTAGCGACAAACTAGTAATACCCCAGTGGGCTTGAATGCGGCGCAGTTTCAACCCGAAACTTCATTTCATACTCGCTTGGCAACTCTGCCGCAGCTCACATCAAGTTTGACAGAACCAATAGAATAGTGGAGTACTCGTATTGTCTTGAGTCTTGCTCAAGTTCTCCTAGCATTACGGGTTTGCCTACTCTACATAAGACCGCATAAGAGTACCTACTAGTTGTAGGGTATATAAGCACCTTCACCTGGCATTTACGTAAACTCTGACGCCAATTCGGTTGATCCATCCAGGCGTTTCATTTTTATTATAGTCATAGTCTTTCATACTTCAAAAAAGATAAATTTCACCAAAGTGTTCTTTTTGCTTTCTTCACATCTTTTGTAACTAGTCTCGACTGTCAATGAATGAAAACCATCGATACCAGTACTCACACTTTTGAAATCAGCTTCCTTCAGTCTGTCACACGATCTAGCCTATAAAACTTCAGCCATTTGAAACCGACCTCGGGAGCCTTAGACGTGCTCTTTGGAGGGCGACTCTTTCACAGTGTCATCCTTCTTCCAACACTCGTTATAAAATCTTTGTGAAAATGGACGTCTCCAGACCCGATTCGCATACGTCCATTGTCTGAACCAGGGAAAGTTGGATGCTAGCTCGCGCAGCGCTGGTCGATCATATGGGTTCTTAGCTAGCATAGCTTGAAGCACATCCTTGCAGTCTTGGCTAAGGCTCTCATTAAGAGGCAATGGGTCATTCATGATTCTTTTTCTTCTTCTAATGACCCTTGTGACTTCTGACTCGCCAGGTACTTTATACCAATCGAGCAGATTAACGTGCCCGTCTCGCTCAGTGTCCCATGGCCAATAACCGTGAAGAATCCCATAGATGATTACACCAAGCTTCCACATCGCCCATTTGCGCAAGTCATCTGAGTATCGAACGCGCTTTTTAAACCATCCGACATGAGCCAAAGACTCGGCAAGTTCAGGCGCCATTTGGTACTCCTGAAAAGGAAGGTAGCTCCACGGAGCTATATAATCCTCCTCTTCGAATCCAAACGCGCAATTTGCCACGTCAAATATTGTAACCTATAAAATAGCACAGTTAGCCTTTGAACCTGCGGTGATATTCTGGACTCACTTACACTCAGATCCTGACCAACGACGAAGTTGAGAACGGAAATGTCATTGTGGTAGAGATTCATGTCTGCCAATTCTAACATCCCTTGTAGGAGATGCGAAGCAACCTTACAGGCTTCCATCTCATCTAGAAGGGGTGTATGATCCAGATTTATCAAATACTGCCCCTGGAATGGTTTAAATATCGCACCGGAGGGATAGGAGTTTGGGTCCATATCCGGGGTAATGTCGACGCAGGAGGACATGACAATGGCCTGGTACTGGTCATGGACATAGACAGAATCGAGAGTAGGAAACCTGTCACTTGTGGTTAATAAAAAGAGAATGAATGCCTCGACGGGGATATAATGCAGCTCTTCAGACTTCTCGTGAAGCAAGACCATGCCGGGACTGTAGCGATCATCCATGCGGTCCGCAAGTAAAGTGTTATGCCGTTCTGCCTTGACAGCAACGTACTTTAAGGCTCTAGGGTCAGAGCCTTCTTCGCCGCGCTCCTGGGCGACGAACACCGTACCGAAAGCTATTGCATGTTAGTGGCTCCATCCAGGAAGCAAAGTGGGAAAAAGATGATGACTTACTGCCTGACCCAGCAACACCAAATACCTGAAAATGGACCTTTGTAACTTCGGGGCACATAGACTGCAACCGATCCGCCGCAGTTTCTCCACGGAACGTGGGGTCAATACGATGTATCAGGACGGGGTCTTCATTTTGTTGAAAGGCCAATTCATCGGATCGGCCACCTTGGTACCCCTCAAAGACCACGTGCTCACATCGCGAGACTGGCTTGTCACCTCTGGCAATAAAGGCGTTTTCCATACGATACCGCAACGTAAGATGAAGATGCCAGTGTTTCTGAGCGAGCGGGTCTGCAGGATCTAGCAATCGATTGACAAGCATGGGAAACGACTCCGCCCACACATCAGCAGGCGGAGAACCTGGAGGAGGTCCCAGTGTGGAGGAGCCTGCAGGACTTGCAGGTCCGGCAGACATGGTTGGTTAGAATTTGGTGTTAGGACACCTGGAGATTTGAATGGGATTGGCGTTTATAGGCAATGGATATGATGCTGTGCAATTCGGATTGTAATTACCTGTGTGACTCGAGAACATTCGAGGTCTAATGAGCTGCTTAAATAGAAGAGGCTCGGAAGAAGACTCGAGCATAATGGTCTTCCCTCGATTGCAGTACAAAGAAGACTTGTCAAAAATGAGATTTAATGTCAGTTTTATACACACAAAGCGTGAGACAGAACAAAGGCAGGCTGTTTGCTTCGAAATGACTTTCAGCAAAACCATGCCATTCACGGTAGAGAACAATGGAACAATGTTGTTTCGGGGATGTGCCGGTGTGACGAGGCAGCTCCATTCCAGCCCCCCTGTTTCGTTGCCAAATAGGAAGGCAACCGCAGAGCCTCATCAAATGAACTCCCGGCTGGAGCTCCCACTGCATCAGAGGATGCGGCTGTCAGAATTCGCCCATTATTGGCCCGGGGCAGCCAAGTCTGAGTCTAAATGACTGTGCCAATAAGGCAGACTCAAAATGGTGTAATTTGGCAGCTACCCTGTGACAAGGCGCACCGGGGTGAGCCGGGCGTAGTCCACGCGACGGGCGAGAACGGGCTAATGTGATCAGACCGAGACGGATTCTAGAAAGACACTATAGAAACGACCCGTGCCCGCGGCTGATCGCATGGGATAGGTGAGCTCGTCCCCCTCGGCGGCCTTAACCTCGAACCTCCGACACCCGGGTTCGAATGTTGTTGAATGTGGGGCCAAAAGATGCGTGTTCCCGCACGGCGCTTCAAGTTGTACAGTAAGCTCGCCGAGCCTCATCCTCCACCCGCCAATCACCACCCCTCGCCCTCTCGCCAGACCTGTTGTAAAATGGAGCCTCTTCACCCGGGCATCGGTATCGAATACGAGTTGGAGGTGAGAGACCGAAGTATAAGACGACCGGGTCGTGGTAGTGGTTTTCTCTCATCACCAGTTTATTTCCTCTTCTGACAGCCTGCGACCGATATATGTGCCTTGCGGTAGTCTCATCTCTCCTACTAGAACCATGACGACATTCCATCTTGAGAACGATAATGCTGTTGGCGGCCAAGAAAAATTCGTCGCTTCTGGATTACCAACTCCATCAACCCAGGTCTCGCCTCAGATTCGTGGCAGCGTCCCCGTGGACACCGCCAATGAGACCCAAGCAACTCCGAACCCGACAGCATCCGAGCCAATGCTCAGCGCCGTGGTATATGAAGGCTACCAATTCTTCAAAGCAGACCCGACGACGGGGCAAAAGGCAACATGGAATCGGGTGGAGCGCACCCAGATGCACCTCTCGCAGGGCGAGTTCTACAAGATGGTCCAAAAACGGGCGAACAAGGTCTCAGCTGTACAGCAGTATCAAAACCTGTCCGACACCCGCCGTGCTCATGTGAACCAGTTGATCCATGAGCAGCGGCGGAATGACCCCTCGGTGGAATGGAGCTGTGTCTATGCAAAGGAACGCGACAGACCATCGAAGGCCCGCAACGCCCATCGGGATGATTATGAGACCGTCTCGATGGACATCATCTTAATGAAACGACCCATAAAAACCAAGTCATATCCAAGGACACCTATGGGAGATCTGGTGGAACTTGATATGCCCTTCCGGAATGATCATAATAGCACATCAGCAATGATGATGCCACCGGGGAATCCGGCAACAAAGCCATTCATGCCGGGTCAAGTGATTGGCCCCGGCTATGTGGTTCAGGGTCCCCTCCCACGACCGGTGTCAGTAACGTCGCCTTTTACCAGACTTGACCTGGGGCATCCTGCCGCGGAAGATCAATTTATAGGCATGGGTGGGCACACGGCACTTGAAAAGTAAGTGCAGATACTGGAAAACGAGCCGAACCTGCGTGGTGATTTTGACAATGGCTAACATGTGGCCTGGCATAGTGAAAACAGAAATATGGAGCACGATGCGGGTTGGTCTTCTGAAGAAGTCGATAGCGAGGACGACGACGAGTCCATGATATTTGACCAATCCCCATCTAGGATGAGCTCTGAAACAGCGCATCCTGACAATATGGATTGTGAGTGTCAGCAAACACCACAACCATCTGCACAATCCACTCCGCGGCAACGCTCGTGTAGTCCTGCTCGCCGAGAACCTGGACTTGGATCTCATTTTCACCGCAAGTCGAAGAGCCGTAATATGGAGCGCAGATTGGATAGGTATCACCCCCTCCGCTACTACTATATGGATATGATGGCCGCAAAGAACGGCTTCCCTGTCAAAAGAGCACGGGGTCTGGGGATGGGCGCAGATCCTAATAGAATGTGGGAGAAGAAGTATCGAATCCACAGGATCGATGATGAAGAACTACGAAGCCGTTTGCTTGATTGTGAAGCTCGTATTGAGCACTGGGAAAGGGCCTTTGAGAACCAAACTCGAATACTACAGAAGACGATGGAGGATTCTCATCAGCTTCGACGCTGTAGATCCTTCTGGGATTTCTCCTCGATGCGCCATTGCGGGTGTGATTGCCCCAAGACTAGTGGCATGGGAAATAATGACTAATTAGTGCTACCCTGACTCCATCTCGTGTTTTTCTTTTCCGGTTTTTAATTTGTCTCCCATTACTTATCTTCTCCATTCGTTATGCATTCTGACCTTGGTGTTTTGTGTTTATCGATATGAAACATTCATTTGGCATGAAAAGAAAGAAAACACGAAAACTATTTCGCATCGAATTGAGGTATCAACACCTTCAGAGATAAATAAGCGGTTATCTTGTGCTTCCTAGGGCCCCTATCCATAATACTGTCCTTCGAGGTTATTTGGTCATAATGTTACATCGAATTTACAAAGAAACGAACATGCCGGATGCTTCCCAATCTAGGTCCATACAGTATAGTTACTTCTACATCCATGTTATAGTCATTATGTGTAGACTAGGTCACACTCTGAGCCAATGGGTAGGATAGTACATAGACGAACGCTACATCCCGGCGAGAGATGCAAGCTGATGTAGCTCTTGCAGATACCCCATGCCATGGTTTTAAGCTTAAGGTGGGCCACGATAACTACTTCCAAACATCCGGTTAACGTCATAACTTTCATGCCTGGTATCTCAGGCGCCAATGCCGATCCTCGGGACGAAGTGCCCCTCCATTTCCTTTACCCGCCCAACTCTCCTCTTCTCTCCAACTCATTCATTCTCATTCTTCTTCTTTCTCAGCTTCAAAAACATACCCTTCACAATCCAACATCATGCCTCGCCAATTCTTCGTCGGTGGTAACTTCAAGATGTAGGTCTACCCTTTATCCCTACTACCCCGCGCTCAACGCGCTGCCCCTCCATACCTACCTATCCGTGCATTACCCAACCTTCAAGACAGCACGATTGACCAGTACCCAGGAACGGTGTTCGCCAGAGCATCACCGACATCGTGAAGAACCTCAACTCCGCCAAGCTCGACTCGACTACCGAGGTTGTCATCTCTCCTCCCGCCCTGTACCTCACCCTCACCCGCGAGCTGGCCGACCCCAAGATCGGCGTTGCCGCCCAGAACGTCTTCGACAAGCCCAACGGTGCTTTCACCGGTGAGATCAGCGTCGAGCAGCTGAAGGACACTAGCATCAACTGGGCCGTCATTGGCCACAGCGAACGTCGTGTCATTCTCAAGGAGTCCGACGAGGTACGTACTTTCTACAGCTAGTACACCGGCGGCCCGAAACGGCAGCCCCGAATCTGGGAAACAGACGGCTAATACTCAGATAACAGTTCATTGCCCGCAAGGTCAAGGCCGCCGTTGATGGCGGCGTCTCAGTTATCTTCTGCATTGGTGAGACTCTCGAGGTACGTCATTTCACCTTCGCTCGGTTACCCGTTTTTCGTCTCGGGTCCCGGTGTGGGTCATCGGGATGGGACCTGCATGAAAGACTCTCCGCTAACACCCGACCTCTTTGTCATAACAATAGGAGCGTGAGGCCAACAAGACTATCGAGGTCGTTACCCGTCAGCTCAATGCCGCCGCAAAGGAGCTGAGCAAGGAGCAGTGGGCTAAGGTTGTCATCGCCTACGAGCCCGTCTGGTAAGCTTCTACTCCTTTCATATACTACATTCTTGAACCTAGACACTAATTCCATTCTAGGGCCATTGGCACCGGCAAGGTTGCCACCACCGAGCAGGCCCAGGAGGTCCACGCCGCTATCCGCAAATGGCTCGGTGAGACCATCTCCGCCCAGGCCGCGGATGATGTCCGTGTCATCTATGGTGGCTCCGTTAGCGAGAAGAACTGCCGTGAGCTCGCTACGCAGCCCGACGTTGACGGTTTCCTTGTTGGTGGTGCCAGCTTGAAGCCTGCCTGTAAGTTCCAGCCAATTGATCCGAGTCGATTTATACGTGGTGCTAACTATACATACAGTCGTCGATATCATCAACGCCCGCATCTGAGCAAGTTATTGAGGAACGCAACCGTAATACCAGATAGTTGGGTTAAAATATTTGAACGTGATATGTTTTCATGAAAATATATGTACAATGTGAGACCGCGAATATTTCCGGCTTGCGGCATATTAAGATATCGAATGATGAGACTTGGACAAATTTAGCAGCTCCAAATATAAATGCGTATGGCATGCATATAGAATGCAAAACAAAGGGTATCAGCAGCACAAATGTGCCCATGCATCCACATACCCTAGGGTAGTATCATGATGAATACATGACCGAAACTCCAACCCCACGCCAGTATGAGGGTGCGCCACCTCCACTCTGCGTCGACCCACTCCCCGAAGCAGTGGAGGACAGACTCGGAGACAGCGAGAAGGATCCCGGGCCCAACCCGACACCTGCACTCACCAGGAGCTCTTTGACTCGACCTTCCCATAGTAGACGTACATTCCAAGATTGGTCTATGCGGAGCTTGATCACGGAATCATTGGCTTCACTGTCATCTGTCTCTGAGCCCGTAACAGGCTCGGGATGAACCGGGTCAGAGGGGAGTGGAGGGGTCGGCGGCGGGGAACCGGGCAACGAGGCAGAGAAATCGTGCAGGCGCATTTTCCGCCGAGCCCATTCAAGATCGTCGTTCGCGGGGGAGGTGGATTTCTTGGCCCTCCGCCAGAGTTCACAGCCGGCAACCATTTCGCTCTCCCAACTGTAGACATTGAAGCCAAACCGCGAACTGAATGCGAGATTCGGTGAGGCACGGAGGGAATATGTCGTGGACAAAGAGCCAGTGATAGGGGTGAGAGTGAGCGTCAAGGTATAGGGAAATGTGGATATAGGTGTGGGAGGTGTAGATGTAGATGAAGGCGAAGGCACTTCGGTCGCTGCCGGGAGTGTGCTGAATCGCAGTCCTGTTGACATTCCGATGAGTGAAGATACTGGTGAGTAGTATGCTTCTGCTCCGGCGGATAGAAGTGACAATCGAGGCGGCGCATCATCGCGGGTAACACGAGGATCAGGACCAAAATTCCAGAGACCACGCCAGCCAAAAAGTGCGTTATCAGTACTGAATAGATACTCGTTGCAGTATTTGCCCGTGTCATGAGATAATTGAGCGAGCATTGATGCCTGCGGTGCGGAATTTGATAAAGGCGGTCCTCGGGTCGAGCAAACCGCAAGGGACAGTTGTGTGGTTGGGGACATCCTGCGCAGGAATAGTGCATACAACGTGGTTGGCGACGGAAGTTGAAGCGAGGCATGCAAAAGAGTTGCTTTCCGTTGTGCAGCCTCATCTACCGTTTGTTCATCGTCCTTGCGCGTGGGAAACTTGGATGCGGGCCCGTTCTTCAGGCCGGGAATGCCGACTCCATTTAAAAGCGAGTCCCAGCCCCATGACTGCACGGGGGCTATCGGCGGATATACTTGACGGTAACCCGGAGAGATCTTTCGAAGAGGTATCAACGCGCTCCGACTCGGCGTGTTGTGAAGAGGGACAGTACTGAAGAGGTACGATACGGAGCCATCGAGCAAGCCCACCGTGCCTAGCGTGTAGCTGGTTGCGAAATGAGGAGTTGAGAGTGAAGAAACACGAACTCGCAATCTTTCCGGAGTAGAAAAGTCCAGGATCGCTGTTTGAATACGTTAGTATCAAGCCTATGGCGGATCCCTGAAGTCGAGTCACTCACACTGTGCGGTGGTGGTGAGCGATAGGTATGAGTTGTCGCGGTTCCAGTTGGTGGCCTCCGCAAAGGCGAGCTGGATGTAGTCCATGAAATCCAGCATTGTGCCTTGTCGGCCCTCACCCTGCTGGTCGTCGCAGAACGGGTTTCGTCCGGGCGCAAGCGCGACCTTCAGCTGCTTGCCCCATCGGGGCTAGTGGGGTCGGATAAGCGCGGCACAACTGTTGATCCGGTTATCAACGAAAAAAATGCCAATGCCACATTCGAGGCCCTCCGTTGTCTACAAACCACGCTTTAATTCCGCCATTCCACAATGCCTCGTTCAAAGCGCGCGCGCGTCGTCCATGAGTCGAAGACGGCCAAGAAGGACCACAAGGAGCAGACCCGCCGGCTCTACGCCAACATCCGGGAATGTGTGGAGGAATATGATCACCTGTTCGTCTTTGCGGTGGACAACATGCGAAACACCTACTTGAAGGATGTACGCTCTGAGTTTGCTGACAGCCGGTATGTGTTTCAAATATGCCATTAGTTGTGTCGTTGATTTCATAATCTACGGCCAACAAAATCATTACCCATCATATCTGTCTATTCGTTCCATATTAAACTTACTAACTTTCGTATCTTTAGCCTGTTTTTTGGTAAGACCAAGGTCATGGCAAAGGCTCTGGGAAGCAACCCCGAGACTGAGGCTGCGCCTAATCTGCACAAACTCACTCCTTATCTCACCGGTGCTGTTGGCTTGCTCTTCACCTCCCGATCCGCCGAGTCTGTGATTCAATATTTCGAAAACTTCCGCCCTTCAGACTTTGCCCGTGCTGGAACCGAGGCCACCCGCTCTTTCTCTATCCCCAACGGCCTGGTGTACTCCCGAGCTGGCGAAATTCCCACTAGCGACGACGAGCCTATCAGCCACACCATTGAGCCTGCACTGCGCAAACTCGGCGTCCCCACTCGCCTGGTCAAGGGCAAGGTTATGCTCGAGTTGACCGATGATCAGGAGGGCTACCTGGTCTGTCGCGAGGGTGATACTCTGGACTCCCGCCAGACTACCCTCATGAAAATGTTTGGTGTCACTTCCTCGGAGTTCAAGGTCGACCTGAAGGCCCAGTGGTCGCGGAATACCAATGAGGTGAAGATTCTCGAACAGGGCGATATGGAGGTGGATGCATAAATGCCGATATCCCCGGCCCCTTTTTCTCTCTCTGTTATTTGACCTCTGCGTGGTCAACTGAAAAAGATTATCTGTGGGCATCTTTCTGGAGTTTTTGGGTAGGCGCTTTCTTTCTTGAAATATATTGAATACCTTTTCCCCACAAAAATTTCCCTGGAAGATTGTGACTTCCAATTCATGTGCCTATGACAATGGATACCAGGTTGGATAAAAAACAATACCTAAGACCAATCCAAGCGTATAGAGAAAAGTTCAAGTCTCCTCATCGCCTTAAGTACCACAGAGGGTGATTTTCAGCTACAAGTACTATGTATGTAACAAAATTTGATGCTTGCTTTTTGGTCCTTACGGTGCATCAGATTTATGTAATTTCATGGCCCGTTATGGCGATATTTCGGTTCATTTAGATTTCGACGGAAAATCCCCGCTTGAGTAAAGTACAAATCCTGCCCTGCCTATAGAAACCGAACCAGTCCCAGTTGAACATACATGAAAAAAATTGCAAACCCTTAACGATAAAAAAGCAAACCTGAAGAAACCTGGGGGGCAGGGAAATGAAATAAACGAAGCATAAAAGCAGGGGATAAAAAACGCCGTGTGATATGGACTTTGGTAACGAGGTCCTCGGATTCGACGTGTGCGCTGCTCATCTAACCCCCTTTACCTTCGGAAGAAAGAGATAAGATAAAGAAATGAAGAATATCCACTAGGATACCTGAGATGACACGGAGCAGAAATAGAAGGTAAAATCCATGGGGGCTAAGAGAGCGCATTTAGTCATATCGTCTTTTGGTGCGAGGATCATGGCGGTCGTCGTCGTCACGGTAACGACGCTTGGGACGTCCATACTCCTCCCGACCATCGTATCGGTTACGTTCGCGGTCACGGTCGCGGTAGCGGTCGCCGTTAAGGTCGGACATATGGTCACGGTCACGGTAGCGGTCGCCGTCGCGGTCACCGCGGTCACGGTCACGATCAGCGTAGCTATCGCGGGGGCGTACAGGCTCTCGGTTGCTACCAGTGATACGGTCGACGCGGCCCCCGCCACCGCGGCCACCACCAGGACCAGAGGGAGCATTGGGCGGTGGCTGTCCACCATATCGACCATGGCCGACACCACCACGAGGCGCATAACGATCACTACCACCACGGCCGCCGCGGTCACCACGGCCACCTCCTCGGAAACCTCTGTATCCTCCTCCGCGAAATCCGCCATATCCACCAGGGCCGGATGGCGCGTTGAAGCCCATGCGTGTGTTCTGTTCCTGGGTGTAACCGCGTCCACCAAGACCACCACCCAGACGTTGAGGTAGCCAGCCTCTGGTGGTCAGGCCGCGCTGGACGTCCACCTTGACGGGTCGACCCTTGATCTTCCATTGATCGGCGACCTTGTAAGCCTCTGTTGTAGCGAACTGTGTTAGCAATGCGTTTTCTTTGAATTTGTGAATGCAAATAGAGTAGACCGGTGAGTGATACCTTTCATTTGCTGCTCGGTCTCGAACTCGAGGAAGGCGTAGCCCTGGTGAGGCTTCTTCGCATTCTCCTTTGTCGACTTCACCAGGCGAATCTGAAGATTAAAGTGTTAGCTGATAGCGGTGATATGTGGGCAGTCGAGTGGACTTACTCGCTCAATTCGGCCAAAGCGGCTGAAAACCTCCTCCAGGTCGCGTTCGTTGGCCTCATAACTGATGCGCGAAACGAAAAGGGTCCTGTAGGGATCACTGCGAACCTCGGGATCATTGCGGGGGTCGTCTGTAGAAGCGAAGGGAGGCACCAGTTAAAAGGTGGTCAAACTTGAGATGGGAGGGCAGTTAGTGATATACGTACAGTTCTCAATGCCTTCTTTCAGTTTCTGCTCGTTGGCTTCTTTCTTCTCGCGTCTCAGGCGCTTGTTGCGCTCGTCCGTGGTCTCAACCAAGTTGAAGGGAATTTCATTCCCATTGGCGATGTCCTCTCTGACCTGTGCTAGGAACTGAGCCGTAGCGGAAATGTTGCTGTGCACGCCGACCTGTCTCTCGGGGTTGGTGCCGACGGGGCCGAGGTATTTGATGATGGGACGTGGGGCGAAATACGGATCCAGTTGCTGGTGCAACCATCGTTCGGCCATTTTATCTTTATCTTCAGTTCGGCCACGGGCACGATGGGGGTGATGTGGCGGGCGTCCCTCGTCGTCGCGGCGTTCTGGCGGCATTTCGAGAGGCCGCAGCTTTGCTTGGATGTGGAGAACTCGCGGATTCACCGCCTCACGTGATGCAAGAAATTGTCCTCGCAGCTGACATCCGGTCCAGACGAGCGCGATCAGCCGGGCACGAAGAATCTCGAAGCAGCAGCGATGCCAGTCAAAGGGATCCGGACGGTGGCATCCGCCAGGGTAAGTGTGGTGTGGAGGGTGAGGGAGAGAAAGAGAGAAAGAACGGGAGAGGGAAGTGAGTTTTTAAGTGATGAAAGCTGACCCGGTCGTGCCTTCCTTAGAATGGCGTTGGTGCCTTCATCTTGCAATGCAAACGCCTCGACTTTCACTACTGCAACTTCTGGGCCAGCTCTCGGGGCATGCTGTGAGTGAACGATTCCCCCATCCCCTTTTCCCTCCCGCAGTCCTTCAAGCGACTTGAGCCTGGCATGCCCGTAATTGTGGCTAACGAGAGGGACACTACAGCAACTTCCTAACAAAGGACCTGCCCGCATTCGCCCGCGAACACCCCCAGATTGAAATCCGCGTCTCGCCCCGACCTGCGAAGCACCCCGTGATCAAGGGCCACTACATCAATGGCCACGAGAAGGCCATCTGCGTGCGAAACCTGGAGCCCGAGGACATCATGAAGAAGACAATGATTCTGAAGGAGGCTAGCGGGGATAAGTTGAAGCGGACGAAGAAGCCGGTGACCAGTGTGAACGAGAGTGTACGTGGCATCTGGTCGCCATACCACGGCGATTTGCGCGGCGTATGAGTTACCTGGTGGCGTTTTTGATGACCTTCATATCCGGCGGTGGTGAATGTGGCCATTCAGGCCATGGAGCTGGCCAGGAAAGCCCTTACCGCCGCAATTCATTGTATTATTGAACCGGCTCCATCTTTGTTTTGTCTTCATATCCCAATGTTCTCTGGCCATGTATTTCTTATCTACCTGCTGTTTTCGACACCCATGTTTCTCGTGCATTGCTAAGCCAGCCGCGATACCAAGTGAAATATATCTTGATGCCTCATATTGTTGAACAACCAAGCCTTTAGATTTCTATTCGAATGTGTGTAATGATTGCTTCCCCATTTTAACCCGCTCCGCAAGTGAAGGACAACATCGGAAGGGCCTTGGCCTCCGCATCTCATCATGAAATGACCTGGAGTGATGGGGTTGGCTCCTGTTTCATGTAGTCTACTGGGAGGATAAAACAGGACCAGAAGGGATACACAATCATATGAGATATTAGACCCCTATGGCGTTTAGAATGAATACAGAAAGCTGGTTCAGGCCGGCAGCCCCATCTGAAACGCAGTGGCACGGCCCTGTAGATCATCGACATGCCGGGCGACAGCCTGCCTCACTAGTGGATTCGAGGTAAACGAGCCGATTGTTTTAAACTGCGACATTCCAATTGTAGGGCTCGGAGCACCTGCCGAATGAACGCCATCGAGCCTGTCAGTGCTCCATCTCGCAGACAGTGTTTCGATCCGGCAGTCCTCACTGGTGGAAAATGCCATAATTGTCAAAGCCATGACATTTTGATTGAATGAAGGATTGAGGTCCCTCCACCACCATAGACCGACACTAGCAAAACAATAAAAGCGTGTGCCTAGCAGGAGAAAAGATATAAAAGAAACGCATTCCGGGAACTATTTGACGGGGTAGATTGAACCCTGAACAAACACCACTGGATTCTCCCGTTATGCCTTCCTCCGCCAAGGTTGTCTCCATCCTCACTGCGCTGGCCGTCGGCTCTGTCGAGGCCGCCATGGGCCCTGCCTTTAGCACTGGCCCTGTCTCGGACAACTCTTGGATACGCGAGGCTACCTCGACCTTAGTCCTGCCTCAAGCTCCCAGTGACAACAGTGGTGTTCTTTCCCTTTGGGTCGGCATGGGGACTTCCAACGGCGACTTGATCCAGTCAATCGCCGACAACTGGCAGTCTGATTCCTGGAGTGTGTATGCGTACACTCTGACCTCAACGGGAGGTAGGTACCAAATCTTTCGTTCATGCTCCAAGTCCCTTGAAGACTGACGCTTTGCATCTATATAGCCAATTCTCAGATGCCGGTCCAGGGACCGTCCTCCGACGCTACCGGTGGACAGCGAGTGACTATGCACTGTAAAATCCCACAATTTACTGGGCAACTGGCCATGAACTAACGTGTGTCTGTAGACAAGTTTGACGACGCCAGTGGAAATTACACTCAGACTGTTCTGGTCAACAACCACACCGTGTCTACTCTTTCCACCAGCGACGGCCACGCCCAGGGCTGGGGTAGTTCTGTTGAATGTGCCGAGGAGAACTGCGGCACTGTTGCTGCCCACTGTAAGTTCGAAAGCTCGAAATATGCTCATGATTTTTGCAATCATTGCTGATTGATGCTTTCTCTAGCTTGGATCAACACCAAAATCGTCCTCGACACGGCCGACCCCGACTACATTAACACTGTGACTAAAGGCGACGGAGTCACCGGTGACATGAAGACCAGCGATGGAGGCAAGACCTGGACTGTCAGCCGCATTGACATCCCCGAGTACAGCTTCTAAAGCGTTACAAATTGTGTTGAAACGGAAGACCCGGGACTGTTGTCATTTTGAAACTGTACAACATTTTCACATTCTTGTCTTCTTAAATATTACTCAGATAGTGCCTGTTAAGGTTTCCATTAGAAATCCGTGCAGAAACAACAATTTGATCGTCGTTGATCTATCGTGCAGTGTGGTATATACCGATCGGGCCGAGGTCTCAATCTCACAGGTGCTGCTTGCCACTATCACCGACAAAACACTCTGGACGAGGGTAAGTTGTAGTATACCGTCGAGCACACTCACTATTATGGCACTGATGTTGGAAAAATCCATTTTCATAAGTCTCACGGAGTGATACTATACTTACACATCCTAAGGCAATATGTAGGTCGATATGCGTTTTTTCAAACTATTTACGGTTGCCGCGTTGCGCATACTTAATGTACCACGCACTGTACACTAGTGTAGTGCACCATCACATGTATGAACCCTGCTGCAGCGCTATTGTATTTAAGGCACTCAGGCGATTCCAAGTTCGGCAATACACTCATCCATGCGGTGTGCCTATAACCTAAGTCGCAAATTCCATTGGGAGACTCAACGTATTGTCCAAGTAGCCCTAGTACTAGTACCTGTGAATACACAGGACAGTTTACCGGAATGCGAGTAATGTTCTACAGACTACGGAGACAGAGCAATGCCAGTATTCTCATCAAACGATTTCAAACTGCGTAGACCGGATAATATAAAAGTAAAAACAGCCTCCCAAAAACGCCATCCATGCCCATGCATCCAGGGTATCGACGTAAAAAATAATGAAAGAGGAATTTCAAGGAGCGGTTATCAATGGAACACTCCCCACCATGCAAGCAAGCAAGCGATGTTGAGCACCGTGAAGTTCTTCACAGATAGAGATGGATCATCGCGGTCGGCGCACTGACTAGCTTACCACAGTCGTCGACCTGGCATTTGGAAAATGGCTTTGTCCTTTGTGAACCCTGTGCCTTTTTGGCCTTTGATAGGGACCGGTTCTCGGCACATTCCCCACAATAAACCTGTGAGATGTTAGTGATCACAAAAAATGCGTTGACGATATATCAAAAAACACGAACATGTCCACAAGGCTTTGCGACCCAGATCTCTTGTCTCTTGCCCTCGCCAGTTCCTAATTCCCAGTCGCAGTTCGGGCAAACCGCCATATCTTCCTCGCCAAGTGTTCGGGCAAAGCCTTCGGGTGCCGGACTCGGAGGTTTGTAGGTATCTCTTCGCCTAGTAGCTTCATGTGGCTGTGAGCCCATTGCGAATGCAGGGGCTCCATAGTCAAGGTGTTCAGGCATAGAAAAAAGTGCATCGCCGATAGGAAGTGTCTCGATCTCAACATGGGAAGAATTGTAGCCACGCGACAATAGTCCAGGTATGGTTCCAAAAGATGACCAGTCTAGTGGCAACCTGGGTAGATGGCTAAATATAGACCTGTTGGAAAGCTGAGACGAGCTCGACTGGAAGCCATGACTGATATTACCCCAAGGTGGCCTAGAGGGAAGCAGGGGCTGACGTCGAGTCGTGGCACCGACAAACTGCACCTCTGGGCTGCTCGATGGCCCTGGGCCTCGGGGTGGCCCTTGAGAGTCAGAAAGAAGGTCCAAGTCGGCATCATCATCGTCGTCGTCATCACCATCAAGATCAACAATATCGTTGTCTAAGATGTTCCGCCCGAATCTCGGGAGTCTACCAGTGTTCGGTGCGCGGCTGTGAGACCCATGCGATCGTCCAGGCCGTGGAGGGGTCTCGGGTTCATCTGTGAGGTCTATCACTGTATCTGCTTGAGCGGCTGCATGATCGGGGCTTAGGAGATCTAATCGGTCGCGTGATGTCCTAATGCGTGGCAAACGGGAAGGGCGATCATCGGGGTCGAGATGTTCAGACATGGTGTAGAAGTGGCCCAGCCACTGGGATTGTGATGGCCCATCGCTGGGAGTAGAGTCCTGCGACATAGATCGCCGTGAAAAGTTATCCTGCGACATTTGACGATGTGTTCGCTAAGTAGAAAAGAATACATGAGCCAATGCCATTCTTTAGTGGTCAGTTGCCCCGTGCTTGGGTGGCTTACCTTGGACCTGGCGCCCATAACCTGGACGCCAGTTTCGTCGTTCATAGCAAAACCGACGCCAGTCGAAAGATGAGCGCAGATGGCGAGAAATGAAGAAGGGAAGAGTGATGGAGACAAAGATCATGTAATGGGCGGTCATTGATCGCCAGCCGAGTCTCCGGGGGGCGGTGATATTTTGCCAAATGGCCATGGGCGGTGAATGCGATGAGGGTCTGTCGCGGCGGTGGGGAGGACAAACGGGGTGACAATGACGACCTTAACATACTTCTTGAGATACTGTCTGTAGTCAATTATCCAAAATGAAATCAAAAGCACGATTTCGGGGAGCAATCAACTGGGCAAGGAATAGGTAAATTCAATGGCTAAAATCCGTAAGTACACCCCAAAAATGACACGAGTGTACGTAGTTGCATTTTCTCACTTTGAGAGCTGTTATGAACGAAAGAAACATCGTAGAAACCCAGATTTCCAGCTGTAGAATTACATGTTGTTCGAAAAACGATCATGATTGCGCTAGAACTGCAATCGCACCCCCTTCATTCAGGGCCAAAATGCTCTGAGCCGCAGATCCCCAGGCCACCGCCACTGCAGGAACCGCGCTACGGAGCGGCTCTGACCAGGTCTTCGACGACTTGATGAATTGTTGAACAGTCAATCCACCAGTACCACCCGTCAAGAGGAACTGTCCAGTGTAATCCCAGAAGATCGTGTTGATCTGGCTGCCGGTGTCCAGCACCTTGGTTTCCTTCGAACTGCGCAAATCCCAGATCGAAACAGTAGTGGATCCAGCGGCAGAGGCCGCCAGGAAGGTGCCATTCTCAGAGAAGAAGAGACACTTGACAGGACCAGACATGTTGTAGTCAGCGGCAACAGCGCCTGTCTTGGAGTCAAAGATCTTAATGTGACCATCTGCTGCACCAGCGGCGAGCAGGTGGCCATCAGGGTGGAAGTGAGCAGACAACAAAGCTGCAGAATAATGGTTGGCCTAATGTCAAGGGACACTCCAGGGGGAGGTTAGTACTCACCAGCATCAGCGAAAATCTGGGCGACCACAGAGTTGGTGGACAGATCGTAGAGGACATAGCTCTTATCAACACCAACCGAGGCAATGATGTCCCCAGTCGGGTGAACCGTAACGGCGGTTACCTCACCGGCATGAGCAGCGAAACTTGCAACCTCATTGCCGTTATCAAAAACCTTCACCGATCCCGTGGAGGAACCAACAACGGCCTTATCGCCGGCCCATGTGACTCCAGTAACTGGGCCGTCTGTCTTCAGAGTCTGCACGACGCTCTTTTCGGTGAGAGAATAGACGCCCACCACTCCATCGGCACCGCCAATGAGAGCCAATTCGCCAGTAGAGTTAACTGACAGGGCGCGACTACCAGGGTACAGAGAATCGGAAGTATCAGTAGTCTTGTATGCAGAGATGGCGTCGCTCGTAGCCCAGCCATTGGGAATAGCACGCTTGCGGCGACCCTTGGAAAGACTGAAAAACAATTGTTAGTTACGCTTGATAAACTTGCGGCGCAATCATAAACGTACGTAGCCTGTGTGTTTTCAATTCGTTCCACGACTGCCTGAGGAAGACCGGTAGAATCAACCTGCATAGCTTCATCACCGGCCCCTGAGCGAGCAGCACCACCGGAGAATTTCGAAAGAGCATCGCGGGCCTCATCCCGCTCCTGGGTCAGCCGCGCGATCACTCGCACAGCTGCATCGTGCTGATAAAGCGCAGCGCTGAGCTCGCGCCGTGTCTGTGCCAGGTTCTGCTGGAGGGTGTATGATTCGAGAGCCAGAGCATCCCATTCTTCTTGGAAAATGCTGAGAATGGAAGGAATGGATGTGAGAGTGGGAGGTCGGGGCCGAACGACGCGCTGAGAATTGATATCGATGAGATCGTCGGTCGTGAGGTCTTCGCCGTTCACAGGGTCTTTGCCATGCTCGGAGATGTACGCCTCAACCAAGCGCTTTTCGAAAATACTGCCTGTAATCGGGTCAGCCAGGTGCTAATCGGGCGCATTGGGCCCGGAAACCTACCGCTCTTGCGAGAGACAACGGGCACTTGGGGTGCCTCTCCGGAGACTGTGATTGGAATTAATTAGCAATCAAACAATTCGAGAAAGCGAACCACTTGTCTGGGATTCGGATACTCACTTGCACACAGCATGATTTCGGAGGTGGTTGGAGAGAGAGTGGAGGATGGGGAGGTCCTGACGCGACGAGCGGCTCTCCTTTGGACTTTTCGATGTGTCCCGTTGCGGTTTAGCGTCTCCCGAGCTGTTCGCGGTGCCGTCTGGACCGCTCAGCTTGTCGGCCCTCCCAGTGCTTGTCTGCTGTCACCCACGACTCGCCCCCGGCTCAGCGCTGACTCGAGAGTGCGCTAATCCATGGCCAGCTCTAATTGATCTGTAGCAATTGTTCGTTGGGAGTGCACAGCATGACCCTGACTTGACCCCAGCTACAATACCGAGCGTCGCAACCATGTCGAAGAACCCGAAGCTTGCCTACGGTACGCCACGCCTTCGCTCCTCTGTGGATCCTTTCTCATGTGTTTTATATTCTAGAGGCGAACGAGCCTGCTTTTCTTCAAAAGCTACGAGGCCAGTACGGAAACAACAACGGTCGCCTCGAGCGACCCGCTGCGCGACCCCGCAAGCTCAAGGATAGCAAGGATGAGGATGACGACGAGCCGGTCTACGTTGACGAAGAGAGCAACGAGGTCATCTCTAAGGAGGAATACAAAGCCTTGGTTAAGAGCGATGAGCCGAACCAAAATGGAGACGAGTCCACCAATGACCAGACGACGGCCGACGGCGAGAAGCCAACGCCCAAGGCCGAGTCCGAACACCGCAAACAGACAAATCTGACGGAGGTCGGTGGCCAGAAGAAGCGAAAGCAGGCCAAGGTCGTTGGCGAGGACCAGCCGCCTCCCGAGGAGCAGCAGGAAAAACCCAAGACCCCAGTTTCGAAGAAGCCGGAGAAGGCGAAGAAGGCGAAGAAGATCAAGCTTTCTTTTGACGAGGAATGAATATACACATGGGACATATCCTTCTTGGCAAGCGGGCTATTCAAAGGAGCCTAGTATTTTCTCTTGACTCAAGGATTCAAAATGAATCATGATGAGTCAAGGCGCCTCGGCTGCAGAGCCCCGGTAAGGTAATTTAGCAACTTTGCGTACCTTAAGGTATAGAAATTGAAAAACAATTCAATAATCCATTGTAAACATAAATAATGACGTATTCAATGCGTTTCGCATGGCTCAAATTGAAGAATGTTCGGTGGAGAAGTTCAGTGTCGCATTTCAAACCGACGGACAGGCGGCGGCTGGCGTCTTGTTATCTCCATTTCTCAGCAACTTTTTTTCCTCCGACCAGTCGGCCTTCCCCCACCACATTACCTTCGCTGAACTGACTGAACCACCGGGCTTTCTCAGCACTTGCCAAAATGCCCGTGGTCAACGTCGACGACCTGGTTCGCCTGCAACGAAAACCTGAGGACATTCGAAATGTGAGCCTTTGCCCCTCCATCCCATTGTGATGTCAGTGCCTTCCGATATACTAACGCGCGTGCTCAGATTTGCATTTTGGCTCACGTCGTAAGTCACCAAAACAGAAGCGTGCCTTACATCTGAACTTCTTCCTAATTTGATTCTAGGACCATGGCAAGACCTCACTGACGGATAGTCTTATTGCCACAAATGGCATTATCTCGCCCAAGCTGGCGGGCAAGATCCGGTATCTCGACTCAAGACCAGACGAACAACTCCGAGGAATCACCATGGAGTCTTCAGCCATTTCCCTGTTTTTCTCCATGCTGCGTCGGTCCAGCCCCGATGCCGCACCGGTGCCGAAGGAGTATCTGATTAACTTGATCGACTCTCCGGGACACATCGACTTCAGTAGCGAGGTGTCTACAGCGTCGCGTCTCTGCGATGGAGCAATTGTCCTGGTTGATGCAGTTGAGGGAGTATGCAGCCAAACAGTCACAGTATTGCGGCAGACATGGGTCGAGCAGCTGAAACCTATCCTCGTGATTAACAAGATGGATCGATTGATCACGGAACTCATGATGAGCCCGGGTGAAGCCTATTCACATCTAAGTCGGCTTTTGGAACAGGTCAACGCCGTTATTGGTAGTTTCTACCAAGGTGAGCGTATGGAAGAGGATCTGCAATGGAGAGAGCGCATGGAAGACCGTGCCAACTCATCTGCTGCTAAGGACAAGTCCAAATCCAAGATCTTGGATGACGAGTCAGCTCAGAGCGTTGGTGAGTTCACTGAGTTTGAGGAACGTGATGATGAAGATCTTTATTTCGCACCTGAGAAGAACAATGTCATCTTCTGCAGTGCAGTTGATGGTTGGGCTTTTACCATCAGACAATTTGCTGCGATCTACGAAAAGAAGCTTGGCATCAAGCGCACAGTCTTGGAGAAGGTGCTCTGGGGTGACTTCTACTTAGACCCGAAGACCAAGCGTGTCCTCGGCCAGAAGCATCTCAAGGGCAGAGCATTGAAACCCATGTTCGTGCAGCTGGTATTGGATAGTGTGTGGGCTGCTTATGAGGCTACAACAGGCGGTGGTAAAGGAAAAGGGTTTGTCTCATTTAAATCAACAATTATTGGAAGGCCTGGTGCTAACTTGCGATTAGGGACCCGGTATTGCTCGAAAAGATCACGAAGTCCCTGAACATTACCATTCCGCCCTACGTTCTTCGATCTCGGGACCCAAAGAACATTATGACCACTCTCTTTTCTCAATGGCTGCCACTCTCAACTGCTGTCCTTGTCTCTGTGATTGAATACCTTCCGAGCCCACCTTCTGCACAAGCTGCTCGGCTTCCGGATATGATTAAGGATTCACCCGGCTCCGACTACATTTCTGAAGACATCAAAAAGGCCATGGTCAGTTTCAAAACCGAGCTCAGTGAACCGGTTGTAGCCTATGTCAGCAAGATGGCTGCTATCCCAGAGAGCGAACTATCGTCAAGCAAGAAACGTGGCGGTGCAACAATGACTGCGGATGAAGCCAGAGAAATCGCACGCCGCAAGCGAGAGGAAATCGCCAAGATGCAAGCTGAGGCAGGTGCTGGCCAAGGTGACGAGTTCGCACGGATGACATCAGCCTTTGAGAATACTTCCTTGGTCACCGAAACGGAGGAATCCGAGGAGGTTGAAGAGACTGAAGATCCCGAGCATCTCATCGGATTTGCCCGATTGTACTCGGGGACTTTGTCAGTCGGTGACGAGGTCTACGTACTTCCACCCAAGTTTTCGCCTGCCAACCCACATGAGAGACCCGAGCCGAGGAAGGTCACCGTCACTGATCTATATTTGCTTATGGGTCGGAGCCTTGAGCCCCTCAAGTCTGTCCCAGCTGGTGTCGTCTTTGGTATTGGAGGTCTTGCGGGCTACGTGCTCAAAACAGGCACTCTTTGCAGTCAGGTAGAGGGGAGCATCAACTTGGCGGGTGTTTCGCTGAACACGCCACCAATTGTGCGTGTTGCACTTGAGCCGGCCAACCCAGCAGACCTGGGCAAGATGGTTACTGGCTTGCGTCTTTTGGAGCAGAGTGACCCGTGTGCCCAATACGAAGTACTTCCCAGCGGTGAGCATGTTATTCTCACTGCCGGTGAGTTGCATCTGGAACGCTGCGTCAAGGACCTCCGCGAGCGATTCGCCCGCTGTGAAATCCAAACCGGCGAAGCCATTGTTCCTTATCGCGAGTCTATTGTTGAAACCCCTGAAATGGCTGCACCAAAGGAGCCCGAAATGGGCCGTGGAGGTGTCTGCATGGTATCCGGTTCTAAGCAGATGACCATTCGACTACGTGTGGCGCCGTTGCCTGAGACTATGACCGACTTCCTTACCAAACAGGTTGGCACTATCAAGCGACTACAGTCGGATAAGCGATCTGCGGCTGAAGACAAGTCTACCGCGGATACTGGCGCCGATGGTACAGTCGAGAATGGCCAATCGACCGAGGTTGCGGGTACAGATGCTGCCGGTGAAGCACGCGAGGGCAACATTTTGTCTTTAAAGGAGTTCAGAACAGAGTTTGAGAAGGTATATAAGGAAGCAGACAGTAACGAGAAGCTTGGAAAAGATCTTGTCGACAAAATAATTGCCTTCGGACCCCGGAGAGTTGGACCTAATATCCTTGTGGATGCTACTGCTGTCAACACTTGCGAGAAATTGTGAGTCCCCAACTATAAGCGAGTACTTGAATATGAAGAGGAAACTAACATGCCGTTTAGCCTGGTTGATGACCACAAACAACCCACCAACGTCTCTGATGACCAGCAGGCCCACCTAGTTCGTGACCTGTGCGATAAAATTGCCTACTCATTCCAGCTGGCGACTGGCCAAGGACCGCTTTGCCAGGAACCAATGCAAGGTGTTGCCGTTTTCTTGGAAGACATCTCGGTACAAACCAGCTCAAACGACGAACTTGATATGGGTCGTTTGACCGGTGATGCAATCCGACTCGTCCGTGAGGGCATCTCGCGGGGATTCTTGGACTGGAGTCCCCGTGTCATGCTTGCAATGTACAGTTGCGAGATCCAAGCAACAAGTAAGTCCTATATATATTCTCTGCGCACAGAATACACAAGCTAACAAGTAATTTCTAAACAGCCGAGGTTCTGGGTCGAGTCTACGGTGTTATCACCCGTCGCCGTGGCCGGATTATCTCCGAGGTCATGAAGGAAGGAACCCCCTTCTTTACAATCATGGCTCTGCTCCCCGTCGCCGAGTCATTTGGCTTTGCCGAGGAGATTCGAAAGCGTACATCTGGTGCGGCCCAGCCGCAGTTGATCTTTGCAGGTTTCGAGGCCTTGGATGAGGACCCATTCTGGGTTCCTGCCACCGAGGAGGAACTGGAGGACCTGGGTGAGTTGGCTGATAAGGAAAACGTTGCTAAACGTTATATGGACGCGGTGCGCAGTAGAAAGGGTCTGGTCGTGCAGGGTCGGAAATTAATCGATGCAGAGAAGCAAAAGACGCTCAAGAAGTAAACCGGTTTACTTCGTGTCTTTTTGGCCTTCTTTCTCAGATTATGCGTGTATCTTATGTTAGATATAGAAAAGTCATATTCTCAAAGTTTCGTTGACATCGATTTCGATACTCAAACGCCTATGTAGACCATTTCTATTCCTTGTGATGCTTATTACAGAATGTAGCCCCCGTGTCAATTACTCGCCCGCCAAAATTGAGACAGGGAACAGTAGAGAGGGGGCTCGCAAGGATGAGAGTCCCGCGCAGAAACCTTCAATCTTCCTCCATTGACAAACACAGCCCAACATGGATAGGTCTCGACCGTGTATACTAAGGAGGGTGATAATGTCCAGTGTAAACAGGAATTGCTCGTGCTAGTGCTGGGGAGGAAAAACAAAGTAAAATCTGCAACAAAGGAATTGCAGGGTTAGGAGGAATTTCTTTTCATTCATCATGTTATGGGTATCTCATAATTGTGGGAGTATTCCAATCCCTGCTGTCATGGGTATATTGGCATTGCCAATCGTCAGCCGAATAGCGGCATTGACATCTCGATGATTGCTGAGAAGAAATGCAATGGTCCCTTTGCAAATAAAAGTCAACACACGCAGCATTGCGAGGGAAATTGCCTGGGGCATCTCGAACGCGAGTCAACGCTCTAAATCTCGAAAGCTCAGTTTGCGAGCCGAGTTTATAAAGGTGTTGTTAGGCATGCAATTGTGCGTAGGTACCACAATTGTCATATATATCAGTCGGCTTACTTAAAAAGTTTGCCACATGGTATCAACATATGTTGACCTTAGTCCAGGCAGGTAGTGGAGGGGGCAGCATGTCGTGAAGCGGCAGCATCTTGCAAGTCGAGGGCCCTCAGTTCGGCCGAGCGACCTTTCGTTGCTCGGCAACACCAGTGTAAGGATCGCGCATCTGATTCCAGCTAACAGGGAACATCATATTTCCGGCCTCGCTACGGGCCATCACAACGCCGAGATCGTTGCGGGCGGTGGTGAGGTAGTAGAAGCTCTGATCACCGAGGGAAATGACGGAACCACGGACGATATCTCCAACACGGAACATCTCGTCCATGATGACGCGGTCCTTTTCAACAGCGCGGACATCCTCCTTGCGGATTTGCGCTTGGAAACGGAGTTCGTCGGTACTGCTGTGGTTCTCGGGGTTCGCGGCCGATGAGAGGATAGCGGCGACGTTGTCGTTGTCTGATGCGGTCTTTGATGGGTCGGCACTAGGTGTGTTGGTATCGTCTAACACGACCAGGATAGAGACAGTAGCCTGGCGCTTCTGCACACGAGTCACTCGCGCTAAAACGATCGACTCGACTGCGGGCAGGGTGTTGTATCGAGGCTTTGACTTTGCCGAGGCGGCGTGGGCACCTCCGGCAATTGGTGCAGTTTGTTTCGAAGGCAAAAGAGTTCGTGTGATGCGGATGATTCCCTTCGTTTGAGCCTTGGGCTGTGCAGGATCGAGCACGACAGGGCCGGCGATGGAGGCGTAGATGTTGGATTGTTGGATGTGGGTGCCGGGCCCGGCGCCATAATTATCAACGGAGCCCAAGCATTGGCCTGGGATGGCCAGGGGCGGGAGGAAGCTGCCATTGTGTTGGCCCTTGTGGGCGAGGGGGTGGGAGGTGATGGTTGAACAATGATTCGGAGGATGCTATGGATTTTTTAGCCGGGGAAGCTCTGGCTGAACCGGAACAAAGCTTCTCCATCGCCGAATTTTACATTTGTGTCTCGCGCAAACAAATGCGAAGGAATCAAGGAATTTTCGCTTGAATAGATCGGCCCTATATGTACTTAAGACATTCCTTGGAGTCCAGGCCATGCGTAGTAGGGACTCCTTGTACTTCATTTAAAGCTCTCAGGAGTAAAACTGTTTCCAAAATTGTATTTTAAGATTTCCAGACAGTGTAAGAGCCATGTCGTCCTAGACGGTTACAAAAATAAATTGGCTTTCAGCTTAGAAATTCAACATTTCCATGGAGGAATCCTAGCTATGATAAATTGCCTTAATGACTAAAGTAAATGTCATGACGGCATCCGCCCTTTGATGCCTCGCATCTACTCCATCACGTGATTGGTAGATAAAGCAACATGCCAACCCGACCCGGGGAGCCTGAGCTCGGACTGAAACTACAGTGAGCCTGTCTGAGCGCCCTCACTAAAACGGCGGCAGCTCAGATGGGAAAGCCCCACCCGCCAGAAGAAACCCGCTACGTAGAGTGCCTAGGTAGCATCAAATTATAGAATATTGCTAGCAAGATCAATTTTACAATTTACGATGAATTTGAGAGAACAATATGGGTCAATTAGGTATGAAGAAAGCCCATATCTAGCCTGAATACACAGTGTATGCGTAGAAACAAGTAACAGGGGCACCAGTCCTGCGATACATTGGAGCTGGGCAAGCCGGGAGGCAAACACATGAAACAGACCCTTGTTACTCCAAAGTGCCCGCTCGCAATAACCAAAGTGAATCGAAGGCCCATAGCACTACTAGTAAACACCAGGAGTCAAAGAAAAAAAGGATCGGATGCTCGATCGGAAATCGAAGGGCCCCGGAACGCTCGTGAGACTACTCAGAGGATCAGACCGCTTCGCTCTAGTCCACCTTGGGGGACTGTTGGCTTACCTGCTCAAGACTTGAAGGCCCCTATGCCTCCACCAGAGTCTGGTTAGCACCTCCACCGAGCAATTCGAGACATCGTCGCGAGAGCGCGATGACTTCGCCCTCACCGCCATCCTCGCCTTCATCGTCGTCGGAGCCAGTACCGATGTCCTTGTCTGAGATTGATTTCACCATTTGTACAATATCGTCAGACCTGGCAATGTAGCCAATAAGCTTCGCGTCCTCCGACTCCAGGAGCTGGAGAACCGTCCAGATGGCGATGTGCTGAAAAGTCGGATCGCCGCTCGCAAGGAAGCGCTGTAGATAGCCGTGAATTCCTCCGTTGGGATCAGCCCAGTCTCGTACGAAAATCGAATAGTCGCCCACTGTCATTGTCAGTTAGTGTATATAGAAAAAAAAAAAAAAAAAAAAAAGGAGACTTCTGAAGGGGAAGCAGGGGAGGTAGTAGGTGTGGAAAAGGGTCCGCACACACCTTTCGAGGATAGATTGCCAAGGGCAGCTGCACTGTTCCCTTGTACTTCGATACTCTCCGAGTTTGTCAGCGGAATCAGCACTTCGAAAACGCCTAGACTGAGAAGATGAGGCTTCAGCTCATCACTGAGGGCCAACACGGCGATTGCAGCAGTCATTTCGGACTGGACAGTCAGGGGAACTCGAAGAACCAGATCCTTGCACTTCTGAACTGCACCGGCCTGCAGGACAAGTTCTTTGTTGCGATCAGAGCTGGCGGCAAGGTTGCGCAGCGTGGATATGGCATGGCATTGGATCTCTTCATTGTCGGTAGATCCAAGCAAGTCCACCAGAGGCTTCAGAAAACCGGCCTCGATAATAGGGGACTCGTTGAGAGGGTGAATAGAGATGTTGCGAATGCATGCAACAGCAGAGAGTATCAGAGGGAGGTAGGAGGATTGGAGAAGTCGCAGAAGAGGTGTCAGGCCCTTAGCCCGAACAATCTCCAGCTGATATTTTTCGTCAGAGGCAAGGTTGCGCAAGGCCAGTGCAGCTTGGCATTGGACCTTGGGAGTGGAAGAGTCCATCAGGTGAACCAATGACTGAACCAGGCGAGATTCGGTCTGGGCCAGGCGCTTGCGATTTGTGGAGTCTACGGCGATGTTGCTCAAGGCCGTGGTGCAGTAGTATTGAACGTCGACGTCGGGAGAAGAAAGTAGATGAACGAGAACAGGAATAGCTCCAGCATTAACGAGCTGCTGGCGGTTGTCATCTGGTGATTGAGTTAGCAAATCACCCTGTCAGGACTTCCCGAGCAAGAAAGAATCAGAAAGGCACTTACCCGAATGGGTCATGTTCAGCAACGCGCCTGTCGCATTACGCTGGACACGCATATCTTTTGATTTTGCCAGGCGGATGAGGGGCCCCAGCGCGCCTGAGCGAGCAATCTTGGCCTTGTTTTCTTCGTGTGTAGCCAGGTTCGTGATACATCCCACTGCGTTGCACTGTACCTCCACGTTGGGCGACATCATTTGGCGGATCAGAGGGGCCAGCCCTCCCAGGGAGACAATCAGGACCTTATTATCAGCTGTAAATGGTTAGTGACCGTGTCCGGAAGATGAAAGATTGTAAGGGCATCGAAGCATACCATTGACGGCAAGATTGCCCAGGGCGGCACTAGCAGCTCGCTGGACTTCAAGGTCGGAACTCTGAAGCAGGAACAGGATTGGCTCAAGCGTATCGCGGTCGACCTCACGTACATCTAGAAGAAAGAACGGTCAGCAATCGGATCATCACGTCACATCCTGTCGACGGCACGCACCTCGCTCCGTGATCTCTGCAAAAGTCAAGCTTGCACTGCGCTGCAGGTCGACATTATCAGAATAGACAAGAGTACTCAGAGCTCGCAGAGGTTCGCCGGTAAAAAAATCGGTTTCGTTACGCTGTGCGAATTGAGTTAGTCATGGGTTCCCGACACCACCATACTCGTAGAGCCCACGCCGCCTTGGATCGGGTGACGAGGGGAAAAAAGGAAGAGACAAGCAGGTCGACATACGTTCTCAAGGTAGCCCAGCAAGTCAGAGACAGCTTCACGTTCATTATCGGCGAGGGTGGTTTCGTAGATGCCGTCTCGCGACCGGGCTCCGCCTAGGCATGCGGTGATATGACACCATCGATCGACGGCCGACAGGCACGACCAGCAGGTGGTCGCGATTCCACTCATACCTCCTCAGCAGGCCCGCATCAGGGCACTGTAAGCGGTCGACGGGGCAGGCGAAAGGGGAAGAAGGCGAGATGCGCCGGGGAGGGGGGTTGGAGTCGAAGGAGAGGGGAGGCTGGGAGAGGGAGTTGCATGCACGGGCGTCAAGCTTTTGAAAGGGAACACAGAAAACCGGGCGCGTGATGGCAGGTAGTGTCGAGACGACGATTTCGGGGGCAGGTGGTGGCAACCGAGAAAGGCACCCCGAGAGCAAAGGCGAGGGATGGGCGGAGGTGAGGGGAGAAGGAAGAAGTCGAGGTTGCCGGAGCTCAGGTAGTTGCCCCCTCCGGCCGTTGCGGTTCGGGGTCAAGTCACGGAGCTCCCCTATAATCTACGAGTAGTCGGACTCGGGGCCACCATGAAAGAAAAAGAATTAGATTCTGACTCAGAGAACAAACTACATGCATGTCATGAATGGAATGAGTTTATTTCTTTTCATCCTTCTGTTTCTGCCGATTCTACGGCCAGCCAGTGTCCTAGACTCGTCCAACTTGAACTGGAGTAGATGCGAGCTGCGCATAACATCATCCCGAGAGCTGCGACCAATCCCCGTTGTCGGGTTGTGTCTTCCTTCGACGCCTGCCGTCCTCCATCGACCCTGCTGCAACCGTTTTATAGATTCGCATTTCCATCGCAGTCCACCCGTCTGCTTCTTCTTGCGCCTGGCACCTCGCCCGTTGTGAGGCCCGTGTGCCGCCTCGAATGCGCCCGCCTTGTGATTCGAATGTCCATGACGCACCTGACCACCGCGCGGATGATCAGCCCGCGTGAAGGTGGTCGTCGCGAACAGAAGGGACTAGCACTGAAAAATAATCATTCGGACGTGACATGCTCATGATCAGGACCTCTAGAGGACTCCATCCTCGATGGGCCGACATCGCGATCGGCATTCCCGCTGTCCGGTATACCGTGGTTGCTGCTCGGGGAGGCGCCGAGGCCGCGCCATGAAGTGGTCAGTTCGAAGGGGGGCTGCATGACGGAGACTCGGAGTCGACAATACTACTACTGGTACATGCTATATTACATACGACTACTGTAAGCAGCAGTAGTAGCAGCACCCGGCATTAGTGTTGGCAATGCAGGGTACGAGCGAGCAGCCGCGATCGACTGTGCGTGCAGAGTGGCAACGCGAGAACGTGCCAATCGGGAGGAGGCTGAGGGCAGACGGTCGTCGACGGCCAAAGAGGCGTCGGCTAAAGAGGTCTGGTACATGATAGTACTTCCTCGGACAGTCTGGACAGGAACGCTCGAGATGCGTGTGGGCTTCCCCGCAAAATGGTGCCACTGTGAAATGACTGGCCTGCATGCCTCGCTGACGGATATAAAGCCCTGTCTGTCCGAGGTATGTGTCCGGCCTTGCTGGTAGGACTGGTCGGCGTTCAGAGTCTACCATCCTTCCATACCTTAGGGTTCTACTAGTAGTCGAGTAGTGCGAGATCGCAAAGGCTGGGTCGTCCCGCGAAATCGCCTACGGTAACATCATACCAAGCCCCATTCTCCCCTCTCTCGATCTCTCTTCGTCCTCCCCCTGTTGCCTTCGGTTTCCGAGCTTTCTCACTTCTTTTGTTCCTCACCTAAGCCCGATTTCCGAGATGCATTCATAGAGTCCCCCTGGCGCTTGGACGTGACCTCAGCCGTGTCGCGGACTGCATAAAGTACCACTTTGGACCGACATACTCAAAGAACTCGGCCGCCGCCCCCACCCCCTCCCTTTCGCAATTGCGTGAAGCCTGGTGGGCACCCGGGCAGAGCAAAAAGCACCAGACGCCTCCCAAGGCTGCCAGAGGCACCGGCGGAAGTCGCGTGGTCCAACAGGCGACCAACAGCCCAACAGCAACCGACGCACCTGTCGAACATGGAGACCGCCACCGCCTCCGCCTCCTTCTCCGACTCTTCGCATCGCCCCGGTCGCCTTCGTCGCTTCAGCCAGCTGCGACAGAACCTGTCGGGCCATCGCTCGCGCAACAGTATCAGCAATCGAGTTTCTTGGTTATCCTCCTCGTTGCCCGGCCGCGATTCCACAGTGACGCAGGTGGGGAACTCCACTGCTCCATGCCCCGACAGTGACCAACCCACCCTCGCTCGCTACACTTCGGCGCCCACCTCGAGCTCCCGCGCGCTGGCTCTTGACAACCAGCCCTCCTCGACCGACTCCGCTCGCTCGAATTCTCCAAACGAGCCATCCCGGACATCCAATGTCATGGCCCGGCTGAGAAGCTCCTCCGCCATGCAGGGTCGACCACCCCGAACCCTGGGCCGAACCACCACCCCAGACGGCCCAACGACGTCCCCAGAACCAACAGCCGCCGCCGCCGCCGCGAACGATGCGCCTGCCGAGGGGATCAGTACCCCGCCGGTCGAGATGCAGGAGGGAGAAGAAGAGGCGAACAAGCCAAAGCAGAAGGCCACCATCCGATTTTTCCCTTACCAAGACACCTACCAAAACTCACGACCGTCGCTACCCTTTGTCCCCGTCGCTCGCACCCTGCCGTCCGAAAGCTGCGTGATTCGCGTCGGTCGCTACTCCGAACGCGATGGCATTCCGATCCCCAACCCGGCCGAGCCCTCGGATGCCCCCGTGGGCTTCAAGTCGAAGGTGGTGAGCCGCAAACATTGCGAGTTCATGTTTGTCAATGGCCAGTGGCACGTCAAGGATGTCGGAAGCTCGTCTGGGACGTTCTTGAACCACATGCGCCTCAGCCAACCAAACATGACCTCCCGGCTGTATTCCATCAAGGACGGCGACATCGTGCAACTGGGCATCGATTTCCGGGGAGGTGAGGAGATGATCTTCCGCTGCGTTCGGATCCGAATCGAATGCAACCGCTCCTGGCAGCAGCAGCCCAATGAGTTTAAGTATGATGGCCTTCCTGGACCACAAATCTTTCTCACCGATACTGACCTAACGTTTTGCACAGCAAAAACACCGAAAGCCTCATCAAGAACCTTGGCAAAGGAGACACCGCAGACTATTCCGGTTGTCGCGAATGCTCGATCTGCCTCGGGTCCGTATTGCGGCCCTACCAGTGTTTGTTCATGGCAGCATGTGCCCATGTCTGGCACTACAAGTGCATTAGTCGCCTGCTGCATTCGCCCGACTACCCCATGTTCCAATGTCCCAACTGCCGTGCGTTTACAGACCTGAGCGCCGAGGTCGACGACACGCCCGAGTACGAAACCGAGAGTAAAAAGGCGGCTGCGGCGAAGGCTGGACCCGCGCCGGAAGATGAGACAGAAGGTCCATCTCGCTCAGCAACGCAGACACCCGCAGAGGCACCGGCTACAAATGCCGCTGGGGAGAGCTCGGAGCCACAGGAACAATCCGAGGGCCGGGCTGAAGAGGGTGAATTGGTCACCGATGTCGAAAACCTGCATCTGCGAGAAGAGCAGTTGGCCGAGGCGGACGCAGAAAGTCGAGGCTCCGACTCACCGGCTCCAAATGGTAGTAACGATGATCTTGCTCGGAGTGCGACGATCAACATTCCTGGCTTCCAGCCAACACAACCTCTGAATGTCCCGCCCGGTCGGTCATCACACCTGCGAGCCGATACTCCAGTTCGCTCGGAAACGTCCGATGACAATCCCCTGACCCCTCGAAATGACTCCGGGCCGTTGGCGTTCGATGGCCGTGCAGGAATGCAATGACCAACAACAAGACGGCAATTTTCTTGAAGTCAAGATCTTATGGGTCATCTCAAGGGTCATCTCAAAACATTTTCATGTGTGCCTTTAGCCGTTCTTGTCTGGCCAACCGATCATGCTTGGGACCTGGTCGTGTTGAACTGACCATGTATGGGATTATATACCTGAGGTGGCTCCATCAAAATAATATCATTTATGCATCCCACCTTCGTCGAGGAAGGTGGATCCAGCATGATGGTGTGATCTCCCTCATCGATTTGACCCGATCTGGTTGACACATCCCATCACCAGCTGCATTTTCCCAATAGCGTTCATTTCCTCATCAAGTTTCATTGACCATGAAACCTTGGCGTTCGTCGTTACTGCTCCTGCATCCTACCCTTTCGTCGCTCGATATACCCATGTTGGCAGCTTGGGCTGCTGTTGGTGATTTTTGGTACTATCTGGGCGAACTAGGAACCTTCTTTTCGGGCTGGTTGTTTGTTCTTCCATTCAGCTGTTCATACCTTCGGGTTTCCTTTCAGGTAGTTTTCTTGCTATCGCCCCACAATCTACATACATTTTTACTGCAATCTCAATTCGTGTCTTCTGTTCAATATCGGCTATCAAGGCTGTGTTTCCCCTCTTGAGCTGAGTTATGATTTCATCTCCGTTGCCGTGTTGGGACCATGAGAAAGAGTACTAAGCCTGTTCGGGCTCTTGCCTCTTACTCATATTACATCTTGCAGCTCGCACCTCTTTGCCTCACTCGGTACGAAATACTATCCTGGATTGCTAGTCTTTCCAACCGCTCCACACTACAACGATCGCCTACTTTAGTGGCCAACCAATTACTCTTGTTCCTTAGGCCAGTGATACAACACTGCGAGTCCATCCACTCGATACTGATTCCTGCTGCTGTCACCATGCAAAATCTTCAGCTATCTATGATTGGGCTATTTTCTTGGGCTCTTCATGATCCACCACCGCCTCCCGTTGCCCCCTGGTGCATCACGAGAAAGGACAGGATAAGCGAGCTTCCTGTGGAGTTGATACTATCGATCGCAGATTTCCTTCATCCCATAGATATATGCTGCCTCGCGCTTTGCAGTCATCATCTTCTGAACACACTCCACGGCCGAAGTAGGATATTCGAGCAAATCAACATGTGTTTCAGTTTCGGCAAAAAGAGTCGGATATTCTTTCTCCGCCGACTCGAGCATGATAATCTAGACTACTTTGTCTGTCACGCCTGCTCGACTCTCCACCTATATCGATATAAGCAAGATCCAGAGAGCTCCTACACTATGTTCCGGAATTTACGGCTTCCCTGTACCGGGAGGTGGTACGAAAACCAAGCCTTGATCATGTGCATGCATAACATGAACTCCTCGGCCTCTGACTGCAACTATTTTATGTTTCTCCGTCTTCAACTTGCAATGAGACGATATTACTACGGCCCCAGATACGGGATCAGCACTAAGGCACTGTCCCGCACCCAAGTTGTGGCTCATGTTATGTCGACATCACTGTTCTCGGTCGACGCACGCATCGACCCAACATCACCATGCTTATATCTCCGCATCCAGGATGTAATGTCGGTGAGATTCCGAAAGGCAGAACTCCTAGCATCCGACACGAGGACATACGAGGCTCGCCAAATTTTTCATATCTGTGCGCATATCAGGAACCTTGAGATACAGAGCTCTATTTGTGAACTTGTTCGGGTATACTTATTGAAGAGCGGCGTGCGAAGATGGTTACAGCAGGCGATACTAATCGCGCGACATAACTCATGCCCTCACTGCAATACAGACTTTCGAATTGAGCTTCGTGAGTTCGGCAAAGATAACCTCGCTTTAGTGATCACGAAATGGATTAATCTTGGGGCTGGTCTCAGTCCAGAGGATCCGCGATGGTTGGTCCATTCACGGGCCTCGCAGTTAGCTCTGTCCCCTTTCTTGAGCAATGAATATAGGGTCTCGAGCCCACGACAGACGTTCGAGAGACTGCCGGGGATTTCCTATTGGGCCATGTGTGAGCGCAATCTTATGTATTTGACTGATGGGTGTTATCGAAGGCTTATGGAAAAAGTCCCTAGTCCTGTGAATCCTTCATGGATTCTGCGAAACACATAAATGGCCGATGTGTTAATTGTTAGATCTTGCTCAAATGCATATCCAATACTTCTTGGTTCAATATTTTTCAGGTAATCATTGCTTGACTTGGTTCTAAGTGTTGCCCCTTAGTGAGGGAGTTGGCCGGACTGGATATCACTCAAGAAATCTGGTAGAAGTAGGTGACCAATAGCATTGGTCACGAGCGGTGGAAAATGACGAGGTTAAAACTAGTATACAAGAACTAACCGCATAGTATCAAAATAGCGGAGTTATCTAAAAATGTCAAAGTGGTCCCATTCTGTATGTTCCTTCTGTCCATTATGGCATAGGTGACTGGTCAGTTGTTTGAGCTCGGCAAAGAAAACGGCGTAAATCAATTGTGTAATATTGAGCAGTGGATGAGGACTCAATTGGAGTAGGCTGGCCGAGGCTCGGAGTGGCCTCAATTCCAGACCTGAAATTCACATTTTCTTAGCCGGACAAAGTCCAGCGGAAACAGAATAATGAGGCGATGCTGGCACTTTGCCGAGGATGGCTCTGATTTCTGCCATCCTCGTCCACGTCGATGTTGGCAGCCTCAGGACTTCCCGGCACAACACAACAGCCACACTCTCCCGTCTTCCCTCACCTCACCAACACCATGGCGCGTCTTATATCCACCCTCGTCTTGTTTCTCCTGTGCCTCCTTGTAGGTGCCGAGACTACGACCACTACGACCACAGCGACCACTACAACGGCGCTGGTGTCTTTTCAATCGGTACCATTCCACCCCCTCCCCATCTGACGCGAGTGTTTGTCTCTTAACATATCGAACAGCCAGTCGTTGGAATCTCCCCAGACTTTTACCACGGCCAACAGGATCTGATCAAATGGGGGCTTTGCTACGCATTGCTTGATCCCATGTGAGTCGACCTTCCATACCTGCGAACATATATATACTGACCCGATTCTTAGCCTCAAGAAGCTTGGTTCAATCGACATTCCCTGCCCCGAGAACAATGAACCCAACACCTGCACGATCTACGAGTAAGTGAACCTTTTTGAATCCGAGTATTGCGAACAGATGTTAATTATCAACAGGGACTTGGCCTGCACCCGCGAGCTCCTCACCATCGACCGATCGCACTCACACTTGCAAGGTATGTGGGACTCAACCTCTCGAACGCCCGTCGGACTCCTCGCCGGAAGCGTGAAGTGCGATCAACGCATTTTCAATCGGGATACACATATCTGGACGAGCAAGTACGGTTGGACCAGACGCAGCTATCGCTGCGCTGGCGATTCTTGCCGTGACGATGGAGACTGCGAGACCTCACTCCGGAACCCGAGCTGCTATTGCTCGCACATGGGAATTTGCAAGATTCGCGGATTGGAGAGTACCTCGGAGAGCTCTATCTCCACTATCTCCACTATCTCCACTACTTCCGCTACGTCGTGATGGAGAATTGGTTGCTGAGGAGATCTATGAGGTGGTCGAGCAACGGGTGAACTACCCGATGGGTCAGCTGCCACCAGATCGATTCATACTTTAGGTGTCATCCCTTTGTAAGGAGTATCAAACTTCAACCGAAGCTCAAACAGATCAGAGACTTGATTTAATATGTCTGAAACAGGAATACTACTTTATCGATTTTTTATCTTGTTAGCTGCTGCCCAAAAAAGTAGCGATCGACACCAAGCTGCTCGGCTTGCCGAAGAATACCCGGATGTGCCCAATCCTATTTCCAGCCACATAAAGCAAAGTAAGTATCCATACCTAGACTAGCATTATTCTTGCCGTCCATATAAAAGCACTGTAATCTTGGCTAGAGGCCGCTCCCTAACTCTGGTGGCAAGTCATCTGCCTGGGTGGATTCGTGGATCTGTGCCATACACGCCCACGGCTATGACTTTGGTCTATGCGAGCTGTCAGATATGAGACTGTCAAAGCCGATTACGGTGTCCGTGGCATCTGTGTTATTAACACATTGCGCTCACGATATCGGAAGCGCCTTGTCAAAGATGCTGAGTTTGCCAGCTTCGCTGTACTCTATATTACCATAATGATTAGCTCAATCTACTGGGAATGACCATGTTTCCTGCTCGGTCATCTATCTGGTCACCTATCCAGTCATTTACCTAGTCACCTAAGTAATAAACTATCTGGTCGAAGGATTAGCTCCTCCGGAGACTGATGCGCTACGTCGAAATTGCATCTGATGCTATCCTACGCGAACCTCAGGCCATATTGGACCAACGCTGACGCCGCGAATGCCATGCTCCTAGCTATAGGCATATCAGGAATATCAGAATTGAGGGAGATCAACTCCAACAATTATGAATAGTCTTGAAATACCCATTGACAACGGACCGGGCGGCTCTGATCGGCATGTTGATGGATGTAGATCTCGGCAGTCCCACACGAGGACTGTCGGGTTTTCCGAGCAGCGCGTTCTGCAGGCTCCCTTCTGCTCCGGCCGTTCCTGAACCACGTCAGCACCCCCCAATCCGCGTAATGGACCCCTCGTTAAAGCATAAGGCTGGGCTTCTCGTGGGGGCCTCCCTCAGGGTCGTCCCTGGTTTCTACCCGTTTCATGCCTCGGTCCAAACCATTCGGGCAGCGCTGACGCACGACAGGTCCTAAGTACACCTTAAGGGTGTCGGGCTTGTTGTGCAAGATTGCCATGGTGATCCCATGAGAAGAGCTTTAGTCGTATAAGGCACTATGTCCTGATCCAGAATGCGGTTGATTCTCTTCTGTTCTGTCGCTGTCACTCTTTCTATTTTCTCTTAGCAATCTCTAATTCCTATCGCTGGAAGATGAAAATCCACTAATTTGCTCTCATCGGCGCCCTTTTTGGCTCTGCCTCTGCCTCTAGCAATACAAATCAGGGTCTTCTCTCAAACGGCCAGGGTAAGCCGGTGCAAGTATTGCAAATACTTTGGTTTTGTTGCTGACTACAGCCTCAACAGTCTCACTGGGCGATTGGCAAGCCGCATACGAAAACGCCTCCCATTTCGTCTCGAAGCCGAACACCACTGAAAAGATCAACTTGATCACTGGAAGCAGCGTCAACACCACCGATGGTCAGACCTTCACGGCACTCGAGTTTCTCGATGGCTCGATGGGTCTCCAGGATTACTACTACGTCTCGGCGTTCAGCCAGGCTTCGGGACTGGCCATGACCTGGGATAAGGATGCGATATACGCCCAGGCAAAGGCCGTAGCCACTGAGTTCTACCTCAAGGGCATTCAAGTTGTCGACGGACCTACTTCTCAGCCCCTGGGTCGCACGCCCTGGGGTGGGCGATCGGTTGAGACGTTTGGATCGGATCCGTACCTGAACGGCATTGCTACCGGATTGAGTGCTAAGGCATACAAGGATACGGGTGTTATTGGAGGAGCCAAGGTATGTCCTGCTGCACCACTCACATATCTCACGGCGTTTTGATTGACCTTTTGATAGCATTTTATTTTGAACGAGTAGGAGACCAACCGTACTGGAAGCATGGGAGGAGGCGTTGGTGCTGGCGGCGGTGCTGGAGGACCGCCCAGTATGGACTCTTCTTCTTCTTCCGCCTCACCTTCCTCAAGCTCTACTGCGGCTCAGCCTTCGTCCTCCTCTGCCGGTGGAATGGACGGCGGAGCTTCTATGTCGTCGCCTTCCTCGTCTTCATCCTCTGGTGCTCCTTACTCCTCCAACGCCGACACAAAGACCCTTCATGAGATGTACCTCTGGTCTTTCTACGATGGAGTGCATTCTGGCCTCGGTGGCGTGATGTGTCTTTAGAGCGCCGGCGTCAGGCGACGCATAATATTCACAAGCTCTTTCGTTGACATAATCAACCCATAAATTGCTTCCAGTGACACCCTTGACGATATTTGCATTGTAAAACAGTGAATGAGTGAGGTTGTCCCTCAGGGAGGGCATGTCTTCATGTAAAACAACTTTCCAACTCTTCCGGTGCCGATAATGATGATGTGTTCAACTTCGGTGGCGAAATGGTTGCTTGCGTGGCTGTGGATGGCTGTCTGAGAGGTTGTCATAGGGACAGAAGCTGTGGACCAGCTTGACATCCAGGGTCGGTTCACTCCCGGCGTCGTTGAAGACCCTTGGCGAACACATTGTGGACCAGAGAATCGGTATTGGTATAATCAAGCAGCGAGGAGGAAAATATGCCGTGTCTGTCCCGAGTTGGAATCCGACCGGCAAGTTAGATACACGAAGGAGAAACAGTTGTATAACGTGATTCCCGGCTAGCCGGTCATCCCGGCTACGCGGTCACCCCATCAAAAATTCAAAATTTGTAAAATCTTCAACAACGATTTTAATACCCAAAAAAGATTGAATTTTGCTGTTTAAACTTTCTGTGGACATCTAGAGATATTGTGATCTTGTTTTCCACACCCAGAACAGGTTATCCGGCGTCGTATAGCAGGTAAAACCGGTAGTGAAGGTTCAACAGTAGGTTGTGGAGCAGCTACGAGACCAGATATATATTCACCTGCACCACCTCCTTCTCCACCAACAGGATGTATGATATCCAAAACTTCGGTCAAACTGCCTTCATGAGCAATTTGCCTTCTAGATCTAGCTCTTTTCTTCACCTGTTTTTTGTTTGCCTCCCGTAAACGCTTGATTTCATCCTTCATTAAGATATGCGAATGAAGCATCTTGACAGTCATGTTATAATACTGTTGAAGATCTCGCTTAGTGGGCGAAGAGATCTTATCTGTGACTGAACTTAGGCCAGAATCGAGCCTAGATTTCCTTTTTTTGAGTTGTTTGGTTGTCTGAGGGATACCGGCAGAGATATTGCTATCAGAAGTTGAACCCTGTGAGGTTGGTCGATCCGGGAGAGGTGGTGATTGAAGACGAATATTGAGCTTTTCTAGCACGCGATTCGGGTCTAAGGGAACTAAACCAGTAGCCGCAAAGGCATTCTGAATAGTAGCCTCTTTAAAAGCGTGCCCTCGTGTTTGTGGAAAAATCTCTAGGAAGTCGTCTTTCTCAATAGAATCGATACCCAATCTCATATACTCTGCAACTTCCGTGCCGTAAAGCTTCTTTAGAACAGCAAAACAGCCAACATCCAAAGGCTGTAAAAGATGAGAGGCATGCGAAGGCATACAAATCGGAATGATGTTGTTTTCTTTGCAGATCTGGTCGAATCTGGCTGTAAGATGGCTGTCGTGGCCATCAAGGACTAGAAGTCTGAACTTCCCCTTTGTCTGACTTGTTGTATGTGGAATAAAGTGTTTCTGGAGCCAATCTAATCCAATATCATTGCTAGTCCAGCCTCTAGGACTAACATTAAGAGCCCACTGCTTTGGAAGGTGATCGAACCATCTAGCCATGAAGTTCTTGCCTTTGAAAATGATGTATGGTGGAAGGGCCCTCCCAGATGCGCAGATAGTTTCGATAACTGTGACCCATTCACGATTCCCAGGCTGCAAAACGCCTCTCCGACCATGGAAAAATGCTTGCGTGATAACCTTCGAAGTCGCATTTATCCCCATGGAAAAGCCACATTCGTCAAAGTTGTAGATATCGTCCGAAATAATGCCATTTTCTCGGATTGTTTTCTCAACCAGCTTAAACCACTCAATTATTATGGCTGGGTCCTCATTCTCGGCCCTCTTGTAGTCATATTTGCGTGAGAAACGAGTTTTCAGGCCTGGATGCCTTTTAATAAACTCAGTTGGCCAATTTTTACCCACAGTTGGTGGGTTTGAAGAGGAGCTAGAACCGCGAGATTGCAGCAGTAAACTAGCCATATCTCTTAACATAGAGATTGTGAGAGCTGCACCTCTCTGATCCATAGATATTAACCAATCCTGGATAGAGTCCTCTTCAAGCTGAGTAAATTTATACAGAGCTGAGCGAGTACCGGACTGATTTTTTCGCCCTTGGATCCTAGCACCGAGAGTTGTACGTGGGACATCAAAAGACCGAGCAGCAGCAGCGACCGAGGTAAATCTGCCATTCTGAATAGCTTTGATAGCAAGCAGAATACGACCTTCCTGTTGAATTGATTTTTGAGCTTTTTCTGAGCGTTTTGGAGGCATGGTGTTTGTTTGAAAACAGAGGGTTACTACGGAGACGAAAATTGCGAGGCGGTGACCGCGTAGCCGGGATGACCGGCTAGCCGGGAATCACGTTAACCAAGAAAGAAAAATTGGTACGTGACGGAGCATTCATCGCGACGGAGTACATCAAGTTATTGTGCGGAGCATTCCGCTCACTGGAGGTCTTCCTCGTGGCAAGTCCAGCAAGTGACTAAGTGACTGAAAGAAATTTTCTTTCCAACTTTCACCGAGGTTAATGGGGTCGAATAGATTTTGTATTGTAGCGGTAGGGTTTGCTGCGTATGTCGCCTTGTATTGATTCTGAGCAGGGCCATATTCTATTTCAAAGAGCCTGCAACGATGCCTGAGTTCTCGGCGGCTCGAGCGAT